GAATGAAAGAAAAAAAAAGCTCCTCAACGTGCATGACTTCTCTGCCACTTTCTCACCCCAGTCTATTTCTTGATTGGCGGGTCGGGTGGGAAATCCTGCATTTCGTCATATCCAGTACGGACGAGTGTAGTTATTCCCTGACTACCAAGGAGATATTGCAGGAGGCTTACTGTCTATTGGTATCATCCCCGGCAAAAAAGACAGATAGACCAAGTCAGTTATGTCCAAAAATGACTTGACACGAATGATAGGATAGAATACCCTAAAACAAAACAAATAGGAACCATCATCACTCTTCCCACCGATCAGCCACTCCCTGTCCAATTGGCCCAGTCCATGGCACCTCTTCTCGATTTATTTCCATTATTGGCAGACAAGCAAACTAGACTTTGAAATCAAAGAAAGAGAAAAAGGAGAAAAAGAAAAGAAAAAAGACAAACAAACAACAATCCCCTGGTCTAGAATCCAGAATCCAGAATCCCCGTGCCGCGTCCTTGCCCATCGTCATCATGAACAGTGGAGAGAGAAAGAGGGAGAAATGAGCACGAACCTATTCTTTTTAGTACGGCGTCCCGCATGCTAACCAGACCTAGTAACATCTAGCAGAACCGTGGACCGTGGGCTTACTAGTTCTAGCCCCAGACAAGATATCGTAAGCAGGGAGTGAGCACAGATACACGGTTAATAATAGCACTACTAATCAATCAGTAACAGACCTACCGGAGATAGTTAGGGCATAGTCAGAAGGTATGGGCTCAGTGGTGCCGTCGTATACCTGCTACTCCTTCCTCAAAGGCCGATGAGGACCGATGGGGATCATCATCGGCCTTAGTTCTCTGCACATACAGTAGTAAGATATTTGGTGTTCCCCGAACCCCTCCCCTTTCCCCTCTCCTGACCCACCTGCCTGCAATTATCCTGTTGATACTAATATTAATGGTTGACACTTTGACCGTTGCGGCTGACAATATCCGTACTCCGGAGTATAACCATATCCATTTGACCGTAGTTACTAGCTACTAGCTACAATCAGTCAAACAATAGCGTGTATTCATTAGTTTATGTGAATGTTATGCATTCCTGTATAACCGAGCAATAATAGTACGTAGTATGTAGTATATCTGTAGTTCAAGATCTAATGCCAAACAAAGGTACTCACATAGATAGCTACCTAGCTACCACAATATAAGCAAACTTCTATAAAGTAAAATATAATAGAATAATAGAATAATACATATAGCTATAGCGAATACGAATGTAATAAGCCAAGATAAACACACACCTAAATAAAGCAACTCCCACAATAAGCCCCATCATCGAGTCCCCCAGCATCATTGATTGATTTTGATCCATGTATGCAGGGAGGCGTCCGTGCATAGATACAATATACTACCTAACTAACACAACAAAGTAGAAAGGTCTTTGGATTCTACAAGATCACGCAAGCATATCATGCACTGTATAGAGCTCGCAGTTGTTCACCACCCATCTACCTACTATTTCAATCAACGAACCAACCAGACATTCTCTTTGGCTACCAGAGATCTATCTCTATCTGTAGACTACGCACCCCAGACCTTGCCCTACCCAGCTATACCCTCTCATCCCGCCTGTCTTCCACCACCATCACCATCACCATACTCCTGAACCAACCACTCTAGACTGCATCCAGGGATAAGCAACTAAGCACCTAGGTACCCAAGTACCCAAGTACCCAACTCCCCATTCAAGAAACAAAGTCCTAACCAACTAAACAGGGGCCAAAAACATCATGATCGTCGCTATCTAGCGCGGAGACCCTCCTCCGCTCCCTCCTCTTCCCTTCCCCTCCCCTCCTCCCCTCTTCCCGCCCACTACTACTCCAACTACTACTATGTACTCTACTTACCCCTTAGTTTAGTCCAGACTAGAGCATCCACCGTCCATCAATCCCGCATGTACGTGCGTTGCGCGTACCATTCTATTTCATACATGCGTGAACGGATCGCCCTGCTGAGGCGATCTGTGGGTTTGACGGATGGGTTCCGGCTGGTTTGGTTTTGTGTTGCTTTGCGCTGCTGATTGGGTTGGGTTGGGTTAGTCTTGTCTGTGCTATAGCTGGTTTTTACTACTGCTAGGTACTTTGGAGATGGGTGGGTAGATTCATAGTGTGATGACGATAAATGCTATGGGGTTTGTGGTTTACTGTGGTTGGATAGGTAGGTACTAGGTACTATTGTTTTACTAAGTATAGTACCTTGTGAATGCCATGGTCACCTCTATCTTGTTTGTTCGACATTGACATCTAGTTCATTTGGTTTAGACAGATCTAGAACATGATAGATTTATATGTTATATATTTTAGTTTATTCATTTATTGATTTATTTACTTTGGTCGATGTATCCGGAAGGAGACCACGCGCATCGAAATGAAACGGTGCGGGAAAAAAAGCCAAAAAAGAAACAAAACCAAGGAGTTCGGCCGGACGCGAGCGATCGATGGACAGAATGACAAAAAGACCCTCGTGTGGGTTCATTCCGTGTCAGCCTCTCTCAACGTAACCCGTTCCCCCGAAACCGAAACCCAAAAACCTGTCTCTGAACAACCCAACCAACCCCTGGGGAGAGAAAGATTGCAAAAAGCACGGCAAAACTGCACGGCATACTAGCGCTTGGTTTCCAATCGTCTACTCTCTTCTTGTTGAGAGCGATCGAGCGGTAGTTGGCAGCGTTGCTGCCCGTGCGAGGCACCGCGCTCCTCCAATCATATTCCCTCCTGTGACATCTCGCGAGAATCCGTAGGCCCAGGCCTCTTGGGCATGGACATGGACGACTTAGCGAAGTAAAAACCCCTTTACACACACACGCCCCGTTTCGTGGTCTCGAGCGCGACTCGATTCGCCACTGCTTTTCTCCGCTCTGGCACGGGCTCGTAGCATCGAGAGTTCGGTTGGTGCTTTACCGCTTGATAATAGTCACTGTGGTTGATCACATCGTTAGCTCCAGGATCCGCTCAGGGGGGAGATGTTCGGGTCCGTACCAATGTCTTCATCGGCAAGCTCGTGCGAGAGACCGACGCGCTGCGGTTGGTGCTTGACCGAGCGCCCATACACGATCGCCTGCTTGAACTGCTCCTTGATCGATTTGTGGATAGAAACACACTGATTGCAAGTTAGTCGATAGTCGCCATAATGAAGTGTAATCCATGGGATAGGGTCCTTACGAAATCCTCGACTGTGCTTGCGCCGGCCTTGAGAACGACAGGCGCCGTGTAGTCGGGCGCCCTGCCCTTGGGCTTGGTGTAGATCCGTCGGAGGTTGAGCTTCTCCCACATCTGCTCCAGTAACTCATCGATGTTCCAGCCGTGCTCGGAGCTGATAGGGCAGGCGTTAGGTATACGGTAAAGGAGATCCAGCTCTTCGATGGTGATGGAATCGATCTTGTTCAGGGCGTAGACGACGGGAATATACGCTCGGCTCTTGGCCTCAAGCACGTCGATAATGTCGTCAACCGTCGCATCGCACCGGATGGCGATATCGGCGGAAGAGATCTTGTATTCGCTCATGACAGCTTTGACTTCCTGTAGGAGGCAAACAATACTAGTCAGTCAAATGTATACAGGAGCACGGTGATGAACACTCACCTCATGGCTAACGTGTGATAAGGGAACAGTGCTCGTAATCGCAATGCCGCCCTTGTCCTTCTTCTTGAAGGTGATATTGGGAGGCTGCTTGTTGATTCTAATTCCGAACCCTTCCAATTCTCGCTCGATGACTCGCTTGTCGACAAGGGGTTTGTTCACATCGAGAACGATGAAGATCAGATGGCATGTCTTGGCCACCGCAATGACTTGACGACCACGACCCTTACCATCCTTGGCACCCTGGATAATACCCGGAAGATCCAGAATCTGAATCTTTGCGCCGTTGTACATGACCTGACCAGGCACCGTGGTCAGGGTTGTGAATTCGTACGCCGCAGCTGTTCCAGGTTAGTACCCACTACTCGCCAAAGAAATAGGTTATCACCGACCTTCCGAATGCTGGCCTGTCAATTTACTCATCAGAGTACTTTTGCCGACTGACGGAAAACCGATGAAACCACTGCACCGAGTCAGTACCACAACGCCTCGAGATCTTTACCAACAAGGCAGTCTGTCGGACATACACACTAGCAACACCAGTACGAGCGACATCGAATCCAACTAGAACCCATATATTAGCCGACCACCCATGTCATTCAAATTGTACAGGCACATACCTCCACCGCCACCGCCGCCTCCGGAGGGCGTCAGGAGCTCTCGCTTCAGTTTCGCAAGCTTCGCCTTCAATTGTCCTAGATATTGTATTAGCACAAAACATCCATTGGCCAGCCCGTCCAAAGCGGCCCATACCCAAGTGATACGACGTGTTCTTGTTTTTCTGAGTCTTGGCCATCTAATTATCCAGTCAGTACACCAGTTCTGCGATAGCGTAGCGGCGTATTAGGCGAACCTCATCCTCCACTTGCTTGATCTATATTGAGACCGTCCATGTTAGCCACAACTATTCATTATCGTTTTTGAAAAGAATGGGGTAGATATTGAGGCGCACCTTATCCACGGTGGTCGACATCTTGGCGGCGCAACGAGTTTTACCCCTCGAACTAGGTCAATATGTGCAAAATAAGATAAATATTCAATCAGGGTAGTCAATCCCTATCTTCCAGCTGCGCTGTTGTGAAGCCAGGGACAATCTGTTGGTGCTGGTTGGGTATAAAGAGTTGAAAGTTAAGTCGAGCGATCAATCTTTGATGGAAATTGTGGCCGCCACTTCATTCGCCCGTTTGTCGGGCGGAGAGCGAGATCACATGGTGGGGTTTTTCTGCCTTAGGCAGGTGGCAACTCTGTCACGTGGGTGGCTATCGATAAGAGGCACGTTCGGTTCAACTCACGTGATTCATATGACATCAGTGGCCAGATATTTACTTAGTATAGGATTCAAGCATTGGCCTTCATAGTCTAAATTATTAGAAGAGCATGTTCTGAAGATAACTATTCCAGACTGAAGAGGACATATCTCTCTAACCGGCGTAGTAACCGTGATGGGTTTCTCGCCTCGACTCCTCAGGCAGCCGCAAGAGCGGAAAAGCCACAGCTTTAGACCAAAGACGACGCACATCCACAATGCCCTTTCCGCATCACCTACAACTACTCGAATTTCTTGAGCCGTTGCTGTATGACGTATCTTTCTACTTACACTTCCGCCTCGAGTAGCCAGAGATTAGCCTATATGCCCCATTGCCTTGCATACTATAATTATTCCTAATTTCAACCCCGCGTCCGATCATCGGCATACCAATCCATACCTCCAGTCTCTCGGTATAGATCCGATCCCAAGGCACTTGCTATATCTCCATCGAATCTCTACTTCTCGCTGGACAAAGTATCCACCAACAGAATGCCTTACCTCTCAGGTCTTGACTCAGAGATCTCCACGAGCAATGCCTTCGAGAAACTCGTCCAGGATTTAAGTGCCACTCTAGGCCCAAGCTCCGGACTAGATTCCGACGATGTCAATCCGGTAGACATCCAGCTTCTAATGGAGCGGTACAAGTCCAACCCCGAAGAGTGGCTCCCGTTTGCCTTGGGCGACCCCAGCAAGAACTATACGCGGAATCTCATCGACGAGGGGAATGGTAAAAGTAACCTGGTGCGTTCTTCCCGCTATCTTTGACATACCATATACCTCTTGACTTCTGCGGTTACGTTTGAAGTCGACTGCGTCTGCATGCTGCATACGCGATGCGCTTACAAAAAGCAAGTGTTATCTAATTGCTAACTGTCCCACCGTTGATCTAGCTAATCCTAGTCTGGAGTCCCGGTAAAGGGAGCGCCATCCACGACCACGCCGGTGCGCATTGTGTCATGAAGGTGATTTTCTCCGCGCCTTGTGGATAGATACGAAAAGGACCTTTCTAATTCGAGCTCTATCCACAGATCCTTCAGGGCTCGCTTCAAGAGACATTGTACGCCTGGCCGGACAAGAACAAGCTCCAACAGGGTCAAACGTCCCCTCCCAAGGTCACCAAGGAGACTACCTTCGGCGAGAACCAGGTCACCTATATGTCTGATAAGGTATAAACCAGCCTTCTTGAAAAAGGAAAGAGAAGAAGAAGACTAACAACCTATTAATAGCTCGGCCTCCACAAAATCGCCAACCCCGATCCTAACAACTTCGCCATCTCTCTCCACCGTAAGCATCTATACCACCTCCCCCTGCCACCCAAAGCCAACCCAAACCATTGAACCCAACTCAACTCAACCAACTGACTGACTATCTAACCAACTACAACAGTATACACCCCACCCAACGCATCAACCAACGGCTTCTCCATCTTCAACGAAATAACTGGCAAAGCAAGCCACATCAAGCAAAGCAACTTCTACTCCGTCCGAGGAGAGCGTCGACCCGCCATTCAACATGCCCAAACAGATAAATCTTCAGCATGATTAATCGCAGTTGCAGTCCTCTTTCTATGGGCTTCTCTCCCTTCGGCCGATACGATAATGATTCATTCTTACTTTCGAGTTTGGTTCGATTAGCGTTTGATTTTTTTTTATTCGTATAGATTTTTCTGGTGTGATGCATTGTTATGACTTGGTATGCATAGGTTAGAATTGTATAGAATGAATGGAGTTGGGTTGGGTTGGGTTGGGTTGGTGACAAGACGTCGCTTGATAGAATTGCATAGAAACAATCAATAAACAATTGCCATTATTATTACAATTTATCATCAATAGATATGATTGTCGTCTAGACACAGTATATAATATAATGTAGACTGCTGAAACTAAGGAGGTTAGAGTAACGTGCTCTCATATCAGACAATCTAGTATCGTATATCGTATATTGCCCTAGTGCACGAAAGGAGGAAAGGAAGAAAAAGGAAGCAGCCAACAAGCAGACGAGGAAGAGAAATTATCCAGGTACATAATATACAGATGGCGCTCATATAGACACCAAATAGCAACAAAGGAAAAAAAGTCTCAAAGAGCAGATGTAGACGGCAAAGAAAGAAAGAAAACATATCAACTCGACTGAGCAAACAAACCACACACACACAATCATTCCAGGTCCAATTCAGGTCCAGTCCAGCCCTCCCTCCTCAAAAAATTCCCAACGGAAGAAAAAAGGAAAGTAATTCAAAACTAAGGATCCATCCGCCTCCGCCCCCCAACAACCCCCGCCCTCTCAATTCGTTCTTGGAGCGATTCGGGCCGCTCCAAGATCACCGACTGATGCTGCTGCAGCTCTTCGAGGCGGACCAACGGATTCTATAAAGTTCCTGTATAAGCACGTCACTCGCAGCAGGTGCAAAAACGCTCCAACCGTGACACCCACCCATTCCTCCTGGTTCGGTACCCCCTGTGCGGATGGTAACTGGTGCCACTGGGGAGGGCTGCCGCCGCCTGCTGGTCTCTGGATGGGCGCTGGGGTGACAGGGAGGCTGGGCCGTTCTGTTGCGCTGGGGAAATCGGTTATCCGGTTGCTGGGGGGTGAGATTTCCTGTCCGGAAGGGGGCGTTGTTTGCGTCGCGACGGGTTGGCCTCCGGTGGTAGCCTGGGTGCCTGAGATGACCTGGATTCTTGCTTTGCGGGCCTGTTGGATGGTGTGGATGTATTTTTGAATGTCTGGGTCCTCGTCCCAGGCGTTGGACCGGGTGTAGCTGTCCCAGGAGACGGGGGGCTCCTCGGTTGTCCAGGACGTCCAGGAGCGCGCTGTGGATGGTCCGGATACTTCAGTCGGAGACTCTATAGATGAAGTGGGTGGTTTCCTTTCCTGCGAAGTGATGGTCTGCTCTTCGCCCGGGAAGACTCGCGTCGGTGCAGGCGCATGGGTTTCCCATGGAAACACTTGAGAGACTTTCTGGGGCGCCGGTTTCTCTCGCGGAACTTCGTAGTACATGCCTTTTGGGGCCTCTGGGTAGGATGGAGGAGGTTGGAAAAGCTGATGGTCTTCTGACATTTCATACGTCTTTTGCTTCAAGGCAATTCCCTCGGGCTTCGAGTTCAACGGTGGAGGCTCCCTATGCAGTGTAAGCACTTGTGACTTCTCATCTGTAACGTTGGGCAACGCACCTGGAGGCATCCCATTCTGCTTTGGGAGGCTCAAAAGTTGGTGTAGGAGGTCCTGATACCAGCGGTTCCGCGGGCTCAGGCACGGCTTCTGCTGGCTGTTGATAGAACGGGGGCTGCGAGGTGCCTGGTGTCTCCAAAGGGGGGAGGGGTACATTCGTTTCCCGTCTTAAAGAGATAGGATCAGCTTGTGAAACGAAGAAGGTTGTCTCCGCGTGTGGCTGTATGTATGCTGAGATATGCTCTTCTCCACGAACGTATTGTGGGACAGCACTTCGAACCGGTGCTGGAGTGATTATATCTTGTTCTGCCACGGGGGTTGACTGTTCCTCTTGGGAGACAGTTTCTACAGCAGGGGCTGGTGGTTCTTCCTGGAAAGACGCCCCGTCTGTACTGAATGCGATCTGTTCTTGAGGGACACGGTGTTCTCCGTGCTTAATTATAGAATCTTCCGGTTGGAACTGGACCTCTGGTTCTCGGAGTGGCTCATCAGTGCTTTCTGCTGGCTTGACCTGAATAGTCGGTAGCCATTGTACGGCTGGCGGCTCCGCAACAGCGTGGGAGCCTGCAGTCTCATCATCCCTAGGAGATTCAACTGTACTATCCGTCTGTGAAAACGGTGTCTAAGCCACCATTAGCTTCCCAGAAACCCGTCGTATCAAAGACCAACCCAACACTCACATTAACCACAGGACGATAATGCCTATCATATATGGCCCACCACCTCCCAAGCAACTGGTTATACGGCGTTTCAAGTGGAAGCAGCTGCCTCGGCATATTCCAAGGCTTCCGAGCCCCGATAAAATGGACCATACTGATGGTACTCTGGAAATGCCTGTAGGCCGGAATATACTGGTAGTTCGCACTGGGTGTGCAGTTATACGTGAAGCCGAGCCGATGCCATTCCCGGAAATGCATATTCAACAACCCCTGGTCAGCCCCGTCAAAGCTAATCCCTCTCTCGGCCAGCGCCCGCAGGGCGAAATAGTCCTGCAGGTTGGGTCGCAGCACCATCACGCCGCTGTTGAAACAATCCGGCCACCCGACGTCCGGCGCGGCCGCGAAATCGACGTCCATCTCCAAGAGCTCGTCCGGAGCGCGGACGGCCACAACATCGCAGTCGATGTATACGATGCGCTTGAATTGTGTTTGGCGCCACAGCTCTATCTTGGTAAATGTGGAGATTAGATCCGGGCGGTCCATGAGCCAGAGGTTCACGGGAGTGTTGTTCGTCATTGGGTGGACGGGTATGATCTCATCGTATATAGTCTTTCGCGGTGCCAGGTCAGTACATCTCGTGGAGATAGGGCGCTCCGCAGCTTGAAGACACCCACCTGGAGCTCGTTAATCGTAGTCGGCTGTAAGGTATCTGGTGTGTACAGAGCGACTAGCCTCCCTTTCGATTTATTGTCGCGCAGCGAATGAGCGAGAACCATGGCACCTGGAGCAAGATTCAAGGAATTAGAGTGTACAGGGTTTGGCAGCAGCCAGATATCTACCAATTATTTACCAGGAAGATAATTGTCACTCAAAAGAAGCTGAGAAACAATTAGCACTCTTCTGCGATGCCATTGAGGGACCAAACAGCGAGGGAGAAAAACTTACAGTGCAGTAAACTGCACTCCCGTCGGACCCCATTGCAACGAGCGGGCGCTGTCACCACGCCGATCCCCGGGAAATTGGGGCAATTGGGTGCGATTCGATATAGATGGTAAATCAACAGTAGATGTCGAGGGAGGTAGAAGAGAAAGGGACCAAGAGGAAGGAATTGGCACGCGCAGCAATGGAACAAGAAGCTCCGGCTCTCCCCTCTTTAGCAGTGACGTTGACCCCGCCCGCGTCAGCACAGCGCAATAACAACAACGCGCTCCAAATCAGTGGCAACAATATGGTCAATTGATCGGCGTGTGTATAATCTGTAAGTTCTGCATCGCGCCGATAGAGGTATTGATTGAACTTGATCACGATACGAATCCCAAGCTCTTGGGAGAAAGAAGGGCTCCTCGACGGGCAAAACAAGTACTATCTGAAGTAAGGAGCTTCAAGGAAGATAGAATAACAGCCAATACCTTGACGAAAAGATATTACACAATCTGGGAAATTAGGTATTAAGTACCTCAAAGAGTACCCGGAGAACGCGAGATCAGGAAAAAAGGGAGAGAGGAAGAAGAGTTGAAAAGAGAGAAGCGCCGAGCGGAAACAAGACGCTGTTGCTGCACGAGGCCGCCATCCCGGTCCACACGGATTAATTGCCCAAGCTCCTATTTCAAATGATCCCAGCTGAGACATCCGTCAACCTTTTCGGAGCTTCTAGACGGACTTACCATGAATGGACAAAGGATGAGAAACGATTGTCGCTTGGCGTTCCAACTGTCTCGGAGTATCCACTCCTTGTCACGACATTGCTCATTGTTCATGCTAATAAATCATTATACACATATACTTCGCCAAATAAGAACCTCTAAGATAAGACACGAAAAGGGCAGACACCCTGTCTGCCCAAAAGTTGAAAGAATTCTCGCTCAAGCACAGACGCATCCAAGTCAAACACAACCAGCGGTTATTCACGATTCCCGAAGCCAGCAGAAGCAGTCAAGTTTACAAGTCCAGCCAAAACCCAAACAATCGACAGCAGACAGCAGAAAAATCAAGTCGTCGAGGACATAACCGAAATGGTCGCCTCACCCCTGCTAGCTCAGACGCACAGTCCCCGCGTCAACGAGCTCACTTTCGCACCTTAACAACAGCATCCGGATAACAGTCCTGAAGAACAGTGGATATATCCTCCCGCTCGCCCTTAGCAGCCCACTCCGCGACTTTCTCCAACGCGACCTGACTCTCCTGCTCCAAGGGCGTAAAATGACCAGAGTGGCCAAGCTCGACAACCTGGCTATCAGTCCCAAGATAATCCGAGATCCCATCGAGACAGATATGCTCATTCAACGCAAAGTCTTTCTTCCCCCACACGAGAGTCGCACGCGCGCGGAGGGCCCCGGGCGGACCCTCGTTGAACAGTCCCGCGCCGCTGTTGCCCCGCGGGGACTGTTCGCCTTGCGAGATAACGTGTAGCGCGGCGATGGTCTCGACGGACTTGTCCCAGTGGGCGATGGCGCAGCCATCGCGGTAGTAGCTGGTCATGTGGGTGAAATTCGACAGAGCGCGGTCTTTGACGGATTCTGCATAGCTGTCGCCGTTGTCTGTCTGGGTCTTGCATTCCTCGACGGACGGTCCCATCGTGCTTGCCATGCATTCTGCGGCGTGCTGGGATGTGAACTTGGAGTTCCCATGGGAGACCTTGTGGCAGAGCTTGAGGAATGACTGGTTGCCGCCTTCACCGAGGTACCTGACGAGGGGCATAGGCAGCTGAAAAGCGAAGATGTATCCCGAGAGGAGTAATTGCAGGAAGACGGGCTTGAGGGTCCCCAAAGCCTTGCCGAACACCCAGAAGTTGCGAACGGGAGACCGCAGCGCCGTTTTGGCTATCTTCACAGCCGAGAACACGCGACGGCGGACATTAGAGACGACGTGACCGATCTAGTTGACCCGTTAGAACATGGACGGGGTCTCCCTCATGATAATATAAACTTACCAAAGGGCCATTGCTCAGAATAAACCGATCAGCCAGCTCCGGCGCCTCAGCCGCAAGACGCATAGAAATAACACAACCCCAATCATGAGCAACAACAACAGTAGGCTTCTGACGAATCCCAGCATCATTCTCCACCCCATACTGCATCCTCATCGTAATGATAAACTCCGTCAGATTCTCCAGCACGCTCGTCGCCGAGTATTTATCCAGCCCCTCACTACCTCCGAAACCAGGGAGATCGACAGCAACGATCGAAGCCGTCTGCTGCAGCGACGCCGAGCTGATCACGTAGCGCCATATCGCCCAGCTGTCAGGATAGCCGTGGATGAAGATGACCAGCGGTTTCGTGTTACCGTCCGATCCGGGAAGGTCGTTGCAGACGTAGTGGAATTTGAACCCGTTTCGCAGCGTGAGGATCTGATGGGAAAGGCCCGACCATTTCTTCGATAGATCCCAGAACGTATTCCGAGCTGCGCAGAGTATTGTATGTTAGCTTAGCCAGACCCATCAACGTGCGTCATATAAGCGACAACAGAAGAACAGTCGCAAATGGAGAAAACTCACCAAGCTGCAACTCCAAGCTCTCCTTCTCACTCGTCCTCCTAAAGAGATACCCCGCAACAAGAGCCTGAACCGCATACAGAACCATCGTGAAAACGCCATACGCAAGAACCGCGGCCCACACCAGCGCGCGCAATATTGAGTTAGCCATGCTGTGTTATGCTAGCTGCGCCTGAGCGAACCGGTTCGCTCACGGAGTTGAACTAAACAATGTCGCAAAAGAAATACAATAGATTGACAGAAATTTTCCCGACAGCCAAGTAATCAATAAATAAGACTGCCGTGGCAGATATGATAAAGTGATTATTATATCAAAAGTGGGGATGAGATGGATGGACTCCACCCGATCTGTTAATTAGGTAGGTAGGTAGGTAGGTAGGTAATTTGCTGAGCCTGACGTAGTGCGACGAGGTCAATATCAATGTTGGACATTACACAATAAATGGAACAAACATTGAACGACGATAGACGAATATAGAATCAGGCAGATAAGATGGATAAATAAGTAGACTCAAAAGAAGAGCTAGCTAGCTCCCCGCCACATGACCACGAGCTACCGACAAACCTACAGACGTTTAAACCCGACTCAAGGGCCCCACCAACCTAGTAACATCCGGTTTAGCTTCATTCTGAGGAAGACGGTTGGAAGGCTGGTAGTGGCAGTTGGGATCAGAGCCAATGAGTATGGTTGATCCTGTTCGGGTCCTCGGATGGCGGTTGGTATTGGTGGATGATGATCTCAGCGGCGACATGTGACGATACCTATAACCAGAGACAGAGAGAGGTACGGTAGTAGTTGGGTTTATGATCCATTGATTGATTGGATGCGTTGAGGATCCATAGTTGGCTTTCTTTAAATACTTATTCGTAAAATGAGAACGTTCTTGAGTAGGTAGCCTTGAGGTAGGTGTGGACATCCGCATGCGGTTCAGTTGTCAGAGGGCCAGCTGATAGCTTGACTGACTATATTGTTACTAATGTTATGGTACTCGATAAAATGAAGATACCAGACAAATGTCAACAAAGACTACCAAAGCAGTATATCAAGGCCAGTTTGCCGACTTCGTCAGCTGCAGTCTACCTTAGCGTCAACGAATATACAAGTTCCATGAAGCAGAAACCGAATCCCAAACGCCACGCATCCCGTAAATGCACACAATCCACCAGTAGATATTCATACATAGCACAGTTGTAGAGAACAAATAGAAGCCGTACGCCGACCGGCTCGACCGACGGATCCAAACTCAATGCAGCTCAAAGAAAGAACCCCAGGTTTTCTCGATTGTCATCCACAAGGCGTCCATACCTATGGAAATCATGTCAGACGGTGATCCAGACCAGTCAGGAACTATGCAGGGATGAACTTACTCTAATAACAACCGGAACAACCACACTTCCATATCTTCCTTGCGCAGTGCTTTCTGCGCCCAGGTCTGGCCCTGTTGCGCCAAACTAGCGGAGAGAGCTTTGCCTTCGTCCTCCGATGCTAGATACCGCATGGTCTCCACGTATTCATCCCCTGTCAGGCTCAGCGGGATATAGTGCACCCAAGGCCTGATCCATTCGTCGTGCCATTCGCGGAAGATGGCAACCTTGTGTACCAAACTGTTGCTATGGAGGAACGCGTAGAACCGACCACTGAAAGCGTTTCCGTCAATGTCTACCAGGTGCCTGTAAGCCCAGGCATCCTGCTGGCCGGTCTGCTCGCCGATCTGGAAGTACTCTCTCTGGGCGGCGCAGTCATCCTCGTCACACTGTCCGACATACGTGATCCACACGTCAAACAGGTCCCGATACGACTCCCGGCGCGCCTCTTTTGACTCCCACAAGCCCTTCTCGCTCTTCGCCAGAACCTTGGTATCGTTCAGGGCGTTGATCGTGCCGACGAATCTTTGCCGGTGCTGGCGCCTCCACCCGCCTCCTCGCGAATACCCGCCGGTCGTCGATCCTCTCCAGTACATCTTGTCCATCTTTTCGTCCCAAGTATAATCTTTTTCGGCTTCGTACGGCACCTTATCCACCCAGTACCACGGACTAGGATAGAGGATGTCCTGGAAACTGGAGAGTTTGCTCTGCGAGAACACGGGGAACAGATCGTGGACGACATCGAAGGCATTGGCTCTCTCGAAGAAACCGTATCGATCGCGCAGAGAAGGAGTGTTGCAGATATCAGAGAATGCGGTCGTATTGTAAACGAATCCCAGTTCACCATCCGCATAGGCATCGACATTGTCAGGTTCATTCTCATCCAGAGAGCGGGACGGGCTATCCGCGGGACAAGAGGCTCTGGAGTCAGTCCAAGTGGGCTGATGTGCATATCGATTGAAACGACTCTTCCGCACTTCATCAATGCGATCACCCTTGTTCACGTCCGCAGGCCTCCCCGACCACGCATTCGTAGGAGATTGGTTTTTAAAAGCACTAGGAATGACATGGTCCTTAGCCACATCAACCAGCCTCCGCAGATCTTCGCTAGGCACAATGACGCGAGGCTCATCATGACTATTAAACACCAAATCCATGTCCGGCAAATACTGAACAAAGTCCTTCATCATCTCCACCGTCGCATCCCGCTGCCATTGTTTCCCATCACCACCGCCTTCAACTAAAGTAACCTTGCCGTCTCTAATAAGCACCCCCAGCACGGCATTCTCATAACCCAGCGCTTCCCGAACGCGGTCCCGGATCACCGCCGGTTTGAGACCCCAAAACGGCAACAGCGAGTGGTAGATCGTATCGTACTCATCAATCATCTGCACGCCCCTCGAACGAGCCAGCTTGAACCACTTATCAAAGTGCGGTGGCGGGTGCATGTGGTAGCGACGACGGTATTCATTAACGGCCTCAGCGAGCGATGTCGACTGGCGCGATCGCGTCTGATCAAACGTTTGCGCCGCATTGTGAGCCAGACTCGATATTGGATGATTGGTGTCAGGGTGGTGCTTCTGGGCACTTTTGCGATCACTTGAGTCGTTCGTGACTTCTTCTTGCGGCGGGGTCGGATCGGCGTGAGGGGAAGGAAGGGGCGATGAGATCAGAACATCGTCCGCTGGTGGAGATCCGTTCAGGAAATATATGGAGAGGACGATAAAAGTGGCAAGCACTAACAGGGCCGAAAGGCGTTGGGACCGCATGCTGCCATCGAGGGGAGACTAGATAGGTATTTGTATGAGCCGCGGGCGCATAAACCCGAAATAATGGTTGGCAGCGAGATGAGCTATTTGTGTAACTTCATGGAGCTAACAGAGAATCAATTAGTGTCCGTCGTTTGTGTCTAGACCATGCCAAACAAGACAATCGAAGAGAAGGAGGTAAAGAAAGTCCATGGGGGAGGAGTGCAGGGTCCAAAGGCGTTGTTTACCTGGCCACCTTCCCGATTCGTCGTCCTGAGGAATCCAGGGCAACAGGAGACTAGACCGACTCAGTTAGCTGCAATCGCCCGGTCGAGACTTGTACACCGCCAAGAGATACATCTATTTTTCAACTATGAGGGTTATTGTATTTGATCAGTAAGTTCAAGGGCTGTAGTCTCATTTAAATATGGTCAAGATATTGTAGAAATCAGGTTGTTGCGCTCTGGATCAAGTAAGTATACTATGTTTAGCTGTGGATCATGGCCGAAAACGTCACTCCCCAGAGATCTGTACGATCCTCTCCCGGCCCTGATCTAATGTTGTATCTCAATCAATTCTCTCTAGCTAGTGTTGGAATTTCCCAAAGGAGTAGCCAAAACAACAGAATCAATGTCTTGCAGGATAGTAGTACTCCCGTGCGAAACTTAAGCAACCAAGCCCAAATACATGTTGTATATACACCTACTAAGATCCTACCAATCCACCATCTAATGTACTAATCCAATCAAATCCACAAACCACCGTCCAACAAGTCTAGCAACAGATAACAACCACGGGGTATAGGGATATACCTACCTCGCCAACACCGAACAACAAACATAATTAACAACAGCGCACCCCAACGTCTGCAACACAAACCCCCTCGCCCACTCAACATGCCAATAAGCCGCGCCACAAAACATCCCAACAACCAGCACATGCACCGTATAAAACACCTCCCGTCTAGTCTGCACAGACCAACCCGGCGAAAACGACAACCACCAGCGCGTCGTCCGCCCCACGGGCCTCACAAAAACCAAAACAGCACCCAGCATAGTCAAGCCGGCAATGCCCCACTGGACGTCCTCGTCGAGCAGACGCTTCGCGAGCAGGGTGCCAAACTCCGGGTGAGCCGACTGCGAGAAGAAGTTCAAGTAGAGCGCTGCGTGGGCGGTAAGTAGAGGCGCGATTACGATGCGGCCGAAGAGGCGGTGGATGGGTGTGATTGAGGGCTGCGGTAGGCCTGTCATTACAGCCATTAGGGACGGCGAGGCCGCTTTTGAGGCCTCTGGGTAGAGGGCTGGTGACATGAGTGCCTGTACTGGGAGCTGAGAGAGAGCGATGTGGCCTAGGGCTTTGGTGAGGTGTAGATAGTCTGCTCATATCATGTTAGTATAGTATGTCGGGGGTGTGCATTGAATAGGGGATGAGAAGAAATCATACCATCACCCGTATTCCACGCAGAAAGCCCAACCAGCCATCCAAGCCAGACAAGACAAACAGCATATTGCCTGCGAGTCTCCCTCCATCCCGGAAAGGGCGGCGCATCCCACCATGATCGCAGAACAGCAGGCTTGCGTCGGAGATTGTATAGTCGGATAGACACAATGGCTAGCACCACGGAGATCTGAGCATAATATCCGCGGAGGTCTAAGAGCTCTCGTCGATGTTGTTTTGCTTCCGTGGAGACGGAGACGAAATGCCACGGGAATGACATTGGTCTTGGTGGGTAAGGAACCTCACAATGCAGCTGTGAATTGAAAGGTGGAAATAGACGAGGTCTTCGAAAGGAAGGGTAGACAATGAAAAGACAGACAAAAGACAATAGAAGAATTAAGTATACCAACGTATCTATAATACTAACTAGATAGACCGTTTACAAGTGGGTTGATGAAAATCGTCGCGTCCGCGTCGGCCACTAGCCGCGGTCGATTTAGTAAGGCTTGGTCAGGCAGTGGTCAATTCCTACATCGCGATTCAAAACAACTGGTTTATTTCTGTAAATATTTACTTATGGCTCGTAAGACATCATACCCAAGCCCCCTCTATCTTCGAACGTGCAGAGCCAGGGTCTTAAAAGGCTTTTTTGTTTTTTTTTTTGCGGACTTGGGCACCATGGACCACAGACCTCTACATTTAGTCGGAAGAAAAACAGAGCGCCATGAAGCAAGTCGTCCCAGTCAGACTCTCGAACTCTTTCTAAGAGGATACAAGTAGAGAATTCCTCCCAAAGCAGCTTCAGTATCCATATTATTCATTCCTTAATCACACTGAGACGGTAATCCATGTTGGAGTTGGTGCACTTGATATAGGGGGAGGAGAGCCTACGGCGAAGTCTCCATGACTTCCTCGTGGCCGCCTGCGGCAGTCGTAGCAAAGTATCGCACATCAACATCTTCGTCCTCTTGCAGTTTCTCCAGGCTGGGAACAACTCTTTGCTGGATGAGCTCCTGGCCTCGAGGCGACGGTGTCGGAGACTTGGCAAGTCTATCCTGCTCCGAGATGGTTCCCTCTGCCGGCAGACGACGCACCGTGTCAACGATAATGGCGTAGGACTTGGCGACGTTGAATCGGATGTTAGGGATCTCATCGGCCGCAAGTCGTTCTAAGATCGGAAGGATCGAGTTCTCAATAATTTCCAGGGTGACAACGGGGGCAAGGGTCTAGAAGAGTCAGTCCAACGGTCGGGGGTCGTGGGGCACGTTATAGAATGCACGTACGGAGATGGCAAAGCAGGTGGTCATCCTGTAGAGGTAATTGGGATGCTGTCCCATCGCCATGACCTTGGGGATGATCGATTCCTTGGCCCAGTCCACTCCGAACACCTCCGTGAGCTTCCGCAGGTTCTGAGTAGCAGCCTCCCGGATCGAGAAGACGGTGTCGCCCAGCCAACCCATGCAGAGGTCACTCAGTTGCTCGTCGAAGAACTTGACACCGAGTTGGCTGGCAAGGAGAGGAATGTATTCGATAATGGCAAGGCGAACGCGCCACTGCTTGTCCTCCGCCAGCTGCACGATGGCCGGCAGCAGTGACTGCGACAGCAGATCGATGCCGATGACTAGAACGGGGTTAGATATCGATCAAGTGACAGTGGGGGCACCGTAGAAGGTAGAAATCTTGGTTTACCATTGTTCACTAACTCCAGCTTGGAGATGATGTGCAGACGCACGTCGGGGAACTCATCCTTCAGCATCTGCAGGAACATTGGAAGAAGATGGGCGATAGTCCTATAATCCAGTCAGTCACTCCATCTGTTAACCTCAGCAAATCAGGTTGCACTGACTCTTCCTTCCCAAGGATCGGGGCAAGCCCACTGATCTGAGTACCCAGTGCCGCACGCACGTGCTGGGACGGATCGGACACCAGATCCTCCACGCTCGTCATGATCTCATTGAGCAGGGTATCCCGGTCGATCAAGTTACAGAAGCCTGCCGGGAAATGAGTCGCTGGTTACACTTACAGGAAGCGGTGAGATACATACCGGGAATCTGGCCAGCAATCGCCGTGCGGACTTCCGCTTCCGTATCCTTCAACAGCTTCACAAACGCCGGCACCATGTCTCGAGTCACCACTTCTTCGTGAACGGCTTTAGCAATCTACAGTCGTGTTAGTAACAGACATGCAGAACAGGATGTAATGCAAAGGGCACCTTTTCGTATCTATCCGCGACCATGTATCGGACCCGCCAGCTCTTATCCTCGAACAGGTGGCGCAAGGACGTCAACAGAATACCGTGACTGGGCTGCTGTTCCTTGGGAATCTGCTCGGCGATCGCAATAAGAATATCGACGGTAAGCAACCGCACGCTGTCCTGGTCGTCGTTCGCCAGATACTGGAACAGGGGTATCATCTCCTCGATCACCACGGGCGCATCCATTTCCGCAACAAACTTGGCGAGGTTGTTTGCCGCCTGTCTTCTCACCATGGGGGTCTCATCGTGCACGAGACCCCCAAAGTACTGCCTAAGGCTTTGCTGGAGCGGCTGGGGAGCCTTCTTGTATGGGGCGCAATAGAGACCGGTGGCGGAAACCTTCGAGGTGAACCAGTCGGCTTTCGACAGGCGGAGGACCATCGGAACGAAGTACTCTTCGATTTGCTTGGCGGATAGCTCCTCGCCGATTTTGTTGAGGGACTCGACAGCCTATTCGTTCTCGTTATTACCGGTCCATCCGTCCATGTTGTCAGATGTAAGTTCTCACCTTCTCCCGAACCAGGGGTTCCTCGATGGCCGCCAGATTCTCCAAAGGCGACAAAAGTACATGACCATGCTCCGGACCACCGACGTATTCTATGAAGTTGCCCAGTTCCTCGCTAAGAGCAGTCAAAACTTCATCTTCATCCTCGACGGAGTCTAAAATCCCAGGTATCAGGTAACGATGCTTGATAATCGTAGGGTCATCTCCTCCCATTCGTGGGGGTTGCTCCAGGAGGACTAACCGTCAAGGAAAGGGACCAGTTCATCGCGGGTCCTCTCAGGCCCTAAGGCCAATGCAATGGTAGAAAGACGGTGGATGGCATTGAGACGGAGAAGAACATCGTCATGCTGGAAGACAACAGCGCCGTCAGAATCACCGACATTTCACGGGGTGGGGTCGTAAGGGGACCACAGCGCAGACACCAGGGTGGGATGATTACCTTCAACTCATCAATCAGAACGGCGATGGGGTAGAGCTCATCGTTATCACCTTGACCCTCCATGACGCAGGACTTTTTTTGTATCAAACTCGATCAGTTACAAGCAGCGAGCGGCGAGGATATGACGAGTCCCAGTCCTCGGTCAGGCTACTACTAACAGTTCACGCCCGACCTCACGCGAACACACGATGGGATAATATTCTTCGGGAGGGGGGGAATGGGCGAGGAATCGAGAGACGAGGAGCTGTCGTAAACGGGACAATGACACACGGCAGCACCTAGTCGGGATCGGAGTCAGATTAGCGGTCGCAAAAGGTGTTGGTGGCACAGGTCGATAAGGGGATGGGGGAGAAGATGGATGGGATATGGATGCTCTGCGAGAGTCCCCGGAGCGAGGTTTCGTGGGGTTTGGGCCGCCGCCGCAAGGACACCAGCAACGCAACAACTAGCGGCGGACCTCTCTGGGTCAATTGGATTGAGGGGGGGGGGCTAGATGGATCAAACGAACCTCAAGGAATGTGAGATAAGGTAATTAGTCAAAAAAAGGTAAGTAGAACCACGAGAGATAAAAATCCTCGGACGTGGTGGTAAATTGAAGAAGTGATGGTGTTTCTTTTATCTTTCCAATGTAGTTGTAGAGAGCAGCGAGAAGGATGAATCTCTCCCTCCTGTCTATCCGAGGAGTAAACTGGGCAAGTTTTGGACTGAGGTTTCCCTGTGGCTGGTGCCCTACGTAAGGCGGTCGAAGGAGGGGTGATGTGTGGCGGTGCATCGAGGGTCAAGCCCCAAAGAAAACTGATCGCAGGAAGTAAAGAGTAGTTAGTTGGTGTATGACTCCCCCGTTGACTCGACTTTCACCATTGTTGAACAAGTTACCCTCCCCACTCCTGGCTATTTATATTTGAAAGTCTTGGTGAGACTGGGCCAGTCATAGACTTGTTGATTCCTTCTGTCTCGTCCTGAGTATCTACTCGAGTCACCTATCCCACACTCCCCACCATGCCCACCATTTCGGTCGATAAGGCCGCGCTCTTCAAGGAGCTCGGGCGCGAGTATGTCCCCAGATGTTTGAATATTTTCTGTGTAAGATCTTGGGCTAATCCGAACGGGCGACAGCTATACCACTGAGGAATTTGACGAGTTGTGCTTCGAATTCGGTACGTTCTTTTCCCCGACGAAGGGTTACCGCGGGGTTTGCGCTGACAGTCTCCTGTGATATAGGTATCGAACTGGACGAAGATGTAATTCAATCTCACCCCAACTGCGATCGGTCGTCAGTACACTCGCTAAGAACGATATAGACAACGAACTCGGATCGCCCGATTGTCGATGGAAAGCAGGAGCCGCCCCAGTTGAAGATCGAGATCCCCGCCAACCGGTACGCACTCCCTGAGACGGACTCGAGAGATCGCGCGATATTGAGAGATTTACAGATATGACCTGCTGTGCTTCGAGGGCATTTCCCTCATGCTGAACATCTTCCTGGGTCGGAAACCCTTGCCGAACTACCGGTTGACCCAGCCGGCGCAGATGGAAAAGATCATTGTCAAGGAAAACGTAAGTCGCACAAAAGTTGGATGGCAATTCGGGGATATTCGAGACTAAGATACCGGGACAGACCATGAAAATCCGGCCTCTCGTTTCTGGTGCGGTTCTGCGAAACATCACCTTCACCCAGGCGGGCTACGAATCCTTCATCGCTCTGCAAGACAAGCTGCATCAAAACCTCGCGAGACAGAGAACCTTGGTCTCGATCGGCACCCACGATCTGGATACGATAAAGGGTCCTTTCACCTACGATGCCCTTCCCCCGAAGGATATCAAGTTCGTCCCGCTCAACCAGACCAAGGAATTGGACGGCGAGGAGTTGATGGCCTTTTACGAGGTATGAGTCATGCACAGTGAGGTGGCCTTCGACGGACGCTGACTCCCATCGCAGAAAGACAGGCATCTGGGCAAGTTCCTTCACATTATTCGCGACTCGCCAGTCTATCCGGTAATTCACGATGCGAACCAGACTGTCTGCTCTCTTCCGCCTATCATCAACGGCGACCATTCGAAGATCAGCGTCAACACCAAGAATGTGTTCATTGAGATCACGGCCCTTGACAAGACCAAGGTGGAGATTGTGAACAGAATCCTGGTGTCGATGTTCTCCCAGCATGTTGCTGAGCCCTTCACGTAAGACGCCAAACCCATCACCCTCCCGCCATTCCAGTACATGGATTGACTATTCTGATTAGGGTTGAGCCGATCCAAATTGTCTCCGATCACAACAACGAGACCCGAGTCTCGCCAGACATGTCCCCTCGCACCGCTCAAGCGGAGGTTTCCTACATCAACGAGTGCTGTGGCCTCGAGCTCGGCCCCGCCGAGGTCTGCGAGCTTTTGAAGAAGATGGCGTACGACGCCCAACCGTCGGCTTCTTCACCCGATATGATCGACGTGTTCATCCCTCCGACCCGCGCCGACGTGCTTCATCAGGCCGACATCATGGAGGACGTCGCGATCGCCTACGGATTCAACAACCTCCCGCGATCCTTCCCCAGCAAATCCGGCACGGTCGCGCAGCCCCTCCCGATTAACAAGCTCACGGATATTGTGCGCATGGAAGCCGCCATGGCCGGCTGGTCGGAGGTCATGCCTCTGATCCTGTGCTCGCACGACGAGAACTTCGGCTGGCTGAACCGCAAGGACGACGGCAACACGGCGGTCAAGCTATCCAACCCCAAGACGCTGGAATTCCAGGTGGTGCGCACGAGCCTGCTGCCGGGCCTTCTGAAGACGATTCGCGAAAACAAGCACCACTCGTTGCCGATGAAGATCTTCGAAGTCAGCGACGTGGCGTACAAGGACCTCTCCCTGGAGCGGAAGAGCCGCAACGAGCGCCACTTCGCGGCCGCGTGGTGCGGCAAGACCAGCGGCTTCGAAGTCGTCCACGGCCTCCTGGACCGCATCATGGCCATGCTCAAGAGCGCCTTCATCACCGGCGAAGAGGGCCTGGAGAACCCCGCCGTCAGCGACTCGCACTACTGGATCGAGGAGCTCGAGGGTAAGTCAACCAACTCATCATCTTACCTTCCCTCCCCAATGAAAACATAGTCTAACTAACCCACAACAGAAGCCACGTACTTCCCCGGCCACGCCGCAGCCGTCAAGCTCCGCATCGGCGGCAAGGTGCAAACCATCGGCGCCTTCGGTATCCTGCATCCCTCGGTGCTCGAAAACTACGAACTGAAATACCCCGTCAGCACACTGGAGATCAACATCGAGACTTTCCTGTGAGCTTAGCTCAGTTAGACTTACTAGTTAACCAGTTAGTTTGGCATAGATTTAAGTTAAGTTAGAAAAAGAAGGGATGATGATGTGATGCGAGAACTAGCCTAAAAGAACATAAAAGCAAAAAATGTCAATTTACGAATGCATGGAAGGTTTATATATATATCTTTATATTGAGGTTACTGTACTGTCCTTGGGTTCATAGCGTTTGCTGGGGAACTAAGTTTGGCATATGTTGCTCGTGAACGGATATATATTCTCGGGTTTGGTAGCGATGCTCACACCGGGTCAGTAAGTGTACCTACTCTGTACTAGCGACACATAAATAGTCATTTGATTGGGCGAGTCAATCTACTGTAGATAAGGTAGGTATTGAATAATGGAAAATCCATATAGCTCCTAGCTATTAAGCTATGGGTCATATACCTTATTACGTATTCACAGTTGACGAAGACAAATCTGTAGAATACTTATACCCCAACACCTAGGTGCAGTACGTAGATCCCAATCTACCACCCCAAAACGGAGAAAAGAAAAGGTAATTGAAGTTTCACAAATTTCTTTTTATTTGTTTGCGGTCGGTATGAGGGATATGGGTCTAAGGTGCAGGGACGGGGTCGAGAGAGAGTTATAAAAAAAAATAATAATAAAGGGAGTAGCAGGGCCTTAACATCGTGACAAAATCCACAGCCTCTCTCTTCTTTTTTCCATTTTTTAAATTAAAAAAAAAGGGAATAATATTCAACGAACTACTTGGCTTTGCATTTACTCCTGCGCGAAGGTCTCGGCAGGGGCAGCAGCACCACCCTCCTGGGCCTCGGCGGCCTGCTGCTCGGCAAGACGCTGCTGCTCGGCGAGCTGCTGAGCGGCGATGGCCTTGGCGCCGTAGTCCTGGCTCATGGGCTGCAGCACGGGCTGCTCCTCCTTGGGCTCGATGATGGTGACGGAGTCGGGGAGAGTCTTCTGGGGGCCGGCCTTGCCCTCGGGGTCGGAGCCGCGCATGATCTTGACCTTGATACCGAGGACACCCTGGCGGAGGAGAACGTGGCGGGTGGCGGAGTCGATGAACTCCTTGGCGGGCTGACCGGAGTGGATCATGAAGCCGTCCTGTTATCACAAACATCACACGTTAGTTTCTCTGGTCCAACCCATCTTTCCAACACTGGCGCATCTTTTCCATCCTTCTCCTTCCAACCACGGTTGTCGCAATGTTCGATGATGCAGGTAAACGTACAGTGAACTTCATGGACTTGGCACGGGCAGCACGGAGCTTGCCGGACACGACAACCTCGCAACCCTTGGCACCGCTCTCCATGATGAATCGCAGAACACCGTAGCAGGCACGACGGACGGCCAGACCGTTGAGGAGCTTGTAGCGGAGGGACTCGCACTGAGCGACGGCGGACAGACCGCGGTTCTGGACCTTGGCGGCATAGAGGGAGACGGAGTTCTCGGGGAACTTGAACCGCTTCTGGATGAGGGAGGTGAGCTCGCGAATGCGGCGGCCCTGCTCACCGAGAACCTCCTGGGTGTGGGTGGCACGGATGACTGGAAGGAAAGACATCCGTTAGCATCAAAAGTTTTCCGACAACCTGTATGTATTTCCTTCTTTTTTGGTGTCTCCAAAACGCCCGGCCCATGATCGCCCGTTTCTTCCACCAATTCGATCCTCTCTCTCCCTTCGATCATCCCACTTCCCCCTCTAAACAAATCCAATAGAAATTTCAGGGCGACGTACTGATATCGGTGACGGTAGGAGTCACACGGACCTCGACACCCGAGTAGCCCTCCTCAGCCAGCTCGCGCTGGAAGAACTCGTTCAGCTCGGCATAGAAGACACCGTCGGCGACGAACTTTCTGCGCTTCGAGATGACTCCCTGGACAGCGGCCATGATTGCTGTATTTTTGGTGGGGGGGGAGAGTTGAGGAGGGGGTTTGTCGACGAAACGGCCGGGGACTGAGTTTGGCGGAGGTTGAAGTCGGTCGATTCGATCAAAGAATCGGATTCAGTGCGAGTAAAACGAAGGGAAATTTCGTGGGGCCGCCGGCCAATCACACCGCTCCTTGGCGCAGGGCTCAACCCTCTCTCGCTTTCGGGCGCTATCCCTCTTTGGGATTGTTCCTGCCTCAGGCATTTAATTACGTAGCTCCTCTCTTTCTAGTCAACTATAAACCGACGTCCGTCCACGAGGACAATCCAAGGTATACTGTAGATAGTAATAGGCTCCATCGGTGGGCAAAATGCTCCATTGAGTAAAGTAGGACTCCGCCTTTGTAATCGCTGTATGTACTTCTAACAATACCCGTACCAGTTTCTTCGTATCACTTCGTAAAACTAATCTTGGCTAAATCAAGAAATCCAGGTCGTGTCTCCTCACTGTGTTTCGACGGTCATCTGGCTTGTTTCCTTGAGCTCTTGCTCGTTTTCGTGGTTTTGAGGAATGACAAGACTAGAGATACCGGAGGTCACTGCTGCGATTCCGCTTGGGGCAGCACCCGTCGCAACCTCAGAAACAGATGGCCCACTGCCCACAGAATGATGGGCGGTCTCGATCCCCGTTAGCACCGGGGCCCGTTCGGGCTCGGAGCGATCATCCGGACCAGTCGGGGGAGACGCGCCGTAAACACGCGCACCATTCATCTCCTCGTCGGTCCGGCCAAAAGCCTCATTCCACCATCGGACTTCTTTGAGCCGGGGGAAGATCAAGCGCTCTTGGCCACGTTTATGGTCGTCGATCAGAGGGTTATACTGAGGATTGGAAAACTCCTCCCGCCGAGCGAGGAAGTAGTCCCACACGCTGCGAGTCCGATCTTTCGCACGGATTTCCACACGCTCCTTTTCGCTGTTAAAGAGGAACGTCCCGAATTGGCACGAGTACAGGTGGTAGAGGAGCCGCCGTAGGAATCGCTCGTTGAATTCAAACCGGGTGGGATGCTGGTACAGCAACTGGTAGGTGGCATCCAGGAATTGGTGGAAGACGGGACTGGTTTCCTTGACCTTGGTGACCTCCTTCTCAGCGGGAGCTACCCGGGGGGGTGGACTAGGTTTCTTAGCGGTAGGATTGTCGGAATCATAGCTTTGCATTTCGCCTTCGGGTTCGTGAAGGGAATCGCGGCTGGTATTATCGCGGTTGAAGAACCCTTTGGCGCTCAGGAACGCGTTCTCGATAGCTTTTCCCGCACCGCCGCCCTCCCCAAATCCTCGATTGGGATCCCCTCCGATCCGTTCATTCTCTACCTGAAACCATTTCTCGCTGTTCAAATGGCCCGAGCGGTGCCGGAACATGTGACCGAACGAGAGCCAGTCCTTCTCCACCAAGACCATGAAGCCTTCCATTGTCCGATAATACGGATCCAGGCACACTTGGCTCAGGGCACTCAGCTGACCGGTGCGGTCCCACCCGTCGGAGCAATGAATCAGCACATGTGAATGTTGGAGGCCGACCTGGCGGGCAATCAGCCCGGCACCGTCCAGGATTCCCGAGATATGTTTCAGCCACCCGCTCCGCGCCAACTGATCTCGGCTGGGACCGAGCGGCGTGACATCCGAGTCTTTTAACGCATCCATCACTTTGTTCAAGGAGTCCCTCATCACGTGGATGTTGTCAATCCCCAGGTACGCCTTGGTAGCAAATTTGTAATTGACCATATTCTCAGAACCCAGCCCCACGGCCTGCATGGCGTACGCATTTACAGTCGGTCGCGCATCGACGATCAGATTATGCTGCTGGGCGCCGTAGATCTGAGGCTTATCTCCAAACTCTCCCTCGAACGATGATGACAGCATCTCATCCTCCATTTCCTCGGCCTTTCCCAGCTCAGTTATGCCCGGACTACCGGAGGGATCTTCTGAAGTCGATCCAGACGAATCATTATCCAGACGCGGGGGCTTGACGTTCGCCAACGGCCTCTCAGACCGGGAGGCGGAGAAGATGGCGGCCAGCAATTTCTCATCCTGGATGCTTCGATTCTGCCGTACACCCACCAGGGGCTGGGAGCTGCGCGTGATCGAGCAATTATTCACCGGATGAAGATATGTCAGAACAGGCACTCGTGCGCGGGAGCGATAGCGCCCGGCGTAATTGAGCGTGTTGTCGGAGATGGTCGACGGGACGGCAAAGACGGCTGGGTAGGTTGGCGAAAACTAGCGGACCTCGGTCAATACTCCTCTTGTCACTCGGCTCCAGTTGGGACCACTTACCCCATAGTCCGAGTTGATGGTCGAGATCCGCCAACCACGCCCGTTCTGGCCCACCCCCTGTCGAGCAAACTCTTTGCGGGGATCGTACAATTCCCAACCGTTGAACTCCCGCTCAGGGGGAGGCGGTTGGTAAGAAAACGCATAGAGCTTGTCAACGCGCCCAGCCTTGCATGTCCTTGTCTTTATGTTTTCGTAGACATCGCGTGCCTTTGTCTCGTTTTCAAAATAGAAGCAGACAAACATAAAATCGCGACATCGGATGCGGATTGCGGACGGCTGACGAGAGACCGCGGGGGTCGGGCGGTAGATACAGAAGGAAATGATAGGGAAAGAGATCCAGAGTTCCCGTGGCCTGATTGGGGTGCTGGAGGGCTGTGTAGGGTCGGCAGCCGGGGGGGTGGTTGTAAAGACAATATGATGAGGGGTGAGGTGGAGTGTGCCAACGACCTGTTCGCCACGGCGCGCCAAGGTCACATCTTCAACCTACAACGATACATATAGATAGTCAGTCAACAGATTCTCAACGGAGCAGCATTCGAGCTGAGAAGTACTCAATGAAAGATAGGGGGTAAGACCTACCTTGGCGACCCGTGTTTTCTCCATGCCGTGTGGGGGGTTACTAGATGCGTATCACCTTCTTCATGGCTGATTGTCACAAAAGTCAAAGGAATATGGATAAATAGTAGATGTGTCCCAGTAAAGCACTAGGTCGATTCCAGGTAAATAAACGAGTGGGGCAGCTCGATGGTCGAGTTGATTTCTTGGAGGTGAGAAGAAGGACAAAAAGATCTCAAAGGAAACAACGACGACAACGGGTGGTCCCGTGCCCGGTCAGATGCGGAGCCTTAGGAGCCCCTCGCTAATCGACTATGATTCCTTACGTCAGGTCGTCCTCATCTTGAAAGTATATCAAGTCGGATCTTCAGGAAGTATCCGTTCTTCTTCCCCGTACTGGGTTGTACGGTTTCGCTGAATCATTCTTTTAATAATTAGTATTCTTCACCATTTTTCAAGGAGATCAATGTCCTGGAGGTGTAGATCACTCTCATCTCCTCCAGTGGTTGATCACCCGTCTATGGCAGCTTTCTATCTGGGGTAATTATCGAACTCGCTGGTCGAGTCTATTCAATTTAATTTACGTCTCTTGACATCATATCCTGTGATTGCTCGCATATTCTCAGTTACATAATTTCTTTTCTACACATCGTACTCTGATTGTGTCGGAGTCATCAAAATTACTTCTTTGATCGAGAATGCCCTCGGGTCGCTTACCATCTCCAACAGCGTCGGATGTCTTGCTTTATCGATACCAGCATGGAGTGAACCAAGGGACAGCATTCATACGGGGTCCGTGGCGAGATGGCGACTATTCCAACACCGATCCAGGAGGATCAAAAGAGTTAGCAGAGATTCGAAAGTGAGTTTCTCTGCAGACACCTCAGAAAATGACCCAATTCTTACGACAATCGTTGCAGGTCTCTCCAAACGGTTGGCTTCCATGAAACAAGCAAAAAATGGGAAACACGGTGGGCGCGGGCAGTGTTGGAATCGGACCTCTCTTGGCTGAGAACAACGGCACGATGCAATTCGATCCGTCTCCCAATTGGCTTTTACACGCTTGGCCCGGCATTTTGTCTGGATACAGATTTCGAAGGAGAACCGGCACATGTGTACGACCATACCTGGGGTATCGTGAAGCGATATGTGGACAATTGCTACAATCACGGCATAGGCGTCTTGATTGATTTTCACATTGCGCCCATCTGCAAACGCACCAGGGAATTGGCGAGGGATTGCATCGCGTTCATCATGCAAGAAGTCACCTTCCATGCGATTTTAGGGGTAACAGGCATCCAAATATCGAACCTGAAGGATTGGCACATTCAAGACTTGACGGACTGGTATAATGAAGTGCTGGAGGTCACCAGTGCTATCAACCCATCGTTGCCTATTTACATCAGCGACGGCGGTAACCTCGCTGCGGCTGCGGACTATGCAGCATCAAAGAATCGGCTTCCGGCGCCTGCAGGGAGGAATCCCGTGGTGATCGAGACGCATCGGTACTATCATGATCAACCGACAGAGCCACAGTCTGTTATCCAACAGGTCTCAAATGTTCTACGGGACATTGCAGTCCACAATGACAAGACCTACTCTCACGATGGTCCGGTCGATGTCTTCGTCGGTGAATACACCTGCACCTTGAACCCCGAAACGCTACGTTGCGTGGACCCATCCTCTCAACCCGCACTCATCAAGCAATTCGGTCAAGAGCAATGCAAAGTCTGGGCCGCCCATGCCAGCGGATCCGCCTTCTGGGCTCTCAACACACACGACAGTGACGATAGCACGAATTTCAAACAGCAAGTCGCCTCAGGCGCGATCTCCCCTCCACAGTGGCTCAAACTATCCCAAACCCAAGTCCACGAGAAACTAGAGAACGCCAAAACGCAGCGCGCACACCTGCGTGACACTGCAATCATACAAAACGAGAAGTCATGGGGCACCTACGACCAGCGTCACCAATACGATCTGGGCTGGAACCTAGGCTTCAGCGACGCGACGAGCTTCTTTTCCGCCAGAACGCAGCACATCCTCCCTGGCGACGGCGAGGGAGAAGGAAGCGACAAGATCGGGATGCTAACGCTGTGGATTCGAAAACGTCTCCTGGATACGGGATACCTTGTCGAGGACCTGTATCCCGAATGGGAACAGGGGTTTCGTCGCGGGGTGGGAGACTTTAACCATGTAGTTGGGTGAAATGTTTCATCTATTGCTTTTGCAAAAACGTCGTTAGGACTGTACCTATTGTAATCTATACCATGTTGTCATGTTGGGATGGCATACGGACCATAAATAGGCGGTTTACAATCCGCACAAAAATAACCTCCAGAGCCTTAGGATGGAGATAGTCATACCATAATGCATAACAACTTATGTCCATGCTCTTTATGGAACTTCGGCAACTCCCACAAACATCATGCTTTACCTACGCCCTTTGCTACATTGCATCATCCGGTTACAGGATTAGCTACACTATTTAGTCCCTATAAGGTCAACGACCTAAAGCTGAGCTACTGCAATCGGTCAAATACACCACCGACAAGCTTACATTGCACACGACGACGCCAACTCGCGCAGAGCAGTATCCCATGCAAGAACGATTTTACAACTTGAGGACATTCATGTCAATGAGTCTCAGTACCTAGCACATGAAACTGAAGATAGAATGCAGATGCGCGGTACATATTGTCCCTTATATTAAGCGTAAATTCATGAACCATAGAACATAGAACCGTTTCAGGCTGATACCGCTCAAGTCAAGTCAAGTGCGCATGTGAGCTTCGATTAGAGGTTATCTAGAATCTTCGTCAAGGAGGGGAGTAACTGGAGAGAAAGGTTAGCTTAAGCTGTTTTACACCTAATAGTAGAGTATATGGAAGGGGAGAGGAGAGGAGGCAACCCACCCCAGAAGCATCTTCAATCAAAACCTGCGTATCATTGACAAACTTCGGCGTCAGCAGAGAATGAGCACTATCCAATAGACCGCTAACATCGCCAAGCAGCTCCGGTGTGATAGCAGGCGAAACATCGTCAATCAGGTCGCTCGTCTCGTTGACGAACTTCGCCGTCAACAATCCGCCAGCGTTCTTCAACAGACCGCTGACTTGGGCGAGCAGCTCGGGCGTGATAGCCGGCGCCACAATATCGATCAGATCGGCCGTTTCCTCGACGAATTTCTTGGTCAATAGCTTCTGGGCATTGCCTAGGAGGCCGCCTACTTGGGCGAGCAGTTCGGGGGTGATCACGGGGGCGATCCCGTCGATAAGGCCTGAGGTCTCGTTGACGAACTTGGGGGTGAGGAGGTCGTTGGCGTTGTTGAGGAGACCGCCGACTTGTTTCATTAGGCTGGGCGTGAGGTAGGGTGCCACGTCGCCGATGAGGCCCTTGGTTTCTTTCACGAAGTCGGGTGTTAGGAGGTCGTTGGCGTTTCCGAGGAGACCTTCGATGTCTTTGACGTTGTCTTTGGTTAGGAGGTCTCCGGCGCTGTTTAGCAGGCCGCCGACCTTCTTGAGAAGCTCGGGGGTGATGACGGGTGCGACGGCACCAATCAGGCCCTTCGTGTCGTCCACAAATGACTTGGTGAGTAGGTCACCGGCGTTATCTAGCAGACCGCTCACTTCCTTGAGAAGTTCAGGCGTGATGACGGGGGCGACGGCGCCGATGAGGCCCTTGGTGTCGTCGACGAAATTCTTCGTCAAGAGGTCGCTGCCGTTGTCTAACAGGCCGTTGAGCTTCTTGAACAGATCAGGGGACAGCAGGGGACCGGCTGCGCTGATCAGCTCCTTCAGCTTCTTGACGAGGTCGGCTGTGAGCAGGCTATTGGCGTTGTGAAGCAGCGGGCCAATCTCTTTGAGAAGCTCTGGTGTGATTACCGGTGCCACGGTGTCAATGAGGCCCTTGGTCTCCTTGACGAAGCCCTCGGTCAATAAGCCGTTGGCGTTGCTAAGCAGTTTGCTAACCTCCTTGAGCATCTGAGGCGTCAGCACAGGAACCACAGTCTCGATAAGCTGTCTAATTTCCTTGACGAAATCAGCGGTCAGCAGCTTGTTGGCATTGCCGATCAAGCCGTTGACTTCCTTCACGAACTCGGCCGTCAGGAGGTCGCTGCCGTTCTCGAGCAAACCAGATAGCTGCTTGAACAGCTCGGGCGTGACCAGAGGGCCCACTGCCTTGATCAAATTTTGGATTTCCTTCACGAAGTTGGCTGTGAGCAATTTGTTGGCGTTATCCAAAAGACCAGTCAGCTCCTTGGCCAATTCTGGGGTCAGAAGTTTGTAGCCTGTGTCGATCAAGGACTTGGTCTGCTCGGTCGTCTCGTCGTCGAAGAGACGGGCAAAGTGATGGAAGAAAGACTCGACATCCTTGATGAATGTCGGAGAGAGTAGGCCGACTATACCATCGAGATGGTTTCCAATGTCTTCAATAGGGTTTCCCGTGACTCCATCCGGGATCGGATCTTCCCAGAAACTCTTCGAGGAAGAAGACGCCGATGATGACGGCTTTGAAGAGTCTTCTTCGGTCGATTTCTCCTTCGGCGCAGAGGTAGGGGTGGGGGAGCTGTCATCCTCCTTTGCAGAGGAGGTGGTCGCGTCGGGCTTTTCTGTCTCCTTGCTAGACGAATCTCTCGTCGGGACGAGTGGGTTTCCGCTGGTCAGTGCCCCTAAGAAATCGCCACCTTCGGACTTGTCATTCTCGGCGGGTTTTGGCTGGCTTTCAGCTGAGGAACTCTGTTGCTCATCATCATTCGCGTTCTGTTGATTGACATTGGCAGTCGGGTGAGCTGCGCCAGCTGTTTTAGCCTCTGCGGCTGGGGTCTCAGTAGCGGGGTGCTCCTCTGACTGAGCCTCCTGTATCGAGGCATTGTCCGCTTGCGGGGAGGCTGGGGTAGCCAGTGAGGTGCTGGAAAGCAAAAACACTGAAAGAACTGTCGAGAAACGCATGCTGACTGCAGACCACCGCTATATTCACACGACTTGGCCAATTTGACGGCTGAAAGCCCCAATTCCAGATCTGCGGGGACTACACTCTCGCTTTTTATACCTGCAAGTTATGCGGGGATTCTTTTGCTCGGGTACGGGGTACCTCTCCACAGAGATCCCGCGATGCCGCTCCAAGACGCCGAGGATCATCCCACATGTGAGGTGGCTAGATCATTTGGTTCCTGGTCAAGACCAAATGTAACGCCTGATGTCAGTGACGGCGATCCTAACCTAAGGAGGCCATTCCATTTTTGTGGCTGTTGAAATAAGACAAGGATGACCCCTTGCTTTCAAGTACGGCTCCATGCAAAAGCTAAGTGGATCCCTGCTTTGTGTCCGCAAAAGTCCGGGGTCAGGTGCGGTGCTGCAATCCGGGGTAGAGCTCTGATCTATCGCTGGGGAATAAATCCTCCATTCCACGTTGTGTTAGTGGGCCTTAGCCTCGTGTAGCAGCGAATAAAACCACTTACAAATTGCGAGACTCGGCTTGTCGAACTTTGTTACTTGGGCCCTTATATTAATACTGGGAATCCTTGTGTCGGCCCGCCATGTTGGCCGCGGGGATCAGCATGGACATCGAGCATTTGGTGTCTGTGGCCGCCCATCGCAGGTATTCACCTTGCCTAAATCAACCCACAGACCTACATCATCAAAGACTCTATGATTGGCTGCCGATCCTTGGAGTCAGGCATTAACCTCTGGTTTGGGTGTCCTGCCATGGAAGAATGGGCAATGGTATTAGGGCGATGCGGCATCCGGGGAGTTGAGATGTAGTCACATTCTTTGCTCGCCACATTGAATCTGTTCCGTATAGAGTCAAAAGTATATCACTCGCCCTTTTCTGGATGCTAATGGCGAGTGTCCAGTACTCTCCAATTTCAATTTTGCAGAGACACGGAGCGACGCCTGGGGTGCCCAAGTCAATCAACGTTAAACCCAAAATCATTTCATTTCCTCCACATGAGATAAAACCCTGTCTGCTGATGGTCATATCATAGATCAGACATTGCTCAGTGAGTAAGCCTGCGGGAATAATGGTGGTGAGGAGAAGAAGGATCGACAGTACAGCTACCGGCACTCAGCGGCATCTCGGAGCTCGAAACATCTCGGCACCATGTGAAGTCGAAGCAATCATGGGGATTGGAACAGTCCCCCAATATGGTTAATTAACGGTGTTTTGGTCTGTCCAAAAATCTCTACCTCATTAGTCAATCAGAGCCAACACGCACGGAAGCAAGAACAGGCAAGCCTTGGAGAGTGGAAGAGGTGAGAGGAGAAAGGTTCAAGCCACCACCACGCTTATCCCCTTTGAGGTTCGCAGTCCACCATAGCGACATGATCGACACCGACATCAAGTGGGGAATTCTCCTCTTGATGGTCGTTCCTTTTCTTCCTTTTACCTTTTGTCATGTTCACCTGGATTTGATAGCACACCAAGCATGTTATAGCTCACTATGTTGGCTTCGCTGAAATTGATTGCCACAGATCAGATATTGATGATTACAACCCTGAACATGGAGGACTATTCATGATATACCTGGACATGGTGAACTTCCACCGTCACTCCCGCGGCTTGAACGGGATGCGGGTTGACATGCCGCAAAAGCGGGGTTGTGGGGGATAAGCCGGGCAAGAAGATCCAAGGCCCACACAGCCCACGGACCCTTTTAGGGCTCAGAATGGGTTGGAGCAATTATCATTGATATTTCCAACTAAACAATGATATTCTGTTATCGCTCATATTCGTCCAGTTGAGAACTAGCTGATGACGTACAGATAGAACATGCGGTGTTTTTATGTATACCTAGGTAGTATACTTGTCCACCCCGAAAAGCTAGGTTTCATGCTATCATGATTTCCGCCTTGATCAAACTGGAACAAATCGACTATTAGACTGTAAAGGTTTATGAAGAGTCTCACTTGATGGGTACCTGCTTTCCATAATTGTAGTAGTAAATTTGAACGCGTCCTTCATGAAGTTTACTTGACTCTATATTATAAGTGACAGGTGTTGTCACACGTGACTTTTGATACAAAGTTCCTTCTGAATTTATGAACCATCAAAATCTCGATATTTCTTACAACAGAGCTCAATTGGTCATCATGCCACAAACCTGACAGCTGCTTCGGGGGCAGATCACAGACTCAGATGCGAAGTCCAAGGAATCTAACATCCTCTCCCAGCTCAATTATTAAACAGAACAGACGAGGTGCTTCGCTCATCTTCATGATCAACGCGAATGGATGAAGGCTGTTGTTGCTCATCATCTTGGACTTAAATCATCTGATGAATATTATGTGGCAGGCGTAAGCTCCTGGCTTCATGGCAGTTTCAATGTCTGCATACCTATCATAGTCAAGAGCTGGAAAGGCAAACGTGTTCTTCTCCGGTTTCCTCTGCCATATCGCGTCGGTGAGAGTTTCAGACCTGGAAATTGCGACGAGAAAGTGCAATGTAAAGCAGGCGCCTATGCATGGATACAGAATAATTGCTCAGACGTGCCAATACCAAAAATATATGGCTTTGCTCTATCCAGTGGCGAGACGGCATTTATAGAAACAGCGGTTAATACTTCTGATTCAAGCCGGCATTGATAATTTCTAGTTCACCCGACTTGAATCTCTGTCATTTATCTCACGCTGTTTCCAACTATTGCGCCAAAGTATCTTATCATTGTTGAATGGATCGGTTCCTTCAAACTATGCCCACCATCAGAGCAGATGTTCAATCTTTACCGGCAGTACCATGAAAGTCGGCTACCTTTTGATTGAGTTCATTGAAGAGACACGTGGGTCTATGCTTTCTAATACATGGAACGAAGGGCAGCATGATCAAATCTGAGGAAGACCTTTTTCCATGATCTCTCCCGGATCTTCTTGAACATCACACGGTTTCCCTTGCCTAGGGTCGGTTCGTTCGTCATTGACATGAACGGATCTTTGCGTCTCACAAATCGGCCCCTCTCAGTTGAGATTCAGCAATTAGAGAATGAAAATATACCGACTGAAATATCCCGTGATTATACATACTTAACTGCTGACTCTTATATTACTGATGTACTTGGATTCCATGACAATCGTTTTCGGTATCAACCTAACGCCGTGAATAATCTCGGAGACTGCTTACCAGCTTTCTGTACTGACTGCGATGCGAACAATCTTCCACTCCATTTTCGATCGAGGCTTCCGCAGAGGTCCATTTGTCTTTGACTTCACAGATATCCATCAAAGCAATATCTTTGTCGATGCAGAATGGCATATTACATGCCTGGTTGATTTGGAATGGGCTTGCACCCAGCCTATCGAGATGCTCGGGCCACTATCTTGGCTCTCAGACAAGGGTGTGGATCAATTAATTCCAGCAGAATACGACACAATCCGACAAGAATTTATGGAGGCCCTCACAATCGAAGAACAAGAATTTTGAATCTGTAGCTCCGGTTGATCCTGGGCCATTGCGGCCGCGACTCACCAATCTAATGGAGCGATCTTGGGAAAAGGGAGCATTTTGGTACTCGCTGGCTCTCTCGAGCCCTTCAGGTCTTTTTACGATATTTACTAAACATATCAAACCTCTATTCTGCAAAGAGTTTGATGAAGAATTTGAGGTGGTGATGCCATTTTTCTTCGAAAAGAACATCGGTAATATTGCAGGTCGCAAACTTGCGGATAAGAAAGCTTATGATAAAGATCTCTGGCAAGCATTCAATGAGAACTAGACTGAGACGGTCTTGATAGAGGCTGCATATGTGAGCTGAACTGTGACCTGCACCCTTTTCATGCCCCTGGAATATACTGCAGTGTAAACCACTCGGATATTGATATACAGGCACGAAGAACCTCTCATAATCATAACTCAGGGCATGAACAGATGAAATGATCAAGAAACCTGATGATGACAATTATACAGAATAGTGATGAAGGGCCCAAATTCTGCAAGAAATACAACAATGACCATTCTGCTTTATGGGTCAACTAATGGACTGATTGCGATCACAGCTTTTATTGGATTCTCTCTTTTCCTGTGGAAAGACAGACGGTCAATTCCTTACAGTCAAAATGTGATTGCGCATCTTCGGTAGGGCCCACAGGGCACAGTCCAGTGGGTGGCCGATTGACATACTGAACCCTACAGGTAGAGATCCATCGACGAGAGCAAATTCAACCAGCACCTTATGCAGAGTGTCTGGTTTAGCCAGTAGTTGTATATCGATATGCAACAGAGACGATCTTGAATGAGATCGTATCACCAATGGTCTTTGAGAGACGGCTATGGTCATACTCCACGAAGATGCTGCTTGACGATTGCCCCGGGGTCTCAACATCAAGAGAAGCCCTCAGAAGCCCTCAGAAGCCCTCAGAAGCCCTTCGCAAAGTAAAGACGCAATATATTCTGCGAAAGATATAGAAATTCCACGGCCTTTAAGTTCTATAATAAATCAACCTGAGAAATACATCAGCTATCTGGCGCAAGGGCGATTTATCAAACGATCAAACCTTGGGACATACATCAAACCGGAGAGATACTCGAGGAATCCCATGAAATGTTAACTCGAATGAAATTTCTTCATTGCTTATTTTATCATCGAGTGGCAGTTCATGCTGGGGATATCAGTCAGACTAAGCCCTATACCGAAAGTTGGTCAACGTTTTTGCGTAGCGGCTCAGAGTTCGTGTGAACATACTTTCTCTATGTTGATACATGTGTAGAAGGGCGCTCCACCGAAAATATTTTTGACTTGTTAATCTTTGGTAAGTACACATTATGTTTATGTCCCCATAGCCCAGTTTCAAATACCATGAAGTATATGATATAAGTGGAAAATGTCAGAACAATGCAACGGAAGGACAAACCCCTCGACAACCATCAAAAGTTCATATGATTGGTGATGATTTTTGATAACAGTTAGAGAGAATCAAACTACAAAATCCGTGACGAAAAGAGATAAGCGTTAAACTGTTTATGATTGTAGTGTTTGCTTCTCTTACAAAAGTACTTCAAGCATACTAAAACAGTTGGTTTATGATAGATAGAATAACGCATAGCATACATCAGTCATATTGTACTTTTGCAACGCATGGCATACAGCACCGGTGCATATTCTAATACATTGCACTCGTAATGATAGATCCCTACACGTCCTAATCAATCCAAGTAAAAAGTTAAAGCAAGTATTCATCCCAAAGTACTAAATAATTGCAAGCATGTCATATGCAAAAAGCGCATTGAACACCCAACCCATTGCCATTTCACATAAGCACCCATTGTTATTTGGTCGAACGCAGGATGTGGATGTATAGGTTAATAGAAACATGCTGACCTGTGTGACAGCCAAGCTCTTTAATTTCCCTCCTCGAAGCATATCCTAGAATAGGAATTAGCTTTTTGGTCTGGGCCGCATCTTCCGCATTGTCTAGAGCTGTATACTCCAACCATCGACATCTCCTAGAAGGACGTCATGCAGATAGACACTTCGAGTGAACAAGAAAGACTGTTCGAAATTGAAATCCAAGACAAGGCGTCGTCACCATCCGATATTTGAAAGGCTAGAACTTGGGATCAGACATTGATCTCCCCTATACCTGGTACCTACCTACCAGCATCCCGGATGAAACTGGCCGTGCACCACATCAACAATGTCTCCCCCTACCACCACCATGGGTCCAGACCAGACTCTAGATTCAGAGTCATAATCAAATAGAAAAAGAAAAAGAGAGACAAGTTCTAGATCATTGAAATCCAAGAAGACGGGAAGAAAACTCTCCTTCCCTTGCCCGCATCGCGTCAACACACCTCCTTCGCAAATGACATCACCTCTCAAAACCGCGGACTTTATCTCCATCTCCATCTCCATCTCACACCAAACCAAGCCAAACCAAACCCCTCAACCGCACATCGCACCGCATATCACTCCCGACCTACGTATATCCCTCCCACATACCCATCTACTAACCAACTAAGTAGTACTAATGTAACCGCCCTCCCCCCCGGTCGAATCACAAGGGTCTCGACCCATCCATCCAAACCTCAAAGCGGCTAGCCGAACAGGTGACCAAAACATCATGCACTGTCAGCAAGCCCGGTGGGTCTTTTATCCTTTTTGGGGAGGGTGAAGGGTGGAATTAGTGGTACGGAGGAGTGAGATCCCTTCCCCTTTCCCCCCCTCTCCCCCTTCCCCCTCTTCCATGTCCCATGGGTCTGCTCTACGCCGGGAGGGTCGGTGCATGGGCCTGGTATTCATCTGGAAAGGTTAAGGGGGAGGACTGTGCTCTGTTTTTTTTTTGTGCAGGCTGAGAGCGGGAGGGTTGATCCAATAGGGGTGGGGTTTGTGGTAGCCTCGCAGGGGTGGGTGAGAACTGAGAAGAGAGAGGGAGGGAGGGAAAGGGGGAGGGGGATGAGTTGAGTGAGGCGGGGGATTGCGCTGGATCTTCCCATTTACTAGGGCTGCTAGCCTGTTAGTCCTGCAGCGTGGAGCATAAAGTGGGCGCTTAGTATGGATACTATAGTAGGCATTAGGTAGGATGGATGGATGGATGGTGGGTGGTCTTCTCGCTTGACTATGTGTAATGTACGGTAATGACTCGATAAATGAATGAATAAATGAATGAATGGTTGGATGGATTGTCCTGGGTGGGTGCTTGCCTAGCGTGACACTGGAGACCCTGGACAGTAGACACTAAGGACTTGTTTGTGCCAGGGGCCAGGATGCATCATGGCATGGTTACAGTGGGAAGGATCCAGGTTTCTGCAGGCTTGCTTTTTGCCGCGGTTGGGGTCGCCTTCGGATGATTTACGGGGACCATCTCCCTGAGTAAGGAGAGAGGTAGGTAGCTGAGATTCCTAGGATATCTGTGTTCCTGTGCGTTGGATTGAGGATTCATGTTTGGATCATGACCGAGACAGTCTTGTTAAGCGCTCAAAAGTGTGTTTTGGGGCATATGATATTCGGCGCAACCGCTGAAAAGTCCACCACGTTGATTGATTGAAAAGTGCCTGTGTTTCCTCTTGGTCTCGCAGCATGGGTATGGTCATGCATCTCAACCACTAGCCTAGGCATGGTTTGTGGCCGTGCCCATGCGTGATGTCCTCCGTTCCACGAGCCAATTCCACAGCGTGTAGATGCTCCGTTCATGTCTCTTCGCTGGCAATTTCCAGGCGTCTAGTTCTGTATTTTGCTATCTTCTTAATTTCTATGGTCTTTGTTACTATTTTCATTTTATTTTCTCTTCTCATAGGTCGGAGTAAATACACGAGAGCAGATTATGTCATAGTTCCTGCAGAAACTCCGCCACACTGACCGTGGCGGACGCGGCAGGTGACAGCCGCTCCAGTGAGGCGCAGCAATCGGTCATCACCGAAGGAGCGACAAGGATAGATTTCTCCCCGGTCAATACCCACACACACCGTGGCAATTTGAATGGTGCTGGAAGGTGTTTGAATAAAGACAAGGGAATAAATATCTGATTTTACGGATAATTTCCGCCCTTATGTCTGTCGAATGGAGGGGCAACACTAACGGCTGAATCTAGTTGTGATGTGTCGTGTCGCATTGCGTCTCTACGGAGTTGACCAGGCTGACGACGCGTGGTGTGTTTCATTATCCCAAGAAATCAAAAATAAAATAAATAAAAAATGGGGGGAAAAGAAGGAGCCCTGTCTACCGACCTGCTGACAGTGCCGGCGTCAACCGACGATATTCTCGGGAATCGATCAACTCGCGAGACTGCCATCCACCCATCCATCCAACCTTTGTCTTCCCGTCTTCATCCCCAAGAGTACACTACATGCGCTGCATGTATCAACATGTGTTGCCGGGCGCATGGAGTCTTTCTCCCATCCATCACCTGATCATAGGCATAGGCTGCCATATATTTGTTGGTTCGGCTTGTCGCTGGTGGGGCGCCGCACGGCAGTCGATGGCATGTTGGACGTGCAGTCGTGCAGTGGCTTTGAAAGAAATCCCCAGTCTTTTTCAGCCGAGCTGGGTCGCTAACTGTTCTAAATATGCCTCGTGTGGCCAGGTCACGGGATGCACTGGCCTTGCTTACCTTACTTACCTCAGATTCGTATCATCCAACATGCTTACGCCCTCATATTATGTACACAACGCTGGAACCGTATTGTGCTGGGAGAGTATACTCGAGTATAAAAGCTCTAGGTCAACAAGGCAAGTCGAGAACACTAGGTCGAGTAGTCAGTCCGGTAACAAACGAATCCGTCGTTACAAGTTCGAATTGCGTTCGAATGGCTATCCGCTTCTAGAAAGTCCAGAGATGACCATCGACGAGGCTCAGTCCAATCGCAGATCGTAACAGGGATCTCAGCTGTAGCGCTCGACCGGACTCTCTGATCGGCCGGCGAATCCCAGGCCAGGACAGCCTTTTGTTCAGCTTCCCAAGGGTCTTTTAGCCCCATCTTCCGACTCCTCCATGATTCATCAGCTGCGTAATTTTCCCCTGTCTCTCTTTTTCTTTTTTCTTCTTTTTGGTTATGTTTCTTCCCCTATTCTGAGTTCTTTCGATGGTGGTGGGACTCGCATCTCGCATGGTTATGAACTGAAGTACGAGTCAATCAGTCGTTTCATCTTGGGTTTGTCTCATGGGTGATCTAAAATCTGTCTGGACGAACTAATGCCGCCCAGGGGACGTTCTCCAACTGATAGACTGTCTGGAACGGACAATATTGCCTGTAAAATAGTAATAGCAAACCTTGTCCGTATGTCAGCAATATTATGTGGCCGATCAAAGCTATACAAGAACTGTAATATAATACAACAATATATCCGTAGTATGGAAAGTATCCAGCACGATAAGAGATACGCGGTGTGCAATCAGCGATAAGGAGGTGCAATGCACTTGCTCGCGTGAAATGTGGGGTTCGATTGAGTATTTACCCGATGGAGCCCTTAGATTCGGAGATGTCCATCCCGCGGCAGCTCTTCTTGCATTCACCGTTGCTGGATCCGACCGATGCCTGCATTGTAGATTTCTTTTGTTACTTTGACAGGTAGCAGATTTAGGTCGGAATAAATTCCCGTCGGTGTAGTGTGTTCCTACCTGTCATGTTGATTAGGGGTTTTTTTTTTTTTTTTTTTTACTTGCGGTAAGGCTATGTAAGGTAGGTTAGGGCAGTGTCATCATCTACAGAGTACTCCGTCCAGGCTATACATTTATTGAACACATAATGTAAAAACCTCGGCTGTACTCTGTAAAAAATAATGATATCAATGGATTGAGAATAATTTTCCATATGACACCAGATGATTTTTTTTTTCTTTTTTCTTTTTTTGTCATTCAGAATTCACGATCCACATATTCAGTCTCACTTTATCCCAATAAAGCAATACGCGCGCACCGAGAATATGCGTGTTGGAGTACGAGGTCTATCATCCCAGCTGAACAACGGCAAAACCAGCTGGTCCCACTGGTGGCGGACTCTGCCTTGTCTGCGCGAAGCAGAAACATACAGAGTCAGGACTCTTTGATCCAAGACCGCACGATCATCGGGTGATCGTCACAGCCGGGTTAGATGTGGGGTGGGCACGACACCACCAAAAGTAGCATATCCTGGATTTCCCAGGATTTCAGAAGCCGGCTAGTCAAGGCGAGAGATATCCACTTGCCCTACTCCGTAGAGAAAGCTGACTATCGCCTTACGTGAAATCATACGCCGTCCTTACTCGCCTCTCCTTAAACGTAACGGGGATAAACCGTTCCCATGGCCCGAGAGATGCATCGGTCGATCCACTCACTCATGGCAAGTGGATCAGCAATGGGGCTTAGCAGGTCTATGTTTCGATTGGTGTAGAATCGCGCGGCGAGTCGAGTGGTGCTTTATCACTGTTAGTCTTCAATTATTTTTTTACTTATTCAATTTTATTTTTTTGTTTTTTGTTTTCCTTGTTCTTTGATGTTATCCTTGGAATCCTTTGTCGATATCTTCAAGATCATGTGCCACAATGAATGATGTCAATCCAACTACCAAATAACCAGTCTGTCCAGTATAACACAGTTAGCACTACTACCTACCACTAGTCGATAAATCTTCGGCACTTGCAGTCTGAGATTGGAGAGTGGAGAGTCACACTACGACATACTGCATAAGTTTACTAAGATATTTTACCTGCTTTACACCTCCAATACCCAACAATACCTACAACCGAAATGCAATGGACAGAACGACTCACCGTCGGGTTCCTTTCCCACGATCTAGGACGTCACTAAGTCGTATACGGTCATACGCTTTTCATAGCATTTGACGCTCTGACTCGATGGTTTCCCGGAAAGGCGTTGGTGATAATCTAGTGGTCCCCGATCATCATCCTATGAACCATCCGAAACCCTCCAAATCAACGCTTTCTGAGACGGATGCACCCTTAAGGAGTCAGGGAGTAGGCAAATAAAAGGACAGAATCAAGAACTAGATCAATCAATATTCCTCCTACAATATCACCCCTGATATACTAGGGATAATACTGTAGGGTAGGACCATCACTCGACATACGGAATCCAAGGCCCCTCCATCAACTTCCGTCTCCACCTTCTCGGACGATTCTGGACACCTGCATACAACTAACGCCAAACTCTGAACATGCCCAGCTGAGATCGGACGGTGAGTCCGAACAGTGGCCACCAAATCTCTCCCTCGTTCCATACGATCGGGATCTCGCGTCTGCAAGAGAAAAAAGTCACCGGTCATTGTCCATTTGCCATCCATATCCCTCTTGCCTGTTGCATGCAGGCGCCTCGAATTGCCATCTAGGAAAAGTGGTTTGGATTGGGTTTTGTCTCTACTCTTAGCTGAGATTTTTCTAATTTTATTTTATGCCATTATATTTTCTCCCGTTAGATATAATAATAAATATAGATAAATACGACAAAAACCTGTTGGTTGGATGATCTTAAGCAGTTGGATCTAAGACCCAGGTCTAAAGTACATAAACTTAATATCAGGATCCTTTTCTTCATCCAAGAAGAAGAAAAAATCCCTATGTGCATCTACTAGTGAGTCGCATCCTCTCACAACTCTTGGTCTGTTGAACCAGTCATCCTCTTGCTCTTTTGGGCCATCCTGCGCTCCCGCCCCTCTCTGCCTCTCTCTCTCTCTCTCTCTCTCTCTCTTCTTTCTTACTTCTACCTCTACTCACCTTTCTTTACTCTTCCTTCTTCTTTCTTTCTTCCTTGTCTTTTCCTTTTTTTCCCTTCACGGCCCTTACTTTTCTTTTCTTTCTTGAACCATTCCTTTCTTTCATTACCATCTTCAGCTTTCCTTTTCTTTCGCATCTGACCCCACAGTAATTTAAATCCACTTACTCTCTCCACTTTTGCGCTAGGTATCACCTGTGGGCTTTTTTTTTTTCTATACATACTTGCCAACTTTTAATACGGACTACCTCCAACCAGACAGGTTTTCGTGACTCGCTTCGAAGCACCTATCTATCCTAGCGACCGTCTAGGGATCATTCTGGCCTATCCCCTCCGGGATCACGACCCTATTGAAGCAACGCGCATGGTGTGGGCGGATGTTGTCCGGATGATCGCCGTGCCTTCATTTCTTCTTCTTCTATAACATCTTCATCGCTTGTTTCATCTTTCGGTTTAACGGATCAGCGCCATCATCACGCCTAGTCGTCATGCCAACCGTCTTGCTGCCGTCATCGGCTGCCGCGTTTGCGCCGCGGTCCTCCCCCAACGTGGTATTGAATACCAGGGTTGAACCCTGGCTAACGGCAACCTTGAAGCGAGTCAACCGGGTGAAGCGACCTCTGAACAATGTGACGCAGCACACCCGATGCTTAACGGAGACTCTTTCCTCGCCGAACGCCATCTGGACGTTGTGTTCCATGATGTTCCCGAAGGCCCCCGATTCGGAACTCAGAAAGGACGAAAACCCTCTGGTGGAGGCGCTATTCAACTATGAGATGGTCCACATGGAAGCATACGTGGTGCATGTCGACATGGTGTCGCAAAACGAGGTGGCCTTCAAGCTGACACCGGAGACAATCGAAGCGTTGGTCGATTTTCACAAGGACATCTACTCCGTCGACATGGCGGCCAGCACCTGGGATTGGTCCGAGAAGGATAGTCAGCTAAAGAAGCTCCAAGAGGAATTTGTCCAGGCCGCGAACAAGTTTGTCTACCGGACCAGCGCCCAGGCGCTGGAGGGGCTCGAGGAGGACGGTGCTGGAGAGCTGCTCGGCGGACGAAGTGACGAGGCTAAGGCGGCCATCACCAACCTTTTCGTTTCGTTGCTTCCGCCACCGCCTCGCGTGGTCGACGTTGTTCGTCCAGCGCCTCTTCTCCCCAGCTCGACTACACCGGAAACGTGGTGGCAGGACCCCATGCAACAACCCGTGTCGGTGGACTCGTGGAAAGTACTTCCATCCAGCCCAGCAACCGCCAGCACCGATGATTCTAATCCGAATGTGTGGGCCAGCCTGAACAGCATCAATGATACTCAATATGCATCCCCAACCCCGTCCTACAGCCAACCCTACGACACGTCACCGTACAACACGACGCAGTACTACAGTGCGGCCGCCACGTCGGCCGCCATCGCCTCCCTGCCACTTCCTAGCATGCTGATTCTGCCTTGCAGCACGGCAGCGAACATGATAGGGTTTGGCTGGGGGGATCGATACGATTTCGCGCTGCCCTACGGAACCACGATGTAATGCGTCCTTGGAACCAGGCACTTGATGTTAACGGTCTCCCTGACTTCGCATGTCTTTGGATTAGATCCCAGGGCTCAAATCGGCAGGCATCGGCGACTATATGCCCCTCGGGCCCACCCACACAAGATTCACCACGAGAACGACAGGGGGCGCTTCGCCTCGGATACAGACATCAGACTAATTGGCATCAGTGACGGCGTTTTCCATGCTCGGTTTGCGATCCACGATACTCCCACCTCATCTTTGTTTTGCATATTGATCCCAGGAACATAATATCTTCCTCTCTTCTGTGTGACAAGTTTGAATTCCCGTTTTGTTTTTCTTTGTGCCAGCGTCAGCGTTTTGTTAACCCCATCCATTTGCATCCAGAAGCGGCGGGTCGGCTATTTGTTCTTTCTTTTGTCGGGGAATGTCCCAATATTGTTTTATATGACATCAAGACTGGTAAGCCTCACGGCTTGGGATATGATCTGGATGAGAAATGTGTTTTGCTTTCTTATTTTCTTTTTTTGTCGCCGCGTCATTACCAGCACGTGAGGCCGATGTTGTGGACCAACATCTTGAGTCTTCCTCTGGTAACATCTCCTTTCTGATACTGGTTATCAGACTGGTGGTCCGGAAGTCGGATCAGGAGATTGATGCGGCGCGGGTGCCATATCATGTCTACGATGATATGGGATCACGGGTTTCTTTTCTTTTCTTTTTCTTTGGTTCTGACGGCACGAGCCACGAGGTCTTGGGATTGACAGAAATATTGTGAGTCCGTCAGTCCAGAAGTCTGTCTGTGGCAGCAATGGGTCCAAGAACAGTACAACGGCCCGTGGCTTTGTTTGTTCTTGTCTGGCGGTTCTCACAATTTCTGCTCTCTCCGAGTCCCTTGGCTGGTGCCCGTCTGGTAGGCTCATCCTCTACAGTCCAGGCTGGGTTTTTATGGGTACCTGGATATGCTCGGGCATGTCCTTCATTGATTGAAGGCTTCCATGACGAGAATCGGATGCTGGCATGGTCATTTTCCCAGGGACTGGTTCCCTGGCTTTCACTTCTTTCGTTCATACTTTCTCCACTGTCGCTACTTGATCTCATAAGCGTGTATCTAGCTCTGGAATATTTAATTTGTTGAGAACTCCATCTGGTAGTTTATTGTCTTGAACACTACAAGTTCGTCTGGACCGATTAGAGCCTAGATACTAGATAGAGCGGGTGGTCGAGACAGCGGCCCCAGAGTATGACGTCATGTACGAACAGCGCACCTTGTTTGTGTCTGCCTTGGACTCACTTCTTCCTTTCCAGACATTCTTCTTTCAAAAAATACTCTCTAGTTTTTCTACTACTATATCGAGATCCAATCTTCATACCCTGACTATCTTCATTTTCCTGGCTATACCGTGGCCCATTGTTCAAGCCAAGTGAACAGGTTGGTCAGCATCCGCTGACGTCCACGAAGCTTGCATCACGACATCTACCTGAAACTCCTCCCCTGAAGGAGAGAAAACCGAACGAAAAGAAGAACAAGAATAGAAAAAGAAATACACCAACTCGAGAAAAACCTCACCCCGTATCTATCGGCAATGGCCACCCTCCACGAAGCCCTCCAATGCCTCTCGGCGACAACCTGGGACGCCGTCCCCACAGACCCGGCCGCTCTCCGCGCCTACATGGCCGACATCTCCGCAAAAGCGCACCTCATCGTCAACAGCGTCCCAGAGCAACCCCCACCACCACCACCACCATCCGATAAAGAGCACACGCACACGCACACGCACACGCCCTACCCACCCACCCCATCCTCCCCCACCGCACCCCAAATCACCCCCTCCCCCACCCGCCTCAACACGCCAGACCCCGCCCTCCAAACCCTCCATCAAGAATGGGGCAAGCCCATCAAAGTCTCCAGCACGCGCGACAACCCGCTCGACATCCCCGTTTACAAGCTCTCCGGCGCGGACGGGCGGGGCTCATGGTTCGGACGACGCAGCATACATCAGGGACTGCCGTTCGCGCGATGGCAGGAGAAGCTGTCGAGTGAGATGCTTGTTACGCTGGCGGCGAATGAGGAGCGGTTGGGGGAGGGGAAGGTCGCGGATCAGGCTGTTAGGGGGATTGGGGCTGAGAGGCGGGTGGAGAGGGTTGAGGTTAGGGATGGGGATGGTGGGGTGGTGGGGCATGTTGGTGTTTTTCATGTGTCGGCGCAGTTTCCGAGGCCGACTACGCCGAGGGATTTTGTGGCGCTGATTTTGGATTGGGAGGTTGGTGGGGATGATGGTGGTGGTGGTGGAGGGGGAAGAGGGGGGAGGAATTGGATGATGGTTTCGAGGCCGTGTTTGCATCCGGATGTGCCGGATAGGTCGGGGTTTATTCGTGGGGAGTATGAGTCTGTGGAGTTTATTAGGGAGGTGGTGCCGGGGAGGGAGGCGGGGGGTTGGATGGGGGTGAGGGTGGTGGTAATCTAGCGATTGCGTCGGCGGAGAGTGCTCGGGGTAGGTCTCCTGGAGAGACAGCCATCAATGCGAAGGAGGGAGGCCAAGTCGTTGACGGCGCAAACGAAGAAATCAACCCCGTCGAATGGATCATGGTGACTCGCAGCGACCCCGGGGGCAATATTCCACGCTGGATGGTGGAGAAAGGCACGCCCAAGAGCATCTGCTCGGATGCCGCCAAATTCATCGACTGGGCGTGTCGGGAGCCCGATGCAACCGCTGGCGAGAGCACGACAAACAATATGCGCAAGACGACTGGTCCGTCCCGGCGTGGCAGCCAGCACACAGCGGGAGTGGAGAGAGAAACCGACGACAGCGATTCCGACATGTCGGACCTCGGAAATGTCGAGCACCACGGACTGATCGCCAGCTTCGCGTACCTGCTCAACTCCGGCGTCGAGCGATACGCGCCCCAAGCAGTACTGGACTACCTGCCGCAGCACTCACGGCACTCGTCAGCCCTAAGTCGTCCCGACAGCAGCATCTCACAGCACAGCGACGGAGCCTTCAAGACCCCCTCAGGACAGTCCATTACAGACGTCAACAACACCACCGCAACAACAAAAACAACAGCGGCAGACGCAAAGTCGCAAGTCTCGCAAAGCAAAGCGTCGAGCTCCGCCTCCGCCACCTCCGGCCTCGTCACGCCCATCCTCGAAGCCGGAGACCACAACATCCCGCCGGAGGAGCTATTAAAGACAGATAAAAAGGGCAAGATGTCCTCGCACGAGAAGCAGCTCGTCAAGCTCGCGCAGCAGAAACGCGACGTCGAAGGCCAGCTGGACCGCGTGCGCGCCGACATCCAATCCCTCAACACCAACACCGCCGCAGCAGCAGCAACACCACCACCCCGAGACGAGGTCTCCAAAAGAGACAAAGCCTCCACAACAGCCCTAGCAGCAGCAGGAGGGGGAGACGCAACGATCAGCGACCAAGCGAGCAGCAGCGCCGCAAGCACAAACCCCCCACCCCGACCCCCCTCAACCCAAAGCGAGACCAAGAGCAAAAAAGACAGCAAGTCAAAGAAAAAAGACAAAAAAGACGCAAACCCAGAAGAGGTGAAGATCAAAAAGGTCGCGCCGAAGCTCTTCCACGACGAATCTAAGCTGCTGAAGCAGCTGGGCAAGATCGAGAAGAGCCAGGTGAAGGAGGCGTCGAAGATTGAGGCGCGGATGAAAAAAGACGCTGCTCAAGAGGAGAAGTCGCGCTCGCGCACGGAGCACGATTACCTGCGTCATGAGAACGAGCATTTGAAGAAGGAGATTGAGCGATTGCGCGGGGAGAGGAAGCAGTGGTTGGATTTGATTGGGACGTTGCAGGATGATAATAAGGAGCTGGCGAAGCGGTGTTCTGGGGAGAAGGCTCGGGATTGATTGATGATTGGGCTGGTTTATTATGTTCTGTTTCATATTCTTGGATAGTGTATATGATTTATGGTGGATAGTATCTTGTATAGTTTTGCATACTGAGATGTTATATTTATTAGGATCAGACATGCGTGGATATAATTTGAGTATTTGAGACATGGCCCTCTGTTCGGTAGGATTGTATCTCTTAGTAGTACATGTATAGACAGACAGCCCCTCAACCAGGCCGGTCGACTCCGTAGCAGATGAATGCTGCACATATCCCCTGAGCCCCTCAGCCCTTGAGCTCAATCTTCCACTGGGTCCTTCCTGGGAGGGTATCGTTCATGCTTATCCTCATCCATGCAACAATATCGCAGCGCCGTTATATTATTATGTCCATCACCACGCGGCATTCCCGGTCGAGGCGAACAGCAAGGATATCAGCATGCGACACGCAAACAGACCACCAAAACACAACCAAAGCAGCCTCTATTCCCGCGCCGCCTCCCAATCAAAAAAAAAAAAAAAAAAGAGTTATCGCCAATAAGTCGTAAAAGCGTAGGCGCGCGAACGACTCACGAGATGGATCGCTCAGGGCAAAGCGAGCAGGAAAGACGCCCCAAGCGCCCATGCAACCCATTATAAAGATTCCGAAACCACAAACAATTCGTTATTCTTGCGTCTATTCCCAAAAATCACCACAATTAGCACCTCCCTTCCTTCTAGTGAATTCAAAACCGGCTAGAACAGTGACATACCTCCGGTGGATTCCCAGCCCCCCTCACCATTTTCTCAATCATCTGCGCGCGCACTTTCTCCTTGGGCTCGCCCATACCAACCGCCATGTATGATAGAAGAGGCGCATGACCGACATACGAGGCGTAGCTGTCGCGGACGATGTTGGAGACCCATTCGTAGCGGGTGGTGTCTGCGTGGCCTGTACCGACATAGCGGGCCTGCATGGCCTCCAGATTCTGGATTGTGCGGAGTTTGTCGGCCATTTTGGTTTTCTTCTCGGGGAGACGTTTGCTGAAGTGAAGGGTGTAAAGTGGTTTATTGGATGGAAGTTTGCGCTCGGATGGGAAGGGCTGAGGCCGAAGAGAGTTGAGATAAGATTGCGGTGGATATGCTGGTCACGTGGTGCTATCTTATCGGGTTGGCGATAAGGGTGGGAAAAAAAGGACGCCCGGGGTAAGGCAAGACAAGACCACCATCGTTGAAACTAAGCAAGTTGTTGACGTTTGGTCTTCCTGGTTATGTACCGTTAGAGATGGGTGAGATGGGGTCAGAAGATTCGCTGGGCTCGCGGATAGCCTCGCTTGTTCATGCGCATTTCGATGCCCTTCCCCCGCGCAGCAAGCCCACTATTCGGCCTGATGGCACGAGGGAATGGATTCCCATGTCTGGGATTGTGCTTGTAAGAGGTACGTTCATGATATACACATCTGTATGTGGTGTATGGAGTATTGTCTCTGTATCGTATCTTGTCAGATACAATTGGGTTAGACGTCAGGCTTAAATCCGCCGTGATCGTTCTATAGTTCATTGGTTTTGATACTACAAGCTGACATGAACCAGGAGAGAACACTCCTTCAGAATCTCTCACCTGCATATGCATTGCGTGAGTTTGTGAGTCCATCGTTTGAGGCACTCAACCCGAGCTAAGAAGTGCAGAACTGGCGCAAAATGCCTTGCGGCGTCTCAGATCCCCAACTGCAAGGGCCTGGTGCTGCATGACTGGCATGCAGAGGTCCTTGTCATGCGCGCTTTTAACTACTGGCTTCTCTCTGAATGTCGCGGTCTCCTTACGGCCGAATCTCTATCATCGGAGGGCGAACAGCCATCGCGATTCATCCGGTTCAGGCAACAAGGCCGTGGCCACCCAAGCCGATCTACAGGTTCAACATCAATCCAATCCCCAGATTCAACACCGCCTCATCCAGAACCGCCCTTCGAACTTCAATCTGATGTGAAAGTCTACATGTACTGCACCTGTGCACCCTGTGGCGATGCGAGCATGGAGCTCTGCATGGCCGCGCAGGACGACCCAACGCCCTGGGCCACGCCTGAAATCGATTCCAATGCACATATTTCCTCAGATACTGACGATCCTGGATCAAAGCCCGAGCCAACACTGCTGGACGGGCGGGCCCATTTCTCGCGTCTCGGCGTTGTCCGCCGTAAACCGTCCCGCGCGGATGCCGTCGCAACTAAGAGCAAATCATGCTCGGACAAACTGGCCTTGAGGCAGGTTTCGTCCTTGCTATCATGCGGAAGCAGTTTACTTGTGGCAGCGACGCAAAATGCATACCTAGAGGCCATTGTGTTGCCCGATGAGGAAATCAGTCGGGAAGGATGCGACAGGGCATTTGGAGATGGGGGTAGGATGGGACTATTGAAAGGGCGAATGTGGGGGGAATTGAATCATATGGGTTCTAAAAAGGATGGACAGGACAACGGCTCCAGCAAAGAAAGCGAAGAACTGGAACAAATTTGCTCATCCCAATACGGATACCACCCCTTCAAAGTCCTTTCTATCCCCAATACGCAACTTCACTCGCTCTGGCCGTTCAGCAAGAATCCCCCGGCTGATGATTCCCGCGAGACCAACCAGGATGGTCCACAGGATCAGGGCCAGGATGAAAAGAGCCCCCGCAAGCCGAAACCTGGCAACATCAGTGTTCTCTGGATAGCTGCCCCGTCGACCCCAGATGCGGCTGGAACCCCATCGGACAATGGAGCCAAGACCATGCCAAAGCTCTGCGGGTCCAAGACCGGTCTTTACGAGACTATCATCAACGGGGTGAAACAGGGCACGAAAGCTTCGGCCCCTGTTCCGCGAGGAGCCTCTGGATTGTCCAGGGCAAAGCTATGGGGGCTTCAAAGGGAGATAGTACAAATACTACTAAAGCACAGCCGGGGAGAATTAGGCGATGGGTTTGGAGAAGACGGGGTTCCGAAAGAACATGTGGAGGAGGGCGGTCGCGCCGGTGATAGCAACCCTGAGGCTGTCCTGCGGCAAGTCATCGAAGCTTCCAGTTATCAGGCTCTAAAAGAGGATGCAGCTGTCTCGATTCAGTCGGCTATGATCCGACAAAGGGCTATCCAGGATGCGAAGACCGTGCTGGTGCCATGGGTTCCTAATATTAGGGACGAGGCTTGGGGTTTAGAAGTGTTGTCCGATACGGGATCCAAAAAGAGGAAGCGGTAGGAAGTCTGTTTGATACATTCTACGAGTGACGAGTGACATGGATACATGATACGTACTAAATCGGGTCCAGTAGGCAACTAGATTTGAGCTCCACATTCGGCAGGGCTACGTAATTGCTAGAATTACTAGTGGCTGAGATGACAGGCACCGGTTACATAAGCCGTTCAACCTGAGGCTGCAGGGCAATGCGACGTTTCATCATTCTATTCGATTCCACTTCTACATCTTCATCCGTCTCTCCTTATCTATCATCCCCTGTCTCTTCCTAGCTTTGACACTTTTCTTCCTTTTGTTGTTCGACTTTCTTCCGTCTCTCGTTGCTGCACCGTCCTTCAGTTACGACACATGTCGCACCATCCCAGTCCCGCAATCTAGCCGTCAACATGATACCTCTCGGCACAAGTCTCCTGCAATGCTTCCTTCTCCTCTCGATCCCCATCACATCCGTTGTAGCAGCATCGGACTCTTCCGGTAAAGATAACCTTTCACCCTGCGTGGCGCGCTCTGCCAGCAGCGGCTTCTACTACGATCTCAATGCCATATCCCTTTCCCCGCCAAGCTCCGCCAGTGACAACGACAAGTCGCGCAAACACATTCGAGACGAAAGCTGGCACGCCAAGGGCCACGACTACAATGCGAACTTCACATTGAATTTCTGTGCACCCGTGGTCGAGGATGTGGTGGATGTCGTGGGCGTCGATCGCCAGCGGTGGGGAAACGTCAGTGCTTATTACGAGAAGGATAACAAAATATACTCCATAGGGTATGTCGGGAGACCGGGATCGTCTACGGGCCGGGGAGTGATGGCTGATTGAATATTTTATCTCAGGCAACAAGCGTCGGAGCCCTTTTTCCGTGGTCGCAAGCTGGTCTTGAACTACACTGATGGTTCCCCGTGTCCTGGCGAATATTTGGGGAATGCATCACGGACCAAGTCGACGATCATGTCTTTCCTGTGCGACAACGACTCGCCGGGTACCCATGCCACACCATCGTTCGTGGGTACCATGGACCAGTGTACGTATTTCTTCGAGGTGCGCACCGCTGCGGCATGTGGCGGTGTCGCTCCATCGGACGGGGAAGGGTTGGGACCTGCGCAGGTATTCGGCGTGATGTAAGCACTTCCTATCTAAGGAGCAGCATTGGGGGGGGATTCTATCCGGGAAGGAAGGGAAAGAAAAAGGAAGTAGGAAATCAAGCTAACACTGGTTCTAACAGCGCCTTGATTGCCGTCGCAGCGTACTTCGTCGGTGGCTGCGCATACCAGCGCACCGTCATGCACCAGCGCGGATGGAGACAGTGCCCCAACTACAGCCTGTGGGCGGGCATGTTTGATTTCCTTAAAGTAAGTATATGCGTGTTTAACCCGTTACGGTGGTCTCGTTCCCGAGCCCGGGCCCGACCGAATTCCTGGCGTCGTGGGCCGGCCTCACACAAGGAGTTTGGCAATGCGAAGTTACCAATTTCGAGGATGGATTGAATCACGCTTTAGCTGGTCTAATGCTCAATTACATCGAGGAAGGCGGTTCCCGCTACCATTCGTTTTGCATCTGTCTGGATATTTGGTTTTTTGGGATAGTTCCATTCACAAATGTCGCGGACTGCGTCTGCCCAACTCACTCTTTTCCTGTCTTCTTGTCTCTCACCCACACCCTCTCTCCCTCTGCTTCTACCTCCCTCTCTGTCAATAGCCACACCGAATCCTTGGGGCCGGGCCACAATAGAGTATAAAGCCTTGGCCATTTCTATAATTGCCCCCCTATACCTACATATTGCACATTGCGCAAATACCACGTGATACATACAGCATAATAATAACCAACCTAACCAAACCCTAACAGGACATGATGATCATCCTTTTCACCTCGCTAGCCGGCCTCCTCCGCTGCAACCGCACGCGCTCGTCAGCCGGATACGCCCGCGCCAACAGCACCGGCGGCTTTATGGGTGCGATCGGCGGTCGTGGCCGCGGCCGCGGAACGGGACGATCGTCTGATGTGGATGCTGAGAACCGTCTGATAGATCAGTTGGATGAGGAATGGGAGGATTGATTGAGATGCATAGACTGGGCGGTATGGGAGAGAGGAACGGTCGTGTGTTTGTATACCTATCTATCTCTATCTGTTAGCACTAGTTGTCTAACCAACTGTGACTGGCTGGTTGATACCGCTTTTTTCACTGTCTCTTTGTTCTAGCTTGTAGGAATAAGCATCGAAGGAGTTTCCGGTGTTTCAAAATTATATTAGTCCGTGTTTAATTAATTGCTTGCGGTTGGGAATCCTGGTCGTTTGTTAGATGAAGTAGTCACTGCGCTAGTCGGTAAATATATATGCTCAGATGTGTATCCGTACACTGTATATATAGTGTAGTGAACTTGTCCAATCCAAACACAAGACCTAAATCCCTACTATATATAGCACTATAAAAAGGGACACCACATGGTATATATCCACCAAGGTAATAATAACAATGATCCATCAAAACACAACCCCACAATGTTGAGAATAGCATGAAAAAGCTATCCGGCACGCTATATATCTCCACACCCCCAAAACCTACATCAACTAGCATCATTGGTCTAGTGGTAGAATTCGTCGTTGCCATCGACGAGGCCCGTGTTCGATTCACGGATGATGCATTCTTTTTTCTTCCCTTCTCTTTCTCTTCTTTTTTGCCACCCTCAAAGGGTCTGTTATGTTTTTATTTATGTTTATTTTTGTTTTTATATGGTGTAAGGGATGGATGATTGGGAGATAAGGTACCCTGGCCGGATCGGTAAACTTTGTTAGGTCTCGCGTCAACACCTGTCATACGGGTATGTCTATTACTTTCATGCATGAGATTGGTAGTTATTATGAATTGGTTAGTAGTAGGGAATCTATCATCAAGTCCCGAGAGTTGGTTTCTAGAATCCTAGACACTGAATTGTCGCTGCGCTGTATACTATCATAACGCCTTCGGCCTCGTACTTCTACATACCCACTCGCTGTAGGTAATTTTGTTCCTAAATGATTACAAGCCTACTACTCATACCCTGAGTCTTGGACAGTATCCACCCAACAAACGTTGATGATCAATATGCACATGGATAGATACAAAGGGGTAAGTAAAGGATATACGAAGAAGTGACAACAACAACAACAACGACGAGACATAGCCAGGGATAAGGCATGAACAAGCAGACAACAAAAAGGGTAGGTATGCATGAAAAGAAAAAAGTAAGGTAATCAAAACTCCATTCTCTCCTAGTACCCTCCAAGATCCAGCCCAAGCCTCGCCAAATAACAAAGGAGACGTATAAAGGAAATAGCAGGGATATCCGCAGCGCTTCACTCCGCACCTTTCATATCAACGCGTAAAGAGAGCCTAATGGCCTCCCCGGTTCATTCCCATCCCGAGATCGTATGCGCCGATCGGCATGTTGCCTGCATTGCCGAAGGCGCTCATGTCATGGTCTGGGCCGCCGCCCGGAGCCGGGGGCTGTTGGAGATTTGGGTCTAGGTTGACGTTGAGGCCTACGGGGTCTAGGTTGAATGGGAGGAACCACGCGCTGGGCTGGTAGTACTCCCCTGTGCCGGATGGGGCGTTCGGGTCTAACTGGCCGGCGAAGATGGCGGAGGTATCTTGGTTGGGAGGGTGGTTGGGAGGAGGGGGAGGGGGAGGTTCTGCCGAGCCGTTGACGGCGGACATGGTGGGGTCATCGGGCGATACGAAGGACGTAGGCGAGGGGTCGAAACCAGAGAATGACCCGTAGACGAACTGTCGATCAATCTGGGGTAGCTGATCGGTGGGAATGGGGAAATCGAAAGCCGACTGCCCAAAGGGCTGTCCGCGGCCCTGGCTATACAATGGGGGCTGTGGGAACCCGATCTCCGATGTGCCGAGCAACTCAGGGACGTTGTCCATGTTTAGTTCGACCATGTGCTGCTGCGAGGGTATCCGATCCAATCCCGGTACCGCTTCCGGCCGGCTGTTTGTGCGAGAGTGCACCCTCCGCGGAACGCTGGGCTGGGACCCCGGGGAGAGACCGGCGAAAAAGTCCTCGACGCTCTGGAGGTCTGGTTTTTGGCTCATCACTGCCTCGTCACTGCCCCTTTGTTGCTTGTCTGGGTCCTCATAGTGCGTTCTTGACACCCCATGAGGATACTTGTCGAACCAATCTCCGTATTGAAACATGGGAGCAATTTGTCCCCCGTTCTGAGTGGGCACCGAACCCTTGATGGCGGCATCGGCAAATTGTCGATACCGGTCCTTGGCACTTTCGACCATATAATGAAACATGCCCCAATATTTCTTCATCTTGTTGAGGTACCGGTAGGTGTGTCGTAAATTCTCCTTCGAACGCGCTTCAAGTTGTGCGTTCTTCGAAAAGATTCCCCAGATATGGACAGTGCTGGCTGAGTAGGCGCAATACCCGGCAAATGGGACGGTCAAAGGGTAAGCCGACGCACGGTCTATGAGAACCGAGATATGATGCGCAGCTTCTACGGCAGCTCGCCCAGCATTGCTCAAGAAAGATTTGGGCATGTCCCGCGGGGGACGCCCCCCAGGCGACAAGGGAATCGCAAATTGGTTCAGAAACAGCATGTTCTGATGGATGATGATGTGCAGAAAGAGAAATTGGTTGGCTACCTTGTCGGCGGCATGCATCTGTAGGTTCTCGTACGTGAAGGCGAGACTACTGGGAAGGGACGCGGAGAACTCATCAATCTGCCGCTTGAGGCGCGTGTATCCCGACTCGGGCGACCATAAAGGATGGCTATCCTTCTTATTCCCCCCGAGATTCAGGTAATCCACGATACGGCCCCAGATCACCACAGCACGGATGATGTAGGCTGACACCCCCATGTTGTCCCGGGCATTGGACAACTGGCCAACATCCTCCGGAACTGGATTTGGCACGTGTCCGTCCAAGTCCTCGGTAGGACCGGGAATCTCCATCTGAAAATGGGGTTCCTTGGTGGGAAGTTGAATCTGCAAGAACTGCTCATTACCAATTGGCGGACGCTGGCTGCCAGACGAGTTATACCGGTCCATCAGTAAGCAGGCCCACATCGTGCGTCTCCTGATCTCTCGATCCGTGAAAGTCAGCTGGGATGTACTGTTGTTGCCCTGTCCCAACAGGGGGTCGTGGTCGAGCTCTCTGTGTAGTTGCAAGGCGTAGGCCATGCGCATGGCTTGTCCTCCGAAAGACCAGCTTCGACCACCATGGCAGGTCCCAAATTCGTGTAATCCCAAAAGCAGGAACACAGTCAAAATTGTTATATTGGGCTCGTCGTGTCGACTCATCGCGATGTGCGCCGCTGGGTTGGCCCAGTTCTCGCCGCGCAGGAAGGGCGGGTCTGACTTAACCTGTGGGTGGGTCGAAAAACGAGCAGAGACGGCGCAGAGGGCTAAAATCAATACCGGCGGAATGGTTCGGGCCTTCAATCTCCGCATGAAGCTAGGCTTATGGAGGAGAAGATAGGATTGGCCGTAGACGCAGTCGAAAAATACCTCCGCAAGATGCTCCTGGATCTCTAAAGATGGCAGGAATTCAGCCCCTTCCGTCATCAGACTGTTGGGGTCACCGGACCTGCTCTCGCGGCGCATAGGGAAAGTATCCGGTGGCCCTCTCCGGTCGCCTTGCGCCCATTCGTCCATTTCGGCCCCAAACGCATCGTCCGCCGACCGTTTCTTCTGGGCCTTGGAGACCTGTCCCGGCTGAGGTGGTCGGACGTTCGACCGCCCGATCGCGGTCATGTCTCGCGTCTCCTCCTTGGGAATCATCTTAATGACACGGTCCTCCATCCTCTTCAGGCGCTTGTCCAGCATCGCCATGTAGTCCGTTCGAGGTGCCGCTTTCCGAGTGGTGACTTTGTAGACGCAAGGGATTCGAGAGCGCGAGCAGTGTTTGCACGCCGGCTTCTCGCCGGAGCACCGGATCTTCTTCCTCCTGCACGCAATACAGGCCAGGGGAAGGCGTTTCCGCTCCTTCCCGGCCTTGGTTTTCAACTCCGTCCATGCGGGCCTGTCTTCATCCTTCTGCTGCGAGTCGGGATTCTGAGAGAAATCATTGTTGGTGGCGTCCTGTGCTTGATCTTGGCTGGCGTCGGCTATGTGGGGATCGCCCACGGTTTGGACGCTACCGGGGTCTCTCGAACTGGCTCGACTCTGAGCGTCGAACTCATCGGGGAGAGCAGCATCATCATTCCGCAGAGCTGGGCCCACGGAGGAAACCAAGGGAGATTCGTCGGACTCGGGAGGGATCATGCCGGGAGCGGGTACCCCAAGAATAACGCGCGGGGCATCGTTCGGCAAGACTGGAGAAACTGAAGATCGGGGGTGAGCGGGGAGGAAGAGGGGAGAAGGGAGGAAAGTCGAAGTGGTGCAAGAAGGAATACAGCCAGTGATCTGAAAGCAGTTGGCGAGGAAAAGGACGGGTAAAACCACAGGATGAGGCCAACTGAATCTCGCGGGTTTAGACTCTGGGGAAGAAGAACCTAAGGTGTCGGGTCGGTCAGTGGCGGCTTGGCATATCGGGGATTATTAACGGCTCAATCATCCACCACCACCCGTGGTGATTATTAATAAATGGATCGATGGATGGATACTTATAGATCCAGCTTGATAAAGATCGTAGGTAAATGGGATAAATGACTGATGAAAGTAGAAAATGAAGAAAATACCAGAGGTTGCGTGGTCGACGTTATTCTGTTGGACACCTATACTATGTGTCCACAGCCTTAAACCGTTTCCAATTTGAACAATCCCCTTGTTTGTTTCTCAAGGAGAGACACACCCCGCGGAAATTTCCGGACGTCCTCAAGACCTGCGATTGCCACTGGTAGATATTGAAGCTCGAGAGAAATGCTGGTAAGTTTCCGTAGGTGTTGATTCGATGGTACTAAATATACGTATAGCAAAATATAGTGTTGTATAAGGGCAAGCTTGCCAGCAGAGACGTCAAGAAAGTAAAAAGTGAAGAGAAATAAGGAGAGCAAAGACAGATAGCACGTCTACACGTGGTTAATTAAATTTCAAACACCGAAGGAGTATATAGGAGGTACCTTCGCTGCGATAGATGCCTTAGTTCAAGAGCTCCTCTGTCGTCGATCCAATCAATCCTCGGCGCACGGATGGCGTACAACCCTGGTACAATTACACATGCATAGCAGAGCCAATTAATAATAGGTTGATAACAACGGGATTGTGGGATCAATTTCCTATCCCTGTTCGTCCATCTAGAATTGGTATGAGAGCGCCGTCTCTGCTGGTTAATCACGGGTTGTCTGTTGATAGTTTGCAGCATTTGCTTGTCTCTCCAACGCCATCCCACTAATGGAGAGAGAATCGTCCATATCGACGTGCTATTGATTTAGGTTTATTATGAGGGACTAAATCCTTCATACCGTCCATCAGGAGAAAGATGAAGTACAGTGTAGCAAGTACTATTGAACTTCTGGCCCCCTCATCCGACCATCTCGGTTAGTGTGCACGTGATGTGACCACTTCGGGGAAAGCGCAGGATCTGCTACCATGCGAACCTCGTATTAATGAAAGACGGACCCTGATCAACAGAACATGCTACAGCCACCGCGAGTTTAGTCTCTCGTGCGCTGAAAATGGACTCAGAGGACTCGGGAAAGGTGCGAGCAATCAAGCTTTCGTTCTCTCTTGAAACCGCCTGACTTGATTTCCAGAAACCCGATCGCCTGGCGCGAATCAGAGAAAATCAGCGCAAGAGCCGCGCAAGGAAACAGGAGCATGTCCGGGAATTGGAACAGAAACTATACGCTTTCAAAGAAGAGGCCAATCGCAAAGATATTGAGCATAGAATTGCGGTCCAGAGGTTGGGGGCGGAGAACAGAAAGTTGAGGCATCTTCTCTCTAGCATGGGGCTGCCCTCCACTGCTGTCAGTGAGTACCTCGAGATAGACAGTGATCTGGGGGTGACCCAGAAAGTGGCAATACCTGCCCTTCGACGGCAGGAGGTCAAATGCCAATCATCCAGCCCTGAGAGGAACAGCTTCCAGTCGACTCCATCTTCAGAAAGGGGGGATTCTATTAACGGTAGCGCCCATTCAGCTCAACCACATCAGGCGAATGATGGGCATGGTTCAGGGAACGATTGCAAACCGCTGAATAATGGCAAATCGTGTGGATCTCCTCAGAGTTATTCAATCTGTGGCTGTCCTCCTAGCGACACAGACCCATGGCCCTCGAATGATGACGTTCTGAACACTACGCTTTGCGCCATTGCAGAAGAGCTCATTCAACAATACAACACGCGCGGCTTAGACATGGAAGAAATTCGCAAAAAGCTCTGGATTGGCTTCTCCAAAGGTCTTAGGGATGATGGGTGCAGGGTGCAAAATCAAGTTCTATTCCAGGTTCTGGACGAAATCAGTAACATGTGAACTGATCATTATTATCTCGCTATTACGTCTATCGCTTCTATATGCCTGCAGGCTTGTCACGTCAACACCAGCAATCATGGTGCCCACTGCCGTCGCTTGGAAAACCATTTCACGGCGTACACCAAGCCAAGGAGTACAGGGACCTCGATGAGTGGTCCGACAGTCGCAGCAAGGGCCTGGTCACTGTCGACACCGAACGTGGCTATCGCCACCGCAATGGCCAATTCGAAGTTGTTGCTTGCGGCAGTGAAGCTTTGTGTGCAGGACAGCTTGTATCCAAAGCCGAAGCGGCGTGTCACCGCTAGGGTCGCCAGAAAGATGACAGAGAAATACACAATGAGCGGAGCTGCTACTCGAACAACCGATACAATCTGGTGTACCACGTGCCTTCCTTGCGCGGCGAAAAGCACCAAAATGGTGAACAGGAGACCAATCAGCGACAGCGGACCGATCCACGCCAGGAATTTCTTATCGTACCATTCCTTGCTGACCAGGAATCTCAAGGAAAGGCGAGTGACGATGGCCGCTCCCAGCGGGATGCCGAGGAAGACACCGACACTTTTCGCCGCGAGGTCATACTCAATGGTCACGTCGTCGGAGCCACTGATGACACTGATGAAGAAAATCGCAATTGGGGCAAACAAGACCATCTGTAGGATTGAGTTGATGGCGACTAGAATTGCGCAATATTCGTTATCTCCTCCTGCTAGTCCTGTCCACACAAGCACCTGGGAATCCGTTAGCAGTTTATCAAACTATACACTGGATAATAAGGTCACAATACCATTGCAATGCACCGTGCGATTCCGACCAGGATCAAGCCCTCTCGAAGCCCTCTCTCGTCCGGAAGAAAAGCCCACGCAAGAGCCAGCTAGAAATACACATCAGCCACTGCCCTGAGTGTGTCTTTCAAAGAGGGCTTACCATAAATAGAGGAGCTATTATCCAATTGACGATGATACTGAATCCAACCTGGATCCAGAGCGACTTCTCCGAAAATGACCGATGGAGAGTCTCATAGCGGACCTTGCAAAGGATGGGATACATCATAACCAGCAGCCCGACCGCTACAGCCATTAGCAATTCAATCTCTTAGCAGATTTCCTGTAGAATATCCCTTACCAATCGGAATCGAAACACCAACAAACTTTCCTCTGTCCAAGGCCTTGCTCGTGTTAGGGACAAAGTTCCCAAGGATGATGCCAACGGCCATGGCGATAAAGATCCAAAGAGCCAAAAACTGATCCAGGATGCCCAGCTGCTTAAAGGCTGACGTTGGCTCTGTTTCGTTGCGTTCGCCGTCAACAGTAGAGCATTCTGGACTGTTGCACGTCTCCAAATCGGCTGGCGGACATTTTTCCCCGGTCATCTTGTAGTCGATATGCTTTCATGCACAATATCAACTATGATGTGTGTTATCCGGTTCGAGCGGTGGTATATGATTCGTAGTGTGAGAAATCAATGTCAAACTTGAACACCAGGGATAGCAATATAGGGCTCCACCAAGACAGCTTTTGAGCGGGTGGAATGCCAGAAATTCCCCACCAGCCAATCATACCGAGGCAGTGACATACCGGTAGTCACGTGGACTAGAACTATATACATTCGACGTTTCGTCCACTTGGCTCTAAGAATTCTTTCACCACATTCTGGTTATCTCGAATCTCTCTGTCCTCCTTGTCTGTTCCCATAAACTCGACGTGACTAATAACAGAACCAGGAGTTCCATGTGAGAAGGCAAGACGCAAGCAAGCTTCCCGTAGCTTGTCAACCAACCCTGTAGTATCCTTCGAGCCTGAATCACGAATCGTTCCGATTGATATATTCCACCACTTTGGCACCAAACAAAGCAAAACGCGGGATCTATCGCTTTCTACAATTGTTTCGAACTGCGCCTCATTCTCGAAGGTGATTGGATCAAGATGTTTTTTCCCCATGGAAACAGCCCAAACCGGCTCATAATGGTGCAAAAGCCGGCCTCTGCGGATATGCCAGCATGGGTCACACCCTGGACGAACTTCTTCCAGGAAAGGGAAGATGGAGTTCAACGTTGGCATTGAAAAATCTAGCATAGTCAGTTGCATATGTCTTGGGGGGCTGTAGAAAAGGGGAAAACCGACAATCTGGGCTATGATAGACCTTCAATACAATTAACTCCAGCAACTCCTCCTCCCTGTCCAACGACTGACTCAGTGCATCATCAACGGTATCCTGTGAGCTCAGTTCAATAAGATGGGAGCGAAAATCTCGGTTGATGGCTCTGGCTGAATTAGTTATGTTACAAGGATGTTTAGCTCAATCCTTACCGCTGTTCAACCTGGGACTTGACGCGCTGCTGTTCAGCGTCTGATATGCCTTTCAAGGGACGGGGTTTATAGTCGTTTAATATGAGAGGCATTTTCACAGAGAATGTGTATGACTCTGAGAAGTCATATAAGACTGTGTCATAGAAGTCACCAGGGATTCGAAAATGCCGGTCCTCAATATCTCCGTGTGTTACATTGATCCGATGTAAGGCATCCAGGCGACGAATTCGGTCTTTCAGCAAGGAACAGTACCATTCATATTCAAATGGACTCAGGGGTGAATTCGTTAGAATGTCTGAAAAAGGTTCGGGCAACTGAGTGGTGTTCTCACCCAGAACACGTCGGGAGCGAAAGCTCGGTCTAAGGGCTTCTAACACGATTGCCCGCTGATTCACACCTTCAGAAGAGTATCGTTGCATGTCGGTGACTACACCATGAAATTTTGGAAAGTAGATTCTTTCGTGGGCAGGGCAGAATCGGTAAATGTGGGTATATGCCCGAGCCTCCTGGCAAAACCTATCAAATTCGTGAACAGCATCGTCGATAACATCCCGAATCCGACGTCCTGCTAGTGCTGTCGGGCGATAGTGAATTCTCTGTAGGGCGTGGGTCCTGGTATAATCGGGAAACTAGAATGTGGTTAATCCAGGCAAGATGTGCAATGGAAATATCGACTGACAATTTTGCCCACGTATTTTCTGTGTCCATTACTCCAAAGCCAGAACACCTGTATGACTTCAAAACCTGTGTATTGTGCTTGATCAATCCGTCCTCGTAGTTTCAAGTCTTGACCTTCTGGAATGAACCGTGAGAAGTCTTTGTCACTATTGGTTTCTGTGGCTTTGATGGACTCTGGAGGGTCGCCAGAAAAAAACAAATCTGTCCAGACAATAGGTTCATTACCCATGACGAGCATGTACGCGCGATTGAACGGACCGACTATCAAGCAAAGCCCCGAGCTAAATCTTGAATTTTGCTGGCGAAGAGTAAAGCTGAGGACGAATCTACTAGTTGGGAATATTGGGGAAGATATAGTCTTTTATAACGTGGGGAGTTAGGGTGTCACAAGGGATAAGTATATCTCAGCAATCCAGGCAGCAATAGAGACGTAGGCAGCAACGGACACGTGATACAAGCCATATCGCTTACAGTTATCATCTCAGAGGTCCAAGTCCACCTTCCTCCGACAGGGTAGCATGTCACTATCCATACTTAAGGCCGATATAAGCCCCAAATTCTTCCATTTCCTGCCCCTGACCGAGCACTTCTACACTTTTATCAGCAAAACATATACCAGCTAAGATGTCCTATTATCTACTCGAGGATGCAATCAATTAATTCTTTTCTGGCTGCAATGTCACAGGGGAGGAATGCGACCAAGCTGTTACTAGAATTGCTAGTGTAGCTTTGGAACCAGTTCAACTTCAAGGAGTTTTTAGTTACTGTAACAGCTAGAAATCATCTTACATAATTCCGGGTTTCTGGGTCTCTTAGATATAGAAAGACTGGCTTTTGCTAGATTTTTTGCCAATTCAGGGGTGAACCGGTTGACAGAACCTCATCACTCCGAGCACTCTTTGGCAGAAATTCAATACAAGCCTGATATACTTGCACGACAGCTCCCTTCGCAATTTTCACACATAATCTGTTAGATTCGCGAAGAGCTCCCAGCAATCTTTGTCCCCGGGTATCCGTTAGCTCTAACTCACACTGACCTATGTGAGATAAGTATCATTGTCAATGCTGAAATAGGAGGGATCAATGGAGTCATTGATTGGGCCGAAGCAAAGGTTTTGCCGTTTGAAATATCTCTCTGGGGTCTCCGGAACATGCTGGGTACTATGGACTCAAATGGTTGGCATTGCCACAGAAATTATTCCATACTAGAAGCCCTGTTCTGGGGTATATTCTATAGACATGTGGAGAAGGTGGAAAAAGTCTCTGATGATGATAAACATGCTATGAAGATTGCTGAACGGGCTGGATTGGTTCTTCTTCATGGGTTCACTTGGGAAAATAGTGTTTTCGAAAGGCCCGTGAATAAGCAAGTTTTTCCGATTAGATATTTGGATGCAATCTTACCCTGCTTGGAGGATTGGGTACGAAATGACTATCCCGTCCGAGGATACAGATGCAATAGGCAAGGACCAGTCAGTCACCTAGGTAAAAAAATCATATTCCGTTTAAAGATTGACATGTAGGCGCATGAAAGCGATTCAAATCAAAGGAAGATGTTTTGCGGTAATATTTGGAAAAAGGAAAAGCAAGCTACAGGAGGGTTTCTTCCCTCTTGAGAATTTTCTAAGTATGAATCAATATAGTATGAGATATTTTGTAAAACACACTCAGACGAATAAGTTCATCACAATCCATCATGATCTTCTTTCCCAGCCATCCTCCCCCTATTATCAGATAGCCCCTTTAATCAAGATATCATCTTGTTTCAAACCATCAAGCGACTCCATTCATGGTTTTATCACCCATAATGCCCGTTTTCCAAACCATATACCTAGAGGGCACTAGGATCTATTGGGGAAATAGCCGGGGTTTACCCTGGGCTAGTTAGTAGGTGACTGAAGATGACATCATCCCAGATGTTCCTACAGTTTCCTATACATGGTCTACGTTGCTTGAAGCTTCCTAGAAGTCAGAATTCCCAGGCAGGAATACTGATATCAATAGATCTAAGAAATCAAACATGACTGATAATCATGCGTAATGGGAAGGCTTATCTGGACTGTGTGCCACCGACGTTGACAGAGGGGCCCCGTCTCCGGCCTATTTTTCTCGGGTATTTGTGTATCGCTTGTTGTTACGGCTTTGTAGCTCTTCGGCAGTCAGGATAGATGGGTTCCCGACTCCTTGTCAACCCCCCTGCATGGTTACTGGGTTGATTGAGACAGCAGGGGAGAGCTCGAACTGGCCCTTGCGGCCAAAGATTCAACCACCTTGTGGATCGTGAACTACCTTGCCAGGTGATCTGACATGAGTCGCAGATAGGATGTAATTTCCATTGGCTCAAGACCCGATAAATGTCCGCAGATGAAGAACTGCATCGGAGGTCGGCCCGATGGAGTACGGAGGGAAGCACTGGTGACACCGTAACATTATCCCTGGAGTAGGAATGACGTTTGGCTCGATCCATTTGGAGCACGACAGCCTGATCGATGGCCAAAGCGGTAGGAATTAGATAACAAAAACCATAGAAGGGGGAAATATCACCACCCCAGGCCGGGGTAGCTAGTCAGAGTGATAGCTTCCTTTGTTTGGGGAATCCGGAGTATAACCGTGGCTGGGGAAAGGTGAACTGAGGCCAAGATCGATCCATTACCGGATCTGACGGAACGGTCACCATCTGAGAAGTGATTCGAAGGAGAGTTGTGTGTGAGATAGTTGAGAGGTAGTATGTGTATTGTCACAAAATCTGGTAATCTTTCCCTGGCCTTTCGACATCGCATCCCAACCACAACAACTCCATCGCTCCTGCGGGGAAAAGGCGTCGCCAAGGACTCTAGATTCATTGTTCGCCTGTGCGCTGGAAACTTCTGCGTGGGATGAGTTGTTATGATGAGTTGGCTCCGGCATTCATTCCAGGTTCCTTTTTACGCGTCGAGTTGGAAGGGAAGGTATGTCCGATACTACTTGGCTCAGATCGAACCAGGGATATACCTCCTATCTTACCGAGAAGTCCCTAGAAGTGACTGATGGTGCCTAGAATGATAGCTCTAGAGAGAACTGGAGGAATAAATGCCCGATAACCACCAATAGTGGGCCACAGGTTGACTGATCCATTATTACAACCCCAGTGTAAGGTACTCAAGATGAAGTCAGGTCATCCCTCTCGCGATTAATTTACCCCCCATGTTGATCACCATGCCGTACCAAGCAATAGCGGGTCCTCCTTCCCCCCCTTCCTGTTTGTGATTGTAAGACACAAGTCTCTTGGCTGTGAGGTGATCTAGGCTAAAGCCATTGACTAGCTCTCTCAACTGCCTGAAATACATCATTCCTATCTGATTTTTGTTTTCCTATGCAGGTGGTGTCCGCGGTATTTATCAGCTATTAATATCACCTCCCCCCCTCCTGTGTTGTTCCTTGTTCCCCTCCCCTTTTACTTTTAGCTATTCCAGCCTCGCGCAACTTTTAATTCGAGGGTTTGATCGTCCGTTTTCATCGGATGACCTATATGCGACCATGAAGCTCGGTTGGCTTCAGGTAACTGCCGTGACGGCGGCTTCGGTCGTGAGCGCACAGGTACCTACACTTCTTCCACGCTACGGATGACAAATCGCGTAGGAATTCAATGAAGAGCTTCAGTTCTAATTCCATGTTCTCTGCAGGATAATCTCGAGTACTCGCCTCCATTCTACCCGTCCCCATGGGCCAATGGCCAAGGCGAATGGGCGAAGTCGTACCAGCGTGCAGTCGAGCTGGTGTCGCAAATGACCTTGGCGGAAAAGGTGAACCTGACGACGGGAACTGGGTGGATGCTGGATAAGTGTGTGGGTCAGACGGGCAGTGTTCCAAGGTAGGTTGGCTTTGAAATAATGCTAGATCTCGATCGCTGATGAGAGCTAGACTCGGTATTCAATCGATTTGCTTGCAGGATAGCCCCCTGGGTATCCGTTTCGGTAGGTGCCATGTGCTCCAACCCCTATAGCTTGTCTGTGTACTAACGGGGCAGGGGACTACAATTCCGCCTTCCCGGCTGGGATCAACGTTGCCGCGACCTGGGACAAACAGCTGGCGTACCTTCGGGGCCAGGCGATGGGCCAGGAATTCAGCGATAAAGGAATCGATGTTCAATTGGGCCCAGCTGCTGGCCCACTGGGCAGACATCCCGATGGGGGTCGCAACTGGGAAGGTTTCTCTCCGGACCCGGCTCTAACGGGCGTGCTCTTTGCCGAGACCATTCGAGGGATCCAGGATGCTGGTGTGATTGCGACGGCCAAGCACTACATTGCAAACGAGCAGGAGCATTTCCGCCAAACGCCCGAGGCTGAGGGCCTTGGCTTTGAGATCTCCGACACTCTCAGCTCCAACGTCGATGACAAGACCATGCACGAGTTGTATCTCTGGTACGTAGATCGTTTGGGACTTTTATCTGATCTTTGACTGACCATCCGCAGGCCTTTCGCCGATGCTGTGCGAGGTAGGAAGCTTCTGACACAGATATAATTCAAATGCTAATCGAATTCAGCTGGCGTCGGAGCGATCATGTGCTCTTACAACCAAATCAACAACAGCTATGGCTGTCAAAACAGCCAGACGCTTAACAAGCTTCTCAAGGCGGAGCTGGGTTTCCAGGGCTTCGTCATGAGCGACTGGAGCGCCCAGCATAGCGGTGTTGGTGCTGCTCTGGCTGGTATGGATATGTCAATGCCTGGCGATATCGCCTTCAACGATGGTCTGTCTTTCTACGGGACGAATCTGACCATTGGGGTCCTGAATGGCACGATCCCACAATGGCGGGTGGACGATATGGCTGTTCGTATCATGGCCGCTTACTACAAGGTCGGCCGTGATCGCCTCCACACCCCGCCGAACTTTAGCTCTTGGACGCGTGATGAGTTCGGTTTCGAGCACAACGCGGTCTCGGAAGGCGCCTACGAGAGGGTGAATCACTTTGTGGATGTGCAGCGGGACCATGCTCAGATCATCCGTCGCGTTGGTGCCGACAGCGTGGTCTTGTTGAAGAACGAAGGCGCGCTGCCCCTGAGTGGCAAGGAAAAGAAGGTCAGTATTCTGGGCGAGGATGCAGGCTCCAACCCCTGGGGTGCCAATGGCTGCGACGACCGCGGATGCGACAACGGCACGCTTGCCATGGCCTGGGGCAGTGGCACGGCCGAGTTCCCCTACCTCGTGACCCCCGAGCAGGCGATCCAGAGCCAAGTGATCAATGGCCGGGGCAACGCGTTTGCGGTGACCGACAACTGGGCTCTGGACCAGATGGCCAAGGTGGCTGCTCAGTCGAGCGTGGCTCTTGTTTTCGTCAATGCCGATGCGGGCGAGGGTTTCATTAGTGTGGACGGGAACAACGGTGACCGCAAGAACCTGACGCTCTGGAAGAACGGCGAGGAAGTCATCAAGACCGCGGCCAAGAGCTGCAACAACACCGTGGTGGTGATCCACTCGGTCGGGCCGGTTCTGGTCGATGAATGGTATGAACACCCCAACGTGACCGGGATCCTCTGGGCTGGTCTGCCCGGCCAGGAGTCGGGCAACTCCATCGCCGATGTGTTGTACGGTCGTGTCAATCCCGGTGCCAAAACTCCGTTTACCTGGGGCAAGACGCGTGAGGCGTATGGTGCTCCATTGGTCACCAAACCCAATAATGGCAAGGGCGCGCCCCAGGCCGACTTCACCGAGGGCGTCTTCATTGACTACCGCGGGTTTGACCAGAAGAACGAGACTCCCATTTATGAGTTCGGCTACGGTCTGAGTTACACCACCTTTGGGTTCTCCAATCTCCATGTCTCACCTCTGAAGGGCCCCGCGTACCAGCCGGCCTCGGGCAAGACCGGAGCGGCCCCGAAGTTGGGCAAGACCGGCAAGGCGTCTGACTATCAATATCCCAAGGGACTGCACCGCGTCCATCAATTCATCTACCCCTGGTTGAATTCGACTGATCTGAAATCATCCTCCGGCGATCCCCACTACGACCGTGACGTCGATGAGTGGGTGCCCGAGGGGTCGCACGACGGATCTCCCCAGCCTATCCTGCCTGCCGGCGGTGGCGCAGGGGGCAACCCGCGTCTGTATGAAGACCTGTTCCGAGTGTCTGTCACCATCACGAACACGGGCAATGTTGTGGGTGACGAAGTTCCTCAATTGGTAAGACGCAACACCACCCAACAGTAAATCAAATACTAATTCAATATAGTACGTGTCTCTCGGTGGCCCTAACGAGCCCAAGAAGGTGCTGCGCAAGTTTGAACGCCTGCACCTGGCCCCCTCGCAGCAGGTTGTGTGGTCGACGACGCTGAGCCGTCGGGATCTTTCCAACTGGGACGTGCAGAAGCAGGATTGGGTCATCACTCCTTACCATAAGGAGATCTTTGTGGGCAGCTCATCTCGACAGCTGCCCCTCCATGCATCTTTGCCCGCTGTGTAGTAGGGTTGATTCTATTCGCTTGTACAGATTTTGGATGTACATTGGATAAACGTGGGCTAGGTTTCTGTGGTCTCACGATACATTCCTGCATTCTTAACTTCTTTTCTTAATATTAATCTATTATGACCACTTCCATAATAACTATATTTGAAGCAACTTCGTAGTTGTAATTGTCTAGACCATCATGATCGATACTAGTGCATCTAAACTTGGACGTGCCGAGGTCTTGGCGTTAACATTAATCGACGTCATCTCCTCCGGCCACCTTGACCCTTCGCACCCTTCTCTCCGACTCTCTTCCGCCATTCCAATTCCCTCCCTGTCGACTTAGTATACCAATCTTCTACACCCACACCCAAAGGGACCTCGAATTATCCATATATCACCAATCCCACCAATCCTCCCAAAAGAAAAACGAGAGAACAACCCACAGCAAAAGGGGGTCGAAAGGGAACCGAAACCAAGAAAAAAAAATAGACACAGACAACAGACACCATGGCCACCCCAACACGACCATCACCAACACCACCCACCCGACAAAAACATAAACAAATCCCAGCCTACCTCCTCGCCGCCTACCCAGCCACCCTCCTCCTCGGCTCCCTCTTCTCCGTCCTCTCCCCAACAGCAGCCGGCTCCCGCAACAACACGCCCTCCGCGATGCACACCGCCGGCATCGCGGGCCCCCACAAACCACCACCAGCGGTAAACTACTTCGCGCGCAAAGACAACATCTTCAACGCTTACTTTGTCAAAATCGGCTGGTTGTGGATGACGGCTGCTTTTGCGTCGCTGGTCGTCTCGCAGCCGGCGTACACTGCGGCAGGAGCGGCGCAGCGCCCGCGCAGGATCGCCCAGGCTGTGGGGCGGTATGCGCTTGCGACGCTCGCTTGGTATCTGACGACACAGTGGTGTTTTGGGCCGGCGGTTATTGATCGCGGGTTTGTGATCACTGGTGGTGGGTGTGGTGGCGCCAGCAGTAGTATCAGTGGTGCGGATGGGTTGAGGGGGTTGGTGACTGCTGCTGCTTGTAAGGGGGCTGGGGGGCGGTGGAGTGGGGGGCATGATGTTAGTGGACATGTTTTTATGTTGGTGCTTGTTACTGGGGTTTTGGGTTTGAGGGGGTTGGGGCGAGGGTGGGTAGTGGGGTGGATTCGGTGAATGGGGAAGATGGGGGAGAGAAGGTGGGAAAGAAGGAGGAGGGCCAGGATGAGGTTGTGAGGAAGTGGGCGGGGAGGTTTGTGGGGGTTGTTTTTGGGCTGAGTTGGTGGATGTTGTTGATGACTGCTATTTGGTTTCATACTTGGTTGGAGAAAGTGAGTTCCCTTGCTTATATTCGAGGTTTGTTGTTGATGGTTGATTTGGTGGCTAATACCTTTTGCAACAGTGGAATGGGCTTTTCCTTGCCCTGGCTACCATCTATTCGATCTATATCTTGCCTCGACGGGCTGGGGCATGGAGGGACGTGGTAGGAGTTCCGGGAGTATAGATTATACATACTATGACATCGTCCTTAGCGGCGTTGGTATACAAAGACCGATCGGTTGATCGATTGGTACATTCTTGTTTGTTTGTACGGATATACTAGAGTTTAACTACACTATTACACAACTCCACTATTACCTACACGACGCACCTTCATACCTTGTCCAGTTACATCCAACCTCACTGCTCAGGTAAACCACTAGGCTCCTGACCCAAATATCCCCGTTGAAAAGCTACACCCATCAGCCTAAATCCCTACCCTCCTTACAGACCAGACGGAAACTCACCTCCAGGAATCAGCGCCGCGGCATACATAACCCGCGTAATCGGTCGCAGGTCTTCCGGCGTGGTACTACTCTCCGATGAGACCCTCATATACGGATTCCATGCGTCGAGGATCGCCTGTGCGTATTTCGTGAGGTCCACCGCGCGGTCTTTCTCGGATGACTGGCCCGCCATGCACTGGAGGCCGAGACCGGTTCCGAACTCGCGGAAGGCGAGCCGACGCTGGATGCTGCGGTTGAGGTAGTTGTCGAGTTCGAAGAGTTCGTCTTGCAATATTATCAGCATCACTCGACCTCAACTATGAGATAGGGAGAGAGAGAGAATACAAATCTGCTCAAAACACTGCTCCGCCAACCTCGTCGCCCACGCCTCCTTCTCCACAAACCAATGCGCCGTCCACATCGACATCCCCAAATCCAACGGATCAGACGACACAAAATGCGACCCCTTCCTCGCCATCACCCGTCTATAATCCTCAATCTCATCCTCCAAGACAGGACGACCCCCCGCCTGCCCCTCAGCCGCCTGCAGCAGCCTAAACACGACGAACCCATCCAAAGGATCCAAATTCCCCTCCGACGAAACCAACGGCCTTGACAGGTCCGCCGCCATCTTCCACACCATCCTGGGGCGGGCTGACTCGCGGTGCAGGACGAATTTGGGGTGGATGGCGCGCGCGAGGGAGACCGCTTGGTGGTTGTAGGCTGCGTCGCCTGTGGCTAGGGAGAGCCGGTTGAGCGCGAACATCCACAGTGTTAGGTAGTGGTGGTATTGACCGTCGCCGTCGGGGCCGTGCTCTTCTTGTTTTCCGATGCGGAGCCCCCCGCCGAGGGGATTGGTTTCTGTGGCGCCTGGGAGGCGCGTAGGGTTGTTGGTGTTGCGTGTGCGGCCGAGGATGTCGTGGACTGTGTGGACGAGGCGGCGGGCGAGGGTGAGGTAGGGATTGTTGTTGTTGTTGTCATCATTGTGGCGAGAGGTCTCGCGGTGGAGGGTGATGAAGTTGAGGACGCCGAATGCGTCTGTCCAGAGGTAGCGCCCTTTGTGGCCGCCGGAGTTGGGGGGCGGGGTCCATGTTTGGGGGTCGGGGATGGAGTATAGGTTGGGGCCGTAGAGGGATTGTTGGGCGGCGAGGAAGCGGTCGAGTCGAGATGGTGGTGTGGCGGATGTCATTGCTCTGATTGGGGGTTTGGGGGGCTTTTGGATGTATTTGGGGATGGATCTTGGTATCCTCATGTTATGTTATGGGGGAGTCGTGTAGGTGTAACTTGTTGGATTGGGCGATATGGAGTCTAGATGGTCTGGAGCGGGATGAAGTCATCATGATCTCGTATCGCCTTAGGGTTGATTTCCGTTTCGAGTAAATCACTTTGGACGTAGTTGAGTATACTTAGTGTTGGAATGAAATGATTCAGTAATATTTTGCAATGATATCTTGCTTCTGGATCTGAATTGTAGGCTGGATTGAATCATAACTGACTCGACTCTCCTGGTGACGTACGGAGTATATGAAACGAACGTTGCAGGTTGATGGCGAACAGCACGCAGGACCTCATGCAGATCAAGCTTCTTCCACCGATCTGTCCTAGCTGCATGCATGGGGTTATTGTTCCAGAATAACGGAAGGATGGTATGATCTACTACTCGCATGCGCGTTCTGCAGTCAGGTACGAATGTTCCTCCTCGAGGTAGATGCCATCACTGTAGAGACGGTCTGTGCTGTTTCACCTTGAAACCATTACGAATGATCCATTCGACTGATTGTGAATTCAATATGCTAAAGCTGCATTTATTATGCACGTATTCTATAAATAATGGGGATTAGCGCCCAGATCCCTTTCGAATTGCTCGGATGCTGGTTGACAAGACATGATGGTCAGTGGTGAGATAACGGCGCTTACGGTTAAACTGAGGAACCATACACTTGCTTGGATAGAGTAGACTCATATAATAGAGTTAATATCTCTCGATTATCAGGATAGAAAGAGAATGATCCCAGACCTCATCTATATCCTCCATTACTAGATTGGGTAGGGTTATGCTATGCTGTATGCGGTTAGTATAGTTAGCACAGCTGACTCAGCCGCTCACCGCCCCCGGCACTGGCGTCATTATTTTTGTTTACTTTTCGAATCTCTCGCTTTCTCTCCCTTGATTCCCGCTTCATCCCATCCATCGTCTTCATTCTTGATCCCACTTGTCCGTGACTTGATCTCCATCATCATTCTTGTACATTTAATCTCTTGCACAATTGTATTCGATTGACCTCACCTTTTTCACCCCCTCGCGACATCATGGCGATTCGTCGCTCCGCCCGCCTGCGTGATCGCTCGACCTCTGCGGTATGTCTCCCCCGAAATAGCAGTTGTTTGTGTCGGATGCGCGCCCTTGCATCATTCGCGACTACTGGCTGATCCTTGTTTATCTTGATAGGAACCGCAGGCTACCCCAGAGCCGACCACAAACAATAACACCACTTCCAAGAACAACGTCAACAATAATAAGGACGCCCCTAGCAACCGCCATCAGACAGATAAGCTCCCCTCCGTCATGGAACACGATGAGACGCCTGCCCTCGAGGACTTTCCTGTCGTCCCCAAACACGCGCCGGGCACGCCTCTTAAATCCACTCCGCTCAAGTCGACTACACCCAAACCCACGTTGAAATCCACCCCGCTGAAGTCCACTCCGTTGAAATCCACTCCTCTCAAGTCCATTCAAAGATCCCCCGCCAAAACTCCTACGAGCGTGTTTACCCGCCCCCCTCACCAAGAGATGCACCCCAGTAAGGTGCACCAAAGCACCACCAAGCAGGCCGATTCCGGCTTGATCCTGGGCTTCAACCCCATCAAGAAAGACGCGTCGGGCAATGTGGTGAAGAACAATGTTCAAGACACCCCCACCAAGGCCAATGCCTCTCCCGCTTCCACCCACTTCGGCACCCCGGGATTCGAGTTCAAGTTTGCCTCGCAGGAATCAGAGCTCAGCGATGAAGCCAGGAAGCTCATGGAGAGTGTGCGTGGAGATGTCGCCAAGATCAAGGCTCAGATGATCCAGAATCAGGCCAGTGAGCCCGAACACGAACTCCAGTCCGCAGACCGCATATTTGCGCACCCCAAGGGCCAGGCCAGCCGCTTCAGCAACGCTCACATGGCCGAGTTCAAGAAGATGGACTCCATCGCCGGACACGCGTCTGCCTTCCGTGCCACCCCTGGCCGCTTCCAGCCCCTGCAGAAGACCCTCAAGCGCACCAACTCCAAAGCGCGTCTCGATGAGCCCGAGAGTCAGGGTTCGCCCAGCAAGTCGGCTCGTAAGCCTTCCCCCGCCGACGCGCCGGCGGCCGGTGCCAAGCGAGTCAAGCACGACAGCTCAGATGACGCGTCGACTCGCCGTCCAACCACGGCCGATACCCCTTCGAAGCCTGTGCAGGCGCGTCCCCGTCCTCGCCCTCGTTCCACGGTCCGCAGCTCGCTACTCACCCCGACCCGGGCCTCGTCCATGCGCGCTGCGACCAGCCTCAAGCCACCTCGCACCAGTATGATCCCGTCGCTGGCACGATCGCCTATCTCGAAGCCGTCGGATGCGCCGCACACCCCACGCACAGAGTTCAACCCTCGATTCAAGAGCAATCTCCCCTCGCTGGGCAACCTCAAGTCGATCCTCCGCCGTCACCAGCCTCTATTCTCACGCGACCCGGCCAAAATCGCCTCCGGTACCCATGTGGCTGCTCCGGACTTCACCTCGAGCATGATTTTCGGCGCGCCTCGTGAAGACGGCTCGGACGAGCTGGCGCGGACGCCGTCGCCGAAGAAGCGTGTGGAATTCAACTTCAGCACCAACGCCCCAGAGGGGCCCCCCGAGTCGCCCTCGCCCTCGAAGATTCCTAAATCAGCGCGTTCCTTGGAGCCCGTCTCCACCGACGTGGTCTATCCGACCTTGCCCACCTTGACCCCGGAGCGAGGCTCGACTGAAGTGCAATCGCCGTCCATCCGCCACGTCCGCCCCTCCGACGTCACAATTGACACCCAGCTTCCCGAGGTCTCAGGCATTCCCCATGGCATTCGCCACAAGAAAGGCAACCACGAGACCTCTGAGGCCCCACGTGATCCCAACGGACCCGACATCGCTGGGATCCCTCATGGCATTGGCCATCGCAAGCGGGTGCGGGAAGATGTTGACGACGAGGTTGACACCGAGAACGTGCCACCCGAGGAGCCGGTTGAAGGGCGCAGCATCAAGCGCGTCAAACTTGTGCCAACCCCCGCCAAGCTTGCTCCAAATCCTTCCAAGCTTGCTCCTACTCCTTCCAAGCTTGCTCCTACTCCTTCCAAGCCTGCCCCTACTCCTTCCAAGCTTGCACCAACTCCTGCCAAGCCTAGCTCTAGCCCGTTCAAGTCGCGTTCCCACACCCCGCAGCGATCGAACTCCATCACCAGCAAGGGAACGCCGTCGAGTGCACGACCCAAGAGCCGGGGAGCGCTCAGCATGAGTCGACTGAACATGCTGTCCCAGCCCAAGAGCCGCCCATGACCTCGTCTCCCTGAATAACTAACGACTGCAACACTACACGGTTTTGACAACTGTCTTCAATTCATTGCCTGCTTTTCTCTCCTATTTGTACGATGGCGTGACACGCAGCGGGTTCACCTCTGTTTCTGTACCATAATTACTTGGGAGCCACCATTTCACACGACTGACTGACTGATTGATTATTTTTGCTGGCGCTTGGATGCATCTGGCATGCGGATGGCGTTTACTTTGACTACTCTTTCCGTTCAACTGGAAGATCAATAGTCTGGAGTTGATTGATATTGTTTGATTTGAATCATGCTGCATTTGTGGATATTTACATTGCTTCTATCTTATCCTGGTTTATCCAAGTCTGTAGTGCCACGTAGATGTATCATGCACACTGTCTTCCTCTTACCCAGTAACCATGCAAACAGAGTACACACTTAACCTAGGCATCTATCTATAGATAGATAGATAATCAATACCCACCACTCCCCTCTCCAACCCCGGCACTGCCCCCAGCAACACCCAAATTCCTCATCATACCCTCCTCAAAGGCCCCCACATCCGTCATGATAGAGATCATATCGAAGCCTTGCTGGGCTCTTTCACGAGCTTGTTCGCCGTTTGTGCCTGATGACACTGTCAGTCCTGCATAAACATCCCTCCCTCCGGTAGAGAAGGGAGGGGGGGAGGGGGAAAAGGGGGGAGAGTAGGAAAATCTTACAGAAAATAGCAGCAGTCTTCCCTGCGCTCTTGGCAGCCTTCAAAATCCGCTGGATAGCAGCTTCGTGTTCGTCTCCGCCGCGCACGACGCCCATTTGTTTGGCGAGGTCGAAGGGGCCTGCATATATCCCCTCGTTAGCCATATGGTCACCATAGCCATACATGTACACAGTACAATCCATCCAATCCCTCCCTTCTTAAAAAAGAGAGAAAAGAGACAAAAAGGAAGGGAAAAAACAAACCAATAAGAACCCCATCCAACCCCTCCACCCTCGCAATCTCCTCCACATTATCGACTCCCCTCTGCGACTCAATCTGCACCATCACAACCAAGCTATCATTGGCAGCCTCGTCGTATGCCACTGCCGCAGACGCGTCGGGGAGCGAGTGAGCCGCGAAGGCGGGGCCGTACCCTCTGCTTCCCGTGGGTGGGTATTTGGTGTATTGGACTATGCGGGTGGCGTCTTCCTGTTTCTTTTTTAGTTTCTTTCTTTCTTCCTTAACCTGATTGATTGGATTGATTGTGGTGGGTGGGTGGGTGTGGGGTGTATCATAGTAGATACTAAGGGAGTGAGTATAAGAGAGAGAGGAAAGGAGATACGAACAGCTGAATGACACATAGGCGTCAAAATCCCATGCGCACCCGCGTCAAGCGCCCTCTTGATCATCCATTCTTCACCCCAGGGGACGCGGATTATGGGACTTGCGTTGCAGGAGCCGATTGCTGTTGTTAGCTTTGTTCCACTGTTAGCACTGTCATTTATTTTCCATATGCAACTGGTTAGATAGAAAACAAGTATGAAGAGGTAGGTAAATAAGGAGATAGAGATATGGAAAGGGCAATACCTCATAATACTCCCTATCAGTAATAAGCCCATGCTCGCCGTCGACTAACACCCAGCTGAGCTTGTGCGGGGATGATGCGGCGGAGGCAGCGCGGAGGATGATTCGCGCTGCTGGGGCGCTGGGGAGCCTGTTTCATCTGTCAGTATTGCTCGTAGATTTGTCATGATTGTTTTTATACGGTATATGGCTGTTTCTTTCTGTAGATGGAGTGAAGTGCAGTACTATGAAGTGGGGGAGAGTATAAGGTTACTCACATCAACCAGAACCCAAAGGCAGTCTGCTTGTTTTGCAGGGTTGTTGTGATTGGTGTTGGGAAAGGCATGTTGATATCTAGTATTTATCTCTGCTGTCTGTGTCTGGTCTGGGTAAGAGTTGAATGAATGAATCAAAGACAGATACTGTAGACAGCGGGGTATAAATGGCATAAATAGGATGAGGGGAAGACACTATTCGGATGTATGGGGAAGGCTGGAATGGGTTTAGTGTGGGGGTCGGAGGTTCTCCGCTTATAACAATAACTATCAAATAACATTGATTATTTTCATTTAGTTAGTAAATATTGATTAAAGAAGTACTAAGTAATGATGATGAAGTGTATGTGCAATTCCTTCCATCATAAATAAAGTATAACTAGAATACATACAGTACAGATCAAAGAAAGAAAGAAAAAGAAACCAACCCATCCAGACTACCCACTACTATAGCAGGCAGTCACTGCAATCGTCGATCGAGTCATTCGTTACCATATCATCAGTCAGGCCACCAACTCCGCATACAACAGAAAAAGGCACAGTAAGAAAAGAAGAAATCAAAAAGAAAAAAAAAAAAAAAGAAAAAACACATATCAAGAAGAAGAAAAAGGGAGAGTGAGAAACACCCAACTCCATCCATCCACCCATCCATCCACTGATCCACCCACCATCCACCAGTCTAAGTTAAGATGAGATAATGTTGACAAGGTCGAAAGTAAATAAAGTAGATCAATCACCCTTCATCGTAGCCAGGAATGAATCCAGATTATACTCCTCCTGGTACTGTCGGTCGTCCCACAACTCGCCCAGATCGTCGAGCCACCCCTTCTTGCCCTTCTCTTTGACTTCGCCGTCGATGTCGACCATGTCGACCTCGTTGCCGGTCGGTTCGCTCGGTTTCTCCGCGTTGTCGGCCGTTTCGCCCAGATTGAACAGGTCCAGGAGCTGGTCTGTGTCCATCGTGTTGAGGCCGGCGTTTTGTTGGTTGACCACCGTGGATGCGACGTCGATCTTGAAGCGTTGGAGGCTGGAATGGTCAGTACTAGATCATACACGATGGAGAATAATAGGGTAACATACTTCAGAATCTTCTCCTCCAGAGTCCCCCGCGTGATCAACCGGTACACGTTCACCACCTTCTTCTGACCGATACGATGCGCTCGGTCCATGGCTTGGATGTCCTTCTGCGGGTTCCAGTCGTGTTCCACGAAGATGACAGTGTCCGCACCCGTCAAATTCAGACCCAACCCACCAACGCTCGTAGTCAGCAGGAGCACATCGTAGCTCGGATCCGTGTTGAAGCGATTGACAATGTCCTGGCGCTTAGTGGCCTCCACGCCGCCGTCCAGACGCAGGAACTGCACAGACGGCAACAGTTTCCGGAACACTTCGCTCTGGACGATATCAAGCATCTCCTTCATCTGGCAGAACACCAGCGCGCGGTGCGGGCTGACGTAGCTGGCTCCCGTCGCCAACTCACCCTCACTAGGCGGGTCCACGCCGATTCCGCAGTCCAGGAGCAGATCGCGGAGGGCGCTGAGCTTGGGCGCGTGCGACACATCCCGGATGTAGGAGTGCTTGGCGTGCAGGTACTGCTGGACTTCGTTGTACTGCTTGTGGCCGTCCTTGACGACAAGGGCCGGGGAATTGCACAGACGCCGCATGTACTGCAGGGCTTGGAAGATGTGCTCTTTGTCGTTCTTCTCGGAGCTGCCCAGCTTGTTTTGGAGCTGCTGCTGCTCCTTCTTGCTGAAGTCTTCGAACAGACGCTTCTGCAGCTCGCTAGGGTCGCAGTAATAGTTCTGGATGATCTTTGGCGGGAGATCATTCAGCACCTCTTCCTTCAGACGGCGGAGCAGGAACGGCAGGACCTGCTTGTGCAGTGCCTCGATCGCCAACGCACCCGCCTCTTGCTCCCTGGAGGACGACTTGCTGAACCGGCTAGCCGCGATGGGCTTGGCGAACCGGTCCAGGAACACCTTCTCCGTTCCAAGGAACCCGGGCATCAGGAAATCGAACAGAGACCACAGCTCCAACACGTTGTTCTGGATAGGAGTACCGGAGAGGATCAACCGGTGGTTGCTGACGACGCGCTTGACCGCCATGCTCACCTTGGCCTTGGGGTTCTTGATCAAGTGGCCCTCGTCGAGCACGCAGTAGTTCCAGCCGTTCCGGTTGATGATATCGATGTCGTTGCGGCAAATATCGTACGATGTCACCACGACATCGGCGTCGGCGAGCTCGCCTCTCAACCGCTGGCGCTCTGACGGCGGACCAACATAGGCAACGCAGTTGATGAACGGGGCGTACTGCTTGACCTCCTGCTGCCAATGTCCCGAAACCGACGGGGGGCAAACAATCAGAGACGGAAGTCTCCGGACCTCCGGCGCTTGTGTCTTTGCAAACTCCTCCGCCCGCAGATGATGGTCGCTGGCGACGATGCAAATAGTCTGGAGAGTTTTGCCGAGACCCATGTCGTCGCAGAGAATACCGTGAAGGTTGTAGCGGTTGAGAAACGCAAGCCAGTTGACACCTTCCTGCTGATACGGCCGAAGCTCCGCCTTGATGGCGACCGGGAGCTTGAACTCCTCGACCTTGCGCACGTCCAACATCTGGGCCATGAACTTCCGCTCCCGCTCACGTCCTTTGAGCAACTCCTCGGAGAAGCCAGGCGGGTCAGGGATACCGGCCTCCAGAGGCACAAGTTTGACCAGAGTGGCGAAAGAGGTCGTCGCCAACAGTCGCACATCGTTGTCCGAATCGCTCATTCTACCCAACACGGGCACGACAAGGAAGATGACGTACGGCAAGATACCGTCCTCCATCACATGGATAAGGTGATAAATGCATTCGATGGCACCTTGGCGGCAGTGAACATCCACAGCATTGTTGATCGTCGGCAAGACCTTCTCGACGAGCATGGTCATACCCTCCACCGTGATGACGCTGCAAATAGTGGCGAAACTCTTCGCGGCAGCATATCGGATGACCGACAGCCTGCACTGGAGTGCCTTGGCGATCAGCGGCATAAGGCCAATGACCCAAGCATGAAGGCCCGGATCGAACTTGGGAAGGAGGGCCCGCAATGTCGACAGTCCGTCCACAACCTCCTGTCCCAGCTCAATTTCTGGATCGAGGATGCTCTCGGGGAGATCGCCGGAGAGTGCCTCTTTCAACGGTCTTTCCACCAGAACCGCAAGGTTAGGAACCTTCTCCAAGAGTTCGGCACCAAACTTGATGGCCAGCTGCTCCAGGGCATCTTTGGCCCCGCGGCGCATGATCCGTGCTTCTCTAGACTCGCGCTCGAACTTGGCCGCATCAGGGTGGTCGCGTCGGTCTTCCTCTTTGCGGAGCGACAAGATAGACTTCTCCAGATTGGCGTTGGGGTGGAATTCGGGTGTCTCGGACGTATCCACGCAGCAGTACTTGACCAAGTTCCCAATAACCTTGTCGGCCGGGCCCCGTTTGGCGGTGGTCGTGTAGTACTCCACCAAGGTCGCAATCGCAGTGGCAGAGCGCTGTTGAAGCTCGGCGTTCTCTTCTTTCTTGATGCTATCCATCATACTCTTAATGATCTGACCGGGCTTCTTCGGGATGTCCGACAAGGCCACCAAGGCCCCCGCCGCGGCAGCCCGAACCCGCATGTCCCGCTGTTCACGGACTTTGCCTGCCTCGTGAATGGCGCTTTCGGCGGTTGCCCGCGTGTCATTGAGAACTTTGATGGCAGTGATCCGCTGGGCAGGCGTCAGGCCCTTCTTGAGCCGCTCGAAATCGGGACCAACCACCTTCTCGGCATCAGCCAATGAGAACGCACTGGGACCGGCTTCGGAGTCACCCTGGACGACGACGGCAAGGACTGGTAATTTCGCGCCAGAAACGTGCGCGTGATCCCGGAAAGCATTGAGCAGGGAGTGACATTGCGCTCGAGCCACGTGGAGGTAGGATGCGATATCACTGTACCACAGGGGGCGATCCCCCTCCACGATCGGGCGTAGCTGATCGCACAAGGAGGCAGTGTATCTGCCATTTGACCTCGATCGTTTTGCATACTCTTCGACAACCATGGCGGTCGAAAGCTGCGATGTGGAGGCAGAATGTTTGAGACCTTCCAAAATGGTCGGCCAGAGGCTGACAAGATCATTCTTATCCCACAGGAATAGCAGCTGCCCAAGGGCTTGGGCGGCATACATCTTGGACCGCAACATGGTATCAGCGCCTACTAGATCAATATCGCCCTGTAGCATATGGCCATCGACATTGTGAGCCGATGACGTGGGTGCGACCTCTTTCTTTTCGGCCTTGCGCCCGCGCTTCTTGGTAGCATCCGGCCCAGCCGGGTTGGAAGTGGGCGACGACTTGGCCGGGGCTGATGCGCTGGAGGGAAAGGGGACACCCGAGGGCTTGATGAAGAGCGAGGCCTTCATGGCCATCGGGTACCGGGGCACACCGAACGGAGCCATGGTCAGGGTAATGAGCGGTTGGATATGAGACAGCAGGTCGGGGTCCGACTTGAAGGTGCCGTGCTGCTCCAAAACCTTCAGCAGCTCAAACCATACTTGGAGAGACTGCTTGAGGACGCCCTCGTTCCGCTCGACGAGCAAGTTCTGGAAGACCAGACGTAGCGCCTTGCCGTTCACCCATTCATCGGTCCCGTCACCCTCGAGCTGGAGGAACGTCGTGAGGGCGCGAAGAACAGCCAAGCGCACACTGGTGATAGTGTGTCGGAGGAAGGGATAGAGGCGAGGAACGAGGTTGCCAAAGGACGACTCGGGATCGGCTGCGGCGTTGGATTTCATCGCATCGAGCACCTCCCGGAATGTGCAGAGCTTCGCCAGCAGATCCATGACGGAGCCCGTACTGGCGCTGAGATCATCTTGCAAATTGGACAGACAGTCCCACACGATGGTCATCAGCGGGCCCAGCGTATTCTGTCGCGACGTGACGAACTCCTCCGCGATGGGGACCAGCGTGGCCGCACTGACCGCACGAACATCGTCGTCGTAGTCGCCGAGCCCCTTCATGACCGCGCTGAGGATACCATCCATGAGGTCGGCGTTTTTGACCAACAAGTCTTTCCGCACCGCCACGAGATACCGCAGGCCGATCATCCCACCGTGACACACCTCCCAAATCGGACGCTCCAAACCGAGGTCTTCCTGCATGACGATCCGGTAGAGGATGCGGTAAACGGCGACGACGGAGCGCGAGGGGAGCTGGGACAGAAGCGCACCGAGCGTCTGGCCGACCGTCTCTCGAATGGGAGCGACCACGTTGTCCGAGATGTAGTCTCCAAAGCGATCCAACATAAGCACGCAGACCAGTCGACACGCCAGATCATCCAACCATTTTCGGTTCAAGGCATCATTCTCGGCTCGGGTTTTGTCGCGGACGCGACCCGCCCCGGCGCCGTGAACGCGGATGACCTCTCGGAGCGCCATGGCTGCCCCGTGGCGAACCTCCCAGTTGGGGTCGAAGATGTCGACCATGAGGAAATCACACATCGGATCATACGGCCACGTGAGGCTCGGGCCTTCCTCCGTCACATCCGGCTGGATGAGCGGCTTCTCGGGCGCCGTTTCCCCCTTGAACTCGGAGACAAGCTTGGAGTCGTCATCATCCCCGGCAGGGCGGTCGAGGGAGAAGTAGTCGGTTTTCGAGTCGCCATTCCGCTCCTCGCCATTTTCCGTCTTGACCGGGTGGGGGGTCGTGACGGGGTGGGGAGTTGTGACGGAGGGGGTGGTCACGTTGTCGGAGAGTTTCCGCGTGGACAGGTCGACGACGCGCACTTTATTGGCCCCAAACTTGGCGCTCTGCTTGTTCTTCCGTTTCAACTGGTTCAGCTGTCGCTTACTGAGACCGGCCTCCTCTCCATTGGCGGGTTCGGTTGGGGAGACGACGGCGTGTTCGGTGGGGGTGTGGTTGTTCTCCTTGGGGGCGATGGTGTTGGGGGAAGGGTCGGCCTTGGGCTTCAGCACTAGGTCGCTGTCATCGATCAGATCCTCCTCGATATACTCCCCCGCCAAGCCTAGTCGTGAGTGTAGGGATTTCTTCTGATGCTGCAACCGGGCCGCCGGATCCATCGACGCCAACGAATATTCGTATTCCTTGCCCGCGCTGCCCAGAAGTCTCTTGCCGTATTTCAAAATCGACACGATATCCAGCGTCTCGGGTCGGAGCAGGCCATCGTCCGCGGACGGCAGATCCTCTTCTGATTTGATCTCGACTCCAAGGTCGTTATCGTCCTCGTCGAGCTTCTTGATCTGTTCGCCGTCATCCTCATTGGGGTCGAAGGGATCTGCGTTTGAGATGATGAGACCGATGGCCTTGGCGGCCGCTGTGCGGGTGTCCCACGATTTCGAGCGCAGGTAGGGCAGGATACGCCCGAGTAAATTGAAGAGCTCATCGGGGTGTTGTTTCTGGACATCGGCCAGTTGCTGCGCAGCGGTATTGCGAATGAGTGACGTGCTGCCCGTCTCCAGCAATCTGCGACACGATTGGTCAGTGTGGGGGGAGGGGAGATCAGGGGACGGTCCTACTCACGTGACCAGACGATCAAGGCTGCCAGAACGGTTAGCGGGATCTGTGACGGTACCAATACCATAATACCAAAACAACACGAGGAACTCACCGGGATGCCATGGCGGCTCAGGGAGATCAACCCAGTTAAATTTGATGGGTGAAATTGGTCAATCTCACCCACCGCTTGGACAGCGCTGGGGAAGAAGGTTCCAAATAACACCGGAGGGATCGTTTGATATGGTCAGGAAGGATCGATCCCAGGGGAGATGCGACAGGGGAGACGGGTGAGGTCAAGAAGAATCAAACAAGACAGGGAAAGGGTAAAAAACGATAATACAAGGAATTACACCCTGGTCACAGCATGGGGAGGAAAAATTAGAAAATGGAACATAAAACGGATAAAAAGGATATAAGGCAGCAAGACTAATGTAGGGGGGGATCGGTAGAGCCGAGTGGGGATTAAAGATAGTTGTAATAAAAAATAAAAAAAAAACCAATGAATCGTCAGAAACCGTAATGAGGTGAAAGTTGAAGGATGAAGGGAAGATAGCGAAGGGGTATTAATGAAAACACGATCGTATCAAAGAGTCCCTAAATAAAACAAGAAGTGAAATAAATAGGAAGGGAAAAGAAAATGGAAAAAAGAAATGAACAAAGAAGAGGAGTCAAAGCACTGGGGGATACTTCCAGAGTGTTTTCGTGACGGGATCTGGTGAGGGTAAAGTAAGGTAAAGAAATCGTGACAGAAAGGGTCCTCCCGTTTGGCATCAACGAACAACAACAACACTTGGGGGAGTCTCGTCCCTCCTCGAGGTCACGCCGCCTGTTTATATCATTGGGGCCATCTTTGGCTGGGTGCGCCAACCCATGCCTGGGTCATGTCCACCATGCCGCTTCGGGATTAGCGCCCTCCACTCCCGTAAAGGTTTTCTTTCCCATCACGTGATGATCCTCCCTGCGCCCCCAGCGGCAACGCTGCATCTCTTGCTGCTTCATCATCACTCCGGACAGCAGTAACTTCGGGGGCGTGGGAATGAGTCACGGATCAGTCATTGATTCAGTTTCGCCATCAGGTTGATCTAGCGATGTCGCACATCCTCTCCGGAGGCAACACAAGTGAACGATCAAAGAAGGCGGTTTCAATCCCTTGACGAACATGCCAAGAAATGCCAGATGGCCTCATGCTCCTCAAGGAGAATTCTTCATCCCTCCACAGAGACAATACTAGTTTCCTGTAAGTCTGCAATTAATGCTGTTGCCCGTCGATCGACCGATCTCAGTGCGTCGACGCGGTGGACAGTCGATCGAGTGCTGCCTGAGGCTATGGTTCCACCTCCAATGAAAATATGTATTATCCATTTTATACTGTATACTGTAGACAATGACCCTTGATCCACACTAGACCTGAACCATCACCAACATTCTATGTTTTGCCTGGCCTCTCATGGATCTATTGATGTAGATGAGTTGATTGACAGCTCTGTTATATGAATGTGATCTGAGACTACTGCTTTCAGCGAACTGACTGCCCATGGACCCGAGGTAGGGAAATATATTTCCCTACTTACCGGTAGTAGTATACATATATGCACTCTGCACTAAACATTTATACCCAATTATTGGACTTGATTCGAACAACCAAATCAACCTGTATCATGCCAGAGAGCTCAAGTATACCCTTTCCTTCATATTCCCCATCTCTTACTCCGTAGTTACTTTGAGTATATAAACTCCATCGGTAAAGCTACTTCATTCCTTTTTTTTTGTCGAGTATGAATCTACATGACAAACATACCGCGTTCACTACGAAGAATACAACCCATCAGACAGTAGCCTCGAATGGCTTCAGCTGTCGCGTTCATGCAGCAAGCATGGTCCATTTCTATACATCGAAGGACTCCGGAGATATAAAAAAACACAGATGATAGGAGCAACAGCAAAACGACCAACACCATCTATCCATTGCCCTTCTTAGGACTTGGCCAATAATGCCGCCGACTCTTCCTCTTTCCCGAGTAGCCCCAGGCTACGGATCTGTTCGGCCTTGGGCGCATTCTCGCGGGGGTGGGCGGCTTCGGCCTTTCGGTAGGCAGCCTGCATTTTCATCGTTCGCAAAGCCTACCACATCACATATCAGCTTTCATTCCTTCGGAAGAAAAAAAAAGGACAACACTGGAAGGTATAGCCGGGGATCGAGTCGTACCTCTTTGCGGTGGTGCAGGCACTCGTAGTAATCTTCCAAAGCGGGCATACACTTCTTCTTGCCGGATTCACCATCCCCGGCATTGACCACGTAGCAGCCGAGGGCCTCCTGCCAGAAGGTGAAGCAGCGGGAAGGACCTGGGGGAGACCGCAAGCGTTAGCTGGAGGTCAACTGGCGGACAGGAGCACCGCGGCGAAACCAAGCCACCACCGCCCATTGCGGGCTCGTGAGCGAAGGGAAACAATCAAAAGGAAAACCTACCGCCGTTAAGACCGAAACCCGAAGCCATTGTGAGTTGAGTTGGTGGGGGAGAGGGGGAAAGAGAGGGGGAAACCGGGGGGAGAGAATGACGGAGCGAGGATGCGATCAGAACTGAGGTTGTTCATCCGGCCGTTCATTCGTTGTTTCCGCCTGGTCCGAGCGCCCGCCGCCTTTGGACGGGCTGGCCTTGTCTGTCAGGCATGCACCGGTCTATTATTATTGACCACTGACGTCGGACGAACCACATCACCTTCTTTGATATCACCATCTTCAACCTTTCTCCTTTTGCTGCTCACCATGGCGCCTTTTGCGGGGCTTTCGGGTGCTCAGGTCATTCTTTTAGCTACTCACCTTTGTGTGACCGGTGACGTCTCGCGTCTTCCGCATCTCCAGGCCCAATTTCCCCTGTGGCTGCCTCTCGACCGGCTCCTGCGCATCCTCCTCACCTTTCTCCCGGAGAGCACCGACCCTCATACCTACACCCCGGTACTTGAGCAACTCGTCAGCGGCTCCTCGACTGAAGCAATCGATGGCGAGTGGGATCTCTCATCTGTTCAAGGATTGTCCGAAGACGCTGCCAGGAAACGAGTGCGGAAGCTTCGTCTACTACCGCTGAGACACCCCGACGACGACGACACCCAGGACCCCAACGACCTGTTGACCCTCTTTCTTATCCACCGTGCACACCGGATAGACGCGGAAACCGCCCTGCAACCGCTCATCCTCGACCTGCTTCTCCCGTTCTACCAGCGCTCACCGACAATTCGAACGTGGCTGATTTCCACCCTCCTCCCACTGCTGCGACTCAACTACGAATACTACCCCAGCCAGGATGAGACCTTCTCGCTGGACATCCTAGAGTCTATGGACCATGACACTGCGATCAACGTGTTCCTGTCAATGACCGGATCGGAGAAGGGCAATATGGACTTGGTTCGCAACCTGCGTGGGGTCGTGGGGGCATGGATGTACGGCCACAGCCGGCCCAAGAGGCGGAGACTGAATCCGGCGACACGGCGCAATTCGATCTCCGTGGCTCAAAGTGACGCGCAGTCTGTGACCGGCGACCGTGCTGGGTGGCACTACGTGAACGAGTGGCTGCTGTCACGGAGCTTGGTGGATCAGGACAGCGTGGTCAACGCCTTTGTCAACTGGGACGGTCCCGAGGATGTCGACCTGGGAGGCTACGACGACGAGACAGAAGAGCGACCGGCTGAAAAGATGAGAGAACTGCGAACTCGGTATGGCCAGTCTGGACTGGCAGTTGTCTACGCAAATGCGAACACGAGTGAGCCCTCCTTGGAAGGGTCTATACGGATCGTATCCCGGATCGCCCAGCTACTGAACCTGGAGAGCTCTTGCTTTGTTACCCCCGATAGCCAAACATTGCCATCAGTGGTGCTCGAGCTGGACAAGATCTCCTCAACGACGCGGGTGTCCCTGTTGCAGAACGCCTTATTACGGGAATCGAACCCATTGACTCATCCTTCGTCCTCGTCGGTCTCGTTCGTCAGCGCTTTATTGCTTTCTATGCGGATACTGCAGAGTTTTGGACACCCTATCCCATGCAGGGCGGCTGCCAATATATGCCTTCATAGTACGAAGGATGCGCAACTTCTCGAATTCCGGGGGGTGATTGCGTCGCTCGTGAAGCAAACCAAGGTCAGCCGGGATTGGCAGGAGACACGGGATCAGCTCATCTGGCTCCGAGACTGGGGGGCCGACAAACGGACGGATGGGCGTGGAGAATTCCATGGCCTTTTCTGGAGACTACCCCAGGAGGTCGTGGATGCGGAGGTCCTCAAGGCGTTGCTAGATGTCAGAGGTAAGGAGGCTCCGCTCGGATACAAAGAAACATACTAACGAGCCTAGAATACGATCTGGCCACAGCGATCTATGTACAGTCCCAATCGTCCCTCACCCCCGCCCAGGTCGAAGATGCCATCAAGGAAGCCATCTTTGCGGCATATGACAACGCGAGCAACGGGAATCGCACGCGCGGCGGCATGAAGAAAGCATACGAGATGTGAGTATTGCACCAACCGCACTTGACCAATGTCTAATACCAATCTACTCCTGCAGTCTCCAAGCGTTCCAGCCACACTTCCCCGAGTCTGTCAGCTTCAAACAGATTCGCTCTCTGATCTCCGCCACGCACGCGCTGTCCTTCTACTCCCTGACACTGCAGCACGGCGTCCCCTTCCAACCCGTCAGCATCCGCGTGCACGCAGACCCTATCTCCCTCATCGAAAAAGTGCTCGAACAAAACGCCAAGGCCTACACACAAGTAGACGACCTCCTCACCATCGGACGAGACCTAGTAGCAGCAGGCTTCGCGCCTCAAGAATCCGACCCCACAGACGACGACACCGACGAGCCCACCCCACGAGAAGACAAGATAGTAACAGTTGAACGCCGCATCATGTCCCTCGCAATCTCCTCCGCCCTCTCCTCCGACGACTTCGGCACCGCCTACTCCTACATCCTCACGCGCCTCACCCCCCAACCCTCATCTCCAGCGCACCAACCCTCACCAACCCATCCATCAAAGACGACATCTCCTGGCGAGCCGTCTACGCCGCAGGCCGCTACCGCTCCCCAACACCCACCACGCAAACCCCCCTCCAAACCCAAATCACGCAACTCTCCCAACGAATGGAACTCCTCTCCCTCTCCCTCATCCTGGTCCCCACCCCGTCCCCCTCCCCGAAATCCTCGGCGCCTGGCGCCGCTGCGACGAAGAAATGACCAGCCTCCGCGCCCTCGAATCCGAAGAAGAACACGCCTGGGACACCCGCGCAGACGCCTCCCTCCACCCCACAACCCTCCCAGGCGGCTTCGGCCCCACAGACACCGAACAAGATGCCTTCGACACCAAACAGCAGCACGCGCGCCGCGCCTCCCGCGCTCATCACAACCGCCTCCGCCACGCCGAAGACGCCCCCATGGGCCTCTTCGAAGTCGCCCGCGGCGCCGCAATGGCCCTACACAAGAACGCCTTCCCCTTACGAGGAGACGTCTCGCAGCAGCACCAGCAGCAGCAATCTTCTTCTTCTTCTTCTTCGACGTTTCACGCGCGGGCGCCCAGCGACGACGACGACAGCGATGAGCGCATGCGCAAACGCGACGTGGTCAGTAATATGGTAACGGGGGGGTTGGCGAGTGGGATTGGGTGGGTATTGGGTGCGCAGCCTGTGAATCGATGATATCATATCGTTCTTATCCTTCTGCTTTGGCTTTCTCATTTTGTGTTTTTAATACTTCTGTTTACTTTTTTTTCTTTTCTTTGTGTTCTTTTTAATGATGAGTATGATGATGGATTGGTTGATTGGTTGGTTGATATAAATATACATATTTTATTCTATTCCTATCTATTTTATTCTAGCATTATCCTTCTTATGTCTACTCTGTCTACTACTCTTCTATCCTATTATATCTATCTATCTATTTACCATCTAGAAACAAGAAGTGCGTGCAGGCCAAGACGACACAAAAATGCATTGATGGAGTTTGCTAGGCATCTACCTAACTTAACAGACCTATACTATTATGTACACTATACTTTACCATACTAGATTACTTCATAGACTGGATCAATCACATAACATATCCATTCCACCCTATACCAGACTAGATAGAGACAGCGACAGCGACAGCGACAGTAACAGCGACGAACACGTAGGCAAGCAAAGCAGACCAGACCACACCAGCATATCCCGTAATACCAGTCAGAAGTGATCCACACTAAACCATTCCCGACAAGTGACTCAAACTAGCACATACGCACACACAATTAGGATTAAAAAAATCCCAGGTGATCTTCCCTTGACGATATGCGGCCCATCCGCGACCAAGTCAAGCCAGTCAAGTTCACCGCCAAACCTCACAATATCAAAATAAAGATAGAAAGCAATTTACCAAAGATGATTCTTCGAGTACAGCAGTTGACCAGCTTTATCCTGAGACGGAGGGGCAGGATAATCTTGCGAGAGGGTGTAATGGGGTTCACCGACGAAGGTGTCGGCGCGGCCGAGTAGACGGCGCGGGAAGAGGAGCCTGGGGGCGTAGAGGGGCTTGGGGAAGGAATTGTCGAGGATCATGAGTCGGACGGTTTGAAAGTTGATATGCTCGGTGATGCGGTGGGGGTCTTTGGGGTCCGAGAAGGAGAGGATTTCCGGGTAGGTGGCGGAGAGTCTGCAGCGCGCGCAGGTGAAGGTACAGGTAGTGCAGGGGAGGGTGGATCGGCCGTGGTGGAGGGGTGCGATGTCGTCGTGAAAGCCGTACTTGTGGTTAAGGTAGCGGGGGATGGAGATATGAGGGCAGAGTTGGAGCGGGAGCTGCTCGGCGGATTCCAGGATCTTGGTGCCCGAGAGCGTGTATGTGGTGCGGAGAGTCAGGGAGCCCGGGTCGCCGGTGTCGGCGAAGGAGGCGCTGACGCTGATGTCGACGTCGACGTCGACGTCGGTGTACTGGTGGCGGCAGGTGTGGATGGGGATTTCGACGGTGCGCCGCTTGAAGAGGTAGTGTATGGATCGCGGGATCGGCGGGTCGTCTCGTCGGACTTCGCGCGATATAATCTCGACGTCTCGGACGGTGAGACGCAGGCACGGGCAGACGATGACATAGCCGTGCGAGACGACGCCCTTGCCGCAGTAGTTGTTGCTGCTCTTAACAAGACTGCCGCGGGGTCTGCGACGGCGGGGGGGATCGTGCTTTCCGTTACGGTGGAAGAATTCGGGTTTTTCGTGATGGTGGAAGGGCTCGTGGTATTTGCCCCAGTGGAAGAGCGCAGGAAAAGCTCGCGGGTGGTGGAGCATAAGACAGTCAAAGCAGCAGCGCCAGCGCGGGTGGTCGTTGCCCATGCCCTCGTGCAGGAGCGACATGAATTGGGCGCGCTCGCTGGTGAAGTAGCCGACGCTGTCAGTCAGGTAGGGGTTGAGGTTGGTCTCATTGAGGCGGATGGTGTGCGAGCGGCGGAGGGCCCGCGAATAGTCGATGGCCGTGAGGAAGCCTTTGCAGGTGAGAGCCAGGCAGAGGCGCGACGCTATCGGCAGCCATTTGGCAATTTCGTACACGATGTCCTGCGGGACCCGATTGAGAGGGAAGGGTGCAGATGCTTCTTCCTGCCGTTCTTCCTGCTGCTGATCCTGCTGCTGATCCTGCTGTTTATCCTGCTGTTTATCCTGCCCAGTCCCCTGCTGTCTCTGCCGTCTGCGAGACGGAGAGAAAGCGTGGACAAGGTGGTCAAGACGGGCCATGGCGAATCTGTATCCGGCGTTTGGATAGTTTCCAGTTCGCATGTTGTATGAAGAGGTAGACAAGCATCTCGCTCGAGCTGGCGGCCCCTCACATCACGTCTAGCGGCGGTCATTGTGACATCAAAGCGTGAACTCAACCGGAACTCTGGAATGCGCCGGGAGGTGAAGAAATAAAGTTATGTTAGGATATGATAGACGAGAGGCAAAGAACGAAGGAGTGGGCTGGAAATGACGGAAAGTCAAAAGATGGACTAGAGAGGAAATGATGCCTGACCGGGCCGAATCTGATCAATCGGCTTATCACGTCTTACCAAGTCCAAGCCACTGGTCAGAGACGATGATGCGTCCTGTTCTGCCACCCAAGTCAGTCATATAATTACAGTGATCAAAGTCTGAGCCATTTTCTGTATTGAGAGTTAATTGACCAGTGTCATGTACAGAAGAATCGCTAGTCATCTCGGCGAAAGCCGATCGACAAGCCTATACAGTATGTATCTCTGCACGGGTCCCAGGTACCCCATATCCATGTTCCTCCGGGGCTGTTGACACAAAAGATCACAAGATAGAGAACAGAAAAAAAAAATAGAGAGAAAAAAAAAAAACAAGAATCCGCTGGCATGCCGGACTGACGAAACAAGAACAAAACCGAGATGCTTGTGCGATCGATGGGAAATGCAAGGTGGCCGAGACACACGATTCAGAGAAAGACGGGATTCAAAACCACTCCCAACTCCAGGGGGTCCGACAAGGAGAGACGTTGCCATGATCGAAATGAGTGTCGTAAAGAAGTCACGTTCATATGCTTTTTGACATCCTGGTCAACAAGGGCCAGCCACTTGTAAGCATTAAGGAGAGACCGTAAATATGCAAGGCATTAGGGGTGACGGTGGTGGTAAAAAGAGAAGAGAAAGAGACAAGGAGAAAGAACAAGACGCCAAAAAGCATGGGGGAGTTTATTCGTTCCACCCCCACACCTGCCGCACGAAGTTGGCCATGTTGACTTTCTTGTTCTTCATGTCCAACACCCAGGGATGTTCCAGCATCCGCCAGGGGGTCGCCCTCCGTGGAGGCTCTTTCTCGAGACTAGAACAAGTTAGTTAGAGTGGGGTACAGGGCGTTTTGGGAATATCTGACATACCAGCATTCAATAAAGTACTTGAAATTACTGGACCAACGGATCCCATGGTCTTCTTCGTCTTTCAGCTTCGGAATCGGTTGTCGCACGATATAGGTCAGCAGGTCGATCAGACCGGCACGCGGTTGCATTTCGGTCCCGTCGGCCGGGAAGGGGAAGCGATGTTGAGCGACCTCTAGCAGGGTCACGCCGAGGGACCAGACGTCGGAGGTGATGGTGTACGATTGCCCGGTGATCCGTTCCGGGGCCATGTAGTAGGACGTGCCGATAAACGTGTTGGCGTCGCCTTTGGTGCCGAACTCGCCACTGACACCGAAGTCGCACAATTTCACCTGGCCATCGCGACACAGGAGGATGTTCGACGGTTTGATATCTGTCGGGGGTTAGTGGGACACGAGCGAGTGGGACTCGAGCTGACCAGAAAAAAACCTACCTCGATGGATGATCTTCCGGCTGTGGAGATACGTCAACCCGTTCAACACGCCCTCCGCAACCTTGCCCAACACCTTCTCGCCTGTCCGACCGCCGAGCTTCTTGACCTCCTTGTAGATACTGTCCAGACTACCACCTTCGCAGAATTCCATCGCAATCGAGATGGTCCCCGTCGACTTGTCCATGAACGCTCCGTAGTACTTGCAGATGTGATCCGAGGCACAGTCCTTGTTAAAGTTCAGTTCCCGAACGATCTGCTTCTTCACATCCGGATTGGGGTCGGTCGTGATGATCTAGATGGGCTATTAGTACAAATCACGGGGGGAAAGTGTTTAAAAGAGTCCTCACCTTCAAAGCAAACACGGTCTTCCCATCCTTCAACTTGCATCGGGTGACGGCACCACCGGCGCCTTCGCCCAAGCTACCCAACTCCACGATCTTCTTCTGCTCGCTGGCAGCCAGCCAGCCTTCGTCGTCCAGGTCATCCGGATCCAGGGGCCTGCCCTTCTCCAAGCTCAACTTGTCCAGATCAGGGATCAGCGCGGTGACGCTATTCTCCCGCTCCATCGGGGCGGTGGCCTCGCGATCCGAGTAGACGGAACTGATGGCGGACGACGGATCGGGGGTGCTGCCGCGGGGTTGTCGGAGACCCATGGCGAACGACAGGGCGGAGTAGTTGGAGGACGAGGCCGAGGCGGGGCCACTGCCCGATCGCGATTGACCATTGGGTTCGTTCAACCCCGAGGTGGCGAGGGAGAGCGGGGGCGGGCGACCGTTGGCGACCTGGGAGACGTCCTTACTGCTCCCCATGGGCGTCGCGAGTCGGAGCTGCGGCGGCGCTGGACGGGCGTTCACGGGGCGCTGCAGCTGGGGAGGACCGTCGGGGACGGGAGGGGCCACGGGGACGCCATTGCTGGGGACGGGACGAGCGTTGGGGGAGGGAGGGATGCCCAGGGTGAGTTTGGGGGCACGAGGGCTGCCATTGTGCGAGCGATTGCCCGGAACGGGAGGCTTGAGGAGGGGAACGGCGGGTGAGGATGACATGGCGAGATTGTTTTGCCTCTCACCCGGCAAAAACAACTCGTTGGGGTCAGCCAAAGTAGCCAGATCGGCGGTCTTTGAGGAAGACACTTTGAAAAGAGGGGGGAAAGAAAAGGAGGCGGGTTTTTATAACGAAACAAAGAAAGTCAAGAAAAAGCAAAAGAACGATCAAAACAGGAAAGAAGAAAAAGAAAAGAAAGAGGAGGCGTCGGAGGCAGAAAGAGGGATCAGAAATGGGTGAACAAAGAGAGAAGAGCGAGAGTGTGTGAGGAGAGAGAGAGAAAGTCAGTCAGTCCGTGGGGCTGCAGCAACACGCGGCCAAGGTTGGATGAGAGGGGTCGAGAAATGGATGGCAGTCCAGAACCGATCAGACCGGAAGCATCGTAGTTGGGATCGAAGCCAGAAGCATGCTAATCAAATAGATCGAATCAAAGCAGATGGATATCAAATAACAATCCGTATCAACCAGACAATCAGTCAGTTCAGATAAAGCGAATGTAGATGGAGGAGAGAAGGGGAGCCTGAGGTGTTGAGAGGAAGAAAGAAGAGAAGAAGTGGAGTGCCTGAGGGTGACTTCAATTGGTTCAGAAACAATCAGTTGAACTGGTACTTTGTCACTGACCACCCAGGTACCTTCTGTGGTTGATAATCTGTTGATAATATGGTTGATGAAAGAGAGAGAACCTCAACATAGATCGATCAGCATTGTCATCATCATCCCATCCCGGAGCATGCGACCGATTAATTTCAGCCCAAGTCGGATATGATGCTGATGGAGCCGAGACGGTGGATCCGCTGTGTTTCAAAAGGCTGACGGAGATGTCCCAGACTGGATGAGGCGCAGCAATATTGATTGTGGATGGATGTGCACGTCACTTTGGGTGCGCCATTCTTCTGCTTTTTTTCGATCCACGGTGTTAACGTCCTTGAGCTCGAGTACCCAAGATACCCAGGTACTTTGTAGCAGAGAGATCAGGAGATGGACTCGATGGAGTGTGGTCGGCGGAATGAGGAGATGTGATGGATGCCTGGGTTCACAGGCACCCACACCATCAGGCATCCACATAACCTTTCGAGTTTCCGACTGAAACAGCCCAACTGACTACTTGGGTATCATCATATCCTACCGTTCTGCGTTGGACTTTTGAGAGTTTCAGATCATGATCCCATCAAGGAACCTATGGAGAGTTACCTAGTATCTACAAACTCTGGACTGACTACACTTGGCTTCTGACCGGTGTGGCTGTTCACCACCTATTAAGTTTGAACCCACCACCGACCAGTCTCGCACCATGGTTAAGGGCGGCTATATTCCCCATCAGCCACACTTCACTTCACTTTCAACCACTCAGATCTTCCCGTCACACGGATCACCGAACTGAAGAAAAAATATAATAAAAGGAAGAAAGGAAAAAAAAAAAAAAAAAAAAAAACCAATGCAGGGCACCGAAAAAAAGATTAGTCTTAATCCTGGTCGCGCCCGAAGGGGGAACCCCCCCGACGTTAGTAGTCTCCGAGCAAGCAGGCCCCGACGCGTCAGCCAGCAAAAAATGATGAAACCCAAGCACGTTAGGCTTCGACGTTTGCTCTACATCTGAAGGAGGGAAGACTTGTACTGGATTTGGGCGTCAAGTCCGGACGCTTTGACCGCAGCGAGGCCAATGACAAGTCAGGATGACACGTGCGGACTTCAGCCCTGTGGTGATGAAGCGGCAGCAGCGGCTTTAGTCGCAGCCATTGACATCATCCGGCGGCTGTATCTTCGGATCTTGGTTGAGGTGAGGGTATTGTTTGGAAAAGGGAGACCTTTGAAGGCCACTAAGAAAAGCAAAGGAAATCAAAAGAGGGAAGAAAACACAAGTGACATCGGAGGAATCAAAGTGCGGTTGACCCACTGGGAAAAAACAAGAAAGATAAAAGAAAGACTCGGGGGGAAAAAAGCAGCCACACTGCACACTGCACAGCCATCCTTGACTTTTCTTGTCCGAGCCGGCTATCAACGTTCGATGAAAATTGTGCAGCCCGAATCCAATAGATGGATACCCGTGGGACGCATCTCTAAAGAAAGAAACGGGGTCCATAAGGAGGAATGAAATAGAATGCCAAGCGGGCACCACTCGCACTCCATCCCAGGCTCCAGCGATGAAGACAAGAAGAAAAGCCCGTCATTATTAATGAGGACCTGTTACGTGATTGACCGTAGTCGGTAACTCTCCCGAGGGTTGACTTATCAGCATCGCTGCTCCAGAGATTGAAGGACGGAACATGTGGTAATCTTCATCCTAATGCTGGGAGCGTCCTAAATAGATAGTATAACTATCAGACGTGTAGTGTAAACGTCCCCCGTAGTCCACACCATACTCCATAGTCCAACTGGCAGGTAACTCTTATCATGAATAAGGAGATATTCCTCGGTACCGGACGGCGGCCGATCCTCGGTTGCAGCCCATCGCAACCAGACTTGTGCCCCCACTAGATCATCCTCGATCATCCCGGTTCCTGCATTAATAGGAAAGGTAGGCGGCCCCAGGCGACGCTCCTGGCGACGCCCCAGTTACTGTTAGGCTGTCAATTCGTGACCGGTGACCGGCAGTCGCAGTGTCTGAGACTAGAGGAAGAGATGCTCACGACACACAATAGAACAACTAGCACCCAGGTAAACAGGTAGACTACCAAGGTATCCGTAGTATGAACCAAAAGGACGGTCGTAAGAACAACGCAGCCATGGTTCCCAAACCTGGAAACGGCCGAGCAGCGCACATCACAATTGCTGCACTGCAGGGCTACTGGAGAAGGGGGGGGAGGGGGAAGACGAGCGAACTTCTTTTCTTCCCCTGTTGATCGGTGGAGACTCGCACATGTAGGCATTGGGAAATCCAGTTTTCCCCTCTCTTTCTTGCCACTCTTCTGTCGTATCGAGTGTGCTGTACGAGGATTGAGTAATATCATTGAGTTGTTCCTATCGACCGCTGTTCTTAACTTCCCAGTTATCTAAAGACAAAGTTTAACAACAAGATAAGTATGCTATTTTTGTCCCCAGATAAACTATCAACTACCCCAAACTATACGTTTCTAAAATCAGGGTCAAAAAACAAGGATAAAAATTAAGAAAAGTCTTGGGTCAACCCCTGAACGTGCTCCCCCCGCCACCCCTTTTCGTATACCTCGACTCTTTCGGCTTCCCCTACGCACGGAAGACTGGAAGACCGACCGAAGAAATCACTTGAACTAGCCGGATTCTTACAGAATCTGGAGAAAACGAGCCGGTCTAGACGTGTAGTCGGTGGATGTTGAGTGTCCACTGCGGTTCACCGCTATCTATTCTATTATCATTGTTGGATGTAGCCACTAGCTGCCTTGTAGGTGCGACGGTGTATGTGCACTGATATCCAGACGCGGCACATGGCTTCTTCAATAGTCTGTCGATTGTCGCGACTAGACGGTGGAAGCCTGTCAAACGACGTGCATAGTCACACTACTCCTGAGTTCCAACCCTGAATATTCAAGATAATCGAGCGATCTCCAAATCCCTTTTACAGCTTCCAACATCTAAACCCAAGCCTAGGCTCAATCCAACACCCGTGCGTTGAGAACCCATATCCAGCCCCCAACAGTAAACCCACTACCAAACCTCAACGCAACAGTCACTACTTACAAGTTACTACTAGTCAGTCAGTAAGTCAATCAATCAATCAGCCAAAGTAACACAGCGGCCCAAAAAGTACCCGCACCTTACCAGCGCCACTCCCTAAAAGCATAAAATAAACGAATAAAAAAAAGAAAAAAAAAACCCATAGACTACTCCGTATGCAAGCCAACCGACGCCTCACCCCCTGATTCTTAATCCCACGACCCCAGAACAACTACTCCGTAGACGGTGATAGAACCAAACAGGGATAAGCTTTAGCTTTGGAAGTGTGGCGCAAGTCAAGCGACACACCACGCCTATTCCCCCCTCGACGGGCGTCTAGACTCTAGACCCCCGTTGTCTATCAGGGATGATGGATACGTTGGCGTAAGGCTCGGAGATGAGAAGCTGCCGCTGCGTCCGTGCGTGCGCTACGCGGCGCTGCAGGGCGCATTCTCGCCTGGATGTCTTGTTTAACTTACTCTGTAGGTCTCGGGGAGGATGTCTGGATAGGGTAAGATCGTGGGATGCATGTTGGTATTCAGTTTAGTTCATGGTGCGTGACGTGGAAGGGTTGAATATGTAGTCTGTGTATTTTGATGTCTGATACTATGGATGGACTACGGGGAGCAATAGTGGTTAGCCGAGTATACGGTCGGAGTCATCCGCAGTGAGGGATCTAATTGTAAGTGGAAATACATCCTGGTTGCCTGGTTCGACCAGTCCATTGGTCGCTCAGGATTATACCCAGAAATAGGGCTTGATTTAGATGAGTACGGAGAGTCAGATTGGATAGTAATCCGGAGGACTGGTCGAGTAAGGATTAGGTTCATTCGCCACAGACAAAGCCAGGGAACAATCCCACCTAACAATGGCCAAGATTATAGAACAAAAATAACATAAAATAAAATAAAATCACATAATAAAAAAAGAAAGACACCAACAAGAATGGAAAGTCAAGGAAAGTCAAGAAGGGGAGAAAAGGAAAAGAGGATAAAAATGGCAGCAGGAAACAGGGGGAAGTGGATATTGACCCACCGGGATTTCAATCATTCGTCTAGAAGCGACAGACAAAGACCCACGGCGGGATGAGTCCAGGTGCATGAGTGGCTCATGGCGTCAGGAACGGATCCTGCTGGTCCATCCACTATACTGTTATTGGCTGTGTAATGGACCTGAAACGAAGTCTAACTGGGGAGGGGTGGTTCAACGTCTGGTGGCTTGGCCGTTCCCCTGAATACTATGAACTTGTTCTTACCAGGGTATTATCCGTCCAATGAGTGGGGGAATTACCTGCAGGGGAATATATGCAGTCTCTGATTCAATATCAAAGGGTGAGATGAGGGTGATACATGAAAAAAAGGTGGTACAGATCACCCTGGAATGATGGGATCATCCCCATGAGGAGACTGAAGGAGACTGGAGAAGACTATTGTCCCCCCAGTCTAGCAGTCCATGACAGCACATCAAGTTCCAAGGAGTTGAGCAGACTGAAAAGAGCAAAGGACCGACAGATCAACACCAGCTCACTTCGCATGCGCCAGACTAACCCCGACACTAGTGAGTTAGTGATCGCGTAGTTGATCCTGCCCACGTCCCCCTCCACCAATGATAATCCCATCGATCCATCCGACGGATCCCACGAGGTCAACCGAGTCCGACGACTCACCGCATCCCTCTCCATCATTTGATCGGGGAATGGATGATTGACTTTGAGTCTAGTTGACTAGTTGTACTGGGAAGGTCTCCATCTATGGACTCCCCTTTTTCTTCTTTTCCCTGTTGTTTTTGAATTATATTATTATAATTTTTTAATCCTTTTTTTACTGTACTATAATTATAATTATAATAATTATAATAATAATAATAAAAAACACCCTGAGACGATCTCTCCAGGGTAATCTCCCAGGCCATACAAAGGTGTCCAGTTCCCCCGTCTGCCTCCATCTTTTCTTTCTATCCGTTCTTTCTTCCCAAGCCCCAAACTTTTTACTGCTTGAAGCATTTACGCGTTTGACTTCGGTCTGTCACTCTTTTTATACCCCAACTACCACCACTCTCTTTTTAATTCAAACCCCCACCTTAAACCTACCTTGACGGTTTTATTTTTTTGCAACCCGCAAATCAAACACAAAAATCACATTCAAAATGCGTTTCACTGCCGCCACTGTTGCCCTCTTCGCCGGCCTTGCCGCTGCCCTCCCCAACGGAGACGTCGAGACCGTCTACCAGACCGAGGATGTGACCATCACCTCGTGCGGTCCTACCGTCACCGACTGCCCCGGTAACCAGACCCCCACCTCCACCCCCGAGGGTGCTGGTGCCGTCACCCCCAGCAACCCTCCCCCGGTGGCCACCACCTCCACCGAGGCCTCCGAGGTTGCCAGCAGCACCGGCGTCCCCAGCAGCAGCGAGGCCGTGCCCCCGGTTGCCCCCACCAGCGCTCCCGCTCCCCCCAGCGCCCCGGCTCCTTCCCTGTCCACCTCGTGGCAGAAGTTCACCACCTGCGTGCCCCAGGTCAGCTCCAAGCCGGTTGTCGTTACCGTTTCGGCTCCCGCTCCCACCAAGCCCGCTGGCAACAAGCCCTCCGTCCCCGTTGTCCCCACCGGCGTTGCTTCTTCCTCTGCGGGTGCTATCCCCAGCGGCAGCGTGACGTGAGTATTCCACCTCCCATCTACTCTCATAACCATCCAAAACTAATAAATATTCCAGTCCCTCCACCTCCGCCCCTGGCTCCCTCTTCACCGGCGCTGCCAACACCGTCAGCGGCTCTTTCGGCCTTGCTGGCGCCGCCGCCGCCGCCGCCTTCTTCCTGGCTTAGATTCCCTTCTTGTCTATAGTGTAACCCCGGGATCCCTCTCAGTTTGAGTCTGGGCCTTGAACCTCGCTATATACCCCGGCGGGGAGAACATGTCCAGGACCAAGTGAATGTGGAGTTGTGTTTATAGGGAGAGATGTGGATAGGAGAGCGGACGAGGGGGGTATGTTATTTAGCTTTCGTCTTTTTTTTTTGTGTTGTTGTGAACCTTGTGGTTTGGAGGAAAGTATAATCCGATTCTTTGCCTGATATCTTTTTTTTTTTATTATCTCTTACTTTACTTTTTTTTCTGCCTTTCTTGATCTTTGGAAATGTCTGATTCTTCGGACTGCTTCGGAGGAGTTTGTGAGAAGCATGCTCGAGCAAGCCTGGCTGGTTGGATACGATTTAATGTAAACCATGAACGCTTTCACAATCTTCCTGTAGGGGCAATTTCCAATTATCTTTTTATTCTTTTCTAACATATACCTTTTATTTGTATGGTTTTATCTTTTCTGGTCTGTATATTTAATTCTATGTTATCGAATATATGAAGTAGTTTACATTATTTTCTTATAGAAAGTACGTGGTACACAGTCTCAGGTAGAAACAGATGCGTGGACTCGTCAGCTGCGAAGGCAAGGGGCGAGGCAAGGCTGCGAGGAGCGCAGCACAGCAGAGCAGCCTCGTCTCACTCTATCCATTGTCTCCCCCTGAATATCCCTCCCTTAACCAATTAGGGTAAGATTCTCGGACACTCGGACAGTCATTACCCGAGCCGGCTACCTTAATGCTGGTATTCCACGAACTGTTAATGTAACAGAATAGTCAGTGTTCAGTTATGTAATCTAGAATGATCAAAACACCATTTAATGTGTGCATTGTGTGCTCAGTTCTCTGATAAAATAAAATGGGACGTCGTTATCTACCAGACTAAGAGGCGGTCTTGAATAGAGTAGTAAGTGACATATGTTATTTCCACATTCACCGCCAGAGTGATCCTGTTGCAGGGTTAATATATTCCTGCTTACTTACTTCTGAGGTGGCCTGCTAGTTAGCTAGTGGGGTCAGACCGCCAGACACCCCATTCATTCGAATGTGGGTTTGGGCTGGGCAGGAAGATTTGAAAGTGATGGTGACATTGCCGTACCCTGCTTAGGTTACCTACCACTCCCGCCTGGCAGGGTGCCTTGCCAGGTGGAGATTAGCCGCAGTGCCCTGGATGGAGGCCGTTCATATTTACCTCTCTAGGTAAATGTAGTCAAATCCAATGCCCTCCCTGCTTTCAACCTTCAGCTTAATTACTACCCAAGCAGGCAAATGGATCAGAACCCCGCCGGCCGCAGTGACTGTCTGGGGATCAGATCACTTGATAGGAACCACTTGACAGGTAGTGCGATCTGCGGAAAATGGGCAGCTATTACCATTTTAGGGAATTACTGTGATCTGCCTGTAAACCTTAGCTGAGCTGTCTATCGCACAGAGCCTACCCTACCCTAATGTCTTGTGATGCGACTAGTCAAGTGATGGTGTTTGAAGGCTTGTTTCATGTTATGGCTTGTTTATTTAGTTTATCTTTTGGGGCTACACGTGTGCACGGAGGTATTTTCGTTTTTCTGAGGAGGACTGTGCCAGACTGAGAAGAGCAGGCTGGATGGATGGATCCTGATCCTTTGCAGGAGGGGGTGCCTTTGGTAGCGAGGCTCAGTTGGCTTCCTTTTGGGTCTGTTCAGCTGATACTGCTTTGATGTACGGAGTCATCGTGGTTATACCTACAATAGTATGAGGGGGAGAGGAGTAGTAGTGATAATGGTCGTGATAATGGTCGTGGTGGTGGTGGTAGTAGTAGCAGTAATAGTAGTAGTGATGGTGGTGTGTATGTGATAGTTCATCGCATGGATGTTTCATCGACGTCGCTAAACTACTAGACCACAGGCGAGATATATCACCCCGAACCCTATTCACCCCTCTTCCTGTCACCGCACTAATGAGTAATGACAGGATCACGACAATTCCAGATCTGGAATGCTGGATCTAACCGAAGAATCTTCCATCCTTCTAGAAGTCGTTCCCCGGACACCCAGCAAATAAATCAGCCAAGCACGGATGTCTAGTATGTCATCATCTTGACCGACTAGTCATTTGGTTATCTCCCCCTAATATGGGTTGATCCCCCGTAAACAGAACAACATGACCGACTATAATAAGAAATAATCATTATCATCATTAGTTCAGCCCATCCGCTAGCCATCCGCCATCCGCTCCTCAAAGGATCCGACCCATCGGGGAATACTGTCGGTAGGGCTGCGCCGAAAGGGGCACTGCCGTGGCTGTGTTGCGTTAGGGTCTTGGCTTTTTTTCCTCGTTGACGACGAAATGCTCTTTCGGGTATATTGGATGAGGCACTCGTCTTACTTTGCTTCTTTGTTCATTATATTGATTACCTCTATAAATATAATTACAATCATCTCAATGCTTTTATATGTAAATACACATAATGGATTTCCATGGGGATGTGATGATATACAAAGGCGAATATACTAACAAAGACCTCGAATCCTTTGACATGATCCTTTGAACATGACGTGACGTAGAACGACCTCCGTCGGCCACTCCGATCCATAACCCCATCTTGTATCATACCTACCTACTATTGCCGTCTCTCCTACCAACTTCGCCTCTAAAGAAGACGCGACACGATCGCGGGGAACCCCGCTGACAAGCCACCCTCGGTAGGTGAGCAGTCACAGAAATCATGTCGTCCACGGACAAAACTAGACTCGAAGGAGTAGTTACTGGTGTTTTCCATTTGATCCTTCGTCGGACTGCCCGGTGGGAATCCCCCCCAGTTTTGTACCGAACGGGAAAAAGGACGGGTTCGTGTTGAGCCTTAGTCTATCGAAAAAAGGAAATGGGGGTAAAAAGTGCAACGTGTAAAACAAATATTGTCAAATTCAAAGGTGGAAATAATAAACTAAAATAAAATAAAAAAGGGGCGCATGCGGAGGGTTTGTGTGTTGTTGGATGGCGATTATAGTCGATGGCGATGCTCGAGTATTATTTTATTGTTGGAGCTTGGCTGTGGCCATTGTTTTTTTGTTTGCACTGCCTGATCCTTTGATACTATAGGCGTTCTGCGCTGGGCCTTGCCTTACCTTACTTATAGTATTGTATACGCTCCCGACCTGCAATCGCGTATACTTATAGGGCTTATAGAAGAGTATACGTACAGCTTGGAATTTCCCTCATCATTGACCGGAATTGAAACCTGCCGGTTTGTATCCACAACTGCATCCACAAACTACATCCTTTTACGATCCATCGAATTGATCCTCACTGGGATATCGCTTCTTGCCCGGCCATGATCACCTTATAATACACTCTGACAGACGACACACCCGTCCACAACCACTTTTCACTTCCATTCCAGTCGCATCAACAGGACAACAGACGAACAGGGGGAGAAGAGATATCAAGGCATCAAAAAAGGAGGAAAGGAACGAAGAACCATTCAAAATGGACCTCTCCTCCCTCGAAGGCCCCCCGATTCCAATCACCCGCCTGAGCGAATCCCCATCACCACCCATCTCGCCCTTCAACGATGCCGACCTCGCAGCACAACACATCCCACGCATCCAACTGGACCTCAACCTTCCCGCCGACATCACCTGGGATTTCAACCCCGTCCCCACCCCCAACAAGCACGTCTACCAGCCCCTTCCAACCCAACAACAACAACAACAACAACAACAACAACAACAACAACAACAACAACAACCAACCCCCAGCTGGAGCGGCATCGAAACCCTCTGGGAAACGACCTACTCGCGCCCCAGCAGCCGCAACACCCTCCACAACGACCACGACGACCTCTCCCACCGTCCACCCCAAAGGACGCTCTCCCCCTCCGGGGCAGGATCCTCCTCGCGACCCAGCCACGGCCACAGCCGCAGCGAAAGCAGCGCCCACCAGCAACTCGTCTGGCTCGAAAGTGAAAGCATCTGGGTTTTCGTGAACTCAGCCCCCGCATCACCAGTATCACGACCATGCTGGGCCAGCCACCCCACGCTAGCTCACTCGCGCTCCATGGAAAGCACCACCTCATCCGCCTCCTCCTCCACCCCAGCCCACATGAACGCCGTCGACCGCACGCCCAGACTGCGCGACAGCGCCGTGCTAGACATGGCGGACATGTCGCTCCCCGCGGCGATGTTGCTACCGCCACCGCCTCCGCCGTACGAGCGACACATCTACGATCGCCCGCTCCCGCCGCTGCCGCACGAGGCGGGGGGAGCTGGTGGCGGCGGTGGGGTAGGACGCGAGGGGAGAAGGGGGTCGTCGAGATGGGCTGCTGTGGCGAGGAGGATTAATGGGGTTGATTGATCTTTTGATTGACCTTCTTTTACTTTAGCTGCTCTCTAAAGAGAGTGGAAGTGTTCTGTACAATATGTACTATTACTACCTGTGTCTATGTACTGGGTGGTACTGTTCTATTCTGATGATGTCTACGAGCGATGCATAGCGGTTTCCCTCATTCTTTTTTGCTTTGTTCTTTTGTTTCCTGGCTATGCTACTTGGCGGTGGTGTTGTTATTTTCTTCTCCTTCGAATGTACATACACACATAACTTCCCTAACAAACATTCCAATATACTACCTACACATACAACCCGAACCCGAAGAACAAGAAAGCTATATTAAGACCTCACATGTTAGGCCTCACCGACAGGCCTGAGCAGGGGCTGAGCAGGGGGTAGCTAGCCAACTAGTCAAGTACCCCATAGTCTGAGTAAGACACTATAACTACCCGGTTACGCCCCCTCTCAAGCCTCGTATCCATTTCCCTCATCTGTCGTGACTCGCGTGTCTATCCATTTTCCTAGTTCAATCAATACTAACTGATAGGAATAACCTAGCATAGCATAGCGCAGATAGTGGAAACCGAAACCGAACTGAAAGGGAAGACGAGTCGTAGTCGTGTTGATCGCTTGGGCTCCACTGTTAGATGAAGATCTGTGGGCGATCATCTTTATTATTAGTAGGGGCGGTACGGAGCATTTTCTATTTCGATTGATTAGTCGTGTTGGATGATTAGCTAGTTAATGTTGGTATTGTTAAATAGTTAGCTGATTGTTGTTGGTTGCTTACTTATTCTTTTTATTTTACTGCTTATGGTGGTTATTAGCGGTGTATCTGATGGTCTATTTATGTCTGGTTAGTAGGTAGGTATGGAGTCAAATATAGACGTGATGTTCGATCACCCTTTACCACAGCCATAGCCATGGACACGCCCCACTATGTAAACGAGCACGCGACTCAGGAACTATCCCCAGTGTCAATCTGACCAAAATAAAAAAAAATTAAATAAACAATCAAACGTGATCTCCAACCGCTCCCCGTCAATCACATGGCTTCCGCTAGTAATCCCCATGGCAGCCAGCCTCAGCCCAAGAAGCCACCCTCAAACCGCCCCCAACCCCATTATCCATCTCCAGTGCCTCACTAATCTCTTATTCTCATATATTTTCGTCGATACATTGACCTTGCTATTGAATATCCCATCTGACTCGCCCCTCCAGCAATCCCGCGCAGGGCTCTCTTAGCTTTGGACATAGCAATGCCCACCGTCTGCGCCGCGCACGGTATGTCTACGTTAGTACGAGGAGCAGATTCTGCACGCCGGGGTGCATTCCAGTACGTACTAGTCGTGTAGGCGGAGTGTCAGCGCTAGACTCGCGTGCGATGCGAGGAGTGTTTCCGGACTGTCCTGCTGCTGTGGGATGTTTCTGGTGCGGTTTTGAGTATACCTGGTTTTGGAGAGGACTGGTGTTATGATACAGTGCTTTCCGGTCTCTCTACTGTGAAGATTTTTATAGGAGAATTAGTGGGATGCTTGCTGTTTCTGCTACAGGGAAGGTAGCCTGAAGATATGGGATCACATATTGTCTTTGATTTAAGAGTAGCGGTTTAGTACCTAGCTGAATGGACTAATTGGATATTTGAAAATAAGAAACAGGTTTAACCGATGGGCTTGGAGGAGGCTTTCTTGAGGATAGAGCTGGTGAAGCTGGCTTAGCTGTATACTGCGGGTTTTGGAGATGATATTCACGACAGCTTTATTATTCTGTAGATTGATGGCGGGGGATATATAGTATGTATTTTACTTCTTCTATGTATTTTTCTTCTTCTGTTTCTTCTTCTTCTTGCTGAATAGAGTAGATACTTGTTAGTATCGAAAATAGATCAACTCCCTGTCCATATATCAACCCTAGTATCTTGGCATGCAGCATAAAATGCAGCATAAACAAAAGTCTACAGGGTGCATGGTTTGAAGACCCAGTCTGCTGCAGGCGATTCATAGCTTGATATAGTTCTTACTTTTAGTCGCATTCTTATGATGAGGTACTGGGTTGATATTAAACTTACCTACTGTGCGGTGGTTGTTTTCTTACCCATATCAGCTATGCATATTATCATATAAGGTCAACCCCTCAATACCTTTGATAATAGCATTATGCATTAAGTGAAAGTAATATTGTGCTCTAGCTGCTATTGTTCATATAATAACTGTTTGACCCACTCTGTGATTTCTTGTATCTGTTTGACTATTTTCCAAGTCCAGCCCTAAGCCATCAACTTATACTAGTTAGAAATCAATACTATGTATCTAGCAGATGAGTTTTATGATATTATCAACCAGATCATTACACTTTCTTTCGACATAGAATTTTATATTATGATAACACGCAGACGGACTACACTTGTTTCTGTCCTCACACTTGTCAACAATATTAACAACGACAACAATTTATGAAACAGCACGACATCATCACAACCTGTGAATTTCCAGAGCTCGCCGAGAAAAACTTCTCGGCGACGACTATATGTATGATCGCTCTTTTCTTCTTCTCTTCTTCTCTTTCTCTTCTCCTCCTCTCCTCTCCTCTACTATCCATCTACTATCCATCACTTATCATCAATCTATCATCCATCAACCCACATATCCATCTATCAACGTAGCCCTACTTCCATACGGAGTCATTTTACAGCGCTTAGGTACTATCTACCACTCCTAAGCCCTAAAAATCCATCAACTAACAGTCTCCAAAGGAAACCCTAGCCTTAAAAGACAAAACAAATAAGAAAATGGACACTTTCCAGAAGAAAACCACCTCGAACAGAAAATCGCTCTTTTTCTGCACAGCATCGAGCACGGTGACTTCCATCCTGGTCTCTTCTCTTCAAGTACTACTACTTCTGCAATCGGTCTTGCCACTTCTAGTGTGGTGCCTGCTGGTAAGTAATAAACCTTCCTCTCTCGTTTTTGTACATATACTATACTATACCATACTATACTCCAAACCCACAAAGTGGACAAGGGTATATGGTCTGAGTATACGAACAGAGCACACACAAAAAGCCACCCACACCAGTCTATAACCTCCCGATATTAAACAAGACTAACAATGACATAACCAGAACCAATTCCCTATGAAAAATGGCTAGCCCTAACTCCCATCCTGAGGGACGCATTTCTCGCCAAGGCGAGATTGCTTCTGATTTCTGTGGGTTATGGGCTGCAGATGGGGCGATATAAGGAGTTGGCTGTGTCGCTGTATGGGGATATCTCTGGGGTGGTTTCTGGTGTGTATATCTTTCTTCTATTTCTTCTTCTTCTTCTTCTTCTTCTTCTTCTTTCCTGAGGGAAAAGAATGAAAGGGAGACAAGGAAAAGGCCGTGGTAGATGTGCTAATGTATGCAGTTACTACTTTCAAGGAGAGATTGAATTCGTTGACTACGGCTGAGAATCTCTCCAAGTCGTGCGAGAGCCAGTTGACTATTGGGGCGAGCTATGGTGGTGCCCGTGGAGGCGCAGACACCGGCAAAAACACGAAGACAGCTCCCACCCTCACCACCCTCGAAGAGACAGTTCACCGCAGCCTCCCACTCCTTCACGAGCTGCACGACCTCCTCCAAAACACCAACACAGACACCACCTGGGCCGACGAAGCCACAAGAATCACCACCCTAGCCACACCCCCCAAAGTCTACATCGCAGTAACCGGCAACACCGGCACCGGCAAGTCGTCCCTGATCAACGCACTAACCGACGAAGAGCGCATCCTGACGACGAACTGCATGCGCGCCGCAACAGCGGTGGCGATCGAGATCGCGTACAACGCCGACAGCACCGTGCGGTACCGCGCGGAGATCGAGTTCGTGAGCGCTGCAGAGTGGGAGAGGGAGCTTGTCGCGCTGAAGCAGGCTTTGCGGGCGGAGGCAGATGCCGTCGCTGTGGGGCAGGTTGCGAGTGATTCGGAGGCGGCGGTGGCGCTGGATAAGATCCGCGCTGTGTATCCGCGTTTGAGGACCGCGGGGGATGTGCTTGATGTGGAGGTGGGGGAGTTGATGGCTTTGCCGGCGTTGAGGGGGAGGTTGGGTGGGAGGGTTGTGCTGGAGGAGGATGATGTGAAGTTGTTTTCGAAGAAGCTGAGGGCTTATATTGATAGTCGGGCGGAGGGGAAGAAGAAGTCGCCGGGGAAGGGGGAGAAGGAGGCCGATGAGGGCGGTATCTGGCCGCTGATTCGGGTTGTCCGCGTGTTTCTCAAGTCCGCTGTGCTGGCGACCGGTGCGGTTCTGGTTGATTTGCCGGGTGTTTATGACTCGAATGCGGGGCGCACGGCCGTGTCGCTGGAGTACAAGAAGCGATGTGCTGCGCATTGGGTCGTGGCGCCGATTAATCGGGCAGTCGACGATAAGGTGGCACATGAGCTGCTGGACGATAGTTCCCGGATGCAGATGCACATGGACAACGCGTTCAACGACATTACTTTCATCTGCACCACGACTGATGATATCTCTGTGGCGGAGGTGGAGGAGTCGCTGCGACTGGAGGAGTCGGCCACCGAATTGAGTCAGGACCAGTCGACCCGGCGCGAGGAGCTTCAGGCTCGACTGGCAGAGCTGTGCATGAAACGGGACATCATACGAGATGAACTAGAGACTGTGGACGACAATGTGGAGAAGCTCGAGGCGCAGCTGGCGGAGGCCCCGGCTGACCTGTCGGAAACGTCGCCCAACAAGAGGAAGCACAGCGATATCACTCTACCCGGTTCTGCGACTCCTGAGAGGGATGCGTTCCAAACTGCCGAAGCTCCCCCGGCGTCTAGGCAAACGCCGGAGTTATCAAACAGAGAACAGCTCACTGCGCGTTATGCGTCTGCCAAAGGCAAACGGAAGGATCTGAACGCCCAGCGAAAGCGGCTCCGACAGGATGTCACGAGGACCGAGGAGGAGCTGCACGCCCTGAACATGCAGGACAAGGCACGCAAGGAGCAGGCAAAGCGGCAGTGCGTAGAAGCGCGCAACGCATACTCCAAACAGGAGCTCAAGCGTGGGTTTGTCCAGGTCCTGCGAGAGACGGACCAGGAGCTGTACGAGTCACCGCCTCGGCCGGAGCGGGATTACCGTGCGGCGGAAGAACAGTTGCCAGTGTTCTGCGTGTCGACCCGCGCGTACCAGTGGATTCAGGGCCGCATGCCTAAAGAGTCGGTGGTCGAGGGATTCACGACGCTCGAGCAGACTGAGATCCCCCAGTTGCAGCGCCATTGTATCTCGCTGACGGAGCGGGCGCGCGAGGCGGCGGCGCGGCGGTTCCTGGTGGAAGTTAACCGGTTGCTGCAGTCGCTGTCGGTGTGGACGACGCCTAACCCGTTGACAGCGGAGTTGTCAGAGGAGCAGCGTCGTGCTATTGAGGTGGAATTGACACGGGCTGGTGAGAATATGAAAGACGTGCGTTTCCCCTCCTATATGAAGATGATTTCTGTCAAGCGAGACTGACCCGTGCAGACATGGCAGAGACTCCGAGCCCGATTCGGGGAGAAGCTTGAAGAAGCTATCGAGCACCACATCGCATCCAAAGCCTGTACATGAATGATCCCTCTTCTTCCCCTTGTAGATCGATCTCACTGACCACGACGCAGCGGCCATCATTGCCCGAGGCCAGGAGAAATTCCCTGGGGCGGTCCGTCGGTGGAACACGACCATGCGATACAACACGCTTCAAGCCGTCTGCCGCGGCGACGGGGTACATCGCCAGCACAACCTCAACCAGGAACTGGCGAATCTGGCGCTCAGAAGGCTGGTCGCTGCGTGGCGAGTTGTGTTCGACGAGAAGGTGCCGCAGCTTACGCTGGACCTGCAGCGCAGGCTGGACCGAACCCTCAATCGATTCCACGCAGCCACAATGGCCTCTGTTAGCGACATCCCTGCGTCGGTCAACCAGCGACTGGGTAGTATCAAGGGGGCTACGGCCGACAGCTGTGCACAGCATCTCCGGATGGCGGAGGAAGGAATCCGCAACGGGTCCAAGGACCTGCACCGACAGTTTGCGGAAAGCATTGCGGAGAAACTGAGAGGGACTTACCGGGCGTGTGCAGAACAGCATGGTATGTTATTCTTTTCTTACTTTTGGGATACATTTTATTATTATTACTATTGCGATTACCATTGTGTCCAGAATGGTTTGGATAGGGTTCACTGACCCACGCAGGCCGGGGAACCCTGCGGCGGATCCAGAGGATCATGTCGGACACGGCGCGAACCCGCAGCCAAGCGGTGTTCCAGCACAGCATGCGGCGTCTGGTTTTAGATCTGGCGACGCTACAGCGCAACAGCGACTCGCAGCTGCAAAGCATCGAAACCACGTTCACCGGGGTGGTGCGCGACTACCACGCGGCGCTGGTGGCACCACAGATCCAGCAGGCGACGGCGTCCCAGGCGCAAATCAAGACGGCGGTTCAGACCCTGGTGGAGAAGATGGAGACGACGTTACAGCTGGAGGCGATCTTGACGCCGACTTCTTCCCCGACTGTGAAGAAGGAAGAAGATGTGGAGGCGTTGGACGATGGTCATTGATTGGGGGGGTGTTGATCTGGCTGTGCAGCACCAAGACCATTGGTTGGGTGGAAGTGGATTGTAGGGGCCAATGACGGGTGACAACTTGGTCTGTTCATGATTTTCCTTTTTCTGATTCGGGTTCTCTGCCTCTCTATTTGGCTGTTTTTTTTTTTCTTTTTCCGTTGGGTTGACGTGACGAGGTTGATGATCGTCCGGATGGGTTCTTGGAAATGTGACGAATGAGAAAAGTCACCTCAACCATTATCCATCCATACCGTCTTCTCTCTAGGTCACAATGATCGCTTCGACTGGTGATCCTGGTCGAAAAGAGATAGGAAATCAAAAGGACGAAAGAAAAAAGAAAAACGCAGCGAATCGATCGAAGTGGAGGGAAAGGAAGAGAAGCGGTGGAGTGGCCGAGTATGCAGCTAAAACATCGTCCGGACACGATTCCTCCAGCCTCTTGAATTAAATCGATACCCATCAGCCGGCCATGACCTCTTCAACTGACCTCTTTCCTGTATCATCCATTCTCCTCCATTTCCATGTCGAGTGTTCCTGTTGAGTTCTCCAGGCTGAGAAGTTGCCAGTTGACCGTTGACCGATAGAGACGCACGATATATGCTTAGGTAATCTTCCACCGCCTTCGCTGTCCTTCGATCCGGGCCCGACCAATCAGCGACCATGGTCCAACTTTTGCCGACGCTTTTCTTCCGCTCCAAGAAATCATCGCCATCTTCATCCTCACCTCCTCCTCTGCATTCTTCTTCTTCTCCAAGACACTCTGCTCCGCCACCTCCCTCGTATCCGTCTCATCCTCCCCATCCTCCCCATCCTCCTCCCTACGAGTCTTCTTTCCCCCCCGTCCCCCCTCCTAAACCCGCTCCGTCTCCTCCCAAGAAGAAGAAGAATTCTCCTCCCCGCCATCCTCCTCTTGCGGCCTCACCTGCTCCTTCGACTACCCCTTCCTCCCCTGCTTACACCCACCTTCGATCCGCTTCGACGCCGACAGCGCCTCCCGTTGACCGGTTTCGGCATTGGACCAATCCACCGCCCTATCAGAAACCGAAGAAATCATTAACCCGGAGGAAACGTCGGGATCCCGATCTTCATCCGCTTAACCTTCCGCCTGACGAGCTGCGTCGATTATCCGCCATGGCCTCATCGGGTGCCCGCAGCTCCATGGACGTGGACCCTCAGACTCCCTCCACCGACACCAACGGTGTCAGCCAGAACCGATCGCCCACGCCCCCGCCTCACCGTTCCAACGGAGACACCCCCGAGGCCGACTCCTTCAAACTCGCCGGTAACAAATTTTTCAAGGATGGCAACTACTCCCGGGCGATCGAGGAGTTCTCTAAGGGTATGGTGCTTCATCCATCCTTCATCTGATGTCCTTGATATGCTTGATATGTTCCCTTTTCAATATGGTACTGACGACGTTAAGCCCTCGAGATCAACCCCTCCTCTCCCGTCTACCTCTCCAACCGCGCCGCCGCCTACATGAGCGCCCATAAATACTCCAACGCCCTGGCCGACTGTGAACGAGCTCGGGAATTTGACCCCGCCAACTCCAAGATCCTCTACCGTCTCGCCCGTATCCTGACCAGTTTGGGTCGCCCCGCCGAGGCGTTGGAGGTTCTGAACCGCATTGAGCCCCCCGCCTCCGCCACGGACAAGGCCACTGCGGAGAAGATGCTGCGCTTCGTCACACAGGCCCAGGAGACCCTGCGCGAGGACCGCGGCATCTCCATGGTGCTCTTCTGCTTGGACCAGGCCCGCCAGCTGCTGGGCTCGGGCGTCAAGGAGCCGCGCGCGTGGTCGCTGTTGGCCGCCGAGGGCCAGCTGAAGCTGGCCAACGACAACTCGCTGGGCAAGGCCCAGGACATCGCCATCAACCTGCTGCGGGAAAACAGCCAGGACCCCGACGCCATGCTGATCCGTGCCCGCGCTTTCTACGCCATGGGCGACACGGACCAGGCGCTCAAGGTGCTGAAGATGGTGCTGGGCCTGGATCCCGACATGAAACAGGCCATCCGTCTGCTGCGCCTCGTCCAGAAGCTGACCCGCACCAAGGAGGCCGGCAACGCCGCCTTCAAGGTGCGCGACTACCGCGGCGCCATCGACCGCTGGTCCGAGGCGCTGGCCGTCGACCCCTCCAACAAGGATATGAACGCCAAGATCCTGCAGAACCGGGCCCAGGCCCACATCAACCTCAAGGCTTACGACGAGGCCGTCGCCGACTGCACCGAGGCCCTCCGTCTCGAGCCCGGCTACACCAAGGCCCAGAAGGTGCGCGCCAAGGCCCACGGCGGCGCCGGTAACTGGGAGGAGGCCGCGCGCGACTACAAGGCCGTGGCCGAGGCCAACCCCACCGAGAAGGGCATCCAGGAGGACATCCGCCGGGCCGAGCTCGAGCTCAAGAAGGCCCAGCGCAAGGACTACTACAAGATCATGGGCGTGGAGAAGGATGCGTCCGATCACGAGATTAAGAAGGCCTACCGCAAGCTGGCGATCAAGTACCACCCGGACAAGAACCAGAACGACCAGAAGTGCGACGAGAAGTTCAAGGAGGTGGGAGAAGCCTACGAGACGTTGATCGATCCTCAGTATGTTTCCCTTCTTGTTGACCATGATAATCTAATACTAACGATAATAGGAAACGCGCGGCCTACGACAATGGCGACGACCTGATGGATCCGGCCGACATGTTCGGCGGCGGCGGCGGCATGGGCGGCTTCGGTGGCGGCTTCGGTGGTGGCATGGGTGGCATGGGTGGCATGGGTGGTATGGGCGGAATGGGAGGCCAGGGCGTCAACATCGACCCCAGCGTCCTGTTCAACATGATGAACGGCGGCGGCGGGTTCGCTCAAGCAGGCGGCCAGCGCGGCGGCGGCGGCTTCGGCGGATTCCAATTCTAAACACCTTCCCTCTCCTCCGATTCTCCTCCTCTTCTTTGATATCCCTCCACATACTGCATCTACATCATCATACCGTCCTGTGGACGGCAATTGGACCAAAGGTCCCAATCCGATAAAGAAAAAAACGAACGAAAAGAACAAAACAAAAAGGGCAGAGGCTTATGCTGCTGCGGCACCGGTACCTTACGAATGACTGACTGACTGACTGATTGATTGACTGATTGATTGATTGATCGATACTAGCTGTTATGCACCTGATAGACTTTTCTTATTTCATTTCATTTCTTTAATTTTCATTTTCATTTTTGCCATGCTACTGTGGTATCTATCTATCATCTATCATCTACTAACTGTCATGTCATTTGTCGTGTCTCCTTGGCTTTCTCTTTCTCTTCCTCTTTCTTTCTCCACGAAAGACTAAGATCCAAAGAGAAGAAGCAACCCGGTACTATCGATACGGGGATGGACGATGATTTGATTTCTACGATCGGGGTTAATTCATTTTGTTTTTTGGTCGCAACCTATGGGACTGGGTGGTTGGCGTTATCTTCCTCTATTCCATCCGATACGTTTCAATACGGTTCATTTTACTTTCCATTACTTTATCTTATTTTACTCTACTTTATTTGAGAGATCTGTCTTGTTAGGTTGGATATAATGCATGCGGAATAGGATATGATAGGATAGGATAGGATAGGACAATTTCCACTATGTGGAATCAAATGGAATGGATCAAACAATAAACCAATACATCATATGGATGAAGAAGTGGAGTGGAGGAGGAAACCACCTACTAATCTCTTTCTTACTTTCTTTCACTTTGTATACCTTACCTTCTCTGGAGTAGATATTGATATAAGCTTGCCATCATATCACACCAAATGTACCAATCCACCAACAAACCTCCTCCTCGACCCATAATACCGTGTATAGACAACCACCACAGCAATATAAAAGTCTATAAAAAAAATATATGTATATGCATGTATGTATGTATAATATAATATAATATAAATAGTAGAGTATTAGACCTCCTTCGTCCTGAGACTCGCCATCCGCGGAATCTCAATCTCCGTCTCCACCATCTCCAGCCCCGCCAGGCTGGGGAATCGTCGACTAAAATTCGCTTCCCAGGGGCTATCGCCCGGGTTGTTGTCATTGTCATCGACGTTGTCGACGGCGTCGTCCTTGTCGCGGCTGGTGGGCTGGTCGGAGCGCAGGTTCTTGGGTTTGGGCGGGGCGGGCGGGCGCGAGGCGGAGGAGCCTGTGCGTTGCGTTGTGGCGGTTTCCTGCCGCGGGAGGAGGGGTGGGCCTTCCCAGCGGTCGGGGAGGGTGGAGATGGTGTCTGCTGCGCTTGTGCCAGGGCCTCGGTGGGAGGAGGGGGAGGTGGTGGAGGTGGAGGTGTAGAATGGGAGGGCGCTGCGGGTGTGGATGCGGGGGTCGGCGGCGGTGGAGGGGTGCGAGGTGGGCTTTGCCTGCAAAGCCGGGTGCGGGACCGGGGTCGACTCCTCCGTGAACCGTCCGTATCCGGTGGCGGTCTTGGGAGGCGGCGGGGGCTTGTGGCCCTCGCTGAGGAGAGACTGCACGCGGTTTTGGATGGCGGATGAGCGCGACGAGGGATCCCGCGTGACTGCGCCGCCTTCGGCTACCTGCCGGCGGTATTCGGCTGCCGCTTGGGCCACGCGCTTTTCCTCCTGCGAGAGCCGCCGGCGTTCTAGCTCGCGGCGCATCTCGGGCGAGATGTCGGTGTCATCGTCGTCGTCCTCGTCGTAGTCGTCGGTGAGGGGGCCGCCCGGGGCGGTCACCGTTGTCACCTCCTCGGTGTTCACCGTCACCGGGTATTTCGGGGGTGGTTCCTCGCCCGCCGGCGACTGCGCCTTGCCGTCGGTCTGCTCGAAACGGCGGAAGGCGTCGCCGAATCGTCCGGCGAAGATCGTCTTGGTGTTGGCGAGGGACAGGGTCGAGAGGCTGGACCGCTTGGCGTGTTTGGAGTTGGCGCTGTGCCGCTTCTCGCGCTTGCGATTGGACTCCTCCTCCTCCCGTGCCCGCAAGTACTCAATGTCCGACATGTTGGCCCGCTCAGTCTCCGCTCGCGGCTCCCCGATCTCGTACGGCGACCGCGGGCGGTCCAGGGACGAGCGTGCGCTATCCGACGCCCGAGGCATCTCCAGCCGGGGGCCCGCCTGCATGGAGACCGGCCGTGACGTACCACTGTTCGCCGACTTGGACCGGCCGACATGGTCATCGAGATCCCGCGCCGAGGGCCGCAGCGCTTCAAACGACGGTCGCGTGGAGGCCGGGAGATTCGACAACCCCTCCGCCGACTTCCGCGGGAGGGGCTCGAGGCGCGACGACGGCACTCGCGCTGGAAGGGGTGGCCGCACCTCTTCCTCCTCTTCCTCGGCAGCCCACTGCTGGCTCGCCGGTCGCCGCTGGCTGTCCGACGAGGCGAACCGGAAGATCGGCCGACTGCGGGGATGGGACTCCGGCAGGGCAGGCGGCGTCTCCGGCGGGGAAGTCATGGTGCCGGTCGACACCATCGCGGGCTTGTGCGGCACAGGTTGGTAGAGGGGGACTGCAGACCGCGAGGGTTCCTCGCGCGACTCCTCGGGGCGCTTCTTCGCTGGGGATGGCTGACGGCGCCTATGGACCGGGGCCTCGGATTCCCGGCCCGAGACCGGGTGCCTGGCAAAGGCGTCATCGGCCAGGGCGTTGGTGAGGCGCTGCGACAGTCCGTCATCGTCCTTGGATTCCGCCACGGTGGCGTCAAATTCAAACTTGTCCCCTTTCTCGTGCAGGATGTCAAACTGGTCCAACGACGGGAACCGGTTGGTGAACTCGTCGGTGGAGTTGCGCGACTTGTTGCCGCCGTCCAAGACCGCAAAGGGGTCGGCGGAGCCACGGTAGGGAGACGGGGTGGCATGAGCCGAGGGTTGCTGCGAGTCGCTGGGACGGGTGGGACGACCCCGCCGCATCGGGGCGATTTCGGGGATGATATGGGTTTCTTGGACCGGCGGGGAGAAAGTTGCTCCCACCTGCGGTTTGTCCGTCGGGGAGGGGAGTTCTTGGTACCGACGGGCCTCTGATTTGGAGCGGTGGGCATAGATCTGTTGGTGTGAGATACGGCCGGGGGGTGGAGATATAGGCTAAGAACGCTTACGTCTTTGATAGGGACCTCCCTTCCTTGCATGTGACAAGCTTCGCGCAAGACTTCATAGATATTCGGCCGTTTTTGCGGGTTTTCCTTCAACATCCACGCTGCCGAGCATTAGCTTTGAAGCCACACGGGCTTGTGCTAGGGGGTACTAACAAATCAACATCCGCAGACGATCCGAGAACACCGGATAGTTGGGGAATTTGTAACTGGCATTCAGGATCGCCATCTGGCCAACCTCCTCGAACGGGGTGGTGTAGTAGCACAGCTTGTAGAGAAGAACCCCCAGCGCCCAGATATCACTCTTCTCGTCAATGGGTTGCCTGCGGTAGACGTCGATCATCTCAGGACTGCGATACTGTAACGTCGTGTGGCGCTGAACGTCATCCTCGATCAGACGACCTTCAGCGGCCGACGTGGCAGCCGGCCGCGGGGGCGCCGCGGACCCGAAATCGCAGAGCTTATAGTAGGTGGTACCCCCGTGGCGGGAGATCAGGACGTTCTCCACCTTGAGGTCCCGATGCAGCAACGGGGGTTTGAGGTAGTGCATACAGGCGACGCCCTCGGCAACATCCGCGAAGATCTTGACGATCTCCGGCTCGGTCAGGCGATTCTGCAGTCGGGTGTTCATGAAATCGATCAGACCCCCACCGGAGCAGTATTCCATCAGCAGAAAGACCTCGTAGCCACCGCCGCGCAGCTGCGAGGCGTGGGAGTCGATGTATTTGACGATGTGGCGGTGCCCCTTGAGCCGTTTCATGGTCTCGACCTCGGTGCGCATGTTGGCCAGGGCGGCCTTGTCAGGGACCGCCACGCGCTTGAGGACGGTCCTGTCGGAGCCATCGACGGGGTTGGGCAACCGCACGACGTAGACATGGGCGAAGCCACCTTCGGACAGGTATTTTTCCACGACCACTCGATGGCTACCCACCTGGATCTTGGTGCCGGGCAGCAGGGTGCCCGCAGGAGCTGTGACGGCAGCAACGGGGTTGTAGGTGGGCACGGGTCGATGGGAAGCCGAGTGGCTCTGGTAGGGTTGAGAATTGGTGTAGGCAGACATGGCGAATGGCGACCCTCGCGGGGGGCCAGAGAAAGTCAAGAGAGAAACAACTACCGCAACGGCATAGAGAGGGGGAAGAAAGGGGAGAAGTTCAGTTGGAAGGGGAGGACAGTTGGCGGCGGGGAGGAGATGGGGGCGGTGTCAGCCTGGGTGGACCGGCGGAACAGGGGATGATGGAGTGAAACGATGCGGAGCGATGAGCAGACTAGCGACTGACCAGCAGCGAGGGAGAGAGTAAAGACAGTCAATAGATGGACCGGGAGACAATCTCTAGAGTCTGTATAGGAAAGCAGAAAGTCGAAGCAGAAACTCTCCTTCAGATAGAGAGAGAGAAAGATGAAGGTGGAACTGAAGTGGAAGTTGGACGACCTAGTGGAGAGCGAGAGAGGGAGAGATCGAATCAGGGGGGATCATTGTCTGACCGCCTTAATGACTCAGCATGTTTGACGGGGTCTGATTGGTGGAGATCACATAAATTCTGGACAGTATTACATAATCAGATAGTCGGCCTCATCCAATCCCGTGACCTGCTTGTTTATCGTCATTCCATTGCTTCATCCTTTGATATCCTCTCACGAGGTCACATACAAGAATGTGGAGAACCCATAATATGAGCCTAAATTACGGGCTGGGACAGCCAATGGGTCCTGCAATAGCCCACCTGCTGATCGCACGAGTGATCATCGGGGACCTGTCACGGGACCGCCTATCATCCGATCTATCAGGTATGACTGATGCTATCGAACATGCCTTTCGGGGTCATGCTGGAGTTTCAGATCCGACACGAATACAAATAGATTGATTTGAAACCGCCAAAATAAGGATTCTGTAAAAGGATCGTGGTCAAACCCGATCCACAGCCCATCGCTAGATGAAGGCCCTCCTATGCGAGACAAATAGCACAACAGAATAGGGCTAATCACCAGATGCGCCTCATAAAGATAAGGATGCAGCTATTGAACTTGAAAAGCTCACTTTGAACTGATATCTTCCGTATTGCCATCTCTAAGAGGTGTTGCATCCATACCAAGTGCCATAGTAAAAGCACGTGCCACGGTAACCCTAACTTCTACCATCTGCTCCATATCAGAGTACCTAGTAGCAGTGTACCTGCAGTATAAAAGCATAACTACCTATAGAATACGCAATCGGTGCTATATCATATAAAGAACATTCAAATCTACTATTGATACTGCTAGTAGTGTTAGTCATAATCATCCACAAGCCAATACTAAACAACCCCCCTCACCAAACCACGAATTCAACCGAAAGATGAGAAAATAATAAGAGCTCTCTCTCTCTCTCTCTTTTTTTTTTTTTTTTTTTTTTCCAAAGCAAGATACATATAAAACAAGAGAAAAACCAGAAGAAGAAAATCAAACAATAAATCTCAGCCAAAGCCCGCACACCAAGCAGCAACCACAACCTGCGCCATCACTGCCAACTGCGGCAAAGCCCAACCTAGCCCAACCATCTAGCCACCCACCCAGACAGACAGACAACATAAACTCGAAACCCCTCCCAATAGATTAGAAGATAGGCAGACTACCTGTGCCACTATGCACAGGAAGGGAATACTATCCTTGTTCATTAGTCTGGTGTAGGTATGCACAGCCTAGCAAAGGCGGCGCTTAGGTAGGGAGGTAGGAGAGTGAGGCGTTTTTAGATTTCTGAAGATATCAGTATCAGTATTAGAAATTAATCATATAAATGGGTAAATAAGTCCAATTGTGTTGGCTGGGTTTGTTTTTACTTGTAGTATGCTACTACTACTACTACTCAAATTGACACTGGTACACTCAATTCTGCTATCATTCGCTAGATCGGACTACTACAACATTCACTAGGGAGTGTTATATTGACTACCACTTCTCTTCTTTCAGTAAAAGGAAGAAAGGAACGCTCTTAACAGCCAGCAGTCCCTCCCAATGAACATAAACATAGGCCCCACCTCCATCTCCCAGCCTATCTCCAACAACACACACCATGGATCCCAGATCCAAACCCAAACAGTACAACCTCCCCAAAAGAAAATGCCATATCACATATACCACAATACTAACAAAAGCAACAGGGTATGCTACGCGTACGCCCGCCACGGCCACTGCAAATTTAAGAAGAACTGCAAATTCAGCCACGTTCAGCAAGCCCCCCAGGGCACTCGCGCTCCAAGAAACCACAACAGCAGCAACAACTACAACAACAACTACAACAACAACAACAACAACAACTACAACAACTACAACAACTACAACAACTACAGCAACTACAACAACTACAACAACAACACAAATGACTTACTCACCTGGAAACGTCACCTGCAGCAGAACGCACGTCCCCACTACAAACCCCACAGCCTCAAACACTTCTTCCAGACAGCCCTCAGGCTCATCTCCATCGACCCCAACACCCAGCAGGAAGTCATCCGCAGCCTATCTACCGAAGCCGGCCTGCGTCAGATTCACTCGCTCGTTGAGCGAGACTACAACAACGACATCCCTTTCATAAACGACAACAACAACGACGCCACAAAAGTGGCCATCTACACCAACGAGGTAGCCCCGTTCCTCGCGGTCGTCACGCACGCAGACGTGCTTGCCTCGTTGGTCCTCGAGCAGGCTGTTGTCACTATCTACAATTTCCTGTTTGGGGTTGCCGGCCGCCGCGCGGTGCCCTTTTTGGAGTTCCTGGCGGATGTGGTTCAGCTGTTGGTCCGTGAGGGTGAGGGAGAGACTGATGCTGATTCTGGCTCCGGTCCTGACCCCGATCCTGTAGGGGCTTGTATCGACGCCGCGTTGTCAGTCTTCTGGCATATCGTGGAGAAGAACTCTACAGCGTTTGTGCAAGAGCCGCTGAAGCAGATTGCCGTGCGATACCAGACGCTGTGCAAGACCGCTGTGTCGCCGTCGCCGCAAGCACAAACGCTCCTGGACAGACTGCTGCGGCGGTTCGAGCTCGTATCGGACATTTCTGTGCAACCCACGCAGAAAAATAGCTGCAGCAGCGCTGCAGCAGCGTTTATCGTGAAGAAAGACCCCCCCGGCGGGCGCCACAACAATGACCACATGGATATCTGCAATGTGAAAATCCTGCCCACCTTCCAGGAGATACTGAGCTCGCGGACAGAGTACCTCCCCGTTAAGGATCCACGGCAGTGGCACGAAGGCGGGATTGCTGGGCTTTTGGACAGACACTTTCGGTTGCTCAGAGAAGACACGGTGGGCCAGTTGAGGGACGCAATCCATGCCGAGTTGCAGCCAAGCACGGTTGATTCTCGTGGTAAGAAGAATAATAAAAACCAGACGAGAACGCACGTGTACAAAGAAGCCACGATCAAACGTCTGGGTTTGGACCGCTTTGCGGGTCTACGCGTGCTGCTCGACTTCCCACAGCCGCTGAACGTCCGCGGGAAGAGCAAGGCCCAACGGCGGGACTGGTGGGAGGCTTCGAAGCGACTCCAGACGAGCGCGTTAGTGTGTCTGGTCCGGTCGCCTGGATTCGCTATTTTCTGCACGGTGGCAGGGCCAGACCGGCCGAGGCCGTTGAGACCGGATGGAGAACAGCGGCAGCAGCCCACGCAGCTAAAATCGTCGCTCTGGGAAGATGAGAATGTTGCGTCAATTATCGTCGAGCTGGCCGAGCCAACGGAGGAGAATAGGCTCAGTGTCATGGGCTGCCACGGTGCCAACGATCGCAGGGGGGCAATCTCGCTCGTGGAATTCCCGGGCGTGCTTCTGCCGTCGTTTCAGCCGACTTTGCTGGCGCTCCAGAATATGAAGGTTGATTCGAATCTCCCGATGCCGGAAATCCTGGTCGCTGACGCGGGAGATACCGCTAACAACGTTGATGTGCCTCCACCGGCATATGCCAGCAGGCCTGGGTTCAGCTTCAACCTGAAATGTCTCATGGACGATAGGTCAACTCTTGAGGTGCGGCCGTCGCAGCCGGTTGACTTGGAGAGACTACAGCAGCACTCCACGCTCGATGCGGGACAGGCCAAAGCCCTGGTCCACACGCTGCAGCGGCGTGTCGGGCTGATCCAAGGCCCGCCAGGCACGGGAAAGAGTTACACCGGTGTTGCGCTGATCAAAGTCCTCCTAGCTAACAGGACCAAGATACGCCAGTTCGGGCCGATCATATGTGTCTGCTATACCAACCATGCGCTCGACCAGCTGCTGGAGGATGTCCTGGAAAGCAAGATCACAAACCAGGTTATCCGCATTGGCTCGCAGTCGAAATCCGAAATCTTGCAGTCAAAGAATCTCCGAGAGGTCTCGCGAGACGTCGACTTGACGAGAATTGAGAAACGGGAGCGGTACGACCTGCAAACAGAGTTCGATAAGCATGAACAAGACTTTGATGCCCTCCTGTTGGAGACTTCTTCCAGCTTAAAAAATTACATCGCTGATCGCGATCCACAACATTTCCGCCAGCTGTGTGGAATAGATCAGGATGGCTTCCAACGAGCTTCGAAGCGCGGATCACATAAGACCATAGACTCGTGGTTGCATTCTGGCAAAGCAAGCAAGGGCAAGCCTCGCAGCTTGAACGAGTTGAAGGATGTGCACGTCGACGAGATGACAGCAAGAGAACGCATGATTCTCCACGGCCATTGGAGCAAAAGAAATTGGGAAATTCTCCATGCTGAGGCGAACGCAATCTTATCCGAACATCTAGAGACCAAGCGTGCGTACGACGATATCAAAGACGAGGTCAACCTCCGGTGTCTTCGCGACGCCCATGTCATCGGGGTCACGACAACCGGCCTAGCCCGGAACCTGAAAATGCTCCGCCGACTACAGTCCAAAGTTATCTTATGCGAAGAGGCAGGCGAGGTCCTAGAAGCTCACATGCTTACCTCGCTGCTACCGTCCGTGGAGCACGTCATCTTAATCGGAGATCATCAGCAGCTCCGGCCACAGATCCAAAATTACGCGCTCTCTCGCGAGAGTAACGTCGGCCAACAGTACTCTCTAGACATATCGTTATTCGAAAGGCTAGTCCATCCGGACGACAACAGTGGTGGGAGAATCCCGTTCTTCACGCTGGAGACGCAGCGCCGCATGCACCCGTCAATCGCACAGTTGGTTCGGGATACGCTGTATCCGCGGCTGCAAGACGCACCCTCTGTCGGCGAATATCCCGAGGTCACGGGGATGCGGAAAAGGCTGTATTGGCTCGACCATCGGCGGCTTGAGGGCAAAGCCTCCGGTGACGAGGCGGCCAGCACGTCCCACTGGAATGACTACGAGATAGATCTTACATTGGCCCTGGTCAACCACCTTCTCCGCCAGGGAGCCTACCGTAGCGGCGACATTGCGGTCTTGACGCCGTACCTAGGCCAGCTACATCGGATGCGACGGAGACTGTCCCAGTGTTTTACCATCGCGCTTGGGGAACGCGACCAGGAAGACCTCGACAAAGCGGGATTCGAAGACGAGGACACAGCCAACAAGGAAGAGGCACCAACAAGCGCAACATTTACCAGGTCGACCGTCCTCCAAGCTTTGAGAGTCGCCACCATTGATAACTTCCAGGGCGAGGAAGCCAAAGTGGTGGTCATCTCCCTAGTCCGAAGCAACAACCAGAACCGGTGCGGGTTCCTCCGTACGCCAAACAGAATCAACGTCCTGCTCTCCCGCGCACGACACGGCATGTACATCATCGGCAACTCCGAGACCTCAAGAGGCATTGGAATGTGGGCCCAGGTGCTGGATATCCTCGACAACGGGGGCAATTTCGGGCCGACTCTGGACTTGCAATGCCCGCGTCATCCGGACTCGCCCATCGCGGTATTCGAGCCAGAGCACTTTACGCAGTTCTCGCCCGAAGGAGGCTGCGACCTTTTGTGTGGAAAGCGCTTGCAGTGTGGCCACCCGTGTAAGCAGAAATGCCACTCTGAACTGCTCCACCAGGCGGTCTATTGCCTCGAGACCTGTCCACGGCCTTTGAAAGGATGCACCCACGCGTGCCCCAAGCCATGTGGGGATCCGTGCCCCAAGAGATGCCCGATCGAAGTGTATGACGCCGAAAGAGTGCTGCCCTGCGGGCATTTGATGGCCACTCTCCCTTGCTGGCAGGCTCAAGATCTCAGCACAGTAAAGTGCCCAATGCCTGTCAAGAAGCAAGTCCGCCATTGCGACCACGAGGTGACCGTTGCATGCCACATCGACGTGACGAATCGCGAATACAAGTGCTCTCAGCAATGCCGCGGCATTCTGCCCTGTGGCCATACCTGCAAGCGAGAGTGCTGGCAGTGCACGGTCCATGGGGCCGAGGATGTCCAAGTTAACCATGGGAAATGTACCGAAAAGTGTGGCCGGCCGTATACCACATGTACCCACGCCTGCAATTCTCCCTGCCACGATACAAAGCCATGCCAACCATGTATGGCAGACTGCGCAGTCCAGTGCGGCCACTCCAGGTGTCCGCGAAAATGCTCGGAGCCATGCGCCCCGTGTGCGGTGCCCACGTGTCTGTCGGCCTGTCCTCATAGCGCCTGCACCATGCCCTGCGCCGCTCCGTGCGACCATACACCGTGCTCCCTCCGCTGTGACAAGGTCCTTTCCTGTGGCCACCGGTGCCCGTCGCTGTGCGGGGAAGTCTGTCCCAGTAAGAAGTATTGCCAGACCTGCGCAACCGACGAGATTGCCGACAATGCCGTTGATTTCATTCTGGGCCTTACCTATCGGGAGATCGGTCTTGACGAGAGCCCTTGCATCTTTCCTCCGTGTGGCCATTTTCTCACCGTGGAGAGCATGGATGGGCAGATGGATCTTGGAAAGCACTATGTTATGAACGAGATGGGAACGCCCGTTGCCATTGCATCGTCGTCAGCGCCATTCTCCAGTGATGATAGAGTCCAGACGTGCGCTACCTGCCGAGGCTCATTGAGAAGTATCGCCCGCTACGGGAGACTGGTAAGGCGTGTACTGCTAGATGAATCCACAAAGAAGTTCATCTTGTATCTGAACCAAGCATATGTGCCAATGGCCGAGAAGCTGCCGCAGCTGATCGCAGACCTCCAAAATCGGGAACTGGGGCTCGTGGCCCGAGTTTTCCGGAAAGAGATGACGATCAAGATCCAGGGACCTCCTGACCATCAAGTCGGGCTCATCAACAGTCATTTCAGAAAGTGCGGCAGCACAAGGTGGCAGGATATGAACCAGCTGAGGGGCCAGGTTGTGGCATACTACAAGAAGGTGGATATGGAGGAGCAACCGTTTACCCAGGTGTGGAGCCGCGTGGAGGATGCACGTCGGCGAAAACGAACCACCGGGCAATTACCCATGGACGAAAGCGTACTTCAGACAAAAGGCAGCATCCAAGCACTGTCGCTGTTGATTCGCTTGGACACCGCCCTCCTGGGAGACTTCTTCTCGCTGCATAAGCGAGCCCAAAACATACAGAGCACACTGGAAGTCAACTTGCACGCAAACCGTCAGCAGTGCCAGTCCTTGATAGGGATGGCCACCAGTACGCGCCGAGTGCTGCAGCAAGTCGAGGGGAATCTGTACCAGGCTCAACTGTGCGCTCTAGAGCGACAGGCCAGCACCGAGCCCGGTCAGTCTGAGAACCTTCTCCAAGAAGGGAAAGCGGCCCTCGATGCGGCCAAGCTGCTGTGCGAGCGATATCCCAATCAAGCGCGCGGGCTCGACGGCGAAATTGAAGGCACGGAACAGATGCTCTGCACAGGGACTTTCTACGCCCCGATCACCAGCGAGGAACGCGTCGCGATCGTGAAGGCCATGGCTCGGGAGTTCTTAGGTACTGGACATTGGTATTACTGCGAGAATGGCCACCCCTTCACTATTGGGGAATGCGGAGGCGCCATGCAACTGTCCAGATGCCCTGAATGTGGATCGCCCGTGGGTGGCCAGCACCATCAAACTGCCACCGGGGTGACGCGTGCCATGGATTTGGAAGAGAACTTGGGAAGGCTGCAGTTGGCATGATTCTAGCGGACGATGTCTTGCTTGGATAACTGTTAGTTATTAGTGACCCTTGAACATCCCTTGCGTACATTGTTTGGGTAAAAATCATGAGACTTTATTTGATTAGATCTATGTAGGTAGCAAGTACGGAGTATACTGTAGATTGATGGAAGGAACGATGAGTAGGAGCAAAGTGCCTCTCTACTCCGCCTTCGTCACCGCCATCACCACTCCAACATCGTCTTATCGCCATCACCATCATCATCATAATTATCAGTGTCGTTCCACCCTACAGCAAAATGGCGCCCGTCACATTGAATACAGTAGACAGTCCGTCATCACCACTCTATCAGCTATCCATGTCATACTGACGTCCCGTGCAGCCGAGCTCAAAGACATCATCCAACACCTCTTCGAGATCCAATCCGCCGTCCACGGCTACCTAGGCCCAGAAACCCAACAAGAACTCGTCCGGAAAATGTACCTCTCATTTCCTCCCCGATCCACCCTTTATTCATACTCACTCAACCAGCAAAAACCTCACCGTCGCCCTCTCCACCCTCTCCAACGACACGCGCGAGAACAACCAGCAGCATACAGATCAAGAAGCATCCTCAACAGACCCCCCCGTCAGCACGATCCAATTACCGCCAGAGATCATCGACTACGTGGACGCAGCACGCAACCCAGACATCTACACGCGCGAGTTCGTCGAGCTCGTCCAGCGCGGCAATCAGGACCTGAAGGGGAAGCAGGAGGCGTTCCGGGGATTTCGAGATGTGCTGGCGCGGGAGATGCGCAGTGCGATGCCGGAGTGTCGTGGGGAGGTTGACCGGGTGATTACGGCGACGGGAGGGGAGACCCAGTAATTCACCCACTGGACGGTCTGCAACTTTTGATTTTGTCTGGTCTACTGGAGGTACGGTGTAGATTTTTTGATTCTTTTTGTTTCCTTTCGATTCGTTTCCGTTTTTTTTTCTTTTTTTCAACCCCTCTTAATGAGAGGATATCATTGGGGGCCAGGAGTTTACGAGGGACGACTACTATGTGCTATGTGGGTATTGGTGATATATATTTTGGCGTGGGATAAGCAAATGACAGGGTTTTGGTGGGGGGCCCTGAGGAGACATTGGATGGCATTAGCATTGACATGGGCGTCTGGGTCAAATAGGAATTTTCCTTTTCATTCTTTTATTATCTTTGTGTAGTATTTTTTTTTTCTCTCGTCAGCTTTACAAAGTCCTTGTTCTAACACAAGAAGTCTATCCATCAAGACCCGACAAGAAGAACAACACAATCACAAGGAATAAACCCCCAAGAATGTGACAGATGAACAAGACCTCGGAAACGTTTACCGCTAGAAGCCCGTGCACATCCATCACAACCTGTCTCCATCTCCAGAGCTTTTTTACCTCCCGACCCGCCCCATAAGCATGATAGTCAAGAGGTAAGGCTAGAGAGGAAGGCTGAGGGGCATCTCACCCAATAAAGAACCGACGGATTCACCGCTGCTGCATCTGTCACCCGTCCAGCAATCACACAGCCTGTCTACTTTAGTCTGCCTGTCACACCCGGTTCAGTTCAGTTCACCCCGTGGGCGGTGCAAAATACCACCATTTCATTGTCAGGATTTGGAGCCTGCTGCGGTGCAATCATACCATATGCTACCGTACTGCTCAGGAACACTTCGGGACGAGAAAGAATAGGGGGAGATTGGATCATGAATTAATTAAAGAAATCCATCGGAGTGGTCTTGGACTCCAACCATTCCCTAATTCAGACTGGTGTTGATTCCAACCAAACCAAGAGACAAATCCGTTGCATCCTTCGGGCGGGGGTGAGGAACACGTGTGGATACTTGGATATTGGATAGTCAAGGAGGTGTGCACGTGTAGGCTTGATGTCATGTAAGGGATGTCGATCTTTGGGGACCATCTTGATCTTCAAAACAGCTAGGAGATGGGGGTCCTAAATAGTGCGAGTATCACTATTTGCATAGTTTATGGAGATTTAGAGAGGGTTAGAAGATCATAAACTTGCCAATTACTTGATTAAAACGTAATGACAATGAATCAATCCTTCAGGATTATATGGAAGATATAATAATACCCTTATTTGGTGGATTTCGTGCAGCATCCGTGCTGAATCCGTGCTGAATACACTTCTTGTTGCCTGGGTGGGAATCTGATTAGCATAGCGGAGAGCCTTTCCATCAATCTAGGCCGGCTGGCCCAATGGCAAGGCGCTTGACTACGAATCAAGAGATTGCAGGTTCGATCCCTGCGTCGGTCAATATTTTTTTTCATTTTTTTCAATTTTGATCTAGCTGTGATATTTTTATTATCATTTATTTTTGTCTCTGGTTGTTGAGATTGATATTAGGTCTGGTTGAAATAGAAATGTGCAATCAAACAAAGATTCCCCCTTGACAGAGGGGAAGCTGTATCAGTGACAGGTCAGTGATACTCAGTGAGGCTCTTTTCAAGCAAGGATTCCCAATCGTCTCGATCCCAAAATATATCCCATCGCCAGCCTCCTTACTGCAGCCCAGACTCGACGACTCGACAACTTCCCCGATCTATCTCTCCAATCATCTCCCCAGTCCATCCACTTCGTTGCCGTCACCACACCACCATCGTGGACTGAACGGACCAACTCCCCATGCAGACTAATTCCTTGGTGCGGTCGGGCGGGCAATGAGATCCGACACTCGACCAGTCACTGCCAGCAGGGCCAGTCTGTCAGCCGGTTTCTCCGCTGGGTGATTTAGTCCCGATCTATCTCAATCGGGACTAACATGAAATCCTTCAAGGCAGGCAGCAATGCCTGTCTGTCTGTCGGTTTGGTTCGTCGGCTCAGGCCTCAACCCTGGTCTGCCAGCATCTCGGCAGCCTCACAGCCGCAGCCCAGCCAGCGGGCTCAGCCTAATAAGAGATGACGATGAAGTCATCTGTCTCTGTTTCCTGTTCCCCTCGGGGGGTTGCCCCGTGTGCCCCGCGGGACTTTTCTTTCTTTTTTCCTTTTTATTTATTGATTCATGTTATGTGTTTTGTGTTAGTTCATGTCATTTTAGGTGTTCTTCTTTTTGCCCCATTCTCGACATCATATGCCAGAGTAACTACGAACTGGTGCGACATTTTCTTCCTCGGCGGAGCGACCCGACTGTCATACGAGTTCTGGCAAGTCAGAAAATGGACGAGTTCACCGTATCTCCCACCTCCATGGACCAGTGTCCCCTCAGTTGACCAACAGTGGGACACCAACCAACCAGAAACCTGGATTGCTGGAGTGACCTGCAGTTGGCAAATCCCCAGGAAAACCCCGGAAAGTTTTTATATTTTTCTCGTGGGGACGGCCGAGAGAGAGACGAAAGTGGAGGCGCGACCTGCGACTGGCTCCGTAGTGAACCGTGTTTGTGTTCTGGGTGGGTCTGCGTTTAGCCCAGCAGGGAACTGGCAAGTTCAAAGAGGGGAGGGAGAGGATCTTCCTTTATATTTTGAATCCTCTCCCCTTTGACACAGCAGGGGCAGTTGGGAAAAGAACTCAGACTTCCCATGGTTCATGGGTTGATGGCGGACAGGAACCGCTCCTGATACAGTCTAGGGGCGTTTTATAATTCGATTGATTCAAGTCTATCGAGGTAATTATAGATTTGGACAAAGGACGATACTTGTCCTACCCGGCAATCCAACGTCGGTGGATCGTATTCTCCTTGGTCTGTGTCAGATTTGGATTCTTTGTTGGATCTCAGATGAGAAGCGAGGATGGAAATTATATTAATTAATTTGAATTAGAAAGATAAATATCAAGATCAGTAATGACGAACTCCGTTAGACAGGATTAATCTGGGCAATGATATTAATAAATCCCGGATGAAATCATTATAATTAGAATTCTTATTAGTATTATCATCCTGGCCCGAATTCTGACTCGTTGATCCTTTTCGTGACTTTTGCTTCTCCAGGATTTCCGCCCCAACTCTCTTCACAGCCTCTTTTCTTTTCTCTCTTTCTTTCTCTCTTTCTTTCTCACTTCTTTCACTTCTCTTCTCTCTCTTCTCTTCTCCTCTCTCCGTCATCCACTTTGATCTTCCCTTCCGATTCCTCTTAATACTCCTGATCCTCACCGAGTCTATCGATCTATCCCACTCCACGCTGTTCACTCTCCAATTCTCCAATACTCCAATACTCCACCCCCCTATAATTACCACTATGCCATATACGACCACCACTACTATACCATACTAAAAATTACACTACTACACTATCAACCACACCACAACAGCTATATACCGACATATCGCAACATTTCGACGGCCACTACAACTAACACCTCCCGCGATAACCATGAATCCCTTCCCCCCATCCGCTCAAGATCGCGTCGCTTAACCCGTCATGGCCAACGCGACTAATAATGCCCCCGGCAACGGCATTACCGGGGGCTACGATGGCGAAGAGCTCGGCATGAAGATCGCCATCGCGACGATGGCCGGCATCACTTGGTACAACGCCATGGAACTGATCATCCTCGTCTTCGTCACCTTCAGCCAATATCGCGGCCTCTACTTCTGGAGTCTCCTCGTCACGTCCTCGCTCGGCCTCTTGCCCTACTCAGTCGGCTTCCTCCTCAAGTTTTTCAAACTCATCGAATCTCAGGTCTGGCTCCCCGTCACCCTCCTCACCATCGGCTGGTGGTGCATGGTCACCGGCCAGTCCGTCGTCCTGTACTCTCGTCTGCACCTGGTTATGCCCACCCGGCGCATTCTCCGCCCCGTCCTCGCCATGATCATCATCGACGCCATCATCCTCCACTTCCCCACCACTGTCCTCACCTACGGCACCAACATGGCCCCGGACCCTGGGCGCTACCACTACACCACCGGCTACAACATCATGGAGAAGATCCAAATGACCGGCTTCTGCATCCAGGAGTTCATTCTCTCGGGCCTCTACATCTGGGAGACCACGCGCATGCTGCGGTTCGACCCGGACAAAAGCAAGCGCAAGATCATGTACCAGCTCGTCATCATCAACTTCATCATCATCGCCATGGACGTCGCCCTGCTGGCCGTCGAGTTCAAAAACCAATACATCATGGAGACCATGATCAAGGGCGTCGTCTACAGCGTCAAGCTCAAGCTCGAGTTTGCCGTCCTCGGCAAGCTCGTCATCCTCGTCCGCAGCCGCATCTGGAAAGCCGAATCCATCACCCAGCACCCCTGCGACTTCCCCGACTTCGTCGACGCCACGCGCGTCACCTCCGACATGACCCACGCGGCCCCCACCACCCGCCGTCGCTCCCACCCCTGGATGGACCCGGACGACATGTCCATCGCCATCTTCGAGCACAGCACCACCACGAACGACCACGAGAGCGGTCTTTCCGAACGCTCCCGCTCAGAGAGCAACAGTAGCCAGACCCGGACGGACCATCCCACCTACCCATGCGGTCTGAATCCGATTGACTACGCCTATCCACTCGGTGAGCAGAAGTGCATGCCATCGAAGGACTCGAGTGAGAGTCCTGCTTGATTTTTTTGCTCTTTTCTTTTTGCTCTTTCTGATTTCCTTGCAATACCCATACCCGTTTGTTTGTTCTTTTCCTTCCGCTTTATGCATACTCCTACGAGTCACGAGCCACGAACATGTCATGTACATCAGTGATCCAGCGGCAGTGATACTCCACCCCGTTCCATACAGTCCTGTCAGGGACACCTACAGGTCGAGCGAGACAGATGCCCATCTCACAGGCACATCGGAAGATACAAGAGAACTATATACCTATATAGATATGGTACATGGTGATCAACTGTTGGTGGAGTGTGCCGCAGGACGTAATATCAACTACATACTACTACATAAATATAACCAAATAATAATAAATACTTGAATGAATGAACGACAAGTAAGACAATACATGTAAATAGATATCTGGTAATTAACAAGTCTTACCATATTTACTTACTAGCTTTCATAATCTTGATACTGTCTAATGTATCTATATACTCAGTCTATATACACCCCCTCTCTCCATCCTCTTCTTTTCTCTTTTCTCTCTTCTCTCTTCAATCCTGCCTTATCTAACGCAATACCTCTCTCGAGATTTCGCATCAACTAGCTATCAATTGCTCCTTTCCACTATTAAAGCAAAGAACTGCAGAAATCTTCACACAGTAAAGGAATTTAGTTTATTTATCAGCCTAAACTAGACATGATATAGCAGATACTTACGTATGCACAGACACAATCTTTCCTCCATCTATCAGGGGACTAACTTATGCCGCCGATTTGCAGCCGGCTGAAAGGACTAGGTAGTGGTTGGAAGACACCCCCTTCCCCCAAAAGCCAAAAAAAAAAAAAAAAAAAAAAAAAAAAAAAAAAAAAAAACCGTACAAGCAAGAAATGAAATGCAAGCATGTGCCCAATTACATCCATGTTTTTCTACTCTCGGGAGTGAAGCTCACGCTCTTCGTCCGTGAACTAAATCGGACAGGGGAGTCGCTGCCCGCTTGGAAAAATCTCATCCCACTGATCAGCGAGCGATATGAGCGACTGGCGACAAAAAAAGGCATCTTTATTTTCCCACATCCTACTCACTAGCCAGACCGGATTTTGTAAACCTCGAACTGTTGACTGGCTAAGAACTGCCCAGTGACGAGGTGCGCGTTTGTAAACCTGAGCTTCATAGTACTTATGTATAGTCTCACTCTCCAAGTCATCGTCAACGATCCTTTTCTCTATTTCGCTCAAAGAGTCGAAGTCCGCGGGCCGCTCTGGTACAATCCAGCCTTCGCGGACGGGTCCAGCATGTTGGAACATCCTGGGTATATCGGACTGGTAGAATAGAGGCGCCACGCACGCAGACTGCCAGTCCACAATGCAAGTGATCTCGCAGGTTGCAGGATCGACGAACACATTGTCGAGATGGAGATCAGGGTGCCAGAGGACTTTGAACGTCGCTGCTTCGTCAGTCGCCTGGGGGACCAGGTAAGGCGCCGCATTCATGTATTGAGTGAGAAGCGCAATGCCGTCGCTGGGAAGCTCGTGGTCTTCACTGGACCGGTAGTAGTTCATTCGAGGGCGAGCGTGGGACTGGATCCATGCAATTTCGTTCCGCCCTAGTGCTTGCGTGTATTCACTTGGGTCTAGCCCTGCACAGAATTGTCAACAACGGGACATCGGAAATCATACATAAGACAGCTAGCTGACTTACAGGGACCACAATCTAATATCATTCCTTCTCTACTACCCTCCCAAAGCTCCGCAGAGGTAAGAGGCCCGATAGCAAAGCGACCGAGCAGTCCAGCACCGGAAGTGTCGACACCAATATCTTCGCATCTCCCAGTCAACGCGCGCAAATCATCCTTGAAATAGATACAGCCGTGCTTCGGAAACGGTATAGCAGCCAACCTATTCTCCACATCGACAATCTGCGCAACCAGCTTTAGTTTCGCTTCGCGCGGCCACTCTCCCCACACAGAGCCAAGCCTAGTCCCACGAGCCTTCTCTGTAATGATATACTCCGCTCCAACGGGATTGTTCGTTGCATCGGAGGACCATGCGAGGACCCGAGAAACAGGGACCTTAAACACATTGCGTAGCTTGCCGTTATGAGTAACTCTACATATCTAAAAAAGGCAGAAAAAAGGCAATGAATCTATCATAGAAGCTCGAGCGTAGCAACCTCAGAAGCAGTAGTGAACCGAGCAGGCCCCGCATTTGGATTAGGGAGTTTTGCAAAGACCTCCGCTCCGTTATCCATTATCAAGATAAATTCCTTGTTGCGCAAGCCCTCGGAGCATTTGAGGACTTTGGTACCTTTGATTATGATGCTGGTGAATATCATTTTCTGAAGGGAGCGTGGGAGCGTGGGTGCTTGGACATACAGTGGCGAGCTCCCTCGCAGACATTGACAGCGACGTCTAGAAGATGCTGTAGATTGAACCTCACATAGCGCTTGGAGAGCTCTCTTTGCTCGTTGAATCTAATTGAACACCGGTGAACTAATGGTTCTATGTAAATTAGAAGCGACGCTCACAGCCATCGGTGCCTGATGTATTTGTATAAATCCTCCTCGAGGATGCTCTCATCTAATACACTAGTCAGCTATTTGATCATTTTGGACATACCAGAACGCAAGTACAGGTTCCACTGGGCCTTTCCATGCATAATTTTGGAGAGTGAGGACTTGACTGTTCACCGCTTGAACGCAACAAAGAGAAGAAACTCGCGCCCTGCGATCGTCAATTAGGGAGTCCCCTTTGGAAGCTTGCTGCTAGAGATAGCTTCCAGGGCATTGGCAGATTTTTGTACATATCTGTTGGGAGTCAATTAGACAGAGTGCTGTTACTATCTCTTTTGGAGGTTGGGATCGGATTCGGACGCGGGTTTACTCAACCTAGGCATGCTGGCCCAGCCACCCAGCCAATCACTCCGACCAGGCGAGTGCGTCTGGCCCTGCTCTTGTACTTTATACTAATATTATTATCTTGGATTATTTATATGGATTATTTGAGTAATTTATTGTTGTTCTTTTCTTCGTATTACTAGGGTAAAGATATGGGCACTGGCTCTTGAACTTGATATAATGTAGAAAGATAGGATATCAACCACTGCACCAAAATTGTGGAAATCATTTTGGGAGGGCTTAACCTGACTGATATCCCCAACATAAGATAATGCCCGAATGAGTATTCGGGAGGGCTTTTTTGTCCACCGGCGACGCGAGAGATCACACTAAATATTAAGTTGGTAAGACAGGGTTTGGTCATCGCTGTGGATAGGATCAGATAAGTGTGTTTAGAACGTTTCGTCCAGGAGCTTGTGGAAGTGAGACACCCAATAAGCCACGTCTGCTGACTTGTGGTGTTCTCTCACATAACATCATTGTCTTGAATCTCCACATTTCTTGCAATATTGCAACTGGCCGCAACTTTTCATAGCTTCAAAGTTTATCAATATTATTGAGGTTCTGATCGTTTTCATCAGTTCTGGATGCCTTTCGTGATGATCGTGCTGCTAGAGCCGGTATGGCAGAGCTTTTCAATTCCTTTGAGTTGGCATTCGGGGATATTTGGTTCCCAATCAACAGCTGTTTTTGTGGCGTTGCCGACAAGAGCGGCTGAAACGCCCCATGCGCAAATCATGTAGGTCGAGAATATAGGATGCGAAAAGAATTACCACTCGGCTGCAAAAGATATCATAACACTTTTGTGCTTCGTAAGTAACCCTATATTCAGTGCGGCGGTGAATCAATCTCATCCCAGAGGTTATCATTGAGTATGGCACGACTGCCTGGGGAGGGAGATTTTGGGCAATCTTCTGGATTTAGTTTGCCCGTGGTAGAAGTTAGACGACCTGGTAAGAGAATGGCATCATCTAACAAACGTTTATTTTCAATAGCCTGGATTCGTAAAGCTTCTCGTCGAGCTGGGTTGGTGGTGGGTAGAAGGATGCGGTCAGGAAGCTCACGCGCACACTCTATAGCTGCTGATAGAGCTTCTTCGTACGTGACATGGCTAGTGGAGAGCGCCACAGTGAGGTCGTTGTGGTGATCGTGGAGGTGGTCGGCCACTCGACGCAGGACCATGCTTAGAGGGAGTTTCTGAGGCAGATCCATATCGAAGGTTACCAGTGGTTGTAGTTAGTGCTGAGGTGTTGAGAGCAAGACTGGTCGAGGCTCAAGAGCTCAGAAATAAAGTGGTACAAAAGACGAGTGGATATAATTACCACTCGGCTAAAAAAGATCTCAAGATCAAGACACTTGTGCTTTGTAAGTAACCTTATATTCAGTACAACAAGCCAGTGAGGGAGAAAACGATGCTATTCGATGGTATGAAGAGAGAACTTAGTGGGGAGGAGGAAGAAGAAGGGAAGAGGAAATCAACCAGGTGACTTTCACTTAGTCACATGATATGTTTGCCAGTACGAAGCCCTAATCCCTGATACTCAGTTTAAGTTCTCAAGACTTGTCAACTCTTTTATACATCTTTATTGAGCGTACTATCAAGTTAAAGTGTTGGGATCTGTCACTGTATACGTACGCATCACTATATGTCTATTACGCACTAGTTGTTTCTGGGGGGCAAGAAAATGCGATAGGCGAATCAATCAAAAGAAGGCAGTGTGAGGAGTGAGACAAGCCAACTGACTATTATAGCTCTTCTCCCACCTATTCCTCCCTCCTATTTCAGTCCTTACCTTCTCCCCTTCCCTCATTATACCCAAGATGAGATTCACACCGCCGCCCGGATCCACCGCGGAGTTGCATAATAGACTCCAAACCGAGCCGCACTGGGGATACACCATCTACCGCACCACCTTCTCCGCGCAGGCGGACGCCGCATTCCCCACCATCCTCCGCTACCTCGACGCCTGCATCAAGAAGTCGCTCTTTTCCGAGTGCGCCTCCTACAGCGAGAGCGAGAAGTCTCCCGGGGTAGACCCCGCCATCTACCAGGGCACTTGGGCCAAATACCAGCCCACCGTCATTGAAGATGCGGGAGCGTCTATGGAGTCAGTCCGGGATCACTTCGAGGCCTCTGTAGAAGGACAGGGCCGACGCGACCTCTTCAATTCGGATCGAATGTGCATTGTCATCGACGAGGAGTCCCTGCTCACGCTGCTGGATGCATCAGTGGAGGCCCTGGAGGCGGAGGGACCCCAGCACGTCCACGAAACAACGCGGTTTGTGAAGGTGCTCGAGGCGTGGCCAATATTAGACCAGTATGACAGTTTCCCGGGGTGGATGAAATGTTCGCCCCGGGCACTGTGGGATCTCTGGAAGATGATGGGCGATGGGGACGAGATGAGGAATTCGTGGGAGGATATGGATGAGATGGACGAGGGGGTGTATTGTGGGCCGTGATGATGATAGTAATCGGACGCTACACCCAATAATCAAAAAGCAGATACTAGAAACTCATATCAATCGAGAATATATAAAAAAAAAGAAGAAAAACATACAACAGCCGGGATTCGCATGTGGTCACCCACCATACTACTAACCGGCCGGCGTGTGGCTTAAGTACGGCTGAGCGGACGGGAAGCCCTGTTCTCCACACCCTATGGTCGTATGTATCAATTTCTTATAAGAAATGGTTGATATAGGGTATAGACGAAAAGAGCTAGATGAAGCTAAAGCTGCATCTTTGTCTTCGATATCATGGTAGGAGTAGAGCTGGTCTAAGAAGCCAATGATTAGCAGAGCTGGTATGGAAATATTGAATTTAGGTATTGTAACGGGACAGTCACTATAAACTCACTCTAAAGACTCTAGACGTTGCTCCATAGATCTATACAGCTATTCTATAGGGCCCTATACATCACCTACACTACTCTATAGACACCATCCAGATATTTCATAGAACCGTTGGAATTACTACACATGGAGAGGCAGATAGCTGATATATTTTTTAAGTGTCAAACTAACTAGAGCTGGCATCAAAGTAAATTATCAAATCTATACCATGTCCGTCATCCCGCACCAGCCCTACTATCAGCCGACATTATCACACCTTTATGTCATGAAATGTCATGGAATAGCCATTCCGCAAAGAGTGACGACATCTAGATTACCATTCTACACATCATGCTTTTCAAAACTTACCTGGCCCTCTCTCCTCCATTCCAGCACTCTCCGGCGTATACCTCCAACGACCATCTTCCCTCCCATCAACCACAACACAAAACTAACCCCAATGTCATCGTCAAAACCCAACAAGTCATCCTGGCTCTACCTGCCCGCAGAGCTCCGGAACATGATTCTGGAAGCCGTCCTGCAGACAGGTTGTCGCGTGGCTGGCCTTGCCGTAGTATCACCGGAGTGGCAGGCGATGATCGAGCCGCGCAATTTTGCCCGCATCAAGCTCACAACATCGTGCCTCGCTGAATTTGGCTCAATGACTCAACGTAATCAATCTCTTGTACACTACATATGGCTCTGCTTGGAACTCCAAGAATATGATTGCACCAAGTGTACGCCTCACCATGTAGGCGGTATAGGGCTCAGCAACGCAGACAATACCCTGCTCACCACAGCATTGCAGAACCTGTTCTCAACTCTCAGCACGTGGGAACCAAATGGCAACCTGTTGCTTGATATCAGTGTTCACTCTCCCAGCGACGCAGACCACTGGTTCAAATATCTGACTTTTAGACCCGATATCCCTATCCCACCTGATGAGCGTGATCTGGATCTATGCACACAGCATAAGCAACAGTCAATACTAGCCGGCCCCAGTAACTACACACATGGCTGGATTGCCGGGAAACCAATTTCCACTCCATCCACGTGTGCCGTCCTCAAAGTCTTCGACGAACTCATGGGTGCAGACGCATTTTCCAACGGCGAGCAGCAAAACGAGTGGTGGGGGCAACTGCCATTAGTCCCAGCCGTAACAGGAGTCCTTCTACGCCAACAGACCCGCCGACGGTGGAAGCCAACTGCACTAGCACATATGTTTGCCCGTTTTCCAAACCTCCAGGAGATCCACTACGAGCCTTGGCGGCAGTGGTATGATATTGAGCAGAATTGGGTAGATCTATGTGAGTGCTCCTACATCGGTCTATCATTCTATATCTACTACCATCTATGTACATTGCTTATCACTAACTCATCTCCAATGCAGACTTTCGAATCCTTTTTGACTCACTCACCACAAGCACCAACCTACAAAGACTCACGCTCTTCGAAAACTCCAACAGACAGTACGCGCGACCTTTTTTCAGACTTCTCGGAGACAATTGCTCGCTTATTCGAGTCCCCAACGCAGAAGTCAGCCGAGCAGTCGCCAAACTCAGTCTCCAGCTCGAGCACCTCTCGGCATCATTCACTGTAGATGCGAGCTATTTCCTCAATGCTTGCGAGCTGTCTTGGAAGTGGCCGCGCTTGACCTCCGTCGCACTGACTTCACGACTGCTCACGCCCAATGCGAGCCCGCTTAAGCTCGACAACTTGCTCCAGACAGCGGCAGGAGTAGCCCTACGAATGCCAAAGCTGAGATCCATGGAGATATGGAATGGGCGAGAGGGACTGGCTATGCTTTTTAGATACCAGCTGATCGGGGCCGAGCAGCCTGCTGTACTCACCTGGAGAGGAACGTGGGAGTTCACCCTGCGACCTCCTGTGGTCAAGGCTTGGGAAGCCGTAGCGCTGAAGCAGTGTGGGCATGGAGCTATTATTGTTGGGGAGTTGCTGGATGCTGGTGTTGCTGAGTCTCAGGGTGATGCAATCCATCATCTGAAGTTTTTAGTTCCTGTAATCCGGCCTGTTTCGTTGCAGCAGATTCGGATGGAGCATAGGATTCGTGAGGGAGTGCATAAGTGATAGTTTAGTTTTGCTGTCAAGTAACCATTGCTGTCTCTCGCTTCTTGGGCTGGACTTATGCACAGCATGGCGTGTGTCTGGAGAATACGGGAAGTTGTGGAGGGCCGTGAAGCGGTCAATGAATGATGGTTTTCAATGGTTCTTCAAGCAATGAAACAATTCGAATTACATGGGAGATCAAGATAAATCTGTATGAAAGAAGAACTTGTAGATCAGGACTTTGACTGGTTGCATTCACTACCCCAGAAATCTTCTTTCAAAGTCTGCAGTGACTTTTCTGTGATATCTACATGTCCCGCGTAACTAATAACTGACCATCGTCTTACCACAGCCCATCCTTCAATGAATCAATCAAAATATAAGTGGTCTACTCTTGATGTCAGCCAAATTTTGTGAACTGACTTTCTTATCCACACCGTAAAAAGGGAAAAAGAAGATCAGGCCTACCAGAAGTGTTCAACCACGAAAGTGGCCAAATCTACGGCAGATGGCTTTGTCGGCTGCTCGAGCCCCCAGTTCAACCCAGTATGTCTGTCACTACTCCTTAGTAGTGCCAATATAGCGACGGTATTCTCAATAGTTGTACTCTATGTACTGGTCATAGAGAGAGAGAGCGAGAAAGGGTTGCATTATCCTTGGATATGTCACTGTTTCTGGGATCCCATCCCGCCTCGACCACCATCAGAATGCGCGCGAGGAGTGCCTCGAGGGCTTTGGGCCTCTCGTAATCCAGAAAAGCGTCTCATAAGTCAAGGGAGGACCTCGGCTAGGAGCAGCAGTCGCGAGCGGACGTCGGCCCCGGTGGCGTCCTCGATCCCCTCGTCTCTGAGCTGGCGGGCAATCTGGTCGATGTGGTCGACGCCGCGAGCGAGGACCAGGAGCGCCGTTTGCAGTGGTCATGTCTTCCTGCGCGTTGCCCAAGGATATGTATGTTTCATGGTATGGAGTTGTATACATATTGTCGGTGGTCTGCAATTTCGTTCCGCCTGCTGAGACAAAGTCCCATAGGGCCCATATATATACATGGATGCCAGTGTTTTCTAAACCACCTAAGCAACACCATGATGTAGTCCTCGGCATCTGCCGCCGACACTGCCGCTGTGGCATTATGGATAGCCAAACGACGCGATAGTCCTCTGTCCCTATAGAAATGAATGATTAGCAGCTGTATCAATCTTATATGTAGCTAACTATCTTGCTAGACAAAACACTGTAATGCCAATTTAATGGGTTCAGAACTATCTAGCAAACAAGATATAAAAGAAGCAGGTAGATAACTTAGATTTGTTGCTGCCGCCGTTGTTGTTGGGGTTAGTGGTGTTGTTATTGTTAAGGAGGAGGTATTTCCGCCATAACTCTTTTGAACGTCTGGTTACGGACTTGAAGTCCATTCGAGTAGATAGATACCTAGAATATCTTCTACTGACCCTCAACTTCGACTCATGGGCATGTTGGGGTGGCATGGGATTCTCATAAACGGGAAGAGCAATCGAGCAAGAAGTATGAAATAGCGGCAGGAACTCTTCTCTCCTTAGAAGGGCTGTAAGTACTGTATCTTATCATGTCTGTACCTTGCTTGCTGGCATGTATAATCCGTGATTTGAAATACTCGGTGGATAGATATAGCTGCGTCAGGTTTCTAGTTCTGAGGGTCGTAGCGAAGCTTTTTACTCCAGACGATGGCTTCCTTGTATGCACATTTATGTAGACAATTCTTCAAAGGTATATATGAGAGAAATTTTAAACCATAAGTTATAAGTCATAACCTTAGAAAGACTAGTATATAGCATATATACCGTAAGTAGTGAAAACCTGATAGAAGTCAAGTAATGATGATTTTGATGATGTTGGCAATATAAGAACTATAATCAAGTCATAATAAGTTACAGAATTGGAAGAAGAACCAAATATAAGTTATAATTTGCGCGGAAAAGATTGCAAGTCTGCTGGCTGTGGTTGATTATATTCACTCTTCTATATGAAATACACTGACTGGTATTCACTGGATTATAGACTATCCCTCTGATTAGGTATATATAGAGACTCGGTGAATAATATGGTACCACTCTGTACTCTGTACTCTGTAGAGCAAAGTAGAGGAAATAGAGATGGTAGGGTTATATTGACTATAGAATTATATTGAATATACAATAAAACAACTCAATAAGAAACAATGAGAACAATGGTAATAGTAATGAATGTTGATAATAAATATGAATAACGCTACCCTATCCATAGATTAAATGAAACTGATCCATACACACAGTATCCACCATCAAACCATCATATCAACTATATCAACCAAACCATACCATACCATATCAATAAACCAACCAACAACAATATCAATGACAGTATAACAACCGCAACAAACTCAATCAGAAAACCGCTCATATCAACCCAACCCAAGTCAAGTCAAAGTAAACCCCCTCCCCCCCTCAACCAACCCATCCCGCAACTTACTAACCGCCACCCAGCGCGGCACAAACCGTCTCACCTCATCCAGCGCAGGAATAGCGCCCTCCTGATTCCCATCACTCCAGATACACACCGCGCGGCCTTCGAGCGGCCCGTCATTCTTTTCCCAAGAGACGTCTACCTCCCACGTTGCGTTCCACGTGCGGCTCCACAGGCGGATTTCTTTCGTACTACTGTTGCTACTCCCGTCCGGGAAGCGGGCTGGGTCGGTAGCTGAGTCGTGCACGTTGAATGAGGTGATAGGCTGGGTGAAGAGGAGGCGGCAGGAGCGGGTGTTTTGGCCTGAGAGGGTTATGTGTGCTGATTTCGATTTCGATGATGCATCGTCTTTTGTAATGTTGAGGTGGAGCCAGTCCTGCATTGGGGTGTTGGTGTCGACGACATTAGGGGTCGGACCGGGCCAGCTGCATTGAAGGCGGTTGGCGACGGGGTTGCAGGTTAGGTTTTGCGAACTGTGTACGCTGGGTAGCCCCTTCGCAGCGAGCTGGACGAACGGGGCTACGCCTGTTAGGGAAGCGCGGTTAGACCCCGTGTCGAGGTCGAGTTCCTGTATGAAGAAGAGCTTAAGGCGGCTGGAGTCGGAGAAGGGGAATGCCACGAGGTTGTAGATCAGTGTGCCGGCGAAGACGGCGAGGAGGAAGACGGGGATGTGGTGGGTGAAGCGGTGGATGAAGGGGAGGAGCGGGGTTAGGAGGAACGTCGTCAGACTGGCGAGCGCGATGTAGATGAAAAGCGAGGAGCTGCCGTCGGGGCCCGTCTGGTGCAGTGCGCTGGTGAGTAGGAGTGACAGCGGGCCGACCATTATGAGTGTTATCGGCGCGACGAGCAGGAATTGTACGGCCCAGCTCCATTGGAGGAGGTTTGCGCTCCAGGGCTGCTCGTGGCCGTAGATGCGCGGGTCGCCTAACTCCGCCTCGTCGCCGTGGCTGTCTGTGTGGCCTACCCGGACGTAGTTGGCGAATGTTGTCCGTGGGCCGCTGCCTAGCAGAGATGTCGACTCCGTCGGTTCCTCTTCGACGACATGCTCCTCGTCGCTGTCGTCGTGCTCGGTCTCCGGGTCGTCGCCTGAGACGGCTGTGCTGATCCGGCTGCCGTAGGTGCTGGTGTGTCGCGACGGCGGATGCATGAGACTGGCGTATTCGGACCGTCGGGGGAGCGCGAACATCTCCAGGTACCCTATCCACGTCGCCACAAACACCCCCGCAAACGCGAAGAAGATAAAGTACCCCCCGGCGAGCCCGTCGCGGTTCGCGTAGACCGTCATCACGACCAGCAGCACCCAGTACACCGCAAACATCCAGGTCAGGGTGTAGACGCGGTGAAAGGCCGACGGCCGCGCGAAGTCCGCCACGCGGGAGACAAACCACGCCAGGAAGACCCACGCTGCCACCATCATGCTCCAGACCGCATACTCACTGCTGTTGATGACGTACGGGTTGATCTTGGTCACCAGGTACGCCAGGCCGACCGTGACGACCGTCGGGATGGCCAACAGGAACGGGAACCGGAAGAACCCCCGCAGGCCCTGCAGCGGGACGCCCTCGAGGCGATCCGGCGACCGCGCCTCCGACCGAAACAGATACATCTTGTCGGCCCTGGTCAGCGCCACGCCGGTCGCGAGCAGCACCAGCGGCGCCACGACGAGCAGCGTCACCGAGATCGCAAACAGCGTATGCAGCCGGAAGACGACAAACGCGCTCCCAAACAGATCGAACCACACCCCCTTGGAACCGGGCGCGCCGGCCTGCACCGGCCGATCAAACTGCTCGCTCGGATCGGACACCAGGCCCCGCGTGGTCCCCACCGCCGCCGACAGCATATGCCACAGCGAGCCCTTGCTAGTATGCCGCGCGTCGTCCTGATCCGTATGATATCGCGAGCGCGGCTCAAGGAACGCGACGTCGAGCCCGCGCATGCCCATATCCCCATTGAAAACGACATAATCCGTCTGACTGCGGATCAACCGCATATCAAACCCGTTCGCGCTCAACACCGACCCAAACGGATGGGGCGCCCTCCGATAATGGCGCGTGACCTCCTCATCCGTCGTGCGGAACAGCATGGCGCGGGTTCCCGCGCCGGCACCCTCAAGGTTCAGAAAGGTGCGCGGGAGGCGCGAGATCGGATGCTGGCTGAAGACGCGCGCGCCGTTCAGATAGTCCTCCTCGCCGTTATTGAGTAGCACGACGAGACCGCGGCGCGGCGCATGGCCCGGCGTCGTGAAGTACCGCAGCAGCTGCAGGCAGGTCACGACGCCGACGCCGTCGTCGGTGGCGCCGAAGCCCGTCGACACGCTGTCGTAGTGCGCGTTGACCAGGACGCCACCGCGGCTGGGGGCGTCCTCCGTATTATCATCCTCCCACCAGTGTTCGCGGTCGTCGTCGGTGCCGCGCACGTAGACGATGATGTTGGTCCCTTCGAAGTAGACGCCGGTGCCGGCGGCGCCGTCCGCAAAGGTCAGGTTGGAGCGCAGGTCGTCGAAGACGAAGACGGCGGGCTTTTCGTCGCCGGCCGACCGGTAGGTCTCTGGGGAGGGGGCGTCGTCGACGATCTTGTGGATGCGCTGGAGGAGGTAGTCGCGCACTTCATCGTTGCGGTGCGAGTTGTACGGGTGGAACCCGTTGGTTAGGTACTGCAGGTCGGCCCATGCCTCGGCGATATCTAGGCCTTTCGGGTTCGACCGTGGGGGGGTTGGAACGACGTTGTGAATGACCAGGACGGGGATGACCAGCGCGAGGTAGACGAGTGTCGTGATCAGGGTGACCGGCCATGGGGTGAAGGCCAGTGGATTGGCCCGGGAGGACCTGTGAGGTGCCATGTGGACGGTCTGAGCCAGAAACTGGCGGGCGGACACAGGAAAAAGGGAGATCGCCGCCTCAATAAACAAGAGAGATGACGCTGAAAAATCAACGGAGGTACATGATGGATGATGGATGGATTGACCGACGTGAAGTAATTGGAGATCAGGAAACCGTCCGGCCGGCGGAAGCGGGGGAGGGCGGAGAAGAAACGTGACACGGCGTATGCATGCATCCAGCATTACTGATAACCCTTGCAACCCTTACAGGATCGAACCAGCTACAAAGAGAGAAACCATACTCGATCATAATTCATTTGAATGGCAATAAAATCCGAACTCCATTCAATGCATGTGAGAAAAAGAGAGAAAGTAAGAACAGGAACGGGACATAAAAGACAAGACACGCCATGCGTATATAACTCTATACAGCCAGTATCCACCGTTCCCGACACCCCCATTCTCCCCGGCCCACCCACTATGAAACACCAGTACCAGGGATCTCTACTGGCTATCGTCAGGAAGACTGGTTCCTTCTCATATGAAACCGCATAGATTCCGAGTCCAGTACACCGACCAGATCCAGCAACCACCACTCCCACCAGCAAAAACCACCGCTCCGAACCAGTAAAACAGAAAACGCTTCCAATGCATGATAAACACTGACAGCCCGACGAGACGCCCGTTGCGATTATATCCCCCCGTTCAAAAAGTAGGAAGACGGAGATGGCCCGGGAAGAAAAGAACAGTCGAAACACAATCGATCGCGGCAATGGGAAATGATATAGGGCAAAATAGAAATAGATGGCAAGCGAGCAAACCATGCTCAAACAGGAGGGGGTATCAACTATCAACCATGGGTATGTCCGACGTCAATATAGTCGTCATCGTTAATCGCCGTCGCATGCATCAGGCCCGTCACCTGGCCTTCCTCCTCATCCAACTCTTCGTCGTCGTCGTACATGGTCGCCTCGGTCAGGTCGCGCGGGGGCTCCATAACTCCGTTGAGGAAATCACGCAGCCGGTTGACCCCGTCGCCGCTGAAGACGCAGAATACCTCCCGCTGCTGGTGCGTAAACTCGGGGGGTGCCTCGCGGCAGAAGACCGTGAGCTCGGGCCGGAGGAAGGCCCCGACGCCCGTGAGACTCAGATGGGTCAAACGGGGGCAATGGTTGAGCAAGGCATGGATGCCCTAAATAAGTCAGCGGGTACAATCCTTTGGGTGTCAAGACACCGATCGGGGGGATGGGACCTACCGGCATCGTCAGATGCACACAATAACTGAGATGCACCCGTTCCAGACTGCTGACGCCCGTCGGATGGGAGACCTTGGGCTGCGCCAGCGCCAAGATGCTCTGATCGGTGATGAGCTGGCATTTGACCAGCCCGATCCGCCGTAACTTGGGTAGCGTCGCCAGCTGCTGGACACTCCGGTCCGTCAGACTGTTGCAGCAGGCCAGATCGATGTACCGGATCCGATTACACGACTTGACGAGCTGCATGACCGCCGTGTCGGTGATGTTGGAGCAGTGCCCCAGATGGACGTAGTGTAGGTTCTTACCCAGCTTGCAGATCGCCCAGACCGCCCGGTCGGTGATGAGGCGACACTTGGCCAGCACCAGGTTCCGTAAGCGGGGCGCTGCCTGGACAATCCGCTCGACGGCGTCGTCGCGAATGTTCTCACACGCCGTCAAATCGAGTATCCGAAGGCTGTCCATCGAGAGATGCTTGGGGAGATCGAGGAAGGCCGTATCGTCGATCTCGGTGCAGTGGGCCAGCCGCAGCTCGCGGAGATTCTGCAGCGTCGCCATGAGCGCCGTGACCGACGGGTTCTTGACCAGTTTACAGTCGTGGAGGTCAATCTCGAGGATGGCCGGGCAATGTTGCGCGAAGGACATGATCGCCCGGTTCGTTACTTGCGTCAGGCCGTTCAATTTCAACTGAAATCCCTGTTAGACCCGCCACTCAGCTAGGGGAAGGGGGAATTCACTTACGCGTTTGATCTGTCGACAGTTCTCCGACACGGTCACCAGCGAATCATCCGTGGCGTTGACACAACCGGTGATGTTCAACCCCTGGAGCCGCGGGCAGTTCTTTGCCACCGTGAAGAGGGTGTGATCCGTGAGGGACCGGAGATCGGAGACGTCGAGGGCCTGCAGGTGCCGATTGCCCTCAACCAGCTCCGAGACGCCCTTATCCGTGAGCTTGGAGCAGTTGGTCAAGGTCAGACGCTCGATGCGGTTGCACTGGGTAAAAGGGACGACGGTGCCGTCGCTGACGTCGTCGGTCAGGGCCGAGAGGTTCAACCGTCGGATCAGCTCCGCGTAGGAGAAGGAGCCGTTCATCTTGCCCACCGAGGCCGTGATGCTCGCCATGTTCTTCCAGCTGTTGCAGGACGGTCGGTGCCAGAGGATGCCGACGCAGTTGGCGGCCCAGCCGCGGCAGACCAGCATACAGCTCAGCATATCGGCCGTCGCGCTGAGCTTGGCGAAGATGGCGATCAGGATCTCGGGGGGGAGGCGGGCGATCGGCGGGACCATCATGTCGACGTCATCGTGAAGGTGGATGTCGCGGGAATTTGCGACGCCGATGGAGGATTGTGAGTCGTTGGCCTGGGCTGTGAAGAAGTCGGTATCGTCGTCGACGGTGCGATCGGGGGAGGTGGCGGAGGAGGATTCGGAGGGAGCTTCGCTCGAAAACCGAGCCGGCTGCCGTGAGCGGGCCATTTGAGGGTGGTCGCCACGCGACGTTCTTCTTCGTCCTCTACCTTTGTCTGTCGAAAATCAAATTGCCAGAGATGTCGGAAAACCCTCTGGTCTAAGCAGGAGTCATCCACGAGGTAAAGTGGCCGGCATGGACAGGTATCCCATGAGCCTGGTCGAGAGTCCAGAAGGCGTCGGGCGGAGGTCGGGACAGCAGGTTCAACCCAACCGAGTACCTGATGGGGACGAACGCAGCTTCCAGGGCTAATCAATCAGCCCTTGAGATGCGGCAGAAAATGTGGACGATCTGGAGCGGGGAGAGGGGAGGGGAGGGGGCGGTGGTGAAGGGGAGGGCTGGGCTGGGCTGGGCTGGGCGCTTATGAGGAACGCGCGTCGGAGGGGAGGAGCGTGCAGCGGTAAGGCGAAGCGAAGTTGTAGCGTAGGTAAGGGAGGAAAGAACGAAGTGACGAATGGAGGAGTGAGGGCGAGACGGTCGATAGTGGCAGGTCAGGCAGGAGAAAAGTCGGTCGACGTTGGAGGTTCTTTGTGGGGAAGAAGGTAGGAGGAAGTCACGAAGTCACAAGGGAAGTCGGAGGAGACAGACAGATAAGGGACAAGATCTGTATCTATCTATCCATCGAGACTATCCCGGAGTCAAGTCAGAAAGTAGACTAGGAATGAAAAGAGAAGAGTATAATAATAGTAATGGTAAGGTAATACTAGTAGGCGGGCATGGAAGGGACTCAAGGATGAGGTGTGACTGATTGGATGATGGGAAGGGAAAGGCGGCGGTTAACTCACCTTAACCAGTGGGGGGCAAATGGGTCGGATTTGTCAGGATTTCCAATCGAACAGCCCGATCGAGAGATGATCAATAAATACCTAGAACTAGTGAAAGGAAGGGAAAACTCGGAGAAGAGAAGAGAGAAGAAGATTGAAAAGAAGTCAGAAGAGAGGAAGAGAAGAGAAGAGAAAGTGAACAGGTGACGATGATGGTCCCGTGCCTTGATTGGACCGTTGGTCTGAGCTCCGTCTATTCTTGAGGTATCCATTAGCATCACTCAATACTGTTAACATAGCTCAATCATATACAAATCATATATCCATTTCTCATCATCCGCTGTCTAAACCCGACGATCTATTGACAGGATGCTCAACGCTACTATATACAAATGTACATCCCCTTTCCTTTCTGCTATCCTCTAACGACCACTCTTGGTCCACTCCCGCAGCACATTCTTCTGCACCTTGCCCGTGCTCGTCTTGGGCAATTCCGGCACAACGGCCACCTCCCGCGGGATCATGAACTTGCTGATCTCGCTGACCGTCCGCGCCCACGCGATCACCGCCGGCCCTTCCAGCTGCTTGCCGGGCTTCACCGTCACGTAGGCCTTGGGCCGCTCGCCCCAGTGCGAATCCGGGACGGCGATCGCCGCCGCCTCCAGGATGTCGGGGTGGGTCACCAGCATCGATTCGAGGGCGACTGAGGAGATGTTTTCACCGCCTGGGATTGTTATCAATAATTGAGAATTTATAGAGAGGGAGAAAAGAGATCAAGTAAGAGAGAGGGGAAAAGGGACTAACCACTGATGATAATATCCTTGGCGCGGTCCATAATCTGGATCGCCCCATCGGGGTGCCACACAGCCAGATCGCCCGAGTGGAGCACACCACCCGCAAAGAGCTTCCGCGTCGCCTCGGGGTCCTTGTAGTAGCCGCGCGCGCAGATATTTCCGTTGAAGACAATCTCGCCGATCTCCTTGCCGTTGCGGCTTACGTCGATGATGGTCCCCTCGGGCACCTCGGTCTTGATCACGCGGGCCGGCAGACTCGTCACGAAGCCGTGGCCCTGTCGCGCCATGCGCTTGTACCGCTCGTCGCGCGGCAGGTTCTCCCACGAGGCCATGTGGTACCCCTTGGTGATGGGGCCGTAGGTCTCCGTCATGCCGTACACGTGCACCGGGTGCAGGTTGAGTCCTGTCATCTGCTCGAACAGGTGGGGGGACGGCGGGCTGGCGGCCACGGTAACGTAGACGGGGTGGGAAAGGCGCTCGGCCTCCTGAGCGTTGCAGAGCAGGGTGTTCACCGTGGGGGCGGCGTTGAAGTGGGTGACTTGCTCCTGCTTGAGCAGTCTCCAGATCTCGGGGTAGTCGATCTTGCGCAGACAGTAGTGAGTGCCACGGACAGCCGTGACAGCCCAGGGGAATGTCCAGCCTATGAATAGTTAGTTTTCTCCTTTCATTTTGCTTTTCTTTTGGGAAAGAGACGCACCCATAGCATGGAACATGGGCAGAGTCCACAGATAGCGACAGCGGCCCTGCTGCTGATTGAGACCCGACTCGATCACATTGCCCATGGTGCCGAGGTAGCAGCCACGGTGGGTAAACTCGACACCCTTAGGGCGGGCGGTGGTGCCACTGGTGTAAGCCAGGGCCATGACATCGTCCTCAGAAGCCGCCTGGGCCTCAAGGCCGACCCAGCCTTGGGAGCCAGTGTCGATATCATGCTGCAGGCCTTCCAAGACGGCCTCGTCAAAGGGACCGGACAGCTGGCCCTCGGTGGCGTCCGTATCGGTGTCGACGATAACGGGGAACCCGGGCCTTGCGTTCCGGAACGACTGGAGAAGCGGCAGATACTCCTGGTCGGCAATGATGGCATCCACGTCGGAGTGGTTGAAGATGTAGTCGATATCGTCTTCCTTCAGACGGTAGTTTACAGCTGTTTCCATTAGAATTGAGGCAAGGAAAGTAAGAGAGGGAGAGAGACATACAAACATTGACCGCCCCAGCGGCAGCAATTCCATAAATCGACTCCAAGAAAGCAGGCGTATTCGGACACAAGATACCAACCCGCTTGTATCCGCGCTTCTTGATATAAAATGCCAGACCGCGTGCCCTGTCCGCCGTCTCCATATACGACCTGCGCAAGACCTGCTTGTTGGCGGTAACGTGATAGATAGCCTCAGCCTGGGATAGTTAGTATCAACAATTTTTTCGTTTCTTTTTTTTTTTTTTTTTTTTTCCTTCAAAAGTGGAAGAGAAAAATACCTCTGGTTCTACAGCCGCCGCCCGAGGCAAGAAAAATGTGGGCGAGAGGGTGTGAAAGTTAACATTGTGCTCGTAGCGGGGAGGTTCCGACGAAGCGAAGTGGCCCAATAAGCCAGAAAGGCGCGATTTGGCGGAGGACATGATGTATATGAATAATAAACCCAGAGGATTTATGTTTGAGATGTTAGGGTAGTCGTAGTCGTGTGGTGTGGTGGTGGTGTTGGCAAGGTTTAGTACCTGTATGCCAATGGGAGCGCTCAGGGTATACAGTAGGTGCAGTAGTAGGTAGCAAGGAAGTACTAGGAAGACAGGGGCAAGGAGGGGAGAAGGGAGGAGAGGAGAGGAGAGAGAGAGGAGAGGGGAGAAATGATTGAACTGGAGAAAGGAACCCGAAAATGGAGCGCCGGGGTTGGAGAAAATATGCGGGGGAAAGGAAGTGGAAGTGGAAGTGGAAGAGAGGCGGGAATGGGGGGGGAAGACTGTCGGTCCGCGGGGAGTCGAGCGGAGGCGGGTCGGATAACTAGCCGTTCACTTTCCACCTTCATTACTCATTAAGAAGGTAATCATTATATCTTGACTGGAGTAATTCTTATACTGACTTGAGAATTGGAATCTGCTTTTACTCTACCCCTTCTTGTCTAGTACCTCTAGTACCTGGGGTGTTCAGGGGTGTTCAGGTACTATCTAGGTACTGATACACCCACGGTCCATCCAGCATCACCGCCACAACAGACCATACGTGTCCAAACACAACAAAACCAATCCTAACACGCTTAACCAAATACCACATTCCTACCTACCTACTTACGGATACTTGTCCCATAACTAAAATCCATAGACATGAATAGACACCCCAACCCCTCGCCACCGAACGCAAAACCACCCACTGAGGTCCTACCCCAAGAAAGTAACCAGGTCCACTCTCACCCACTCAACACTCAGCCCCGGGTTAGGCACTTTATACCTAATCAGGTAGGCTATCCCCTACCCAGTATTAGAAATCCACCACTGCACAATGATCCAAACCCAACTCAGCTATCCCCACGACTTCCCAACCTCTTATATAGTGGAAGGTGAAGTTTGCGGGGAAACCAATCCCTAGCCAAGGTACGGAGCACAACTAGCCTAACTAGCCGCTCATCATCGACTACTAGTCACCTAGACCAATCTATCTTAGCGCCCGGTCGTCCGACTACTCTTGCTATTTACGTAGGCAAGATATGGGGTTATTACCTCGGGTTCATTGTGAGCATCAACTACTCCATGTTATAATTATGTGTGTATGGAGATCTACATGTGGTTTACGAATCGGTGTATGGGGTCTTGGGCCTGGGGCTGGGGTAATATCTACTCCATGACTGACTACTGCCTGCCTGCCTTACCTCCTATTTGGACGACTTTGCTGTCTACCGTCTACATCGTCAAATAGACAATAGCCAGGTAGGTACCCAGGTAAGCCGATATTTAGACGGATATAGGTAGTCGCATAGGCTCAATATTCATACATTCGTTCGTTCGTTCGTCGTTCGTTCGATCGGACCGGTCTCAGTAGGTAGGTAGATATGGATAGTATGGCAATAGCCAGTCACACAACACTCTCTCTCCATGGCGCGTATAAGGGAATGGACATCAGGCATAGAATCCGTATTTGCTCGTAATTGTTGTCATTGTTGTATTCTTTTGTTCTTCCCTTCCGTAGTTGATATCATATCCTTGACTTGTCTTGACTTTCTTTCCGTGGATGAAGGGAAAAAAGAAAGGAAATAATTGCTTGGTTTTGAAAACCCGCCACAACCGCGGAGAAATCAAAGGGTGAGAGAACAGGACAGTACTCGAGAACGAGAACGAAAGAAAGAAGCGGAAAGCAAAATCGGAAAAAAAAAGTGACAGCGGGATCAGAACTACCTTGAACAACGATAATAACCTGCCTGCCATTCTCATATGGTATGATTCCAGTGCCCTTCTCTCTTTTTTCCAAGAAGAAAAAGTTGAAAGTCATGAAATCAATACCTCCCCAGCCATCCATGCCTCACAACATTCGACGAAATACCGTAGTGTATGAAAGCAAAATAACAAGGTCGAGGAAAGATAATAATATAAGATGAAGGTCGATTCATTATTCCGGTTTGTTTCCCGTTCAAACTTTTTTATAATTTTTTTTTTCTTCTTCTTTCCTTCTTCCTTTCTTTCTTTCCCTTTCCATTTCCCCTGCGAAAGAGAGAGAGGAAAGGCAAAGAAAAAAAAAAGTAACCGTTCGATTCCCAAACCCTTTAAAAACCCACGTCACAGCAGACACAAGCAACCAGCCGCGCAACCAGGTATCTAGTATCCGAACTGAGCGAGCTGGCTCTTAGTCTGCTCGTTAACACCCGCCGACTTCTGGGCGTGGACGAGTTGGCGACGAGCGGCCTTCTTGCGCTCGTAGTATGCACTGCTCTTAACCTTTCTCCGCTCCTCGAGTCTATATCCTCATTAGTTCCGTTCCACACAGCACGAATCGATGATACACACCTGGCGACAACATCCTGGTACTTCCAGCCGACCTCGTGGGACAGACGACCGACGGTGCAGTACTTGCGGCCGGGGCGCAGACGGAGGACACGGAGGGCCTGGGGAACGACGACGCGCTTCTTCTTGTCATACGGGGGGGGAACACCCTCGAAGACCTTCAGGCGCTCCATGGCGGCGGCGCCACGGGGGGTCTTGTGGGGGATCATGCCGCGGACAGCCTTGTAGAGGATGCGGGAGGGGGCACGGAAGTGGAAGGGACCTGTATGATTTAGTTGGCGTTCACTGGAGGGTTTTCTGTCGGTAGGACTCACCACCGCGAGTGGGGTTGAAACGAGTCATCTTGCGGAGGTAGGCGTGGTACTTCACTGTGGGAGAGTTAGTTTCACCGCAATCCAATAGATCTGATGTCGCAATCCTCCTCTTCATCCATATGCGACCCCCAATCCAATTCGTGATACCACCCCGTCCGATCGACGGATCCAATCCAAGTGCAACAGAAGCCAGCAAAGCAAATTCAAGCGAGAGGGTAGAACGTACGCTTGGCGCGGAAGAACTCGCCCGAGATGTTGAGGGCCTCACATCTCACGACGACGATCTTCTGGCCGTTCAGCAGCTGCTTAGCGACAGTGCTGGCCAGGCGACCAAGAAGGTGTCCCTTGCCGTCAATGACGACCTATAAGAAACCCGTCAGCCAATATCCAACCAAATATTCGTATGCGTTCAAATTGCGTGTATATTCCGTTCTTTCTGTCTGTGTATCCGTGTGCGTATATATAGGCGGAAATCGATAGCCATATATCTCTCATCGGCGTATAGATATATAAGGCACACCCGGACATGTCCAGACATCGGAATGCAATTTCAAGATGGATTGTATGGGAAATTGTTGGCAACGCACCACAGGCTCGGTAGCGGACATCCTGCTCTTCAATAATCCAGCGAAAGGAAGAGCGCGGCTCTAGGATACTCCCTTGAAGGTTGGAGGTTGGGGGGACGGGAGGGTTGTCGGCGGGTTGTTGTCGTTGTGGGCAAGGTTTCAATTCGAATCTCTCGCAACAAAACCCTACGGTGAGTGGCCGTGGGCTGAGTGGTCCCCGGGTCGCTTAGCCCTTTGTGTGCGGCCGATCGATGACTCAGCCAGTTTTAATGGGCGGACGGTCACGGGGGAGGGTCGCAGCCCTATGTCACGTGAACATTCCTTATCTTATCGTTATCTATTCTTGCATCTGCGACGGAGTACTCCGCAAGTAGGTAGTATTCTACTTGGTCGATGTATTATAGGGATCTTATGGGTTGGCTTGATAATATCGATAGAATAAGTAGATTAACATTAAGATTATGATTAATAAAACGCTATCGCTATATGTATATGTCCCTTGGACAGAAGACAGAAGAAACAATCATCAAACGTGACTAGGTAAATCCCTAATACAACGCTAGCTTGGCATCCCGCGTGGTGTGCAGGATCACGTCGTCCACCGTCCACCGCGGCGGTTCGATCGGCAGAGGCACGGCCGTTGCTTTCCCCCCCTTAGGCACCCACGAGTAGTCCTTCGGCGGAGGCACGCGCAGCCCGCCCGCGACGCCCGAGGAGAACTTCAGATTCAAGGCGGTGCCGATCTCGTCGCACGCGCGCAGGACGCGGTCGAGGTCGTCCTTGGTGTGGGCGGCGGACACGCAGAGGCGCGCGCGGGAGAGCTCCAGCGGGGTGGCCGGGTAGGTCACGACGACGACGGAGATCTTGCGCCGGAGCATCTCGTGCGAGAAGGCGGACATCTTGCCTGGGTTGTATAACATCAGCGGCACGATGGGCGAGTCGTCGTGTCCGTAGACGATGAACCCCAGCCGCTTCAGGCCCAGTCGCAGGTACCGCGAGTTGAAGGCTAGCCGCTGCACCCGCTCCCGACCCTGGCCGGGATGTCGCGGGTCCGCGTCGGCGATGAGCCGCAGCGCCGAGGATATCTGCGCCAGGATCGGCGGCGACGGGGCTTCGCCGAAGACCAGCCCGGCGTTGGTGCAGCGCAGCTGGTCGATGACGGCCCGGCTGGCGGCGATGTAGCCGCCGTTGGCACCGAAGGACTTGGTGAAGGTGCCCATGAGGATGTCGACCCCCGCCGGGTCCGCTTGGAAGTAGTCGCAGACGCCGCGGCCGCGGGGGCCGACTGCGCCGATGGAGTGGGCCTCGTCGATGAACAGGTGGAACTTGTACCGCTTCTTGAGGGCGAGGATGCGCGGGAGGTTGCACATGGTGCCCTCCATGGAGAACAGGCCTTCGACTGTGAGGAGGATCTTCCGCCACGGGCGATGGGAGCGGGGCTGGCCCTGGGCGATGGCCTCGCGCAGCCGCTGCTCCAGATCTTCCATGTTGTTGTGGGCGAAGACCTGGATGGCGGCGCCCGAGAGCCGGGAGCCAAAGCGGATGGAGGCGTGGTTGAGCTCGTCTGACAGGATCAGACAGCCCTTGTCCACGAGGGCGGGGAAGATGGTGGCATTGATGACGAAGCCCATGGAAAAGACCACGGCCGCCTCCTTGCCGACGAACCGGGCGATCTGATCCTCGACGTCGCCTTGGAGCTTGGAGCTCCCCGCGTCGCTGCAGCTGCCCCCCATGCTGATGCCATCGCGCCGGATGGTGGCTTCCGCACAGTCGGCGCACGGGCCCTCGGACTGGGCGAACCCTAGGTAATTGTAGGAGCTCAGATTGAGGGTGTCGGTGGTAGTGCCAGTGAGCTGGAACAACACGTTGTCGTCGGAGACGCGGTCGAGCAACGTGATGTACCGTCCGGGGACGCCTGTGGTGGGCCGCTCGAAGCAGTCGTCGATGCGCTGCTTGAGCCGGCGGGTGTAGAAGCTCTCGAAGTCGCTGTAGAGCGAGGCGTAGCCATTCTGGGGGCGCAGGCTCCGGTAGGTGTTGGCGCAGAACCACTTGGCGAAGAAATCGTGGAAGTGGCCGAAGAAGATGAGGACCAGGAAGTTCAGGTAGGTGGTCAACACGAAGAAGTACGGCGGGTCGTCAATGACGGGGTCGGGGATCTCTCCGCCGGGGTGCTCGCTGGTGTAGAGATGCGCCGGATCACCCAGGGGACCGAACTCGGCGTGACGCCTGGCGAGCCTGCGCGCCTCGACGGGATCCGACGGCACTTCTATGCGCGACCTCTCCGGGGAGGTCGAGACGGCGCGGAGAGAGGCCAGGGCCGTCGACCGAGCGTCGGACGGGGAGCCACTGGCCAGGACGCCTGAGGTTTTGCAATCCTTGTCGGCGCGACTCTTCGTCCTGCGTTTCCACCGAGACATGGTGAGACGGTCAACACGATGAGAAGACCACGAGGTGGGGACGGATGTGATCCGGGGAAGCAAATCGCACGAGGCCAGGGAAGGATGGAGTAGCAATGGAGTGAGGAGTGACAAGAGTCGGGTCACACAGTGTCAAACCATGACCGCGAGAGATGGTTCCTCGAGCGCCAGTCGGGGAATTATTATTTCGTCTTTCCCGTTCGTGGTCGTGGTAGTCCTGCACCTCGTCAAGGACTATGGACCTGCCTTGATCCGGCCGACCCGAAGATCCCAGGCCGATAGCTAGATGGACAGGGCGATGATTGGCAGAGGAGGACCCGCCGATCGACATCATTACTTGACGGGGACTGGAGTTGAAGGTGCGTCTTTCCCTGACTGGAGTAGCGATGACGGAATGATTCCTGATGAGGTATTTGGAAGAGGAAAGTATTTGCCGAAGATCCAGCCTGTCTAACTGACAGTCTGACAATCTGACTGTCTGTGCGATGGAAACTCTGAGGGAATAGAGGTCAAATTATGGATGTTCTAGATGATTTTTGGGAGGAGATGAGGGTTGCTTATTCATCAATCACGTGGATCGGGATACGATGCTTAGTATGATCTTACAGAATAGAAGTATACAAGTATACAAGTATAAAGTATAGAAGTCTAGAAGTATAAAGGATAGAGATTACTAGAAGTAGAGAAAGAATATCAATAGATTCTAGAAGTAACTCATCGCTACACAATGACCCAGTAGGACTAGAATACGATGTTCAATCCACACAGACACTAAGATCTCACGGGGCCACAGACCACAGACAGACCCATAATGACCCATCATTACTCAAGTCGTCATAGCTCCAAGAGAATATTGATGTGGCCTGGATTTACCCAACAAGGAAATTGCTACACTTTTACTCAAAGGGCTATATCTTTATTTTTATCCGTGGGCGCAGTGCAGAGTCCGACCGTTGATATCTAACCACTGCAGCCTGAGCATAACACTCCCTTAGTATCCCTACACAAGTGCAGTGGCAGTGACACGGTAAGTTTCACCATAGCCCGGCCACGCTGTACACTGTACAAGGCGACACCATTTCCCTCTTACTGCAAGACGTAAAAAACAACACTAAGAGCAATTATACCTAAAAAGGAGAAACGAAAAAAGAAAGAAACAGAAGAGAAAAATAAAATAAAAAACACATGCATCGCAAAACTCGCTTCGTCTGCGTGTCGGATACTCACGCCTACAACCCCTCCGAGGCGGGGTTCAAACTACCCCCGGGGGATGTGCTCATCCATGCGGGCGATTTGACCAACCGGGGGAGTTTGGCGGAGCTGCAGAAGACTGTGGATTGGATAATGAAAGCGGATTATGAGGTTAAGATTGTGGTTTGTGGTTTGTCTATCTAGTCCTCTATTTGTACAGTTTTGTTATATTGATATGGTATCAATTATGTCAATCATTATATCTGAAGAAACAAGAATGTATAGGTATACAATAACTAAGCCTCGCCAGGAAACCACGACATCAGCCTTGACCCAAGCCTCAGTGCCCCCAACCAGCCACAACAACAACAACAACAACAAAGAAATCCAGCACACCACGAAAGCCTCAACACCCTCAAAGCCACCCCAATCCTCTTCCTACAACACGAATCCGCCCTCATCCGCCTAACCCGGCCCAACGGCCCCAACACCACCTTCACCGTCTTCGGCTCCCCTTACTCACCATCCCACCAGTCCCAATTATCCGGGCCGTGGGCTTTCGGATACGACTCGTCTACTCCTGCTGCAGCTACAGCCCTATGGGACAGCATGCCATTGGACACCGACGTGGTGGTCACGCACACGCCGCCTCACTCGCACTGTGATGGGCGGCCTCTTGTTGGAGGCGAGTCTGGCTCTACATCAGTCGGATGTAAGGGTCTACAGGAGGCACTGCAGCGGGTGAGGCCGTTGCTGGCGGTCTGTGGGCATGTTCATGAGGCGCGGGGGTGTGAGAGGGTGCGGTGGAGGGGTGGTTCCTTGCAGGATAGTCGTAGTGGTAGTTTGGATGGGGTTGTACCTGGGGAGGGGGGGAGAGAGAAACAGCTACTTCCGTCAGTGGGGAGTAAGAAGATGAGTTTGGTGGATTTGACGGGGAGGAGGGGGGGTCGTCGCCTTGACAACGAGGGGGGTCGTTCTGATCAGAGTGTGCTGTGGCGGGTGGACAAGTCTTCAGAGCAAGAAGGGGAGGCGGAGAAGGAAGCGTTGAAACAGATACAGACGAGTCGGCAGGAAACGTGCATCGTCAATGCCGCAATCGTGGCCACTAGCTATCCGCATCGGGGAGGCAAGCGATTCAATGCGCCTATCGTGGTGGATGTGGAGTTGCCTGTGTGGGGTGATCCAGGCTCAGGTTGAGAGCTTGAAGATGAAGACTGGAGATCAGGGATTCATCTTGCTTCACTACGAGCTCCTATCAAGATTGATATTGGAATGTAGCGAATCATACAGGAAATCATGGTGGAGGTGTCCCAAGGTAGAGTTTGACTCCAAGTTCTGGCAAATACTAGAAATGTAGGAAGGCATCATTCTAGAAGTCTGGGGGCCAATAGGTGCCCTTGGAGGTGGGATCCTCGTCAATACGAGAGAAGCAGGAACCTCGGTAGTATAATCATATAATATGATATATAAATATAATATAATATACTAATATAATACTGATGACCGGAATGACCAAGTTGGCTCCACGAGGGGCAAAGACCCACCATCGGGCTGATACAAATCACCATTTCATGGTTCTTGCCACAATACGATCAGATAATATATATGATAGATAATACATCATCTAGATGATAGAGAGATATACCAAACAACATCAGATAGAATATAATAAAATCAATCAATCAAAGATGTATCCTTCAACAAACAGGTCCATCCAGTTGCTAATCCCCCCAAGTCAACCCCCGCGCCAAACCGCATGATGAGATTGGCCGCGTGGGAAAAGAAAAGTGAAGCACCGCTGCAGGACTAGTGGACCCTCAGTCAGCCAGTCAGCCCCAGCCATCCTCGTCCAAGGCGAAGAGGGGTCTGGAGCAGATGACTGTCTGGGGTGGGAAGATCGACTAACTGATTGACTGACTTTGCGAGGCTCTCTTCTTGTATAATATAGATCCTAGTATACATTGTCACCATGATCAGAAGGTGGGAGGGATGTGATGTGATGATATTAAGCGCCGAGGGGGACCACCATGGAGGGGTCTGGGTGTGCGGGACGAACCGGAGAGATCCATGGTTCTACTGTATAGGTACATGGTTTTTGTATATAGTATAGTATAGTCATAGATAGTAGAGACAATAGTATCAGAATAGTAGAATTAGACAGTAGTAATAGTATAGTAATAGAATCATAATATCAAGAGAATGGAGGGGATGTTTTCAGGATTGAGAGACCTATCAAAAAGGTGATCGTGTCTCTGCGGGGTTTTTCTCATCGCTCTCTCCAGTCAAGATCAAATCAACCGCTTCAACCGCTTGATTCGTCAGGTCGTCGAGTGGAGTTGACCGTCATGCCCCCCTCCCAGGTGAACATCGTCACTTGCTCCTGTTCTCTCCATCCACAGGCTGGGATCCGTCGGAAGGATGAGGTGATATGAGCGGGCCAGGCGGTTCAACTTGAGCTGGGTTGATTTGGAGATTCGAGAGTATTATATATTCTAGATTATGGGTTCTATTCTATGATCTGTACGGTATTTGTTGGGTTAGATAATTCCACTCTGGGGATCTGTTCACCGCTGCTTCATCTTCATCATTTATATCTGTTGTCTCCCATCTGGTCATATCTGATCCATTAGTCCATTCGATCCATACATCGGTCCATCGGTCCATACAGAATTCTGTCATTGATCACTCCATTATCCTCCTGTTGTTGTGTTCTACTTTTAGTCGTGGCGCAGTCCTTTTTGCCTCCTCGCATTTTCTTCGTTCCTCCTTTCGCCTTTCGCCCCAGGAACAACACCCCATCCTCCATCTTGCCGTCCATCCCGTGCTGAGAAATCATTGTTGATTCTCTTCTCGCTCATTCTTATGGGTTGAGCCATTCTTATGCTTGAGCTCTTGTGATTGAGCCATTCTTCATGTATTGAGCCACCTTCAACGACTGCTCCCTGCGGTCTCCACGTCACCCTAAACCGTTCTCTCCATTTGCCTCCTTTGCCTCCCCCTTTTTATTCTTCTCTTCCCCTGTTCACTCTCCGGGTTTTGCCCCTGATTCTTTCCAACTACAAATTCATCTCTCTCCCGTCCTCCCCCTCCGATCGCCCCACTTCACTCCAGAACCACGATCTACCATGTCCGATCCCGATATCGATCCATATGCCATCTTAGGTGTCGCCAAAGAGGCCACCTTACCCGATATCAAATCCGCCCACCGCAAACTCGTCCTCAAATGTCATCCCGATAAGATCCAGGACCAGTCCCTCCGCGCCAAGGCCCAGGATGAGTTTCAGAAAGTCCAACAGGCCTACGAGCTGCTGTCCGACGATGCCCGTCGCCTCAAGTATGACCAGAAGGTCCGTTTGATGGAGTTGCGCCGCGAGATGCTCGCCCGCGGGGGCAGTGCCGCTGCCGCCGCGCGAGGCGGCAGCGCCACCTCCCGCGAGTTCCGCAACGGTCACATCTACGAGGAGCGCACTCCCGGCGAGTCCTTCTTCTTCGAGGACGAGGTGCGCTTCACCGAGGAACCCCAGTCCACCAGCCGCAAAAACGACGAGTACGGCCGCCGCCACCGAACCGCCCGTCCGCCCCCCGAGGAGCGACGTCGGTCCAAACCCACCCCCGCCGCCCGTGTCCCCCGGGAGACCACCGCCCGCGACAACACTGCCCGCGACACCACCCGCGCCCACTACGAAAATCGCGACAAGCACCGCACCAAGGAGCGCCGCCGCGAGGCCTTTGCCAAGTCCCACGAGCGCTCCGCCCCCTACGTCGATTCCGACGGCGGCGGCGACTCCGACGATAGCAACGTCTCCTTTGTCTACGTCCGTCTCAGCCGCCCCTCCTCCGACCGCCGCAAGTCCAAGTCCAAGCCCCGGACGTCGCATCGCTCAGAACCCCGCTACTCCCGGGACGACGTCGACGTCGAGGACGACGACGACGCCGAAGACGACTCGGAGGCCCGCGCCGAGTCCAAGCACGACATGCTGCACAACACCGCCAAGAACTACATCCGCCGCACCAAGTCCAGCCCGCCCATCGAGGTCGAGCCTCCCGCCCCCCGCCGCCACCGTCACCATCGCTCGTCGCACTCCCCACCCCACGGTCGTCGCGACGAGTCCACCCCCGACCCGGACTCATCCACCCGTCGCACGCGGGAACCCACCCCCAAGCGGCCCAGCCGCGAGTCCGTCCGGCACCAGGGCTCTTCTCGCTCGCGCCACGGCTCCTACGAACACCTCGAGCCCCGCGCCGCGCGCTCCTACGAGACCGTCCCCCCCATGCCCACCGCCACCTCCGCCCGGCCCCAGCACGACCCCCACCCACCCGCGCCGCCACCATGAACACCGCCATGCCCTCCACCAGCAGTCCCAGCCACCACCGCGTCAAACGCGAGAGCAGCGCCCGCGCCCCCGACCTCGCCCACATGGTCTACGACCACCCCCCGGCCGGCCGGCCGGCCGCCAAATTCCGCATGGAGCGCTACGACTCGGGCTACTCCAGCCCCGGCACGCCGGAAATGGGACCCGGCGAAAGCAGCGGCAGCCCGCCAAAACCCACCCGGTACACAATCGTCGACGAGCCGGAGCTCGTCGAGCCCCAACCCCCGCCCTCATCCTCCCGCAGCGGCGGACGCACCGCCAAACCCATCCGCAGCAACAGCTACATCTACCCGGCGGAGACGTCGGCACCGGTGCCGCCTCCGCCGTCTTCCTCCAAACCATTGTATAATGAGATCCCCAAGTACACGGTGCGGGAGATCAACCCGCCGAATGTGGTGTATAGCAAGCGGGACGGGGCGCGTCAGTATCATGAGGATTATCGACCTCAACATCCGGCGATGGGGTCGAGACGACAGTCTACATATGCCTGAATTTTCTACCTACTATATTATTGATCTTCATTTTCTCGTGTGCTTTTTGTTTTTGATTTCGTCATTTGACTTATGGTTGCAGATGGAGGCACACTGAGATTTGACTGATTGATTGATTTGATTTCTTATTTTTTTTTATTACTATTATGATTATGATTATGAATGAGTATGAGTATGAGTATGAGTATGAGCATGAGCATGAGCATGAGCATGAGTATACCTGACTATAACAATGACAGCATTTTATTTATCTATATTTCATTATTTTATCCATTCTTGTCTTTTTGCTTCTATTGTTCACTACTACTACTATCAGAGAAGAAGAAGGGTCGCCCCTTGAAGTTTTATCTTACGTTTAGGGTTGTTATAAACGATATTGTTATTTAACATAGCATGATAGGAATGGGTTTATATCTCCCATTAGGTACCTTGGGTATTATGGAATTACATCTTGAGTGAATCATATTGTTTACATTGATTGAATCCATTCTTTATCTTGACTGACTGACAGAGCGATATTGTTCTCAGGTGGTAAAGCAAAGAGGTAGGTAGCTGATAAAGGGTATTGTGTTGTTGTCAGTACACATATAGGCCTTGTTGTCGCTGTGGTTTAGGTGTGACATTGTCTAGTCGTTTTTCATTTACTTTTTTGTTTATATTTGATGTTTGTTATCTTTATCAATTCTGGGACTTATTGTCCGTCTACAATGTATTATTTGTTTTCTGTCTTCTTTCTATTTCTGTTTCTGTTTCTGTTCACCGTTGTCGTTATCATGATGGTAAAGACTGATCCGTGGTATTGCTCTTCTGTTCTCTGTCTTCTTACATCTCTTTCTCTTCTTTCAACTTCATAGATATAGATAGTTAACCTTACTCTAGTATAGTATCATACTCTACAGTCCGTCCTTACCATTAATATATAGATAGACCTAACTAATACGAAACACAACCCAGTATAACCATGAATATATTGATGCGATTAAATGTACGTGTATCTACCACCATATCCTATCCTGTCCTTACCATTGTATTGTATTGTATTGCCCATCTGACACGCCCCCTATCACCCCACTGTATACGTCTGCCCTTCACGGCTCAGACCAGTCGACTTGGTCCGTCACGGCGGCGGATCCGTCCTGTGCGTATGTCACGCGTAGACGGAGGCGGAGTTTAGGTGGGAGGGACTGTTTCGTTGTTAGTATGATATTATTCATCGGTTGAAATGGTTATATGGGTTGGAAGGTATTGGTTGGAAGGTAGACTCACCCCTGACAAAGAAGACACCTTCAACATCTGCACTCCCTCCTCCCCAGCATCCAACTCAGCCTTGTTAATCGCGCTAAGCTGCAAACGCTGACTCTTCGGCACAGCCGCCTGCAGCCCCACGCTCGAAAACTGGCTGAAATCCGACCCGTTGCGGAACCGCGCTGTGATCTGGGCGTTGCCGCTGTTGCTCCGCTGGACCTGCAGCGAGAGGGACAGTCCGTTCTTGTCGAAGACCGCGTGCGCCGCAGCCGGGGCCGGCGACGTCGACGTTGCGCCCCCGAGACCCGCCAGGAGGTCGCTGGACGGCGGCTGCGGCGACTGGGAGCCTCCGTTCGTCCCGAAGAGGTCCATGATGGCGCTCTTGCCTGATGGCTGGGGCTGCGGGGCGGGTGAGGACGTGCCTGAGTCGCCGCCGAGGATGTCGGCGAGCAGATCGGCTGTGTTCTGAGACCCGGCGCCGCTGGGGCTGGTCGTTGGCTCGTCGGACCCGCCCATGAGGTCGAGAAGGATGTCCTGCTCGGATGGCTTCGCCGGCTTCTTGGTCTTGAGACCCTTGGAAGGGCGCTTCTTCGTCGGCGCGCCCAGAACCCGCTGCTCCTCGCGGATCTCGGGCGCCGGCATCCGTTCCAGGACGCCGCGGCGGATCTGGTCGTAGCCGAAGAGGTTGGTGTATTCTACAGCGCGCTGCTGGATCTCGACGCTGAGGTCGGCCGTGCGGCTGTTGAGGAAGAGGCGGAGACGCTCGACCTGGGCCGGGTCGTTCATCCGCACCGTCAGCTTCATCGACGCGGTGATGATGTACTCGACCACCGTCTGCGAGGCGTAGGTGCTGTTGAGGATGTTGATGAACAGATCGACGAGGTCGCTCTCGCGGACGTCCTTGACCAGCTCCTCTTCCTCGTACTGTCCGCCCTGGAGGAGGTTGTCGCCGAACTCGCCGATGACCCACGTGCCCGCCAGCGTCAGGCCCTCCTGCGAGATGTCCTCCTTCAGCGACACGTACAGCTTCTGGGCGGAGTAGGTCTGCAGTTCCGGGGTGGTCGCGATCAGGCGCACGAAGGAGGACAGGATCTGCTCCTCGACGTAGGCGCCGGCCAGCTTGAGCACGCGCAGGATCGTGTCGACGTGCCAGCGCTTGTTGGGCGCGTACCGGTCGGCGGCGATGCCGATCTGGGTGGTCATGGTTGGCTTGAACTCGCTGTCGGCGACCTCCAGGAAGGCGAGGAGCTCGCGCACCAGCACCCGCACGTTGCCTTCGTTGATCAGCATGAAGCTCAGGTCCAGCGCACGCCGGCGGATGCTGATGTCGGGGTCGCGGAGACATTCCAGGATGGTGTTGCGGTGTCGCTGCACGGCGTTGGGTTCGATGGCCACGACCTTGTTCAGCGTGTTGAGGGCGACGTAGCGGATGTTGTTGTCCTTGTTGGTGAGGAACTTGCCCAGGATGTTGACACCCAAGACCCGCAGACCCGAATCAGCCTCGATGTCCAAGATGGTGAGGACGGCCTCGTAGAGAATGGCATTGCCCACGTTCTTGGACGAATCGGTGTTGGTCGCGACCTGGGCCAGGATGTCGTTGATCAATTCGCTGGTCGCGGGGTCGCCTCGTCCCAGAACCCGGAGCAGGCGCAGAATCTTAACCTGCAGGAATGGATCCGTGATGCCGGAGACGTCGTGCTCCGGGGCATACCCGGACGTGGTCAATCCCTTCAGCGCACGCACCAGCCCGCCGGCCAGGGGCCGAAGCATCTCAATCACGCCCTCCTGGCCTTCCTCCATTTCCTCTGCCTCACACATATCAATCGCCAAGGTCAGGCCACACAGCAGGACGCCGTGGTTCCGGTCCGAGAGGAGGGTCTTGACTTTCTCGAAGAAATGCTCCTGCAAGTCGGGGACCTTGCGACATATACGCATGGCGCATAGGGCGGCCTTTCTCCGAATATATGGGTTGGCGGTCGACAGGAGGTTCTCGATCTCGGGGAACAGATCTCTGGACATTTCGATCGAGGCGATGTTTCCGAGGGCGCAGAGGGCGAGGCCGACGATGTATTGGTTGGAATGGTTGAGATCGCTGGATCGGTTAGCGGGGACACTCTGGGGATGTTGTCCGGCGGGGTACCCACTTCTTGAGCGAATTCGTGACCAAGGTCAGGACTTCCTGGTTCTCATCCAGCAGCAGCATGGTGCCCAGATAGCCCAGACGCTTGTCGGCGAAGCGGTGGGAGGCGAGCAGCTTCAGACACTCGATCTGGCCGAAATGCGTGCGCTCGCCCAGGGTGAAGAGGTAGAGTAGTTTGGCCACGTTGTTTCTCCTGTTCGTGATATGAGACGGATTCGAAGGACATCAGAGGGAATGGGCGGAATCAATGCTGACCGGATGCCGGAGTCATGGCTTTCCTCCCTAAAGGAGGCCCGAATAGCGGCACTCTCTTTCTGAATGACGGCCCGCTCATCGGCGATGGTCTTGGCCGAACGAACATTCCGGATGAATTGTTTGACTGATGAGGAATTCGTTAGACCTGAGCGGCACGAACGAATACAAAGCACGACAGTCCTATATGATTCTGTGGAGGAGGACACTCACGGGACGTCATGGCGGCGGTCGCGCAGACCCCGTTAGGGGGGTTAAGGAGGGGGAGGGGGATCCAACAATATCGAAAGGGGGAGGGGGAAACGAAGGAGGAATGCGAAGAACCAGTCCGCGCAATTCCCAAAAGGAAAGAATATGAAAGGGGAAGTGGAAGGAGAGAGGTGGTGAGGGGAGGAGAGGTGGAGGAGGATGGAATGAACTCAGGGAGATGAATGTCGTCGATAATAATAGAGCAACGTTTGAGCCGCCGCCCGGCTGGCCTCAGGCTGGCGATGTGTCCTCTCTTTCGGGTTTAGCGTGGCTTGTCTCGTGACATGTGTGCCTGAAAGAAGAGGTGTTCTAAAAAGACACCGCCCATGCCTTTCTGCCAGCAGAAAGAGACCGCCTGGTCCCTTTTTATCCACCTTATCCACTTTATCCACACATGCATCGTATTAAATTGATTACAATGACGTGAGGTTATCATCCCTGAAGTTGTTCTCTGCAGCTGCAGATCCATACTCCATCACCTCAATTGGACTGCCTTCTTGACTCCCCGCCCCCCTGCATCGCTTGTACTTTATTCATGATTCCTTGATTCGATGAATGTGTTTGCCTGCTCAGCATAGCCCTGTACACCACCGTACTAATACCTTGGAGTGTTCTGCTTTGCTTATTTTGGTTCCCCTTTCGACAGTCTAGCCTTATTGGAGGCTCCATCTTATATATTTGTCTTTTTGGAATCAATGTGCGAGTAACGACGACTGTCTCTCCTCTACTTATCTAGCATGTCTACCGCTGTCTCTCAAGGCAATGGTCTGGTACGGCCTCGCCCCGTCCCAGGCCAGAAGAAGCCAGACAATCCCAGCGATGCTCCACTAGAGCGCACCACGTCGGATTCCAGGTACGTACCAAATGAGTGGAAAGACATTATAGCAAAGGCTATGGCTAATAGCGAACGACGCAGTGGCTACTCGACTCCCCTGGCAGAAGATGCTCCTCCTTCGGCGCATTCGCTCTCAACCGCTCGCAAGCAGGCGCGCGCCCGCAACCGCATGTTCTACAGCATCGACTACGTTCCCCGTGTGTCGCACTTTGACCCGCGCAGCGACTACCATAATTTTCGCGGCTTCTTCACTCTATTCTGGATCAGCCTGTTCATCATGGTCGTCACCACCATGCTGCGAAATATCAAGGATACCGGGTCCCCGCTGCGCGTGCGGGTGTGGACGCTACTATCGGCCAACGTGTGGTCCATGGGCTTCAGCGACCTGGCGATGGTGGTCACCAGTGGCTTCAGCCTGCCACTGCAGTATATATTCAAGCGTGGGTGGGTGCGGTGGTCCAAAGGCGGGATGATCCTGCAGAGTTTATTCGAAGCCGCCTGGCTGGGGCTGTGGGTGAAGTGAGTTTTCCAAAAAAAAAAAAACCCTACACGCGCATACAGAACTAACGAATACAGCTGGCCGTTCATGCTGCAATGGACCTGGACCGCACAGGTCTTCTTCACGCTCCACACGCTCACCTTCCTGATGAAAATCCACTCCTACGGCTTCTACAACGGCCACCTCAGCGAAACGCAGCACCGGCTCTCCTCCCTCGACAGCAACACCAAAGACGCCTCGATGGCCGCCGCCGTGCACTACCCCGAGACCTCCCCCCAACGCGAGTCGCTCCACGAACAGCGCCGACCAAAGCCATCCAAGCGGCGCTCCAACTCTATCGTCGAGCTGCGCGAAGACCTCGCCAAAGAGCTCACCTCCCCGCTCGGCAACGTCACGTACCCGCAGAACCTGACGCTCGCCAACTACGTCGACTTCAGCTTCTGCCCGACCCTCTGCTACGAGCTCGAGTACCCGCGCAGCCCCAACCGCCGCTGGACGGAGGTGGCTTACAAAACGCTGGCCGTGTTCGGATGCATCTTCCTCCTGACGCTCGTAAGCGAGGAGTTCATCCTCCCGGTGCTCAGCGAGGCCAACGTGCAGCTGCATGTGACAGACAACCCAGCAGACCGGGCGCTCATCCTCGCCGAGACCATCAGCATGCTCCTCTTCCCATTCATGGTGACCTTCCTGCTAGTCTTCCTGGTCATCTTCGAGTACGTGCTCGGCGCATTCGCCGAGCTCACCTGTTTCGCCGACCGACACTTTTACTCCGACTGGTGGAATTCCTGCGATTGGTGCGTCACCCATATTATCTTCCCGATTCCCAAACCCCATCAAATCCTATACTAATAAAATATAGGCTCGAATTCTCCCGCGAATGGAACATCCCCGTGCACCACTTCCTCCGGCGCCACGTCTACTTCTCCTCCCTCAGCCAGTTCTCCAAACCCGTCGCAATGGTCATCACGTTCCTCGTCAGCGCCCTCGCGCACGAGCTCGTCATGGGCTGCATTACCAAGAAGCTGCGCGGGTATGGTTTCGGGGCGATGATGCTGCAGTTGCCGATCGTCGCTGTGCAGAAGTCGAGGTTTCTCCGGGGGAAGACTACTTTGAACGTATGCCTTATTACCCTTTTCACTTGATGGATTGAAACTAATGAGTGGTGGTAGAATCTGTTCTTTTGGCTGTCGATGATTTTTGGGCTTTCTTTGGTGGGTCCCCTACTTTACCCAGTCTACTATACTACATATGAACCAGCGACTGACATTTGACAGATGTGCGCTCTCTACGTCCTCGTCTAGTTGGCTCATGCATCCATTTATCGATCTATACTACATCTATCTACATACATACATCTATGTACAATCCATGTACACCACGATTTATTTGTTTAGGATCTAAGTACATACCACATACACAGGACATAAGAATACTCACAAATACTTCTCACTTATCTATTATTGACACTCACTTATCTATCATTTACTCAAAAAAACACGGCCCAATCATCACGCAGTCCCAAGTCTCGCACAAATAGTGAAACCTACCTACCAACCTAACCCCGTAAATATGCCTAATCAACTCCAAATACCCTTCTATTTTCCATCCCATCCATGTGGCAGGATTTCATACCCGAGAAATAGTCAGAAGACAGAACTTATAAATGCTATCCTGAGGTTCTCTAAGCAATAGTTATAAAAGGCAAGATTGACTCCATAGCTAGAGTATGTCCTATGATTTACAGGTCTGCCATTTACTGCATACCCAAGTAATAAGAGACCCAAAACAAATTGGAAAGAAAAATGAATGAATCTGAAACTACCCAAGCCCTCAATATGAAACCAAACGCCGAACAAAGAAACCCTATTCATTCTCGGGAAATACCCTTATTGTAGCCCGAAAAAGGAAACCAAAAAAAATGAACAACAAAGGAAATAAATAAAAGTCAGCGGAGTAAGACTGCCACAACCAGTAAAATGTGGCGATCAGTTAAATATGCTCAATTGGTTCCTCGGGAAGCAAAATCTCCCCATCTCCAGCACGAGGGAGACACGCTTTCAAAGGCGGCCGGATGATATCGTTGAAGAGGAAGGTTCCGTAGACAAGCAGCCCGAATCCGGCCACCTGTAGCCACTTGAAAGATTCCCAGCCGAGGCCGAGCGATACGAGCCAGATGAACAGCGTGCGGCAGGTGTCGATTGTGCTGCGCGAGGTGGCGGAGATGCAGTGCGTGACGGAGAGGCCGAAGAAGTTGAATCCGCTGGTTAGATATTAGTAGGGGAAGAGAAAGTGAAGAGAGGAGGGAAAGCATACCCAATACTAATCATGATGAGAAAACTACTCATAGCCACCGTCCGGTTATGGAAAACCTCAGACCAGCCCTCTCGTGCGTCGAAATATCCATATCGTCCTGCGGGCGTCTGGCCCACGAACAAATGCATGATAATCGACGCCACGACCGTAACGCTGAAGCCAAAGACGCCCTCCCAACCGACGACGCGGAGCGGGTCCATGGCGTAGTTCTCGAGGATCCACTCCTCGAGCACGAACTGCGACGCCGTGAAGATCTGCGCGGCTGCGATCAGCAGCACGCCGATGATAGTCTTGACCGCCTCGGGCGTCTGCGCCACGGCGCGGGCCTCCATCGCGACGGTCCTGACCATCACCATGGGTGTGCTGTCCTGGCTGGCCTCGTGGTTCGGAGCGTCGCCGAAGAGCGCCCCCGCGAGACCGACCAGGGCCACGCCGAGGACCACGACGAAGAGCGCGCTCCACTGGTACACGTGGAGTCTGCGGTGCAGAAAGATGACGCTGAAGAGCCCGACGAAGAGCACCAGTGCTCCGCGGGTCATCTGGTAGATGCTGGCGGCTACGAACAGGAGACCCACGTTCATGAGGGTCGTTCCGGCGATGTCGCAGCAGGCGGGCGCCGCGAGGAGGAAGATTCTGCGGCCCTCGAGTTTGACCCGTCCGTCGTCCAGCGGTTTGGACGGGTCGTCTGCGTAGTCGGGTCCGCTGATGGTCTGGTCCTCCTCTCCGTCGTCGTCGAGTCGGTCATCATTATGCACGGGGTTGTAGCCGCCGGCGAGTAATGGGGTTGTATTGTTTGAAAAGCGGGGGGCGATGCATTGTCTGTAGACCCAGGCCAGGAAGACGACGAGCCAGCTTCCGGATTCACCCACGAACATTTGAATACTTCTCGTATCAGCATATAGAAAATAAAGCAGGGATAAGAGAAGCTCACGTCTGAATCACAGGCTGCTCAAACAACCTCCTCTCCGCCGGATCAGGATCATCACAATTCCTCACACATTGCATATCCTACACAGCACCATGCGTCAGCCATCCACCACTCCCCCCAACTCCGTCCCCCATATATGCAAAGATGCAACCCACCTGATATTTATTCAAAATCGTATTACACACCCCAGTCACGAGCATCATCGTGACCAGGAACGGGATGACCGCTTTGTTAACCATTTTGACGACTGATTGGTTGGTTGGTTTTCCTCAATAGAGGGAGGTGTTGTTTGTTATCAGCGGTGGATGGGTGGAGGTATTTGAAGGGGTGGATAAGGGTGTTTGTTGGTACTTGGGATCAAGGAGAGAGGTTGATTGACTAAGAGATGGAGGATAGAATAAGATCTATCTATTGTTGGACGCCCATTGTGAGTGAGAGGTTGATCGAGAGGGGGAGAGAGATTGATAGATGGAGTGAGGAGAAAGGAAGAGAGACAGAGGGAGAGAGAGATGACCTTATCGCCCCAGTTGGTTATCGCCAGCTGATCACCCGGGTCAGCTTCTACGCTAGGTTGATTCGGGTTAGTCTGCCTTACGTCATACTTCCAGTATGTATACAGTATGTGTACTGTGTATACTACCTAGTATACTGATCAACTACTGAGTTGTATAGTAAATAAGAAAAGATTATGATTTAGCTATTCATCAGAATATGAACTATGGTAAACAGTCCTCCGTCCCTGTTAGAATGGGAAGACAACAAATAAAGGCCGGTCTGAATATCCCGCCATCCGACTCGTAGCCCTTTTGTTTGCTCCTAGCAACGCCGTGGCTAAATCAACAGCAAATGGGTTCCCAATCAATCAATCAATCAATCCAGAAACAACACGGGATATATCATCAAACGCAACAGAAAGCGAACGAGGTAAAGAAACAGAGGAAGAATGAAAGAACTGCCCCCGGCAGCGTCAACAATCAAGATCGGACAAGACAGCCAAGGCTGGGGAATGGTCGGCCAGCGTCTATTTTACACCGGTCATGTAACAAGTGTGGTGGATACGCTCTAGAGCACGATTCCGTCCGGTCGAGACTTTTAAGTCTCCCATCACCATCCGGACTATAACGTCCGGATGGCAATCCGGCCGTCGTCCATGCCCAGGCCGCCATTCTGACGATCCATCATATCCCAGTCGATCTCGTCCCACGACTGGTTCACGAACATCTCGTCGTCAAGCATGCCCGGGCCAAGGGGCCAGTCCATCCACTGGTCATCCACGGCGTCGACCATCTTGCCCGTCAGATCGTCCGTCTTGGGGAGCTCCGTGTCCTTGGGCGTCTGCGTGACCACCCCCGTCTCCACCGAATCGGGCGTGTCCTTGGAGTGCGGCGGGGCAAACATGTCGGCGTTGAGGAACTCCTCCATCGGCCCGAGGCCCAGGCCCCCATCGTCCCGAAGGTCCATAAAGGCGTCCTGGATGGCCTCCAAGGAGATGGCGCTGGTCGCCCACGGATCCGTCGCCGGCGTCGGGTCAGTCGACTTGCCGGGCTCTTTCTTGCCATCCTTGCCGGCCGCCGCCTTGGAGGTGGCCGCCGCAAGGCCCTTGGCGGCAGGTCCGCGAGGGGTCAGCTGCTGGCTGGACGCTGGGGAGGTGCCCTTGGCGCCGAACTGACTTGGGGGGCGGCCCATCGGGGTGGCGCCCAAAGTCGCCGGGGTGATCGCCTCCTGTTTGGATGACAACTGCGGAGTGTCCATTGGGACCTTGGCCTCCGCGCCCTCCCCCTTGTCCTCTTTCAGCAGGCCGATGCGGAAACTCTCCAGGGCGAACTCCAACGGATCACCAATTGGCTCTTCCACTGGATGGCTCTCCGCGACGTGGTGGTCCAGGGCGTGTTGGGTGGGGAAGCCTTGGGAATGATGCGGACACTCTGCCACCTCACATCGGAAGGCACCGATCAGGGTCGCATCGCCCGCCCCCGGCTTCGACGCCTGGGTCTTGGCGGCGACGGCGGCGGCCGAGGGCACCGTCGCGGCCGCGTGTGTCTGCTTGCGTTTCTTTTGCAGGGGCAGTTTCAGTTCCTGTGGGGGGTTGCTTGCCGGCCCATACGCGTGTGGCACCCCTTGAGGCGACGGCGCGCCAAACGGAGCGGGCGGCACAACGGTGTTGACGGCCACGGCGGTCTGGCTCGAGGCGCGGCGGGCCCGTTGGAGCGCCTCTTCCTGCTGCTGTAATTGCTGCAGGTTGCTGGCGTTCAAAGCGGGCATGGGGTTCTGCGGAGTCGGCTGCGTGGTGGGTGCGCCGGACGGCGCCCCGGGACGTTGACCGGCGACCTGGTTCTGGTGTTGGTTCATGCGGGATACCATGACCGAAAAGAACTTGCGGGTGTAGGCGATAGCCTGCTCTAAGTAGTGGGGGGGGATCGTGAAGTGATCGTTCAACGTCCAGTCGCCTCCGGGTTTGAATTGTCGCATGAGTTGCATCCTCTGTAATCCAGTTAGTGGGTGATTTGAGGGAGAGAAGAAAAAGAAGGGGGGGGGGAGAGAACGTACCATTTGGAGCAGAGTCTTCAGGTTGTTACCCTGCGATGGCGGAAGCTTCGAAAACCAGACCACCAGCGTGTCCATGCGGGCCAGCAGGTCCGTCGACTCGCGGAGGGTCTGGGCCATCTTGTTCTTGTCGGCCGGGGTCAGGGCGACGGGCTCGGTTGGATGCGGCTGGTTCAGCATCTCATTGTACAGCTGTTTGGCCTTGTCGGGAATGTTGTTCCACGACTCCTCGGCGACGGACCGGGGGATGGGCGACCGGCCCGCCTGCCGCCGGACTTGGGCATCCAGCTGCGCGCGTTGCGCGGGGTTCATCGCAGCCAGCTGCTCGCGGGAGAGGGACAAGCCGAGCTTGTTCGGCACGGGGGCGGCCGTGCTCGGGGTGACGGCGGGTTGGCTGGGTTTCGGTCCCTCGGCGGGCTCGTCGGGCGGCGACTTGCGCTTGGATCCGGCCTTCGCGCCGGCGCCCTTGGCACCCTTGGCGGCGGCGACGGGTTGCGGCTTGACTTGGGGATGTGGCTGCGGGACGGAGGCCGGTGTCGACGGCTCTGCCTTGACGGGGACCGCATTGACGGCCGCGGGTACGGGGGACGGTTGTGGCTGCTGCGGTGGCTGTTGTGGTGGTTGTTGTTGTTGCTGCTGTGGGAGGGACGGTTGGCCATGCGGTGTCTGTTGTTGCTTGGCGAGGGCAGCCCGATCTTGCGCCATCTGCAGGAACTGCTTCTGTCGATTCTGCTGCAAGATACCCCGGAGTTGCTCGTCGCTGAGCGCCTGCGCGCGCGGGCCCAAGCGGTGGCGCGCGATCTGGATATCGGCGGCCGTGATCGGTCGCATAGCGGGCATGTTCATGGGCGCTTGCTGTTGCGGGCCGGCGGGGAACGCTTGCGGCGGTTGGTTGGCGAACTGCGGGGCTGGCTGGCCCTGGGGGCCCATCCCCATCCAGGGACCCGGGACCCCCTGCTCGGGATTGCGGTCCTTGCCCTGTGACAGCATCTGGGCAAGATGCATCTTCTGAAAGCCAATCAACTTCTGCATCTCCACCGCCCCGAGGATCTGTGGGTTCTGCGTGGCCCACTGTTTGAGCTGGCCCCAGGTCTTGACAGTCTTGGGGACGGCGGCGGCCAGATTCTGGCTACTGTTGAGGAGCGACGGCGGGAAGGGGAGGCGGTCCATCTCCTTCGTTTGCTCGGGCGACATCTCGATGGCCCCGCTTTGCGAGCGTAGGAGTTGGAACTTGTACAGCTCCTGTTGGCGTTGCTGCAACTGCTGTTGCTGTTGCTGTTGCTGTTGTTGTTGTTGCTGCTGCTGCTGCTGTTGTTGTTGTTGTGGCTGCTGCGGGTGCGGGTGCGGATGCGGTTGGGGTTGCTGTTGCTGTGGGTGGCGTTGCGGAAGGGCTACCTGGGGTCCGGGCATCATTTGGCCGGGCGGTTGGGGGGCGTTCATCCCGGGGAATTGGGGCTGGAGACCCAGCGCGGTGCGCATATTCTGGGTGTTCCCCACCTGCCCGTTGTTGATCATCGGCTGGCCCGGGCCGCCGGGCTGCGACAGATTCTGCGGCATGCCCATGTGCTGCGCGGCATTGGCCCGCGCCAGGGCCTGGTTGTTCGCCAGCGCCCGTCGTTGCTGCTGGCTGATGAGGAAGGCGTTGAATTGCTCGGGGGTCATCTGGTTGAGCTGCTCCTGCGCCGCCGCGGAGAGCCCCGCCAGTTGCGGCCGGCCCTGCATCACGGGGGGGCCGCCCAACGACTGTGCGGTAGGAGGTTGCGAACCCATGCCGGGCGGACGCGACGGCGGGCGAATCTGGGCCGCCATCTGGGCCGGGGACATCTGGCCCGGCGCCATGGGGCGGTTCAGCATGGACATCGGGGACCCCTGGGGAGGCATCTGCGGCATCCCGTGCGCGCTCGCTTGGCCCTGGGAGATGGCCATCTGGGCTTTCTGCGCGGCTTGAGCGCGCGCCTGGGCCTGGGCGGACGCTTGGGCCGGGGCCGGGCCGGGGCCGGTGCGGGGGCGGACGCCGGAAAGGCACCCGTCGACTGGGGCGTGCGGTCGGGCGGGACCGGCGGGGCGTTCTGGATATGTTGCTGCTGCTGCTGCTGTTGCTGCTGTTGCTGCTGTTGCTGCTGTTGCTGCGCGAGGAACTGTGGGCTCATGGAGGTATTATTCATGGCGGGTGGGGCCCCCGGGGTCCCCTGGGCAAACTGGCCGGGCGGGAACATGTTCTGGGCGGCGTTGAACGGAGCCTGGTTCGAGCTGGCGGGGACGACAAGTTGGCCGGCCTCCTGCGAGCGCAAGCCGTCGGCCTGCTGGCCCTGGATGTTCTCGACATTGCCCATGAAGGAGGTGTCCAGGCCCTGCGGGTTGTTCGCGGCGGCGGCAGCGGCGGCGGCGAAGGCCGGGTTGCGCTGGTTGTTCATCATGTTCTGGAACATCTGGCGGTTCATCATGGGGTCACCGCCCATCAGGGCGCTGTTGGGATCGACGGGGGCGTTCGGATTGCGGTTCATGTGGCCGCGGCGCATCTTGCGGAATTGGGCGAGGGCCTGGCAGCGAAAGAAGTAGCTGAGCGGGTCCATGCCCCGCTGGTGGAGGTACTGCTTCTGCGTCGGGTTCATGTTGGCCAGGTTCATCTTGATCTTGTCCAGGTCCTCCTTGGCGGTGCGATGGAAGATCTCCTTGGCGAGGCGGTTGACGGCATCCAATTCATTGGCGGGCAAGGCATTGAAATCGTCCGCCAAGGCGATCGCGCCGCCGGGTCGCTGGGGTGGGCGCTGTGCGGGCTGCGGGGTTTGTTGTGGTTGGGGTGTCTGGTGGGGTTGCGGTTGGGCCTGTTGCTGCTGTTGCTGCTGCTGCTGTTGCTGTTGCTGTTGCTGTTGCAGGAGCATGCCCTGCGGCGTTTGCGCGGGCGGGCCTGATTGTGGTGGTTGTTGCGACGGTGGACGGTGCGGCCGGGCGGCGGGTTGCAAGGGGTCGTTCATGCCCATCATGGGCTGTTGTGGTCCGGCGACCGGGGAAGCTTGCATCTGGCGGTTCGCCTGCTGGGGGAATTGGCCGACCGAGGGGGCACCGGCGGTGGGTGATGCTTGGTTCATCATGCCGTTCTGAAAGACGGCGGCCTGACGGGCGCGAGTATCACGGATATGGACCAGCTTGTCGTTACACTCTTTATCGTAATCGACCTAATGTGACGGTCAGCACTGGAAAAGAAGGAGGAGGAGAGAAAGAGAAAGGAAAAGAGAGAAAAAAGAGAAAGGAAAAAAAAAAAAAAAAAAAAAAAAGTGGTCCTACCTTTTCCCTGGCCCGGGAGAACGCTCCCTGTTCAAAAGTCAAGGCCGCGTGAGCCGCACCGGCGATATCGATCTGGGGTTTGATCAAGCGAAGGGACGTGATCCTAGGAGGGTTAGCGAACCGTGAAGAAACGGAGAGCAAGAGGGATGAGAAGGGGAGGGGATTGGCGGAAGCTGGCGGATCACACTCACATTTGATACACTTTGACGGCGCGATCGCGGAGGGGCACCTCCTGGCGCCATCCAGAAAAGTTCCCTTGGGACTGCAGGGCCTGGGCGACGAAGTTCATGACGGTTTGGCCATTTTCGACCCTGGGGGGGACTGGGATCTGACCATGCGGTTTGGCTCCACCGGGCATGCCACCGCCAACGTTGTTGAAGTTTGCGGGATTCATGGCAGCAACGCCCCCTCAGTGGGGATCGAGGAGCAGTCCGCGCAAGCCTTGTGTGAAACCCAGCATTCGCTGGTGGTGTTTATTGGGGAGGGGAGTCGGGTCGCGACAAAATCACCAGCTCCGTCGAAGGGGGGGGAGGTTCGTCTCAGGATCGAAGGGATCGAAGGGATCGAGGGTGGCGTCAGGATCAAAAAAGAAAAGAGGGAACCTGTGGGGGCGATGGATCGAAGGAAAGGATGGTCGCGGTTGGATGGAAGGTTGGAGGATGGTCGATCGAGCCGAAGAAAAAAGAGCGGTCGGAGATGGAGGAGAAGGTATCACGAAGAAGTGTGTGTGGTGGTGGTGGAAGAGAGGTCACGGTTGAAAGACCAACGCAGAAGGGGGAAACAAGGCGTTCGGGCACCAGCGGTCAAATCCGGCGGGTTCGTTGGCAGCGGCGGAAGGCGAGTGGCTTTTTTGGGGTGGTGGTAGGAGGGAGGGAGGGGGGGGGGGGGGGGGGGGAAGAGAGAGAGAGAGAGAGAGAGAGAGAGAGAGAGAGAGAGGGAGGGAGGGAGAAAGAGTAGAGTAGAAGAGACTAAGCAGGATTATGTCGGATCAGTGACAGGGATGATGCAGCAACGCTTGTCGCACTAGAGCCAAGGTGGTGGAAAGGGATTGGACAGGGGAGTTGGGAAAAGGAGAAGAGATGAGAGGGTGAAGAAGAAGATGATCAATGAACTTGAAGGGAATTATCAAGGGAATGTGGAAATAGTGATGGGGGAAAGAAAGGGACTGGATGGAAATGGAGAAAACAGGAAGAAAAAGAAAAAGGAACGAGTCCGAAAGAGAGAACGGAATGGGAAAAGATTGCAGGATTGACCAGGCATCCACGGGCTAAGACATGAAGAAGATGATGAAGAGAGCTTACCAGGAAGAAGCAGAATGAGGTGGCGTGGAGGATGACCGTCAGCTAGAATCGCAGAGAGAGAGAGAGAGAGAGAGAGAGAGGTGTAGAAAGAAGTAATTGTAGAGATGGCATCACCAGCAGACCCCGATCTCCATCACTCTCTCTGATTTATTGACAGGGTTTGAAAAATGACAAATTCTGGTCAAAACCCCAGTGACACCATGAGAGCATTCGAAGTCTGGGATCACAGTCAATACCAGTACATGACAATAAACAGAGGAAAAAGAAAAGATCAAAAGTTATGGTAATAATAATAAGACTAATGACTGTCATTCTATCCTATTTTCTATCCTGAATCATGGTCAAGATCATCCAGCTCCCTGTCCAGATTAATCTAATCCTCCCAAAAGAGCAAGATGGACAGAAGGAGGTTGGATGGATTTCCGTGCGATCGGCCGTCAGTGACTTGGCAGTCCTCCTTCACCATTGGAAATACAATACTCAAATAATAAGATGGTAATGAAGAGTGACAGTGATGGAGACTCCAGGACCGAAGTGGGTCTCTTTCGGTTGGTGGCTGAGGACTTTTTTCCAGCATCATCTGGATTATAGATCATGATGGTTATACTGGTGGATGATGGGAATTATAATATTTATTAGACGATGAACCATATTTGATTAATATTCCATCATCCAGGTTCCAGTCCAGTTCCAGTCTAGTTCAAGGTCTGTTCAAGGTCTGTTTAAGTCTGTTCAAGTCTGTTCAAGACAATCCATGGATTGATGGTTGGTCGGCCTCAGGACATCCCCTGACACTGACACTGACAGCTGTCGAGGTACATATTCTTTGATAAAATACCCCCATAGAGATATAAAGAATATATATATACTCGTATATATCTATGTATATATATATATATATATATATATATATATATTTATTTATTTATTTATTATTTATATAAAATAATTACAGCAATGGTAATGGAGGGGGTCGACTGGCCCAGAAGACACAAGGTCAACATGCCAAGACTTGGTGGTTTCGCAGATAGAATCCATCCGAGTACGTTGGGGGATCCTCTAACCGAGAGAGTAGAAGAGAACGATATTTATATATGTTTATATCCATCTGAAAATAGTACCGAACAAGACATCAGGATAAGAAGTATATCTGTACTATTACTCGGTACCCTACATCTATATATAGTGACCTACGGAGACAGATATAGATCTTCAGATCGGAATACCTAGGCTACTGGATTATCTACCATCACCCTTCAACATCAGTATATCAATCATGATAATATATATCTATCAATGTCATATTGACTATATATATCAAATATCTATCTACCTATATATAGTGAAATATTCCGCTAACAGCTAAGAATCTAACTAATCCGGCACAAGGCTGGTGGCCACGTGACTGGCCCGCTGCGTCACCCGTGGGCCGTGCCTGGCTAATAAGGTGTGAATCAAATCGAAGCGAAAGAATCCGTGAACAACTGCGGACTGATTGACTGACACGGACAGCCCGGACAACCACCGGACTCCTTCTTCCCTCTCTATCTATCTCTCTTCTCTCTTCTCTCTTCTCTTCTCTCTCTTCACTTTCTTTCTTCTTTCTCTTCCTTCTCTTCCTTCTCTTCTCTTTTCCCTTCTTTCTCTTCTCTCTTCACCCATCTATCTCCCTATCTATCTCCCTATCTATCTCCCTATCTATCTCCCTCCCCTGTCCTGATCCGTCCAGTCGGTCTTTCCCGTCTGGAAAACTATGATCAGTACACTTCTCTTCCTCCTTGATCGTTCCTGTCCCTAATCCGATTCCCACCCCCTGATCCTCTCTTCCCTTGGATCTCTCTCCTCCCCTCCCTCGGATCTTCCCTCCCCCTCCCTCTCTCCTATCCATATCCTTTCCCGCCGTCTTCCTCCGGCTGGTCACGCGACACCTGGCCCCCCCGTCCCGTCCCTCTCCACGGAGGAAGGCCGTTTCGGCGACTGCTCGACTCATCATGTTTTCCGTTTCCGCCCCCACCATCTCCGTGGGTTCCAATATCTTCTACTCCTTCGCCCTCGTCGTCATCTCCGTCTTGGTCATCCTGCTCCTGCGCCGCTTTTTGACCCTCCGGAACACCCCCGCCTATCTCTCCGTGTCCGTCTTTCTCTCCCTGGCCCTACCCGCCGGCGTCGTCCTCCTCGTCCCCATTGACCTCGCCTCGAGTTCCCGCGACGATGGAGATGGGCCACGGGCCATCTGGCTGCCGGAGCGCCTCATCCTGGTCTCCTGGCGCATCGCCTACTGGTTGATCTTTGTCCTCACCTGGTATGTACCCCTGACAACTTCCGCGGAGGGTAACGACCACTCGATGAACTGACGGACGGACGTAGGGTTATCCTTCCTTTGCTCGGGGAATACATCGATTCCGGCTATCGCGATCCCAAAGGTCGCATGCAGTATTCCATCCGTTCCAACGCCCAATACCAACTCCTCGTCCTCATCTGTTCCGTCGTCGGCCTCATCTACATCTCCGTCCAGGAGGGGTTCAACTTCACCGCCATCAAGGGCGTCGTCATGGCCCTGTCCTACGTCTGGGGTCTCGTCATGGCCATCTACCTCATGGGCCACGGCCTCGTCTCCATCCCCCGCGCCCTGTTCCGCAACGCCAGCGTCAGCGGCCGCCTGCGCCGCATCCAGGTCTACGCCCCCAAACTGCATGACAACCTGATGGATGCCGTCACGGACCTCGAGGGCCTCGAGGCCCAGGTCGGCCAGCTGCAGCGTCGCAAGACCGGCACCGCCCGCGACTTCCAGGACTGGATCGAGGAGCTGGCCGAGACCTCCAACATCCCCGAGGAGTCCGCCCTGCTCGGCCCCGCGGCCTCCCACACCACGGCCACCGTGCCGTCCGTCATCACCGAACGCTACCTGGCCGACCTGACCCGGCGCATCCAGCGCAAGCGCCACCTCAAGGCCCGCTTCGTCGACGAGTGGGATCGGCTGGTCCTGACCGCCGCCGACATGCAGGCCATCATCAACGCCGCCGCCACCCAGCGCCTCGACTTCCCCCAGTCGCAGCGCCGCTCCTTCTTCCCGGGGGTCCGCGCCCTGACCCCGTACCTGCGCTACCAGCTGTACGCCCGCGTCATCCCGAGCATCCGGCGGCTCCTGGGCGCCCTCTGCGCCGCCGCCTCCGTCTCCGTCGTCTGGTCCGAGGTGTTCAAGTCCTTCGCCCCGCGCCTGTCGGTGGTGACGCTGTCGGTCATCTCCTACCACAAGGACCCCAAGCCCGTGGGCTTCTGGCGGCAGCTGACCGCGACCGGCTGGCTGCTCTACATGTGCTGGGCCGCCCTGGCGGGCGTCAACGACGCCAAGGTGTGGGGGAACCGCGCCCTGGTGCGGCGGAACACCTACGGCGAGAGCGCCTGCTGGTACGCCGGCCTGGTGGCGCGGCTGGCCGTCCCGATCGCCTACAATTTCCTGACCTTCCTGCCGGTCGCCTTCCGCGAGAACACCACCTTCTACGACTTCCTCGGCAAGTCGATCGACCTGACGCCGCTGGGCAAGGGCTTCGATTGGTTCTTCCCGGTCTTTATCCTGCTGCCCATCGCCGCCACCATGTTCAACCTGTACGGGCGCATCAAGAAGATCTGCGGCTTCGGCGTTCTGGAACCGGAGGAGGAGGACGACCTGGAGACCAACCCCAGCGGCTACGGGCTGGGCGGCTGGCGCGAGGGCCGCGAGCTGATCGAGCGCGAGCTGAACGGGCTGGGATCGCTGTCCCTGACGTCGCGCGCGGGGCGGTCCCCCCGCGTGTCGAGTCCCGTCAGCGGGAGCCCCCGGGGGTTCTCCTCGTCCCGGACGTCGGGCAGTGACGCCGTGCGCCCGTCGCGGTCCCCGCGCGGGGCGGTGCCCGCCGCCGCCGCCGAACCGGAGGAGGAGACGTTCCTCCAGTCGTTTGCGCACCGGGTGCGCAACACGTTCGAGACGGCCAACCCGCCGCAGTGGCTGGGGGGCGGGTTCCAGCTTCCCCGGTGGATGGGGAATGAGGGACGACCGACGGGGGTGCGACTGTAGGGGATTCCCTGTATTATATGAGTTATATTCACGTACATATTATCAATCAATTGTTATCTTAGTTTTGCCTGTCTGACTGTTCTGTCTATTCGTCTGTCTATTCGTCTGTCTATTCGTCTGTCTATTTGTCTTGTATATACACTGTCTATTTGTCGGTCTATTTGTCTGTCTAGATGTCTGCCTGAGTATATTGCCTGCCTACATTTCAGCCTCCTATATTTCAGCCTACTATACTCTACCCATCTAATGTCTGCCTGATTCTATCCCCCTCCACAGAGAAGCTAGAAGAAGTCTGCCCACCTACGTATATCTCTATATTTCCCTCATGTATGAAACCAACTGCGCCACAGCCCATCCAGCCACATCCCAACCCAGCCACACCCAAACCCCTCCTTTCCCACTCCTATCACACCATTCAATCCAACAATGGTAACTACCAACAGGTAGGTAAGGTAGCAAAGCACGCACAGGAAGCCTTTTCCACGGCAAAACATAATGCGGCGCAGGCGGTGTCGACTCGACACGAATGCGCCTTGCGCGGCGTCACTGCTTGGCTTGGCTGCCGAGCCGAGTTAGTCATTTATTAATACTAACTAACTATTAGTTCAGCTGGACTCGACGGGTTTGCAGTGCAGTGCAGTGAACACCTGGACTCTCAACCAACCAGTGACCAATATCCATGACTTCAACACTTTAACCCCCCCCCCAAAAAAAAGATATAAAAGGGCAAAAAAATCAGGGGAAAAAAAAAAAAAAGGAAGAATAAATCCATGAGCTTATCATCCCTCTCTCTCGGCGACAAGTACGCTCTGTACCTGGACTCGCTGGCCGCGCACATTCGTCCCCGTTGGCAATCTGTTCTGAATCAGGTGCTGACTTCGTCTTCGTCTTCTCTTTCGACACTTGATTCTTACTTATCCTTCCTATCCGAATCATCCTCTCTGACCACCCCTATCATCGTCACCATCCTCCTCGCAACCCTCCTCCTCCTCCTCACAATAATAACAACAATGTCGTGGCACTCCCCCCTAACCAACTTCCTCCGCCGCACCCCCTCAACACCCTACACAACAGTCCCCAACAACCCGCCCTACATCAGCGACCAGGACTACAGCTACATCTCCCCCGACGACTCCGCCCGCTACGAACGCACCCGCTACGCCGCGGACTCCGCCGCCGCCTCCGAAGAAGAAGACAACCAACCCGACACCCTCCTCCTCAAGCACCGCAAAAACACCTACGAGCTGCACTTCCCGGCCTACGCCATCAGCGACGGCACGCTGACGGTCGGGCAGCTGCGCAAGCGCGCCGCGGAGGTCACCCGCACGCGCGACCCCAGCCGCATCGTGCTGCTCTACAAGGGCGAGATTCTGCAGCGGGATGCGGTGCCTTGTTGTGCGGAGGGCCTGAAGCAGGATTCGGAGGTGTTGTGTGTTGTTTCGGAGGTGGAGGTGGGGGAGGGGTCGCCTAGTGGGTCGGATGTTGATGTTGATATTCCTGTCCAGGGGTCGGGGTCGGGGTCGAGGGGGGTGCTGGTGGTGTTGCTGGTGGGGTTGCAAATGATGGTGCTGAGCAGCAGCAGCAGCAGCAGCAGCAGACACGCACCCGCAACCGCAACAGGAACAAGAACAAGAAGAAGCTCGCGAAGAAGGAGAAGGAGAAGAGCAAGAAAGATACCACCACCGTCCCAACGGAAGCCGCCCGACCAACCCCTACCCCCACCACCGGAGGAAGTGGAAGCAGCACAATGCCTCCCCCCTCCCCCAACCTCAAAAACTACCCCACAGCCCGCGACCAAGTCGAAGCGCTGCGCGAGTACCTCCGGCGAGAACTGGTACCGCCCTGCGAGGCCTACGCGCGGTCTCCCCCCACCGAGGAAAAAGCGCGGGCGTTCGAGAACCGCAAGCTGAGCGAGACGATCCTGGCGCAGGTGATTCTCAAGGCGGATGGGATTGAGCCGTCCGGGGATGCGGAGACGAGGACGGCGCGGAAGGCGTTGATTAATGAGGCGCAGGCGGCGCTGGGGTTGTTGGATCGGGTGGGATGATTTTATTGTATCATATTATCATATTTTTTTTTTTTTCATGTTATACATATTTGTTTAGAAACATGGTTGGAGGATAGGATCGTTGGCTATAGAGGATCTCATATACTACTGGCTTTGGACTACTAGGTGGTAGTGTACTATCTCAATTAAGAGAGTAGCTAATCCTAATCAATCCATCTACTCCGTACTAATACTAAGGTACCAGGTTAACAGGTCCTCCAATAAAAGTACCAGTGTAGATCAAACGACGTATCACTTAACCATACCAGCACCGAGTTAGTAGATAAACGGCAGCCATTCCAACACTAGACTGGATTAGGATCTAGTACCTCCTAGTTCGTACTTTACTGGTGAGGAGGAGGAGGTGGACTATACAGGAGGTAATACTTGTCCCCCTTCTAAGGTCCTTCATCTGGATTAATCTGGTTTGAGGTGAGATGTCAGCTATAATATCCATTTTATAAAAGGCAATATGACAGTCCACATGGCCTCAGAGTACAGAGTCAAACACATGGGATGGTATAAGATGAAGATGGTGAAAAGGAGTCTCTCCTGACTAGTATAATAAATAGTGAGTATTTCGGGAGCAGCCAAGCCTTCTTCACTAGTCCAGACTCTCTCTCTCTCTCTCTCTCTCTACTCAGTACTGTCAATCCTTTTTTTCTTTCTTCTTTTCTTTCTTCTCCTTGTCTTTCGCTTCGATCATATCTCGCTCTTCATCTTGTCTTGTCGAGTCTCAATCACTATCTTAATTATAATACAATAATCTTATTTGATTCATCCGCCACAGTCCAGCCACACTTTTTACGCTCGTTTGAAACTCACCTCCTCCTTTCCTTTCTTCCCCTCTTCTCTTCTTTCTCTTCTTTCTCTCCTCTCAGCTCAGCTCTCTCCATCGGTTGGATCAATCTTTAGTCTCTCGTTATCCATTTCCTTCTTTATACTTATTTATTATCTTTGTTCCTTCCGCTTACTCTTACTCGATTTTTTTTATTGACGATTTCTTTCTATTTACTATTTATTATAACTATCAAACATCACCTTGACTGCACATCTTCGCCATATCCACTAATCACCCATAATCCTGGCATGGCCTGAAGGGCGTCCTGTCTGCTCGGTCCATATCTTCCCCCGTCAGCTGGTCTGGCTCTGCCGGTATGGCCGGCACCACCACCACCACCGTTACCGATACCTGGTCTCCCCCTGTCAATGAAAATCAATGGGACTACGCCGTTCCCGTTCGGCGAAATGTAAGCTCCCCATCCCCCGAATTCTCTTGATTTCCCCGTGAATACCCCCTAATCAACAGTAGAGCGCCCGCCGCCGCTCCAAGTCCCGCTCCTCCCAATCTCGCGACCGCGACCGCACCTCCAAAGGCTCCCGCAGCTCCTCCCTCTCCCGCGCCGCCTACCACGAACAGTATCGCGGCCGTCGCGATGCCAGCCGCACTCGACACGGCAGCGAGGCCGGCCTGTACGCCCACGACGCCCCCAATCGCAGCCGCAGCAACGTCCGCGACTCCGACACCAGCCAGATCAGCGGCTCCTGGCGACGCAGTGAGATGAAGGATGGCCCTGACACCGAGCACGAGAATTGGATCCACCGCGACAAGCTCGCCCGCATCGAGAGCATGGAACTGCACCAGGCTGCCGTGATGTTCCAGCGACGCGCCCACGAGTCCGGTCGGTCCACCCGCGCCCGCAATCGCAACAGCGGCATCAGCGAGTACTCGGTGGCTGGCCCGCCCCCTGACCCGGCGGAGTCGTTTCCCGATCTGCAGGAGGAGCGGGCGTCGGCCCTGGGGATGTACGACGATAGTACTCGTGACGGAGACTGGGACCTGCGTCGACAGGAGGAGGTCACGGAGTCAGCCGCTCACATGTACCGCCATCCGGGCCAGCACAAGAGCGCGTCTCGCATTCCGATCCCGGCTGGCGAGTCTAGCCCTCCTGACGATGGTAGTCCTCTAGGTAGTGCCAGTCGACCGGGCAGCCGTGGGGTACCCAGCGGATCGAGCGCCACCTCGCGGAAGACCTCTGGTAAAACCACGCCGGGGACGACCGCCCGCAAGACCTCCGCGCCAGCCGGCACCCGCAAGACCACCCCGCGCAGCCGGGCAGTCTCAGGGGCACGACCGACGACGCGGTCCGGCGAGTCCCGCCCCACAACAGCAGCCAACCGGCCGGAGGGTGACCCGCCCTGGCTGGCAACCATGTACAAACCAGATCCCCGTCTACCGCCTGATCAGCAAATGCTACCGACGCACGCACGCCGACTCCAACAAGAGCAGTGGGCCAAAGAGGGCAAGACGCCGACGACATACGACCGCGAGTTTGCCCCGCTAGCCATCGGCCCAGACGGACCGCCTGACAAGCCCGGTGCGGAGAAACCGGAGATGTCAGAGGATAAGCCAGAGGAGAAACCAAAAGAAAAACCAGAAACAGAAAAGGATTCCAACCCCAAAGAGCACCCACCCCCACCCACACCGTCCATCACCTCGCCCGACCCCCAGCGCAGCCCCGACCTGGGCCGCCTCAGCACGGCAACGGGATACAGCCACATGCCCAAGGTGCACGAGGTGCCGCACTCGGGGATGACCTCGAGATGGAGTCCTCCGGTGGTGAGCGCGCCCGAACCGGAGAAGAAGAGGGGGTGTTGTTGTATAGTGATGTAATTTCCTTTCTTTCTTTACTTTACATCTTTTTCTGTGCGTCTGCCTCTTACATCTCTTTCTCTTTCTCTTTCTTCATTTCTACCTCCTGCCTCTCCTTTTCTTTACTTTTTTACTTCTTTTACATTTTTATTATCTTTATTTTATTTCATCTTGTCTACTTTGTTAGTTGCATGGTTAGCGGTGGTGTTGCCATAGGAATATGGTTCTTTTTCTTGATTGATTTGATTGATTGTTTGTTGATATTGTTGATATAGATCAATATATTCAGTTACAGAGTATGGAGTATGGAGTATGGAGTACGGAGTATACAGCGTAAAGATAGTAGAGACTACAGGTAGTATAGAGTAGAAAGTCTCTAGAGATAATATAGATATAGATAGGTAGTACCTAACCTACTAGGGTAGTATCCAAAGTACCCCAGACGAACCAGCAAACAAGTCATCTCACGTGACACACAAGTACCTCAAGTAAAAATGATCACGTCACCCACCCACTCCCTGATTAGTAAGGTAACATCCAACGTTCTCTCTCTTTCCGTCCCCAGTAAACCTTACCAAGCAATCAATCAATCAATCAATCAATCAGTCAATCAACAAACCTACCCCGCCAACCACATATAACCCCTCCCCCCCCTCACCCTCTCTTACCTTACTTTATTTTTATAAATAATATTCAAGAAACCGCCAAAATCCTCACCTCAATCTTCACCCGCCTGTTCGGCACGTCGTCGACTGCTTCTCCCGCCATCATGTCCGCTGCGAAGGTTAAGGCTGAGGGGTTGATTCAGGAGAATGCTGTTGGTATGTACCTTCCTTACTTGGATTGAGATGGCTTCTTTCCTTACTTGGCCTGAGATGGCTTTGTTCCCTGCTTGTTTGGATATGAGTTCTACATGGGAGGGACGTTGGGGGTGGAAAGACGGGAGGCGAAGGGAAGATGTCAAGGAGAGGGGTGAAAAGAGGAAGAGGAAGAGGGGGGAATGGAAATGAACAAATGCAAGGAAATGAAATGAAATGAACAATGCTAACGGTGATATTAGTGGTCTTCTCTAAATCTTACTGCCCCTACTGCAAGGCGAGCAAGTCGCTGCTGAATGAGTTGAACGCGAAGTATACGACTGTTGAGTTGGATCAGATTGGTTTGTCTTTCCTTCCTTATTCCCTTATTTCCCTTTTATGTATTCAACTGTTGGATTGTTCAACTCTGTTATATCATTCAACACAGTTGTACGGATACAATATGTGTGAAAAAAGACAAAGCTAACAAGAAGATAATGCAGACGACGGCCCCGCCATCCAAGACGCCCTCCAGGAAATCAGCGCCCAGCGCACCGTCCCCAACATCTTCATCCAGCAGAAGCATATCGGCGGGAACTCTGATCTGCAGGCCAAGAAGGCTGATCTGCCTGCTTTGTTGAAGGCGGCTGGGGCTGCTTAAGTTTACCTACCATACTTGGCCGATGATTGATTTTACTATACTTGGCTTGGATTGATTTTACCATACTTGGCCGGTGATTGATTTATACTATGCTTGGCCTGGATTGAACTGGCTATAGTTGATCTAGATTAAGCTGGTTACTAGTTAGAGTGATGCTTTGCTGAGATAGAATCATATTGTTACAAGACTGGACAGGATAGTAACCTAAAGTAAAGAAAAGACTAGATAGTCCCAACAGGCCGCTCCACAACCCCCATCACCCCATCAACAACACTCCGTCGCGCCCCCTCACTAGACACATTCTTCCCAGCCAGATAATTCAACCACACGAGCCGACTAATCCGCTCATCGCGCACACGGCCCAAAAACCGCATCCCAGGCTTCCCCACCTCAGCCTGCACCAGCCCCTCCAGCGCGCCATCCTCACCACGCACAAGCACCAGCGTCTGCCCCTTCGACACGCCCTTCTTCCCACCCCCGCCCCCGCCCCCAAACAGCGCCTTGAACTCCCCCACCGCCCGCCCAAACGACTCATCCGTGAACTCCCCCTCCTTCCTCCCCCCACTACTCAAAGAAGAAGTATCCGGCAGCGGCGAAATCGTATACCTCTGCGCGCGCGCAGCCAACCCCCGCACCCACCCATCCCGCAGGTGCAAAAAGTCCGTGTTCCGCGTCGGCACAACCCGCCACGCCATCCGCAGCCCGCCCTCCCTCAACACCGCGCTCCAAGCCGCATCCCCGCGCTCCTCGTCCAGCAGCAGCTTCTTCAGCGCCTCCCGCTCCCCAGGCACAAGGCTCGTCGCGAACGCCACACTCCCCGCGCCCGTCGTCGGCTGCACGACGGCGGGAGAGTCCACCTCCTTCGGCGGGTTGACGGCCGTGCGCACAAGCCGCTGCTGCAGCTCGGGCAGGTCCTTCGTGGCGATGTACAGGCCTACAACGTAGACCTGGATGCGCAGGAAGGACACGGTGCGGATGCCCAGGCCCAGCAGCTGGTATTCTTCGCTGGCGCCGTCGTCGCCGGACGCGGGGAGCGCGTCGCCTGGTTGGAGGGTGCTGGAGCGGGTCGGGAGACGCATGGTGCTCGGGAAGTGCGGGACGGAGCTCGTGCCGGTTTCGACTTGCGTGCTGCCGTCGGGGCCTTGCAGGATCATCGCTGGGCTGCTGGCGCTGGTGTCTGGGAAGCCTGGGGGGCCATCTAGCATGGTTTTGTTCTTGCTGTCGTTGTTGTCATTGTTGTTGGTGGTGGTGGTGGGCTCGAGCTTCTCCAGCCCGAACGGGTCCAGTTGGATCACGCCGTACATGGCGACGGCGCAGGCGGCGATGCCTGCGGCGGAGAGGCTGATGGAGCGGCGGGACTGCGCGAGGGCTTGCTCGCGGGCGCGGGTGTCGGCGCTGGAGCGGAGTGGGTTCGGGGGGGTGGTTTGGCGGAGGGCGGGCTGGTTGTTAGGGGGCGGCGGGTGGGGAGGCGGAGTTGCGGGCGGATGCACCTGCGCCAGGGGATGGCGCCCTGGATTGATGGTGAGGCCATGTTGAGTGGGTTGGTAGTTAGTGAGATGGATGTAGATAGATGTGGATGGTGGTGGTCGGTTACTGCGGGTATTGGTTGGGGTGTGCCGGATCCGGGTGCACGTGACTATGCTCTGTTGACCATGTATGTACGGAATATAGTTAGAGTGCGGTTGGAGCGAGGATAGGATAGTAGACTGGAGTTATACTATTATTGGATGTGTTTGTTTGATCGTTATATTGTCTGATGATACCTAGTAATGCGTATAGTAGGTAGAATACTTGTAAATGCTATCATCCACTCGATATACACACTGTAGACGTCAAACTATATATATTCACCAACACCACCAAATCTAGTCAACGCTATCGCTATCCCACAACAATCAAGACCAGGTTATGAGTAATATTCGTTCAATTATTTAAGAAACACTGCACACAGCATGAGTATCTACAGTAGTATACCACTTGAACATCAATTACGCTGTTATATTGCTAAGATTATGCGTCTTACAGGAATAGCCAGGTTGACAGGCTTCATAGAATGACTGTGGACTACTACTATCAATACTGTACTGTCGAATCCAAGGTATGTAGTGCATGGATAACTACAGACACAAAGACAAGAGTCTTGGATGGATGTGATTGTATGGATGAAAGATGTGTTAAGAAGTGGAGGTACCAGCCAAGTCAGGCACCGCCAAAGGCTGGCAGCTGGCAGCACTCATCTAGGTTATAGCTACGATTACAACTACGTGGATAAAATTTTGAATCATTATGTAGATTAACTACATAGTCTAGTTCCATTCATAAGCCTTTTCAGAAATTCATCACGGCATCTCGGTTTTCCCACGAAATGAACCCATTTATTTCTTGCCGGCCTTCTGGGCGGCCTTGGTGACCTTGCCGGAGGCGGCGGTGGCCTTCTCGACAGCCTTGACGACACCGACGGCAACGGTCTGGCGCATGTCACGGACGGCGAAACGACCCAGAGGGGGGTAGGAGGTGAAGGCCTCAACACACATGGGCTTGGAGGGAATCATCTTGACGATGGCGGCATCACCGGACTTGATGAACTTGGGGTTCTCCTCGGTGGCCTTACCGGTACGGCGGTCGATCTTCTGCTGCAGCTCGGCGAACTTGCAGGCAATGTGGGCAGTGTGGCAATCCAGCACGGGGGCGTAGCCGGCGCCGACCTGACCGGGGTGGTTCAGGACGATGACCTGGGCGGTGAAGTTGTCACAGCCGCTGGGGGGGTCGTTCTTGGAGTCACCGGCGACGTTGCCACGGCGGACCTCCTTGACGGAGACGTTCTTGACGTTGAAGCCGACGTTGTCACCGGGGAGACCCTCCTTGAGCTGCTGGTGGTGCATCTCGACGGACTTGACCTCAGTGGTCACGTTGGCGGGGGCGAAGGTAACGACCATACCGGGGCTGATGACACCAGTCTCGACACGGCCGACGGGAACTGTGCCGATACCGGAGATCTTGTACACATCCTGCAGGGGCAGACGGAGGGGCTTGTTGGCGGGACGGACGGGGGCCTCGATGGCATCGATGGCCTCCAGCAGGGTCTTACCGGTGACCTTGCCGGACTTGCCCTCCTTCTCCCATCCCTTGTACCAGGGGCAGTTGGGAGAGGGCTCGAGCATGTTGTCGCCGTTGAAGCCGGAGATGGGGACGAAGGGGACGGCCTTGGGGTTGTAGCCGACCTTCTTGATGAAGTTGGTGGTCTCCTTGACGATCTCGTTGTAACGGTCCTCGGACCACTTGCAGGTGTCCATCTTGTTGAGGGCAACGATGAGCTGCTTCACACCGAGGGTGAAGGCAAGCAGAGCGTGCTCACGGGTCTGGCCATCCTTGGAGATACCAGCCTCGAACTCACCAGTACCGGAGCCAATGATGAGAATGGCGCAATCGGCCTGGGAGGTACCAGTGATCATGTTCTTGATGAAGTCACGATGACCGGGGGCATCGATGACGGTGACCTCATACTTGGCGGTACCGAACTTCCAGAGGGCGATATCGATGGTGATACCACGCTCACGCTCGGACTTCAGCTTGTCCAGCACCCAGGCGTACTTGAAGGAACCCTTGCCAAGCTCGGCGGCTTCCTATATATTTATTAGTATGACGTTTTTTTTTTTTTTTTTTTTTTGTACGATCTGGGTTGTCCTACCTTCTCGAACTTCTCGATGGTACGCTGGTCGATACCACCACACTTGTAGATCAAGTGACCTAAGAATTGTAAGTATCAAGTCTCATATGTATAGACGGAGCGGTGCTTACCAGTGGTGGTCGACTTGCCGGAATCGACGTGGCCGATAACGACGATGTTAAGATGAGTCTTGTCGTCCTTACTGAGAGGTTGTTAGCCAGGATTCTTGATGATACTCATCACATCTCGATCAACACCAGATGATGATGAGATGATGAGATGATGACGATGAGAACTTTTCATCGAGGAAAAACGTACCCCATTGTGAAGGTAGATGTGATGAACTTTTATTAAAAGAAATAAAGGTCTCGGAGAATGCTCAGATACTACGGCTTAACGCGTAGAGGTGCTGAACAAAAAGGTAAGTTAGAGAGAGGATGAAGAAGGAAAGGAGGGAAGAGTAGGAGGGAGGGGAAGATATACGTACTGATGCGGACAAGGGAGGGAAAGAAAAAAAAAAATTTGTGGGAGGGGGAGGAGGGGAAATCCTTATATGGAGGGGCAAGCGAGCAGGCGAATTACGCCGGCGGGCTCAAACCCTTGGCGAGTCATCGGTATCATTGGACATGGAGGGGTCGTTGCCCCACCAGATAACTGCGGGACCAGCGCAAAAATCTTCACGGCGGAGTCCAATCCAGAACTTGACTTTGCCCGCTCTTGGGCTGGCTTTGGGTTGACCTTGGTTTTTCTTCTGAGTTTTTTTTTTCTTTTCTCTTTTTTTTTTTTCTTTATTATTTCCCGTCTTTTTGCCCCACTTCCATTATATTACTTAGTCTATGAGAGAAAAATCTACGACCTAGTAACTACTAGGTAGTCACTTAGTCAGTTTGGAATAGGCAGAACTGGGCATCAACGCAGTGGGCTGTGGCTGTATGCCTGTGAGTCAACTCGATGGTTATCTCTCTATCATACCTACGTTGGTATTGTTTGCATCAGTACCCCGCGGCAGCCTCCCCCTCTGATTGGTCCATTACCGGGCGGTACCCAATGTACTTTTTTCTTTTATCTTTTTTTTTTTCTAGGTGGACACTGAACACTGAACACTAACAGTCCAACAATGTATGGCAATGCAAACCGTCAATCAGACTCAGCCCCTTGATGTCAGCCGGCATGAAATTTGATTTTTTTTATTCCATTTTTTATTTTAGTTTTTGTTGACTACGATGGAGGATGCATGTGCCCCTCTTTCTTGATTCATTCGGTTCGGACTCCCTTTTAGTCGTGTGTTCTTCCCAATCTGTTCCCCGATGCTTGATTTGAGGCAAAAAAAAAAAAAAGTGAAAAAAGAAAGAAAGAAGGAGGGAAAAAGAAGAAAAATAAATGATAGGAAAAAAAGAATAAATCTCCAAGGAGGAAAAATCTACTATGGACTCGTGTCTAGCGGCAGCCAGGAAGCTACCATGGTTTCACCCAATCCAAATCTGATGATTGTCGCCGCTCACAGAACCACTGCGGCAGGGCCAAACAAATTCTGCTTTTTACAATTGAAAAATTTAACATCCTTTTTGGGAATTTCCATACATTGGTTACTTTTTTAAATTTCAATTTTCTTGGAAGGATCTGGTTATCCTATCCTCACCATTACGTGCACAATGGTCATTATGATTTGAATCAAATCAAAAGGGTATCTTGGTAGCAAGCTACATATAAATCTCAAAGCACAAATCTAAAGCACATATCAATATAGATAACTCCGTCTTCCCTAATCCTTCACCGTTCGCCTGTACAGTACTCGGATATCATGCCGATCACTGGGTATCTGATGACAAAGTCATCAACGGAAGGCACCCAGGCAACAAAACAATATATGAGAAAAATCAATAGAGTAAAGAAAAGAAAAAGAAAAGAAAGGAAAGGTCTAGTTTTCTCTCCATCTGGCACCGCACGTGGTACACTATCAACAGGTCAGTAATGCCCAATGTAATGCATCTTCGACAACAAGCATCGACAAAACAAGCATAAAAAGCACCCACCTTCAAAAATGTAGTCATCGGTTCGTCCGCACTTCGAATCTGCAGCTGGAAGAAGTATGCACGGTCGCCATTGCAGTTTTCCGACGGACATTGAGCTGTAGAGCAGAACAGGGGTGGTCAGCACTCGCCATCCAATCATTCCAGCTCTGATTATATTCCATAACACCATGTAGGGTCAACACGAGGGGGGTACTGACTGGCCACGCTGTCGGCGTTGGCAAACTCCTCCTTGCCGCCAAAGACATCTTCCACTTCCTTTTGCTTCATGGGCGTCTTCTCGAAGAAACTCTGGTCGAGGATGTACTGGTAGGGACAGGTGCGACACTCGAACCGGTTGACGCCGAGGGGATGTCTCGTTGTCGGATCTGCGCGCGAGATCGTGAGGGCATTGCTGCAATTGGGGCAGACTAGACAATGACACAGTTAGCGATAGCAATGGCGAGGTTCGTATGGAAGGACTAACAGGTCAACGGCATTTTGAATCTTGCTTTAGCTAGCTTGTTGTAATCGAAGGTGTCAATCAGTCAGTCAATCAGTCAGTCAGTAAAGTTGGCCATAGGTATTCCATCAAGCTTCAATCAACTGCTGCTGTCGCTGTCACTCCGCAGCAAGGGCTTTTGCGTTCTTTATCCGCCAAGTCACCCGCAGGATTAGCTCTTATCAAGCTGCATGCAATACTAAAATACCGATTGTCCGTTTGGAGGGGAAATATATCTCACCGCCTGTCTTACCGCCCGGCAGATGGATGGCTTAGCGGGGCACTAAAACGGGCCGGTCAATCGATAATCCGAAGGCCATCTGCATGCCTGGCCTGTCAGGTGGGGAAGGCCATTCAGCGTTTAGATCCGACATTCCGACTACTATCGATAGAACAGCGTTATCCCCTGTAAGTCATTCTGGTTCTTGAGAGTGGGTTGGAAGTGTCGTCCGTGAGGAAACTGTATACTTTGTCAATAACCTATTCCCACATCGGCTTTTGCTTATCCTATATCTACTTCAGGAGTTCGTCCCCGTCCCCGTCCCCGTCATAAAGAGCGCCTCCTGATCGCGCTGTATGCTCCTTTAGCTTGGACTTCCTGCAACATCGCTACCATTATCTGACGCCTAACCGATAGTCACAAGCGATCCACTACATTTGAATACTCATTTACTCTGCAATAAACAATCTAGACAACCATGTCCGACGATGTGAGTGACGCGCGATCTATACCCTGACCAGGCGGGGTACGAGTGCTGACAACACAGGGCGCAACTCCGCGGGAATTGGTGGTCGAAGCATGCCGACGAGACCAGCCACACCTCCTCGAGCAAGTCATGGAGGGGTTAGAAGGGAAATCCAACGAACAAGTCGCGGAGTTCTTCAACGGCGTGACCGACCCCTTAGGGAACCACGCCTTACACATCTGCGCTACGTACGGCAGCTGTAAGTCCAGCATAATCCCATCCTCCCCATTCTCACCTCTCATTCCAAGCGCTAACCCCCTCCTTTCTTACACCAGTCGACACAATGGACGCCCTCTTCGACATCCAATACTTCGAATGCGACCCCGTCACCCGCCTCGACGAGGACACCCCCCTCCACGTCGCCGTCCGCTACGCCAACGACAAGGACGCCGAGCTCGGGCTGGAGATGATCAAGATGATGTGCGAGGCCGGCTGCGACCCGCGCGTGCGCAACAAGCACGGCCAGAAGCCTGCCGACCTCGTCTTCAACAACCAGGAGATTAGGTCCACGCTGCAGCAGGCGGAATACATCCTTGCCGAGGGGCTCAGGGATACGGCGGACAATGGTTCTATGCATGACAGCGCCAGCGATAGCGAGTAAGGGCGGGCTCACAGACGGGGCTAGGGGGTTGTTTTTTGCTTCATCCTATAGATGTACGACTTTATGATAAATAGGTTCAACTGTTATTGCATATCTTGTTCAATAGATTTGTTGATTTGGAGGTGTTTTCGGTTTATGGTAGCTTATAGTATATGGCTGTTGTTCATCGTGGTATAGGGCTATTGATAAATGTTGGCACAGCCACATGAGTAGTTAGTTACTCAGAAAACCAACGACAATAAAACACATTTGAAACCCGTAATCGCCACCACTGCACGCGAACAAACACAGGCTTCATATTCGCTAGTGACGGTGCAACCTCGGAAACTGGCATACTTCTGTGCGACGGAGGCGCAATCATGAAGCAACTAATGGCAGAAGTGTATCAGCATTCCGTACGAGGAACGTAAATGATTCGCCACTATATTGGTATATGGAAAGGACGAGATAACTTGTTGAAATGTAGACTACCTGCTTTCTCTAGGTAGTATAGATCCTGTTGGATTTGGGTAGGTTTGGTCTTCATTGTGTATGGCCGATGGCCAAGCTGAGCTACGATTGAGTGCACTTGTATATGGACGGGTTTCCAATGCAGACTGCTCCAACTTTATACTATCCAGTCCAGTAAGTAGTCCAACAACCTAATCCCATCCACCCTGAAGTCGTAGACGATACTCCGCAATCATCTCCGCCGTAACGTTACTCCCACCACAAACAACAACCACCACCCGACCATCCGGCCCCAAACCCGGCACACTCGTCTTCAACTTCTCCGCCACCGCAGCCTCAACACTGATCCCACAAGCCAACTCAACCTGCAACCGCATCTCATCAGCCAATCGAACAACCCCCCTTGCAGCATCCCCATCCGACCCCACAAAGCTAACAACCTCAACCCCCGCCGGCGGAGACAGCGCACTCTCCAGTACCTTGGGCGCAACACAAACAGCCCCTAATGAAGTCGCCTGCGACGTGATCGCCTGCAGCGACTGTAAACTCCCCGCCCGCAGCGAGTACGCAAGGGAGTCGGCGCCCTGCGTCTCGGCAGCTACCACGCGGACGGGTTTCACAGGTATCTGGGAGCCGGCCCGAGAATGCAGGTACGTGTTTAGCCCCTCGACGATGCCGTTGAAGAGGCCCCCTCCTCCAACACTGCAGATGATTGCATCAGCCGGGAAGGCGCCCGCAGACTCATCATCTCTCGGCGGCAACTGCGCCGCTATTTCAGATACCATCGTCCCCGCGCCCGTCCAGATATCGGGGTGATCGAACGGGGGGACGTAGATGTTTTTCTGGTTCCGCTCCGAGTCTGCACGGCCATCGCAGCTCTCGTTATCAATATAGCTTTGACGCAGGAAAGTGTCCGCTTCGAGCCAATTAGCTCCATGTTGAACAACTTCCGTAGCGCCCGCAGCGCCCGCAGCGCGCAACTTGCTAATCATGAGCGGCGTCGTGCTGTGCGGGACGACGACTGTACACGGGCAGCCTAGGTCGCGGGTTGCGACGATGGCAGCTAGTCCTGCGTTTCCGCCTGAGGAACTGTAGAAGTGGAGATCCTTGTCTTTGTTTGTTGGGTCTAGGAGGGCGGTGCGGATGAGGTTTCCGATGCCTCTTTGATGGGTGAGATACATGCGTCCCTTTCTTGGGTGAGGGTTACGTACCTCGATTTGAATGATCCTGAGGGTTGTAGGAGTTCGAGTTTGAGGAAGACTCTACTGTGGATTGTTAGTGTTTAGCTTAGGGAGGTTGTTGGATGGGTTGGGCTTGTATAGGTATATACCATCCTGCGACTTTGGAGAGAGCCGCTGATTCGATCAGTGGGGTCTCGATCCATGGTTTTTTTAAAGTATGGCTGGACTGGCCCATATTGAGATAAATGGTGAATATGAAAAAGGATGCTGATTGAAGATATAACTATTAGTTGAGTATATATAAATGCGAAGATTGTAAAGTCAGGCTCGTAGAGTGAGTGAGTGGTATGGTGGATGTGGAGAATGAATGAGGGAGAGTTATCCGCTTCGACATGATTTAGTTCGAACGCGCCCTGTCGATGACATGGAAGGTTCTCCTACTCACTCTTTCTAATCACACTACCTCTAATATCAGTGTATCTTTGGTTTTGGTTTTTGATTGGTATAGATATACTAAAGTTCACTAATTTACATCCGTCAAATTGACTATGATGCCAACCTTGAAGGTCGAGTACCATAAACCCCACATTCGGCGGCGTACCGAGACTCGTTTCGGTCGACTATTGGCACACACGACGTTGAGACAGTCGCCTGGCCCATGGCTTTGGGCCATATCATAAGAATGAAAAAAAAAAAAAAAAATCATATACAAAACTCTATCTGCGCTTGAACACCTAAAATCCAAGAAAAGACAGCTAGAAGCTTCATCGCTTGTAGTCCAGTTCTCACAGTGAGCAGCCTCAAACAAAACCCACGTCTATCACTACCCAGTATGGACGCTCTAAATACCTACCAAGTTCTTGGATGAGATCCGCCAATCATGCCCTGCAAATATGGATTCCAGCTCCGCATCGGAACGACCCGCATTCTCGAACTTCTATAGATGCTGGCACGAGTTGCACGCCAACTGCAACCTTGACAAACTGCCAACTTCTGCCGAATACCAGCACCGGTGCGGAGGACAAAAATCCTTGGCATTGCCGGTGTGAAATTGTGAAGAGGTTCGACCATGCTAGTCTCACATCAAGTGGGCCCCGCGCCGCACCAACACCTCAAACGGCGCTGGGTGACGGGGCAGTTCGCCCGGCAGGCAAGTGATTCTTGCACAGCAACCCCGAACCATCCGGTAGCGAGGAAACACCCCTCTTTGGTTGGTGATTACGGCAGATAGACCCGCTGGTGGGTGAGTTCGCGCTAGTCGCGTAGATGGTATATTAGCCATGGGCGCCTCGGGGATGGCGTTGTCGAGTGTAGGCTAAATCAGGTCTCCTCGGAATACTATGGCATCCAGTATGTGGCTTCATTATGTCTGGTGTCTTGTCATTTTGGCCCCAGCTTCGCTGGCGCAGAAGTGCTGGAGGGAGACGACGTGCTCGGGTCCGGAAGATAGCGCCTTCCCGGGACCGTGGGACAAGTACATCTATGCGCCGGCTTCTCGGACTGTGGAGTCCATGGGAGTGTTTACCCTATCGGGGGCGAACTCGTCAGAGGACTATACGAGATCCATACCATATACACTTCAAGGCAATGGGTCAGCGGTAGTATTTGACTTCGGCATCGAAGTCGGCGGTGTCATCACCCTCAACTATACATCAACAAGCAGCGGGGCTTTAGGGCTGGCCTTCCCTGAGGCGAACAGCTGGATCCGGGAGAGGTCAGATACATCTGACGATGCCCCGGGATCTCTTGACAGGGCGCTGTATGCGAATTTTACCGAAGCCGGAGAGGGAAGCTATTCTGTGCCCGATAAGGACATGCGTGCGGGATTCCGATATATGGTCGTATTTCTGCAAGCTGATGGTCCGACGGATGTCAGTATAGACGGGGTGAGCTTGGAGATTGCGTTTCAGCCGACATGGTCGAATCTCAGGGCTTACCAGGGGTATTTCTTCTCTGATGATGAAATGCTTAACCGTGTCTGGTACAGTGGCGCTTATGCGCTGCAGGTTGATGATATGCCGGCCCCCGCTGTACGCCAGAGTTCTATGGTGACGGCTGGGACGGTAACCAATGAACCGATAGGATCTGATGATACGGTGTTCGTGGATGAGATCAAGGAAGATTATGAGGTATGGCCAGGCGACATGGGAATAAGTGTCTTGTCGTCATTTGTTAGTACCGGCGACTTGGAGAGTACCAAGAGCGCATTGCAGAAAGTATACAACACACAGGTATGCCACCTCTCTTGGACTTTTGGGGGTTATCTAACAACGTGTAGAGTAATTCGACAGGAGCTTTCGATGAACCAAGGGGACAGTTCAACCTGAAGGGTCTTGACATTTACCATTTGTGGTCTATGATTGGGACATTTTACTATGTCCTCTATAGCAACGACACTGACTTTCTCGAACGAAATTGGGAAGGATACAAGAGTGCTATGAGCTACATCTACCGGAAAGTAGACAGCACACGTGGTCTGCTACACCTTACAGACACATGTAATCAGGACAAATTACAGCAAGTGTCGAACAACCTAGAGACACAGATGATGTAAGTGTTCCCAACGCGCGAAAATCGCATATCTAACCAACGATCACAGTCTGTATCACGCCCTGGAAACAGGAGCGCAACTCGCTACCTGGACACCGAACAGTCTAACCATCTCAGACAAATGGAGCAAGCAAGCAGAGGACCTAAAACAAGCCATCAACACGCACTACTGGGATGACGACTACGGCGCCTTCAAAGTCAACACCACAGACACAACCCTATACCCCCAACGCGTAAACAGCTTAGCCCTCATCTACAGGCTCGCCAACCCAGCCCGCTCCTCCCGAATCTCAGAGAACCTGACCAAAAACCGGACCCCAATCGGCGCCGTCACCCCAAAACCCAGCGGAACCCTCTCCCCCTTCACCTCCACCTTCGAAATCCAAGCCCACTTTGCAGCCGGCCAGCCCGCACGAGCCCTAGACCTCATCCGCCGCAGCTGTGCCTGGTACCTCCAACCCCCCAACCAAACGAGCATCCCTCTCTCGACCAACCCGCAAAACAACCCATCCAAACACAAAGACTCCTCCCCCAACACACCCCACCCACCCAACCAACCCACATCCCTTACACACACCCTAACAAAATACACCCTCGGCTTATCCATAACCTCCCCAATAGGCCTCACCTGGAAAATCGCGCCCCAATTCGGGGATCTCCACCGCGCAGAAGGCGGCTTCACCACCCCGCTAGGGAAGTACTGGGTTTCGTGGGAGACGCGCGCTGACGGGTACGATCTGGCGTTCGCGGTGCCGAGCGGAACGAGGGGGAATCTGACGCTGCCGTTTGTGAGGGAAGACCGGAGACCGTCGATTCGGATTGATGGGAATGATATCTTGAGGGGCGTTTGGTGGGATGAGTGGGCGGGGACGGCTACTGTTGTTGTTAGTGGTGGGGGAGGGCATGAGGTTGTTGTTAGGGGGTGAATTGTTTCTGTCTTTTCTTTACTTTTTTTGTGGTTCCTTTACAATGTAGCGAATGTGTAGTTAATTTGGGAGACGACCAATGCCATGGTATGATATTAATGATATAGATGACACTGAAGAAGTAGCGAATAGTTGCAAAAACTTGAAGAGCCAACATGACAATCCACATGGCACAGACACAGCAAGTTAGCTGACATGTTGGCCTATTACATGTCTCTCACTTCCCCACAATACACCCCGAGTCCATAAAATAGGTACACAACACCTGCCATAGACAACACCCTTCTCTCTTCTCTCCAGCAAAAATAGTGTGTCTTTTAGATCCAACATGAACATGACATGTACAGACTGTCCATCCATCCCAACGGCCGTCGGATCTGAAATAGCAGAGGCTATGTCATTTGACCCATCCTTCACCTTTCCTGCTCTTCGCAGCCATCCAAGGAATATGTGAATATGTATGTATTCCGCACATCCAATCCATCATGGATATTCCATCCAACAATTTGGACCCCAACTTCACCGTGTCTGCCATCATTACCATGCGCGCATGGTACAACATACAGAACCTATCAGAACCAAGCCCAAACGGAGCTGTCCCGAAGAAAAGAAAGAAGAAGAAGATAAGCAAAGGGATAAAAACAAGACCATAACCATATGTATGGCCCGTCATACAACTCTCCCAAGTCCAAGTCTGACAAGATCAAACCGGAAGAACAAGAAGTAGGCGAAGATAAAGTAACGAAACAAAGGATATGTAAAAAAACCACCACCAGCCACGAATGGCACAACATACAGAACCTATCAGGGCGGGCCTAACCAAGACCAAGCCCAAAAAGAAAAAAAAAAAAAGAATCAAAACAAGAATGAAAACAAAAAACCAACAAGAAAGAAACAAAGAACCAAAACCGGCCATCACCACCCGCGAATGGCCCCACGGACCAAACGCGCAGGGCCACTGCAAACGGGCTTCTCCCCAGCGAGAGTCATCACCAGATCGCTGGGCAGGGCCAGCCACCCTCCATGCTGAAGTTCAGCACGGATTGTGATCTCTTCGACGAGATCGAGGGCCTCCTCACGAGTTACTTCGTGGGAGTAGACGACTGCAGTTTGGACTGTGACCTGTCCAGTTATGGGGTCGATGCCCTCTAGGACGTCGATGCTGACGATTGGATTATCGTCTTCATCATCACCGTAGTATTCGATGATGCTGTCATCGTCGGATTCTGAAAGAATCTCGAAGGATGATACAGTGGATGGAGAGGAGATGGAGCTTTCGACGTCCCAGAGAGCATCGGTGTTTTGGATGTCGAGGACATCGGAAACGGAACTGGTGTCCTATATATGATGGGTTAGTTTGAAAAAAGTTGTAGATGCTTGTAGGATAGTTTCATCTCTTCGTCCTTTGTCTGTCCATCCAGTGGGTGGGTAGTAGGTGGGAGTAGATGTGGTTGGGAGAACTTACCGACATGTTTGTGGTTTAGCTTGAAATTGATAGCTTTGTGTCTTTGGTAGATAAGTTGCAGTGGATGAAGATGTTTGGAGATATGTTCGAGTATGTGAGAAAGAGAACCTCGAAGGGAACATCGAGCCCTTATATAGGCCAGTAGGCAGAAACTCTCCACCACATTCTAGAGGATCTGAATATGATCATCTTCAAAATCTACAGTGAATAAAGCTGGTGCTATTCATTACAACTGATGACGTGTTCTATCAATCATGATGTTTGATACCTAGTGAAGAGGTTAGTGTGGCTGATATAGGTATCATGTGCTCATATCATCAGTGAAGAGATGTACCATGAGTGATAAGAAGAAAGAGAAGCTGTGAGAGGATGCTTTTTATATAATCTGATTGAGATATGAGAGGTCTGTGGTGTATATCTTCACTTGGTGATTTGGGGTGTTCATTATATGAAGTGAGAGTTTGGTGTGGACTGGTGGGCTATATATGGTTATAATTATAATTATTGTTAGTTTCTGGATTTATCAAGGGAGTTGATGCATCTTATATAGTGGGGGGAAATGTGAACCTCACTTATGTGATGAGTAGACAGACGTTGACAAAGAACGAGTGCTGCTTTGATGTTGAAGGTTGTCATTGCTGAGTCTTTCATAAAAACAAACAGAAGTGCGTACTATTCTGCAGTTAGCTAGGAAAACCATGCTTTGAGTAGAGCAAACATACCAGTATCTGAGAGAAGATTCAGTAGGATTAGTAGCATGGGCCCATTGATTACTTCTTCTTCATGTTCCTCTAGCAGCATCTAGCTGTCCCGTGAATTCCAAGCTCTTCTCCCTCTGCATCAGCCAATCTATCACCGGGATTGAATAACATAACTTGTAGTATCATTCTGCCAATAGACCAGACCATAACATTTGACACGGGTATCATAGAACCAAAACTCACCAGACAACCTCCAACACAAGCTCAATCACTTTCATCATCATCTTCCTCCTCTCCCCCCCCATATCCACCCTGCCCAGACTCCTCATCAGAATCCTCCCCCCGCGCCGCCGACCTCCCCCCACCACTACTCCCCACACCCGCTCCATTCTCCGCCTGCGTCTTCGCAGCCCTCTTAATCCCCAAACTACTCCCCAACCGGGCCTCAAAATCCTCATTAGCAATTCTCTCACCCACCGTCATCCCCTCATCTCCACCATCCACCGCCCCCTGTTGCCCGTAAACCTCCCTCACCAGCCCCGCAACGCCCCCAGCGCCAACCTCGATCTTCCCCCGCGGCCCAAGCATGTACTCGATGATCTCCTCTCCGCCGTCCATCTCCCGCGTCCGCACAAGGTATCCTTCCTTGCAAAGCCGCTGCAGAAGACGGTCTGTCCGGTCGACGGGCGTGTATGTATCGGCGTTCATTCGGCTGAGGTAGCGATCGAGCTTCTGCTCTGGTAGCGACCCGCCGTTTAACAAGATGATGGCTACCAGGAACGTGTATATCCCCGTGTACGTGCTCTCGAGGGGCGCTCGCGCGGGGGTCAAAATCTCCGCTTTGCGGTACTCAGACGGCAGCGTACTCGTCAAAATCCAGGATTTGTTCGAGTTGCCAGACGGTCGTTCGACCTTCTGCGCGGCTATAAAGACATCCCATCAGTACAACTTCCCCCATAACAACCAAGAAAAAGAAAGGACTCACCCCGCCTCTGCGTAAGAGTAACCTTCTCCCTCCCAGGCAACTCCACCATCTCCATTCCAAACCGCCTCCTCAGCTCCTGCTGCGCGCTCTCAAAGACCTGCTTAAACTGGCGCGTCCCCTGCTCGCCCAGCACCTTGGCGCTTATATCCGTGCGGCGGATGGGCAGACGCGCGTACTCGCTGGACAGGGCGAGGCGGACGAGCTTTTTGACCATAACGTCGACGCTGCTGGGGGCGCTGGGGCCATTGTAGGAGCCTTCTGAGTCGGAGGGGCTGGCGTTGCGTCTGCGTTGGCGGGGGCGGGCGCTGATGCTGCTGCTGCTGCTGCTGCTGCTGCTGCTGCTGCTGGGGAGGCGTAGGAGTTGCCGCTGTCGTTTTCTGCTCCGGAGGAGTCGGGGGAGGAGTCAGGGACCTGTTGAGGTTTTGGTTAGTTAGTGATTTAATGGGATTGGTTGGGGGGGAGGAGAGAAGAGGAGATAGTCCTACCGCGCGGCGTTTGCGGACGAGAGGCATGTTGTCGTTGCGATTATTGTAGACTGGTTGGGTTGGTTTGACTGTGATTTATGCGATGATGGGTATGTGTAGTCTCGAGATTGATCGCAATTGTTAAGTAGGCAAGAGGTTGGCGGGGAGTTCACAGGTCATGTCAGATTTCTTTGTCTCGCAGACACAAAGCGGACGATAGATGGATAGATTGATTGTAGTATCTGATATGGAAGGACGCGCCAGACACGCGGGCGCATTGTGGGTCCGCGATGATTGGGTAATCCCCTCGCCCATCAATGATTACCGCATTGGGATTAATTAGCAGGGACTTTATCACATGCAAGGGCGGGTGAAGATCATTCGATTGATATTGACTGTGGGAATCATATCATATCATATCATGTCAGTGGAGTCTATAATGATCTGATTATTCTTGGCTGTCGGGCTATCTTCGCATTTTGTCTCCATCATAGGCGCGGTGGGCTGATGCTGTGCTGTGCTGTGCTGGATGTGGTCGCATCGAGGAATTCTGATTGGGTCGTGTTGTAGTTGTGAGAGTGGGATGTCGAGGGACCTGACGATTTGGTTTCTGGAACTTTTGCTAAGGAAATATTGCTTATTCGCTACGGTATTGACGAGTTACTCCCGAGTAGAAATGTGAAATGACAACACCTTTGTGTATCCGATGCAAGCTAACAGTACAACACTGATAAACACCCTCCTTCCTCGAAACAAAATCACTAGACGGACTCAAAACCAGCCGGGCATAATCGCACTCAAAGAAGAATGGGGGAAGGGTAATAATATAAGAACTAAAAAAAGAGGGCAGAGAGGGAATAAGAGAAAAAAGGAAGTAGAAGGGAAAAAAGAATCAACCACCCGTGGTGCCAGCAGAACACCTAGTTGGAGTTCTCCTCGACCGCATCTTTGGCCTGCACGGTTCTCTCACGCAGCCAATGGCTCACATAATTCAGTGTCCCCGATGTAAGGAGAAGGCCCGTGGTGATAACGGCCTTGCCGCGGGCACCCAGTCCATTGCCACCACACTTGTTGTACTCGGTGTTGTAGGTGTCGGTGATGTGAGATCTCACATCGGACACATATTCCACCGGATAGAAGACAGTTCCCCGGATCTTATCGGTGTCCTCCTTCAGGATCGGGAAGCGGCCGTCGATCTTGACCAGACCCTGCTCACCTAGAGCATCGGCGCGCGAGAGGTACGGAGCGACGTAGCTGTATGGGACGGAGAGGTAGGGGAGGACGGGCTTCGCAAAGCGGCTGTAGCCCTCGTCGACGTAGGTCAACGACTTTGCGCCGTACTTGTTGGTCCTGACGACTGCGATCGTGTCGGAGACAATGGGATACGAGGTCAAGTGCTACAAGACCGCTGTGTTAGTAGGTAGTAGAAGCAGACGGCATGGAGGGGTAAGACTCACGGTGATGAAGTGGGATTGCGCCTTCCCGCCGTTGATGCTATTTGTCGTCATGGTGTTTTGTTCTGCGTGAGGCATTTGTCTGTATATGTTTAAACTATCTGGTGTTAATGTCCGGACCTAGGCACATACAAAATTTGGGAAGAGTGGTAGATAGACACCTACCAGTTGGATGTATAAGTACCTTTGGTCTCAAGGTATGTTTGTGCAGGGAAGGTAGTATGGAGAGAAGCTCTGGGATGAAATAGAATGCCCTAAAAAGGTCAGCGGCATGGAAGGGATATGAAGAAAAAGCGAGAGGGGTAGAAGAGCAGAAAATGCACGAATAAAAGAATGAGGGACGCACCGTATCTCTGCAGTGGCTGATAAGAATACTGTCAGTCAATCAACTAGTGTGGAGGAATTCCAGGAAATCCGGAAAGTCAAACAAGCAGAGTTGGTTCAAGTTGCTAAATAAATACGCCACGCTTGAGGTTTATCAGAGATTCAGGCTTTCCTTAAGAACTTTTTTCTTTTCGTTTAATTTTAAAAAATTTGAATATTTTTTCCCTCCTTTTTTTTTTCATTTGATTTTTTTCTCTCGTAAGGTACGAGGAGTAACCTCACCATTTGGCCCAATTGAAGCTACCTGAGCTTGCAGCTGTGTCTGATAGTACTTGGTTTGGTTGACATGTGAAAGCGGACCCACTGCCCGAAGCAGCAGCAAACCCATGCGCCCCGTTGGACAAAGAACGAGACATACTAGGGTAGGACTAGTTGATGGATGTTGTTAGATATTCCGCCCACAGATGGATCATTAGATAATAGATACAACATGGAGCAAATCAGTCGGCATGTCAGAAGAATAATTGCCTCTTGATCTCGGCCTCTACCCTCATCGTATCTGATATTCCTGCCATCCTGGGCCTGGAACACGAGTTGAGCATAAAGAGGGAGAATAGATCCCGGTAATCCGTTCCTCCTCCGCCCGAGAATCTGCATCTAATTCGACAGGGGAAGCAAACCCGTCGTGGTGTGGCCAAGGAAGTGATGATGCGATGTTCAGTCCTCCCTGCAGCGACTGTCCATCTAGACCCGTTGGACGGGAAACTCACTAGCGATAGTCCCGAGTAGCTTTGAGTTACGAATGAGTATCCTTTATTAGTATCTGTTAGTGCCTTTGCCTCCGGGTGGCTTTCGGATGACCTAGCCATGGCATCATCCAGAAGGATCGAAAGAAGGAACGGAAAAAAATAGATATCATTGGACGTGAAAATTGCACCGCTAATACAATATATTGAAGCCTTTTTTTTTTCTCATGTGGCAAGACGATTGTGTTATCATGTGTCTGTGGCAAAAGTCGACAGGAGCAGGAGAAAGAGGTGGGAAGATGGTGGAGGGATTGGAAGATTGGACGAGGAGGGATTGGAAGATTGGACGAGGAGGGATGGGCAAACTAATGCATCGTCTGGAACGGTTGACGGACGGACTGGCCCTGCCTGAGGCAGTCCTAACAGCTGACAGCATGTGATTGCGGGTCCGACTAGTCTAGCGTTTCTCTGGATAGATAGACAGATAGATCGATTCTTTACTTTACGGATCATCGGAAGCTACCCATTGTACATATCTACCTACTATCACGAAACAATCATACCAAGGCATGTGCTACCAACTACTGGGTAGTAGCAGACTAATCCTGCCATGCTAGTAGCCGCCTATCTCCCCCCCGAGAATCTTCCCCAATCGTCTTGCACAGGATTGATCTCGGTTCCACGTTTGCCGACGAAATTGATAGACCGACTCGATGAAATTGGTCTTATCGGCGGACAGCTACCGTTGATTTTGCCAGACGGAGACCTACTTGTTCTTCCGGGCAGGGCTTAAGTAAGGTAGCTTTTTTCCATTGATCGGCCGGAGTACGATCAGCACCGTTGTTGCGCCTGGGCCTCGTCCTGCCAGGATGGGCCTGTGAGACTCTGAGACTACAACAACCTCGCAATAGATCCCTTTCTTGTCTACATCCTCGTTGCTTGCTCCACTTGCCGTGATGCTATTCTGACTTGATCCACCGGTTGGCCTGAGCGTCCTGGCTAACGATCGGTCGAAGGCCCCAGCCGTACGCTGTACAGTGCACACTCCAGGCTCCAGGCTCCATACTCCATACTCCAGAGGAGACAAGACACAGACACGCTCGTTTCCACACTCTCCGGAGACTGGGGTCTGTGGAGATAGAAATGGGGTTGACTGCGGTTCTTCCCTGCCCCCGTATGGGGACTACCCACATGAAGCGTACTTTTGGGATGTACTCTCTGCCCCTCCGCGTCGTAACCCACTAGATCGGAAGGCGGACAAGGTTGAATATCCGGTCGTAGTGTGGTCTATCCGCTGTAGCCTAAGCCTACCTTTCCTACGTTCTATCAGATAATGTGGCGTGGTTTAGGATAGACCGTTTCATCACGCCTTTCCTGCACTATCGAACCCGGCTGAATTAATATATACCGGAAGAAAAAGAAATCCAAAATTGTGCAGCCAAAACGATATTGGATACATATCGAGGACAAAGCATAAAAAAACCAAAAGCATTCACAAACCAGGAAAAAGTCAAGTAAAACGAAAATAGAAACGGAAAATTATGATACCCTCATCCTACCATGTGGGCGCTAACGACCAGCCGACTAACCTGGGCGCCGACCTCAGACAGGACTAGAATAGAATGTGCATACATGCGCCGACACCGAGGAATTATCCGACTGGAGTCAATCACAACCCCCGAGACGGAGAGAACAGTGCGCTGCGTTGCTCTGGCGTCCACGGTACATTGGTTAGCCCCCAGGATACCGGCGACTAAACTCCTAACCAACTGGGCTAGGTCTTCTACTAAACTAGCTGTAGCTGCGACAACTAGTATCCATAGGCATAATGATAGTGAGCCTTGTGGTCTAGGGTCGTTGATCTACAATACGCGCGGTGGCCCGCTCTTAGACTTCCCCTCTCTTTGCTTCCGTGCTTTTGCTGGGGGCTCTGTGGAGATTGAGTATTTTAGTATTTACTGGGGCCATGAGGCACATGCAAGCCCATTAGGGATCGTCTGTGCCTCAGTTGGTGTCCGTTTTGCGTGCATGGGTGGCTTGGTCTTGGTTCTTACGGCGTGCTTGTGGTTGGGACAGACTATGCGAATGGACGAGGACACATTCTGGGTCGTCGGCACGTGTGGATTCTTCGTGGTTCTTCCGCTCCCCAGCGCCCTTCTCCTGGTTTGCGAACCGAGTTGAGTTGGATCTGGGGATGCGGAGGTCTGTACTTTTGTGCGGGCGGCCGAGAGCGAAGACTACCTGCCAGAGACATCTAATCGAAGCGTGGGATGATAGTGTCTGTACGATGACACCCCACGGGAGAGGCTCGGAAGGATCGGTCAAGCTTCATTAAGGCAGACTTCCGTACTATATCCAAGGTCGTATGCGCAACACGATATGATCGGCAATCCAGAACTAGGTTAATAGCAAGCAAGCAAACTAGGTCAACACGACAGATCCAAAGATTCAAGTTGTGGCTCAGACAAAAAAAGGGAATTTGAATTTGTTCATATTTTCCATTCGTTTCAAAAGGACGCCAGATCTGAGTGGCCTCCTTCATCTAAGAACTGGCCCAGTCCTGGACTTGTACATCGATACACCCCCGCTTCTTTCCTCCAGCATTGGTATTCGTCATCTCAATCCCGTGCTCGTGAACCGAGTGTGCTCGATGCGTTTTTTTGCCCTTTTGCCTCATCTAAGACCTTGCGCGCTCAAATGACAAAACGCCCCAAAATAACCCGTTTAGAAACCTGTGTCTAGTCAGCACTTGCGCGACCAGAACAAAACACAAAATGTGGATAACATACGCAGAGGAGTGAAGAACCAGCGGTTCTTGCCGCTGGTGTAGCGGTCCTCCAGAGCCTTCTTGATGGTCTTCTTGGACTCCTCACGCTGGGAGACCTCCTTGAAGGTGTCGGTGGAGACGGCACCCTTGAGACCCTCAAGCTCGAGCGTGTAACGGGTGGGCATCAGGTGGTTGAAGTTGACGACCTTGATGAAAGGCTTGATGCGGCTGCGCTTCTCGACCATCTTCTTACCCATGCGGCGGGTGACCTTGCCGGGGTAGCGCTCGATACCGGCAACGATGGCGTAGGGGAACGGGTGCGCCTTGGAGCCAGTCTCGTTAGGCTGGACAATGACGACCTGTAGATCGCGAAAAAAAGACCCTCGTCAGCATCACATCCTGCAAGCAAATTGTGCCATTCCATTTCCATTCGTAGATCCCCGCTCTTATTCCGTTCCAGCCCATTTCTTCTTTCCATGTCGAAATCGCTGGATCGATCCGGTGTCCCCCTCCTCTCATTCCAATTCAATGTGCATCGTTCTCCGTCTCGGATGGGATAGATTCTTGTCGTACCTTCTTACCGGCGTAACGGCCACGGGTGATGATGGCCACACGGCCCACTTTCATGACTGTATCATTTCGGTCAGCTGGCGTCCCAACGCAAGAAAAAGTATATCAATCAATTCGGAAGATCGGGGCGAACAACTAACACTTCATTGTGAAAGTCCCGGTGAGCGGCAGCAAGGTCGATGGGGTGGTTGTCGATTTGCTTCGGTCGAGTGACGATAGAGATAGACTCCGCGCTCGACTTCTTTTTTTCGCTTGGGAAGGGAAGCGAGTTCAGGGCACACCTGAATTTGTGTGCCGAGCGTCTATTGGCCGAGTTACCGAAGGCCGGCCACTAGTCCGTTCCAGGTTAGTTTCCCCAAAAGGCTTAGTGGACCGCATCTCGGAGATACTTTTGCTGAGTCATCCACTCCTCACACCGCCCTCGGGCTCGTTGGGCATTTGTTTACTTGACAACCAAAGCGCCCCGGTTGCTATGAAGGGAGCTTTGATGTGTACATCGTAGATTGGACCGTGAGCCCATCTGTACCGATCTTTCCCCCCGTCCTTGCTCCACTTGGTCCCTTTGGTGATACTATATGTATTGATTGATTACTTGGATCTCTAATGGGACTACTCCATCTCGTGCGCATCTTGATCTGATCTTTGTTAATTTTATCTCTCGACGTACTTGCCTCGTTTTTATTACTCCCTTACCTGTCACTTTGTCGCATTGTCTCATTTGTTTATTGTTGCTGCCCTCGGTTCTTTCATAGCAAGCGCATCTGTCTGTTTTCTTCTTTCCTGTTTATCGGTGCATGATTCCCCCAAGTTACTTGGTCGGGGCTCTTGTATCAATTCTTTTCTTGTTTCTGTTTTGTTTTGACGACTTGACATGCCTTTACGACCTTGAGATCGACGATCAATCTATCGCGAACCCCATATACCCACCCCAGATTTCCCTACTACAACCGCCGACCAAACTTTCATTGCGCCTATCTAAACGAATAAACCTTTCAGGCTTCACGATGCCTTCGCACACTCGTGAGAATTCCCGCGATCGCGAGCTGGTTTTGAGAAATCAAACAGTTCCCATGTAAGTGGATCCCGGAGTCGTCCTCCTTCGTTCAGGTGAAATGATTACATCAGACTGACAATGAGATCGTGGAAACGAAGGTGGGACAGTTCGGATCCCGAACGTGCACCTCCTCCGCTCCCCATGAACCCTGGATCTACTAGTCCTGCTACCAAGCCAAATGTCTCCCCAGGCATTCAGGCGGTGGCCGCAAACTTCGCGGAAAAGCCGCGAGAAAATGCGACGAGCCCATACACGACGAACCCCATGCCATCAAAGTCGCCGGAGAAGTCTCTGATCAAAGGCCAATTCCACAAGCGCATGCAGTCGCTGCAGAATACTGACCCGCGGTCAGAATTTCTGAGTTATTTAGAAAACAAATCCCCCGAGCGGCCGCAGCGCGCATCTACATTTGAATTTGGGCCCAAACTTAACGAAAAGCACCAGACCAAGTCCGAGAGCAAAGGGAACCGAGATCCAGAATGCGACCCCCCCAATTTGCTCATATCCAGCCGGTACTTGTCGAAGCCGATCCTGGGCGAGAGCACACCTCCCTCCGCCACAATGCTTGCTCTTCAGAACATGCAGATTCCCGCTGGCAGCGGCGAACCGCAAGCGAAGAGTTACGATGCCGATCCCTTCTTTGAGCCCAAGCGTTCCAACCCTCAAGGTCTCGAAGCTTTGTCCACGCAAATCCTCGGTCTTACGGATATTGCCAGCAATCTCCAGCGGGAGATGGCGCAGTTGAGTCGACGGAGCAAGGACAATGCCACCGATCTGGTCAGCCTCAAGGCGGCTACGAGTACGCGCGACGAGGACATCAGAAAGAGCCTCCGTGATTTGTCCTCCAATCTAGCCGCAAAGTTTTTAGATCCTGATTTTTCCACAAGGTGGGATCTCGGTAATCTTCTCGGTTCAGACACTGGTGTTAACAGCTCGGGATTGGATAGTTCTCCCAACTCAAAGAAGAGTTATTCGGCACCACGCATGACCAGCCCTAGCCATTTTGCTTCCTTGGAGCACGATATCTGCTCTTCACCTACACCTGTTTCTGACGGCTCGGCTAGCATTGCCCTGTTGGAGAAGATGTTACGGGAGATGGCTACCAAGGAAGGGCAGGAGAAGCTTGTCGAATTGGTGGATGAGATCAAAGCAAGACCGGCTTCATCCGACCCACCCAAGCGCAGCGCCGATCAATCGATGATGAAGATGCTGGATGAGATTTTAAACCTCGTGAAAGAAGAGTCGGGGAATAAGGCTTTGGTGCGATCTCAAGCTGACCCCCATGACCGCCACCCACAGGGAGCCGTGGATGCTCCTCGATCGAGATCTTTCGGCCCGGATTCTGCTGTCGTCCCGGATACGCGAGCTTTCGAAGACAGCAATGGCCAGGTCGGCGAGCGCTCCGTATCCTTCCAAGACAGTAAAGTCAGCGAGGAAATGCTGTCGATCATGAAGAGAGTCAAGACGAGCGTGATTGAAGGAGGTGGAATGACAAACGAGGTGAAAGCTTTGGTACGCGAACTACGTGGCGAGGTTCTAGGAATGGGACGCAATATCGCGCGGCATTTCGAACAGATTGAATCTTCCCGGATCGAATCTACCCGGGCCATCGAGGATACACCGCGAGCCCCGGGACCGGACGAGATAACCGCCATTGTCAACCACAGCTTGCGCGAACTCAGAGACTCATTAGCATCCATCATGAGTGACAATCGTCGTCACACATCTGTCCTGTCCGAATTGCACCAAGCCGTGGATGGCCATGAGATCTACTCTATCGTCATAAAAGCTCTGGAGGACTTGGAGCTTGATAAACTGCGTGATGAGCCACGAGATACCACCATGCAAAAGGAGGACATTCTGGAGACGGTACGGGAGGCTTGGGAAAACTACAAGCCTGAAATCGAACTCCAGAACTTTGGACTGGAACGAGATGAAATCCTGGAATGTCTGAAGGAGGGTTTGCAAGCATACCAGCCACAGCATGAGCAGGCGGTGACGTACGATCAGGTGCTCGCTGCTGTCCAAGCCGGCGTGCAAAGCTTTGAGCAGCCCCCAAGTATCACCAGAGAGGAGATCATCCAGACTATCCGCCAATGCTTCGAGGAATCCCAGGAATCTGCCCCCCGGGCGCCGGACCATGAACACTTTGACGCTATGCGCGACGAGATACTACATGCCGTTACCGAGTCCGTCACATCGCAGAGCGCTCTTACGCGGTCAACTCTTGACTCGGGATTAGGCCGCGATGAGATCTTGAGCGCTGTGTCGGACGGGCTCGAGGCGCACTTTACCGCAGCCAAAGAGATGGACAGGCCTAATGTCTCTAGGGAAGACATTACTGATGCAATTAATGAAGCATTTGTCGCCCAGAACTCCGCTGTCAGTACGAATGTGCAACCCACCATCTCCCGCGAAGATATCATCAGTGCAATCGCGGAGGGATTGGAAAACCAGAACGGCAGGGAGATTGAACTTAACAAAGACGATCTCATGGAGGCAATCGCAGAGGGTCTCCATGAGGCAACCACTAATGCTAACCAAGGTATTGGTGAGCAAATGCTTGAACGCCTTCACGAGCACCTCGACGGCTTGAGGGAGGACATGTTACAGCGCTCAGGAACCAACGAGATGGACACGGAGAAGGTCCTCCATGCTATCAGGGATGGAATCGACGTTGTGCGACACGAGATCGAAGGCTACGCCACGACAGCGACGGAAGCGGCAGGCAAACATGAGATCATGGATACGGTGAAGGAAGGTTTCCGTCTACTGCAGGCTGATATGGAAAAGACCATCACCGACACTGCTTTATCCACTGGATCTAACGGTAATCCGGATACCCCGGAGCTTTTGGATGCCATGGAGAAGGAATTCGAGCACCTTCGACAAACCCTCAGTGCGCTCCTTATCCGCAACAATGCGCCCAATGATAAAGATGAGATCCTCGACGCCATTCGGGACATGTCCGAGCACCACAAGCCGGCACCGGACAGCGATCTCCCTCAGTTGATCAAGCGCGAATTTGATAATCTGCACGACACGATAAGCATGACTCTCGTCCGCTCAGAGCCGACTGGTGATAAGGACAGCAGTGATAGGGACGAGATCATTGCAGCCCTTCGCGAAAGTTTGGAGAATTTCAGAGAAGAGAACAGCCAACCAAGGGACGGCGGTGACACTACCTTCTCCTCTGGTGAGATCCTCGAGGTGTTGAATGACGGCATGGGCTCCCTCCGTGTGGACCTGGCAAAGATTCTAGAACGACCGGAAGCAATTGATCATTCTGATCTTCTAAACTCCTTGAAAGAGGGTCTTGTCGGACTGAAGGCGGATGTGGAAACGTTGCGAGAGTCTGCCGCCCAGGGGGATACTGAAACCTCACGCGGAGGAGAATTGATGCTTGCAAACGACGAACCCAGTTCCGCCAGCGACATCAGCGGCGATATCGAAGGACTGAAGTCTTTGATTTCTCAACTTCAAGTCAAGGTGGAAGCTATTGAGTCCACTCCACGTGTGCCAGAGCCCTCGGGGGATGCTCTGAAAAGGGAACATCTAGATGAGGTCCTGGCCGGCTTACATGAGCTTCAAGGCTCTATCGCTGGTATCGTAGCTCGCGACAGTCCAGCGGACGAGACCACCGCCAAGAAGGAAGATACCGACGCCATTGAGACCCTTCTCCGGAACACCAAGTGTCAACTCGATGAAATGACCTTCCCGGCTCCCGACGAGATTGCGCGAGCGGAGCAACTGGGAAGTCTCGAGGCCGTTGTCAAAGAAACCAAGGAAGCTCTTTCTGAGCTGAGCACCCGCTTGGAAGTGGAGGGCCCAACGAAATCGGAGATTGGCACTCTGGAAACACTCATGAAAGAAATGTGGGTGGCTCTGGATGAGCTAAAGAGCAAGGGGACACAGGAGGAAGAGGACGCCGAGAAGCTGGTCAAGACGGACTTGCAAACGGTGGAGGCCATGATATTTGAGGTCAAGACCCAAATGGATGAGCTGAAGATCCCTGACCCCGAAACTCTGCCGACGAAGACCGAACTTCAAAATCTGACTGACCTCGTGGCCGAGTTCCGAAGTAAGACGGAATCCGACAGTGAAATGACCGGTCAAGCATTCGACGCTCGAAAGGTTGAGCATGCTGGCCTTGCGGAGAAGATCGACGAGGCCCGGGCCGTCGTCGAGGGGCTAGGGAACGAGCTAAGGGGTAAGCTGGATGGAAGCAGCGAAGGCCTTTGCGAGCTGAAGCAACTTCTCGAAGGCCTTGCCGTCTCGGCGGAAGGATTTTCGACAGTTGATTCGATCAATGAACTCACTGAACTTATCAACCGGGAGTTCGAGCGTGCCCGCGGGGAACAGGATGCTAGCAAACTGCAGAATGAGGAGCGCGATGCGGCTTCCATGGTCAAGCACGACGAGACTAGAGCAGCGATCATCGTCGAACTCGGAGAAAAGATCGACGAAAAGCTTGGTGAACTGATGGAGAAGTACCACGGAGTCCAGACTTCGTTGGAATCCAAATTTACCGAAACTGCGGAACGCGACAACGCCAGTCTCGAGGCAGTCACCAGCACCAAGTCCCTCGCGGAAGATATCAAGCTTGTCATTGGCTCTATGGGTAATAGTGTCAATGAGACCTGCGAGCGCATGAGCGTAGATGCAAAGACGTTCTTCGAAAAGGTCGACACCTCCTATACCAAGATGGAGGAAATGCACAACGAGGTCAAATCCCACCAGGAGCAGTCTCGATCTGACCTCCAGCGCGCTGCTAATGCCACAGATCGTCTGGAGAGCAAGCTGCATGAGTTCCATCCTCAGGTGCTAGAGTCCATCCAGGAGATTCTTTCTATCGTCAACCAGCACTACGATCATTCCCAGCAATCTGCCAAGGACATTAAGATGGATCTTTCGACTATCCCTGCGTCGATTCCACAAATGCTTCCTGCCTTGCCTCCGCCTGAGCCGGAGAAGTACGACGATACTCATGTTCGGGAGAAGCTTGATAGCATTTTGGAGCACGCCAAGAATGAAAAGGTGCATGAAGCATTGAATGTCCTGGTGGAGCGAGTGACGAGTGATCAGGTGCACGAGAAGCTCGATCAGCTCCTGAGCCACACTACAAGCACGAATGGCCAGATGTACGAAAAACTGAGCGAGCTGCTTGATCATGCTACGAGCGATAGTGGCCCTGTGCACGACAAACTGGACACCCTTATTGGTCATGCAACGAACACCGAGCCACAAGTGACGCAGATGATGAAGCTGGACGAGATGCACAAGGACATCATGGAAACCCACCGCAAGATGAACGAGATGTTTACGGCCCAGTCAGCCATTGTTGCTGAAGACAACGATCGCAAGCGTCGGGAGGCGGAGGAGGCAGCGGTGGCGCTGGAGAGGAGAAACGCGCAGCGCGAGCAGGTGGAGGCTGAACTGGTCACTCTCAAGGAAGAAAAGGATTCCTTGCTGAGCATGATCGGCAATCTAAAGTCAGAAAAGGAGACCCTTGCCAAGCAGAACGCGAAGCTGAACAAGGAGTTGTCTGGCTTGGAGATGGCGCTTGACCTGCGGCATGAGGAGATGCAGGTTATGGAGGAGCGTGCGGATAGCTTGGAGAAGCGGATTCTGGAAGGAGTGCTGGACCACGCCCGCAGCGTTCTTCTCAGTCGCCCCAACGGTGGACAGGGCATCGGTATGAAGAAAGCACGCGGACTCCGCGCTCGCGGGCCAAGCAACTCCAGTACCGCCACCGCAACCCCCAAGGATGTTCACAACTTGCTGGGGAGCAGTGTCGGACTGGCGCTGAAGAAGCGAGTGTCAGGGGCGTCGTCGCCGGCCCCTGCTGCTCTGCCCAACGCCAGCAAGGAAAGAAGAATCCTCAGTCTCGGCCATGTCACAGCTAACCGCGGCGTTGGGGAGAGACGCACGAGCGCCACCAGTGGACTGACGAATCTGAAACGGAGCCACTCGGTCAAATCCAATCTCTCCTACCGGAAGTCTTCTTGGGGAGGGCGGAGCTCCGTAGCCAACAAGGAGAACGAGGCATTCCCGGAGGAAGACGAGAACCGGAGTGGTGACGAGAGCGATGCGGGCACTGAGCGGAGGACTAGCTACACGGGGACATACACCGACAGCATGATCTACGGAACCGGTAGTGCTGTGTCGGCCGGACGAACGGTTAGCGCTGCGAGCAATACCACCGCCAGTACCCGTTTAGTTGGTCCACAATCTGTCGCAGATGACTACAGCGAGCTCGCAAGTCAGCACGGGGAGGAGCACGAGCAAGACGAGAACGACGCATCGGATATCGAAGACGCCCTGACGACCAAGAAAGACAATCCCCCCGACGTCCAGGAGCAACAGCCACACACCTTAGACGAAGAAACCTCCAAAATGGTCCTCTACGGACAGTACAGCGACAGCGGACTGGGTGCAGAGATCTCTACCGGTGTGGACTGAGCGTGTTTTGTTTGAACGGCTTCGCGTCTTGCCTCCTTGTGATAACTATACCACTGACGAATGATTGGTCGACTGTTTTGCTTATGATTGCTACTGTTGATATGACTTGATTATGTTTTATTTTTCTTTTGTGTTTTCTTTTGTGATTAGCATAGTTAGCTTAGATATGTGCAGCGTTTGACGAGGATACGTACTCTCATGTAGTGTTTGATTGAATTTCTTCTTTTTATTTTCTTCTATTTCCACTCCTTTCTATATGTTAGTTCTGTAGGTAATGTTGGAATCCAAATAAGATGTTTTTAGCTACTACCGTATGAATTCGCAATTGTATCTATTCAGGCTGCGTAGTTTCTCCTACCTATCTCTTTTGACCTGTCGTAAATAGAAGAAGAAATCATCACTTCGCTACAAAAGATATCATATCTTATTTGGCTTTCGTAAGTAATTCTATATCAGTGCGACGCGACATTAGGGCTGTCATGTAGGGCTTTCTGTCTACTCTACGGTACTGAAGCATGGGTTTATAGACTTGTTTGATAAAAACGGAAACCAGTTGAGAAATGAATCTGTTACGTACTACTAATACTTTTGATTAGCTCAAGGAAGCTCCATATCTAGGAGGTACGGAAAATAATTATACGTAGTCGTAGTTGCCTGTGTGAACAATGTTGACTAGTCACCAGACGACGCCTCATGAGTCAAGTCAAATGTCTGGTCATGTCTGTTACATTTCCTGCACCTAACAACGGTTTGAAATCTACAGTAATCAGTGGGCTAGGCAAGTACGCAAGTACCGAATTTAATCTGATAAACCTATTGAACTTCACACTGATGCTATCCTCGCTGTCTCTCATCCAGCACAATTTACCAACGATTCAACTCTGTAAAGATATCACCACCTCCCGGCAGATGCTGCCCTGCCAGAGCCATACGAGAGGCATCCACTCGTTCATCCACCCTGATGGCTGGTAGCAAAACATGACTGTTCCCGTCTGTGGTAAAGCACACTTTGGAGGTCCGGCGATTCTCTTGATCGCGTAGCATGGCCACAAACTCGTCCAGAATTTCAATGGTGCTACTGCTTTCTGCCAGTTGAATACCATCAATTATCCATATAATGGACGGTGGCACATGCATCAGAAGATCCTGAATAATCCGCAGTGCAATGGAAGCACTTCCAATACTCCCATCGAGCAGTTGAAATTGCTGCTGGTAGAGATCCGGACAACCCTGAAAGTCGGCTGGGATGAGACGCGCAAGCTGAGCGGTTACGGAGTACAGCAACGCTACAACAGAGGCCTCCTGTTTGGCGAGAGATGCGTGTGGTCCTGAGGAAAACTTGTAGCTGGGTTTGCAAAAGAAGGACACGCAGGGGATCTGTGCACGCATGCTGATCGTGCAAAGCTGCATTGCCGTCAGGGACAGGTTTGACCCATAGGAGTACGATGGCAAGCCCTCAATCCAAATCATACGAGATTGTGGGCTTCCGATCCATCGCCGGATGGCATCCAAAACCTCCTGTGGTAGCAGTGGCATAGAGATCCCCCGGAGCGCATTGGCAATCTCCTCCCTGCCATCCTCCGTGTACGTTGAAAGCGAGAGCGTGGTCTTCTGGATGTCATAGCGCGTCCAAGTCTCATCTGAATCTTTACCGATCACATTAGATTTCAGGTTCGCCAATCAATTTGACTCGGCTGGAGTATTGAATAACTGACATACCGGAAAAAGCATCGGTCTCGGACGCGTCTTCCTCGACTACCCCGAACTTTCTCGAGCTCTCTTTCTTTCCGTATTTATCCCGTGAGTGCAAGTCTAGAATCCCTGAAGTTACTCAAATGGACAAGAAAGCGTGTGCTGCTGCTGGTAGCAGGTTGGTGTACCGTCCTACCGTTTTCAAAATTTGCTTCAACGTCTTGCAAGGCTTTTATTGAGCATGTTCCCACGAGCTGACCGAAGTGATGAAGTTTCCCCTCGATCGTCCCCTGGTCGTCGTCCCGGCTCCCACTACCCACAATCTGAAGGTGCAAGAATCTGCCGGCAGCATCATTTGTTCGTGGACTGAGGGAATCTAAAACACGGTCTACTCCATCTTTGATTTGTTGGACTTGCCTTTCTGTGAGGTGTGCTGCTTCGTCACGGATTCGTGCCACCGTCGCCTTCATCCCGTCGACCAAACCTTTGACTTCATTATCAAAGAAGTTCTTATCGATCATTGACCGATATCGATGTAGCGGTCGACTGAACCAAGACATTGCGCTACAGAGAAATTGGAAGACCATCACGTAGTAGTCTACCACTAGCCGTCTTATATCCGGGCTGTCCCAGATATCGGTCTTCTTCTGCACCAGTCTTAAATCGCCACTGAGGTCGACCAAGGCCGAAAAGAACCCCTCGGCAATCCGCTTGTAATTGACACAAGTCTAAATATAAGCATTTTTCTGCATCAGCCACACATTTGCATCCCTTCAGGTTTGATTGCACACCTTGACAACCGACGACACAACCCCAGTGATGAGGCTGATGTATTTGTCTCCAGCGGGAATGAACTTGAACAGATAAGAGTGGTCGTTCATCGATTCTAGGAAATCTGACACATAGCTCTTGACCTTGCCAAAACCCTTCCCCCTCTTAGTCTCCCATTCCACCTGAGCATTACCCACGATTTCCCTCAGCGTGTTGATATTCGGTACCTCCTGGAAGCCCAGGCTGGAGTTCGCAGACGAGTTCTCATGATGATGTTCTCTAAACCGCTGCCAGGTTTCTACTATGCTCTCGCGGCCACTTTCCAGCCGCTTGAGATCCACGTCGCTAGAACGTTAGCGAATATCAGCACATCGAAGCACGCATGAGTTCTAATTGGTATTGATGGCTGGCCTTACTCTGTGGACTCCCCGAACTTCAGCCATTCGCTCCACTCCCATACCTGGCGTCGGTCGCACAAAGCTTCCTCATCCTGTTTTCTAATTGTGGAGCTTACAGCTTGAACGAGCATGTTGTTAGGCTCTTCCTGCTCTGCCTTCATGCTGTACTGTCTGATAAGGGGGGATATTTCCTTTTCTGCTTCCCCCATCTTTTCCTTGTGCTCACCATATAGAATGATAAGACTGGTGGTTCTATGATCCTACTTCTCTGTTAATGTGTCCCAATGATGCATGCTATTAGTCGAACGGCGGCACCCCGCTTTGATATGCCAGATACCATGAACTAGAGTCATTGGGCACTGGTAGTGGCGCTTACCAGGCTCTTAGGTCATGGGACGCACAGGCTAGCCTAGTCGAGGTCGAGCGAAAGGGGGGAACCTCCTCAGCCGCATATGTGATGAGGGAAAGGCCTGCATCAGAAGTGCCATGTATGAAGGGTGACGCGCTAAGAGGGACGCCTACCAATAATTTTAGCTGAAGCTGCAGGGAAGGATTCTCTACCCAGTACGGCTCGCAGCAACATCAGCTAAGATGCCAGCGATGGGTAGGTTGTTGGTATTGGGAGGGGCTATATTAATCCCAAGCCTCATCCACACTGAATTAGTCCTCCGTCCATCGACTGGTTTTTGTTACCACCCATCCATCATTATTGAGAGAAGAAGCATCCGAGGACAACATGTCAGTAGTAGAAGAAACATCCAATGCATCGATTACTCTATTGCCAACACCCCCCGCCAGCACGGATACCGAAGACTCTCCCCCTTCCAAGCCTGCCAGCCCGAACCCTAAAGGCGTTGATGTTCTCGCCGGCAATCAATGTCAGACCGGCGCTGATCCAAGTCTTGAAGTAACGGCACAACCGACGGACCTCGAGGTCGAGGTGCCAGTCCAAGATGCCGAGGCAAATCCTGAGGATGGCTGGAGCTCAGCAGCATCTCTATACTGTCCAAGTAACGGGCGATCTCATGCAACGATCTTGGAGTTTGGATTTGATGAATGCCCCAAGTGTGCACAGGATTTGACCACTAAGAGAGTCTCGTGCGTCGAGCCCGGTGAGCCCGAATCACCGTCATCCTTGCCCGATGAAGAGCAGGACCCGCCTACTGTCACATATTTTATGGAGATTCGAAGTAGGGATGACACTCTTGCTCACACCACTCCCTGTTCGAAACCTTTCGACCTCTCTGTGTCTCAACAGGCCGTTAATCTCCAACATGTTATTTACAATATAACCACGGTTCTGGAGACATCTTTGCCGTCATACGAATTTTGTTTGTCGGAGGACGAGATAGAGTCGTTGGAACAGGGAATAGTTAATATTGCGAGCATTGATGTCAGCCTTCGCTCAACCAGAGTGACCATATGCTCGGAGTCACTCCTTAAGGTTATTGCCCGTGTGGTGACTTACTACCCATCCGCACAACTCGGAGGCGAAATACTGGAGCTCGACGAGCCGTACCCACTGATAGCCCATTACTTTGACGATTTTGAAGCCTACCGAGCGACCTATCGTGGACCTAACGTTGACCCTCTATGTCCCACAGTAGCAAAGGACAGTCCCACCCAGCCTCCATGTGACGAAGAGGAATTCAATCACCTGGGCTCGTTTCTTGACTTCTTCAAAACCTCTGGCTACATGTCACAGGTTAACGATGAAAAGGCTCGACATACCCAAAATCTGTGCACATTTCGAATGTTGTGGCTGCTCTTCAAGCCTGGTGAAACTGTGTATATGGTGTCAGAGGGTCAGATGTCGGCCTATGTGATTAAATCTGTGGAGGTGGACAGGAAAGTTCTCTCCTCTCGGGATTTTACCAGGCAGTATTCCGTCTCTCTGTGGAATCTTCAATATGACGGGAAATTCGTGGGAAGAAGTTCCGAATTCGTCTATATTTCACCCTTCGATGGTGAGAGACAAGTCACCTCACTAAAGATCTTTCCCTCCCATTTCTATGATAGAACAGATGGCGGGAAAACCCGGGAACACTTGATACGTCAAGGTCAACAATGGTATGAATGTCTTCAGGGAAGGCAAATGATTTACTCGGGCGAGTTTCTAGGCTCATCGAAAAGACGGGTAAGTATACACTCGCTCGATATAGCTTGAATATGTCATTCTAACTCCACTGGGTAGTTCCAGGGTCGCGTTTATATGGACCTGTCTTCATATTTCACTCAGGACGACGCTGACGTCCCGCAGACATGTAATGTCGGTGACATGGGGGAAGACCTTGGCAACTGTGTCTGCGAAGAATGTCTCGGCCTCAGACCCCACCCGCCTCCCGGCTTCCGCTGGGCGGACTATGATCTTTTAGACCCGAGTGTGACGGTGAATCTCGAGCTTCCGGGGTCCCCGGAAGGTGCTCGTCACCGGTATTTGCTCTGTAGCCGATTGCTCTATGGCTTTGTTTTCAAGTCCAGAAAATGGGGTAAGAGATGAACAACTTTGAACGATTTCCTCTAGACCCAGAACTGAGTCCCAAGCAGAGAAACTTAATATTTCTTGTTGCCACGAGCCAGAAGTGAACAAGAGGGCTATTGATAGCCTTGTCATGCCCGAGGCTAGAAAGGAGATGATTAGGGCACTCGTACACAAATATACGGAGCCCAGTGGAGACAATCGGACCAAGTTATGGGGAGCTGATTTTATCGAAAGTAAAGGCGAAGGACAGATATTTCTCCTTCATGGCAGCCCTGGTGTCGGAAAGACGTTTGTAAGTTCTCATCCGCCTACCCATCTAACCGTCACTTGCTAAGAAAGCACCATTCATCTAGACAGCTGGTAAGTTGGATAAGATCAAGCAAGAACACACCGTTTACATGTTAATTTATCTAGAATGTATTGCTGAGTATACCGGCCGAGCGCTTCTCTCCCTGACTTGTGGAGACATCGGGACGGATGAGCTCGAATTAGAGAATCAGCTCTCCAAGTGGTTTCGGCTGGCCGAGAAATGGGGCGCGGTCATGCTCATCGACGAGGCAGATGTTTACCTCGAGAAAAGGCAAATGACGGATTTGAAGCGCAATAGCCTGGTGTCTGGTCAGTCTCAATCCTATCCCTACCCAACCTCATTAATGGAACCTCATCGTGTTCTCTCCTAGTGTTCCTTCGATGCATTGAGTACTACCGAGGCATCTTGTTCCTGACTACCAACCGGGTTGGTCATTTCGACGATGCCTTTATCTCACGAATCCATGTCGTCATCCGCTACGAGAAATTGAAAGAAGATGATCGAAGAAAAATCTGGGAGCAATTCTTTGACAAGCTGACCGACGAGCGCCAGGACTTCATCATCACTCGACGCGCAAAGCAATACGTTCTGGAAGATGAAGTGATTAGCAAGATAGAATGGAACGGGCGGGAGATTCGCAATGGTAGAGTCACAACCCTTATCCGAGTGACTGTGCCGATTCAAAATACTGAAAAGCATCTCCCTTTTTCAGTTTTCCAGACAGCCGTTACGCTGGCCGAATTCCGATTTTCTCAGAAGCAGGACAAAATCAAGAATGATGGGCCCACGCTGGACCAGAAAGACTTTGAGCAGGTCTGCAATATGACTCGGGAATTCAAGCAGTACCTAATCGATGTGCACGGAGTGGATGAGGAAAGCCGTGCCTTCCAAGCGAAAGCGAGAGCTAACAATATCCGTGGCACTGGTCATTAGCAGACTTATACCTAGCAGGTATCTGCAGAGGCTGTAGAGACAAAGTGGGTTGTTATTTGTGACTGGGACTCCAACATGCCTGGACGATACTTGCAGAGAGTTTCCTGTCTTAGGCAATAAATCATTTGGTATATTCCAATTAGCATATCTCAAGATTTATGGTCTTGACCGTCTAAGTAGACTAATTACTTCTATAAAATATCAAGGTAGCGCAGGAACTTTGCAAACTCACTCAACCCTCCCTCCCCATGAGCCAAGGATCCTCCAAAAGCTCCTTAGCCGTCGCCCTCTTCTCCGGTTCCCAAGTAAGAGTCTTCCGAAGGAAGCGAAGAAAGCCCGAGTTATCATCCAGTTTGGTTTCAAGGGACTCGATTGTCCGGTCATGCGGTATAGGTGCCAGACCCAGCCACTCATCTATAGTAGATTAGTAACGCATCACTACAGGTGATCTTCGTAGAAGAAAGGCATACTCTGATCATTCCAAAAGTCCGCCCGTCTCTCTGGGTTCCTGGCCAGGAACTCAGGGGGCGGTGGGCCCAGTGCAGCAATCAGCTGGGCCAGATGAGCGGCATCGTACAGATCGCCGTCTTCGTCACGCGCGGTGAAGAGCCTTTTCGATCCAAGCATGTCCCATGCCTATGGGCTCTTTAGCTGGAAACTATGGGAATCGACTCCAGTACGACAGCGACTCACTGTAAGACCAACACTCCATATATCAACCGGGTAACTCCATCCCACATAAAGCAGTGTTTCAGGCGCCCGGTACTCCAATGGCATTATATCGCCCGCGTGAGGGCCCGGTCCGATTCTCGCTTCTCCAAAGTCAGAGAGAAGCATGGGTCCTTCCTTCGGTAGTGTTAACCGTGACAGATAGATAGTTCGATCGGGATAGATCTTCCGCGTAACAGGGGAGGTAATCTCCTTGTCTTCCAGTCGACGCAGGAGATTATTATCGTAAAGTCCAAGCAGCATGTTTCCGGAGTGTACGTCTGCTAAGTATCAGTGGAGGAACTTGTAACCTAGGCCCACGATCTCCGGGAAGGACTATACCAGTATGGACAATCTCTCCGTGGGAATGCAAAAAGTCCAGAGCCTTGAGAAGCTCAATAATGGCGCCCTTGACAAATTCCTCCTCGAACCCTTCTCGACGAAAAACAAATCTCATATCACGCAAACTCATTTGCGCGGGCTCGAAGACGAGAACAGCATGCTTGCCATGCGGACCAGTCACCTCGAAAGAGTCCAGCAGCTTTCGAATGTTGTTGATTCCTCGCCCTTTGTATGACATTTCGGCCATACGGCTATTGATACGGTCATAAACAGGCAACTCCCGATGACGAAGCGAGGTATGGACATATACTTTAAGTGCAACATATTGGCGAGCCCTGTGGAAATCATTTATCGTTCAATTCGAACCTCTCGGAGGGCTTACCTCAGGTCTCGGGCCAGCCAAGTGGTTGACGAGGAACCAAACCCTAGCTTTGCTACAAAATGATAGCGACCTTGAAAAAGCTCGCCCAGTTGAACAGGATAAAATCGGTCGGCTTGATAATCAGGCAGCTCCTCTTCTTCAACCAGCGTATCGGCATCGACAGTGGTGTAGCCACTTGTTGGCAGGGCCCGTGGCTTCTCCAGCGCAGCTCTTTGCGGCATGGTGGAGAATAATTCGAGCGAAGATGCAATGGTATCCCACAGCGAAGGCATTATGACTCTAGGGGAACGAAACGAGGAGGCTCCGATTGCTACTATCTTGTGTGTCCGATTGAATCGTAGACCAGCCGATAAGCTCCAGACTCCTGTTCTGAGAAACATCATCAAATAGCATCTGATCTAGTCAGCATGCTATTTTATGCGCCGGCTAGCAAGTGGTTGTTGTCGGACGCGTCGTGAATTGAGTTGCGTCATTTGCCAGCAAAGCCTCTAGCACGCCGCACAGCTCTTAACGGAGACCCACACGGCTCGGTATCATCATTGGCTCATCGCCCCGTTATCAACTATGTATACCTAGACATAGGTAGTTGATGTAGTTAAAGAGGCCGCGCAACGCGTATCAGGTATATATCTTTATAGCTCTTACGGAGTCAGTTCAGTGACTAGGTTTAGAGAACAAATCCGCAACAATTTGGTTCCTACCCCCCTGAATTCACACTGAACCACACTGAATGCCACTCTACAGATTGTAGAGGGGGGATTTGGAGTGAATTGGAATTGAGAAGTGATAGTAAGCCCCTTATTCATTGTTTCAGATGTATTCAAGACCACGAACTGACTGGACGGCAGGTGCCTGACTTGTGTCTACCGTGTTCATGATCTTCTACAGCAAAGAAAGAGAATCTTGTCCTATGTTTCAATAACTGTCATATCAAGCCTGATCAAAATTCCGGTGCAATGGCTGTAATTTTACCCGGACCATGTCTTCTTTTCCATCAGATTCGTCTAAAGCACAAAGGCCCTAATTGGTATCCACAAACCTAAAACAAGGGACTACACAGCTCAAATGACGTCGTAAATCTAGTCAGACTGGTAAGCATGGTCAAGAGACGAGTCTACCAAGTGCCGTGGGCTGATAACATGGGGCTGATAGTGAGCTATATGAAAATATCAGATCCCATATGACTGTCGCTGACTAGGTTGGACCAGACGCTCCCTGCATCGCTAGAGATGTGGAATTATCAGAATGAAATTTCAATTCCAAACCAGCTTTTCGCCAGAATACCTATGGTAATTGGCCAATAGTGAGTTATCCCAACGCAGGCAATGGCACACGTATACTGCAACACTATCGAACATGGTCAAGTAGTACTTATCTTCAAGATATTCTCACCAGTGCCCACTTAGGGGGAAAGTTCCCAAATAAAGCTATCTGGTTTGGCTACACCATCGGAGCGAGCAAATTTTGAGCAATTTGATAATGGAAAATGTGCTGAGCTGAACATGGACCAATATCGGGAGATCTTGACATTAGCACAAGGTCGTCTCGCCCTCCAACGGACCATCGGCCACATTCGGACGCAGCTCGAGGCCACAGATCCAGAGTATGAACCCAGCTCGTCTGAGTCGAGTTCCAGTGGGTGTGCAGTAATTGAGTTCTTTATACTGTGACGGGTAGTACTATTGTTTTCATCAGTTGAAGATTATTACTACATTAATTTAGCCATATCGAATAAGATTATCAGTTTTATTTGTTCTCTATCTTCTTAGAGTCTTTCTCATTGATAATATCGATTCTTACAATACCCACCAACCTATCAATCTCCCATCAATGGGCGTAAAAGGAGTTGTAGTTCTATGAATCCTGCATTTTTATCTTTTTTATTTTTTATCTTTTTTTCTTCGGGGGTCATTGTTTTGATCTTGATCGCTTCATAAATTAGGGCTACTAGTACCATGAGCGTTTGTACCTCGTCTCACGTACGTGAGACTTTCGTCCTTCGCTCTTCATCTTGATTTTGACCATTCAGATAGGGACTACTGGTATAAAGTGACACTAGTACTAATATACCCATTATTCAGAAGGTAAACCTAACAGTGTAGCTTACTTTTGATACTAACCTCGTGTATCTCAAGTGATGAAGAGAAATCAAACGACGAAGTGCATTAGCTGAGTGATCCTATTTATTTTTAAGATAAAACCTATATCCCGAAGCTAGTAGATAGCTCCTAGTATCTAGAGATAAGCCACACCCGCCTATCCTCAGCATCCATACTGGCAAGGACCTTGTCTTCCCCTCGCTTCACGCACACATACGGATATATCATCTTACGTCCTAGTAACTCACACATAACATGATCCGTCTCCAGCGCCGCCAGACTCTCCGCAAGCGTATGCGGCAGCTGAATCGTGATCCCCAATTTCTCCCTGTCATCCTCCGAAAGAAGTGCAGGCGCCACGTCGCTCGGCCCAGCAGTGAGGTCCATCTTTTTCCGCAGGCCGTCGATCCCAGCCGATAGCAGTGCCGACAGTGCCAGGTACGGGTTCGCCAGCCCGTCCATCAGCTTCAGCTCAAACCGGTGGTCCTCGATCCGCCGCAGCGCTATCTCCTTATTCTCCCACCCCCAGGACGCATATTCGCCGCCGCTGAAGAGGCCCGTCGCGACGCGCGAGTAGCTTGCTTCCTGGGATAACGTGAATGCCAGGACCGATGGCAGGTGTGCTAAGATGCCTGCGAAGAAGGGCTCGGCTTGTGCTGCTGGTGAGGGGGCCCCCGTGGCTGGGTCGTTGACGGACATGTGGACGTGGGAGCCTGTGCCTGCCTGTCCTGGCAAGGGTCGTGGGTGGAGCGTGGCGTGGAGGCCGAACGAGCGCGCCACGGTGCGGATGACGTCGCGCGCTTTGACAAGCATGTCGACTGCTTGAACGGGGCGCTCGGGCGGGAGCACGAATTCCCACTGGCCTGGGGCAGCTTCGGCGTGAAAGAGCTCGAGCGGGGCGCCGACGTCGGCGAGTGCGCGTGATAGGGCCTCGGCGAGGTCGAGGTAGTCGTAGTCTTCGGATGTGACGTTGGAGAAGGCGTGCAAGAGCCCCGTTGGGGCGTAGGTCGTCTTCGTGGATCCATCGGCTTGTGAGTGTTTCTGGGGTCGCATGAAGATGACTTCTACTTCGAATCCGACGCGAATCGCGGCCCCCAGCTGGTGATGGAGGGTGTCGTCCAAGAGACGCAGACGGGTGCGCGCGCACTCTGGCGCCTGCTGGGTTGCATCGTTCTTGCGGACGCAATCGCATTGAACTAGTAATCGCGTGCCCTGGGATCCGGGCTGTATGTATGCTGTGTCCAAGTCTGGTAGCAGGCTAAATGCCCCCGATGGTGTGCCGCCTTCGGCGACGGCATCGCCTGGCACGAGGTACCATATTGCTTGTGCGAGGGTAAGCAGCTTGTTTGTTTGGAGCATGCTCGTGAATTTGGCTACGGGAAGGATACGAACGAGCGTGTTACCGCTGTTGTTCACGAATTGGAGCCAGACAAACTCGATGGTTGTGTGCTGGGCGAGGATCTTGGCCCATTGGATGAGGGATTGGTTGTCTTTCATGTTGAGTTTCTCCTGAAAGAGATAGGATGGTCGTTTACAAGAGATCAGAGTAAGAGAAAGTGAAATTAGAGATGCCAGCTTTGATTGAGTAAAGTAGCAGACATGAAAAATGTCAGGTAAGCCACCCGGCAAGAGATTATGCTCCCATCATCGTAGGTAAGGTAAATCGTCTGTGAAACCACACCAAGCCACATCCCCGATCAGACTCACTGCACGTCCATGTTTACCAGTTCAATAGTATCATGCAAGGTGTCGCACGATAGGGCAGGACTTGTGGAGCCAGCCTCCATGGCCAACCTTCATGGGACATGTTTGTGGGATGTCCCTGTGTATGTGGCGTCCGCTGTGTTGTCTGGGTAAATACAAGCGGTCATTTTGACCGCAGGGATAAACAGTCCTGCATATTGCGGTCTGGAAGATGCAGGAAGACCAATTGATCATGAGAAAGCATCACCCTGGACCGTCTGGTCTGTCTGATGGAGGAAGATATAGTCCCGGGAGGATGAGCAGGTCAAGTGATTGGTCAGATGACTGTCGAGTCCAAGTGTCACGTGGCTGAGTCAGCGGTCCCAACAGATTCCCAACTGTCAGGCACTCAGGCGACGAGGCAGTCAGGCCTCGGTCTTATTCGCCAGCGTTTTTCCCTTGGCAGCCTGAAGGTGTAGGCAGCTCCAGACCGGTTGTTGTCTTATATATCGTCGATCCAATCCTGCCTTGTTTCTCTTTCCCCTCATTCAGCATGGCTGGACTCTAGTCCACCTTTCCCTCTTCCCCGCTTACTTAACAAGCGACCCTTCTTGCATCCTTGTGTTTCCTGCTGGGTGTTTGCTGTGTCACCATCTACATCATCATCTACCTACCAACCCGTCGGTCTGAACCACCGGCATGTTGGACCCTATACCGCCGCCGCCAGCATGGCTGCGAGACGTCGTCGACCCCTGGGCCCAGCGTGTCAACCTGCCTGGCCTCTCCGATCACTTCCATGAGGTTATCATCTTTTTCTTAGGCTACCAGTTCATCCACTCGGTGCTGTCCCCATGGCTCTCCCCGATCCTCTTCCCCCACCACTACCCGAGTCTCAACAAGCGCACCAAGCTCAACTGGGACGTCCATGTTGTCTCTCTGATCCAGAGCATCTCCATCTGCGTCCTGGCTCTGTGGGTCATGTTCACCGACAAGGAGCGCCAGTCCATGACCGCCGGCGAGCGCGTCTACGGATACACAGGTGGCTGCGCTTTGGTGGGATCCATGGCTCTGGGATACTTCGTCTATGATCTCATCATCAGCACGATGCATCTCCGCATGTTCGGCGTCGGCATGCTATTCCACGCCATCAGTGCCCTCTGGGTATTCAGCTTCGGCTTCGTACGTTCTTCCCATCCCATCTCCTCCCCTCAACGGCCCTCCCACATCCAACTAACCAGCCAAACACAAAACAGAGACCCTTCGTAAACTACTACTGCCCCATCTTCATCCTCTACGAGCTCTCCTCCCCCTTCCTCAACATCCACTGGTTCCTCGACAAGATCAACATGACCGGCAGCAACCTCCAATGGTACAACGGCATGGCCCTCCTCTTCACCTTCTTCTCCTGCCGCCTCATCTGGGGCACCTGGCAGTCCGTCCTCGTCTACAAAGACATGTGGTACGCCCTGAAACAAACCTGGGACGCCACGGGCGTCTCCGCCCTGACCCCCGTGGACATCACCACGCAGGTCTTCCAGCTCCGCGACGGCGCCCTCTGCGTCGACGAGGCGTGCGCGCGCGCCGGCGCCGAAATCTCCAAGTACGCGTCCCACACCGCGGCCGGCGTCCCCACCTGGCTGGTCCTCACCTACGTCGCCTCCAACCTGATCCTCAACTCGCTCAACTACTACTGGTTCTCGAAGATGGTTGAGACCGTCCTGAAGCGGTTCCGCCCCGAGAACAAGGACAAGTCCGCCTCCCAGGCCGCCAAGGAGGATATTGCGCAGAAGGCCGTGCTTGACGCTGCCACCAAGTTGGAGGAAGAGGAGGGCTCGCTATATTTGGGCGATCAGGCCTCGCAGCAGAAGGTCGCGTCGGGGGTGGATGCCGCGAGAAGTGATGAGCTGAAGAAGCGGACTCGGAGGGCCTAACCACTCCCATCTTCTTCTTTCTTCCCCCTACTCACCCTCTCTCTCTCTCTCTCTCTCAATCTCGCTCTCTAGCTACTCACTACCTCCGCACCCCTATATATGGCCTGCGGCGTCAGTTCTAGATAGTGAGTGGGATGTTATGTGCCTCTGGCACTACACAAACACAAGATCTATTCATTTTTTTTATTGATATAATACAATGAATCACCGATGGTCTTCGCAACGACTGGGCTTGCTTCTTCTCCTGTCTCTTTTCCGAATGATTGGCATTTTCTGGTGGTAGATTTGTTGGTGTGCTGTTTGGAATGCGGTTATAGCTATCAGTATAAAGCTGTGTTACGGAAGCGACAGTCTGCTTCTTAATAGTGAGCTGAAGCTGGAGTGCTACGCAGCTTCGATGCAGAATAGAGATAGTATCTGAACAGTCTGAATGAAGCATGAATTATTGATATTCGATCACGTATGCTCCTATTTTATTCAAAGGAAAATGTTCCAAGTATTGCATCAATTATGAATCAATTCATTCAAAGATATAGCTAAGAAAAGATACCCATCCAAACAAACACCATAAGAGCGCCCCCGCCCCGCCACCAATAATACTAGAACAACGATAGCAAGCAAAGACACACACACACCGACAAACCTATTCTACACAACAGACAGCCCTTACCGTCCCATGATAGCCTCTGGCTTGGCAAGCATGTACCGCACCGCTTCACGCGCAACAGGCGTATCCCAAGCGCTATTGGGACCGCCGCGGCGGAACTCAGGTCCACTGCCGTCTTCGCCGCCGCCGCGAGTGGCTTCGCCGAGGATGGTTTCGAGATCCCTGCGCTGGGAGTTGACCCAGCGGCGGACGAAGGTAGCGGGATCCTTGCTCAGGGCGGTGTAGAACGAGTGGCGGGCGCGCGAGTGTGTCAGGGCCTGGATGATGAGAGCCACCTGGTCGTCCAGCGTGGAGATCTGGCGCATACCCCGGAGTACTGCGGGTTCTGTGTCAGGGAGATCATCTTGGAGCGGAGCGGGTCCTCCACGGCTACTTGGATGTCGTAGATCGTGGGCATAGGAGACTTTTGGAACTCCTCGTCGACGCGGATGGTGAACGGGAGCTTGATCGGCTCGATGGGGCTGGTGTGGGGTCCGATGCTTTCGGGGATTTGAGGGAAGAACATCTGATCCCGGCCGAAGATCTATCACACATCCACAATGTTAGCTTCAGGGGAAAAAGGATAGAAGGATAAAGGTTCAAGTGGAACACGTACCGCTCGCAGCCGATCGTCACAGCGGACTAACCGCTTCTCTTCATCCTCCTGCAGTCCCATGGCGCGAATGTAGTCCCAGATGCCCAGAACGATGCCACTTCGGGTCTCTTCCTCAACATCGAGAACCTCTGCCAGCTCCTTGCTCAACTTGTATCGCTCAGGCGTCTCATCCCTAACAAGACTAACAGTAACATTCAAGTTATCCTGCGAAGCTCGCGAGAACTCCAAGGAATCAAAATCCGCGGTAGGCGGCAGCGTCACAGCGTTCGCCGGCAGCTGGGGCTTGACCCAGTGGACAGGCTTGACCTCATCCGGGTTCGCCGTCGAGGACTTCTCAAACTCGACCGTGATCGCCTTGAAGAAATGCGAGAAGCGCTGCTTAGCCCGCTTAGACGGAGCCGACTTGTTGGCCTCCGAAGGGCCATCATGATCCATCGCGTCTCCATTCGCCTGGTCCTGCTCCTGCTCCTCACCCTCGTCCTCGTCTTCACTGTCCTCGGGCGCCGTGGTGTCGGAGCCATCGTCCAGCAGACGGCCCTCGACGCGCACCTTGTAGCTCCCGGAGCCCGGATTGCTCCCTGGGGCCATGCTGTTCTGGGCATCGTTGCTCTGCCACGGCTGACCCTCCACTGTGTTCGAGATCCAAATGCGCATCGTGCGGTACTTTTTGACGGTCTTGCTGATCGAGTCCTGGATGTCGAGACGCTTCCGCACGATGGCGATGTCCAGTCGCTTCTCGAGTTCGCGCAGGCTCTTGTACTGCTGTACACCTTCTCCGATAATCACTTCCTCGACGTCATCGGGGATGTTCTTGTCCGTGGGCTTGCGACTGCGACGGAGGGCCGCGTCGTTGGGGAAGGTCCCCATGGGGCGTTGGGCAGTCATGTACTGGGGGGGAACAGCGTGTTGGGGCATGGGCATCGGCATAGGAGGTCCTGAACAGATAGAATGTTAGACAGGGGCGAACAAATCCAAATATAAATCAGATCCCGAGAATCAAGGGGTGGCAGGAACGAACCTGGTGGTCCCGGGGGACCGCGACGAGGCGTGGCAGGAGAGCGCTGGGCGGCCTGAGGGAAGCCGCGCCCGTAGTTGGGTGGCATTGGGGCATTCATGGTTGGTGGCGATAGGGTAAAAGTAAGCCCGCAAGGGTTATAACAAGGTTCGGAGACACCTGTGGGATGAAGCCGAGAAATTTGGATGGGCCGAGGGGAGACAGGCTAACTCATTTACGCTTCCCCAGGCGGATCAAGAGATGAACGAGTCGCGATTCTTTCATCGCGATCACGCTATCCCGCTTTGGGTATTGTTGACACCTGAGGCATCGGTGGCATTGGTTCCACTATCTTGCCCAGTGACTCCCATTGTCAGAGTTGAAGATAGATTGGACTTGACAAATTACGGACTCTTATCTAATAAATTATAATGGAACCAGGTAATATCCATTCATGATGCTATATCATTCCTCAACATAAACACAAACCCGCCACCGCCTTACTCCAGTAGCGATGCCTGATTAGTGTACAGCTCTTCCACCACATTGCTCAGCTTCTCGATGGTATCCAATGCCGCGTCGTACGCTTGGTCGCGCTCCGTCTCGTCAAAGACGATCAGACATCCCGCACCCTGGTCCAACACGCCAATGATCACCTTATCCAGAATCATTTGGGACAGCTTGCGTTCCACTTGCTGTGTGTCTAGCCCGACCATCTTGGAAATGTGGTCCAGCTCGACGCGGCTGAACGGTTCGATGACCTTGATCAGGTTCTGCTCCAACATGGCGTCGTACAGTCGACGAAGGTGGTTACGGATAAACACGTCACTGCCCAGCTCGAATCGATAATCCGACAGGGCTTGTTCGTACTGCTCCAGGGACCGGTTGGAGTGGGCTCGGGCCACAGCCTTCATAGCCTCCAGGCGTGGACTGGCGTATTTCTGGGCTTGCTTGGAACCTAGCAAGTTCGTCACATCGTCCACGAGATTCAACATAATCTTGCAAAGCAGCATGTACTGGAGCGCTGCGGTCGCCTTTTCACTCTCGTCGAGCGAGCTGTACCCCTCCAAGGCTTCAATGAAGTACGAATATGAAGTGTTGAAGTCTTTATCCTCCGCGTGGAGCATACCACTCTGCATGTCCAGACTAGCTTGCAAGGTAGGCGGCGTGTAGACGGAGGCAGCAGAAGTTCGGGCAGCGGTCAGTGCCGCACGGGCCTTTGCCTGGTTCCCCAGAGCGTGATACACACGGGACTCCAACAACTGCACCTCGACCAACATGAGCTTGTCATCCAGGCGCTTCAGCTCCCGCAGGAGGGGGTTGATAAGGGTAAGAGCGTCATAGTAGGTCTGTTTCTGCATGTAGATAGCTACCAGGCGGACCTGGAGGTTTTGGCGAAGGAATGACCGTCGTTCGGCGATTGCCCATTCGATGCAGGACTGGATGACGGCAGTTTGGCTATCGAGGGTGTTCGGGATTTCGCTGAAAAGGTCCAACAGCTGGCGGACTATTCGAGAAAAGAGAATCCGTTAGACCAGACATTGCAGCGTTTCATGCTAGACCCAACTTACCAATCTTGGCCGTCTTTGCTTTGGCGAATGACGAGAATGAATCACGGCTGGTCTGGATGAGCTCCGCCATCTCATTCGCCTTCTTCTCATCTCGATAGACTTGTCCCAGCCCAATCAAGGCATTCTCATAGTTGCGAGACGAAGATTCCGACGACCCAGGACCTTGAGCAAGGATCTCCTGGTAGACGGTTCCAGCCTTGGAGGGATCCTTCTTCTGGATCTCCCGAGCTTCTTGTATCCGCTCAGCGGTCGACGAGGAGGACGTCGCCATGACTTTCAGGAATGGGGGAGAAGTATTCTAGAGTAATTAAGGGGCGTATAAGTTCAATAAAGAGAGGTCGGATACGGAGGATAACGAGCCTCACAGCGAGGAAGGAGGATGGTCAATGTATGTGTATAGTTGATGGAGGTAGGATAGGCTGGCGATGGCTGACGAAGTCGTCACCGGGAGCTGTTGCGCTGCTGCTGCTGCTGCTGCTCACCGCCCGCGGGTTGCTTTGTCAAACAGTGCAAACGTCTACCATTATTTCTTTCCCATATACTAAAAAATTTCCTACCAGAAATTAATTCCGTCTTTGTATCACAGAACCCCAGCAAAAGCGCCATGGTGAGTTTCCTCCTTCTGAGGAAATATTTGGAATAATCTTACTGATTATCTTGACTTTAGAAAATCAAAGCGCTTTCTCGCCCTACTGCCTCGCAGCAGGCCCCCGGGACAGGCGTCGTTCGACAGCCCCGGAATTTAGACCCGAATCAGCATCCATTCGAACGAGCTCGTGAATACACCAGAGCGCTCAATGCTGTCAAGCTGGAGCGGTTGTTTGCGGCGCCGTTTCTCGGTCAGATGGGAGATGGCCATGTAGATGGTGTCTATTCTATGGCTAAGGATCCTGGGTCGTTAGATCGGTTCGCCAGCGGCAGCGGCGACGGCGTCATCAAGGTGTGGGATCTGCCGACGCGAGGTGAGGTGTGGAATACACAGGCGCATGAGAATATCGTCAAAGGAATGTGTTGGACTCCCGATCGAAAGCTACTGTCGTGTGCGAGCGATCGAACGGTAAAACTGTTCGACCCATACAACTCCACGTCCGATTCCCCGCCCGTGGCAACCTATTTGGGCCAAGGCGCCTTCAACAGCATTTCGCACCACCGGGATCAACCTTTCTTTGCGGTGTCATCGTCCCAGATTTCTATCTATGACCTGTCTCGGCCGTCTTCGACGCCTTCGCAGACGCTGCACTGGCCCACCAGCGTCGACTCCATCACTTCGGTCGCTTTCAATCAGACGGAGACGTCGATTCTCGCTTCGACCGGCATTGATCGCTCTGTTATCATGTACGACTTGCGGACTTCGTCGCCTCTCAGCAAGATGACGCTCCGCTTGGCGTCGAACGCTATCGCGTGGAACCCCATGGAAGCCTTTAACTTCGCCGTGGCCAACGAAGACCACAACGCGTATATCTTCGACATGCGAAAGATGGATCGTGCCCTGAATGTGCTCAAGGACCACGTTGCTGCTGTCATGGATGTCGAGTTCAGCCCCACGGGCGAGGAGCTCGTGACGGCATCTTACGACCGTACGGTTCGCCTGTGGAACAGAGCCCAGGGCCATTCGCGCGATATTTACCACACAAAGAGAATGCAGCGGTAAGTTATCTTTGTTTTTTTTTTTTCGGAAACTCTTTCTCTAATATCAAGCAGTGTTTTCTCGGCCAGGTTTACCCCCGACAACAACTACATCCTGTCCGGTTCCGACGACGGCAACGTCCGACTATGGCGCTCCAAGGCCTCCGACCGCAGCGGTATCAAGAGCGGCCGCCAGCGCGCAAAGCTCGAGTACGATCAGGCGCTGGTCAAGCGCTACTCGCACATGCCCGAGATCCGCCGAATCAAGCGCCAGCGCCACGTGCCCAAGCCCATCATGAAGGCTCGCGAGATCAAGCGGGAGGAGCTGATGTCTCTCAAGAGACGCCACGAGAACGTTCGCAAACACACGAAGCAGGATGCGCTGCCCAAGCGACGCAGCGAGCGCGAGAAGATGATCTTGAGTAAAGAGCAGTAGTCCGCCTGTCCCTTGGGAGCACCTTCTTTGGTGCAGCATATCCATATCCCTCATCCCATCCGTTGGAGCGTTTCGTCGGCCATCTGGTCCGTTTCTGCGGCTTAGACCCCCGCGTGTGTAACCTGTGGCTGCTGCGTTACACGGCGCCTGCTTCATAGGAGGTCACTGAATGATCCAAGAGCCCGCTAGAACGGGGTTATGGCATTCGCATGCAAGACGCCGGTGCGGGAGTAGCTATCTCAACTTCGAGTCTATGCTCGGGTTCGTTTGTTGAGAGCTACTCTTGTACCCAACCCCACAGCCTCACATCCCGCAATCTGTGCACGTACTTCACATCGCACCACTTGTATCTAGTTAGTGTCAGAAGTTCACGACTCCGGTTATAACGGAGTACCAAATCAACCTTAATGAATGTATGAATGAACAAGCAACCCACGACTCACATCAGATACGTAGTTCATAACGCCCGAACTCATCCAAGCGTAACACATTAGTTATAAATACAGCATCACCTAGGGTATATCACCATCTCGACACCCGATCATTATGTACCAACAAGACAAACCACACACCCACCTCAAGAAAACCCAATCTATAACTCCCTCTCCCCCCTCAGACACCCCTCAAACCCCCCTCAAACCCCGCCTCAGCAACGGCCCCATCAATCCCACTCAACCACCTCGCAACCCTCTGCACCCCCGCCGGCAAAACCGCATACCAATGCACAAGCGACGCAAAAAACGGCAACCTCACGGTACCGCCCTCCCCCGCATCAACCGCATCGACGATAGCGCGCGCGACCTGCACAGGCTCCAGCACGGGGGCGAAAAACGCGTTCGGGGTGCGCACAGCGCGGAACAGCGGCGTCGCGATCTGCCCCGTCTCGACGAGGAGCATCTTGATGCGGCCGTTGGTGCCGGATGCGCGGATCTCGGCTTCGAGCGTGTGGTGGAGGGCCGTGAGGGCGGATTTGCTGGCGGAGTAGTCTGATAGACCTGCGGGGCAGAGGGCGCCTGTTACGGAGGAGATGTTGACGATGGTTCCTCCCCCTCGGGCTTCTGTGTCTTCGTTGTCGGACGGTGAGGATGAGGGTGAGAGCATGCGCGGGAGACAGACTTGGGTTGTATTGAGTACGGAGAAGAGATTGGTGGAGAGGGTTTTCTGGAAGGAGGAGGCGGGGAGGGAGAGGAGGGGGAGGCCGTTTATGCTAGCCGCGGCGCAGTTAATTAGGATGGTGGGTGTTCCTAGCTGTTGAATTATTAGCATTGTGTTTTTATATAGGTCGAGTCGACATAGGGTATCAAAGGATAGAGTATATCAAAGTCGGAAAAAAATACCTCTTTCTCAATTTGGTCAACTGTTGCCTCCACCATCGCCCGATCCCCCACATCGCAACAGTAATACTCAGCCCCACCGCTCATCTCATCATCACTTATCTCCTCACGGGGTTTGATATCCAAGACAGCGACGCTCGCCCCCCGCATAGCGTACATGCGCGCGATCACCTGACCCAGGCCGCTGGCGCCGCCAGTCACGATGACCACCTCCTCGGTGAGATCGACGGGCCGCGGAAGACCGTACGCGACGCGATGGTTGATGGAGCGGCCGACGGCGATCAAGGTCAAGAAGACTGCATAGCCGGTAGCGATCACGAAAGAGAGGTCGGTGTAGGGAGTGACTTGGGCACGAAGGCTGAGGACTAGGATCCACGCCACCCAGGGGTGGAGGATGGTGCGGTTGAGGACGGCGAGCAGGACATCAATGGTGAGGGCCTTGTACCATCTTTGCTGGGTAGTTGGGGAAGAAGGGTATGAGTTGAAGGCGCGCGGTGGGTTTGTCATTGTATATTATCCTTTCCCCTTTGATTTCTAGAGTACTTGTATGTCGTGGATTTAGAGTCGTGGGGTGGTTATTGAGATAGCATTATGGTGTTTGTCACGCCATGGCGGTTAGCGCTTAGGCGTGTGACTCCATGTAAGAATAGTGTGATCAATATTTAAATGATCGTGAGTACAGTCTTCAATATTGCAACCTTGAGACGTACACAATAAGATATTGAAGGTTTAATGAGATGCGGGGAGATATTTGAGAGAAAATGGAAGACGCGATAGGAACGGATTCTATGCGGGGACGACCCTCACGTGCGGAGAAATATATACTTGCATTATCTGCATCTTGCTCTTCCACATCATCTCAACTCTCTATTCTATTCAACTAAATCCTACTTTACCATCAACTGTAAGCAAGGTTTATTGCTACATTGTGTTTGAATTGAATATTTACCGCCATCACAGACAATGCCACCTCAGCTCACCCCCCTCCACTCCCTCCACAACATCCGTCTCCCCTCATCCAGTACTTTATCATCCACCTGGGACATCACCTTCGAACTCAACGGACGCATCAAAGCCCTCACTCCCACTCCCACCACCAACAACACCAACACCAGCCAAGCTCAAGAACCCCCCCTAGTCCTCCCCGCCCTCACCCACCCCCACATCCACCTCGACAAAGCCTTCATCCACAACGACCCGAAATACGCCCACCTAGCCCCAACAACAGGCACATTCCCCGAAGCGCTCACCTCCACAACAACCGCAAAGCAATCTTTCGAAGCCTCCGACCTCCTCAAGCGCGGCTCATGGCTCCTCGCTGAATCTCTCGCCAACGGCGTAACCGCCCTCCGCGCCTTCGTAGAAGTCGACACAACAGTGCAACACCTTTGCCTCGACGCAGCACTGACTCTCAAAGCCCACTGGGCTGAAGCCTGCAAGATGCAACTCGTCTGCTTTGCGCAGGACCCGGTCTTTTCCGGCGCCCACGGCGCCGAAAATAGAAAGCTGATCGAGTCTGCCCTGCTACGCGATGGAGTCGACGTGCTGGGCTCCACGCCATACGTTGAGTCAGACCCCGAGGCCGCAAAGCGAAATATCGAGTGGGCTGTGCGGACGGCGCTAGCTCATAACCTGCATCTTGATTTCCACCTCGACTACACGCTTGATCCTGGCCGCGAGCCGCTCGTTTGGACGGTGCTTGACGTGCTGAGGCGCTGTGGGTGGACGGGTGGACGCACGCGGAAGCGTGTAATGCTAGGCCATTGTACGCGTTTGACGCTGTTTGGGGAGGAGTGGACGCGTCTGGCGAGGGAGATTGCTGAGGATGAGTTACCGGTTAGCTTTGTAGGGCTGCCGACGAGTGATCTCTATATGGCTGCGCCTCCGGCGGGGGGTGGTGAGGAAGAGGGGATGGCGACGCCTAGGGGGACGCTGCAGGTTCCGCGGTTGGTGCGCGAGTATGGGCTTGATGCGGTTGTTGGGGTGAATAATGTGGGGAATGCGTTTACGCCTTGGGGGGCGGCGGATCCGCTGGGTTTGGCTTGTCTTGGGGTTGGGGTTTACCAGGCGGGTAGTCGGGCTGATGCGGAGCTTTTGTATGAGTGTGTGTCTACGCGGGCGCGCGCGGCGATTGGGATGGAGGAGGATGGTGGTGATGGGGTGAATGTTGGTGTTGGTGACTGTGCGGATTTACTGCTCATCTACGCTCGAGATGATACTGGGTGTGATGTTGTGCGGCCGCGAAATAGCGTCGCGGAGGTGGTGTGGGATCCGCCATCTAGGATCAATCGGGATGTCATTTGCGGAGGGAGATTGAAGCTATCTCCATGGGTTTCGAAGCTGGATGGGATATATAACTATGTATAGTGGTGGGAGTGATGGTATTGATATTCGGCCGGGGCCGATTGGATTTGCATTGGTCGGTGCTGATATGGATATAGAAGCCCCCCAGCGCCTGATGTGATATTAACATGAGTCCAAACCGTGAACCAGAATCCCAAACACCGCCGGGTCATGCAAAGCAAAAAGGACATATCTCAAAGCTGATCGGTCATTAATGATGAGTTGCACGCTAGCCCATACTCCAAGCTGAAAACGAAGAAAGGATCGCCAAAGGTCATACGGTACCCCAGACAGGAGCTGAAGTGCCATCTTGCGCTCGAAGACGTGCAGGACCATGCAACGTGTAGCTAAAAGTCGGACAGGCAACGTCCTCGCGCATTATGTCCATGTCTTTGGTATCGAATGGAAGCTTGAATCCGTTCCCGGCTCTCGGATATAGACGGTGCTCTTCGACTTCATATCCCACTTCATCATCGGAATTGTCCGCTTCCCATTGAAATGGGGGTATGGAGTGGGCATTAATTGTTGATATGCCGTTTTGTACAGCGGATGTAGGGTGAGTAGTAGAGCTGCCCAAGGGTAGACTCCCTGGGAGCGCCGCGGCCGGCTTTGGCAAGAAAGAAAAATTTGAGGATTGTGATGTTTTCAGATCCTCGGGGAACAATGGTAGGGTAGGGTGACTACTTGATATTGTGACAAGTAGCTCAACAAGGGCAGCATGCGAAAATGTTGACAGATACCCCCTCCGCTCGTCCTCCGAGAAGCCTTCCCCTCCGACTTCTGTCTTCGGAAGAACCAGAGGAAGGTGAACGGGAGGCCGGGTCTGCGCAGATTGCAAGCCCATGCTCGGGTTGCTTCTAACCACCGTCGGTTGTGTAATGCCAATCTGGATCGGCCTGCAGTCCTTACAGAACCATTCCTTCTCCCTAATAGCAATAACTTCCGCCGCGACGGGAGGGTCATGACACAGCTGGTGCCATGCACTGTTGCACTCGTCGCAAAAGACAATCATATTGCTGAGTGGACTGTGCCCCCTTTGACAATGGACACAAGTGATGATGGTATCCTTTCCTCTGCGGAACACTCGCCTTCGTTTTCGAGTGGCTGCCGTAGGCGGGGTGTGTGTGTTGTCCGACCCGTCTGTCGGATGACTGTGATTATTTTCCTTTAAGACGCTCGGCGATGACGCTGGCGGGGGCACGTACAATGAGGGTCGGTTCACCTGTCGGCCAGACTTTGTCTGCGTGGTGATGGGCGCGACATCCGACTCATCTGTGCTCGAGTCGCCCGCCCGGATGACCTCGCTGTCGCTGTCATTGCCCCGTTTGCGTTTCTTCGGCCGTTTAGTCCCGTTAGTGCTTTTGCGTGAGCGAGCACTGGCAACTGGTTTCTTTGGTTTGGATAGAGTGAGTTTTGGATAGGTCACTTCGGTTACCGATGCTACCGGTTGCGGCTGTGAGGCTGGTGGCGGTATGGGAACAGGTCCCGGTGCCAGCGCTGGTAATGGGGCCAGTGGCGCTGATGATCGTTGGGGAGATAACTGGGGCTGTGGGGGTTGGTGAAACTGCAACGGCGCTGGTGGCACCGACGAGGGCACGACAGCAGGCCTTGGGGCGATAGCAACAAGACCCGATTTCACATTGTTCCCAAAAGGCAGTGCTGGTATAGATGTAGATGTAGCGGCGGTTGTCTGATGAGAGACCGCTGGGGCGGTCATATGATGGGAGTAAACGAATGGAGGTGTAGGGAGATCAAGAATCGCGGAAGAAGTCCTCATTCTGGCTGGAGTCTGAGAGCTTCGATAGTCCAGACCTTGATTCGTAGAAGTTCGAGACGAACTAACAGGTGTATAAGGGTTGCCGTAAGTGATACTGTTCGGATGATCATCGCTTTGTTGCCCCCCTTTGATATTACCCGTGATTCGTGCCAAAAGAGCGGTAGTCGCCGCAGAGAGCTTCGGAATCTGAACTCGAGTGGAGTTTGTACTTGACGGCCGGTCTGGTTTGGAGGGTTCAGGGCTTGACTGATTCAGCGTAGGCGCCGTGGGATGTGAGGCCGACGTGGAGGCCTGAGAAGCATGAGTTGGGGGAGGTGCCGTCTCTATTGTTTCTGTGGTGCAAGGCACTGAGGAGGAATCTCCTGTTGGAAGTGTCATACCCCCTGACACAGTTTATTCGGCCAAAAAAAAGCGTCAATAAGGGCGAGACTCTATTGCCAGTGAGGAAGATCCCACATGGCATCATCAGTAGATGATGAGCCGATCCAGAGATTTATATAGCAACACGTGACCACGCCCATCTCCCTGGATTCCTTCTACATGTTCCATTGTCCGTTCACTCATTCACCCCCAGATATATGGATTGACCTGACATTCCACCGTTCCCATCTGAATTATCATTCAAATATGATATATATTCTATATTTACGTCATTTGCTATGGTGTAATGTGACAGCTTATATACGGTCTAGCATTTTCTGCTGATTGCCGAACCCCTCTCTTATGTACATCCGTGAGCGGCAACCACCCACGATAAACTACGCAATCACACCTTCCTTTTTCAAACGCGCAATATCATCCTTTTCATACTCCAGGATTTCTCCCAGGATCTCATCCGTGTGTTGGCCTAACGTCGGAGGCGGCGTTCGGACTCCAGGCGTCGCGTGGGAATATTTGATGGGCGTGTTGACGAGCTTGATCGGCCCGCAAGAAGGATGGTCGACCTCGGTGACCATTCCTCGTGCTTGCACTATATGGGAGGGCCACAATTAGTAAATTGTCAACAATTACAACTGGAAGACCTTCGAGGCTCACCGTGGGAGTGGTTCAGTGTCCCTTGGATGTCGTTGACTGCGGCATACGGCATCCCGCTGCCTTCGAGAATCTCCAGCCATTCCTGGGTGGTCTTCTTCTGGACTGTTTCCTCAATGAGGCCATCGATAATCTCGCGATGTTGGACACGATCGCTGTTGGTAACAAATCGGGGGTCTGTCTTCCACTCCGGGAAACCCAGCCGGTCGCACAGCACACCAAAGAGCCGGTCATTGCCACCGCCGAACAGGATGTCTCCGTCCAGGGTCTTGTAGCTCCGGTACGGGACAATGGACGCTGACAATAGTTAGAAATCCATACCATCATCGGGATAACTACGTAATGACTTACGATGCGCGGTTCCCCATCTTCCGGAGTCCTTCTTCCCGCTAATCAACGCCGAGCTGGCGATGTTGGCGAGTGTTGCGACCTGGCAGTCACTCAAGCAAGCGTCGATATGTTGTCCCTTGCCCGTCCGCGCCCGCGCCAGCAACGCGGCCATAACTGCATTTGATGTGTATAGTCCGGTGGTCAAATCGGTGACGGCTACGCCGACCTTGACGGGGTCGCCGTCCCGCGCTCCGGTGATGTGCATGAGGCCCATCTCGGCTTCCACCATGACATCGTATCCGGCCCGGTTGCTGTAGGGGCCTGTCTGGCCGTACCCAGTGATACTGGCATAAATCAATTTGGGATTGATCGCTCGTAATGTCTCGTAGTCCATGTTGTATTTCTTCAGCGCCCCCGGGAGGTAATTCTCGACAAGGACGTCACATTCCTTAGCCAGACGGTGGAGGATTTCCACTCCAGACTTGTGAGCAAAGGAAAGTCCGATCGACTTTTTGTTGCGGTTGACCTATGTCATCTCCAATCAGCTCCGCCGCACTGCTTTGCATGGGGAGTGTCGATTCATACCCCAAGATAATACGCACTCTCGCCGGGTCCTTCATGCTTCCCATCCTGGTACTGAGCGTAAGGCGGACCCCACGCCCGAGTGTCATCACCACGGACAGGATGTTCCACTTTAATGATGTCCGCCCTGCGCGAGATATGTCAGTCCACGCTGACAATAATATGTAACCAATTCCGCTTCAACACGTACCCCAAGTCTCCCAGTATCTGTGTACAGTATGGCTACAGAGCGCAATTAGAATATTTGCCATACTATCACTAAAGCGGAAGACAAACTCACCCCAGCCAAAACTCGAGTCATATCAAGGACCCGAACGCCTTTCAAGGGAAGTGTATCCTCCGCGGGTGTGCTGTAGGAGCGCCATTGCGGTGTATAGCGACGGCGAGCGAAGAGGTGGGGGAGCGCCGGCCGGCGAGCGATCAACTTGAATGCGACACTCATTGCTGCGGAATAGACATGCGACGTGGAGAAGAAGAAACAATCTATATCTAATCTATAGAGAGGAACTGGGCATGTTTTTATACCAATCAAGCTCTCGGGACAAGGAAAACCAGTGATCGTGTGGGGAAGAACAAGATGAGATTCTGATTCGGGGAGATGGCCGACAAGCGGCTGGCCAGGCCTATAATTGCACTATTTCCACCCCCGCCAGCCGAGGTCGGTCGACTTCGCTTCCCGCTCGTTGTGTCTCTTCCGCCTCCACCGTAGCCGAAGCTCCCATCTCCCTTGCGTCACTTTTACTACTCGGGTTCTACTATACCTATACCAATATGTTTACCGGTTTGGTCGAAACCATCGGGAGTGAGTAAACTAAACTCTCCAGCATTGTCTTAGCCGGGCTAGCCCATTGACAATGACGCAGCGGTCTCGTCGCTAGAGCCCCTCGACACCTCCGCCAGCGGGGGCGGGGGCACCTCGCTGACCATCTCCAACTGCGAGGAGATCCTAGGCGACGTCCATCTGGGCGATAGCATCAGCGTGAATGGTACACATACCCAACCCTCTCTTCCACCTCCACCAATAATTACCCACCCTAACCCACAATTCTTCCAAACCAAACAGGAACCTGCCTCACAGTAACCGCCTTCGACACGGCCTCCAAAACCTGGTTCAAAGTCGGCGTCGCGCCCGAAACCCTCCGTCGCACCAACCTCGGCTCCCTGACGACCAACGCGCGCGTCAACCTCGAGCGCGCCGTGCAGGGCGAGACCCGCATGGGCGGCCACTTCGTGCAGGGCCACGTCGACACCATCGCGACGATCGTGTCAGCCACACCGGATGCGAACGCGCTCGTGCTGCGCCTGCGTCCGCGCGAGATGGGTGTCATGCGGTATATCGTTGAGAAGGGCTACGTGACGCTGGACGGGGCCAGTCTGACTGTCACCAAGGTGGTGGATGGCGAGGAGGGGTACTTTGAGATCATGCTCATTGCGTATACGCAAGAGAAGATTGTTACGGCGGGGAAGAAGGCTGGTGAGGATGTTAATGTTGAGATTGATATCGTGGGTAAGTATGTGGAGAAGAGTGTGCAGGGGTATTTTGCTGGGACGGCGGGAGGCAATATGAGTATTTTGGAGAAGATGGTGGAGCGGATCGTGGAGGAGAAGCTGAAGAAATGATTCGGTTTTAAACCGTTTTGTTTGAGTGAGCTTGGGTTTATGAGTGATGGGTAAATAGTAATGTGGGTTTTAGAATATATCATGTAGCATAGCGTGAATTTTGGGTATATTATGTCTGCTCCTGATCTAGATACCTTCCACAATTGTCCTCCGCCATTGGCACGGTTTGTCTTCCACGGACGCTGTAGCTATGGCCTGCGCCATTAGCCAATGTTCCGCGTTCCGGGAGTTGGCCATGATGTTTTGATCAAGGCTGTTCTGGCTCCCCGCCGTGTAGTCATCCATAGCGCCATCCCTTGTACATAAACAGAATCGGCGTCGCAGGATTGGAAGCGCATGTAGTCATAAGATTCCTCACACCATGCAGTACGAGCACTCGGTTGTCTTCGTAGCGATAACAGCCCGGCTCTTTACTCCTCCATGGATTCGTCGTCGTCGGTGTTGACCTCCTCCTCCTTCTTGGCACCCTCATCCTCGTCGAAATCATCGCTGAACCATTCATCCTCCTCGTCCATATCGGCATCACCGTCCTCAGCGCCTCCCTTCCCATTGGACTTGGCCTTCGCCTTCTCCTGTCGCTTCTTCTCAACGTTGGCCCTCTGGAGCTTCTTGCGCTCCTCCTTCTCCTTATTTTTCTTCTCCCAATTCTTGTCCAGATTCTTGACCTCGGTTTCCGATTTCCGCATGTAGTCATGCCACATGACCCTGCCATCGCACACGCCCTCTTCAACCTTGAGCAGGCGCAGCTTCAAGCGCGGTCCCAACTCCACCAGCTTGACCGCCCGCTTCTCCACTCCCGGAGCACTGTTCAGTTTCTTCTGGGCCTTCTCCTGCTCACTCGCCTTCATGCGCTGCTGCTCCCGCTTCGAGAGCACCTTCTTAGTCGCATTCTCCGTGATCTCGACCTCATTGTCTGTGTCCATCTCCGTCTCACTGGCAGAGGTGTACCCGGCAGCCGAAGGATCAAGCAGATAGTCGGCGGCATCCTCCAATTTACCCAGATTCGGCACAGCCGACTTATGCTCCTTGTTGCGCACCTCCTTAGGGTCCAGACGGCGGATCCGCTTCGACACGCCCGTCTTCTTCGTGCTGATAGCGTAGTGTCGCAGGTTGAGCACATAAGACCCGTCATCCTCGGGGTCGCGCTCCCGGTTCAAGAGCATCACGCGACGGATGGAGGTCAGCGGAGTCGCTTGCGGGTTGATAGGCGGGAAGAGCGACTGGAAGAGAGTGGTCGTGAGGCCCTCGAGACGTTTCGGGATATTGGAATTCTCGTCCGCGTCGGGAGTGTTGAAGTTGTTCATCACCAGCAGCGGCGGCGTCTTGTGGTCTTGACCGCCACCGCGCGGCCGCTTCAGCGACCTCTCAACATCCCGGCATAGCGAGTACTCCTCGACTTTGAAGTTCAGCGTCGGCCCGCGCGGCGTCAGCGCCATGCGCAGGTTGGTGTTGCCCGTCTCGGAGCGGGAAAACAGAAACAAGTGAGTAACGCCCAGAGGGCCGGTCATCGACGTATAATCTCTCAGTCGGTTGCCTTTCCGTTCCTGGTAGTCGGCGCCGTGGTTAGTATCGTGTATTTGTGCTTTTGGAAAGGGATTGGGCCACTAATGGTTGTGCTTACCTTCAATCGCACAGCGGTGTCGGGTTCCATCATCAATCGGAAATCTTTTACCAGCTGGCTGACACTCGAGCCGACCTGCGAAGCACCGACTCGGATCACCATGGACTTGGGAGCCTTGCTCTGCGAGCTGGTGCCACTGTTGGCTGGGGTATTTTCAGGGCGAACATGTGTGCGCTTCTTCGTGCGTGCTCTGGCCATGATTGGCGATAGTGATGCTGAAATTGATGGTGTAAATTTGTGTTCGCGGTCAGAAACGTCCCGTAGTCTGGATTTAGAACGGACTTTTTTTTTAAGCCCGAAAAAAAGTAGATCGGCGGAACAGCGCCGCGGAGGAATCCGGGTTATCTGTTTTCCCGTCCACGCCCAGCCCATGGCTCCCAGATACAGTTGCTACGGAAGTTTCTACTACAAGATTAATTAACTAGAAGACCAAAATGATACTGAAATTGGGTGTAATGCAATGGTCAATCATGATTCATTCCTGAGTATTTTCATCAAACTCTATAGCAGAATATTCTTGGTCAAACAGGCCATCATCATTCATCAATGAGTCCCGCAGCCCGTCTCCCTTCCAATGAAACAGACATGGCTAAATATTCTGAGATCCACAAAGACGCTTGCTGCAATTCATCAAACATTGATAAAACCGGCTGGTAAATTTTGAAATTATTAAGCCTCCTTGGTAGAGCCAGCTTCGCGAACAGCGTTGGCAACGCGAGTGGCGAGGTCGTCCGACTCAGAACGGCTAGCCGCCTCAGCGTAGACACGGACTGCATCCTCTGTGCCACTGGCACGGGCGAAGCTCCTTCCCTTGTTGTAGCGGGACTGGAGGGAATCGATCTTCGACTGGAGGCCTGCAGGGGACTCAAGCTTGCGCTCAGCGTCGTAGGCCTTGAAGATCGATCGGTCGGCGACCTCGACGCGGACAAGGCGGGACGGGAGATCAGTGTAGGTGCCCAGCCACTCCTTGGGGCTCCAGCACTTGTGGGCCAGGATAGCTTCCACCAAAAGCATGTCAGAGAGGGCATCGCCGACTGCCTGGTTGATGAGGTCGGTCAGGCCCTGGAGGGACTCGAGAGCACGTTGCTGGCCCGGAGATTGGGGCTCGGAGTTCTTGATCGCCTTCAGAGCATTCTCAGAAAACGTGATCGTGCCGTGGCCGTTCGCTTCAAAGTAGACCCCAACATCGAAGCGCAGGGCGGCGTGGTGAAGATGCTTCACACCGGTGTTGGTGCAGACAGAAGGAAGCTTCAGGACTTTCTCGATGTAGTCCGTGCTGGCGCCGTTGGCATAGGCAGTCTGCACCACACCGATCTTCAGCTTCTGAGCGATACCCGCGCTTCGAGCAAGATCGCCAATGAAGGAAGCAGCAAGGGTGGCAATGCGGTCACCATCAAGCAGCCTGAAAACATTACCCTCATCCATGAAATAGTAGACGATTCGGTCAGCGTCGCCATCCAGCGAAGCACAGCGTTCAAGCACGGAGGCTTTGGACGAAGGGGGAGCACGCTGCTTCGTCTTGACGTAATCGGCGCCGCACTAATAACCCGCTTAGTTACGGGGCCACCCTGTCAAGGCTCTGGAACTTACCTCAAAGTTCAACTTGTCGGGGTTGATAACATCATCGTTGACAACTCTGATTTCGAGGCCACCCTCCTCCGCACTGGGAAGGTACTTGATCAACTCCCTCAGCTTAGGTCCACCAACACCATTGGCGCAGTCAACAGTGAGAGGGCCCTTAGTCTTTACGCTCCTCATCACTCTCTTGAAGGCCGAAGCAAGCTTCTCATAGTATCCTTGCTCGGTCGGCTCGCCGTACTCGTACTGGGTACCCAGGGTGTTCTTGCATCGCACAACGTAATGAAGCTGAGGGGTGGTCATAAATTTCTGGTCAAGGAACTCGACCTCTGTCGCCGTAAGCGCAGTATTGATAACGCTGACCAGGCGAGACCCAGAAGCACGAGTGTCACGAGCGAAGACCACACGAGCTGGGTTTTCCATGCTGACATCGATCTCTTTGATCAGTTCATCATAGACATCGGCGATCTTATCCAACGGAGCATTGGCAAGTCTGGTCGCATAAGGCTCCCACTCGGCCTGTTTGACGAACATGTAAGCAAGTCCCTTTTACCACATATGTATAGTTGCAAGACATACTTCCAGCATTTCACCCTAGATATTTCCAGTTAGTAAATACACTCAAGCCTGTTCGTTTATTTTCCTTTCTGTACTCTCTTTCACATTTTTGGTTTTGTTTGTGTTTTATTTTTCGTTCCGGGAGAGATGCATATACGTACCATAGGATCAACCAGCTTCACACCATTGTCCTCTGCTGGGTTGTGACTCGCGGTAATCATGACACCAATCCATTGTCCACTAAGCTTCCTGGAACGAAGTCCAGCAAGCAAACCGACAGCAAAAACCACCGTATTGAGGATGTCGCTGCGAGAAGACGTTGGCCAAGTTGTAAATCAAAGGACGATCGCGGGGTATTGTGGAGGCGGGGCTGAGCGATCCTTCCGGGGGTCAAGGAGCAAAAAAGGAACCACGACTTACGCTTTCATGCGGAACTGCATAAAGGACGATGAAGTTAGCGCGGTCCTATCAGTAACGCGGAAGACGCAAGAAAAAAGACACTTACCCCCGCAGTGCCATACTGGAAGACCTTCCCCTCCGGCTTCACATATTGCGACGCGGCTTCGGTGATCGCGTTCTTAACGGCTTGAGACGCCATTGCGGCGCGTATTGGTTCAGGATATCGCTGGAGAGGGGCACTAAAATAATACACTAAAAGAGATGCGATTGAATGATAACACGCAAGTGTGGTTTGGAGATAGATAGCTTAAAAAACTAGGGAAAAGGGTCAAAAAAAAAGCAAGAGAAAGAAACAGCTTTGGGGTGAGACAGTGCAGTAAGCTAAGGTACAACAATTTAGTGCCGCTGCCCCTGAGCGGTGAGCCCGCCCGACCGGATGATAGGCTGAGTTGGGAGAACAAAAACATGCCACCCCAAAACATACAGGTGATTTAGTTTCTTAGAAATTGACTTTTCTCTTTACCGGTCATTAGGTGGAGTGTTGGAATTCACAGATTCACTTGGGTCATCCGTGTCTTGTTTACAACAATGGTATACCGAGTATCTCAACATAAATATTATACGGAGTGCATCGTATAGCAGTCACCTGGACCTACACAACAGCTGGCCACTTCCAATGCAAGCAGTCGAACAGAAAATTACCACAACTTCACATGTATAAGGCGAGTAAACACACACACATGTAGTTTACCGCTCAGGCCTTCAGCCGGTCTCCAGCCACGTCATCCTGGACGTCCTTGACAAGATATCTAAGAAGAGAGGGGCGTGTTAGCATTCCAGAAAACCCAGTACGTCGGGCAGCTGCAAACATACAGGTACCACCATAACGTTGGGATCACCGTCCCCAGATGCCATAAACTGTGAGCATCAATGAGCTCGTGCCAAGGAGCAAAGTCCAGCAATTCGAGGCTCATGGCCAGCATGATCCAGGCCACAATCAACGCAGGCCAAAGAGTCCAGGGCTTGTTGTTGCCCTGTTTCTGGTAGCGCGATACGCTGAAACCCACCCACAGAACATTGGAGATCATCCCGATCACGATATTCGCAATCATGTTGTAGGTATAATCCCAGGACCAGAAGCTGAGATAGCAGACATGCATCGTATACAGAAGGATGCAGGTTGCGGTCAGCAGGCGGCGCAGAGTCGGCTTGGGGGCGGGCTCTTCTTGGTCCAGGCGGAGAATTCGAATAACAGCAAGATACAAACCGTACATCACGTTCGCACCAGCGCCAAAGTAATCCAATTTCTCTGTCACAGCGAAGTCGCGAGTATGGAAGATCGTGCTAAACGTCCAGCACGCCAGACCGCAGTATCCGAACGCGATGTAGTATTTCCGGAGGGAGTGCCAGGCGGGAATGATTTCGCGTATACGACCCATGCCGTACCAATGGGCTAGGAAATTGAGGATAGAGAACAAGACCGAGAACGGTTCTTGCATGCCGAGGATTCTGCGGAACGGCCATTTGCCGTGGAATTGCACAACCGGAGTGATCATGGGGGGATCGCGGGCGACTCGACGGTCCGTAACAATGTGTTGGCAGGTATAATCGCACTCGGCGGGACAAGTCCACAGCATGAGGCGAAGGTGGAACGCTTATTGAGAGTCAATTAGCCCACTCGGATTGAAGGTAGATCGGACATTAGGACAAGCATACGGATGATAGACTCGCCATCGTTGCAGTTCTCAGTTTTGCATATCTGTGTCCTTGTGAGTAACTGTTTGAGATCATGATACTTGTTATGAGCTATGTACCTCAACACATTCCCTGAAATCCGGGAGATGATCGCCCAGGGAGGCTGTCGATTTGCCAATGAGACTCGCGAAAAGTACAAAGGACAATAGGGAAACAAAAGTCCCTTTCCTGGAGACCAACATCATGGTGCTGGGTAGAGCCGAGGAACCACTTGCGAAGACGCTGGACTTAAGGGGAGAGAGATAAAGTGCGGAGGCCGCAATCCGAGCGGAGCTGGTCAATTTGGAGAGTAGCTTGGCATTGCGCCGAGCCAATACCTCACCCCGAATGAGATGAATATTAATGTTTCGAATAAGGGAAATACAGTAAGAATTTACATAAAGTAAGATAGCATAGTATAATTATTTTATATCATACTGAGTTTATACGAAGCCGGACCGATGCGAGGGTCTCCAGTCACGTGACCCTAATCGGCGCAACTGTTATCGAAGGGTGCCTAAGCCGAAACGGGACTAGCTCAGGCGCAAATTAAGTCTTTGCAAGGTTCGCCGCAGCAGAAATTCCATGAAGGGTTAAAAAAAAAAAGTGCTCGAGGCAATCTTGGAGGCGCTTATCCTTCTTCTTCCTATCTGATTGCATTGCGGATTATAAATTTTCTCATTTATTTCTCCTACCCTTTTGTATTTTTGTTCGTTTCCCCATCTCTTTCTTGATCTTCTCCATTCTTACCATTTTATAATATCAGACGAGCTATAAGTATGAACGGGTCTGAGAGGCAATCGGTTGAGCCTGCTGGTATGACCAGCAGTGCGGATCGCATGGTGGGCATGGACCACGCTGAAGTGCGTTACTTTACCAGGTATACAAATCCTTCAGGCCTTGTTATTATTGTATAGACGGTTTGCTAACGAAATCATAGCTATGACCATCACGGTAACCACCAACGAATCCTTTTTGCGGATTAGAGAGACTAACATTTTTACCCCGCTCAGGAATCCATGAGGAAATGCTTGTGAGTAAAGTACCGGGACTATGACTAGCAACCACTTTGGCTAATGTGAATCGATTTGTAGAAAGACGATGTTCGCACGAGATCGTACCGCGATGCCATCTACCAGAACCGCCATGTCTTCAAGGACAAGATTGTGCTCGACGTTGGGTGCGGAACCGGCATCCTCAGCATGTATGTCATCCAATCCGGGAAGTTGCTTCAAAGCTTGGGTTTCTGACAAATTGGGATAAAAAGGTTCGCCATCAAGGCCGGTGCGAAGCATGTAATCGGCGTGGATATGTCCTCGATCATCGAAAAGGCTCGCGAGATTGTCGCTGCCAACGGAATGGCCGACAAGATCACCCTGCTCCAAGGAAAGATGGAAGAAGTCGTCCTGCCTTACCCCAAGGTTGATATCATCATCTCTGAGTGGATGGGCTACTTCCTTCTCTACGAAAGCATGCTGGATACCGTCCTTTACGCCCGTGACCGCTACCTCAACCCCGGTGGCAAGATCTTCCCCGACAAGGCCACCATGTATCTGGCGGGCATTGAGGATGGCGAGTACAAGGACGACAAGATCGGATGTAAGTCGTTTGTCTCTAGCAAGATCCGGGCCCATTGAAATACTAACGGGCGCTAGTCTGGGACAACGTGTACGGATTCGACTACTCCCCGATGAAGGAGATCGCCCTCACCGAGCCTCTGGTCGATACCGTCGAGATGAAGGCTTTGGTCACTGACCCTTGCCCCATCATCACCCTTGATCTCTACACCGTTACCCCTGCCGATCTCGCGTTCCGGTCGACGTTCTCGCTGCCTGTCAAGCGCAGCGACTTCGTTCATGCCGTCATTGCTTGGTTCGATATTGAATTCGGTGCTTGCCACAAGCCCATCACCTTCTCCACCGGCCCTCATGCCAAGTACACGCACTGGAAGCAGACTGTATTCTATTTGCGTGATGTCCTCACCGTCGAGGAAGAGGAAAGCGTGACTGGTGTGATCGAGAACAAGCCCAACGACAAGAACAAGCGTGACCTGGACATCAGCCTGTCTTACAAGCTTGAGACCACAGACCCTACTCGTACCTCGGAGGGTAGCTGTTTCTTCAGGATGTAAGCATATGCATTCCTTTGCATTGACGTTCATACTGGTACTGACTCATGAAGGTGCTAAATCCTTACAAATATTGGGGATCTACGATCCCTCTCCGATTTCACGTTATGTCAGTACATGGAATGGATCTCACGTGGCAGCATAGCATCGGCGGAAACTTACCTGGATGGATCTTGGGTTGCGGGAAGATCTCGACTTTTGCACTATTCTAGTTGATTTTTTTTCTTGTTCTTTTGTGAGATTTTTGTTCCGGCGTTGTTTTTTGTGGAAGTCAGGAACGGCATCATGATTCGGCGCGATGGTACGGAGAGATGATTTCCTGAACAGACGTTTATGAAGCTCCTCGAATTTTCCAAGTAGATACCCCGAGTCGACGCTCAGTCCCAGCACCGATGCTTGCCTTGTGCTTTGTTTCCAGAAAAATTCACTTGCTAGCTATCACTGTCCTTGATCCTCCATACAAGTAATGATTTACCCCACATCTTCACTTACTAGATAAACCTAGCGGACCCCATTGTGCAAGGGTGTTAGACTTGGTGGCTCCATTCGCCTGGGGAAGTTGAGTGGAATCGGGAATGCTTCGGCCAAAGCGGCGGACTGGGCCTCGGTTCGTGGTCGGGCCAACCCCGCAAATGAATTGATTGATTTGATCTGTCTAGACCGTCGGGTTAGTTAAAGAAGAGCTGCTCCGCCAGGTGTTGCATAGCTTGAGATTCACGTTTGCTACTTTATATCTTACTTGATTTCGATCGTACAGGCTTTCCATAAGCGCCACGTGTTACTTGAAACTCCTTATTTCAAGTGTTATTATTCTCGCCCTTCACATCCAACATATCGTAGATCAAAGTTCATCATGTCTGGTCCCGGAGTTGGTCACGAATTTCCTCCCCAGGAGGTTTCCTGGCAGAAGCGTGATGTCTTGCTCTTTGCGAACAGCATTGGTTGCAAGGCAGATGAGCTCCATTTCCTATATGTACGCCATGATACCCTCATTCATCGCTCCTCCGCTACCCATACTAAAACTGAACTCGCCTCTAGGAACTCCACCCAAACTTCGCCGTCTTCCCCACTTACCCCTTGATTATCCGTATGTATACTGATTCTTTTGTTTTTTATTTTCACCGGAGCGCAGAATGGTTAACTCTAGTTCCACCGTATAGCCTTCAAGCTTACTGACCAGGAGGTCACGGACTTCTATGCGCGTTCCAAGAGCTCTCCGATCCCTGGTGTGCCGCAGTTCGACAGCCGTCGCGCGGTAGACGGCCAGCGCAAGCTGACCGTCTTGAAGCCTTTGCCTCCCACCAGCGCCGGGAAGAAGTTCGAGCTGCGCAGCCGGGTCATTGGCGTCTATGACAAGGGCAAGTCGGGTTCTGTGATTGAGACTGAGCAATCGATCGTCGACACACAGTCTGGGGAGGTGTACTCGAAGACTGTGAGCAACGGGTTCTTCGTAGGACAGGGCAACTGGGGCGGCCCCAAGGGTATGAGAAACGCTTTTCCTTTAACAACTATAATCATATTCCACCTCAAGCAATTCCATTGCTGACACTACAGCCTCTTAGGTCCTAGCGCCGTGAGCTATGCGCCTCCGCAGGGCAAGAACCCGGATGCTGTACACGTTGTACAGACGACCAACGAAACCGCACACCTCTACCGGTACGCAGTACAACCCTATCGGGTTTTAAACCCAATTCTCGTACCCGGATTCTAACGTTGACTCCCTCCTAGACTGAATGGCGATTACAATCCGCTCCACGCCACACCCGAGCCCGGCCAACAGATGGGCTTCGGCGGCGTCATTATCCACGGACTCTTCAGCTGGAACACCGCCGCGCAGGGTATCTTGCGCGAGCTCGGAGGTAGCGACCCGAAGAATCTTCGGGAATTCCAGGCCCGATTTGCTTCGCCGGTCAAACCGGGCGACAAGCTGACCACGGAGATCTGGAGAATGGGAACTCGTGAGGGTGACTTTGAGGAGGTCCGGTTCGTGACCAAGAACGACAAGGGTAAGGTTGTTTTGAGCAATGGTCGCTGTCTCTTGAAGGTTACGGGGGCCAAGAGCAGGCTGTGATGGCTAGCCTATGTGAAACATGTTCTCGAAGGCAGTTAATAGTACTAGCAGAGTTTATAGCAACATCATGTCCGGCATTTTGGACGTGCAAAACACCGTACTGTAGACAATGTACTGATCGGTTGGCCATACTTTATGAAAGCAGTACCGAATTGTAAGGAGGAACGCGCAGAATTACGCGCCAGTCGCGAACTGCAGCTCTGAACAACTCGTTCCACACAGGCACAGTCATAATATGCAGTAATTTCCCTTCTATTCGAAGTGTCCAGTCATTTAAACTGCGGGACCGGATCGACTGTCGGATGACAAGGCACGTGATGCCGAGTCTAAGATGTGGGGCGCGCTTTATTAGTGAGTGCGGAGAGATGCGACATTCTCCCCAACTTCCCTCCGACTATCCACGGTTACCCCGAATCGCCTTACCCCAAGCCGCGCAACAAGGGCAATCTTGCGCATCTCAGAGGATTGCAGACTCGGGGATTCTCAAAGTAATGGCTCCGTGATTCTTTAACCGCGACAGGCTTGACTGACGTGATTATCAATTGGCAGTAGCATTGCGCAAATGTTCTCTTCGGCTAGACTTGCTGCCCGGTTGGTGAGTAACGGACTGAACAACAAGTGCCTTCAAGCAGATACTCTGCAATATAGCCATCCTATGGAACTAACATTGGCGGTTTCTGTTGTGACTAGGGAGCAGGTACCCGGTGTTTATCAACAAGTCGTAGACCTGTCCTGTCAGTCCCGCGGCAGCTGGTCTCGTGTCCACATACCGCGGTTTTTGAAGGGAAACGGACGAACTCGACGGCCTCGACTTCAAAGGAAGACAAACTTGAACCGGAAGACCGTCTACGTGAATTGATCGAAGGATCGAAAAAGCCGAGTCAAACGCCGGGGTCAGTAGACTCCAAGAATGGCATTTCATTGCGCATAAACAATGCGGGTCGTTTTGGGCTTTTGTAAGTGGGATTTGAATTAGGAATTTGGTTTCAAATATGGGAAGTATGCTAACTGATTATAGCGGAAAGACATTTCTCAGGGAAAATTGCCGTTGTCCAGAGTGCACTCATCCAGACACAATGCAACGCATTGTGGACACGTTCAAGGTGGGTGTAACTGAATCTTTGATAGTGGTCGTATCCTTGGCTGATACTGCGATGCTACAGATACCTAAGAACCTCAAGGCAGAGAAAGTAGACTACGATAAAGATGGTGTCATCGTGCAATGTATGTCTAATAAAGGACTCCCTCATGAACCCGAGTTGACTTTACCAAAGGGTCTGATGGACATCGCGCGACCTATCCGTTCTCTTTTCTCAATGTATATAGTCTTCAGCCCGGGGCAAAGAAATACCAATGGCCGGGATTGGATCTCAGGTAAGGTCTCTCAAATCCCTGTATTAGCGGAAATTGTTATTAACGTTTACCTCACCAGACCTGTGCCGACCCATTCCCCTTACGATCAAGCTTATCCCACAGTTCTGTTCTCGAGAGTCATGGAAGATGACCAGGGCTTACTTGAATGGCTTGATAACATTGTAGGTCACTCCAGCATCTGATATACCACGTCCCCGTTGCTGATGTTTGTGCAGTATGAGTGGGGCTTCTGCTTTGTCAAGGGCGTGCCCACGACCCCAGAAGCTACAGAAGAACTGTTGAAGCGGATAGCGTATATTCGACCTACTCATTACGGTACAAATTCCCGGCGCCCCTCCTGTGCATGATTCGGCAGCTAAAAGATAGTGTCAAGGCGGTTTCTGGGACTTTACGGCCGATTTGACGTTCAAGGACACGGCGTACACCACGGAGTTTCTCGGTGCCCACACGGATAATACCTACTTTACAGACCCCGCAAGACTCCAACTATTTCATCTTCTCTCCCACACTGATGGGGATGGAGGCGAGAGCTTACTTGTCGATGGGTTCCGAGCGGCCGAAACTCTGAGAGAGGAAAACACAACGAACTACTTTGCCCTTGGCTCAACTACACAACCGGCTCACTCGAGTGGCAACCCAGATGTTTGCATCCAGCCTGCACAGGAGTTCCCCGTGCTCAATTACCACCGGGGATTGAATCGGCTGTACCAGATCCGATGGAATAATTATGACCGCGCCCCGAAGATGGACTGGTCATTGAAACAGCAGACTGAGTGGTATCGCGCAGCAGGACACTGGGATTCAATAATCAAACGGAAGGACATGGAGATCTGGACCCAACTGGAGCCTGGGACTGCACTTAGTAAGTTAATCATATTAATGGATTTCATCCCCTTATATGTACAACAATGGGCTTACATGAAATCAGTTTTCGATAACTGGAGAATGCTCCACGGCCGGTCGCAGTTTACTGGGAAGCGCAGGATGTGTGGGGGCTACAGTACGTACTCTCCTTCCGGAGCTATGCTGGACAGACAAAAACCCAGACAAACGCTGACTCATTCCATTTAGTCAATAACGATGATTTCATCTCCAAGTACCGTCTCCTCAAATTTGGCCGCGAGCGAGTCTTGAAAAACCTTGGAAACTATCGGCGTTCTCCCATGAACCCAAGCTATTACCTATGAATGTAAATAAGTGCTTGATGGTTTTGTTTGCATAGCGATCTCGAGGGGGTGGAAGTTGACAGTCGGATGAATCCCAAGGCTGTACACTCGATATGTACATAGATGGAGAGTATGTCCACTCCGCTCTAGCAGTCAATAGAAGATTGATACCACATTGGGACGTGAGAACCTACTGTGGTTGGTACTACTCTCGGCCAAAACGATACAGTTTACATCATCAAAGTTGCAGCATTTACTCCTAGGCTACATGTTAAAGGAATTACGTAGATATCCGATCCATGCATTCAAACCAATGCATCCCTCTGAATATTCAAACCGAGTAAGAGCGATCCATGCCGGTATGAAGAACTAGATGTATAGTGGAGCATAAGTGTATACTGATGAACGATTAGTAAGTCATGAACAGCGCACGGCTCATTGATGGGTCATCACGTGACACAGGCAGGACAGCTGACGTTGTTTGACCGGGAGCTCAAGCATCATCTCTCAAGCTCACTTCCGGCCCTTCTCCCCATCTCTTTCCATTCGATTCCATTTCTGCTCACCCTTCCACCACCTTATTCAACTTCACATCTCTTCTAATATAAGTCCACACATTCACCACGCACCATGTCCACCTTGGAAGACCTTGACGACCTCGAGCGCGAGGAGAGAGACAAGAAGAAGGATCAGGGCGATGGCGATGGCAGGAAGCCCGACGGAGGCGACGGAGATGCCGACATGGGCGACGCTGAGAAGAAGGACGAGGGAGACGAGCTTTTGGATGACGAGATCCTGAGCTCCAGCACAGCGGACATCGTCAAGCGGCGGCGAATGCTGGAGAACGAGCTGCGCATAATGAAGAGCGAATTCCAACGATTGACACACGAACAGAGTACGATGCGGGAGAAGGTCAAGGACAACCAGGAGAAGATCGAGAATAACCGGTATGTCGGTCTTATCCCATCCCATCCCATCCCTAGGGGTGACGTGCTGTGGCGGTGGTGCAACACCGGGTCCTCGATTCAGCCGACTAACTATGTTCTTCTTTGTTCTTTCACAGACAACTACCATACTTGGTCGGAAATGTCGTCGAGTTGCTGGATCTGGATGTCGAGGCCGAGGCGGCCGAAGAAGGGGCCAACATCGACTTGGACGCAACCCGGGTCGGCAAGTCTGCTGTCATCAAAACGTCCACCCGCCAAACCATCTATCTCCCGCTCATCGGTCTCGTAGACCATGAGCAGCTCAAGCCCGGTGACCTGATCGGTGTGAACAAAGATTCCTATCTGGTGCTGGACACGCTACCGGCCGAGTACGACAACCGAGTGAAGGCCATGGAGGTCGATGAGAAGCCGACGGAGAAATACACGGACATTGGTGGCCTGGACAAGCAGATCGAGGAGATTGTCGAGGCTATCGTATGGCCGATGAAGGAGGCCGAACGCTTCAAGAAGCTGGGTATCAAGGCGCCGAAGGGTATGGCTTCCTCCATTTCTCCTCACCATCATTATACTCACCTCTATTCTTCCAGGTGCCCTGATGTACGGTCCCCCCGGTACCGGTAAGACTCTCCTCGCCCGAGCCTGTGCCGCCGAAACAAACGCGACATTCCTCAAGCTGGCGGGCCCGCAGTTGGTGCAGATGTTCATCGGTGACGGTGCCAAGCTGGTAAGAGACTGCTTCGCGCTGGCCAAGGAGAAAGCGCCCTCAATCATCTTCATCGACGAGTTGGACGCGGTAGGAACAAAGCGATTCGACTCGGAGAAGTCCGGTGACCGTGAAGTGCAGCGAACGATGCTGGAGCTGCTGAACCAGCTGGACGGTTTCGCCTCGGACGACCGCATCAAGGTCCTCGCCGCGACGAACCGCGTCGACGTGCTGGACCCTGCCCTCCTGCGATCCGGCCGTCTGGACCGCAAGATCGAGTTCCCTCTCCCCAACGAGGAGGCCCGCGCAAACATCCTGCAGATCCACTCGCGCAAGATGTCCGTCGAGGACTCCGTCAACTGGGCCGAGCTGGCCCGCAGCACCGACGAGTTCGGCGGTGCCCAGCTCAAGGCCGTCTGTGTTGAAGCTGGTATGATTGCGCTGCGCAAGGGTCTGAACAAGATCGGCCACGAGAATTACGTCGACGCTATTCTAGAAGTGCAGGCCAAGAAGAAGGACACCAACATGGGTATCTATGTCTAAATAGATTTCTTAGCATGTTTTTGTACTTATCCGGTTTTTTTGTGGTACATCTGTATCTACACTTCCATCGGGGTCTGATATATGTGCCGTTTCTGCCGATATTTGTTTTGCCTGTGGATTCCGTCGGCAAATAGATAAAACAGTAATGATATGGTCTGTCCTCGTTCTCTACCTTATCCTGTAGACAGGAGACACGTAATAAAAAAATAGAGAAAGGGAAAAGAGAGTACTTTAACATACGGACGCTATCTATTTCTATTCCGACTCTTTGCCAATCTGTCTAGAAACGAAGTAAACAAAACCCTCCGACTCCAACCATTTTCTGTATCCCCAAGCAAGAGAGAAATCGTATAACAATCCCCAGCAAAAAAAAAAAAATAGATAAGGGGAGAAGATGAACGATTCAAAATCAAAAATAACAAACAAATCCACGTCCCCAACATGCACCATTAAAAAACTCCCCCAAAATACACCAAATAGATCAATCCCATTATCCTCAAGACCGACTCTTCTGGCTTACAAACGTCACACTTTCCGAATCCGAATCAATAACGACAGGACGGTTTTCTTTCCCCACATCCTCCTCATCACTCGTTATCATCGTTGCGTCGTCGTCTTCGTCGCCGTCCACACTGTCATATTCCTCGTCGTCATCATCATCATCATCATCACCGGCATGATTCCCAGGGGCAGAATGGTGGCGTCCACGGCGATGCAAAATAGAGGAAGATGATGATGAAGAGGACGATGAAGTGCCCACCCCATTCGATATGGGTCTTGTCGAACGGAAGAACGGGTGATCTTCGCGAAGTGGCCATCCCTGACAGATGTATCCCATCGGGGTCTGGGAGATATCCTGGCCGGAGCGGCGGACGGACAGCCACTCATGCAGGAAGGCGAGGGTGCTTCTGGCCAGAAGAGAGCTATGCGCGGGTGTGCTGCGAGCTTCTGCGGTGCTATCTTTCCAGGACAGCATGGATGTCCAGTTGATGGACTTCATGGTGTTGAGGCTTAGGTGGTTCATGATGGGTTGGTAGTCTGCGTAGTGGAAGTAGAGACGGCCGGCTAGGAGGCCGATCTCGATCGGGAGCCATGCGGGAGGTTCCCATTTGAGGGGGAGACCAGGCAGAGCGAAGTACTTTAGGTGACTGAAGTGGAGCATTCGCTTTGTTACCGGCGCGGCGTAGAGGATGAGGTGGACGATGGGGTCGTTGTTGTTCTCGTTACTATTCGCTTCGCGGAGGATTGGGATGACAGCTTCAGCTTCTTCGGGGATGATAACGAGAGCGGTGTTTGTGCGCGGGCTCCAGAGAATCCAGTTCACAGGACGCTGGGACAATGAGTGATCAGCTGAGTCGGGTTCTGGATAGATTACGAGAGAGGACTTACTATCATGTTATCCATTTTTTCGGTGCGGTGCTTTTTGACGGTTTTGGTGAACTCCCAGGAAACGAACAAGTGGGCGAGGAAAGCTGAGCCTCTGATTTTGTATTTCCTCCCCAGCTCCGTCGATTCTAAGAATCTGGATGCCATGACGTATCCACGCTGACCCTGCAAACTTCCTGTATGGACGAAGTCTAGGATGTTTTGGTCGAGGCCTGGGAAGCTGAAAGGTTGGAAAGATGGAGGGCGCTGGACTTGTCTCTCTTCCTCAATTTCAAACGCCACTTCTCGCTCTTGCTCGACTTCTTCCAGCATCGACGTTGATATGCGGAAGATAGAATCTGCATGCCTCTGTCCTTCTGCCAATTTTTGTAGAAACCCCTTGATCTTCCAATGTACTGATCCGTCAGTAGGTATAGGGCCCTCAGTATCTCCCTCTCTAACTATCTTGGGCTGGTATAGTTCCTCGAGGGTCTGCTGTTCCGGTAGCTGTAGGACATCCAAATAATTCTTTCTATGATGAGAGTCCGTTAAGAATTTATTGTTAGTCCGAGACGCCTGCGTTCGGCGGCAGAAGTTGATCCCCTGTGCAAAGTACAGAGGCTGCAACTCTTCCAGATTGCGACAAGTCTGATCAAGAAGCCAAGTAATAACGTGCGAAGAATCAATCTGGTCATTAGGCTCTTTATCGCAAGTATCCAATATGCTCTGGTGAACTTCAGGGGGCGCAAGAAAGACAACCGACTGTGTCGTGCCCAACTGACGAAGTCGCATGGCCGCTACAAAGGTCAGCATCTTGGGATCAAGGTCTGCCTCAAGAATAGAACGAAAATCAACTCTTACCTTGAACAGTGTGGTCCTTCGTCTGATTCAATCCCAACGTCAACGCTCCCTCGGCACAAACTGGCAATTTTAAGTCCGTCCCTCGAGTATGGGCTTCGTCCAGGTAAACCAAACAGCCCTCCAGATTCTCGGCGAATGGCGTCGCCAGAAGGGGGATAGGAGCCCTTTTATTCCGGTACAAAACCCAAGGCTTTTCGTGCTCGCCAAAAAACACCGCAGCCTGTGCCTCGTTATCATGCTTCAGCCAGGTCTCAACGAACTGTCTATTATCCATCTCAAGCACGAAGGCTCCTGCGTCGATGAGAATCCGGATGTTGATGCGTGCCAGGAGACCGATCAAGTCTGTTTCACTCATCCGCTTCCCATTCCCCTTGACTGCAAGCATGTAGCGACGGTTTCGCTCTTGCAAGAGATATGTTAGAACCTCCGCGTTGGTGTGCGAAAGACCCGGTAGGTCTTGCTGTTCAATAGTGAGCGGAAGCAGTCGCCGGTTGTCGTTCGTCCCGCTGAAACCAGTAGTGAGACCAGGTCGATTTGGCCGAGGGCCCTGGGGCTGTTCTTCTTCGTCGAGTGACAGGAGGGGGATGTCCCATCCAGACGTCTGCAATTTGATGTTGAATTGCTTGGCATGAACTGGGAAGACAAAGTTGTTCAAGAAATGGTTGATCACGACGACAGTAAACCGTAGATGGCGCCATATTTCCGTAACTTGAGCGCTGTCATCCACGTTGATGATATTCCAGTGCCGCAAAGCTTCAGGTAATGTCGTGGACGCTTGCGTCCACCGATCGTACTCAGTGGCAGGATCGTCTGACTTCAAAATCCACTGTAAGCTCTGTCCAAGCTGTGCCTCTGTGAGACCTTCATAATAGAATGCTAGACAGGTGAAGAGAATCGCCACATCGGGATGGCCCCACTCAGCCTGGTCAGAAGGAACACCCTTCGCACGGAACGGAACCGCGATAGGGTCTCGTCCATGGTGAAGGCCATATTGAACGTTCCACCTCTTTTTCAGGCACAGTAATAGGATACCATGAACGAACAGTCCACGGAGAAGATAAACGACCTTCCTAGCATACAGGGTGCCTGGAAATAACTGTGCCACGCGATCAGATACAGACTTCGTGACTGCTTCTTTCGATATGAAGTCCCGAATCATCTGCTTCTCCTCGTTGGTACAGTCATGGATTGGCACAAGGAACAACCGGCCACTGCAGACATCGTCCACTAGTCTGCCTATCAGAGCGTGCTCTACATCTTTTCGCAAGAAATAAGCCATTGGAAATCCAGTCCCTGCGCGCTCGACGACATCGACGCTGTGTGGAAAATTCCGAGAAAGGTCTCGGAGGTGGTCAACCACCAAAGTTAAGATGGTCTCCACAACTTCCCATCGACGAGGATGGCCGTCAACCGACAATTGTGAGCCACTAGGGTAGATAAGCTGGATTCTAACAGCCAAGGTAAAGTCGCACTCGTCAAGGACATCCCGACACACTTCACTCATCCAGCGCGAGGTCGCCACCATCTCCGTTGCCTGGGTTATCTTGGAATCTGAGACTCCTTGTAGACCGCTAAGTCCGAATGAAAGGACATGCTCTGGAATGTCTAGAACAATGCCTGAACTGCGTAGCATGTCTTCATGCATCTGCCGATATTCCTGAAGAAGGCCAGGTGAAATCGGGGTCCTCCGGGAGAAGGGAACATGGCTGATCTCTTTTCCCACGAGACCCCCAAGTCTAGATTGGAGGATCTCCACCGTCTGCGTCAATAATGAGCGCGGGACAATGAACCTGCTCAGCATCGACCCATTGGCAAAGACGCATGCAAGCATGGCCATGATGACGGATGTTTTCCCCTGACCCATGTTCATCTGCAATGCGGTATTTGAACCGGATGAAGGGCATATCATCTCCAAGGCAACGTCGACTTGATCCTCACGGATGCATATGTTGGAGTCAATCTCCAGTAGAAGCCAGTCTGGGAAACGGATTGGCTCCCAATTGATGTGGCTGGAGCTATTCTGTTCCTGAGCTAGCTTCCTGTTGTCTTTTCTCTTCAAGGCATCGTTTATCCGAAGTAGACGCTGCAAGTCCCCGATAGCCTGCGCATACAGCACGAGCGCCTCCTTCATGTTCTGCCCGTAATTATGGCGGTGGGTAGATCGTAATTGCTCAAGGACTGCGACAGACGTAGTGCAAGGCCACAGCATTCCTTGTTGGAGCCAATGATATCTGTCGTCGTTGTGCGTGAATGAAGCGCATATTCTCTCATGGCTCTGGTTGACCATGTAGCGGGCGTCTGCTATTTCGCGGTCAAGGTTATCATACCCTCTTACGCCAGACTCTGGACCTGGTCTGATTGTTCTCAACGCCATGATGCTCTTCTTCAAGTCCTGGCTGTACAGAGATCGCACGGACGAATTTGATCCTGCCAGGCTGTCTACAACAGCTTCAAGCTCATCAATTTCTGGCGTCGGCTGCTTGTAGGATACCGTCAGGTGGTTCATATCTGCACACAACCCATCTAGTTGGAAAGAAAAAGACCGCGCTCTTTTGCTCGGCCTATTGTATAGTTCAAACTTGTATTCTCTTTGAACCAACTCAGTGCCCGAACGCGGAAGGGAATATGTGTTAGCTTTGACAGGCTCATACAACTGCGCCTCGGGCCTGGGAGGCTCGGGAGTACCAGTCTTTTTTGTCCAGCGTCTGTTGTGAACACTCTCTACTAGCTCCATATGATATTGAAATCCTGTGTTATCGTCTATCCGACGCCATTCTGGAAGAACAGCCTCTAAGGCTTTGCTTTTGTCAAGGAGGGATCCAGAATATTCATCCACGTGGGGAGATTGGCATGGCCACTGATCGATTATGAACTGCACAAAATCATCGGTTATATCACCACACGCTTTGTTGTGATCGTCTCTCTGTGATTCGGCTATTCTGAGCGCTTCTGGATCATTTCGCTTCTTCTTTGGGAGTGGGATCTCCTCGTACGGTCGACAGCATGGTCTGACGACAGCTGCCAGAGCACTAACGTCGAGTTCCTCGTCCCTTTTAAACCCGACAAAAGACTGACCACAGGGATACAATAGCGCTCTAAGTTCCTTCATCAGGAAGAAAGATATCAATGACCGAATCAAACCCATGTCAGCATCGCTGCGAAAAGCTATCAGGCCCACGAAAAACATGATGAAGCTTTCTCCTTGTGGCGGCGTACACCGACAAAAATTGACCAGCGCACCCCAACGTTCACCAATGTTGATGTTCAAGCACTCCTCTAAAGAGGACGGGAGGAATATGCTTTCATACCCTCCAATGACCGGCCACTTCTCAAGGATCCCCCCCAGGTCGTCCGGTGTGTTGATCAGCCCTGGTTTCTCATGTAACAAGGTCGCGACCTCGCGAACATTCAATAACCTTTCGGTGGCTTCCCGGACATTTCGACCCAAATAGCGCTTAGCAGGGACAGGAGAGAGATGTTTGTTTAGCTTCCCTGGACGTTCATATATGAGTCTTCGCCAATGAGCTCGTTCTTGGAGAGGATGACTTTGGGTCATTGGTGAAGGCTTCGTGCTCGACAAAGCAGGGTCAAGGTTGAAGACAGCCAATCGCCGGGATTTGTTCAAAATGCGGTTGACCATGGACAAGAACGACTCATGTTGAATTGTGGTGGTCAAGTGTGGACTCCAGGAGACAGTTTGTTGGGTTTTCAAATCCTTTGGATAGTATGATCGCCGCGGGGTCAAAGCAGTCAACGTCGCTAACAATGCCTGCCCCCCAGGTCTGAGAGGCTCCCACGGTTGACAGCCCCCAGATTGGAGACACTGCAGAGCCTCTTCTGTACCGGTACGGCCTGTGAGGGGATCAGGTAAAACGAACGACGTGTACGCGTGTAGTTGAGCCTTGGTATACAGTAACAGCGGTTCTGGCGGGCACTTCAACCGTCCTAGTACATCATCAATGATGTACCTGCCGTAGTCCCCATTATTGGCTTTACGGACAAACACGTGGACTCCTTTCTGTTCAAACTGTATGTCTCCAAGAGTAACAAGGATGCTGCGCCTTGAAGGAATTTGCGTGTCTCGTAGCACAAGCATGCTTCGCAATCCGTAAAAAGTCCCCGCATCTTGATCCGTGTCTATTTCCGAAGACAATCGTTTACATGTCAGCAGGCGTCGTCTGTTCACTCGAAAATCAAGGTCCATGCGCTTCAGCTCAACTGAGAGATTGGTATTCAGTGGCTGGAACACGGTTAGCCCTAGTGGAGATTCGAAATTGTCGAAGATATGGGCCACTTTATTGAAAAGCTGGCTATGGGGATCGACCAGGTAACTTGTCCGCCTGTACCCTACGCTCGCGCGGAGATCAATGTTCCAATCCGATGCCCTTCCTCGCCATATAACCGGCTTTCGTCTGGCTTCGATGACCTGGGTCTGCAGGTTGACCCAATGAACACAGTCGAAAACAATCGACCCAGATAGATCCAGGTTGGCTTCATGGCCAAATACATGCTGAGGTACGTATTCGAAGACAACGTCAGATCTGGCAGCTCGTATTACTAGTTGCTGTTCTCTGCGGCCAAGGTGAATCCGGTAGCCGTCTTTATTTAACCCAAGCACGTACTCCATCCCGGGCATGGTTGAGGGGAATGCGAGCAGTCGCTCAGGGCCAAACAAGAAATTCAACTCTTCGGAGTCTCTCATCTCCGGCGGCAGCTTCCCCAGCGCCTTTCCTCCAACAAGAAGGTAGCCCTGGAGCAAATGGTAGTGTACGGTTTGCGGCATCGTATTTTGGGTGGCTTTGACTTTGGCTGTAATCCAATTTTCGTGCGGCTGCGGTAAGAAAGACCACGGAGTGTACTGCCGTGGATCATCTGTAACTTCCGGCCAAATTGTGCTAATAGCAGCTTCGAGGCTCTCGGGATGTTGTTCCACCGCATGATGAAGAAGGACCTCGAAGCTGAATGTCATCTTGATATCGCGCACAAACATGTTCATCAGTTCTGTTGGCATCTCCTTGAGATCCCCCATATGCTCTTGCATAGCTAGTGTAGCCTTGACATAGGACTCCAGGCCTATTCGGTTCAATTCTTCCTCATAGTACGCATGCTGCTCAAAAGTCCTGCGACAGAGCAGCGCTGAAATAAATCCGTATCGAGCCACTCTTTTGTAACACCCACATCTTCAGTGCTATTTAACTCACTTTGTATCAGATCAAGCCATGCCAGTGTAACATTTCGGATCTTGGCAAGAAGAGTGTCTGCCTTGGCTAAAATTCTTTCGTGCCCAAGTGAGCAAACTCGCAATGTCAGTGTCAAAATGGTTTCCATATAGTAACCCTCCCGCCAGTTACTGGAGATGGCTTCAACATGCCGGTCAACCTGCTCAATCAGTCTATCGCAAAATTCCGGGTCCTTAAGAATGACATGGACAGCCCGAAGCATGTCATCTCTGAATTGGGGCCCTGCCTGGAGGACTATGTGACGGAAGAGCTCCATGGTGTCTTGAAGGCTGAAGTTCATATTAGATGAGCCGAGCTCAGCGAGAATGGACAACCATCTGCGAGTGGTGCCCGAGAAAAGACTATGATGTGCCATAAACTCGTGCACTGTCAGCGCGGGTGGGCATTTCGTGATGTCTGAAATAGTCTGGTAAGACGACGGGCCAGGCCCATCCGCTGCAAATTCAGAGGAAGAATAAAGGCCAGACAACGGGAGACCGGTTGGCAAGACTATGTGAAAATGATGGGCCAGGCTTAGTCGTTCTGGAAGATCGCGAGCCCAGATCTTGCAGACTGAGCTATAGTACCCGAGCTTCAACGGGTTAGGTAGTAGCACATCGTGAGGCTGAGCCGGCAAGCGAGTTGTCTTGTAGTGCGTATCATAGTAGGACTTTGTAGTAGATGCTAGCGAGGATCGCGGCTTTTCTCTGCGATTGAATCTTGCGAGCGGAGAATAATCGCATAGCATAATTTCTGGTTTAGATGGCGTTATTTTTACCCCGGCCATGGCAGACCGGCCCTTTGGCAGGCAAAATTTGTTGATTATCATCCAAGTAATGGTACGATATGCTGAGAACGCGCTAGGTGCATCCAGCTCAAATACGACAGACCTGCGTCGAGCTCTAGCATCCGGACTCTCAGAGGGAAGCAAGTCTTCATGGACATTGATCTTGAGGCGCCTTCGACGTCTCACATAGTAGCAATGGCTACAGCCACGGATATCGTGGGAACCGTTGTCTGCCAGTCGCTGAGTACACGAACTTGAGCTTATTTTCCGAGTTAGGTCATGCCACTCGTTATTGAGGGCTTCCAACTCAGCTTCCTTGCCGTCCCGCTGCTTTTTAGACACCGACTCAATGTCCGCTTCAAGCTCTCGCAAATATTCTGCGTCATTGGTTTCGAAATAATGATCAGCAAAGCATCCTGGTCTGGGATCAGTAAAGACGGTCATTGCAGATGGGCCAGCCAGTTCGTATCGCTCGTCGAGGTATTTTTGGATAATCCGTAGACGCTCCATGTCCCTCGGTGTTGACAGGAGGAGCACATCCAGCATTTTCGATTCAAACACTAGGCGATAGTCGTACAGGAGAGGATACGCATCAGTAGCGCACTCGTCCAGGTCAACCCATAGATCGAAGACATTCAACATGAAGGTGCCCATTTGTTCAGTGTTGCGATCATAAGAGTCGCCAACAGACTGCAGGTATGTTTCAATCTGCTTTGAGATGCTGAGGCACAGATCCTCTGCATCCTTTTGAGAGGTTGGAAACTTATGGTCAGTGAGCGCAATGATGACCTCCAGGCCTGCTATTTCAGAGTGGCGCGTAATCAAAGCTTCAAGATCCTCATTGATGTAATTCTTCAGGATCGCCGGGCCCGGAGTCGTATCATGATGCAACAGTCTGGTTCTGTTCTGGACATTGGCGAAGAGGTTCTCGAAATAAGGTCTGCTATTTGGAAGGGCCAAACGAAAGTCGGCTTCTTTCGCTCGAAACGGAAGGAGCGGTATCCTTCTCTGGGCGTTTTCTTGGAAAGAACTCCATTGTGCATTGATAGCGTGCTTAGCAGTATCAATCGCTTTCTGACAGAAAGGGGCAATATATCCATACAAATGGCAGTATCTCTCGAGATTGAAGGGTGTCAAGTTTTTTTTGCAGGTCTCCAATTTGGCTAAGCGGCGGCATAGCTTAGCTTTGAGAAGATGGCAAAGATGCGGGTTCAATTTTTCGGCAGAGTCCAGCAGCAGGCGGGCCAAAAGGAAGCACATCAAGAATTTGTAATTGATCATCCCCAACTCGGCGCCCAGTTCCAAGTAAAGAAGACGTTGCACAGTCACGCGCAAGACTAGCCAAAAAGGACATCGACGCCATGGTATCTTCGCATTTTCCCAGCAGACATCATCTTTGACACGTTTACGAAGCAACGGGGGATAATCAGGAGATCCATTCACCTCGAGAATGGTCATCAAAAATTCCGTTATGAGGGCAGGGTCCATGGTATCGCGCTCTTCTGCGATTTCAACACCGGCCTTCCGTGCCTTCGCGGCAAACTCTCCCAGGGGCTCGACACCAGCCATTGCAAGAAAGTTGGCCAGGGATTTTTGCAAATATGGGTCCTGAAACTTGGAGAGAGGAAGAGACACGGCGACGGTAGGGAAGTCCCATTCCAGGGCACCTTTTGCGGCCAGAGCCACCTCTGACGGAGGCGATGCCTCAAATGCTTCGAACTTTACGGTGTCATTCCTGTGAGAGAAAGAGAAAAAAAGGCAAAGTGATCAGAGTCATCCACCGGGAGTAAATGAGAAATGGGGGTAAGGTCTCACTCAGTTTGGCGTATAAGGATAGCAGCGTTCTGCTCCTTGAGGTACAGAAGGATTGTTTGTCCAGGCTGTAAGTTTTCAAAATCGCCCAGGATTGCCTCTTCGTCGACAGCCTCGTTCTCATCCATCACAATACCAGACTTCAAAGCCGCCGCGACGCGTCTCCATGTGGGTGCCACATCATCTGTAGATTGACTCCTGAGTTGCTGGATCGCGATAATCATGCGGAATTGAAGGTTCTTTTCCACTTCTCTGATGTCATCATCCTGACTTCCCGGTAACTTTGGAGGCAAGACGATGTGATTGAAAACGTGCTCCAAAACGGAAAATGTGGAAGCCATGGTTGGAGGAGACAGGCTTATGACCTAGACCATGCAGACGAAAGATGCCTGATACAAGAGTGTTGAAGTATGGGAGAATGGAGATGGGGGGTCAAATCCATACTATACACATAAGGATGGAGTACAAACGACAGACGTGACATGTCAAGGGGAGGCAAGAGTCTTCAAAGAAATCAGGCCAGATGGGCAGAAAGGCATGGTTTACAGTCACTGATAGAAAATTGTCTCTTTTATGTGTGAATGACCCAAGTGAAGTGAGAAATGCTTTGATTGCCAGGAGCTGCTTTCACTTGGGGCCTGGTAAACAGCCCTGGACGCAGTGAATAAAACAGTACCTAGTATAAAGACTGGTACTACGACACCTGAGTCCACATTAGCCACATAATTTGAAATACAGGGAAATTAGACTGCTTTGAAGTAGCATGCCAATTTAAGATTGAAGTACTTTGATCACTGCCATTGAAACCATAATGGCCGTATGCCATTGTTCGGCATATTCATGTTGGAAGTATGAAAGATGAAGCCGAGTGGGGGGGACAACAGCGGAGGCCGGAGAAAGACTTAGTCCATATGACCTGTCATGTCCGATAAGCCGCTTATCGCAGACGACATCGAGTGATGGACAACATTCTTATATTACCAGCAGCATGGTTTTATTTATGGAACTCTAGACTGTTGCTATGTAAATGTGTATAGCTCTGCATAACTACTAGGTAGGATCCATGCAACACTATCAAATATGACTATCCAGCAGATGAAAAAGAGACAACCTAACCAGAGGTCATCCTTCCACATCCACCAAACGATGTATTATGTACTAACTCGATCCCCAGTAACGGGTTCTGTAGAGTATACTGTACAAATATCTAGGCCAGCGAACGAACCCAGATACAAAACTTGAAGGAAACAAGAGAAGAAGAAAAAACGACTGGGAAGAGCCTCACAATAGATACAGGCAGAGACTTCATATGTACTCAAGAAAATTAAAGAAGGGGAAACAAACAGGATAAAGAGAGGGGGAAAAGAGCAGAAGAAAACGAAGAGGATATATAACTGCGCCCCGTGATTCCACCGTTGGTCAAAGCGCCATGGATAAAAGCAATTAAGGAAAGAGAAAGGAAAAGAAAGCGGAGGGAAGAGACGTCTCTCGCTCCTCTTGGATCGAGGGTAGATTATTATGTAGGTCCGAGATTGAATAAGAGATTTGGAAAAGGGACACCGGTCCCCGTCTCCGATGTCATTATGCAAGATGGCCGATGGAATGACTGAAAGGGGGATGAGACGTTCCATAGGTATGCGTTGAAGGAGAATCGTCCAGTCCGTCCGTAAACACCGTTTCAACGCGTCTGGGGCCGCGTATTCCGTGCATTGTTGATTGGGATATAGAAAGAAACGGATGGTTGTGAAGAAAGGCATGTAACCGTAAAGTCGAGATGGGAGAGGCATTATGGGAGCAAGCCGTTAGATCATGCTGGTTAAAACAGCTGTTTCACATCAATGGCCTCGACTTTCTTAGGACGCTCTCGCTCCATGTGAAACCACCAATCTCGACCACTCTTGTGGCTGTAATTCCAGGACCCAGTGCAGCTGTCTTTCTCCCAGGGCAAGGCCGACATCGATGAGGGGCTCATCGGCGTGACCGGCGTTGTCGGTGTATTAGGACTTGTGCCCATTGTCGAGCGGCTGCCGAGACTGCCCCAGCCGAACCGGGAGGCGGTTGTTGACGCTGGAGACGGGGGCTCCTCCGGAGGCGGGATGACACCACCTTTGTTGCCAAAGCAATTCACTCCGACGCCCGCCGCATATGTCAACGACTGGTTGGTCGCCAGGATTTGCTTCCATCCGAGCAGACCCCCGTCCGCCTCCTGGCCGGGGAGATCCGGGCGAAGGACGAAGCGCGGGATTGACACGCCGTTTCCACCGACCTTGCATCCGGTGCGGCCCATATAGGCGGGCATGCGCGAGTCATACACGATCAAAGGGCCCTCCGGTTCTTCCATAAACTCGAGGTCCTCCTTGGGCTGTTTCCGGGTTCGCCACTCTCCAAGTTGGTTCATTTCCATGTTCTCCAGTTCGTCGTCCGACATGGTCTCCAGGGCAACATCAGGCACGAACGAGTCCGAATGATCGTCGATGAGTACCCTCAGTCCCGTTTCCGTATCTTTCGCTGCCATGTCGATGAATGTCTGGGCGCGGATCCGTGCCGATGTCAAGTTGTTCCCTGCAGGCAGGGCCAATGGCCGGGTGTTCACGGAACCATGGGAGCTGCGCGGAAGGCTATATCGGTCGGGCTGGAGCAGGGCTTGTCCGCTGGGGATCGGCCGACAAACGCCCTGGAGCACGCCCGGGGGCTCGATATCGGACGGGGCGCGAAGGGCTTCGAGGTTGGGGAAGCCCGCCGAGAGTATACTTTGGGCAAGATGGGAATTCGGCGTGTCCACGTGCTTCGGTGGTTTGGCAAAGGGGGCCGAGTCGAACTTGGTGAGTGCGGTGCCGGGGTTAGGGCAGGCGACATCCCAGTGCAGGTACTTGAGGCTGGACGACGCGAGTATCGGTTGGAAAACGATCCCATCGGCACTCAAAGTGGGACATCGGTTTGTCTGAACAAACTTGAAGCGCTCCAAATGACGCAGAGATGACAAGATCTTGGAGATCACAAGCAACGAATCGATATCCTGTTCAATGAGGGTGAATGACTTGAGTGAACTCGACTCCGGACGCGAGGTGTACTGTGTTAAACCAGTATCTGTGACACCGGGCAGGGACTCCAGTCGAAGGGACTCCAGCGGCGGCAGGCACAATAGGGCACTATCGCCAAAGGCGTCGTCGTTGAAGTTGGAGATGCAGAGGTTTCGAAGCGAGGGGAGCAAGTTGAACATGCGAAGAAAGAGACTCGGCTCAAGCGCACTCTTCTCGTTCAGGGCGTAGAGCATCAGGGTTTCCAAGTTCGTCCAGGAAGCATGATAGTCCAGAAACTCAAACATCTGCAGCGGTCCCAAACTCCCCGGGCACGACGTGCTGCGAGGGGAGTCTTCCGACACCTCGGGGGCTTCTCCCAAGATCCAGGTATGCTCCTTCAACTTGCGCCTGGTCGATAATGCGTGCGTCAGTCGGTCGAATTCGTGGTGATACGGGATGCTCAGGCCCATCAGTCGCTCCAGGTTCGGGCAAACCATGATGACGGAGGCAACCAGATCGCGATATTCCTGCCACTGGGTGCTGTGCTTGCTCGTGGTGAACAGCAAATCCATCTGCGGGACGCGCAGCTCCAGGACGAGGTTGGCCAGCAACTTCCTTTCCCGGAGCGTGCGTCGGAGAAGCTTCAAGCGGCTTCCCCGCTTTAATTTGTATTTCTTCAACTGGGCTGGCGAATCATTCCCGACGATGTGAATCCGATTGTATCTAACGAGTGGCGTTTCAGTCAGCATGTCTTCTTCGACGCACAGTAACCCACCAACTCACAGTCGAGCGCGAACTGCCTTTTCCCAAGGTCGGCATGTCAAGGACAACGCATGCAAATCCCGCTGGAAGCACGTTACACATCCTGATTGGCATGATCCGGTGTGCAGGATTTCAAGCTGGTCTATGATGTTTTCGTATACTTCTTGGGGGACACGTTTGAAGATGGATTCGAGGATCTTATCCAAGGAGGCGGCGGAGTCGCATTGGCGATACGACGAGGTAGACGGGGTCGGAGAGTAGGCAGTGGGTGCGGTCGAGGCACTGTAGTTGGTTTTGAAGGAGGAAACGGAGGAGGATCGAGAGGAAACTGGCTGAACCGGGGCGCCAAATCCCGAGTCCTTGTAGTTCTGAGCGTATTCTGGCTGATGGGCGATTGGCGTGTAAGGAACGGCCGCGTTCTCTGGTCTACTGGCGACAGCGTTCATCGTGAACCCTTGATTCGCATTTGAGGGACATCAAGACCGGGACTCGAGCAAGCAAGGGCGGACAGAAGACGATGGCGACCTTTGATAGAGAACGAGGAAGAGAAAGGAGAGAAAAAAAGGTAATTGAGTGGAGAAAAGGACGGGCGACAGGGGGAGAATGCTGAATTGTTTGGTCGGTATGTACGGATAGAAACCCAAAAAAATAATGATATATGAAAATAAAAAAATCAAAGATAAGGAGAGAAAAGATAGGGAAAAGGTTTGATATACTCGATCCCACGGACCAAAGAGTGTTCCAGACAGGAATAAAAAGATCCAAAAAGAAAAGAATGTATGTATGTATGTATGTATGTATGTATGAATAAAACTAAATGGTTAATAGTCGAAGAAGAAAAAGGAAAGACAAGGCTATTTTAGGATTTGATTCTGGGATGAAAAACGAGGGGAACAAAGCGCGGGTTTGACTACAAGCAGGCAAGAACATGGTGAACTAGTGAGTCCAAAAGGAGCTTAACCCAGGGCTCATTCATGCAAAATCGCGTTTCGAGGGCATCCCACAGGCACGCCAACTGCTGGGTTGAGTTTAGACGAAGCGGGCTAAAGGGGATGGGACGGCATCGGACGGCCGATCCTCCCCACAAAAGGAATGATGATCTTGGATTTGCTCATCTGTAAGCACTGTGTCGTCTGGTGAGGGTGTGTCACCGACACTCGTGCCAAATCAATCCCCTTCGGACAGGCAACGGCCGTGTGTAGGCAGCTCGTGCAGGTATGTCCTCACCGCTATCAGGACGCGTCGCGAGATATCCTATCCCCAATGGCGAAGGAGAGTCTCCCAAAGGTTTGGTCGAAAAGGGATATGATTAAAACAGAAAGAGCAATAGGGGAAAAGAACCGTAGCGGGACTAAAGCGTTAGTTGGAGAGTTAGTCCTCTTGAGAAAGGATTGGCGGGTAGTTGGCATAAACCCAAATCAGTAAAGATGTGAGCTTTGACTCCGCAATTCTGGGCGATTATTTTCTCATGGAGGTTGAACAAGCATGCCGTCAAGAGACTGGGGCATGGCACTAGCCCACCGACGCGAGAGACTTTGAGACTATTGCCATTCCGATGACGCCAGGGACGAGCCCAAGGTAAGGTGAGTAACAGAGGCTGGGAAGGGGAAAAAAAGAAGAAACTGAGTCCGAACTGCCCAAGTCACCTGTTTGCAAACCCGTGGGATCCTTCCTCCTTTGGGTTTAGCGTGCTGTTCCTGACGCTAGGCCCTTCTGCGTATGACTAATATTCCTTGGCGAACCCCTTTTCCTGTCCTCTCAGTCCTCAAGCCCTCACTCCCCTAACGTATTACTAGACAATACTCGAGGAGTAATACTCGGCGAGTCCTACTCAGTATCTTTCAGTCAGAGCAACGAGACACAGTCATCACGGATCAATCTTTGCAGGATTCGTCCCTCTCCTAACCACACCATTCGGTTCGAACGATGGGGTGAGACCCTTTACGAGAACACCCGCTGATTGGTGCTCTGTCTCTCACGTCAATCAATCCCCGGCATCAATGCAATCAATTGGATGGGTTTGTCTCAAATACCTGACTCGGTATCCTAAAGTACTATCAATCCCTGCCAGTCCAGCAAACCCGCACAGAACGCCCACTGATACTTGCCGTAACATGAAAATCAAACATCAACCTCTCCTCATCCCCCCTCCCCCCCTCAAGATCGACATCAGAAATGGGGATGGTCAGGAATGGTGGACCCCGCCACCCCGACCAGTGCATGCAGTGCGAGATAACTATCTGCAGCGCCAGTATCCAGTGAACCGTATGGCGCCTAGGGCTGATTGTGAAACACGAGCGCCGTTCATCGAGTCGTATCAAGTGGGCGTATCATATCCGGAGTGGGTCATGATCAGGAAGCTGATTCCACTCTTGAACCCCGCCAAAAGGGATAAAAGAGTTGGTTTTATGTAGCCCCTAACAGCCAGAAAAGAAAGACCTTGCGCAGCGGTTCGGATTGAGATCAAGCCGTGAAGGAGCACGTACCTCGCCATCGAAGACTGACGTACATGAAACTGAACGCTGCGGTGATTGACAAGTGGATCAGGCGGTTTTCCCACGGTACTCCGTCCTAACACCGGCAGAGGTGACTTTGATCGAATTTTTCCTTCCCTCCAATCCTAGACGAATAACACAAACAGTGAGACACACTCCATTTCTCAAGTAAAAGACACTCTCTCAGTGAAACAACAAGCATGTATACGTAAGTACTAAATGAGATTCTAAGACAGCATATATACTCCTACTATATATAACACAACCTCCTAATTACACAATATATTACTAGATACTCGGTACCTACATATTAACCAAACTAATACTACCTACCTACAGAACACCTTTCCAAAACAAGCACCCTACATATGTGGAATGATGCCATTCCATCCAATAAACTCAATTCCCGGTAAAAAAAGACTTTTCCAGCCATAGCGAACCAGTATTTGGTTCCCTAAGGCAATCGACGCATGCAGGTTGCACACGTGGGACATTGGGCTCCTTTCCTCTTTCTTTCTTTCTTTATCCCGCCCCTTGTTCTCCCCGAGGTTCTAAACATCGGTACTTATTTACCTACCCATTATTTACCTGACTATTTTTCTTCTTTCAGGGGGAAACACAAACACACGCACCTACAAAGTATGAAAACAAAGATTGGCAAATCCTTCCAGGTAACCATAAAACCAAAAATAAATCGCTTATAATATACCAAATATAACCAACTACACTACAACCCAACAGCAAAGCAAGTAAGAGTCACGAACCTACAAGGATAAGACGGGGATTTTCCCGCCCCCAACCACCTATAATGACTCGTTCGTGCACGGTGGCTGAAGTTTATTAGCTAAATTACTGTTTACACACATACCGTGGGCTAACTGGCTAACTATGGCCCCTAAGGAACCACTGCCTTCCCGAGGCTAGTCATGTAATTGAAAACCCGCACCGTAAGGAACAGAGCTATAATCCGTTCATAATGCGTAGTCAGTCCGAACTATCATTTCAGATATGCACTGCCTAATCTGGACATCTTTTATCACTTGATTAAGCTATGTGTATCTTCAGGCCACACACACATACACAAGTAGTTCGGTTTGAGTCACATATACAGATATTAGTTATAGAATCAATTATCTCTCCACACAATACACTATTTACCTGAGTATTCAATATATAAAGTCAATCCTAAATAGTGTGTCAATATACTCTTGTTTGTTTCTTTTCTTTCTATTGCTTCTTGTCTTACTTTTCGTTTTAATTTTATTCAAACCTGAACTTGAAGAATAAATATATGGAATATATAATACCCCTGTTGCCTTGAGTGAGATGACGTACGTAACACGAGGTAGACTTCGTATACGACATTGTTGACCTACTTGATACGAGGTACCTAGCTGTCGGGATTCTACTATCGATATCTTTATTTTTATATATAGATATAGACATGAATAGGTGGAGGCCTTGGATCAGGTGTAAAACGGGCATCTCATCACCACCGCCGTCAAAGCAAAGTGGTCATATAATTTGTATACCTACTTCCAGAATCCTCATGATAATAAAGTGGTACATCTACGACTGAAACAGACTAAGTCAATCATCTAAATGCAAATCCATGATGCACATTGTTATCCATAATCAGCTCATCATTCCAACTGACTAGCTAGGTATACCCAAAAAAGCCACTACCTACACTACCATGTATCAGACGATAGCCCATCACATCCAACCTATCCAATTACAGCATTTAAGAGGGACGCGTAGACAAGTTCAATGGGTGTAAAAGCCGAGGCTGCATAAACTGTACGTAGATCAATGGCAGGAATAAAAGCCACTGGGAAACAATGGAAATGGCCGGGCCAGGAAAGAAGAAAACTCCGTGTTTGCAAAAGTGCATAATGCATCTTAGAAGAAATCGACCGATGGGGGAATATCCAATCTATCCAGACGGATAATTCGTGGGAAAACAAGACCAGAAGAATGAGATATGGAACTTCGGTTATCATCCATAGATAGATGTAAAGGAAAAGTGGGAGAAAAGAAGAAAGATTACATGAACCCGCTGACGAGCGAATGCAGACCATATCGCGAAGCTCATTTATGAGGGAGACATGAGGCATGTACAAAACAAAACAAGGGATATATGCAGAAAGAAATCACAACTCCTTTATCATGCAGACATGATCACATGTCAAAATTGTCATCAACGTTAAAGATACCAGGCTCACCACCCTCGTTAGTCTTCTGTACGCCACTCATGCGGTGATCATGAGTACCCTTGGCCCGCTGGGAGCGCTGCCACGATTCCGGGTCTTCGTCCATTTGATCGCCGGTCTCGTTCTTGAAATGGTGCTCGATGGAACTCTCATTGCTGAAGGTGAACCCTTTGAAGTTGGCCTGCATCCCGGGCGATAGAGGTGTCGAGGCAGGCATGAAGCTGTTGGCGATGGCAGCGGCGTGGTGATTCAGCGAGCTGTTGTTGTCAAGGGCGTTGGTAAATTCGGGGTCGAAATTGGACGTGTCGGTATCCGACTTGAGCTTCGGCTTGAACGGGGGGATGACCTCCTTGCGGCACAGCACCTCCCAGTCGACATCGTCGAAGAATGGGTGCGCCATGAGTTCCTTGGCATCGCCTTTGGCTCCCAGTCGGTGCTTCGGATTCCGGTTGAGAAGACCCTTGACGAAATTCCGTCCCTCGGTGCTAAGCGCATCCCGCGGGAATCGGACTTTGCCAAACGCAATGTTCTTGTACATCTGCTGCGTGTCTTCTGCGTAGAAGGGGCTCCATCCACAGCACATCTCGAAAACAAGAACACCGAGGGACCAGAAATCGACCATCTTGGTATACCCTTGCTCGTCCAGCAACACCTCCGGTGCCAAGTATTCGGTCGTCCCGCAGAAGGTGTTCGTGGTATCGTTCTGGGTCAGATTCGCCTTGGAGAGGCCGAAATCGCAGAGCGCAATGTGCCCATTCGCATCGAGTAGGATGTTCTCCGGCTTGAGATCCCGATATACGATGTCGTGGTCATGAAGATGCTGGAGGGCGAGGATCAGTTCGGCGATGTAAAATTTGGCGCGGGCTTCTTGGAAGCGGCCTTCCTTTTGCAGGTGCCAAAAGAGCTCGCCACCGGACATGTAATCGGTCACGAGGTATAGGTCGGTTGGGGTTTGGAACGAGAATTTGAGCCCGACTATGAACGGAGAGGCCGTCATGGCCGTCCGCACCAAGATATTCCGCTCGCCCAGAGTGTGCGCCACCTCTTTCTTCTGGATGATCACCTTCTTGGACAAGACCTTCATGGCGTAAATCCGGTGCGTGTCCTTCTTCTTGACTTGGTACACCTGGCCAAAGGTGCCCTTTCCGATAAGCTTCAGGACCTGGAAATCATTCGGTCCCACCTGCTTCTTCTCGGTCTGCTCAAACCGCATCTCCAAGTAGATCTCTCCGGACACCTGAGCATCGCCTGCACCGCGGCCGGACAGCGGGAACCACCCTTCCAGTCGGCCATTTTCCTCCTTGAGATTGACACACAAACGGACGTGGCCGAGGAAAGCCTCCTGGTTGTTGCGGTCATACACGCAGACATCGATTTCGGACTGGTCGCCAAACACATCACTGAACGAGGAAAATTCAAGTCAGCCACACTGTTACAGGAACTGGATGAAGAAGGATTAGAAAAACATACAAAACAGACTCGTGATTCCAATGGGGTGCGGTGACTGGAGCCCGTCCACGGTGATCCGGAGCCTCCATCGAGCTATTGTTGCTGCTTTGGCGACTCTTCATCGGGATAGCCATGGGGCGACCGGATTCGCGGGCGGTCCTCTCCTGTTCCTTGTGCTGTCGCTCGAGGGACGCTTCTTCCTCGTCCTGGGCACTCTTCGAGATGACTTCATTCCACTCGAAGACGCAAACCACGTACGGGTCAAACCCGGGACGGAGTCCTCGCGCCTCCGAGATCTTCACATAGAGTTTGCCCTTCTGCGAGGCAACGGGCGGACCCGGCTGCGGAGAGCTGGAGGGTTCGGGAGGAAATGCCTCGTTGAGTTTGCCGGAGATTTCATCAGTGGATGTGGAGCTGCTGTCGTCCATCTCATTCGAACCGGTTCGCACTGGTTCCGAGGGACGCGGAGAGGAGGTCGGTGGCGGCTGCTTCTCCGGTTGAGAGCCTTCATTGGACATGGCCCGTGGGGTGAGAGGCGGGGTATTCTTCATGATCGAAAGGTCGGACACATTGCCAGTTAGCTTCGCGAGATTCTCAGAAGACAAAGAGACGTGAGGTTGCTCGTGGTTGAGGAGGGGGGCTTCCGGCAGACACAGCGCATCTGCCGCGGAGAGGAGAGATGGGTTGGAGAAATGGGATGCAAGGACGGGGTCGTCCGAGATACTGGAGACGGGGAGGGAGTGTTGACGGTGGCGGGAATGAGATTCAGAGGACGGGGGAGTGCTCGTGGCGGGAGTAAGGTAGTTCTTGAGAGTATTGAAGATAGATCCCACCCCCTTATCCGCCGACGAGGACTCCGAGTCAGGGTGGTCCGGCTCTTTCTGAAGAAGGGAACAAGCGGAGCAATAGGGAGGAGTAGGAAGGTTCGTGGTGGGGGGTAGGGCGTCAGGTGCCAGATCCTCGGCATCGTCAAACTTCTTGTCCGATGGAGCTGGGGACGACGTGGCTCCAAAGGCATCGTTCCGCTCCATCATAACGAAGGACCCCGAGGGCGAGGAGGTATGCCCAGAACTCTGGTCATCCCGTGTCCCTGTGACAAGCGCTTTCGGCTGCATATCGCGCGCGGACGGAGGTTCAGAAGGGAGGAGTCGTGCAGTGGGGGGAGAGAGTCTAGCATCGAGAGGAAGACCAACCTGTAGATAGCTGGGCATTAAGGATGGTAAACGTTTATCTGACGGATCCGGATGAGGAGTCGTGATCCCCGTTGGACTGGGGCTGTTGGAACCACTTTGACTGTCGTCGTCCTGCGGGCCGTTGCTAATAGAAAAGTAAGCCATTGCCGTAGTTAAAGATCGTAGTAACACAATGCATCTGCGGAAAGAACGCTCAGTGGTATGTGGGCGGGGGTGATAAAAAGGAAAGGAAAAAGAAAAAGCGAAGAAGAGGCCAACCGAGGTCGAGTCACAAAGAAAGAAAGGTAAAACAGGTATGAGGCAGGCAGCCACAGGGAAGAGGCAAAAAAAAGTCCAGTCAGACAAGGCCAGAAGTCATGACAACCAAACGGCTCAGCCTCAGCACGCCTGACGGGCTGATCCTCAGGAGGCAACAAATGAGACTGAAGTGGCTGTCAAGGATTGCTTCACCCAATGCGACACGATCCATGGACAGCAAAGCAGGAGCCAGACCCCGGGGAGGGTGGGAGCGAAGCCTGCCAGCTGCAGTGCCAGCGAATCGCACCAACTTCAGGTAGATATGCACGTTTCGTATAACACCCGACCAAAACAAGGGTTGAAACGAAGGGATGTACAGAAAAAGAAAAAAACAACGAAGTACATTTGCATCTTCTCTCCGGATTCAAGGAACTTGGCTGACTCACATTTGTTGGTTTGGCCGATTCAAGTCGACATCACCATGCAACTCAGTTCCACTTTGAGCAGCAGCCATGATTATATTTCCATCAGGATCCAGTTGAAAGCCTCCACCACAAGTCGAAGATCAGAAAGCGACACGATCAAAGCCGGAGAGAAAAATGGGTGTGGGGTGAACTGGGACTGTCAAGGGAAGAATTAGTGGAGTGCGATGACTGATCTGTGTGCGGAGTCGAAAAATATGAAGGGAAAAATTAAAGACAAAAAAAAAAAAAAAAAAGCTCAGACGGAGGAGAACGGACTAGGAAGATTGCGGGAGAATGGATCCGATCGGGTTCGGATAGCAGTGGAATGGGAAAGAGAGGAGGGGTTGAAGCGGGAAATGCTCATGGATTAAGGTTCTGTGTTCACAACGATAGGGAAGATGTAAAGAAGATCGAGAAGAAGGAGTCGGTGGAACCTAAACAAGCATGATTTCACAGGGGAGGGGAAGAAGGGAAAACCAGGGAAAGCAGACGAAAATGGAAGAAAACGGAGATTACTCAGAAGAAACTGGGGCAAGATTACCTGAAGTGAATGGGAGACTGGATCAGTGGGTGAAGAAAATCGGGCGCAGTGAACCATATACTTTAAAATAGGATAGATGATAGTGACCCGGGCCCAGTTCAGGTCAAAGGGTTATAATGAAGTTCATTCATCAAGGTGATAGTCGATAGGTCAGGTAGGAACAGATTGTACGTCAAGATTGGGCGGCAAATTGCGGGATTTCCCCAGACACTCTTTGATTCATTGACTGATGACTCACTTGTTCATGAGAATGGAAAGAATAAGATAGATAGAGAGAGAGAGAGAGGAATAAGGGGAAGAGAAGAGGAAAGGATAATAATAGAAGAGGCTGTGACAATGATAATAAATGAATCAAAAATAAAATAGAATAAAATCAATTTCTATAATTTATAATAATAAGAATACTAATTTCCATTTCATTTTTATGTTGGAATATTTTGTCATTGGAACAAAGTTTTCATTCCTTTCCAATTTTCATTCTGTTCATTATTCATTCCCCATTTTTCAGTATCCATGAGTGTAATAACAGTGGTCCTGACCATGGTGGCGTTAAAAGACCCAAAGCTGAGAGTCCCCAACTGCCGCTGATACCGCTGGATGAGGGGGGCAATGAATAATGGTTACTAACAATTGTGGCTGGGTATACTGGAATGATACTGAAAGAGAAACATCACCCAAAATCCCTCAAGTCATAATTCACTATTGATTCAAGCGATCGAGTCCAACTTCATGAGAGCAGAGCATAGGCAAGGTGTCGTATCACAGGAGCAGTTTATCAGTTCGATGTGGTGGTATCAATGGTGGACGAGAGTAATCCGGAGACGCAGGAGTAAGCTGAGCATAGATAACTAATCTACTAATTATTATACTAATCCCTGGGGATAATATGATAATCACCGCAATACTACAATATAAATACATATGTTACAATCTGAACCCCGGATCAAAGACCACCTGCAGGCGATCCCCCGTGATAAGCGAACCCCCCGTCCCAGACTAAAGAATCGCCACCGGGGCTGGTATAGTCCCGAGACCAAGGTTGAATTCGGCCGAACTTCGATATTGGATGGTATATTCTGAGGGGGTGTGACTACTGGCAGGTCTCCCCTGGTTCCTCGAGAGACCGATAGGGCATGATACCACGGAAACAGGAAGTAAGATACCCACGATGGTGGAATTCGAAGATGATTAATATTTCAGGTTCGTGGAGAATGGAATCCAAAAGTAGTAATAATATTAAGAGTTTCGAGTTCGAGATAACAAAAGTATTGGCCAAGTCAGATGCAGGATGCCTCACAGGGACAGTCGCGCTTCAGCTGTCTGTCGAAAAGAGAGGGACCAAGCTTCAGCGCCAACAGGAATGTGAAACCGGACGACTTGAGATATGATGTAGTGAGTCCAGATGATCCTCAACACGCCTGTTGGAACCAAAAGGGACGGAAGAATGATCATAATAATTATAATATTTTGATGTCGGATGATGAGTATCAGCAGCATCATCAGCATGTGCAGCAGGATGTCGCCCCCTCATGTGGATTCGCAGTTCGTCTTCTGGTATTTCCGAACCGGGAACGGTCCAAGTCTGTCACTGGAATCCAGTCCCAAAAAGAGGGCTACCCTACATCTCATTGTCCCTTGTTTTTTTAGTTGAGGATGCATTGGTTTGATTTGGGATATCTATTGACTTTTTATGTTTCATATTTCGTACAATCTTCAAAAATCTTCATATACCACATGGATACTCATAATTCGTGGTTTCGAAACCTTAGGGCTAGCTACAAAGTTATTACCGTAGTACTAACTCGCTATCAATGACGGAACACAACATGATAACGACCTTCCAGTAGAAGTGCCGGCTAGATAGCCCGATGGATACACCGATTGAGAACTGCGCATCATGTCAAGAGCCATTTTCATCGCTCGGTTTCTGATCTCCTCACGCTAATCCAATCCCGAAGACTAACTAAGAGGAGTAGAAGCGCCATCTCCGCCATCTCCGCCACCTCCTCCCCTCCTTCACCCCCTCCAAGAGAGGTGGGGTACATCCCACCGCAAGTTCGCAACTGTCGCAATCCCGAGGTGGCAGGTTGTTATTGATCTTCGTGACTGACCGACTGATTGATATGCGGGGGAAGAACCGGGTTAATTCGCTTTATCTGTCAGATGGAGGTGGGGTTCTCGTCCGAGTGCCACTTTCAATGTATATAAGTTATCTTGTCAGCTACGTAGACAGTACATTCAATACACAAGCCGAGTAGGTCCAGCTGGCACAGGGTTGATACCAGCGAATTGGATACTCTGAGCTTGACCAACTCATTGTTGTCTAGACGCATTCCCTTACTGCGAGCGCCTTACCGATCCATCGATATCTCGAGGATCTAGATACTCTAATCAATGTTGGGGCGCTTCGCTATCGTGGCATTGCTTTTAGTCATTCAAGGGGTTCTCCGATGATGTGCTGCAGCCTTGCCGGTTTCAAGGCCACCGCTCACGGCTAATACCTACGTAGTACTAAGATTGATTTTCACCACTGAAGCCACATTTGGGTGTCACTAGTCGGGCAAAACCGCATGTGCTCGACTGAGAATCAAGGAATCCATCTAATATACTTTACCCGACAAGTCGATCAGATTCACCGACGTAGTTTGCAGGAAGGTGTTGGAGGTCTCGGCGCCGAGATCTGGAAGCTTTGGTCTCCTTGCTGCACACCTTACGGGGCCCCGAGCGGACTGCTTTACCGTTGTGGGTAATAGTATCGGGGAGGAGTAACATGGCTCCCAAAAAGGTTACCTATGTCAATGCAGCTTCCAGTTCCAGCTGGACTGGCCAGATGGGCAATGAGAGTAGCTAAGTATGCATGCCAGGCAACGGGGATAGTTTCGGAGGTCTGGTTCGACGGCAGTCTCATCCAACCATGTCGGGTCTTGTCCAATATAGATGCAGATCGAGGAATGCACCTCCCTAATTATCGAATCAGACCGCCCTGCGATTTGATTATTCCCGTGCAGACAAGAATTCCCGATCGTGTTCCCTCTCACATTCTACTGATTTGTGCTTACTATTATTACTCACATGCCGGTCCTCAATCCACGGCGATTATGATTCTGATGTTGCATATCCCGCACCCTCCTCGGGTCATCATCCACTCAAAACCGAGGGAATAATGTCCCTTGGGCATTGTCTGGTCGCAAAAATGGAAGGGTCCGCCTAGCTTCATCCTCCCCAAGGTTGCCTTATCACGATTGGTTTTCTGATGGGGAGGCATCCTGCATCAGTGACGGCTACTCGCCTGCAAGTCGCGGTTGGAGAATGGGTTTCCGACGTCTCTATCCTATATGCGTGCACTGCATAGCCTCGTATAGGGTCGTTCACTGGAAAGGTAGCTTCCGACAACCTGTTTTTGTCTGGGACTGGAAAAGACACGTGAGAGATGATATCCATCGTGCCATCGTCATGACTGCCGTAGGCATGATTTCCGAGGGTCTGTGCAGCTGGAGCTGTTTACTAAAACCCTACCTTATTGTCGAGAGACGCCGGGGTCTGACCTGAACCAGGGAGCCTCATATTGTAATATCAGCCTGGCGCGGCATGACCAAACAGATGACCCCGCTCCGGCGTAATATCTTGATCTGGTACATCCTTGTAAGCTCAGGCCTGCACCGGAAATGTCAATACATCCATTTGAAAGGCGACACGGGTGGTCACGGATGGACGGATGGAATGGGATGGTGGATGGATGGGGAAGGCAGCATGACGTCACTGCGCAGGCGACAGGACCCATCAGCAGGATCTATCCACGACGGTCGGAAAGCCAGACGAGCGCCAAGAAGCGGCCTTCGATCGAGGCATCGGATGGCCCGGGGCACGTGGCGGCACCAGCAGGCCTGTATGGTGCCTGAGGCATTATGCCATTGGAGTCAATCATGTCACGTGATGTAGAACAGCGGAATCGGGTTATTAATTTATCCGTCAAGTATTGTCCTCAGGCACGAACGAGCTTTGCGCGCCGACAGACTGAGGCGTCTCTGCTCCCTGTTTGGCGTCCCTTCCATTCATTCGCCTGGCAGTTCATCCTCAAAGTGCTTTCCATAAACCACGGTCACCATGCCTAGGAAACTACGCGCAGCCGCACAGCAGGCGGCACAAACAATGAGTATGTCAATTGATCCCTGACTTTTGGTCCTTTTCTTTTTTTATGCGCGTCTTTTCTTTCGCAAAGAACAATTGAAAAAAGACAGACAAAACACAAAAGGACACCCAAATGTTGACTCTCATCGACTCTCTCTTAGAAAACGTGCCTCCTCCACTCGAGGACGCCTCTGATGAAGAAATGGCCGAAGCACCGCCGTCCAACGAGCCTTCGCCGCCTGTAGAGGAAACTGGCGATGCGTCCGATAAACCCGACGCCGACGCCGACGCCGAGACCAAGCCCGAACCGCAACCCGCGCCCGTCCCGGAAGAAGAGCCGGCAACAACACCGGCGCAAGCAACCCACACACCCTCGCTAGGAGAGACGCCCTCCTACACTGGGGGTCGCCAGTCCGCCATCCCGCGAAAGCGGCGCATCGGTCGTCCGCCGAAGAACCCCCCGCCAGACTATGACCTGCCGGATGATGGCACGCCGCATACGCCGATCCATGTGAGCACGCCGGTGAAGAGGAGGCGCGGCCGGCCGGCGGCCAGCGGTGGACGGTGGGCGCGAAATCGGGGCCCGTCGCACGTTACGCAGGTGCCCATTGACAAGGAGGGTAACATGATGGACGTGGTCAATGATGAGGTGCAAGTGCCCGAAGACCCGGTTGGCGAGACCAAGGTCGGCAAGAATGGCGTCCTGCAGGGAGGTCGAGAATACAGGGTCCGCACATTCACCATCCTCAACCGCAGTGATCGGTTGTACATGTTGTCCACCGAGCCGGCGCGATGCATTGGGTTCAGGGACTCGTATCTTTTCTTCCAGAAGCACAAATTCCTCTACAAGATCATCATCGACGACGAGGCGAAACGCGACCTCATTGAGAGGGACGTTCTCCCTCACTCCTACAAAGGTCGCGCCATCGGTGTAGTCACGGCTCGTTCCGTGTTTCGCGAATTCGGCGCCAAGATTGTCGTTGGTGGTCGCAAAGTTATCGACGATTACAATGAAAAGGCAGCCCTCGAACGTGGCGACGTTGAAGGCGAGCTGGCGGTTCCGGAGGATAAACTCCCTCCACCCGGTGAGGAGTACAATCGGAACCAATTCGTAGCGTGGCACGGAGCCAGCGCTGTCTATCACACCGCGACGCCGGCACAACCTCTGCCGGTAGGCAAAGCCGTCGATTCTAAGAAGCGGAAGGTGACCGTGACGGGCGACAATTGGATGCTTGAGCACGCGCGGGAGGCCAGGTATGGACTTTCATCTCTTACGCTTACGGCCAACTCACGATACTGACTCAAACGCAGCAACTTCAACACGCTCATCTCAACCGCGCGTCGCCAAAACCTAGCAGGAACGTACGACATCCACACCAACTCCATGCAGTATCCCAAGACCATGCAGGCATCGCACGCTCGCTGGGAGCGTCTTCCTCCACCCGACCCGCGTCTATCAACCAAGTTGATGCACGACCTGTCGACCCTAACCCTCACCAACGGGGCGGGCCAGACCCCCAAAGAAACAAGCCCATTTCAACAGCCCGAACAAGGACAACAAGAACCGGAGCAGCAAGAACAACAAGAAGAAGACTCCAACCCCACAGAGCCCAAAGAACCATTCCAACCAACCGACCAGCCCACCCCCGCCCCGCCACCAACCCCGAAGACCAAACCGAGCCCGAGTCCGAGCCCAAGAAAACCCTCTTCCCTCCCATCCCAGCGCCCTTCTCTCACCGCCTCGCCGTCCACGACGTGTACTACGAATCGCCCCCTTACTCAAACATGGGCCTCCCCGGCCCCGACGGCGACGTGCACGACCTCGGCACAAACGGCGTGATCAGCGTCGCGCACCCGACGAACCCAGAGTTCGTCGGACCGGAGATCCTCGAGGAGCTGCCGACCGATTGCAAGGAGGCGCTTGTCGAGGCGGCCGCGCGCGAGTGGGAGTGGAAGTCAAGATGGCGAAGCGAGACGTCTGATGGGACGCGCACAACGCCGCTGAAGAGTTATGCTTGGTTTCCTTAATATATACTCTTTTTTTCCCCTCTCTTTCTTTCTTTCTTTCTCCTTATTGGTATGTAACAGTACCTAGTCATGTCCTCACGCACCGATTATCCATCCGTCACGTTAATCCATCACCCGTTACCGTTAATTCACCAAATCACGAATCAATCTGGCAATAACTTGCAATTCTCCCACTGCTTTTGCTCCTTTCTTTCTTCTTCTTATTACTATTACTATTCCACGACCAATGTTCTACGTTCAATGCTAAATTATGGGAGTGGGGGGGTTATAGTCTGGCGTGACAAACCAACAGGAGAGTTTCTTCAAAATGGGGAGTTTCGGTTGTATGTGTGTGTTGATTACTTTACTTTTTTGTCTACCTTAGTTTACTTTACTATTATATCATATGTTGTTTTATATCTCTGATTGTAGTTGACATGCTTTTCTATTATCTCTCATCTCATCTTCTTGATTGAGTTTCCGGGTGTTGGCTGGCTACGGAGTACTTGTCTATTTCTCCCGTACTACATCAGTAGTAGTAGCGATGTTACTCATTACTCGACCAGATAGAACCGGTAATATCTAAGATACTATAGACAGACTGTCTGTATTCAATAATATAGTAGAACAGATATAGAGACTCGTTTCAATCATGCATGGGATAGTAATAATAATATAGGTGGAGGCACCTATAAATAGTAGGTAGTAGTAGATGGATAAACTCCGGTTGTTGGCGCAACGCAAATGAATCTCCCAATCAATCAAGCAATCAATCAATCAATCAATAAGAATCAAAACCCCGCGCGTAGCATCGCATAATATCCTCGCCAACAGTGCAGTGCAATGTAATGAAAAGGAGGCGGAGGGGGGAAGGGGAAGAGGAAGAAAAGAGGAGAGATAGATGACGATCACATGGCCATTTCGGCACGCAGCTTCTCCAGCTCGGCTTCCTCGTCTTCTTCCTGTGACTTCGGGGGGGCGTGTTCTTTGACTGTAATTATTGTCTGTTAGTTTCGTTGCCTTTAAGATAAAATGTAGAAGGGGAGAAGAATATGCTTACTCGGTCCATTCGCAGCAGATGGTAACCTGCCCAGCTGGTCCGCGACCGGTACCGTTCCCGTGCTGAGCATCTTCTCGTCCATGGCTTCCTGCTCCAGGCCCTGGAGTTCTTCGTCCAGCTCTGTCTCGTCGGGCTGTTCGCCAAGCGGGTTGCTCGAGATGGCTTGCGCAATCTCGTCGCCGAGCTGGTGCTGTTCGCGGAGTTGGTCCCTACATTGCGGTCAGTATGTTGCCATATAGATTCCCAAGGCTGTAATGTAACCCACATGGTCTCGTCGACCTTGTCGATCGTCATGGCACCGTGGATCTGGCTCATCGCCGCACCAGCCGCCTTCATCGCGTTCAGAGTCTCCTGGTTGATGTTCGCCGTCTCGATCGAATAGATCTGCTGCTCGAGCTGGGTGATTTGTGCCGTGGTCTGTTCGAGGTTCTTCTCGTGGAGCTTTTTCCGTCGCAGGGCGGCCTTGGCCACTATTTAATCATTAATAATTTGCTGCCATATGAACAGGCAAAGAAGATAGACAAAAAACAACAACATACCGTTCTTATTCGCCGTGACATTCTTCTTCGCAATCGACTCCTGCTCATCCATCTGCGCCTCCAAATGTTTCTCTCTCTTCTGCAGCATATCCAGCTGCTCCCGCAGCATCAGGATCGCATTCTTAGGCGCATCCTTCCGCTTCTGGGCCGCCGAGCCACCAAACCAAGACAACATCTCGATAAAACAGATTTGATCTCTATCCTTTTGCCAAAAAAGGGAAGCCTAAAAAAAAGCCCGATACCTAGGACGACCGTGCAAAACCGCCCCTGGCGATGTATCGTATGCACGCTCCTTTCTTTGTTTACGCGGTTTTCCCTCTCTCAATCGGCCAGGGAGGAGGGTACGGCGGAGGGCGGAAGTGGTCGGTGAGGGAGGGGCTGCGAGAGGGTCTCGGGCGGAAATGGGCGATGGTTATCGTGGGGATTTTGCCGCACTCGATGGCGATAAGCAAGCCGTTGACCGGAGACTAGGGGGGGGAAATGACAGGGCCACGCAACGTAAATAGGCAGCCGTCAAAACAAAAGAAACTAGGAAGGATAAGAGTGTCGTCGGATGAGGCGGAGGATCGAAGGGAGACGTTGGCGAACTGGCAAAATAGGATGGGAGAGACGATGGATGATAGACAGACTAACCTAAATTTCCCCTCGTTGGCCGATGACATGCCGCACTAGGCCTGTCGGAGTGTGATGTCACGTGCCCCTCCTACTGATTACTTCTACCTTCAATTACTTCTACCTTCAATTACTTCACTACACTGTGTACTATCAAGGAGTATACTATCTATCTCGACACTTTTTCTGCAGAAATGAAAAGAAACAAAGCAACCACATGACTACCCCCCTCCCGTCAACGAGAGCCTTTCTCTCCGACCTCCCCTCCCTTCCACCAGACACCAAAGTCCGCTTCCTCGGTTGGTGCGTCTTAACGTCACAATCCTCCATGTTGAATGACAACATAGTGTAAATGTCAAGCACGAAACTCATCCCTATGACAGCGTAAAAACCTACTCCATTACCACTGGCCACCTCACCGTGGAACACAACTACCCCCCGCAGAGACCCCCGCCTAGCGTCTCCGTCGACGTCAATGCTATCATAGGCAGTTTAACGTCTGAGGAGCTGCGCGTAGGCGCGTGGGTCAATGTTATCGGGTATGTCAGGCGCGTGCCGACTTTAGAAGAAGTCGCTGCTGCCGCTGAAACTCCCGTGCACGTGGACGCCGTGATGGTCTTTCCGGCGGGGGCGATCGCCCTGGGGGAGTATGAGCGGACGTTGAGCGACGTGTTGGAGGTGGACCGGTGGGTTCGCAGGCCTTGAGTAATGGCAAATTCATAAATTATCGAGTATCAGGAGCATCATAACTACTGAGGATATACTCTAGGTGAAACATATTGGATCTTGCTATCTATTAATGCTATCTTGTGGTATAATCCTGTCTATTATCTATTACTCAACCTAATCTGTGTCTATATAATGTTTGGGTGCTACGCATTAGTTCTAACCAACCATGCAACCCAGAATGAATAAATCAAACGCCAACGCCATCCATGCTAGATGGCTTTTGCAAACAAACAAATAACTTTTAACTTTTTTTTGTCATCATGACGTGCACTTGGTCCATGGTCTCATCAAATAAACCAGAAAACAAGCCGTGATGCCCGAGACTAGACATCCATCTTCATATCCTCGGCGTTCTGCGCCGCCAGCCGCTGCTCCAGCCGTTGCTCCAGCCGCTTCCGCTTCCCCTCCATCTTCCTCTTGTCCTCCTGCATCTGGGAGATAAGAGCACTCTTCTGGCGGATCTTGTACCCGTATTTGTAGAAGATGAACGGAATCGGAATGATAGCCACCTCGAGCAGACCGAGCAGCGTCCCGGCCCAGTTAGGGCCCAACCCGGCATACAGATACGTTCCCACCAGGGGCATCACACCGCCGAGGACGCTCCGGACGACTGAGTTACCGGCCATCGCAGACGCAGCGTACACGCCGTAACTGTGCGCGAGGTAGTTCGACGCATAGATAAAGACACCCGTGTTCCCCGCGCCGAAGAACATGCCCGCCAGGATAGGCGCGATCCAATGGATAGAAGCCGGAGAGCAAGTCCACGCGAACCAGAGCTCACCGACAGGGATAAGCACAGCCGAGATACACACGATAGAGACCATCGCCTCCGCAGACACCTTTCCAGTCTCGGGATCAATGCGGTGACTATTAATCATGCGGCGGATGAGCGGCTCACACACGATAGTCACCATACACCCGGTTCCGATACCCAAGAACCCAAGCCCCGAGATACCCAGCGACCACCCGCGGATCTCGCGGTAGACGATCGGGTAGGCTGTGAAACACAGGTACAGGATACCGTAGACGATGCCGATGTAGATGTTCCAGAAGATGCAGATGGGCTCGGTGACGGCCATGACGAACGGCCGGCCCAGCGCGACCTTGAGCATTTCGCCGATGGTCGTCTTCTCGTCGTAGCGGCTCCACCAGCGGGCTTCGCCTGTTTCTTCGCGCATGCGTGCCGCCTTGCGCTTGAGGAGGATGGGCCCGTAGGTTTCTTTCATGGCGAGGCAGAAGACGAGCGCGATGGCGGATAGGATTAGCGAGATCCATTGCATCCAGCGCCAGCCGAGGTACTCTGTGACGAAGCCTCCGATGATGGGGCCCAGGACTGTGCGTGGTTGCTTAGCGTCCGGTTCGAATATAGAGGGGAACGGGTAAACCCACCTGGACCGTTTACAGGGCCAATACTCCAGATCGACATGGCCAGAGCCCGCTGGTCGTCGTTCACCAAGTCGGATACCATCCCCGGCGCGCTGGAGATCATCACGCTTCCAAACAGTGCTCCAATGAACCGCACCACGATGAGAGTGGTGACGGATTTGGCCAGCGCGCACGGGATGATCAGGATAGAAAAGATAACGAGACATATGGCTGCGACGGGCCGGCGGCCGTATACCTCGCTCAAAGGCGCCGTGAACATCGAGCCTACCGCCAGACCAATGAGGTAGAACGTCAGGCCTAAAGTGACGATTATGCTGGGGCTCTCAAACTCGGCGGAGATTTGCTCAGCGCCGGAGGTGTATGAGGTTGAGTAGATGACGCTGGTATTGACCGGGTTAGTTCTCGACAGTCCAGCCACTACGCAGTAGTGGTAGTAGTGGCAGTGACAGTGGGTAGGGGCGACGGGCTAACTTACATCATGACGGTGTTCCACGAGAGAAACGCGATGCACATGGCTTTGTAGGCCAGGGACCAGTTCTTAGGATTTTCCGGGTCGTCATCGCCCTCCCAGTCTACTTCGTAGCTGGGGTCAGACGTCCCCGTCGTTCCATGCGACGTAACCCTTCGAGTGAGATTGGGCTCTGGCTCAGACAGTCGAGAGATCCTCTGCGTCAGGGTCTCGATTTGGTGTATGGTGTCTTCCGAGGAGGTGGTTGAACCGCCGATGGAGTGGGCATCCCCTTCCATAGCCTCCTCCTGGCTATGCCGAGACCATTTCTCGTCGACTTGGGGAGGCGCCTGGGAGGATGACATCTTCCAGGCGCATATGATAGTAGTATTGAGTGGAAGGTTGTATGCTAGCCAGTGAGTATAGATAGTCGATTGGATCTGGGCCAAAGTCTATGTCAATGTTGGGATGAGATAGTATAGTATAGTATGAGTCAATGGATCCGCCAAGAATTTGGGATTCTGATCTGGAATTATGTAGTTGGGTTTGCTAAGGAGAAATTAAAAAGTAAAAGATAAATCAAGCTGTCAAGGATATAGACCGCAAACAGAATGACAGCGGAGGAATGGATTAATGGCCGAGTTCGGTAGAGAAAAGCAGACTCATAGAACAAGAGAAAGATTCTCTCCCAACCACGATGGGAAAAGATGAATAGTAGTGTTTGCAAACCCGAAGAACGCTTCAGATTAAAAAAGAAAAAAAATCCTGACGGGCAGGATTGATTGACATTCTTATTTCCAGAGACACCCCTAGTGGCCCTGATCCTTAATAATGTACTACTACACAGGTGGGGCTTCAAATAGGAACATTGAGAACTAGGGCACGACAGCATGGGACTAACTGACAAGCGGCACCTTTGGCCGGAATTAAGCATGAATCATGTTGAAGCTGTCAGTATCTCCGAGAGTGCAGGCTATCAACAGTCTTTTACATGCCCACTAGTGGGTTTGACTTTTCCAGAGTCCATTCTGGTAGACAGGAGGGATCCATATCCCGTAACTAGAAACGGAGACCCAGACCGAGTTTGAGGCATTTGATCCCGTCATGGTTCCCCACTCAGGCTTGTTTAAACCTTTTTGAATGTGGTTGATTTATCTACTTAGATCGAGTGATATGCATGGTGAAGATAGGTCATCGGGCATGGTATGCCTGCTGGTATGTGGCGTAGACGTTTCCCGACAGCTCCATGACTCCCAGGATGGGTCTGACTTAACCACAACCGGATTCATGCAGCATTTCTCTCCATGTTTCATACTACTGGTGTTTCTTTTGTAACCTGTAGTTTTGATGCAGACTGGAAAAGATTGATCTCATGGGACATTATGAAAGCCAGTTCATATCCGTCCTCACGAACGGGACTGACTCCACGCTCTGCTACCCCATAATATCCAACTCTATCTGGAGATTGATACGGGGAACCCGAGAATGGAGAAGCAATATCCAATGTTATCCATATCCAACTGGGTCCCGGGTGGGCTTGAAAGTTGGGACTCGACTCGGATAGCAGACCTAGAATTAGTGGTGCTAATGTTCCCGAATACCAAGACCGGACAGTCCCCACACCGTCCCGAAAGCCTTGATAGGGACAAAGGACCGAGTGACTCATTCGAATCAAGATATTTCTTCATGACAGGTAAACCACAGCATAGATACAGCCATGTACCACCTAAGATATGTATCTAGGATGTGGTGGTGATAGCACCAAACGCCCAGACTCCACGAGAAAATTCGTCCAGTAAGGATGAAGACCAGCCGGTTCCGGATTGCCGTCTGTGCCGGATTGCCGATCTTTTAGAGAATGCGCGTTTGCGACGGGGAATAGGGGGGGAAGACCCGAAGTGTGGAAGATACTCGTTGGGCATCCATGCTCCTGCTGCTGTATTCTCGATGTCGGTTAATGTCCGAACATGGAGCTTCAAATGGGGTTTCCAACGTGGACAACCCTAGGAGGTTTTGTCACATGCAGGGTCGTGGTAGTAGATACAGTAGCTTCGGAGGGAAGTTCCTGGCTGATATGATGGGGTATATGCCATTCTACTAATGTCAAACATTGCCATCACTGTGAGTATTGAATTGTAGGTAATGATGAGAAGTCAAGATTTGTAAGGCAGAAAACATTGTATCAGCGCACGTTTCAGGTGTCATGTTTTTGAGTCCTCAGGCACACAATCTATATGGTTAAACCACAGATATCTTTTCTTGTTTCTACTACGGTTTTCATGGTTCTTCATTTTTAATTTGAATTAATCTATTTTTACTATTTGATTAATCTCCCATATATCTCACTCCCAGTCCTAGCAAGTCTGGTCTTTGCCTCTTTTCGCCCCTTGTTTATACCGAACACTCTTCTCTCCGGTTTAAGGTGCAGCACGTGCCTTGTCACCGTTAAACAATCCCATCAGATTTATAAACCGTTTCCATCGAGACAGTCTTTCCCATCCGACCTGCTTTTCATCTACACCTATAGTCACCATGATCGATTGCGATTTAATTTGGGATTTGGATCCCTCAGTCAGCTCGGTCGCGCCGTTGAGACTCTTCATCCAATGAACGAATCAGCGCTAGCGATGACAGACAATAGGTGGATAAGTCTAGAACTGCTTCACTAACCGAGGCGACTAAATATGGAACTCAGTCGCTACGGGGAACCGATCCATGGCTCGATTCTAACGCCCTTCTCTGAGCAATGATAAGATTCAACATTGCCTCTGGTACCTGTCTCATCCTAATATAATAAACACAACACATTCTTTATAATCACGCCTAACAACCAGACCGGCGCTTCTTCAAGTCAGACTCTTGGCAATACAGCCTAAAGGTCATTTCCTGCGACGGATCGACACTCCCTTTCTTTCTTGGTCCCACGGATTCTTTGGCCCAGCATCTACGACTGTCGCAGTGCCTTGAGGGGTAGGCGCATAATCTCTATATCACGAGGTTCAAGCAACAAGGGTATCTCCCATAAACTAATCAAAATGTCAAACACAACCATCGCATCATGCGTCGCGGGGGCCGCCTTCCTTTACCTCTACCATGTAAACCGCGCAATGGTACAGGTCCCTGAGGAGGTGCGCCGTCTTTCTCCTCATCGCTGGACGGTCGAGGAAATCAAGGCGGCGTATGAGAAGGCCGCGGATTCCCCTGCCGACATGGCCGGCAGTATCCCGCCCAAGCAAAACCGACGTTATATCGTCACTGGCGGTTCCGGTATGTACTACTGTCGCCCGACGTAAGCTGTGGTCTGACGGTTTCTAGGCCTTGTGGGGAACTGGATTGTGACGCATCTTCTTACTCGCGGGGAAGACCCCGCTGCCATCCGAATCCTGGATCTCCAGGCGCCGAGTGATCGCATCCTCAATCAGGGCGTAGCATATATCAAGACAAACATCGTCGACGAAGAATCCGTGCAGAACGCCTTCTCCGCACCATGGCCGCAGGCTGTCGCCCAGCAGCCGCTATCCGTCTTCCACTGCGCCGCGGCGATCAGGCCCGCAGAGCGACACCGATGCTTCCTCCCCTTATGTCGCAATGTCAACGTACACGGCTCAGTCAACGTGCTGAACGCCGCAAAGAAGTACGGTGCCAGCTGCATGGTGGCCACATCGTCAGGCTCAATCGGCGTCCACCGCGCATCGTTCTGGATCCCCCCCTGGAGTAGCGCCCCGCGAAACCTAGCCCAAGTCGTCAGCGACTCGACCCCACTACCCCAATCGCACGACGAGTTCTTCGGCAACTACGCCGTCGCCAAAGCCGAAGCAGAGGCCATCATCCGCGACGCCGACTCCCTCGACGGCAACTTCCGCACCGGCTGCATCCGCCCCACAAACGGCATCTACGGCATCGGCGGCGACACCAGCGCAACCGTCACAGGCCAGTACCTCCGCAGCGGCGGCAGCCCCAGCTGGACCTACGACGTAGTGCACAGCTTCGTCAACGCGGAGAACGTCTCCATCGCGCACCTGCTCTACGAGCAGCGCCTCATCGAGCACACCGCCAACCCAACCGCCCTGCCCAACATCGGCGGCCAGGCCTTCGTCATCACCGACCCCAACCCCCCCGTCAACTTCGCCGACGTCTACCGTCTCCTCTCCACCCTCTCCAAGTCCCCCGTGAACTTCCCGCGCGTCGCCCCGTACCGTTCCTTCTCCTCTCCCACGTCCTCGAGTGCTACGCCATCCTCCAACACAAGTACCTCCCCTGGCTGCTTCCCCGGATCACGGGCGATATGGCCCAGCTGCAGCCTGGGCTGTTTTGCATCTCCAGTGTGCACACCGTCGGCGACGACTCCCGCGCTCGCAAGTCCCCTGCTCAGGGCGGGCTGGGCTATTCGACGCCCCTTACTACGCTGGACGGCATGGCTAAGCAGCTGGAGGAGTGGAACCGGAATTTGGAGCCCAAGGATGCCGCTGTTATTGAAGAGAAAGATTACGTGAATGTTAGCTCGGAGGGTGTGGAGGTTAACTTCCCTGTTCCTTCGAAGAAGCTGTGAGTCGCATCTTGATTGATGGGTGCAGCTAGACGAGTCGTCGGTGGAGAGGGTGTTCCACGAGTTGCATATATCATATTAGTATATACTCTGCTTATCATGCAAATAATACAGTCACAATAGTATTCAGTGAGAAGTGGTAGATAATACCTTAGCCCTCGTACTTGGCTTGCAATCGCAACGCTGACATCTACACCGGAGCTAACTTTTCAAACAGCACTCTATTTACTTCGTAATTCGCTCGTTAGTATGATACACTATCAAAGCTACGTCGCGGGTCTCTTGTTCATGCGCACGGTAGGTAATGTAGATAAAAGCATTCACATAATCTAGGGTATCATTATTGGTATTGGTGGATAGGATAGCCTGCGTTCGCCGGGTTTTCAGTTGGTAAGCATGCGACCGGGGCCGCCTTCTGGTCGCACGCATACTCGGTGGAGACTGGTTGTGTCTTGGGAGTGAGCCTGTAAGCAGACTTGGGGGGTACTCCCGGTTGACTATTATGCGGCTCCTCGAATATCTCTCGTCTCCTCAGGAGCAAGCACATCGACCGCTAGACCCTGAGATGCGTGACCTACTGAGTGCGGAAGGCTTCCAAGTAGCCAATCAGAGCCCAACCTAGCCAGACAACCACCGTCACCACGAGGGAAGAAGGGCAAAGAAGCAAGAAAAGAGGTCAACGGTCGCAGCCTACCGCCCCTGCTGCGAAAGTAACCGTCTCTGCTCCAAAATCTGCAACCGCAGATTCTCCGCCGCGAGCTCAACATCCAAAATAGCGCCAACCCCACGCTTCCACGACTCCTCCAAGCCAACCAGCTCGCCATGCCTCGCCTCCTGAGCCATCTTCCTTTCCTTATTCACCGTCTCGGCAGCCTCCTTCATCTCCGCGAGCTCTTTCTCGAGCCCGCGCAGAATCTCCTCCAGCTGCGAATTGCCAATCAACCACGCGTTCTTGCCGCTCTCTTCCAGCAGTGCCAGATTCTCATGCCGCATCGACAGATGCGAGCTGGCGGTGTATGCCTTCTGCAGCGTGCGACGCCACTCATCTAGGTCGGGGGCGCGTCGGGGCCGGTTGACCGGGCTGGCGCCTCGGGTGCTTCGTACCGGGAGAGGTCGATGCCACCCGTTAGTGGTTGGCCGGCGGCTTTGCGGTCGAGTTCTTGTTGGATGAGTGGGGAGAATCGGGGGGCCGAGAATTCGGGGATGGAGGGGTGGGTGACTGTTGTGTGGTCGTGGGGGAGCTCCGCTGTGATCAGTCGTTCTGCTGCTGCGCGGGCTTGAGCGGAGGGTGCGGTGTCGATGTCTGAATTGATTGACGCGTTAGACCATTATGGGGGATAATGGATGGAAGTGGGTTTTGGGGGTGACTTACAGGGAAGAGAGTCGTGTGACTCGTTGATGAGAGGCATGGTGTCTGTCCGTCCGAAGGAATTGAATAAGATAGGAAGGTATTATCGTAGTGGATGTTCTGGATCAGATGGATTGAAGTCGCTCTGATCGTTGGTTCTTTTCTGCCGAGGCGGTGAGATGTCCATGACTCAGCATTTAGTCATCACCGTAGGATCTGCATGTTTACAGATGATTCTTGTGGAGTAGCATGTTGTTTCTGAATCGCAAGATACCTCTTTATTTATAAAAGTGTGTGTCTTACCATTCTCGCTGTCAATGGCATCCTCCTTTGACCATACATGAAGCTGCACACTGTCATGCTAGAAGTCTTGGACAAGCTTTCTCCCCGCATGTTTAACATTAACCCTCGCCGGCTTTTCCCCCTTCTCAATGGAGACGGTGGAGCTGCCCCTTATGCTGATCTCTATGTGATGATTCGACACTCGCTTCTTTCCACTTTTCTGGGACTTTCCCCGCTAAACTAGGCACGAATTCACAAGCCAACAATGCTACTGGATGTCCAATAATGATCACGCGCCTTGGAAGCGATGCGCAATCAATAGTGGATCCTGGCTGGCTCTGGGCGGAGCGGGGTCCCCGGTTGCAGAAGGGTATACCCAATCAAGGCCCCTGCTCTGGGGGGACGGACGGCCTGTACCGATTTCTCCAAATGTCACCCTGTTCCTCAACCCCGCGCCAATCGTATCATTGCGGCCACTTCGCTTGCACTCCTTAGCGTTGCAAATCACGCTCCTCCTTCGTGCAAACCGGCTGGCTTGATCATGCGCTGTAATAACGATCGCCTCACCTCGGCTTCGAGCTATACGCAGGACGGATCGCTGCGAGAATAAGAAGCCGCCTCTTCCCCACAATCATGGCGGACGAAAAAGTAGAACAGAGCTACGCTGAGGATCACCACAGGCTTTCACCGCCTGTCCCTCGAGCTGTAAACATGGCTACTAGCGTCCGGTATAATGTGGCGTTTGCGGGGACCTTCATAGTCGCCGTGCTGCTACTCCTCATCTCTTTTGTCCCGTCCCACAACGAGCCAGTCCGCGTTGAAGGAGGGGCTCGCTACAGATGGGCAGACAGGTCCTATTCCACTTCGGACGATAGCCTGTTCTTACTGGGAGCTGGAAAGGCGGATGTCACGGGGTATGTACTCGATCCTTGGTTGAGCTGGAGTGATCGTTGCTAATCTTCGTTATCACGCTAGACCGGTTGTTGAGTTGGCCTTCGGCGGCTATGCCAGCCTCGATCAGGTCGGAACGGGCCTTCGTCAACGACTTTACTCTCGCTCGTTCATCGTCGCCAACCCCAATAACCCGGACGATACCTTTATCTACGTGGTCTTGGATGTATTGACCGGCGACACGGCAGTGCGACGTGGGGTCCTCGAGGGCCTCGCTGCCTTGGGCAGCGAATACGCCCAGTATGGCGAACGCAATCTCGCCCTCACTGGCACGCACTCCCACTCGGGCCCGGGCGGGTGGATGAACTACTTCCTCCCTCAGATCCCCAACAAAGGATTCAATAAGCAGAGTTATCAAGCGATTGTGGACGGCGCCATCCTGTCCATCAAGCGTGCCCATGAGAGTCGAGCCCCGGGTCGTCTGTCCTTTGGATCCATCGACGTTAAAAACGCGAATGTCAACCGGAGCCCTTACTCCTACGATCAAAATCCAGAGGAAGAGAAAGCGCGGTACTCAGACAATGTGGACAAGGCGATGACCCTGCTGAGGTTCGACCGGGAGTCCGACAACAAGACCAGTGCCATTCTCACCTTTTTCCCCGTGCACGGTACCTCGATGTACAACAACAACACGCTGGTGACGGGCGACAACAAGGGAGTCGCTGCCTATCTCTTCGAGCGAAGTGTCCAGCAGGACCCCAAGTTTACCGACGACTTCGTTGCCGGATTCTCGCAGTCCAACGTGGGTGATACGTCTCCGAACGTCCTGGGCGCGTACTGCGAGGACGGGTCTGGGGAAAAGTGTCGGTATTCGGACAGCACCTGTGGTGGAAAGACCGGAAAATGCCGCGCGCGCGGCCCCTTCTTCCGCGAGCAAGACAATGGCGCCAAGAGTTGCTTCGAGATTGGGCGACTCCAGTATGAAGCCGCCAAGACCCTCAATGACCAGATCACGTCCAAGCCCGTTCAGATTTTGAAGAACTCCGAGGTCCGAGCCTTCCATGTGTACCGGGATATGTCTCAGTACGAGTTCATTTCGCCTTTCAATGGAAGCATGCTGAAGACTTGTTCGGCCGCCATGGGGTATCCGTTTGCGGGCGGCACGACTGATGGGCCGGGCATGTTTGACTTTACGCAGAATGGCACTGGGCCCGCCACCAAGAACCCCCTGTGGGAGGTGGCTCGTAAGCTCATCCACGCCCCTTCAAAAGAGCAGGAAGAGTGTCAATACCCCAAAAAGGTTCTCTTTGACGTGGGTTCCCTCACCCAACCCTATGCCTGGGATCCGAATGTCGTGGACATTCAGCTCCTGCGGGTGGGCCAGCTGTTCATCATCGTTTCGACCAGCGAGGTAACCACCATGTCTGGACGGCGCTGGAAGGAGGCCATTGCCAAGTCAGCTAAGGAGGATCTTTCCATTGAGGACCCTCTCGTGGTTCTGGGATCCCCGGCCAACAGCTACGCCCATTACGTGACCACGGAAGAAGAATACGGAGCCCAGCGCTATGAAGGTGGCTCCACCCTGTACGGGCCCAGTCAGCTCGCTGGCTATATCAACCTCACCCTGACATACCTGCCTTTGCTGGGCAAATCTCCGGATCTGGGCAGTCTCCCGCCGGTGCCCTCTGGCGTTGAACCCCCGGTCAACACCAATAAGTCACTGAGCTTCGTTCCAGGCGTCGTGTTTGACGCACATCCCATTGGAAAATCATTCGGTGAGCTCCTCTCGTCGGAGAAAGGCGAGACGTATGGTCCTGGTGATATGGTGAATGCCACGTTCCAAGGAGCCAACCCGCGGAACAATCTACGCCAAGAGTCCACCTTTGCAACCGTCGAAAGGAACAACCCAGACTCGGGTAAATGGGAGGCGGTCCGGACGGATAACGACTGGAGTCTGATCTACAACTGGAAGCGGACGAATGGCGCTCTGGGGTACAGCGAAGTCACTCTCCAATGGCAGATCGAGGACGACTATTACGGCATTGGAGACCCTAAGCCTCTCCAGGAAGGTACCTATCGCCTGCACTACTATGGTGACGCGAAGAGCGTCAAGGGTGAGATCACGCCTTTCGAGGGGTTCGGTCATCCTTTCACGATCTCGACCAATTAAAGCCGTAATCGGCTGCACCGCGTGATGGAATAATGTATCTCCTAATTGCATACCTTGAAGCGAAGTTTTCGCCAATACTAGTAATACATAGTCCTCCTTGTTGAAGGAGATTTGATGTGACTCTCGGTTCTTTCGAATAATATGTGCGGTCAATATGATCGACGCTGGTTGGTCGGGGCCGTATCCGGGACGCCTGCGTTCATGCAACCTTAGACTGAAAAAGAAAGGCGGACGCTCGTCCAAACCACTCGGTTCTTTATCGTAGGTGTCCTCGAGTTACACGCTGATATCCATGAATAAGGCTCCACTCCACCGCATGTTGCACGGGGAATGACGGGGCCAACGAGCGCAACCCAACTAAGCGCTAGATAGAGTCGGGGCAGTCTTCTGCATCTGGATATCCGGCTCGACTGCATTTCCTTTGTCGCGCGCTAATTTCATTGTTATGGCTTCAAATCCAGGGGATCCATGTTTGCGCCAATGAAGTCAATCGCCCTGGCCGGGTGATCCCTCCCCGACCCATGCCAGCAAGGAAGATAGCGCAATTCTTGAAATGCTTCATTGTTTAAACAGAAGTCACCCCCTCTCGCATTTTCCATATGCGTCATTTATCCCAGCACTAATGCTGGTTCTCTCTTTCAGTCTGGATTTTCATTGTTTGCACGACATGCCAACATGAAAGAATCCCCGGTCGAGGCCGGTTCCTAACCCAAAGCCATATGCAATGGCCATTCAACAGCGCAACTATATTTATCTTCTGGGTCCTCCCATCAGCCGTCATTGATGGGAGGTATTTCTTGGCCATCAGGCGTGGTTAACCCAATCGCTCTCAACATGCAGTTCCCACACTTCCTCGGTTTTATCCTCCTACTCTCCTCTCTTTCTTTGGCTGGTCCAATCTCCCACCTCCTCAACGCTAGCGATGAAGACCCTTCCCTCGCTGAGCGAGACATCCCCGGCTGCTTCCCTATAGGCGGAGGCGATATGCTCAGCTGCCCGGGCCAAAGCCCCGCAATCCAATTCGAGAAAAGCACCAAGAACTCAGCTCCCACCGGCAGACCATGCATCCTGATCGGAGGCTCCGACTTGACCTACTGCCCCGACTCGGGCAAGACCTACGGCGGACGGTTCCCAATCGACGGCAGATCGCCAGACGACGCACCCTCTGTCTCTGAAGACGACATCGAAGCCTCCCCAGCAAACCCCCCAACCACACCCTTCCCCGATCCCCCCACCAAACGACAAGCACCCCAAGCCTCCGAGACCTTCGAAATAACATTCAACTCCGGCCGCATCGTAACGCTAACCGTCCCCTACGGATACCGCCTAAACCGCATCAACCAACCCAGACCTGTAGCCCCGACTGCAGCCCTAACCGCAGCCCCCAATGCAGGCCTGACAGCCCGCCGCTCCACCATCACCTCCACCAGGGTCGTGACTGTAACCGTGCTAGGGCCTTCCCCGGCCGCTGCCGCGGCTCCAAATGCCGGCTATAGTGCGCTGCTGCCGGCTCCTCCGCGGCCTGCTCCCGAGCAGGAAGAGCCTCAGATGGGGATACCTTTTACGCCGGTTTCTGCCCCGTCGCCGGATACCGCTGCGGAGCCTGGTGTGGTGGTTCCTACTTCTGCTCCGGATGATGACGGTGACAACGATGATGATGAGGACGACGGCGAATTAAAAGTCATCCCCGTCCATACTACTATGTGACGGTGACGGTGATTATAACGAAGTGAGTGACGTATGTAAAGACTTTTACTGCTAGCTGAGTGGTACCTCCACTCAGGTCTAGTCTGGTTGGTAGGTGTTTATCAGGATGTTCTCTAGTTTTTGCCTTTTCTCTGTTGGAATGGTATATTGATATGTTTCCTGGCTTCTAGCGGGCTTTTCGCCATCTAATGCATCCAACAAAGCTATTCTTCTCTTTCTTGCGTTACAACAATTTGAAAACACCGCCATACCTGTCCCACGAAGTCTACGTTCTATATTTTGGCACTCACTACCTTTCTCTATCCCAAGTTTAATAACTTAATCTTTGTCGCGCATACGAACACCATCTTACCTGTTACCTGTAATAAATCATAAATAAAAACTCCAAACCATCAACCTAAATACCAAGCGAAATCTATCCCACACGCAACTCCCTAGCCCACTTCCATTCACCCTCCATCGTATAACTGTTATTCATCGTATAGTCAACCCAAGAGCATCATTCCCCCTTATATACCCCCTAAGAATGCCCAATATTACGTAATAAGGGGTGATGGCGCAGCTGGGAGCGCGTTAGACTGAAGAACTAAACTTCAGTTTCCGACTTGTATCGGGGTTATCTAAAGGTCACCGGTTCGATCCCGGTTCATCCCATTACTTTTTGCCTTTTTACTATTTTTCTGCTGGATAGTAATTATTTTTGGGGGTGTACAATAAGGAGATGGTCATCTTGATGACTAGGTGGGTTATAGTGATAATAATTAGTGTGATTTTCAATGGTTCTTACTTAGAGTGAGGCTTTTTCTTTTGGGTTTTTGTTGATCCCTGGTTCTTCGGGTATCAAGGTAGGTGATTATATATATATAGACTACTTGTCACGAGAGCCATGTGGATGGAGAGGTGCTGTCAAATGACTTCTACTACACATCTTATCTTGATCTATCTGCATGGGTAGCTCTCACGGGCTCAGCGTGGTATGAAAGATAGTTCGATCTTGGATCATTGGATGTCTGGTGTTGATATGTTAGCTACTACGTTAAATAAGATTGATTGGTAGGTATGTACAAAGATGCTACTACTTGATTACAACGTTGATGGTGTATTGGAAATCGTTATCTTGATATCTTCGTGTATATATAATTGTAGTATTTTTTTTTTCTTGGGGAGCTTGACTTTTGAATGGGAGAATCATAGACCGGTGTGCAACGTGCCTGAGCTCCTGCCAAAACGAGTAAACCAAAGAGAAAAAGTCAAGAAGAAAAAGATCTTCAAACCAAACCCATCTCAGAACCATCCCACGCTATATATCATGTAGAAGAAAGTGAGAACAAGTCGCTCATCGTCAAGGTATAGTGCAGATATAAAAATCAACATGTCAATCAAAGCTCAGACAAGACTCCCCCCGCCTCCGCAAATTTCGTCTGGTATGTCCGGAGGCTCGCCCACTGGCGCAGTTCCTCCTGGTCGCGATCCTGATCGCTCAGGTAGCTCATTGATCGGCCGTTAACCGGAGGCGTTGCGTCAGCTGGCTCCATACTCGGTGTAGGCGCCGCGAGGCCTTCCAGTCGAACGAGGGTGTCGATAAAGGCGTGGAGGTAGGACTCGGCCTCTGCGGCGGTGAGCGGGTGGGGACCGGGTGTTGATGGGGTTGTTGCTGGGTTGGTTGAGCCGGCTGAGTGAGGGAGGTTGAGGAGGGTGGAGGCGACTTGGCGGACTTTGCAGGTCTGTTTGTTTGTTCTCTGGTTAGTCCGAGGTCATTCGGTATACAGAAGGGGTCGACAAGACGTACGAAACTTGCGCCGTTGGGCTCCATGTTCACTGGGTTCACGGACTGCAAGAGGACACACAAGTCGCGGATGACGAGACGGCGCTCTTCGGCCATTATACTTCCGATGGGATCGGATTGGCCGTGGGAGTCGCTCGGTTCGGATTTGCATCCCAGCGAGGACTTCTCTTCCGAGTGCTGGCGGCACCGCTGCCATACGCCGTAGAGTCCCCAATACTTCTCGACCAGATATGATCGCGTTCCTAGCTGGCTGGCGTAGATGTTGGCCTTCTGGATCTCGTACTGGATATGTCGGCGTTCCCAAGTCTCCTGATCTTCGCCCGTCGCGGTTAACCCGCGATCGTCCCGTGCTTGTCCAAATGGTGATGCCGGCGCCCGCCCTCTTTGCAGCGACAGCTCCCGAGGCACGCTGGCTGAGGCGTCCCTCGCCTTTTGTAAACAGTCCCAGAGGACGGATCGTTGGCGCTCCCAGTCGACGATCTGACCGCTGCCAAATGCCAGTTCCCAGGCAGACAGGGAATTATATGAGCTGAGAACGCGAACATTCGTATTGAATCCCACGAGTTGCGATACCTTATTGGCCGGCTGAGGATCCACGTGCGTCGAAAAGATGTACTCGTCGTCCACTTCGAGCGGAAGGGGCGGATACCGTTCTGTCGGGGTCTCCGGAGGCACGTGGAATACTGTATCCGCAGATCCCATTTGCTGCAAAGTTCGGAACCCGACCAAGGCCGTGTAGAAGAGGCGTCGTCCAAGCTCTTGCTCGATCACGTTGGTCTGGCCGTCATCCAGTGCGCCAGATGGGTCTTGCGATTGCGACGACATCGAATTCGGGCTGATTGGACTGAGGGGCGACGGCCGCGTCGACGCGCGGCACAAGTCGTATACATGGATCATTGTGATACATTCGACGAAATACGTGCGGCACCGCCGCATACTGTAAACATAGCCGGAGCATAGCCCGAGGAAATAGCTCACGGCCGCATCGTAGACCGTCGCACTCCGATCGAGATAACCTGTGCCTCGTGCCTGGACGGCGACATCACGACACCTCTTGACCAAGGCCATCGAGTGTGGAAACGCGGCCTTTTCCTCCTCGGTCTTCAGGTGCTGTTTGGGCCTTCGGGGGAATGATGTCACCAGGGTCCCGATCATGGAGGCCGTGAGCGCCAGAAAGATTCGATCTGTGACATCTTCGCGGCGATCCAGCGCGGCGCGGAATGTAGGCTCATGGGGAACAGGGACCAGGGGGTGGATGTAGGTGAAATAGTCATCAATTAACAGCTTGATGGTGGGGAGTGGGCAAATGGATTCCACCGAGAGCGACGAAGGAGCGGGGGAGGAGGGGATACCCCCCGATGGCAATGACGGGAGAGCCGAGGAGATTTGATATTGGTCCGAAGGGCTGGGGGAGCCAGCAAGCGAGGAAGCCAGCTTCTGCTTCCTGAACGCCTCTGCGTGGCGGTTAGGAGGGCCGCGACGCCGACTGGGTCGCTCATATGTACACGGGATTTCTAGGCTTGCGCATGATCGACACGGAGGTCCGCTGGTGTCGCACTGTACGCACGGAGTCCATCAGCCTACACAATCTACAATGTCGACTACAGAACAAAGGAATTGCACGTACCTTCACCTTTCGAATGCTGCAGGCATCGCAGGCCTTCCGCAGTCTGGTCCGTTGGTCCATGGGGAGGGAGAGAATGCAGTCGGCGTTTCCATGCTTTGCGATCGCACCAATCAGGTTATAGTTCTGCAAGGGATCGCATTATAAATCACACTCGAGGGGTGAACGTTGGGGTCGAGATTTCGTCAAATCGGTGAGACGCGGAGAGAGTGCGGGAGCTATAGTCTGTCCCCAGGAGGAAGAGGGGGTTCAAGTATCCTTGTTAGCCAGCCAATTCCCCTGTAGGTTACTGAAAAGGATGGTTACCAGGGGGGGATGGATGTCAGAATTCTAAATTAAGAGCCTTTGTCCGGCAACGGCCCCTAAGGAGAGAAAAGAGACAAGAAGGTTACAGATTCCTCGTGGTCGCGGGCATCTCACCGTGGTCAGATCACGTGGCTTTCGTCATTCTCGAGGCCATTACTTATTCTTCTTTGTTATGGACTTACTATTGTTTATTATTAATTAATATTAGGGCGACGAAGCTGTTTACCTCTTTAGTCATCGCAATTCAAGCACCATGGGTGACTGTAGTCAGTCGGTTCTTTCTCCGTCCTCTTCGAAGCCAATTGGTAGCCTTGGCGCTTTAGTCTAGAGTCTATTACTCTTAGTGAGATACACCACTAGGCGGCAGAGATGGAGAACCAAGGAAAGGGGTAGCATGGCGGAGAAAATCTCCACTCTGCAGAAACCCCCGGACGTGCTCCGACTGCATGGATGGATCGGATTACTCCGTCAGGTTGCCTAAACCGGCGACCGCATCGAACGTGCATAATGGTTGGAGAAGGGACGCTTCGTTTCAGGTCTTATACAATTGCAAAGCCACGAATAATCGCGCACAAACTTCAATGCAATGGACGAGTCCATGTGGGGGGATATATATACTTTTCGTAGAAGCCTCGAGTACAAGAATTCGAAGGGTGAACTCGCTTGAGAGCGTATCAAACAACAGCATCGTTCTCGTTACCATCGTCGTGGAAATCTCCTACATCCTCCGGCTGTCTGTTCAAAGCGTCGCGCTTGTTTTCGATCCCCGCAGCCCAAAGCGCCGATCCCACGGCCGTCGACATGAGAAAGAACATCGAGAGCGGAGGGACCAACTGGAGGATCAAGGATACCGTTCCAAACCTGCATGGGTCGGTTAGGCTTTCAAAAACTAGGGTGAGGGTATTGGAGGTCATGATGGACTTACCCCGTATACTGCAGCTGTCGCTCCCGGATCCTCTCCTTCCGCTGCTGCTTGGAGAGATCCAGCAACTGGAAGTATCGCCAGTGGTGGAACGGGCCCGCCCGATAGCCCGTCAGGACGAGAAATAGGGGCACACCAACAATGGGGATAAAGGTCAACGGGAGAAGCACGACAAACTCCACAATCTGACGCAAGGAGAAGGGCGCGTAGACGGCACTGTGGAGAGGCTTGCCCAGCCGCTTCACGACGTCCTCACCCTGGGGGTACAGGACGCGCGACGTGGTGACGAGGTCACCATATCCCTCGCTCACAAGTACGGCATCGAATATATCCACCAACGTCTCGTCGACGAAGAAGGCCTCGAACAGGATGGCCACAATGGCAGAACCCTCACCCAGAACCAAGACTAACCCGTTGATCCACGCACTCCGACCCTGGAAGATAGCCAGGAAGGCCACCTGCGGCAGATATGCGAAGATGAAGAGCAGTGCATATATGAAGATCGAAAGGAAGATGATCGGAATGAGACGGGTCTTGAACAAGGGCCAGAGGAAGCGATGGGTCGCGAAGTAGTAGATTCCCTACGTCAGTCAGTAATGGTATAGTAGGTGAACATCGACAGAAAGGCTCGACAAACCCGAAAAGGATACAGCCAAGCAGCCCTCGGGGAATTTGACAGTTTGACCATGGTAACTATGTGACAGATGATGCGACAGATGAATTGTAGACACGCGAGCAAGAGGCAAGGTCAACCGTTGATGCCTACACCGTCAGTGCACCGATCAAGCGAATAAGCGGACCGACGATGATGACAGAGGCTAGTGGCCGCCAAGCCCCTTATCGATAAGCAGGCGGTGAGCAGGGTATATAAAGCGAAAATTTCCTCGCGTCTTTTTCTTCTTTTCTTCTTTCTCCAACTTACTGATCACACCTTCTTATTCACTCTGGGATCTAATTACCCCATGGATCATTGGAGGGGAAAAGAAAGGTCAGACGAATAATGCTGCCTTACCCCAAATTCTTCTTCATTGTGGAGCGTTTGGAAATATTTACAGCGTACATCACTTTTGCCCTACGCCTTGTGTGGTGAATTCTCATCTTGCTAGACTGGACGAATACTCATTCGTCCATGATATCTTCAGTCAAGTGGACTTGATGGATACGTCCTCTTGATATCGCTGATTGGTATTATCCACAGTGTAAAACTGGTGCCTGTGCCCAGCCTGGTACAATGCTCCTGTTCCAACAAGGACCAATAATCAACGGCTTAGCTCGAGTAATGAGGAATTGCATAAATACAAAGGAATATCTTAAGCTTAATAACCTACACTCGTATTTGAAACCTTGTATTCATCAGATACTCGAGAACCTCGCTGGCGGAGACTGTAAGATCCTGCAGGGACCAAGAAATGATGTCAGTTGAGCTTCCACCAACATCCAGCGACCCATCATCCAACTTCCTCTTCACACCCGCCATAACCATCCAACATCTCTACCCTGTATACCCCTCCTAAGAGGATAAAAACACCACCAATGACCACACTCGATTCCAGCGACTCCAATTACCAAGTCTTCCGCGAGTGTCTATCCAGCGCGATCGTGGAGCGATCCACCCCGCACCGCCCACAGAAAGCCCCAAAACGACGAGCCCCAAAGACCAAGCGCAACGGACGCAGAGATGACAGCACACACGAGGCCACAGCAGAGACGAAGCCCGCGGGCGCAAGCGCAGGCGCAAACCCAGAAGAACTAGCAGAATTCATCGACGTACGCAACCACCACCCTGATACCTATATACGTAGGCAGCTAGCCAACTAACCACAACCCCAATTGACACACGGTCCCCCCAAAACCACAGTTCCTCGCCTCCGAAATCTTCCCCAACCTCCCAGACTCCCTAAAAACCCTCACCTACTCCACCCTCCAGCACGACGCCTCCCTGAGCACCGCATACGAGACGCCCCTCTCCGCCACCACCCGCGACGACCTCACCGCGCCGCTCCCCGCAACCGTCTCCGAGACCCTCACCGTCTACGGCCTCGCGCACGACGTGCCCGACTTCTTGGGAAAGGTGCTCAACGAGTACATCGAGGGGGCGACGAAGCCGCCGCCCGTGTGGGCGAGCACGCGGACGGACGCGTGCGAAATCTGCGAGCGTGACTGGATTCCGCTGTCGTACCACCATCTGATCCCGCGGGGCGTGCATGCCAAGGTGCTGAAGAAGGGGTGGCATGACGAGTGGATGCTGAATAGCGTTGCTTGGTTGTGTCGCGCTTGTCATAGCTTTGTGCATCGCATGGCGGGGAATGAGGAGCTGGCGCGTGAGTGGTTTACCGTTGAGCGGATCTTGGAGAGGGAGGATGTGAGGGCTTGGGCGAGGTGGGTGGGGAGGGTGAGGTGGAAGGCTACTTAGATTCGTTAAGAGTTGCTATTGCTTTCTTTTGTTTTCATCGTTTGGGCCGCTGGTTTTGGAAATTATGATTCATGTGTCTATGCTATACTTATACCAACCGCCGCTGTATTGTACATAGGGGGGACCGTCGCATCAGGCTGCGCCGGTCTGCTGACCGTCGTAATTTTACATGTTGCGCACCACATGCGCACCGCCCGCCATAACGCCAATAAGTGTACATGATCGGAAGATCCAATAGGGGTAGATCCCATAGAAGAGATCACAGATACCTTTTCTCGAAAATCTCTTCGTAGCACTGGACGCGGTCGCCCACGGCAAACTCGGTCCAATCGTCGAAGCCAATCCCACATTCCGTGTCTTTGCGCATCTCGGCTACATCTTTCTTGACGTTCTTCAGCGAGGAGATGGTGCCTGTGAGGACATGGGTTAGCTCGAAATCCCAACATGAAAGAAAGAGCAGGTCTAGCTTACCGTCGTAGATGGTCTCGTTGTCTCTCAGAACGCGCACCTTCCGGGTCCGATTGATCAGTCCGTTGCGGACTCGGCAGCCTGCGATCGAGACCTTGCCTCGGCCCTTCATGCTGATGTCGAATACCTGGCCGATCTCCGCTTCGCCTGTGACCCGTTGGGTCACGAGTGGGGGTAGTTGTTCGCTCAGGGTTTCCCTGATGTCGTCGATGAGCTTGTAGATTATGTTGTGGTTCATGATTTTGACCCCGCGGACCTCCGCCATGCGTAGAATGGCCGGCTCAATTGGCATGTTGAAGGAGACAACATGCCCGTGCGACGCCTCTGCATGTTCAATATCGAACTCTGTCACCGGTCCAACGCCCGATCGGATCACGTTGGCAAAGACTTCGTTGTTGCCGATCGCCGCCACCGAGTTCAAGACGGCTTCGGCGGAGCCGCCTACATCGGCCTTGATGATGTAGTTCACGGGCTTAGGGCCTGACGGGGTCGGGTCATAATCGGCCTCTCCCTTGTCAGATTTCTCCTTGCGACGCTTTTCCACGGTTTGACGACGGGCTTCGTTGATCGCTGTCGTGTCTTCGCCCAATTTCTGTGTCTCTATCCGCTCCATTCGGTATTCCACGACGGCTCTCGCCTTCTGTTCGTTGGGGGCTTGGAGCACCTCTGCTCCCGCTTCCGGCTGTTCCCTCCAGCCATCGATTTCCACTGGCGTGCCGGGAGTTGCTTCGTCAATGGCCACACCTGCTTCGTTGCGAAGCGTGCGTACCCGAGCCCAAGCAGTGCCTGCCACGATGATATCACCCGTCCGTAGCGTGCCTCGGCGGACAAGCACCGTGGCCACACGGCCGTAGCTCTTCGTAGTAGCCTCGATCACCCATCCTTCGACGTTGCCTTGCGCGTCTGCGCGGTAATCCAGGACCTCGGAAAGCGTGACAATGGCTTCTTCGAGTTCCAGCATCCCCTGGCCCGTCTTGCCACTCACGCCGATCGCCTGGACGTCACCACCAAAGTCCTCGACGTGGACTCCATGCGAGGAAAGGTCCTGCTTGACACGTTCAGGGTTGCTATCGGGCTTATCGATTTTGCTCATGGCGACGATGATGGGCACCTGGGACCCGGTAGCATGCTTGATGGCTTCGATTGTCTGGGGTTTGACGCTGTCATCGGCCGCAACTACGAGTACGACGATATCGGTCACGTCGGCACCGCGGCGACGCATGTCCAAGAAGGCCGCGTGCCCAGGGGTATCTAAGAAAGTGATGGTCTTTCCAGATGGCATCGCCACGGAGAAAGCACCGATGTGCTGGGTAATCCCACCGTGCTCCGAAGCCGCAACCGAGGAATTCCGGAGCCAGTCAAGAATCGTTGTTTTGCCATGGTCGACGTGTCCCATGATCGTCACCACCGGTGGTCGAGACGGTAGCATAGATTTGTCCTCAGGTTCATCAGCGGGCGTTAATTCCTCACCACCGGTATCAAAGACGGGCTCGAAGTTGAACTCAGTCGCCACCAAACCAGCAGTTTCCGAATCCAGGACATGGCTGTACGAAACTTCCTCGAAACCCATGTCCTCCATACGGGCAACAAACTGTGCCGGCCGCACACCGATAACATTAGCAAGGTCGCCGACACTGATGAACTCTGGGAGATAAAGCGGGCTTGGAGTCGTATCCAACTCCTTGCGCCGTGTCTTTTCTTTCTTCGAACGTTTCCGTTCGAGGCGTTGCTGACGACGCTCCTCCGCGTCAAACTCCTCATCAGCTTTCTGCCGCCGATTTTCTCGACGTTTTGACGACTTCTCCTGCGGGGCGTTCTTGTCCTGCGTCTCAAACAGCGAGGCATCCCATGTCCATGATTTTTGCTCCGTTTCCGGCGTTTTGGCTTCCTTGAACTTCCTGTGTGAACGAGGCTCTTCCAAATCACCGACAATTCCCGTCTCTGCGGATGGGATGACCGGTTGCCCCGCCGCAGTATCTGTCTCAGCAGGTTCCTCGCCAGACTCGTGTTCCCGATAGTATGCGTGCTTCAATAATGCCTTTTGCCTGTTATCCAGGGCACCGGTGTCGCTGCTTGTTCCCGACGGGTGCTGATGACCCAGCTTTCTGATCCTAAGACTTTGATCCGGGCGGGGAGCCTTGCACTGCGGGCAGACGATCTGTTTTCCAAAGCAATGGTACTGGCAGTCTGGACAAGTCCAGTCCCTCTGTCGTATATGGTGCGGTGCCCTTGGCTGCCCTTCCAATTTTCTATCCGGCTGTAGAGATGGATGCTGTCCCCACCGATCTTGACGAGGCTGGTGCTGACCGTGGTGTTGATGTTGTTGCTGGTGACGGTGGTGGCCTCCTGGTTGCTGCTGCTGTTGTCGTCGTTGTTGCTGCTGTTGTTTTTGCTGCCGGGACGCCTCTGCATTCTCTGCGATGACTTCTGCTGAAGCATGAGCACCGCAGCGTTTGCAGGTGGTGAATTTTGGTAAGGAGTTGAACCCGCAACTAGAGCATTTCCATGTTTGCCTCCAACGATCGCGGTTCTGGGTGGTATTCTCAGGGTAGCCATGGGATGTTTTCAATGATTCTGATGCGGGGCTTTCTGCAGAAAATCTCGGCGAATACCGCTTTCCTCCCCATTTGGACGATTTGACATCTCCCGGAGGCGCCCTCGTGCTGTGGAGTTGTTCAAAAAGGTCGGTGCTTGCACTTGCCGGCGGTTTTGATCTCGACGCTGACTGTGCCTCCTGCTCCTGAGCGGCATTGTTGCGTGCGATCAAAGCATCGCGGATTGCCTGTTCCGCTGGACTCAACGTCGCCGGTTTTTGCGACGAACTAGAGCCCCATCGACCGCCAAACTTAGGCTTCGGGGTGGTGGATTTCGAATCGGGGCCATCGGAAGAATCGAGAGAGACGAGCGAGGAGCGAAAGGTCCGCCGCAGCACGGAGGAGGTTATGACCGGGGCGAAAGCTGCGTCACGGTTTCTTGCAGCCAAAGACGGCCAACCCGCACCATGGCTGCGAGAGAGCTGGAGCAAGCAGAAAGACAAGAATTAGAGTGGCGCGATACCAAAGCGCGCAGATAGAAAGAGACTCACGTTGAGGGCAGCCCGCCGGTGCATTATATATTCATCGAGGGGTGGAGGCTCGAAAAGGACAACGGACGACGTTTCTTTTGCCGGTCCAGCTAGTACGTAGTTTGCTCCGAATTCCCCTCGGGGAAACTTTTGCGGCGTTTGGGCAGTCTGTCTGCCTGGATCCAACCTGATTGGTTCCTCAGGCACTCCGCCGACCGGATGCTGAGTCATGCTGCATGACTCAGCAGCAGTTTCCCGCGGGGATCACGTGTCTCGGAGTTCCCCACGAATGGGAGGCCGCGATCCCTTCATCGCGCCATCGTTCCTCAGAGGGTTGATAAGCCCGCCTAAGCTGTTTTTTTAAGTCGAGCTGTGATCGCACTCTTAAACTCTTCCCAGGGTCCTCCACTTCTTCTTATCTCCTTGGATTTACTCATACCTCAAGTCCAAACCCCCCTCTCTGACACGCGCAATGGAATCGGAAGCGTTCGAGGACATCCAGAAGGGTGGTGGAGCCCTCCGCACTATCAAAGATTTGGGTGCCGGCGCGGCTGGTGGAATTGCCCAGGTGTTGCTTGGTATGTCTGTAATTTCTTATCATGGTTGCACTTCGCGTTGAAATATTATTGCCTATTGTCCTGGAGCCCATCTTTGTGGTTGGTTTTGTGTTCAATTGAAATCCCCAGTTTCCTCGCAAGGAGCGGCATGTTGAAGAGGGACAATTGGTGCCCCGCCAAACAGGCACACATCACATGCCTATACCTATACAACTTCACAATGTCTGTCGACATATTTTGCTAATAATATCATAGGACAACCGTTCGGTAAGTACCAATCAAGTAATCGTGCAGGGCCCTTCCCCTAAGCATGAACAGATATTATCAAGGTCCGCCTGCAGACGACCACGCAGTACTCAAGCGCCCTGGACTGCGCCACCAAGATTTTCAAGAATGAGGGCCCCTTTGCTTTCTACAAAGGTACTCTGACGCCCTTGATCGGTATCGGTGCCTGCGTACGTACTCCCCCAATCCCTCGCTTCACAGAATGCCCGACTGATGATGGCCCAGGTGAGTGTGCAATTCGGCGCGTTCCACGAGACACGCCGCCGCTTGGAAGAGCTTAACAAGAAGAAATACGCGGATCCGAGCCTCTCGTATGCGCAGTACTTCCTTGCCGGTGCCACCGCCGGTATCACGAACAGTGTGCTCTCGGGCCCGATCGAGCACGTGCGTATCCGCCTGCAGACCCAGCCGCACGGCGCAAACCGGCTGTACACCGGGCCCCTGGACTGCATCCGCAAATTGTCAGCCCACGAGGGCGTGATGCGGGGCCTCTTCCGCGGCCAAGCGGTGACTTACTTGCGTGAGGCGCAGGCGTACGGCATGTGGTTCCTGACGTTCGAGTATCTGATGAACCAGGATGCCAAGCGCAACAACGTCAAGCGCGAGGACATCTCCAGTCTCAAGGTTGCGACATACGGTGGTATTGCGGGTGAGGCGCTCTGGCTGAGCAGCTATCCGTTTGACGTGGTAAAGAGCAAGATGCAGTGCGATGGCTTCGGCGACCAGAAGCAGTACAAGACCATGCGCGACTGCTTCAAGAAGACCTATGCCGCGGAGGGTCTGGGCGGTTTCTGGAAGGGGCTTGGGCCCACTCTACTGAGGGCCATGCCCGTGTCCGCGGGTACCTTCTTTGTGTATGTTTTCTTTTCCTTTCCAGTCGCGACTTTTGCTTCCTTTCTTCCCTTCGGTGCTAACTAGAGATATAGTGTCGAAATGGCGATGAGAGCTCTGGGTTAAGATGAACATCTAACCTCATCGTCCTCGTGTTGTGCCATCCCCTTTTAGAGTTCTTGATATCCATGTCTCGTTTAATTCAACAGAACGAAGGCAAAAGTTATTAGATTTTTTTTTTTTTTTTTTTTACATACATATGCTTGGTCGTTATCATCGTCTGCAGGTTTAGACGACTGATTTGTCTGGGTTTGTGCATTGGATGGATACATTGGTTCTATCTATGAAATGAACATCTACTGATTGTAAATGCTGTCTTCCTATACCCGACGTATGTTGGATATGTTGTCTGGAGTTTATATACTGTATTGCTTATTTATCGCACCGCTTTCGAAGGATCCCTGAGCAATGAATCGTGGGAGTAGAACCAATTCATTCCTTGAATACCCGACTCGGTGGCAGGTTATATGGTTAACCATCTCCCTGGCCTTCAAGATCATTAATTCGACCGCTTGACTAATCGTTCCCCTTATCTCGCCCCCACATGTGGCTCCATAGCTACTGAATGATCTCAGGAGTCCAGCTTCCATGGTCAATTCTTCTCTTTGGGTTTGGGACCAGGAGTCAACCCGCTAATTAATCTAAGACAAGCGAACAGGAATAGAGTAAGACAGGGGGCTTCAAGAATAAATAGGACCGGACATGTGACTTAGAGACTGGCTCATCGACCGATGAAAAGCATGAGCTCTTTAGGTTCGTACCAGTAGTCATTCATATACAGTGGAGCAACGGTATAGCCAAAGCCATTGACAGTTACAGGATATCTCTACACACTCCTTTTAAGAGAATGAATGAGATTGTATGACCCCCAATCGGGAGTATGCTTTGGCAGCCCGGATACGAGAAACAAGGAGACGCCATGTTACTGAAAATAAGGTAATAAGACTGCGGTTTCATCAGGCAAAGGACCCGCTTGCTATGGGATGAAAGGACCAATGTATGAATGAACGGCGGTCTTTATTACACTGATATCATAGATGTTGCTGACACTAGCTATCGTTGATTTCATGATGCAAGATCAAAAGATGCTGACAATGCGATATGCCTGGTTCAGAAGAACTAGTACAGTCAACCAGTGCGTCAACCCAATACCCAATAAAGAAGATCGCAGGCTTCTGAATTTCTAAAGAATGCAACCAAAGACTGTCTCAAAGAACTTGAAACAACTAGATCAATAATCTGAACAGTTTGCATTGCTGACTCGCCGGACGGGGCATAGTAAGATGTGCTATACTTGAAGGCTGTGTTGATTCCTTTGTCAAGTCCCTTGAGATTCCCCAGGATTCTTCCCCACCTAGTCAGGAAAGAACTTGGACTTTGGCAGTGGGCTTTCCATGTCACCCAGAGTCTTTCTTTGATTGTCAACTTTAGTGTCCTGTTATTCTGATCTGGTTTCCTGGGCCTTTCTGTTCTGACTCGGGATATAAGAAGGGGTCGAGGCACCTTCTTGGATGTTGTGGTCCCACTCACTCACAAAATCTCTCTGTGCTCTAGAAAGTGATCTCTATTTGTTAAACTGACAAGAGCATTTGATCCATTCCCAAACTCCCCATTATGTCCGACTTCAAGTACACGGGGTATATCCCGGACCGCGAGTTGATTGTCGAAATCGACAAGATTCTTCGTGCGGCTGGAATTCCGAGTGTCCTCTGGTACACCGGTGCGATGGACATATATGGTGTTCCTACGTATGAACCGGTAAGTTCAGGGAATAAACTTCTCGTCTGAGAAAACACGTTGTGCGATGATTAACTGCGATAGGTCTTTGACTTCGTCATTCCCGATCATCAGATGGACGCGGCGGTCCAGACTCTGAAAGACGCGGGCTTCTCCGATGGCGACGGTAAAGACATCGTTGGCACTTGCTATTGGCAGTGTAGGAGGAAGAAAGAGGACATCCAAACTACAGCCCCCTGGCCCTGCCACTGGTTCCACTTGCACACGGCCCCGTGGACGCCGGACAAAACACTCTCTGAAGACAAATACAATAGCATGCTACTGAGTCATGACCATGCTGACCTCTGCCTACATCGAAAGTCAGAGACCTTCTGGGCACTCCCAGATCCGAGTCTCGAAGACCCGGCGCCAGACGACCCTAATTACATGCTGGCAACCGACCCCCGGGTTCCCGTCTGGGGATATCCCGTTCTCACCGGTGGCCGCTATACCGTACCCGGCTGCCGAGTCCAAATCCCGACCCCCTCCCGTTGCACGGAGTCCCTGATTCTCGACAAGGTGCGGAAACTTGAAATGGTGGACCATGGTTTTTGGTGGGAACGTCACTTGATGTATATGAAACAGTATGTGTACAAGAAGACAATTGATGAGGGTTTTCTCAGCCCTGCTACGTTGGATCCGTCGCTTGGAAAGATTTGGAAGGCATACCTGAAAAGCCATGCCCCTGTGAAGGAGTTTCACCGCAAGTACTTTACCCCCTTGCCGGAGGCTCTGATTAGGAAGGGTACGCTTCCGGATACTGCGGTTCCATGGGTGATGACAGCCGACGAAGAGTTGGTCTTGATATACGCAAGGGCTGCTGAGGATAGGGCTATTCGTGAAAGGCGCGCTGCTGAAAAAAACTGCCGCGGGAACAGATACCGCTGGAACGGATGCCACTGGAACGGATGCCACTGGAACGGATGCCACTGGAACGGATGCCCGCTGACATGGCTTCTGCTGAAAGGTTTGCTGCTGCACTCTTCAATCAAATTATAGGGGTGTCTCCCTGGAGAATGCCGTTTCTAGCAAACAAAGGAGCTCGTATACGTCTAGCTTCTAGGAAGGAAGAATGCGAGATAGGCACGGTTCCTGCCTATCGTTTTATTGCTGCTGTTCTCGTCGGCCTGCTATGTTGTTTACTTTTGCTTCGTCTCTGCTCCATGGATTCACGAATCTTCTCTTTTTGTTGATGTACCTAGATCGCTCATTTACGATGTCTGTTGAGTCTTTTGAATGAATTTGCAATCGAATCTGGTCTCGATACAAAACACTCAATATAATGTAACCAAACCTCGGAACCCCCAGTCAAACTCAAGCATCACATCACACATCGAGAACAAAAGAAGGAAGGCACCACCATGCTCATATCTATCACAAACGAAGCTTTCTTACCCAGGCATTCCTTGTCCTACGGGAGAAGTAGACAGCATCATCCAGTCCTGCCCGGAAAGCATCATGCTGCCATGGCTCCCAAGTAACACCCCTGGGTAGTCTGGCGGCCAGCTCCCACGCATCCCGAGCATCCTGATCGTTTTTCTCTTTGGTAGAACGCGTCCCGCAATAGTATACTTTTATTGCAACCATATCCTTCACAGAGAGGAAAGGCGGATGCTCCACCTGGGTGTTCCCGATCCTTATCGCTTCTGCGGGGAGACCCTCACAGAGAGGATTAGCGAGCATGCGACGATAGTAGGGAAGCGCAATCTGGTGGGAGATCAGATCCACTTGGACCAAGCGAGTACTGGAACAGTAGTACAGAATGTCGGCACGAAGTTGAAATTTCTCTGGATCAGCTTCGACAAGGTCTATCTTGATTTCATCGGTTGGGCAATCGAGATCGATCATCAGATCCAGGTCCTGCCATAAGCATGTTAGAGGGTACACATGTCGGAAAATAAGAACAAGTAAAGAATGGCCGGGGGGGAAAAACATTGGTTTCTCGGTCATGATTGCCTAGGTAGTGCTGAACACAAAACCCCCCGATGACAGCAAGCCTCTGGTCTCCCCGTGCCAAAGGGCCCTGCAACATGTGAATCACATGAGAAAAGGCTTGACCCAGTGGGTTGCGAGAGTTGTCCGAGTTGTCCATGGATAAGGGAGGTGCGTTAAAAGTTCACAGACAAGAGGATAAACAAGGGAATAATGAATCGTATGATATGGGATATACAGTATCTAGCAATGAAGCAGTTATTCAACAGCTATATAGCAATGCAATTATCTATAGAATGACCCAAAAGATTCCAGAGAATTCATCCATCTTATATCATGGGACATCTGGCTCTAACTCTGTAGATTGAACGAGCTTCTCTCATGTTAAGACACAGTACTATCCTGAAACCGATAACAACAAAGAGCAGCGCCGATATTAATCTTATCACGAAGCCAGAAGAAACGTGGTTTTTGAATAGGGACATGACTTTAATGACCCATCCGTGTCTTATTTCTTTGATGCTGCAAGTGAGACCTGAGCTGGGGTTAAACATCCGAACACGTGTTGCAGATGAGGTATTGACGGCAGGATAGTCTGACACCAGGCCAACAGATACAATCATTCCTCTGTCTAAAACTTCCATATACCCGCAGACACTACAGGTCGTGCAGTAGTTCTTATGTTTGACCCAAGACACCATACAGTTAGCCCCCTGCCCACACAGCAAGACATACTAGATCAGGTAGCTATCTTCTCTCCTGAACTGTCTACAAATCGTGTAACATAACATACCCATCTACGTCATTGTCATCTTTCCCTTCGTATTATCTAAATGTCTACAGTAGTACCAAGGGAGACCTAACAGAGACATGGATCTGAGGAAGAAGATCTCGGCCACTGCACCCAAAGGTCGAACGGGCCGAGATTCACGGACAGCTGCAATGGCAAGATCGGTCGCCGGTAGGGCAAACAGCTACTGGAACAGCGGTAGTGGGGAAGACCAAATTGGGGCAAGATGATAATTGGAACTGTTGTATATAGACTTAGCCGCTACGCCAAAACGCTGACCAGCGTTTGGTATATGGCTTAGCCTGATTGATATTCCTAACATATAGTTCCCCCACAGCACGTGCCTCGCAGTGACCCTAGGGTAAACCAGTCATCAGTAGATGGGAGTCTCTCGCTCAGACTAGAGATACTACAACTGCGTACATGGTAGTCTGGACACAATAAAATATGACAGCCACTACCCGAGGAAGTTGGAAGGCAATAGAGTAAAGGAATCTCAAACTTGTTACCCCCAGTTGAGCTTTTTCTACAGTTGGATACAGGAGACCCCCCAAGGCAAATTACTCGTGAACACGCCTTCGTTAATACATGTTTGACACACAATTGGTAAAGAAGAAAAAAGAAGAGAAAATCATTTCTTTACAATGTTCTATACAATACAGTCCCATAATTATCACAGTGCTCGCGCGTAGGCAACCTACAAAAGAAAAATATCAAAAAGTGCCAGAACCTTTTATTGCCGATCCTGGCTAGGCGTATCAGAAGGCTGCTTGTCTGACGGGGCCTCAGCAGCGGCAGCGGCAGCCTCGGTCGAAGCCTTAGCAGCAGGGGCCGTAGCAGTCGAGGCCTCAGTACTCGAAGCTTCGGCAGCAGAGGCTTGGGCAGCCGGGGATTCAGGAGCCATGACCTGAGAAATGGAAGCCTGAGTTGTCGCAGCATCATCAACACCTTCTTTCGCAGCATCTGGCACCAAATCACCCTCCGTAGCAGGGGGGAAAGTAAGATTCTTATTCTTGGCCTGCTCCATTCTTCTATCCCGTCCAGCTTCCGCAGCCCTTCCGAGAATGCCGGCGATCAAGGCCGTGGCACGCAAACTGTCATCGTTCGACGGAATGGGATAGGTGACACAGGTGGGATTCGCATCGGTATCGATGACGCCGATAGTGGGAATATTGTTGAGACCACACTCATGCAGCAGGACTTCGTTCTCGATGGGGTTGAGGCAAATCACAAGGTCCGGTTTGAGGGAAGGGCGGTCGACCAGCGTCTCCTTGTACTGGGGCAATTCTTCGTCGAAGGGGTTGACAACCATGGTCTCGCAGTGGCCAAGGATCTGCTGGCCGTTGGTCAAGCTTCCGGGAATCCACCGCTCAAAGACATGGTAAGCACCAGCCAGTTCGGCGGCCCTCACCACGGCTCTCTTCTGGCCGGGGCGGGTGCCGACGAAGAGGATCAGACCAGCGCGGTACGAAACCTCTTCGACTACCTTGGCTGCACGGCGCAAATAAGCCGCCGTGGCATCCAGGGAGATGATGTGAATTCCATCACGGATACCAAAGATGTAACTCGAGTTTTGGGGGTTCCAGCGAGACGTCGAGTGTCCGAGATGCGTCTGATTGGCAAGGAGCAGTTCAAGGGAGATGTGGCGGGGGTGCGGTGGGCTTCGGTAGAGAGCCTCTGGTAGGTATGCGTCTTTCACCTGGCTGCCAAGTCCAAGATATCTGTTTTCTGAGCACAAAGGCGAGTTAGCATAGACGCCCAGGAGCAGAGCGCTCTGCGGTGAATCGGAGGCTGTGAGGCTCACTTTGGGTCTGTTTCTCGATGAAGGTCTGGTGCGCAGGACTTTTGATCCCACTTTGCGGAGAATCTGTTGACCGAACGGAGCTCTCTTGGTGAGACACCTGCTCTGCTAAGGGGCTTTGCACCGCGGTGTCGACAGGAGGTTCGGTCGAGAAGAAGCGATTTACGATGCGGGTTGGGCGGTTGAACGCGAGAAGTTGGCGGCCTGCAATGCGCGAAAGAATTAGCAATGCATATTTCAGAAAAAGTTAACAATTTGAAATGAGGGTTTGACACTCACTCTGCCGCGTGCACACATTTCGGACAATCATGTCGGCTTGCGATGGACTGGTGTTGGTCAAGAACTATCGCAACTCGTGAGAGAGCCTTCCGCTGAACTTTTGATGTCGGTCTTGGCGGCTATTGTACCTGAGGCACCAATGATACAAACATGTCAAACAGCCGGACTGAGCGGCCCGGCTTATCAAAATGTGGAGTCGTCAGGCACCCTAACATACTGTAGTTGATGCTCTACTCGTACTGTAGGAGGAACTATCAACCCAAAGGAAAAAGGTCTCTTATACCGAACTCATTTTTGATATCATATCTAAGCTGTTTATGCTCGATTCTTACGGCAGGATCTCTACGATAGTCGCATTGTATGCAAAAAGGCTATGGCGCGGATAGGCGCGGCGTATCTGTTGTAAACCGAAAATATCAATCTCAATAGGATGTTCTCACGCATGAGGTTCCATTTGTTATCATTCAGGGCATATATTTAAATTTCCATAACACTATTCCGTCAGATCCTATATAGCCATTTGGCACGGCCACCAATGATGCATGACGAGGAACGAGTATTATACACGAGCTAGGTACACAAAAATGCTGCTCACCAGCTAGCCAGAAACGAAGAAGAAAACGGGGCAAAAAGAAAGGTAGGTAGACCTAATCCACCAGATCCAGGGCAAGACAGTTCAACGACCGACGTCCACCGCCACGAGAGGCGGGCAACTCGACCCAATCCTTCAGGACATGCGTAACCCGGAATCCAAGCTTCTCAAAGACCCTTACGCTTCCATGGTTTCCGACAAAGGCAGTGCTTCTGATATACCTGGCATTCATGCGAGGGACGACCCATCCATAGATAAGCGTCTTCATAGCAGCTGTCATGATCCCACGGCCATGATGAGATGGAGCCAACCAGTCTGTTGTTGTGTCAGCAGAATCAATCCATGATTTAAGGGCTGTACGCTCATAGTTCTCATATGGTAAAACCAGAACCACAGTGAGAATTCAAAATGAAAGAAACAATAAGTAAGAAAAACACACCCCCAACCGTCCAAACAATCTCCCGATCCCCAGCCCGCCGCATCGAATTCCTTTCAACAGCATCCGCCCTCTCCCTGCTACCTTCGGGTAAGTCCAGAAACTGATACCGGGCGATATCAATTGCCCCAATGAGGGCATCCTCCTCAATGGCACCATCCTGCCCCTCCTCCATAATCTCCCGGATACACTGGAAGGGACACTCGTCCATAGGCTCCTGCGTGCCCAGCCGCGCAGCTTGCAGCTCGTACTTGTAGTGCATGGCGGTCCAAGACCTTGCATCTTCCAAGGTGTACGGGAATGGCGGCCCAAGGAGCCAAGTTGCCACGAGTGGGTCGTTCATGTTTTTGACGAGGGCCGCTTCGTCGCTTGGGCTAGGTTGGCGAAAGGGGGTGAGTATGATGTTGCCATGAGGGGCGGCGAGTCGGATATAGGGCTCGTTGGTTGAGGGGTTATAGAGGATGGACATGGTCTATGGATGGGATGATGAGCCAATGGTTTATAGTAAAAGAAGAATAAAAGAACCAAAACACACGTAGACTATTTGTTCATGTCTATGTATCTATCAGTTTATCTGTCAATAATTGTCATATCTTTTATGCTTGATCTCAGTGACTCACACTCCGTTCAACAGTCACAGATTTCTAGCCGCACCTATTTACATGATTTTGGTGTCCGAGATATCATCATCTCCGTGGCTGTTCTTACCTGCTTAAAGTTATACGCCATCAATGCTGGCGTAGTATTAGTGTGTATATCACGTCCAGACTGAATCGAGGCTATTCATAACAATGTCGTCTTGGCTTCGTGGCGTTGTATACGACCAAGCTGATTCAGTAAGATAACATGTCTATCTTACGCTAAAGGAAACGGTCTACTCCTCCAAGTGGGTAATTTCATAAATGACCTGCAGATGCTTCCCTGCCTAAGCGGTTCTTACTTCTTACTGCTAACATACGTGTCCATGGATATATGCCTAAGGCACTGAGACCGGCGATCGCATGACCCCACTTGAGGGGTTCGGGAGGGCACGGATACACGATTGTGCCGATCTCGATGTTGAGACTCGTGCACATTTACGGATCAATTTATTAGGATAAGATAGTTGTAGGTAATAAAATCTTATAATGTGGATTCAGTAAGCAACAGTGGAAGAATAGGGTCATTCAATTTTGATAGAACGATGCAAAACTTGAACAACAACAAGCCGGGTATACAAAACACAGTTTCGACGAGACTCGAACTATCCAGAATTGTATCCCACATTATCGTAGCCAGCCGCAGTGACAAAAGTAATCTCACAACAAGAAGGAATGTCAAAGACCCGGCCGGCCGAAGAAATCAAGAGAAAGCATCTATGAAAAAGGGAAATCGTATCGCAGTCGTCACAAACGCAAAGGAAAGACACATCAGCGGTGAAAGAGGAAAGAGACCGAGAAGAGAAGAGCAATGAGGGGAAGCCCATTTATTTCTTGAAGAAACCGCCCAGCTGATCCATCATGCCACCACCACTGTGGGAGCCGCCGTGGGAGCCGCCGTAGCTGCTGTGGCCGCCGTGGCCGCTGCTGTAATCGGGAGGGCTACCCTCGCCCTTGTTCTTGTGCTTCTTGACCGCGTCTTCGGCGATGCTTCCCATGATCGCACCGCCGATTGTTCCGAGGATGCCATGGTCGGCCTTGTGGCCTGCGAACCCACCGGCGGCACCACCGGCAAGGGCACCAGCGAGACCGCGCTCACCCTCTTGAGCTCCACCGGGTCCCTGCTGATCGTATCTGTGAAGTGGACTCCGTTAGTGGGATGTTCAGTTTGATGGGGGGGTGGGTGACGGAAGTGGCTGGAGACATACTCAGACTGGCCAGACTGGCCATACTGGTGTTGCTGGTGTTGCTGGTGTCCGTACTGGCCCTGCTGTTCGTACTGCTGCTGGCCGTAGCCGTGGCTGCCGTGCTGCTGACCACCGTGGCCGTACTGGCCCTGGGACTGGTCGTAGCCCTGGGACTGGCCGTAGCCTTGCTGGGAAGGGTAGCCGCCTTGCTGAGAGTAACCGCCCTGTTGACCGTAGCCCTGGGACTGGCCGTAGCCCTGGTTATACTGCTGGTTGTAGGGGTCAGACATGGTGAATGGTGTTCTTAAAGTGCTGTTGGTTGAAAAGTTGGATAGAAATAGAGAATAGAGAGGAGGAATAAAGATGTGTGTTGATGGATGAAGTAGGAGGAGGGGGGAACGGGGTTCCCCTGTGTCCCTTTTATAATAAACTGGCGACCACGGGAGCAATGGTTAAGATTACCTGGACCAGAGGTTCAGCCATTTTGGGCCACAGGGCTGAGTCGTTGCTGCAGCAGTACCCCACCTGAGCACCACTTCCCCCAGTACGCCAAGCTAGATGGATGTTTACGGAACGCCCAGTCACCGTACCATTAGTCACTACTCAGATGAAGTCTACGCTCTCAGGCAGGCGTCTAGAACACTTCCCGCGTGGCTGTGTTGACCAAATTGATTGCTCTATCATTCTAGAAGACAGTGAGGCTGAGCCAGTGAGGATAATAGTGATCTCATTTCTGAACACCAACTAAATCCCTAGGTTCGATCAAGTCTTGATCAGTATTCATGCCCCGCTGATCGTCATATTATGGTGGGCTGGGCATGGTGGAATACTTTGGATCTAGTACGGTCCTTCTACTTATGGAGTATACTACTCCGCAGTCCCAGGAGATTTGAATGGCTGCCTAGATTACACTGCAATACTACCTGATACCATTGTTCTCGTAAGATGTATCTGAGCGAGTAGCCCAGCTACTACTGCAGTCATTGCAGTGGCAATTACAAGTACACAAAGATATAATGCCCAATTTGGGACAATAATTGGAAGTGACGTGATGGTACTGACTTGTATGTATGATAGGATCTGTATTGGTTGGAACTATAGTTACTGTACTCCGTATACTCTGTATCCGTACATCACTAATTATAGCCGAGTATGGCGTAAGTTACTGCATCGCGTACAGAAGGCGTACAGATCGTGGCTGTGTGTTGAGCCACACAGTGGCGGTGTGGGGATAACGTGATCTTACGTCAGTGTCCAACTGTCCATTGCCTAATGCTTCCTTCTGCATGACAAAAGTCTTCCAGAAGACTATCGAATCCATGCTGACTCTCTTGTTGATATTCATCGTCACATTTGAGCGGTGTCTCACCGAAATTATGGTACCTTGTTCTAATTTCAATTCTGGTACGCGCCCCATCGGTTATGCCCGAGATCCATACAAACTCGGTTCCGCCGTCGCAGGCAGCCATATTCTGGTCAACCGAGTTAGGGAACCATATGATTAACCGTATTAGCCGTCAACTTCCGATGCTGCAGTCTTACGTATATGGTCTTGTTCGATGCCGATGGCCACATAATTACTAATTATCATTACCATCGCCAACTATCGCCCGCCGTTTGAGGATCCACCCGCTGTTTACTGTGCAGGTACTTGCTGTAGAGGCTTTTCCAAATCTGGCCAAATGGGAACCACGCGATCCTCAAAGAACTCATTCTCTTGTGGAGGAGTAAGTGGCGGTATGTTAGTAGTACAAAAGTGAGTCCTGTCTTACTCCGTAAATTAGGCTTTGTTTAGGACTCGCTGTCGTTTTGAGACCCATGACAATGAACAAGTCCACCAAAGAAGATGATACTCTAGTATTTGAGACAGTGGAGATATCAACCGGTCAATAATGTTGACGAGTCTCGATTCAAGCTTTCTTCACCATAATTGTATTGCTGTTGTAATCGGCCCCAGTCGAAACAATGAGTATGCAGTGTCTCTATAAACTGCGTGGGCCTTGGATGCAATGCGGTATTTTTATCGCACCCTTCCAGCATACCAAGCAACTTACCCATGCTATCTTTGTCATTCTTGAACTCCTGTCGACTCATGCAGCTCACATGACTCTCCTGTGCGCGAAACTCCAATCCAGGATTGGCTCCTTTTAACATCGGTTGCACTGTGGCAGATCGCCTGACACTCTATCAGTATCTAAGGATTATTTAACCTCCCGTCCATCCAGATAGAAGACTTCCATATATCCATGCCAGTTTCATTTATAGACATATCATGGACATTTGAAGCTGAGATTCGCCAGATTCCATCCAGATGATCAATTCTACCGCGTGTCACCTGCCTCCCCCATGACGCCTTCCTCCACAACATCTGCAGCGCTTATCATTCCTGCCCCATAGATCAAGGCGCGATGCACGAGGTGTCTCCTTAAAATCACCTTTCATGTTGATCACCAAGTGCCATGGCTTCTCCATGGACAGGACCATCCATAGAGTCTCTTCCATATCGCCCAGCTATAGTTCAACTAGCACAATGCCTTGCCCTGCTATATCGTATTATGCCCTTCTCTTCGCCGTCTTTCTCTCTCAAGCCACAGCCTGGATCCACAACACCCCAAATGTGTACCTCATCCGCCATGGCGAAAAGTCGGGCCTCTCCAAAGACCGCGGGCTAAACTCGGAGGGCGAACTGCGCGCGGAATGCCTACGTAACATATTTGGAGCCAACTCCACCTACGACATCAAGTATATCCTCGCGCCCAAATTCAACAAGCGTATGCATTTCCTAGTCGTTTACATCCCAACAACCTAGATCCCAAAAGAAAGGGGGGAAGTTAGATGGATTGTCAAAGTATAGTTATACCCGCAACTATACAAATACTAACCCAACTCCCAAACAACAGAAGGCTATCACCGCCGCTCCTACGACACCGTCCACCCACTCGCCGAAGACCTCGGCCTTTCCATCGACACATCCTGCAAGCGGAACAAGCCCGGCTGTCTCGTAAAGAGAATCAAAGCATACCGCGGCCCAGGCAACATCCTCATCTCCTGGCGCCACAGCAAAATCAGCGCCATCGCAAGCAAGCTGGGCGTGGACGAGGTACCGGACTACCCGGATGAGCGGTGAGTCGTGCTTTTTTTTTCTTGCACTGGACATTCCGTAAAAAGACTTGCATATACATATAGTATAGTTTTCAATGGAGTGGAGTGTTTGTTTTACGTCCTCGTGCGATCGGTCGATCGGCTGGCTGATTATGGTCTACGGTCTAGGTTCGACCTTATCTGGACGATGGTCTATCCGTATGAGAATGTCACATCGGTAGAGAGTGAGAATTGTCCGGGTTTGGATGCGCAGTCTGTGTTGCGGGTGCAGGTCTGATTTTATGATGCTGTTGTTGGAAGGATGAGGATGTCGTGATCTAAGTATTGGCTACATGGTATGGGTGATTTAGCAAGAGAATGCCTCAAGCATGTCATATAAATGTTTGGATGAAAAGGGCCTGTTACTGGTTGAGTCTATACTCAATAAACTGTATATGTGGTGACTAGACTGTGGATATATAACCAAAGATGTTCTCAGCTCCACATGATTCTGAATGTCTATAATCGTCGATAGGGTTTATCCAGATTCTAAATAGCATTCAATTGTAAAAGTGAATACAATCCTTATAATAGACAACTGTTTGTAAACCCTCTTAACTATCAACGATCCACTTGTTAGTGAAAGAAGACACTACCAGTTTATACTTAGTGACAGTAAGTTTGTAGACAATGTATAGTTAGATGTGCATATAATAGCTAGGTCAGCACTAGTATAAATAAATGTGCACATCAAGGCGGTCAAAGAACTGCCCGGCGGAGTCGAGCCAAATGCCAAGATTTCATCCACCCAGCCGATTTTTTCGAACTGCTTCGTTCGACCGACTGCCCGTTGGATTTCCAGTCCAATCACCCACCAGGTTACAGCACTGTCATTTTTACTTCTGGAACCTTGGATGGTCTGCTGAAGTCACAAGTTAAGCAAGATGGATGATATCGAGGTATGTTGTTAAACTGCGCGCCTGAATTGCCCCACTTGAAAATCAAAGGACTAAAAGTCGGGGTTTTTTTTTTCTTCGCTACAGGACCGACTGCGCAGCCACGCACAGGCCTTTGACGGCCTTTTGTCTTTGATCCCCGCGAAGTATTACTACGGTGATGATGGCAGCGTATGTGATACTCTGAATTTTTCATCTTCTGTCAATTTTCCACTGCCCCGGTGTTTCAGGATTCTCTGCTTTTCTCCCTCTCCCCTCCCCCTCCCATTCCCTCTCTGCGACCGGTTCGTGCGCCAGGACATGTCTGACCATCGAATCCTATCCTTAGCAGGACCAATGGCAGCGCAAAAAGCAGACCAAAGAGGAAGCTCGTGAGGCGAAACGGGCCAAGTTGGACCCCGCCTCTTCCAAAACCGCCAAGGACATCATGGATGAAAATGCCCGCAAGCGCAAACGGGAGGAGAAGGATGGAGCCCAATCAGACGACGCGTCAGAAGGGCCTGAAGATCTCGGCTCCGAGGCTCCCAAGGAGGGGTTGAAGCGCGGCGATGTCAAGCAGAAGAAGCAGAAGCAAACCGCAGACGCTTCGAAATCCAACGAGGACGCGGAGGCGCGGAAGAAGATGAGGGAAGAAAAGAAGGAGCAGAAGAAGGCCAGCCAAAAGGAGAAGAAGAAGGCCAAGGTTGAGGCGAAGAAGTCTACACAGCCTGCACGGAAAGAGCAGGAGACCGCGACGAAACCCGAGGCGAAACCCAGCAAACAAGAGTCAAAGGCTGGAGCGAGTGATGATAACGACGATGATGATGCTGAAAACGAAGCCGCGGCAGAAGGGTTCTCTTTGGAGTTCAACGCCGAGCAGACAGAGAACCCCTCGTCAGTTTCCTCGACGCCAAACTCCCCCGGGTTTGATGCATCCAACGTACACTCCGGCAGCTCTTCCATCTCCTCCATCGTCCCTCCCACCGCCCCTACTGATGCCTCCAATGCCGAGAGCAAGCCCCTGAAAGCCACCCCCGAAGAGTTGAAGCAGCGGTTACAAAAGCGCCTCGACGAGTTGCGCGCCGCGCGGCACGCCGACGGGTTCGACGGCAAGCCCGCTCGCAACCGCCAAGAACTGATCGAAGCCCGCCGCCAGAAGGCCGAAGAGCGCAAGGAACACAAGAAGGAATTGCGACAAAAGGCGAAGGAGGAGCTGCAGCGCAAGAACGACGAAGCCATCGCCAAGCGCTTCTCCCCCGGCGGCTCGGGATCCCTCCTCGCTTCGCCGCGGTCCCCCGCCGACTCGGTCGGCTCAAACAGCAACAGCTACTCCTTCGGCCGGGTCATGTTCGCCGACGGCCAACACACCGACCCGACCCTGTCTAACATCCGCGACGAGCGCAAGCGCCAAGTGGTCCAGGACCCCGCGGCAGCCCTCAAGACAGCCGAGTCCAAGAAGGCGCGATTCGACAGCCTGGACGCCGAGAAGCGGGCCGAGCTCGAGGAGAAGGACATGTGGCTGAACGCGAAGAAGCGCGCTCACGGCGAACGCGTCCGCGACGACACCTCGCTGCTCAAGAAGGCTCTCAAGCGCAAGGAGTCGGCCAAGAAGAAGAGCGAGCGCGAGTGGCAGGAGCGCCTGGATGCCGTCCGCAAGGGCAAGGACATGAAGCAGTCGAAGCGCGAAGAGAACCTCCGCAAGCGTCGCGACGGGAAAGGCGGCGGTGACAAGAAGGGCAAGAAGAAGGCGCCCTCCCGGCCTGGCTTCGAGGGAAGCTTCAAGACTAAGGTCGGCGGAAAGAAGAAATAATCACGTCCCTTCTACTTTACCTAGGCATCCGTCAACCTAGGGTATCGTCCTTTATACTACCTTACTTCGATCTTCCTTTTCCTCCAGATGTAGCCTGCCCTCTTCCGTTTCTTTTCCCCACGATCTATTGCCGTGAGAAAAGACGTCATGCATATGATCTATTCCCGGCGAGAACCAATTCCCGAAAGGGCGAGAGAGAGACAGGCTACAACTGGAAATCCCCAAAGGCAAAACGAGCAAGGAAAGCGCGAGGATTCCAACCAAAAAAAAGATTACGGAGATATGGTGTTTGGGTGCGTTTGGGAGGGGGTTTTTGACTTTTCTTTCATCTGTCATGATTTTTTTTTTTTTTCTTCCTTCCCTTCTTCTCTTCCTCACATCTTTTTTCTTCTTCTTCATCTTCTTCATCTTCGAGTCGTTGTAAATGTGCATACCTAGGCAGCGATCTAAGTGTCTATACCAAATCCATGGAGTTTTCTTGGTCATCTGTCTTTTGTTGGTTGTGTGAAGTGAAGTGAAGTGAAGTGAAGTGAACTGTATATGTGTGTGTGATACCTGAGGTACTTTACTTACTCCTACTATGATGTATGGATGTATGGATGTGTCTACGGGGTAGGTAGTGAGGGAGGTAGGTAGGTAGTGAACCTGGGAAGTGGAATCTACATATAATCATAATCAGAACTGGCACACTACATCAAGCCTACTCCTTTGGAATATACACATGAATATTTAGAAGATTCAAAAAAAAAAACAAAAGAGAATATGTTTATGTTGATTGATTGATCCCTAAAGACACAGTACAGAAATAAGTAGTGAACAAGGCAGAACCCCTCGACCAAATAACGTTACAAAAACAAGACAAAGTGAGAAAAAGAAGAAGAAAGTAAAACAGTCGTCCCAAGAAGCGAAGTTACTGCAGTATAATCCGACGAGTACACGAAAGTTTGGACGAGGGTAGACATAAAGCAGGGTCAAACGGTCAGTAATATGTACAGAGCTGGAGCGGTTGAAGAGTCTACCCCCGTTCGTTGCCGGGTGTTGACTTCAGAACCAGAATTGATTTTGATGATTTTTTTTTCTGCATTTTTGATTATTTGCTTTGCTTCTCATAAAAAAACAGGTATGGAAAGGTCTCTTTTCCTTCTTCCAATGGATTCCTTTTCATGGGAAGAGGACCCCAAAAAGGTATGACAGCTAACGGTACGCCACCGTGAAGTATATGGACTACATGTGTAGATCGGTCGACCGGATTTATCGGTAGGGCGCATCGGCTCTGGCGGCGGCCGCAATCTCAGGCTCCCACTTATCACCGTTGGATAGTAGCTTCTCCTTGTTGTACAGCAACTCTTCGCGGGTTTCCGTGGCGTATTCGGCGTTGGAGGCTACAGCGGTTAGCAGGTGGCTTTCAACTGGTACAAAGTTAAAGACAAAAGAGGAGCATACTCTCAACAATGGCATCCACGGGGCAGCTCTCCTGGCAGTAACCGCAGTAGATGCACTTGGTCATATCGATATCGTAACGGGTCGTCCGTCGGCTTCCATCAACACGTTCCTCGGCTTCGATGGTGATGGCCTGGGCCGGGCAGATGGCCTCGCAGAGCTTGCAGGCGATGCAGCGCTCCTCGCCGGTGGGATAGCGGCGCAGGGCGTGTTCGCCACGGAAGCGGGGGGAGATGGGACCCTTTTCAAAGGGGTAGAAGATGGTGTATCTGCGGTGGGATTGATTAGCTTCAGCTTCCGCACCTTGAATAATGCAAGACTAATGAAGGAGGGCGATGGTAGTAGGTGGCGCTTGACGAGATTCCGCACCGCTGCGCCGTTCAAGGCGGGTTACATCTGGGAGAGCGGGAGGGGGGATAACACTTACGGTGGTCGGAAAAATTGCTCCAACACCACGTACATGCCGCGGAAGATCTCAGCCATGAGGAAGTATTTGCTGGCCTTGTCCAGAGAGGTCTCGGAATCCTGGTCCCATCTCTTGGGTGTGGGCAGACGGAAGGCGGACTGAGAGGGACCGGCCTGGGTAGCAGCCCGGATTACTGAGGAAGAGAAGTTTGCGGATGAGGTCAAGGGACGCAGGGACGAGGCGGTAGGGCGGCGGTAGGCCATAAGCCTCACGACCGACGATGAGGGAGCCATCGCGGAAGACGGGGAGGGTGTGGACGGGAAGAGAGGGGGGTGTAGGGAGGGACAATTGGGGGGTGAAGATAGGATTAATGAGGTTCAACTGGAGGAGGAAGTTCCATCGGGTCAACTTGTTGCTTTGCGCTTAGGTCATGCCTTTCCGCGGCAATATTATTGGCCGCCCGCAGGATTTGTGCTGCTTCCGAGCCGCAACACCAAAAGAGAGAGAGAATTCATTGCTTTGCTCCGTCATCCGTTCCATCTTGATCTTTCCAACCACCCTCCACATCTTCCCCTTCTCCTCCCCGTTTAACTTACATTCCTTCTCTAGGCTACAATTGCCTTCTCTTTTTACATCTCTACCACCATGTTTCGCTCCGCTGTCGTCCGCTCCTTGAGAGCCTCTGTGCCTCGTGCCGTCCGCACTCCGGCCTCCTTCCAGATCCGTAGCTCTCCCATCGCCCGTCCGGCTCAATTCGCTCCTCGCTTCGCCTACCAGGGTGTCCGTCTCTACTCCGCTCCCGCCGGTCTGAACCAGGAGGAGGTTGAGGGCCGTATCGTCAACCTGCTGAAGAACTTTGACAAGGTGCGTTTTTTCCCGATCGCGTTCCCTCGGCTGGTTCCCTTCGGGGAATCCAGGGAATTTCAGGAAACCCTCCCAGAAACTTCGGAAGGGCGCAATGGCTGACATGAGTGATTTGATTTAGGTTTCCGATGCTAGCAAGGTTCGTTGGACAACCTTTTCCCCTTCCATTCGACTCGTCTGCGGCTAGGGAGCGCTTTTCCGGAATGCCGAGATCGTGGACCGGGGAACATAACCATCTAACCCGTTTACTATGATAGATCAACGCCTCCTCGCACTTCTCGAACGACCTTGGTCTGGACAGCCTGGACACCGTTGAGGTTGTGATGGCTATTGAGGAGGTATGGAACTTGCCCGGTCGTACCCGTTTCGGGATATCCGCTAACCCATCGCGTAGGAGTTCAGCATTGAGATCCCCGACAAGGAGGCCGATGCCATCCACAGCGGTAAGTACTCATTTGTGGGGATGGAATGGTTGGTGGGATGATGAGTGTATACTGATCGCTGTTGTTTTCGACTACAGTGAACCAGGCTGTGTCTTACATCCTGGCTCAGCCCGATGGTAAGTCTTACATTGTTATACCTATCCTTATTTGTTTCAGCAGCTGACCATGACTAGCCCACTAATTTATTGTAATATGATGACGCGGATCTGGCGTGGATGAGATAGAAGAAATGAAGGGATAGTATTGGGGTGCATCTGCGCGGGCGTCTCGACCTCGGGACCATGACCGTGTAGTCGAAGGCGCTACTCTGTATGCCGATCAGACCGTGCTTTTGGACCCTGTTATATCGTGTATATCACCATCAATGCAGTTTTGTCAGACCTACGGGTTAGTGGAATAGATTGTGTTGACTATCAATTCGGGCTTCGCATGATTGATGTATCGAGTATTTCTTCTCCGGAGACTGTCCCAAATCATTGACCGAACAATTACAGAACTCGATCCAGATGAGTAGAGTGGGAGGTGAGTGTAGGTGATGCCGAATCATCCGGGGATAGAAGCATAGTACAAGGCCAATGCATAGTTCGATAAGCAATGGAAAACCAATAAATGGATCTATAGGTACATTTACAGGTATATTATCCTCTACAAGTATATCCTTAAAACCCAGAAAGACCATGGAGGGTAGTTTGTAGAGTAGCGATAAGGTGTATCTTGCGGCTCAGGCACTGTCCGTCACCGGCGCCGAAAAAGAGCCACATCGCAGATTCTGACCGGAAAGTCAAAATTAATCCGTCTCAATAGTTCTTTGACCTTTGATCGAGTTGCAATTGATGGAAATTATTTCAATAATTTCTTTTCTTTTGACTGATAATTGTTGACTTGAATTGATCGGCTCAGCTATCTTCTTGGTGAGTTAATTTTTTTCTGGGTCTGGTCTAGAGTTCTTTAATCTCTAGTCCTCCTCGTTCTCCGCCGCCCCTGACAATTTCCCGCCCCAACAGGAAACAATACCTTACCTGCTCCCTAACTGCACCTTACTACTGCTACTCTTATTTGGACCACCACCACCACCACCACCACCACTTCTACTACTACTCCTACTTCGACGACACCTCATCCCTACTACGACGATTCCTACCGCCCCGACCGAACCTATCTGTCAACTTCCCACTCCCCCTTCAACTCTATTTAGGTTTCGGGTTAATCTTAGTTCTCCTCTCTCGGCCACCCCTCTTTCCTCAATCAATAAACCCGTTCATGTCGCACGCGGGACTAGCCTAGATTCCGATTGTTACGACCTTTTTGTCGACTCCGTCCTCACTTACCTCCCCCCCCTCCGCTCACTCTCCGTCTCCGATCCCCTACTATCCAGATGTCCGCAGCCGGGGGCTTGACTCGCCGAAGGGGTGGCGGTCGGGTCGCTGGCGCAGATGATAACGACGACAGCAGAGTCTCGTCTCCCGTGTCCCGAAACGGCTCTGCGCTCGACCACCGCGGTCCCGAAACCTCCTTCACCAGCGCCGAGAATGGCCACAAGATCGCCTTTGACCCTCGGGACATCAGCGAGACCGAGGAACGCAGCAAACAGCCCAAGCTGACGCTGATGGAGGAAGTGCTGCTGTTGGGTCTGAAGGACAAACAGGTGAGATCGGGAACCGCGGGCTTTTCGCCCTCTCTGCGCGACGGGAGTTCAATCCGCTGACGTCGAACCTTTGGTCTGGTAGGGGTACCTGTCGTTCTGGAATGAGAATATCTCGTATGCCCTGCGCGGCTGCATCGTCATCGAACTGGCGCTGCGCGGCCGAATCAGCATGCAGAAGGATTCGGCTCGACGACGCTTCCCCCTGGCCGATCGCGTGATTGAGGTTATCGACGATACGTTGACTGGGGAGGTCTTGCTGGACGAGGCGTTGAAGATGATGAAGTCGAGCGAGAAGATGAGTGTGAACTCGTGGATCGATCTAATGAGCGGTATGTGCGAGGCAAACTGGGTCACCGCGACGGCCGGAGTCGAACAATACTGACGGGGAACGTGACATGGCAGGCGAAACGTGGAATCTGATGAAGATCGGCTATCAGCTGAAGCAAGTACGGGAACGTCTTGCCAAGGGTCTCGTCGATAAGGGCGTCCTTCGCACGGAGAAGCGAAACTTCCTCCTCTTCGACATGGCAACGCACCCCGTCGCCGACGGCGGCGCCAAGGACGACCTCAACCGCCGGGTTCGCAACATCTGCACCAACCGCACCGTCATCCTCCCGCCCAACACATGGCTGCCGGAGGACTCCGAGTACCGGTACCTGCGGACGGTGGTCATGGTGTGCGCCGCGTATGCGGCCAATGTGCTGGAGAATGCCCTGGTCACGATGAGCCACGAGTCCCGCGAGCGGGCCTTTGCCCAGGTGGATGAGCTGCTGGCCGAGTATTCGCAGTTTCCGTTCGCGCGGAAAGCGGGCGGCGGGCAGGCGATTGGGGCCAACCTGGCGCAGGCCATCAACGAGGAGGTGGAGAAGGGCAGCGAGAGAGAACTTCAAATGGAGGTACGTGTATTGTTTGAAAGTCCCTCTCAGGTTCCTACGAGACTAACAGGTTTGATCGCAGATTGTTGCCGCATGTCTGAGTGTATTTACCCGTCTGGACTCGCTATTGTAGAGCAGTCCTCCAGCTACTCTGGTTATCATGTTCCTTCCTACCCATACCAAGCCCTTTCCTAATCTCCCCCATCAATCTTCTTCTTCCTTCATCCAGCTCCCGTGCGTAAACCGCATATTCCTCGCACACCCGGTAAGGGTTTATACGGGCAGAGTAACAACCCATAGTGGAAGCATTCATGATACGAAAAACCCGCCATCCCTACAAAGCGGGAGGGGCCCCATTGCATTGTTGACTTGACTTTGACTTGTACGAGAGAAAGTTTGATTAATTCATCTGCAAACTGACACACCGTTTTTGATTTTTTTTTTTTTTTTTTCCCCCTTTTCTTCCCTTTGCTTTTTTATCTTTTGTTTCCCCCATCTGCGCGTTTCTTCTTCTCTCCATCGAACGACACTCAAGCAATCCATACATACATACATACATACCCCTTTTGATCCAATTCAGAATTCCATGGAAAATTAAAAAGGAGAAACGTGGGCTGGTGATTCAAATACAATCTTTTGTCTATAGAGTGCACATTGAGCGCGTCTATCTATCCACTTGGTGGTTTGCCTCTGTTTCTGTCCGCATGGGAGAAGAGAAGCCATACTGGGCGAATCAAGGGCGTGTATATGCGTGTTTTGCCAAATCATATGCCCATTCTATCCACCTAGCCTGTGGTTGGTTATCTACCTATTTGATGATGGTCAAGCGCGCAAGCCCATCGGATCGAGACATCAATTCACGGGGAATGGATGATCGAAGGAGGGAGCAGGGATCAAGCAACCAACAATCATATACAAGAAGCATGACAGGATCAAAATCGAGAGAGACAGAGAGACAGACAGAAGGAATAGGGCCCATATTATCCCATCCACCTCCCATTTTATCATTTCCACTTCCTTTACTTCACTTCTTCACTTGGCTTGTTTCCGGGCACCGGTCTCAACAAGTACCTTTTTTTCTTCTTATCCTTCGCATTATTCCTTTATTTTATTTATACTTGTTTCTATGCCAATCACCCTTGTAATAGCGCTTCAACTTCTTTCTTATCTGGCCCTATTTCAATCTACCCTATCTTTCATATCAGCAGTGACTTTGATATAAACTGCTTATACCATCCACCGTCTCCATCTATCTATCTATGGGTATATTTGCCTCAATCTTCATATGTTTGGACTGTATTATCGGGGTTTGCTGCATGACAGCGTATATGTGTATGTATGGATGGTCATGCTCTATGTTGTTGTATTTAGTTGTCTGTGAGTATCTTTAGACTGGTTGTATGTGGCATAGATTGAGTTTGTTATTACTATTTTCTAATCACTTTTTATGCGCCTCTTTACTGTGGCTCTTGCTCTTGTTCTTGCTCTTGCTCTTGCTCTGATTTAGCATATCATTTGGGAAGGATGGTATGATAGTATATTAGGCCAATAGTATATGAACAGAACGCGTTAGATACAGAGCAACTACCTTACTCCTATAATCCGCATCTATCGCCAATATCACTTGAACGCATTATCAAAGACACCCATCAACACATAACATACAACCAAACAAGACCTAAAAATCAAGAAACCTGAACATTGACCCTAAACACATAAACACCCCCCCGCAACGCACCCCCCGCCCCAGCCGCCCCTGCACTAAGAATATCCGCCCCCTGCACCAAATCAATAGTGGACTCGACCCTCCCCCGGAGCTCATGCTTCTCCACCAACTCCGCAATACGCCCCAGCGCCTCCCCATCCGGCACGACAGTCACAAAGCGGCTGAGGATGCCCTTCTTCGAGAACCGGGCGCTATCCGCGCTGGGCATATCGCCCGCAGCATCGGAGTCCACAGCCGTGAGAACGACGCCGTTGTCCTTGATGACGGAGGGGGAGTGCGCCTGGCGGAAGATCTGCTGGCCAGCGCAGTCGAGGACGATATCGACGGGGGCCCAGCCGCGGGACTTGAAGATGTCCGCGAGGTTGAATTCCTCGGGGAGGGGCAGCGGGGCGTGGATGATTTCGTCGACGTGTGTGCGGACGAGGCGCGCTTGGTCCGAGCTGGAGGAGCAGGTTGCGCAGATCCACGGGCGATGGTGGTGGTGGGTTGTGTCGTCTGTTGGGAAGAGGGAGGGGGAGCGGAGGAGTTGGATTGCTTGCGAGGCGACTTCGCTGTCTGAGGCGTTGGTGACGAGCACGCGGAGTCGGTGGCGCGTGTGGGAGTTGTCTGGGTCGAGGGCGGCGTATTTGAAGAGGGATTGCCAGGCTGTGAGGGCGGGGCGGGGGATGGAGGCTGCTTCTGCCGAGGAGATGTTTTTGGGCTTGAGGGCGATCTCGGAGGAGGACACGACGACGTAGTCTGCTGCTGCGCCGTCGTGGGTGTGGCTGATCATGCCGAAGACGACGTCGCCAACTTTGAACTTGGGGCCGGAGGGAAGGTAGTCGTCTTGTGGGGGGGTGCGGATGACGGTGCCGCAGAAGTTGTGGAGGGGGATTTGGGGGTAGGATTTGGAGGGGTTGAGGAGCTTGGAGAGGCGGAGCTCGTCGTGGGAGAAGGCTGCTGTGAGGACTTTCACCAAGTATTGGTTTGCGGCTGGCTGGGGCGTCATGAAGTCCGTGTCGTAGACGAGGTCCGAGTCCTGTCTGGGGAGATCCAGGTCTGTGGTGTCGGTTATGGCGGTTGATGCTGGCCGGAAGTACAGGGCGCGCATGGTTGGGGGGACGAATGTCAGTTCGTCCATCGTGGTGGATCTTGGTTTGGCTGGCTTCATTTTGACTGCCTTCTTCAAGTTCGATATGTCTATACTTGATGTTGTTTCAATCAAGGATATCCCAGATGGAATGACTTGAAAGATAAATGTCGCAGGATCATAAACACCACTTTGGCTTCGACCTAGGAGATATACCGGTTCAAGTGCATTAGTCGATGCCAAAATGACAAACAGATGGAAGTGTTTTCCAGCAGCGCGCAATAGGCCATAGTGGCGTCGGCCTCGATGGCCTCATATTGACGTCACCAGATACAACTCCGGCTATACCAAAATCCAGCCAAGACAGCGGTATAGAGCCCTAACAGACCCAAACTCCAAAAAAAATGGTACTCATAAAGTTTGTTTCCTTCTTTGTCCTTCTTCTCCTCTTCGATCGAGTTACGGCACCACGGGTTCCCCTCAGAGCCGGGCAATCAAGTCCCTCACCTCCTCCGGCTCTTCAAACACCCGCCAAATGTGATTGGGGACGTTCTTGAACGCAGCCTCGAACCGCTCCGGGGAGTTTTGTTCCTCAAGATGGGGCACGTCCGTGACCTTCCGGATCCAGATGGCCCTGACCCACGTCGGGTGGTTCTCGTAGATCTCCGCGTACGTCTCGGGATCTTCTTGGGTGGAGTCGCCAATGCAGAGCACGCGACGGTGAGGGAACCACCGGTGGATTTTCTCGATCCACTTCATTTTATATGCCTTCGTGTTGACGGTGAATGAGCGGACCAGCTCACTCACATCCAGCCAGGACGAGCCCCGGAGCATCAGGGTCCCCGGGGCAAAGTGCGAATGGATGAAGTGGCGCAGGAACGGGTATAGGTTAAATGGCGCGGCGGAGACGTAGAACCAGGCTGGCTGGAGTTGCTTTTCGATCTGATAGTAGAGCTGCGGTGTTCCGGCGATAGGCTTAGGCTCGTCAACGAATGTCGTGCGCAGGATCCCTGTCGATTCCGACGTCTTGGTGTATTTGATGGTGTCGTCGATGTCGGATATCACGAGCCAGCCTTCTGGGCCTGCGAAGGTGGTGTCCATGGTAGCTGTGCTGTTCCAGTTGCGAAGCTTGGATCGAATTCTGTCTCCGTCCTTGACGCCCCGGCTGCCTGTCGTCACCGTTTGGACGCTGACGCCGTTGTGGTCTGTGGGCCCGATCTGGTGGATCTGGGTCGTGTGGTTTGGCAGTGGGATTTCTAACATCATCATGTGTGCTTCTGCTGTGTGGTAGAGGAATGGCCGGAGTCGCTCAGCGATGCAGTGACGGATCTCTCGCTGGGTGCCCACTTCTCCGTCCAGACCGATGATGTCGGCGATAGTTGCAACCAACTTGCTGATATCCTTCCGACTGTCCTTTTGGAAGACACAGGCGATCACTTCTACGTGCCATGCGTGCCCTTTTCCGATCGTCTTCGGCATCGTGCTTTGGTACGCGGTGTTGTCGAACAGCCAGACGGTATGTTGGTGCGAGTCTACCGCTTGGATCGATGGGTTCCTCCACAGGTAGGACGTGACGAGACGTCGCACCCCCGATGAGCGAGCGATCTTAACTAGCCGTTTGATGGCTGGAGGATCGGTGAACTTTCTCTTGGGGAGATCCATTTCGGCGGGTCGATCTGTACATGAACAGTGCTTGTTGGGAAAATGATCGTATGTTAAGCAGAATCTGATATAAATAACAAGTCTAGTATATAGTAGCTTTGCAATGTATTAGAAAGACACTACTATTAAATTCTGGTTCACTGCCGGCATGCTAGCATTTTATACAACCCCGACACATACAAGGCTGCAGCGCCTGATCGCTTCTGCGCGACATCGTAACCATAATATGAGCCACGAGGCAGTGAACTCTCAATATAGTTGGAGGCACAAGGCTTTGAGTCATTCTCATCAGAGAAAGTCAGGCGAACGGAGATATAAGGTTGTGTTCTCTGGGCGGGAAACGATCAACCTTCCTCTCCGCGAATGAAGTCCAGCGAAACCGGCGATGCAGAGGCATGCCGCTTGGCGCCGGGAAGTATGTCAGCGCAGGGGTGCTTGTGATCCCATCACCAACCAATGAGTATGACCTTGCTCCTGAGCGTTCGCACAACAAAAATAGATTTTGGAGGCTGATCAAATCAAGGGATTCATTCTGTGGGTAACAGGGGTCGGGACGCTGCAGGCGACGAACGAGTGGCACGCGTCCAGCGGTTTTCGACCACTTGATGTCTTTTTTCTTTTTTCTTTTTTTGGTCCGGCATTTTTGTCAAGTACCACAGGGGTAGATATCTACCATGAGTGACGGATATGATGTAGTGCTGTGGCTTGACGTTATCCCATCAGCTGTACCTATGTTTGGACTGTCAGAGGGCAGTGACACATGGGAAATACGGAATATGTGTGAGGTTATGAGTAGGAAAAGTGATTGATCAATCAACTGCCAACATCCGCCGTAAAGCCCAAGAATGAAGATCATCCCGGGAAACAAGAAAGTTGATGGGGAGGAAGAAAAGAGGAAAAAGAAGAACAGGGATAAAGAGGATCGGTGGACGAACGAGAACCTGAGGCCTCGACTTTCCTGTTTGGGCATCTCTGGTCTGCCTGGATCACGAGACCATGAACACCATAAACTTCACATCCAGTTGGTCTCCGTCCCTTTAATTGATCTAGCTATCACATTACCGGTGTCTTCTATCAGTCTTGTTGTTACCTAGGATCTCAATCTGCCGCTCCGGTTCTCTCCCATCGCCAAGGCACCCAGTGTCAATCACCGTGTTGGATGGGTTGGATGAACTTGGGTCCTTGAAAGATCATACTCGGGTCGCAATCATTACTATATACGACAGTTTCTGAATATCATGATGCCTTGTCTACTGCGTACTGAGAACTACAGCGTCGGATCGCGCCTACCTCTCAACGAACGTTGGGGTTATGCCTATGGATCGGTCCCACTCTTGAGGAAATGATGGCCGTACATGATAGGGTATCAAATTATAGACTACCTCAATTCGATCATTGTGACAAACCAGGGGATTATCCGATCCCCGAGGCACAGATTGCGGGGTTGTTTATGGGGTACTCCGTAATCCACACGCTACTAGTGATCCTCCATCTCGCAACCATTTCTATTCCGGGAGCGATTTACGGATCCTCGTCATCGCCAACGGTCCAGGACATACACTTTATTTGTCGACACAGACGGATCCGCACACAACACTCAGAGAACTTTCCATTACTTCACATGTTGTTGAATGACTTGCCCGTCCCAATCTTGGACTTAGTAGCGCGTAGACATGGTATTAAAGCCTGGTGGTGTCAGCCCACTCTCCATCCTCAAGTGGAAGAGAATTATCATATCAAGTGAAAGTGCACAATGTCCACCCCCATGGATACCCCAAGTCCAACCCAAAGGACTCGATGAAGTCTACCTGGCGCACCGCTGACAAGAAGACATGGAACCACAACCACTGGGCGATTGATTTGCTCAACGTCCATCCCACCGACATCACCAAGGAGGTGCCTGTCCACGCAAAAAGCGACAAACTGCCCTACATGCCTCAGTTGAGCCTCAATATCTGGGTGCTCTTCTATGCGTCCCTCCCACTTCTCTTCCATCAAGCCTACGCTGCCTACATGGGGAAGAACCTTGGCCCGATCGCCGTCTTCAACCTTTACTTCATGGCGATCAACCTGACGGTGATCTACCAGGTGCACCTACTCCGCCGCATGGGTCACAAGTTCGGCTTCCTCGACGGTGATCAACATGAGCGGGATGGCGTACCAGACGTGGGGATTGCCAAGGTTGTCGCTTCGCTCTACAAGACCACGGGCTCGCGCCTAGCCTTGTCGACCTACCTATCCTACAACATGGACATGCTGCCGTCCCACATGAACTGGCTGGTTCTTCCTCTAGAGATTGGCCTATACGGTATCGTGCTCGACTTCTGGTTCTACTGGTACCACAGAATGATGCACGACGTGGGCTTCCTGTGGAAGTACCACCGCACACACCACTTGACGAAGCACCCAAACCCACTTCTGGCAGCGTACGCAGACCACGAGCAGGAGTTCTTCGACATGGTGGGCGTGCCGATCATGGCATACGCTACGCTGAAACTCGTCGGCCTACCTATGGGTTTCTTCGAGTGGTGGGTCTGCCACCAGTATGTGGTGTTTGCCGAAGTCTTCGGACACAGCGGCCTGCGCGTGCACATGACCGTGCCATCGACCGTGAGCTGGCTACTGCAGATGTTTGATGCTGAAATCGTCATCGAGGATCATGACCTGCACCATCGTAAGGGTTGGAGAAAGAGCCACAACTATGGCAAGCAGACTCGTCTGTGGGACCGTATCTTCGGTACTTGTACTGGCCGGATTGAGTCGGTGGAAGAGAACGTTGACTACTCGACTACGGTGAACATGCCACTGTTTTAGCCAACTATAGGGGCGAGTGCTATACATATGGATTGGTGGGAAGGTAGAAACTGACGGGAAGGCTATGGTCAACCGGGCAGAGCGAAGTCCACTTTCTTCAAAACCAAACACACATCAACGACTATATGACTATTTGTGAGAGTGAGAGGGAATGTCAGCAGGGCCAGCTCTTGTACATACAGAGTTTCAACCCGCTATGAATATTATTTTCTGCACAAAGGAGTCCTCCAGTTTCTTGACCCACTCAAGTCCTATATTATGCCAAATTATGTAGCGCATAACTTCCCCATGTATGCACGACACAGGGGTGTCCACTTCTCCCTGACAAGCAGCGCAAACCCACCAACACATATGACAAGGCTTCCACAATCGCTCCTCTTGATATGACACTACCAACAAGTCATCTACTCCAGACAAAGCACAGCCGACCCATGACCTAGGAGGTACTGGTAAAACGCAAAGAATACCCAATCAGGACACCCGGTCACGTGTATACCGCGGTGATCAACAACAGGACCTCATTGCACGATAAACACGAACAATATGACCCATCAACCCATCAATCAAGCTAGCTGCAGCATCGCACAGATATCCAGATAGCGATACCCCGCGATACCCCTTCCAGCCCAACCAAAACCACGCAAACCATGCCCCCAAGGGGCAAAGAAACAACGAACTCCCCACGCCCAACCCGTCGATTCGACCGGGCCAGCGGCCAGGTTTTCACTCAGAAGACGCTCAAGCCCGCCGCATCGAGCATCCATGGCCCAGCCTGGGTGCATGAGTCGCCCTTCCTGCGACATAGCTGGGACCGGGGTGGTGAGCGCGGCGCGGCGTCGTTGAAACATGCTGCTATGCGGCAGACGCTGTCTGATCAGCGGAGTTTGTCGGCGGAGTTGTTTGCGTGTGTGCCGTGGAGGGTGGGAGCTTATTTGTGGGGGTGTCTTGGGGAGGCGTAAGCTTTTCCCCCTTCTTTTTTTTCCGGCTTTTTGGTCTTTTCTTTTACGGAATGTTTTTCTTCTTGTTGTTGCGTTTGGTTATATTACTATGTTAGGCCGATGCTAAGACCAAAACAGGGATAAGAAAACACTACACATGTGGAAACTACTTTCTACAGCCTACCCCGCCGAATTCAGGGACATCGCACCACACTACCGGATGAAAGTCGAAAGTCCAAAGCTAACAATGAGACAGTACCTAGATCTAGTGAAGAGCGACAACGAACCCAGCTGGGATGTTGTGCTGACCGTGTGCGGGGCGTACGCACGGGTCCCGGAGATGGTCGAGATGGCGCACGTGAAAAATCTCGCAGCGCTGGAGATCGACAGCCTCGAGCGTGAGCGTGGGTTGGGACCGGCGCCCGCGGACCCAGAGACGCCCGTGGCGAGGTTGAATGACCGCATTGTGCGCACGTGGAGTGAGCTGGTGCGTGGGTCGGGGGCGTTTGCGCGGCTGCGCGTGCTGCGGCTGCAGCATCAGACAGAGTTGACGGGTGCGGCGTTGCGGTATTTGAGAGGGTTTCCGGCGTTGCGAATGGTGGTGCTGTATGATTGTCCTGGGGTGGTGGATTTGTTTGGGGGGAGGGGTGGTGAGGTGATTATGGATGGGTGGGTAGTCTCGAGAACGGACTGGACGAAGGACTGGCCGCCTGAGCTGCGGGAGACGTATGTGGAGAGCTTTAAAGATGAGAAGGAGATGGCTGGTTTGCAGAGTATGGATTTCCAGGTTGGACAACGCCAGGAGAAGCCACGGCGGATGCGCAAGCAGGTGGTGTGTTTACGGCGTGCGACGGACACGGAAGCAGCCGAAACCGTCAAACCCGCCAAAAGATCTCCAGAGGCGCCAGCGAGTGGATCGGAGAAGCGCCGGCGGGGGGTGATGAAGGAGCGTAAGGGGCCAGATCTGGGGGGGATGTTAGCCGATTTAGGTTGGTAATATTTGCGAGTATATGGTTTAGCCAGAGTAATTATAATGAAGTATGAAAATGGAAATGCGGGATAGATCTGCGGTGATGTCACCTGCAGAGCTGCTGCATGTCAATGCGCAACTGCCCACTTTGGTCAGATAAACAAACTAATGCAGGATTTATAGATCAAATCATATAAATCCTTCCGTTTCCATCAATTCAACCATGCGTTTGATACGTAAACTTTATGAATGCGATGCACAAGCAATCGGATACGATGACGCAGGCGCGACTGAGGACAATCCGTGATTGGCCGACAGACGCCCGCCAACCGCCGATTCCCCGCTTGATTGTCTCAATCGAACAACAGCTTCGCCATCTCCCCATCTGCATCTCGCCATCTCCGTCTCTCCAACTCTCGCTCTTACCAGTTTCTACCCTTGGAGCGTTCTATCTTACTCGTATCTTCGTACTCCAGACTTGCATGAGCCAACGTTGAATATCGACCCCCGGGTCTCACCACACTCACATCGTCGCTGCCAAACCATGGCGGACCGGGTTCCCGCTGAAGCCGTCTCCGACCCTTCGAATGGGTCGTCGGCGCCATCGCCACGAACCAGTCTTGACTCGCGATCTCCCCCGTTTCGTAGCCCATCCTTGCGACTGTCCAATCACCAGAATCGCACCAGTCAAAACTATAGCGAATCGCTGCGCGGGGCGCCGCCCGGGTCGCCGCGTGCGCGCCGCCAGCCGTCCCTCACGCAGTCGGCCATCCAGAGCCTGATCGACAACCCACCGGCGCCGACGACTGCGGATCCGGCCTTTGTGGGGCGTGACTGGCGGGAGATCTCGGTGGGGGAGCTGGTCTCCCCGGACGAACTGAAATTCGTGGAGCTTGACACGGGTATCGAGGAGGCGACCAATGTAGGATAATTCCACAAACGATGAGACAAGCACGCGAGAGAACGTGGTGGTTACTGACGATTCAGATCTTGATCGAGTCGAATGTGCCGGTCTTGTTGATTCGCGAGTCTCGGGATCAGAACAGCGCCATCGGAACGTTCGATTTTGCCGATCTGAACGCTTATTTGCTGCTGGCGACCGGCTTCACGCAGCCGGAGGTAGAGAACATACCGGCGTATGAGGAACTGGCGCGCAAGGCCCGACTAGGTCTCACGATTCCGCTGAAGGATGTCAAGGACCTGGGACGCAAGGAGCCTATGACGACGCTGCCGGCGTCCGCTAGCGCCATGACGGCGGTCGAGACGTTCGGGGGCGGCGTGCATCGCGTGGTGGTGGTCGATCCGGAGCGCGGGGGCGCCGTGCGGGGTCTGTTCAGTCAGTTTCGGCTGGTGAAGTTCTTGTGGGAGAACGCGCGCACATTCCCGGTGATTGAGCAGCTCCATACGCAGGCATTGCAAGATCTGCGGATCGGGTCTCGGGACGTGGTGTCTATCAAGTATGTCCTTTGGTTCGAGCTGCGTGTGCTATCTAACTGGTTGTAGCGGCGATAAACCACTGTACGAAGCCCTGCAGATTATGTACAACGACGGGCTGTCGTCTCTGGCTGTGGTGGACAATCATTTCAACGTGATGGGCAATATCTCGACGACAGATGTCAAGGTAGGTCAACACTTCATCTACGACGGGAGGGTGCTGACAGGATAGCTCCTTACTCGATCATCGTCGCTCCCCCTGCTACGGAACACGTGCACACACTTTATCTCCGTGATTCTGTCCACGCGCGGTTTGATCGATGGCCAGGACTCATTCCCGGTGTTCCACGTACACCCAGGATCGACGCTGGCGCATACGGTGGCCAAGGTGGTAGCCACCAAGTCACACCGGTATGAACGTTCTATTGGCTGTCGTTCAGAATAGAAGCTAATAAGTTAGGCTTTGGGTAACCGACCCCCTGTCCCCTTCATCATCTGGCCCCCCGACGCCTTCCCTGTCAAGCGTGCACATCCCACTCGCGACCGGCTCCTCCGGCTCCAACTCAGCCCAGTCACCGCCAGCATCGCCCCTCCCAGGAGCCTCAACCATTCAACCCCCCAGCCATACAGCTCCCCACCACCCAAGCCCACCCCAAGGCTTTTTAGGCTCCAGCTTCCTGTCCAGCTCCGGCGCAGGCGTGGCCCACGCAGTGGTTTCGTCCGCCCCGGCTTCTATCCTCCCTGGAGACCGACTATCCGGCAGTCTCGTGGGCGTAGTCAGTCTGACGGATGTTCTGCACCTGTACGCGCGGGCAAGCGGGCTGAGCCCGCTGAACCCGGCGGAAAGTCGGAGCCGACGCCGACGAAGCAGCAGCTCCAGCATAAGCGTGCGACGTAGCGGGGAGATCGGACGGGAGTTGTTCAGTCGGTAGTGGCGGATGGGCTTATTGATCATGCATAGCAGTACATAGCATGACTTACATATTGCATCGGTAAATACATACTTACTTGGAACACTATCGATTTACTTTTGAGTAGCCGAGTCTATTTACCTCACCTATGAGTACAACCAAGCACGACATACACTAGACGTGTACAACCCATCCCATCCATCCCAACACGGACACGGACACGGACAACCGGGTCCATAACTTACCAACTAACCTAAGGTACCCAAAGAAAGAGCGAAAAATCCCCGACCCACCAACAAGAAACCTTCAAACCAAACCCACCCACCAACCAAGCCGAACCCAACCACGGAACACGCCCATAATACCAACGGGTAGATCGGATTGACGGATCGATCAGCGTAGCTCAGCTATAGTTAGGTAGGTGGGTAGGTAATTAGCTAGGTAGTTAATGTTGGTTCCCGACGTAGGACACCGAGTGTTTTGACAAATGTTATGTTATGTATGTTTTATCCCGTTCGACAGATTTAGACTATGGTATGGTAGGTAGGTGTGTCTTATCCAGGGTTGGAAAAGAGGGGGTTTACCTATCTTTCCATCCTATCCCTGATGTTGAATAACTCGCCACTGTTGCTTGAGTGAGGGGGAGGGGATGTATGGCCCTCTGGTGAACTCCTTTCCCACTTCTTCTTTCTTGCTGTTCAAGAGGAACAATCAATAACAAGACAGAACAATGAACTAGCCTATCTGTAACGAAAACTTCATACCTCTAACTATCAGGTAAAACACCACCCCTCCCAGGCCCAGGCCAGACCCCATTCACTACCTATATAAAGGTTATATCCCAAGCTACCGAGTACGAAAGAATAAACTTCACGCAAGCAACGAGTCAGGTTCGCGCGGGGATTTTCCCAAAAAGTCAAGACGAACTGAATTAAGTTTGATTTTAAGTTAACGCTGGATGATGGACAGGGACGGAATAGGCTAGTTAGTACCTCCCTACCTATGTACCTACTCACTATTAAGATTTTAGAGGAACTTAGTTAGCGATGGATGGATGGATGGGTTGACTTGACCCACGAGAGGGGGTTGGGTTTGGGTTTTGGATCCGTGCAATATCAACCAGTGATGTTGTTTTTCGCCACTGGTTTGTTTTATTCTTGCTTGTCTTTTTTTTCCTTCTCTTCGCTGTCTAGGTAGTTGCTCGCTGTCTGGTCTTTCAACCACTGGCTACGCTAAAGCCCGTCCTATCTACTACTATATTCCATACATACATACACCGACCCTCCCAACAACCGACCCCAACGCAATATCCTAATCAGGATAAGGTAAATACAAACCTAGTAACAGACCAGCTCAACCAAGGAATCAGATACTCTAAAATGACCTACGTCCCGAGTATCAACCGCACTAAAACATGCCACCCCCTCTACACGGTACGCCAGCCAGTCCCAATCAGAGCGGTGCAGAAACATCCACACAGATGGCAGGGGAACGAACCCTGGGTGGGGGGGGGGGGGGGGGGAAGGGTCCATGTAACGTTGCAGGTGGATGGATACCTTTAGTAGTGGGCTGCTGTTTGCCACTGTCTGTCATGTGAGCTTGACTGTTTCTGTTCACTTGGTTGATACCTATCTAGGTGTGTTGGTGCGTCTGAGTGTAGGGAAGGGGTATGGATGTTGTGATTGTTGTATATTATTATGACAGATAATTGTCTACCAACATACTTGCACTATACAAGATACCTACATTATCAGTGGTATGATACATATGTAATAACAAATAAGAAATAATAAAAGGCCAGGCCAGCCCTCCAAATGAAACGCTGCAGAAGAGTAAGTTTCCCGACCCAGTGGATCGACCCACACAAGCTGTCTTTCTTGTATGGTCTGTGCGGGCCTACTCAGTACTACTACTTCCTGCTTGCTACTTACAAGTCCAACTACGACACATTAATTCAATACAGATAATCAAGTCCATATCCATCCTATACATCCTAATTCATTCAAAATCCCCCAACAATGCCCATAATCTAGCTAACAACCCTCATAAAATAAGACAAAATAAGACAAAAACCGTGAACTTAAGGTTACCACCTGATTCCAGGAATTTCAAACCCCATGCAACCCTACCCCTCCCCTCCCCTCCCCCACCCAACCGCAGTCCGTTTCGCTGTTTCCGGGGGAGCCAAGACAGCCCATTCACGGTTGACTTCACAGTTCAACCGGGCATCCGCTCGTCCCCTCGTCCCTGCAGGGAAGACCAGAGTTTCTGTCTCGGCTGATTTGGCTGGGGCTCGTGTTGCGACGTTGGATTTGTGCGGTTTTTTCTTTTTTTTTTTTTTTTGAAAAAAAAGAAAAAAAAGAACCTGTTTTTGACCTCGTTTCTACCTGTTTTTTACTACGGGCTACAACATGATATCTAGTTATAGTGTGAGTGTAGGTAGGGTAGGGTTCGTTTATCGTCGTGGTGTACTGTACATTCCAATAATGATTAAAAGATGATAATATATATGATAGTAGTAGTAATAATAATAATAAGTAATAAATAACAAAGAAAAAAATATGTGCGAGGGTGAAAACAACAGTGCAAGGAAGGGATATTCTCAATGCGCGAGCTGAGAAAGAAAGCTGGGTATTGCCCGACTGGTCCATCCATCCATCCATCCATCCCTTTCCCCAAACCCTTCAATCTATCCACTGACTGGTCGACTACCTTGGTAGTGATACCTTGGTTGGTAGGTGGGTGAGGAACACCAAACCAGGGTTGTAGGTAGTGTCAGGAGGGATAGATTGATGATGGGGAATAAAATAACATAAAATAACATGCGATGTAAAAAGTGAAAGGAAAGGGAGAGAAGGAAGGAAGAGGTATTACACGATGATAATGATACATATCATATCATATACATGAACATCATGGACAATGAACATGAGATGATGATATAGGAAACATAAGTGTAACAATGAATGATACAAGTAATCACAATCAGTAATGAAACAGGGGAATGCAACTCAATCAGGCAGAAACAGGATACTCATCCAACGCAACCAACTCATCGAACTTCCACTCCGGCCCCGCCCCAGCCTCGGGAATCAAGCCACTGACTTCGTCCCCGCCGAGCGCGAACGCAAACTGGCTGAACTCCGCGTAGTCGGCGTCGAAGAGGTCGTTGGAGAACGACACTCCGTTGTTGGTGGCCGTGCCGGTGTTATTCCCGGGGTGACCACCGCCGCCGCCGCCGCCGCTGTCGTCTTCCTTGTTGAGCATGTTGAGGGCAGAGCTGAACATGGCGCCCGCGCTGGCGTCGTCGTGGTAGGCGGACACCGCCGCCGTGGCTGTAGTAGTCGTTGGGCTGTGGGGCGTGCTCGGGGTAGGGCACAGGTCTGGCGTGGGGATGGGCTCGGTGGTGCTCATGCTGCTTGGGGCCGTGGCGGCGTCCATGTCCATGTCGATGTGCGGGGAGCGGCCCAGGGCGAGGCTTTGCTGCATCTGGTGGAACTGCTGCTGCTGCATTTGCTGGTGGTGGTGGTGGGCTGCTGCTGCGGCGGCGGCCGCGTTGGTGGGCTCCGAGCGCACGCGCGTGTGCTGGGCGTTGCTGGCGCTGCGGGCCGGCGTGCCGGTTGGGAGGCCGTGCACGGGGATCACAGGGGCGGAGGCCATGCGGTCGCGGTACTGGCGGGTGGTTACCGGCATGCCGGTGCCCATGGTCATGTCTGTGGCGACGCCCATGGTGGCCGGGTCGAATGGCGTGGGCGTGTGCTGGGTCTGGAACCCTGCTGGCCATGGGTTGTTCTGGGGCCAGGCGGGCGTGGACGGCGTGATGGCGGGGCCCATGTAGGCGGGATACGACGACGGCGACTGCTGGTGAGGGTGGTGGTGAGGGTGAGGGTGAGGGTGAGGGTGAGGGTGGGTGGAGCTGCTGTAGGTGGGGGAGAGGACGTAGTTACTGGCCGAGGCGGGCCCGGCCGTGCCGATGGGACTGTCGATGGGGGTGTGGTGGGAGTGCATGCCCTCTGAGATGGAGGAGCGGAGATGAGACAGGTCTAGACTCATCTTGTGGATGCCGTTGATGGACCCGCGTGGGGTGTGGCTCGCGGCGCGGCGGTGTTGCAGACCCCCTGCGGTGGCATTGCGCAGGGCAAAGGCGTTGTAGAGGTTGTTGCGGAACTCGTCCTGCACGAGCTGGTAGCGCTGGTTGTTGATGATGTTCTGGAGTTTCTCCTGGTAGCGCTCGTCGACTTCTTCGTACATGGCCTCGCGCTCCACGATGTCCCGGTTGATGTTGAGGGACTTGCCCGTGCGCTGCTTGTGCAGGACGGAGGCTCGGTTGGCGGATTCCAACCGGGCATCTAAGCTGCGGTCTTTACGTCTGGAGGCGGCGATGAATGCTCTACTTGATTCAGTTGGTTTCCTTTAATTTGGGGAATCAAAGGCTAGCGTACCGTTCTTGATTCTCCTCGCGGGTGCGAGGGTTTGGAGAGTTCTCCAGCTCTGCGGACGGAGAGGCCATATTCATGACAGATGCCGTAGGAGTAATAATTATAGGTTCAATGAAATCAACGGGGGTGAATATCTAGACAGACAAGTAACACAGCAAGTTCAGTCCATATCACGGACCGACATTCCAAGACAAGCAGAGAACAAGACAGTGGCCAGAAGAGAATAACGGAAGAGAACCAGAAGCGAGAAGACGATGTTAAATAAGTCCCAACCCCCGTAGTCGACAGTAGCAGCACCGGGGTAGCGCCCTGAGAGGGGGGAATGAGCAAGGAGAACAGCGGTCCTCGTATAGAGTTTTCTACCATTCTTTTTTGCCCACTGGGATCTACCGGTGTTCATGTCAACCCATATCCACGGTGCATCCCGAGTTAATCCGACGCAGCGATCTACTATTTTACCTTTGGGCTGGGCCAAGGGCTCTAGGTCGAGGCCCCATGGACGTCACCATGGGTCGAAGCTAAATAGCTAAAGGGCAGCCCGTGGTCCACGTCCTACGGTGCGTCTTTTTTCTTTGGGCCGGCCGATGGGAAGCCCTAACTGCCTTCCGGGACTATTTTCCTGCTTTTTGGTGGGATCCCCCTTGGGACTGGTTGATCTGTGGGAATAGCCCTAAAGAAAGTAGCAGTAGTAGTAGGGAGATCTGGGGGAAGTCTAGACCGCAGACCGAACCTGCCGTTGTTCGATACTACCTACTCGATTAGACCCTCCCATTTACGGTATATACTGTATACTCCTGGGAGAGACAACAATGCTTCCTGGACGATCAGCCCGTCAATTCAACCACGTCAATAAGACACTCGCCACTTCAGCCCTTAAACAACGAAAACAGAAGACAAGTAAAGCTGTAAGTTCAACATGATAAGGTCAAGATGGAGTGACAGACGATGGAACCAGTGGGGAGAGCAGATCGATCGATCGACAGTGGGGCGTTGGAGGATGGAACATGGACAGTCCGCAGTCCACAGTTCACACTTCAGTCCAGCAATTCACCAGCAATTCACCAGCAATTCACCCAACTGACTAAGATCTTCCGGGTTGAAGCGAATGACATCCAACGAAGTCATCCATTACAAACCAGAGCTCGACATCTTTCCTGTTACAGAGCTCAAGATCTCAACAGATCTGTAATCAGAACTTCCCCATTAAAGCCCGAGGGCTAACCATAATCCCACAATCAACCAAACAAACCAAACAAAAATTATAAGTACGAGGCTGAAACAAGGCTTGAACCTAAGGATGTTGGTTGATAGAGCCGGCAAATCAATGGCGTTCAAGCTATATAGATACTGTAGACCGACGAAGTTAGTTCAAGCCTCATGCTGTGTCTCACTGGCGAGGTGTATGGAAACGAGTGAGGGGTCTTGCTGTAAAGGAGGTCGGAGGGCGGGATATGCAGGGATTGGAACCGGAGTTGCGTGAACTTTGTATACTTAGTATGCTAGGTAGACCCTGGCTGGTGCCTTGTTGGTAAGGTACTTACTATCTAGACTGGATAGTGCCACTAGATACCCATGTAATACCTATACACTTACTATCTACAAGTACCGACAAGATTCAATCAATCTGACAGCAGAGAATAAAAAGAGAAGGTAGAATGCAAGCTCAATGAAATGTACTCGTTCTGTCGCTCAACATAGCATCAAATCAAAACAGGTATCCACAGACATCCACACATTCCCCCCTCATCACATTCCCATCCTCCAGTTCAGTTCACCTCCAGCAAATGATCAACCCACTATTTACGCAATCCCCAAAGGAGGCACCATCCCCTGCTCCTCCATCCGTTTACTGCCCACCTGGTACGACACGCGGAACCGCATTCGCAGCGAATTCCCCTTGCCAACGTCCACCCCGTCCATCATCATCTCTTGCTGCACGCCATTGGCCTGTTGTGGCGCCATGTCGCGGCCGGTTTGAGGGCGTAGATGGAGAGTGTAGGCCTGTCATTGGACTGGTTAGCGAGTGGCTCATCTTTTCTTCGGGTGTAATCGTGAAGTCTCCAGATATTAAATTCAAGAGGGGGTACAATGGCAGGACAGAACCAAAACGGGTGTGAAAGAGAGAAAAAAAAGGTGAAGCATAGTAAATGGATAATCACCTTTTCAACAGCAACTTGGAAATGCAACTCGCGCATCGGCTCGTTGATCGCATTGGAGAACAGAGCAACGACCTGGATCTGTCGGGGCTGCTGCGGGGACCGTCGCGCCACGAACTCAATTCGCAACGCCGAGGCAAGCACCGTCACTCGATTGGTACTCGGTAAAGCGTTGCTTTCCGGCAGCGACGACGTAAAATCCCATTCGTCCTCCTCCGGCGCTTTGCTAGCGGGCTGGGGGCCGGGGCCGCGGCCCCGGCCCCGGCCAGGTCCAAAAGCGAGGAACCGGCGGGAGCGGCCGTCTTTGCACCCTGGAAGGGACTGGCATTGCGAGGGCTGGCTGACACCAATGAGGCGAACGGATCGACGGGCGGGGGCGTTGCTGTGGTCTGCTGCTGTTGCTGCTGCTGGACTCGGGCGACTGGTGTCGAGGACTGGGATGGCACAGGCGACGAATTGAGCGACGACAGGATGTCGTAGTTGGGTCTAGACCCCCCGGGGGAAGGCTCTGGCCCTGAAGAGGCCGCCGATGGGCCGGCGGGATTCGCTGCAGCTCAAGGTTAGCACATGCCAGCGTAGTAGTGGCGTGAATCGGCTGGGTATTGACAGGCGCCACAAAGGTACATACCAGGTCCTAAGGAGATCCCGCCAGGGGCGGGCTCATCCAGCGAGAGTCCAAGAAGGTCGTTTTCTAAGGAGGTGGCGCCCGTCGGCGCTGCTGGGGCGTTGCCGTTGGAACTGGGCGGCTCTGGATCGAAGTCGATCAGGGAGAGTTCGTTGTTGGCGTTGGTCGACACGCCCGTCGTCGTGCCTAGCGTTCCCTTGGGGATGCGCGAGGCCGCCTCCAGATCACCCTTCTTGGTCAGTTTGTATCGTTCAATCGTGCGGTGTATGCTGTCGTTGATTTCCAGCAACTTGTGGACTGCCTCCGGATCATCGCTCTCTTCTTCGCACATTCTTTGGATTTTGGGGTGTGCGCTCCGCAGCGCATTGGCGAGTTCCTATGAAATCGTCAACCAAAAACTTTCCCAGCTGCAAAGCATAAACCTACCTCGAATACATCCCCCTCGGCTACCGTCTCACCAGGCTGCTGACTTTGCAGCATCTCCTCCAGAATCTTAGCCTTCTGCTGCACCTTGGCGACCTCCTCCGCCGCCTTGGCCCGATAGTCAGTCTTGTGCCGATTGTCGTACCCAGCCATGATCTTCATGAGCCTATTAGCCTCCTGCAGGTCGGCAGGGGTACCCCTCCGGATAAGTTCCTGCAGCTTAGCCGACTGCGCCTCGCGCTCCTCCTCCTCCATCTCCTCGGCCGATCGCAAATTCTACACCCGTCAGCAACAACATCACACACAAGAACAGGGGAAAGGAGGCCATACATCACTCGGGTTCAAAACAGCAGCATCCTCCGTGCGGATCTCCGGAAACACATAGCCCTTGTAAAGCAGTAGCCGGTGCATATCACGAATATGTCCGAGATCCTCCTTGTACCGTGACGTCTGGCAGATAGTCTGGCGCCATTCTTCGATGGACTCGAGGATGCGGTGTTGGACGCGCGAGGGCCGCAATCCGGGCCGCTCGGGAAAGCGGCGGACGAGCTCATTGAGGAATTCTTTGGTGCTGATCTGGAGCTGGAACGGGTAACCGCAGTTCTTGACGCAGATATCGAGGAGCTTGATTGTCACATTCATAATCAGCGCGTGTTCTAACATCCTTCCCCTAGCCCCGCGGGACAAGGGACACCCCAATCCAACATACCGCCAACGCTAACAGAGCAACATTTTGATTGCGGGAATTGATCAGACGGACGATCTCGAAGGCAGCTTCGCGGGGACTATATCCAGATGAGTATTAGCATGCGATGCGCCGTGGAATTTCTGTCGGTGGGGTGGAGAGGGGGGCTCGGGGGGGTTGCACTCACGCATTGCCCTTTTTGGAATTGATCAAGTCGGCGACTTCAAGGTTTAGCGCAAGATTAGGCTCGTAGTGGGAGAGATCGCAAGCATTGCCTGATAAATAATAAGTATCGTATCCAAGAAAGGAGTTGTTGTATGGGTCGTACGGATTGCCCGCTGTAAGGGGGTGAAGCCTAGGTCAGCAAAGACACCACCGTAGCGGTCCCTCGCTGCCATGCGTGCTGAGGCGGCCTCCAGGGTGACGACGGGAGGAAGAAAGGTGGGTTGTTGATTGAGTTGGGGAGTGTGGGTTTGTCTGGTGAGGGTATGGGGAGACCAGACAGTATTTCTTTTCTTTCCGGAACGAATCTAAAGAGTGAGTGTGTCGGAGAAGGAAGGGAAAAGTTGGAGAGAGACGGAATTAAGGGTTCATGGATTAGGTGGTCGATCTAGCCAAAGTAGCCTGGGCGTAATAGGTAAGTGGAGGTCATGGAGTCGGGCGGTGATGGATGTGGCCTTAGCCTAGTCCGTATCAACCTTCCGCCGACCGCGGGATTTTCGCGATCTACCACCGATTTGAACATTTCTTTCCTCTCGGAATTCACACCAGTGTACCCTCTACTATACATTTCCAGCAGACAACTAAACTACAGAAGGACAAGAAGAAAATGGTCCGCCACAAAAAAGATAACATGCCCCGAGGAGGCAAGAAATTCTCCGGTCCCCGCCCGCGCGTACCCCGCGATGGCGACGGCCCCTCCACCAAACCCGCCTTCAAGGCCGCCTGCTGGGACCTGGGACACTGCGATCCGAAGCGCTGCTCCGGCAAGCGGCTGATGAAATTGGGGCTGATGCGCGAGTTGAACATCGGGCAGAGGTTTCCCGGCGTGATCGTCAGGTATGCCTAACATATCTCTCCCACATCTAGCATGAACCCGCCGACTAAGAACGAACAACAGCCCCAACGCAAAGAAGATCATCTCCCCCGCAGACAAGGAACTCATGGAGCAGTACGGCGCCGCAGTGGTGGAGTGCTCCTGGGTGCGCGTAAAGGAAGTCCCTTGGGCGCGGATAGGCGGGAAGTGCGAGCGACTACGTAACCTCCCTCCCTCCCTTCTTCCTCTATCCTCCCATCTGTACGCCGTTTCAAACAGGAAAATCAACTAACATCACCATATACAAACAGTCCCCTACCTAATCGCCGCAAACACAGTCAACTACGGCAAACCATGGCGCCTCAACTGCGTCGAAGCCCTCGCCGCCTGCTTCTGCATCTGCGGCCACTTCGACTGGGCGCGCGACGTCCTCCAAAACTTCCGGTACGGCGAAGCCTTCCTGGAAATCAACTCGGAGCTGCTTCAGCGGTACGCCGCGTGCGAGACGGAAGAGGACGTCAAGCGGACCGAGGAGGAATGGCTCGCGAAGATCGAGCGCGAGTACGAAGAGAGCCGCGAGACGGGCGCGGACGACATGTGGACGGTTGGAAACACAAACCGGAAGGTGCAGGCTGGCTCGGACGATAGCGAGGAGGAAGGATCTGACGGTGAAGAGGGGGAGGAAGAGGAAGACAAAGACCCATTTGCTATTTCCGATGACTCGGAGGATGAGGCGCAGATGGCGGAGATCAGGGCCAAGACGCTTGCGTCCAAGGCCTTCCAGAACCCGACTACTACTGTGCCGGATAAGCCGCAGCCGGAGAAGATTGCCCGACCGGAGGGCGAGAGACAGCGGCTGGAGGACTCGGATGCCGAGTCTGGGTCTGCCGAGGATAGCGACGATGAGGCGTTCGATAATATTATCGATGCGACGCCTGTCACGGACCGGACGGGAATTGCGGCTGCGCAGCGCAAGGGGAAGGCGACGGAGACGTTCAGTGCGTCGTTTTCCAGAACGGTGGTTGATGCGCCGAAGCGGTGGTGATTGCTTGCTGCACCAGGAAAAGACAAAAGTTACAGCATGTCTGGGTTTTGGAGTTCGGAGCTACGCACGATATGTACTACTTATGAACTTTTATGAAGATTGATCTGACTCATGACCATTCTGCTACCTGTAACTCTACCCAGACAATCCCGGGTATCCAGTGTACAAATAAGGATCAGGCAACCCCATTTTCAATCCAGGGTAATTTATGCAAAAAAGACACAGCGGACGGAAAAAGAATAACATAAGAATGATATAAACTGCGAACCAAAAAACCCATACTAGGATAAAGAAGACAGGCCCATTTGTGAAAGCCCAAAAAGCACCATCCGCTAGAAACCATTCATGAGGGACTGTATTTACATCACATAAAGCAGGTTGACATCTAAAACGGTTAGCATATTGAACCCATATGGGGAATAGCAGAAAGGAAGAAGACGACTTACCCACGGGGTGACTGGAGCTCAGCTGAGGCTTTTGGCTGTACTTGCTGGACAACTCGTCGCGGATGCTGTTCAGCAATTGCACGTAGCTCTGCTGCGGGTTCTTGCGCAGCGCGCTGATAAACGCCCACGACATGGCCCCCGTCGCCTGGCCGGCAATGCGCGCGTCCTGGCTGGTCTGGTCGTCCCGGCTGCCGGACCACATGATCACGTCGGCCGGACTGGTCTTGGTCGCCTTGTTGCGCTCGTAGACCTCGTCGCCCTTGGTCGCCTTCTTGATGAAGCCCATTGCCGTCGACATCATGCTGCCCATGTCGCCACGCGCGTACGCCGACACCACGCCCAGCAAGCCCTGGCCCGCTTCCTTGGCCAGGTTGGGCTCCTTGAGCACACCCTGGGTCGAATAGATGTAGGGCAGATCCAGGGCCGAGCCCGAGTGGCACGAGTCGAAGATCGCCGTCAGCCGCACTCCCGGCTGCAGTGCCTTGACCATGATGCGGTGCATCTCGTCGTCGACGATGTGGCCTGCTTGGCGGAAGTCCACGGGGTAGATGACCTCGTCGTATCCGTCGTCTTCGTCGCCATCCACATCGGGAGTCTGACCTCCGTGGCCTGAACTTATTAGCAGTGCATCTCTCGCACGTCCCTGTGAGGCTTACCGGAATAGTGGAAGAAGAGAGAGTCGTTCGGCTGGTTGTCCTTGACCAACCAGTGCATGGCGCGGAGAATGTTGGCCTTGGTCGGCTGGCTCATGGCGTTTTGCTGGTCGTCGGTCAGAAGCACCATGTCTTCACGAGCATAGCCGAAGTTCTGGTTCAGATAGGTCGACATGTTCTTCACATCGTTAATGCACCCGCGCAGTTGGCCCTTTTGGTTGAAATAGTTGATTCCGATCAAAAGCGCCTTCCTCTTTCCCGTACAAGCCGAGTACTGGAAGTTGTAGCCTTGAGGCGCGCCATGTCCAAAAGCGACGGGGGTGGACGGGGGAGGCGCCGGGCCACCCTGATGGCCGTGGCCGCCATAGGGATTCGCTGGGGGAGGACGTTGGTACTGAGGAGGACCACCGGGCGGAGGACCACCGGGCGGGGGACCGCCGTATCCTGAATGCGGAGGAGGGGCCTAAGGCGATGTCAACGAGAGTTCAACCACCATCTGCCATATGCGCACATACATTGTATCCGCTGGGAGGGTATTGCGATCCGTACTGCTGAGGCGGCGGCGGCTGACCGTAGGAAGGATAAGGGTTAGGGGGAGGCGGGTGTTGCTGGCGGTAGGCCTGGCCGGGATATCCGCCGCCGCCGCCGCCGCCGCCGCCGTATGGAGGTTGCTGGTGATTCATAGGTCTGCACGGTCAGTGGACGATCAAGAAGAACAGTACGCCAGTAAATGGAGATCAAAGTCCAGCGATTTAATAAACCGGAGGGACTCTGATTCAGGAGGGAAGTCCAAGGGCCAACCAAACAAAGAGACTTAGAAGAAAGAACAAATCTTACGGGTAATGCGGTGGGGAGCTGTAATTCGGAGGGTAACCTGAGTACTGTTGTTGTTGTTGCTGCTGCTGCTGCGGGGGGTAGCCCGGCGAGCCCGAGTACGACGGATAATATGACATTCCGGGCAGGAAATGCTCTGGAGAGGGGTGGGGCGCCAACAAACAAGAGTGGATGCAATAGTAATAGAGAATCTGCAATAAATTAAAAAGCAAAGAGGGGGTGAAAAGGTCGAGTGGCGTTTGCGCAGGGAAGGGGGTGGCAGTATGAGGATGAGGAAGTGAGAAATGGACGAAAGAGAAGACGAAGAACGAGGCCGCCTGACTCTGAGGCATCCAACTCCCCGAGATCAGGTGGAGTTCGCCCTCTCCGATTGGTCCCGGTGCGGATTTATTCGGGGCCCTAGTGCCTTCCAAGCCTTACTGCCTTATGGACCCACTTCAACACAAGAAATCCAAGATCGATCGGACCACTATTGGGTCTTGGATCTTTCCATAAATAATATCTGTTAATATTGAGTTGGCGATCAGTCGTTCTCTTCTGCCCTATGACAAATTTCTATCGAGAATAATCGATATGGTCAATAATGACAAATTACTCGGACCGGGAAAGCACAGGGGCAGGAACTGACAGAACCTTGAACAGGTTTGACCATACTGTCGGGCCTTGATGCCTGGAATTATGTCAGCACAAAAGGGGTATACAGTACCTACACCTCCTCGCTGTGTACTCCTCGCGTGGTGTAAATTGACATTTTTATCTATTTGGTCTCGTCCTAGATTATATGCGATTTACAGGCACGATCATTCCACCTACTTCCACCACACCTCCATCACTTAAAGGGACGAGCATCGGGTCGCCCTTCCCTTCCGACTAACTCCTTTGGTCCCCAGTGGGTAACACAACATGAAAGAACATCCCAGTGTCTTCAGAATCATGTAAGACATAATTAGACAAAGTCTTCACACATCGACGAGACCTATCATTAAAGAAATTGCCGTCCAAACTGGCAACTTCCCATCTCAAGTGATTTCCCGGAATTGAATGACGTACTGGGTCCCGCACGTGCTGTATCATCGCAGATCAGCATGACAACTTGAGTGATCGACGTGTCCGTCTTGAGTGCCTTGTTTCTGCCTCGGAATATATCGAAGCGAAGATGTCGTGGCGGAACTGTTTGGGTGGAGTGGATTTAATCCAAGACCACTGCACCTTCCCTTGGTGGTGAGCCACGGACTGAAGAGTGGTCCTCAGGCAGACATGCTGTTGTTTGACCGATCAGTTGGCTATTCATCCGAAGCAGATCAAATTCAGTGGCGTTGGCGGTAAGCCCCTTACTGATCCAGGCAGGGTACTGAGGCAGGGTACTGGAGTGCCAAAAGCGTCCATCCCCTGCGTATAGTTCAGATCATGAGTACAGGCAAGTTCATCACGCGATGAAAAGATCTACACCCAGTCTTTTGATCGTACGGACCCAGTCGCCTTTTTCACAGTTACCCAGGAAGTGATCGTGGTATCCAGGGTTCCATATCATCTCCAAGGTGTCCATAGACGTTTGATATGTTTTGTAAGGGAGGACCTGCGAGATGGTCTGCAAGTACGTCATGATCCAAGCCCGCTGTTCTGGGGCAGTGGCCTCCGCGCCCGCAACGAAACAGGGCCAGGACGTTGATTTGAACAGCTCACTGTCGGGGTGGATATTCGACAGCTGGTAAATAACAGTCGACACCAATTGCTGTCGGTCATCCTGGCTGTAGCTGTCCGGATGGTCCTGGGGCAGCATGCGTGCCACATAGAGGCAGGTTGCCGCCTTGAACGCCGTTGCAATCTGCGCCCGTGGGCTATAATCGTTGCGGGGTGTAAGCGACTGGATCTCAGATGCCCACCCGGCGGGGTCGAATTGGCGAGCAGAGCGCAAGATCATGGCGACCTTTTCCTCTCTCGCAAGCTGGCCGCCGTCTTGTTCGGGTTCTGCTGACATTTGCGCAACGGACAGGATGTGTCTCATGAGTTTAGCCGGGCAAGACACGAAATTGTTCACCTCGGCGATCATCAGGATGGCGTCTATGTCGAATCCGTCTTCGATGCCGTAGATGGAGGTTTCCAATGAGCTCGTTGATGAAACCGTCGATCCAATGATGTCCAGACTGTATTTTGAGTTAACTTATCCCGATCTCATGCCATGAGGACGAGGCAGCTTACATTAAAAACTCCGATATCAGCCACCGACGAACAAAGAGACCCGCAAAGGAATCGGTCGACTCCTTTCCCGCGTGGCTCTTAATGTACCGGATCAGCGACTTCGCACCCTCCAGGTGGATTCTCCAGGTGTTCTTCCCAGACTGGATCCATTCGAAGTAGATGAGCAACATGACGACCGCCAGCATGATATTCACATCATACAGCTCAATGCTCCCCAGCGCATCTTTCAGTAGCTCGAGCGCCCTACCCTTAGACGACAGCGCATCTCGAAGAACGAAAGTCTGTGACGGCGATATGTTATATAGATGGTGTGCCGACGTAGCAACGATAGCCTGCAACAAAACCGGATACTCGCGCGAGTATCTCAACAACTGACGCACGGGATTCTGGTCCGGCACATCATATATCACCAGCTCCTTGACAAAATTCGCCCCAAAGTGCGAGAGATAGCGCCGCGTACTGGGGGTAAGATCCTGAAATAGCGGATCAATCAGGGGAAAGGCCAATCTCTGCGAGTAAAAGTCGTCTTGGAAAAAGCCGTTCGAAGTAGACGATATCGCTCCAGACCCTTGGCCAATCGCCTTAGAAGAATCCTGATTTCGAACAGTGGGGAACGTCTTCCCCATCATCTTCCCTCTACTCGCAACACCCTGATTCCACAAAATCAGCTTCCCGTAGCCGAGGCATTCCGTCCCCGTCGTAAGACATTTCTGGCACTGTGGAACAGCACGATCGCACTTGAGTCGACGGCGGCGGCAAGAGTGACAGGCCCTGTCCGGCATCCCTAGTCCTGTTGGCGCGGGGCAGTGCGTGGGCTACTTATTGCGGCATCATCTACAAATTTTTCCCACGTTGCCGTTGGTAGATCAGATCATATCGATCCGGATTAATCATCAGCCCGTGCCCCACAGGCACATGGGGCTGTAGGCTTGGCGAGCATTTTAGTTTCGTAGATCCACTTTTGTAACAGGGGAGCCAATGGGTGGTGGATTGTTGGTGGAGATCGATTAAAAATGGCCTATAGTAATCTACGGCTTTTTCGATATGGACTAGATTAAAATAGAAATCGTTTCATGGATTACACCACGAACGACGGTGCAGTCGATATCAGAGTGTCAACCATAATATAGGATAGGTAACAATCATGTATACTAAGAACTCACCATGGAGATCTAGTTTTCTACTAATAGTTTATCTAGTTATTTTCCATAATGAACTTGTTGCTATTCTTTAACGAGATTCATAGGTCTCAGTGGCCATATCATACTTGTATAGATACCAGCTCAGATAGTATCATATATCATTAGATGAAATTTAACAGGAGTAATACTACACCGAAACCTTGAATAACCATCCACGACCATCCGCAACCAGCATGATCCAGTAGTTGATAAAGACTCCACAAGATCACAACTCTATGGATAAAATGACACATAATTGAAATCACTCTCTTGAACCAACCCCTCGGGCCTATATGAAGAGTATCGTGACTCCTGTCTATATCCTCCAAGATCCGCTGGTTTTCCGCCGTCCGCCGGTGCGATTCTCCGCTTAGACTGGCAGGCGATGGTGATGGGGAACGTTCTGGATATAGATGGTAGTAGGTTTGTTTAAGCTAGGGGGCGCCTCAGTGTATTCCATAAAGATAGACTTATCTTCAAAACAGTGGCGTGGTCATCCTGCACTCGGAAAACGATGCTCAATAGAGACCGTAGATCCGAGTATCAGGCGGCATCATCCCGCCCTAGTCACAACTCTAATAACGAAGCCATACATGTATAGATGACGTGGGCTACAGAAGCCTTTACAATGCCAGCATGGCATATTGGACACGAGAAGTGAATTTAATCTGCAATTGAACGAGGGGATTGCGGCCTGTGTGGTCGCCTAACTGTAAGCAGTGACGGGTCCTTGGTTATTCACTCTTCAATCTTGCCACGAGTAAAGTCTTCGTTGCTTGCTTTTCCAAAAAGTACTTAACATGCTGTTTCTTCCTTCTCGCATATCTCGTTGAGAGTGTTGCAGGAAAGGCGGCCCGAATTGCAGAAATACAGCGAGATCATAGCCTCGTGGTGTCTTCTCGTCATTCTCATCAAGCCTAACATGGCTCCTCAAAATTCTTGCCCAGCCTACTTAAAGTATGGTGTACCTTACGAACCCTTTGAACTAAGGTCTAACGCTTCCCAGGTTCCTCGATTCCGACATCATCTCCCTGCACCCCGATATCCGTAGCGGATTTATGTATTCATACAAGATTCACAAAAAGCTCCTCGCATCCAAGTCTGAGCTCCTCATAGCGGATTATGAGATACACAAAGGTATTAGGGGAGAAGGTAATCTGGCCCTGGGGAAAACACCCGGGGGGACAGTTGTCCATTTTATCGAGTGGGCGTACACTGGCGACTATCCGAATTCCATGATAAACGCTTCAACCGAAACACAAACAAAGCAGTCAAACAAAAGAACTCATAACGGAGACATCAAGTTGGACCTAAGAACTCAAACAGAGCTTTCCAATTTGCACTTGGATATTTACATCTTCAGCACCACGTTCGCCATTGATGGACTGAGGGACCTTTCCCGCATCAAAATTTCCTCGTCCTTGAAAGACATGGGTTCATCTGTGGAGGGACAAAAGAAGACATTTTACATCTTGAGGAAAGCTTTGACAAACTTCCCAAAGACGACACCCTTTTGAACTCCATGGCGCAGTGGGCAGCCTTCCACATTGACAGCCTCCGGGATCTGTCTGAGTTCTGCAATCTCCTGCAGACCGAGACTGAATTTTTGTCTAAGATACTGTGTGCAATTCGCCCGGCAGAGCACTTTTCCTGGGAATGCGAAACCGATCTTTGAGTACGGATGACTGTTATGTCACCTAGCTCTCTTTTTTGGTCAAACATTCTTTGGATTGTATCCAAGACATGCTTTCAAAGCCATACTTCTGGTAGCCACAAATGATGGATAATGTTTAAACTGGTTGATCTCCAACGAATCAAACGTAACTATTACAAGTCAACTCAGTGGCCGAGGCTGCTCACCACGCCATGCTCTCTACACAAGGAGAAACAAGCCTGATAACAGACTAGATTCCTTCCCTACTAGAAGTAGCAGCATTTGATGAGTTGCTATTCAAATATTACCAACACACCAAGAGCAGTAGTAATACGAGGCTGAAGAACGTTCCTCGCATAGGAAACAGGCAACATGCCATCATTAAAGAACAGCCCGAGATAATTGTCGTACTGCATTTATCGACGCGAGGGTTTCATACAAAAAAAAGAAATTGCGATTTCCAAGCTACCAATCGTTCATCATATCAACTAGTCACCGTTATGGAGAGAAAAAAATAAAAAGATAAAAAAGAAATGGGCCCGAACCGCGATTCGAACGCGGGACCTCTCGCATATTAAGACCAGTATATGGCCCGAGAGCAACCCGAAGCGAGAATCATACCTCTAGACCATCCGGGCGATGATGTAATGTTTTGACCTACTAGGGAAATATATTGACCGCTTATACATTTCTTAGATCACTGTCCGTTCCAACATGAAGTGATATTCCAGAACCATGAGGCTTCCACTCAATGCTTTTCTAATGTGACCGTTCTTGATGATATGTTTGCCGATATAATCGATATAATTATTTATAGTGTTTGTCGCACTTAAATAAGTAAGCAGCGTGTTTATTGAATTTCAACCTTGCAGAAAAAGACGTGGTTTGGCTTTTGGCCTTACATAGATCCACTCGAACATGGTATTTCGATCTCCAGATTATTCCCTATAAAAACCCCTCTTGCTTGATTTGTAGTTCATATCTTGACTACTCTCTACTGACTACAAGATTGTGAAATTCGCCTTGGTGGTCTTCGGATCCATCTGGGGTACTTTGTTGGTGAACACATATCTATAACCACCACCTTGCTGGTCGGGACTTTCCGTTTTAGGGATCTATAATCGCACTGGGCGTTTTTTGTTTTTTGGGGGGAACACCTGTAGTTCGAGGGCTTCGGGGTAGAGTAGAAGGGGTATGACATTCAAGCCCAACCTTGTCATAACGCTTATATGTGGGAGTCTGCGAGAATTCGTCGATAGCATTTGTACTGTTGGTGTTCACATTATATATAGTTATACTCACCCGAGCCACGATATTAAGAGACGCGAACATGGGCATACCCACAATAGACAACACTGAATTTACTTTCCTCCTAGAAATTATTCCTGCTTAAATTGATGATCGTGTGGGAGGACCGACGAAGACAGACCAACATATTGCAGAATTTGATGCCATGAAGGGATGCGATAGTTGCACGATTGTAGGAAAAGATGAAAAGTCCAAATATATCAAAAAAGAAAGAAAGAAAGATAGATAGATTATTTTTCAGTCAGCAAGACTCTGCAAGCCCGTTATAATGTGACCTGGTTAAATATCTCGAAATACAACATATCGAAACCTGTTATATCCCAGCTATTTGGTTAAGATTGTGTCTAGATAGTAGTTTTCATTCAAAGCGAGCGAGCAAGAGTATGGCTATTTTTGTTGCAGGTCATAGATTAAAAAGTCTTACCTTAAAAATCAATGGCGCCCGGATGGTCTAGAGGTATGATTCTCGCTTCGGGTTACTCTCGGGTCATCACAATGATCTAAATATGCGAGAGGTCCCGCGTTCGAATCGCGGTTCGGGCCCTTCTTTTTTGTTTTTTTCCCACCCCCATTCATATATACTCAATCGAAATTCAATGGCTTCTGGGGAGTATTTTTATCTTCAAGTTATTTAGATCAATTAACATGATGACATACAATACTAAAATTCGAGATACTTAATATACGCCGATAATACTCTACGTAGATGATCATGTGAAGTAGGCATTTGTAGGACTTTACTCCCTCATGTACCACGGCTGTCAACTCGCATTACACATCTTGCAGAGACACAAAGGTGTTAAAGTCCATGGCTCCCTGTAGTAGGCTTAGTGTAAATATCTTAACATTATTCATAAATCAATATCATCAGTTCATCCAAATCAAGACATCCACGAAACTCCACCCTTGAATTCCTAAACCATGTCGCTGCTCCTCACCACAACCCAGCCCCTATAGACGGGATTTTACCGATGTCTGCAGTTCAGATATTGGAGACGGACTCTCAAGCAAACGGCCCATCTGCGGATCATACAAAGGCTCCGCGGACACAGTAGCTTTAGCCCTCCTCCCAAAATACTCAATCTCAACGCCCTCACCCACAGCCACCTCACCAGGCAGCCAGGCATAAGCAACAGGCTTGCAAACCATGTACCCAAACGCAGCAGTAGTAACATACCCCACCGCCCTGCCCTTATAAAAAACAGGCTCCTTACCCAGGACAACAGACCTACCATCATCAACAGTCAAACAGTGCAGCCGCCTTTCCGGCGTCTTCCCCGCAAGACGTGCCAGCGCAGCCTTCCCGACGAAATCATTTTTCTTGCCCGCGTCGACAGCAAATTCAACACCAGCTTCGAAAGGGTTATGCTCAGTCGTCATATCGGCGCCATAAACGCGGTACCCCTTCTCCAGCCGAAGGGAGTTAAAGGCGCTGCGACCAGCGGCGACGAGACCGTGCGGCTTGCCCGCTTGCCAGATGGAGTCCCAGAGCCGATGGCCATACTCAGCGGTTGTCTGAATCTCCCAGCCAAACTCGCCGATGTATGATTTTCGGAAAACGGTCACTGGGATGCTGTTGATTGTTGCCCTTTTGACGCTCATGTAGGGGAGGCCGGCGTGGGAGACATCGTCTGTGCTGAGTGGGCGGACGACGTCGTGGGCACGCGGGCCCCATAACCCGATGCAGCAGGTGCTGCCAGTTATGTCTCGGACTTGGACCCAGTGGGTGGGGTTTCGTTGGGTAAGGTGGCGGGCCTCCCGCGTGAGATAGGCGAGGTCGTTGGCCGTGTTTGCGCCGATTTGGTAGAGGTCGTCCTGAAGGCGTGTGGCGAAGATGTCGCTGAGGATGTTGCCGTGGGTGTTCAAGAGGAGGGTGTATATGGTGCTTCCTGGCTTCGCGGTGACGTCGGCCGTAGTCAGGCGCTGGAGGAGGTGGACTGCACCTGGCCCGGATACCTCGAACCGGTGGAAGGAGGTCATGTCGTACATAGCTACGGCGTTTCGTGTTTTCCATGCTTCGACTGCCGCAATGGGCGAGTAGTATCGTGCGGACCACGCGTCGCGGGGAACAGGCTTCCATTCGGGCGGAAGAGACCGGATGAGGGGTGCGTTGGATTCGTACCAGAATGGGCGCTCCCAGCCCCCAAGTTCCAAAAAGTATGCTCCTAGCTCCTTTTGCTGAGCGTAGAAAGGGCTGGTTCGCAGCTGCCGCGGTGATTCCTTTGGTTGCATCGGATGGAGGATATCGTAGATTTCGATGAAGTTCCGCTGCGAGGTTTCGTTGACGTAGGATCGGTTCAGTTGGACTTCTTCAAAACGGGATAGCTCGCACTCGGACATGTCGATCGTGGACTGGCCCGTGGTGAGCAGTTCCGCCATTGCTCGTGCCACACCAGCTGAATGAGTGACCCATACTGCTTCAGCAACGTAGAAGCCGTCGAGATTGGGTGCCTGTCCAACGAGGGGCCCGCCATCTGGAGTGAAAGAGAATACTCCGTTGAAACCATCGGCAAGCTGGCTACCTTGTAGAATGGGTAAGAGCTCTTGGGAGGCTTTCCAGGCGGGGTCAAAGTCCTCGCGAGTGAAATCAAGACGTGATGGCATGTTATGCTCGTCCACATGCTTCGGGGTGAGACCTAGTGAGGCTGCAGTGACAGGCATTGGCCGGTGTCCGTAATAGCCGATACCATACTGATCGCCGTGTTCGCGGTAGTAGAGATCCTGGTCTTGATACCGCAGTATTGGAAGCTCCGCATTCATCCCGTTATTCAGGGTATTGGCCTCCCGTCCAGCGAGAGCAGGTAGGGCAGTAGTTTTGGCGTATTGGTGGGCGAGCGGAAGTAAAGGAACAGAGACATCGACCATGGCCCCCAACTCGACTCCCCAGAAACCGGCGCAAGATATGACGATGTCGGCGGAAACAGTGCCACTCGGGGTATTCACGCCTGTGACGCGATTCTTCGTTCGCTCAATGCCGGTGACGGGTGTTAAGCCCATGTAACGGACGCCGGCCTCGCGAGTGCGCTCAATAAGGAGCTGCGTTGCGCGCGCTGCCAGTGCTAAACCATCGCTGGGGATATGTAGACCACCTAGTACCAAATCCTTATTAAGGTGGGGGTAGATCTTGATGCACTCCTGCCCGCTTACGAGGTGCGCCTCTATGCCCCACGAAGAGGCCAAGCCGTGCTTGCGTTTGAGATCATGAAGGCGTTCAGGTGTAGTCGCCACCTCAAGGCCTCCCACTTGGTTGAAGCACTTCTGTCCATCCTTTTCCAACGACAGTAGTTTTTCGACGGTGTAGCGTGCAAGATGGGTCATGGTTTTGGTGCCCGCTGTTTGGAAGACGAGACCGGGTGCATGGGACGTTGATCCGCCTGGCATGTGCAGCGGACCCTGCTCGATGACGGTAATGTCCTTCCATCCTCGCGAGACCAGCTCGTCAGCCAGGTTGGTGCCCACGATACCTGCTCCGATAATGACAACTCGTGTTGTTGGGGCCATTGTTGGGGCCATTGTTGGGAAACGATTGATTCGATACCCGACCGATCAATCAATGGGATATGACATGATACATGATCCCGATATGCTGCTCGAGGCAAGCATCGCTGATATAGCTTGTAATGCACCGAGATGCGGAGAAACGGCGAATATCCGGGCCGGTCATGACATTATGACTAGAGTTTATGGATATGGTATATGCGAGGGACATTTTTTCCCAGAATGGTATATCTGGTTCTAGACTGGAGAGCCCCTCCACACCTCGCTATCAAAGGTGGGGAGACGCACGTACGCTTTCGCTGATTAGATATATTTGACCAATAGAAAGTGGAGTGACTAGACTTGAACGGCCCGTTCAAGGAATGGTTTACTCCATGGAGGTGATGTGGTGGAACCATCATCAGTGAATGGACATGTTAGTGAGGAGGAGAAAGAGGAGAAGTTGATCGAGACGGTCCGGCGGACCGCCTGTTATCACGGTCCGTATACTTGTCACCTGATCTGGTAGTGCATGTCAGATAAGTCAGGTAAGTAGTTCAATCGTATATTGCATAGAATCTTTCTGAATTTGTTTGATTAGGCTATTGAACTGTGGAATTTGAATATCGACATCGCAGAGTGCTTCATATTCGACTTTAGCTTCTATATATTTACAGTGTTAATCAAGCCCCAAAGAAGGTCAGCGATGCCTAAGCATTTGTGTATTATCAGTAGGAAAAGTGAAACTCAGGCCTCGAAGAGGGTTGGTCAAGCTATTGAATAGTCAGATTCCGACTGCTTATACACTGTACTTTCCTTTAATTGACGCTCCATCCAGCACAGAACAACCCTGTAGTTAGTAAGTCTTGGTTTCTGTATATTCACCTTTTTTACATAGATTCTTGGTGTCAATCCACATCGGCAATTTGAGATACACCACTATTGTCTGCATAAGAGGGACAAATGGATGGTCTCAAATCGAAAGGCATTGGTTGGAAATGAAGTGAGCCACCAAATAGCTCTTGCTTGTGGTAGTGGCTTTATTGATGTGCTCTACAGAAAACATTGAGACCGACGATTTGAAAAGAACAATTGCAATCAATTTGTCGTAAGGCATTTAAAAACAAGCTACCATCATCAGGTCATGACGACATATATAGTGTCTTCCTACTCCCACACTCGGATATGGAAGGAGATAGATCGGTAAAATCCACTTCGGAGCCAGATTGTCCAACTGTCACAGGAATATACTTCTCCAGAGACTTGAACCAAATCTCAACCTCAATGCAGTCTCAAATGACCATCCCGGTCATCCGCATCATTCAGGGCGTCGGTGATGCGCGATCCATCGCCTTCGTGCAGGAAAGTATCGTAAATCGCGGCTCCAACGAAGCAGCCCACGACCGGGGCCAGGACGGGAATAGCAAAATAATAGTGGTCCGAGCTGAACACTTCTCTGCCATAGACGAAAGAAGAGAAGAGCCGGGGACCGAAGTCTCGAGCCGGATTGATAGCCTAGTTTAACAGTGAGTATCCGCTACGAGATCAATTCGATAGCTGGAAGAATAAAAAAAAAAAAAGAGAACCTACATATCCAGTCTGCCAACCAAGCGAAGCCCCGATCGCCAGAAGCAGCAAAAAGTTCGACAGCTGAGGCGCAGGGAACCTCTCCGCATTGACAGGGTCGGAGATGCCCAACAAGCCAAACATCAACACCGCCGACGCGAGCAGCTCCGAAAACACCGCCTCCCAGTTCGACTCGAAGTTATCGGCGGGATAAGTGGAGAAGATACCCGCGGAGTGGTGTCCACTTGGGCTAAGGATCGACCCACCCGGGATGGTATACTCGGGGTCCCACGCCTTGATCGCCGACCGATAATTGATATACACGATCGCGGCGCCGACGAACCCGCCCAGGAACTGCGCGAGCAGTTTGCCTGGCAGCTTCCTCCATTGCCCTGGGGAAGGACGGACGAAGGCCATGACGATTGAGATGGCGGGATTGATTGTGGGGCTGGGATCGCTAAGATAGCCCGAGAGACAGACTGCCGCTGCCCAGGCGAGGTTGATCGACAGCCAGGTGCCGTAGCGGTAGTCTGAGAGGAGACATTGGGCGACGACGCCATCGCCGATGATGATTAAAAGGGCGGTGCCGAGGAATTCGGCCATATAAGGCTTCAGGGCCTTGCGTGAAAGCCGGGGCATGTTGGTAAACATTGTCTCCGATCGCGAAGAGTGGTGATAAGAGATGGGTTGAAGAGGGAAAGATGGGGAAGATGTCCCACTTCTCTTGTTTGTCCTTCTCCTCACCGCTGTCGATCTTCCCGATATAGTTTACTTGAAAACGACATACTGACGTGGTGGTAAAAAAGCTTTCGGATTCTTCGGGGGTTCAGAAGCTTGACCAGCAGAGCTTATTAGTGAGCAGTTCTTAGATTGTGGGACCTTTGGGAAATATTATAAATTCTCTTACAACAGACATGCTCCTTGTTCATGTAGAGCAATCTCTGACTGACACCTGCCTCTCAGGAGAATTGCAAATTTAGTGTGTCGACCAGGAATATTTCATGACAATATCCCAGCATGATCGGGGGATCGATCTCCGCTATGCCAAAAACGACGCTAAAAGGGACACTTTTGGTAGGGATCGGCGAGACTCTAGGCAAGTGATTGAAAATTGTAGAAACTTGGAAATTCTGGTATTTCTGAAACAGAAACGTTTAGTTTTCGCCTGTGGTTGGCATTGCTTTCTGACTTGACATACAGATACACAGTAGGTTGATAATATCAAGACTTTCCGTATTGAACTGCGCATACTCCATCCAAAGTATAGTCAACACATAGGTTAATACTGGAACTGGTTAGTCAATAGATACTTGGCTTGACAAGTCCACTCATTAACCTCAAAATGTCTTGCGCCATAGTATGTTACGATGTGTTGTGTTTCCTTAACTGTTGATCTTTGGCGCTATACCAAAATGTTGACCAGCGCTTGGTATAGGGCTTCCTGACTGACATCCCAGATAGTTGATAATATAGAAATGACTGTTACTAGTCACTTAGGACCGCTGACTGCGCGACTTGCCCGATGGTATATTGTGCTTCCAAAACCAGACATCCAGAACGTGTGAGCTCCCACTTGCATGGCAGACTGCCGGCAGTAACAAGTCAGCCCAACCCAAGGGGATGAAAGGCTACGTCCGGGCTATTGGCTATCGTTCTGTTCCGGTATTATGTGTGGGAAAACGGGCGGAGGGATCGTGAGGAGGCTGTGCGTCGAGAGGAAGGGGTGGGAGAGGAAGAGGCTCGAGATGGACTGACTGATAAGAAGAATAGGGATTTTAGGTATGTGTGCTAGGGAGGCATAATGCTCGGATATCAGTCATATCAAACCCGACCAAATGCCGAGTCGGTGGTTTGGTGCAGTGGCTGCTATATAATGATTAATCTACTTCTATCAAGTGTGGCATCTTGTTATCAGGGGATTGTATGGTCTGTTTGTAAGGGTAAAAGCTAACATATCCTACCAATGTGGCTTTCGTTGCGTCGCATGATTATTATCTTCCATATTATTGTTATTTGGAGTAAATCGCCCCGAGTGATGGTGCATCATAGAGTAAGCTACGTGCAACTATGATGATGACTTACCCACTTGGTCTTTGGACTCGAGAGGCACGAGTTTCCTCAATACGATAAGGATAGGGTGTCTCATAATGTTCGTCAAGTATAGACGGGACATGCTATTATCAGCTGATGCCTATTCTTGGTCGAGCTCTGTATACGCCGATAACGACTGGTATAGATCTAAATTGTGTAATTGCAATTCTATGGTAGTACTGTTCTTTTTCTACGACCCTAATCCCAATACACGCCCGGACATCCACGAGTGCAACGGCGTCGAACCATCTCCTCACACCATCCAACACGCATTGAGTATCCCCACACCTACGATCTACCAAGTAGATCCCGCAACCATTCCACCCGAGCCGCCATAGCCCGCCGACTAATAGGCGCATTGGGCACCATAGTGTCAAAGCCATGCCAGCAGCCCGGCCACAAATGCAGCTCAACCGACACCCCAGCTCTCAACAGGGCCGCAGCAAAATCCACACCTTCATCACGAAGCGGATCCGCCGTGCCAGCATCAATAAAAGCAGGAGGCAGGCCCTCCAGATCTGTAGCATGCGACGGCACAGTATAAGCAGACACATGCTCGCGGTTCTTCCCAAGCGCATAGTCACAGGCAACCATATTCTTCTTTCTCGTCCACGGCGGGATATCAGCACACTGCTTCATGGAAAACGTCTGGTTGCTATCATCGAGCCACGGGTAGATAAGAACCTGTCCGAAGATAGACGGGCCCGCCCGGTCGCGCGCCAGCAGCGAGACACCCGCCGCGAGGTTCCCACCCGCCGAGCCACCGTAGACGATCAGCTTGCGCGGGTTGAACCCCAGTTCCTGCGCGTGGTCGCTCATCCACGCCAGCGCGGCGTAGGTGTCGTCTAGCTGAGCCGGCTGGGGATGTTCCGGCGTGAGACGGTACTCGGCTGTGACGCAGACGGCGCCCAGGGCCGTGATGCAGGGGAGTACGGTGTTTACGCCGAAGAAGCGACTGCCCGTGCAGTGGCCCCCGCCGTGGATGTGCAGAATGCCGGGGGTATCCTCGGCGGTGGTGTGCTTCTGGTGCTTTGGGCGGAGGATTGTGGTTTTCATTGGTCCTGTGGGGCCGGGGATGTCTGTGTCTTCGTAGGAGATGGTTTCTTCGTATCCTTGTATGACGGTCTCGATTTTGAGGTCGAAGGCGGCCCGGGCTTTGTCCAGGTCGTCTACTAGGTTGAACCCTGGACCTGCTGAGAGAAGATCTTGCATCTCTTGCAGGTCTGGGTGGAATTCGGGCTTATGGAGGTCGGTTGGCATCTTGAGGTTGAGAATTAGGAATAATTATAGTTGGTTGTATAGTAGAGGCAGAGAGAGTTGTTGGTATAGATTTGGCTGTAGTTTGTAGGAACAGAACAAAAAAAGAAGAAAATGACGATCTTGGTAAATATACGAGAACCCGATGATCGCACGGAATGGGACGAAATGTACGAAGGATGAAAGTTCAGTAGAGCATCAAACTGAAGGAAAAAACTGCCTTTGAATAATTGACGAAATGTTCGAACTAGTTGTTTAGCTCGTGCCTGCTGCCTAGTTAGTGCGCTACTAACTATACGCGGTGTCTCGGGTGTCTGCAGGTGGCTACGGCTCGTAGTTGTTTTGATCGTGAGTTATGGTCGATTGATAGCTGTCAGATTTTAGTGCTCATAGCCCTTGAGGTCGAGTAAGATAGGCAATCTGATTGAGGTACGGAGGACGCACATCGTTGCTTGGCTATCTTGGGCTGGACTCGCTTGGTTCAGTTGGTTCTTGTTGAGAAGAACCACCACTGGGCTAAGAAGAATACCATAGAAACTTATGTGTCTCACAAGCAACCTGATATTGAGTGCAATTTATTTCTTATACACAAAGTTTTAAGTGAATCTGGTATACGCTGTGCTGGTTAGCCGGACCGCCGGAAACCGCCCCCATTGAACCGCCCTCCCGCTGCGCATCAGTGCCTGTCCCATGCCTTGGATAGGGCCCGGAAATCCTCCTACGCCCTACGGTCTAGCATGTCTGCTTACTACATGACAAAGGCCACCCGAACTTATAGCTATGGAGGCTGCGAGTTCAGAGGAACGGCCAACAAGAAAGTAGGAGACTTGTTCAGTTCTGATTTATTTCACCCTCACAATGAACCGATGTCGCATTGAAGCCAAAATGGCATGATCTCTTTTGTAGCCGAGTGGCAATTCTTTACAACAACTGAATACATGGATCAAACCGCAATCCTACCGACTACCACCTTTCCTCGGCAGTTTCTTCCGCAGCAGATGGATCTCTAGTCCACTTCACCAGATAGATTCCATGCTCCACCGTTAGGCGTGTCCCACTCTCCTTCCGCAGCAGACCACCGATGGGCGTGTCCCACTCTGCTATCGCACCAGACGGCGAGCTTTCATCGTTGCTGCTAGGTGACCAATTTTCCTATGAAATAGGAAGCAAGTTTTCACCGCTATCAGCAATCCAAGTGTCTTTAGCGGCAGGCAGTGGGCCTCATTGATGCCATTGGCACTGTTTTCAGAAATCGAAGCATGAGTTGCCGTCTCAAAAGACCAATAACGTAAAACTGGTCTTAATGACTATACCGCATATTAGCACACCACTCGAGAATAGCCACTGCAAGACACTCACCGGAAGGGCGATGCAAGGCCCGAAAAAGCACCGGAAAGCCGAACGCCGGGGAAACACCGGATCGACCGGGGTCTAAGTTGAACGGTAGCAAAACCTCCTCTCGAGGCGCTCAGACAGTACTCCCTTTCCTCCGTCCATGTGCAGTGGAAGACTGCAGGCCATTTCCCCTCTCCGATAAGCTTGATATGCCACTGTTTGTACACAGCAGCCAGTGGAAGGTAGAAATTCCGCTTCGTTGCCCCTATGGGCGGCAGTAGACCGCATCGACCACCTGCGCGCCGGCTTCCAGAGCGAACCCAAGAGCGAGGGAGACAATGTGTCGGTGAACGAAAGCACATGGATACGAGCAAAATTGAATTCGTTCTGAGAGCAAGAATGGGCAGATGGTTGCACTTTTCATCGCTACCAACGGACGATGGGATGATACTCATCATTACCTCATGCATCGGCTCATTCCAACGTTTCCGCGGTTGTCGTCGGTAGTGAACCCCATGCCTGAGAAGCTGTTCGCCGTGATAATCACCCAAGAGCAAAAACGCCAACGTGCCACTGGGCAAAAGCACATGAGTATGGGCGGGATTTGTTCTACTCCGTAGGTAATTATAGGCAGATGGTTGCTCGTTTCATCTTTACCGACGGACGATGGAATGAGATTCAGCACCATTTCATGCACGCGGCTCATTCCACCGTTTCCGCGGTTGTGGTCGGTAGTGAATCCGATGTCGGAGAAGCCGCTTGCTGAGGAAATTACCCAGTCGTATATAACAACTCTTGACTCCTTGCCTTGCATGGAGTCCATAATCGCAATCTTGGGGCAAGTCTGAGTACAGGAAGGTACCCTGCTGCATGAGCGAAAAAGGTGCCGTACTGATGACTCTCAGTATCAGAGAAGAGGGCCAGGGAATACTAATTTCCGAATTTCTTTCGGATGGCCTGTAGGTGGATGGTTAGCTAGTATTCAAAAGATTAGTAGTATCATAGTCTAGAGAGAGAGGAGCACATACTAGCCAGAGGATAAAGACCACCACGGGTGAGCAGGACATGATAACAAGCTTTAAGAAAGCTCCAGTACAGCCTATCTTGCTCGCAGTCTTGTGGATGATATTGAACAGGCAGGTCCACTTAGTAAACTCTTCCAGGATACGCTTTAGGTGCTGGTTCAGTGCCAAAGAGTCCAGGTTTCTTGTTCATTTAGTTTTGGTGAGATTAGAACTTGTCCATAGGATCGGGCTGTTAGGCATCTTGTTAAGTTCCTGGTACAGATTAAACAAGGCAGGGAAGACGCTGAGTATAGCCAGGCGGTTCAGAGTAGAATATGAGTTAGCTGCCCGAGTTGAGAAGGCTGCCCGGACTGGGATTCCATGTTAATCAGGTTGCACACCGTATTGGCATAGGGCTGTACTAGCTCCATATTCTGCGGTGACAGGGTACAGCGCATATCGATCTGGAGATAAGAAGGAAGGCTGAGGATAGGGCTCCCGAACCATTAGTCCTTCGCGGTCCGCCGGAGAAATGCAAGGCCTTGTAGAGCCCTGGACAGCTCCTAGGCGGCATCAGAGATAGTATGAGATGCTTTGTTAACGCCACTAAATAACCGGCTGAATCGACTGATCTCACGACAGATAGAGTATTTAAGACATGCGTGCATTTCCCAGGCTGTTCTTTCAATCAACAATTACAACCTGAGCCATGTACGGGGTAATTATTGCAATGTCTGAAGCTCGATATCCACCAGCTCGGAAGTTTTCCGCCATAAGGATGGGTATGATGCTATGAATTTAATTCAGAGCACGCTGTGCGCGATAATCTATACCGGACATCTCGCTTTACTAGTGGTGGTGGTGGTGGTGCATGTCCTGGAGGCATGGAAGTAAGCCACCCGGCTGATATAACAGTAATGAAGGTAGGGACAAGTATAGAAAGCGTGTACTTACTCTCCAGCACCATAAAACGCCATCTTAATTGAAACCAGAATAACAGGAATATTGGTTGGATTGCGGTTAAGGCGTTTATGAAACCACGAGTTTATCGAGTGGCCAATATCAGTGCTTGTAGAAAATTAAAAGTGTAAGCACCACGATATAACTGAGAATCCGATGTGTCTGGTATCTTCTGTCCAAATTCCCAGTCAACTTGTGGTCGAGAAGGACGCCTGCTCTGGAGACATGTAAGTGAGTCATCCAGCTAATAAACCACGAATGAGGGTACGGACAAGCATGGGAAGCGTGTACTTACTATTAAACATCAAAAGAAGCCATTCTAGCTTCACGCCGAGAGCGCTAATTGGCGGGGCCCGAGACGACCTGGTCTGCCGGTGGCCCGCTCCACCAAAATAGAGGTATATCATACCCGGACGCATGCATGACATTAGTGTTGGTATTTAATGCAGCTGATTCTCCCGGGGTAGGTATAATTCCTGACCCCGGGACTTGAGTCAAGCGGTCAAATGACCAAGAAAGTGCAAGAAGCTAGGCTCTCAAGCTTAGAATGAAGCGATTTAGGGTGTTATACACCTGTGCGGGCTTAGTTGTAGCTGAAGGCTACGTATGTAGATATATAGGAGAAGTAGAGAAAAGAGGAAGGAGCTTATCATTCATGTCGCTAACTACTACATATTTATACCTGGACAGGGAGAGTAATGCAAGGCAAGACAAAGCCACATGAAACAGGGGCAAGTTCCTATTGTATCTTGGCTTTGTGACTGAGATGCAAGTAGAACCCTGTTTGTCACTTGATTTAGCAGTGTTACTCCCAGTCACTGGGCCAATTGACTGTATCTTGTCATTCTAGGGGCTTCAAGGGCAGAGAGACACAGGGGAATTAGTGAATAATTTTAGGATAGCAGAGTATGGATTTTGTATGTGATATCAGGTGGTCGAGAGGAGAGGACGACGAAGTTATAGAGTCATTCACAATCGGGATTTTGAAATCTCCCTTTCGTGGGTGAGAAGATTTCTTGTATATCACTAGTCTCCAAGATATTTGTCCTTTATGTTTAACTATTAGAATCTTCTGGATAGTTAATTACCCGATATTGCTTGGTAGTCACTCCTTCTTGGACACATAGTTGGTTGAAATGCCTAGTACATAGTTCAAAGACATTCCGCAGTACAACTAAATAAGAGGGCAATTATATTAGCTAGTAGTCACTGTCGATTTTAACGTGAGAAGTAAGCAGATGAGATAGAGGACTGCAATACTGACAAGTAGATGGGATAAGAGCCATCTGGGAGTTCAATCACGCTTCAGTCCACCTAGTAATCACCAAGAAGAAACGCGCGGTTTCCTCGATAAACACCGGCAATAGAGATAGTGTATTTCATACTAAGTAGTAATGTGCAGCTTCTGCACACCAGGAACAATCCATGCCCGGTTGTCTTCCGCGATCCAGTTACACAACGCCTCCAAACCTTTCCGCGCTCTATAGAGCTCCTCTCTGCTGTCTAGGGCCCACGTGTGCAGTAGAAAGTGCTCATACCGGAGCCTGGAGATTTTCGAGTCACACCGTGTCCAATGCCCATAGACCTTTATCTCATTGCGGGAAATGGTGGCGGTAAGAACGCGGATCTTGCCGTCAAAATCATGCGCACTCCCCTGACAACTTTCGAAAAATAGACGCAGATTTCTCAGCATAAGAGCGGCGGTATGGAGGTTCTGAAGACATGCCTGCTCGGGGTCGCTGAGCTTCACCTCAACAGCAAAGAATGGGAAGGCAAAATCGAAGTTGCCAGCAATGGGGAATTCGTACGGGGGCGTTACAAACAATGAACGGTCATCTTGGTCTTGCAATAGCGACTGCCTGTCGAACGCAATGGTAATTTTTGGCTTAGGCATGCCGAGTAGTCGTGTGGCACGCCTAAAATTTCAAGATGCTCAGTTTCCCATTGCACAGATGAAGCAAACTTCAAGTGTGGCAAGTCGACGAGCCAGTCTATGATGAGCGGAGTCATTATGAAAACGTATGTTGACTCGTTGATGGCAGTGTCTCTGACAGCGACCGCAGACTTCAAAGAACCCTGGATATCTTTAGGGATAAATAAGCTGGCTGGTCTGTCATTGAGAAACTCGGGTTTCACAAATGATTGAACAACCCCAGGGTCAACATTGACGTTTCTGGAAGAAAGTCCAATCTTGTATGCTATTTCATCCGAGTGACAATAATCCTTAGATTGTGTAGATTGTGATGGGGTGCATTGCGATGGATCCATATCGGATACTGTCGAGAGTGATGGGCAAGATGATGGTGTCGCAACGTCAATATCTGACCCGGAATCCAAAACGACGTTATCAATATAGTTGCGGACGCGTTGTGTGCGATGATCACGATCACGATCGAATATCCGACCTGGTTGATGGTCGAGTACGCGTGACCTGAAGGGACATAAGTGATTGATTCAGCCGGTAAACAGGAGATAAAGTAGAGACAAGTGTGGAAAGCGTGTACTTACTCTTCAGTGGCCATTTCGAGTGGAACTAGAAGAAAGGAATAATGGTTGAATTGCGGTCAAGGTAGTTGTGAAAACAGGAGCTTATGGGGTAGCCGATATTAGCGCTTGCAGGAAAACAAAGTTGTGAACATCATGACGAGAGATGACGATCACAATGGATGGAGGCAAAATAGGAAAGATAGAGTTGGGAGAGGAGGAGCACCGGAGAAATGAGGTAAGGTGTAGGTAAGGTACCTGGCAACACAGTGATTACCTCACCCTGAGAAAGTCAATCCATCAATCGACACTATAATGAGTATCTTGAAGTTTAGAATCCCGGACTTGCCGAAGAGTTTGTAGTGAGTATATTCTCCATTACATTGCTCGTGAGCAACTATATTGACTTCTATAAGGCAAGTGAGAACATTGGTCATTGATATTAAAGCAGTGGTGTCCAGATCAGCGAGCTTTCAGCAGCAACATAGCAAGGCATGAGACAATATCCAGTATACAATACAATCCGAAATTAACTTGACAAGCTATCATCCCCGCTATACCTGTAGATCCTAGCGATGATTTTTTCCACATCTTCCCAAATGCGCTTACGATTCTGCAAGCCTTTCAGCTGGCCCCAATTGCGACGCACATCAGTATAGAGCTGGTACCAGTTTGCTGCATTCCGGGGTAGTCGAATCTGGGGTGTCCTCGGCCACGGGTGAAGATCACCGACAGCGTCAGAAGAATACTGCCCCTCACTCGTCAGCCTGCTCTTGTAGGTCTCCGTATATTGATAGAACAGTTTGGTCTCATTCGCGGTCATTTCAGTCCAGCGCGACGGCGTATGTGCGCATTCTGTCTCCGGCCATGCTTCCCATAGCCAGGGCATTTCTTCGCGAACAAGACGGTACCACAGCCCGTTGGGGAGCTGTTGAAAAGCCCTAGATGCGAGCCTCAGGTTTGCGATATCGCGAGAACCGAGGAACCCGAGAATGAGGTGTTGGATCTCCAACGGTAGAGTTGCAAGAGGATCATGCACGCTTGTGTCTTGATTCATGTGTGAAGACAGGTCAAACACGCCCGCTGAGGCATCGAAGCTGGCATCCCCGACTGCAGCCTTGAGAATTGAAGGGAGATTGGGGACATGGAGTGGGTTAGCCGCTAGAAACTCGCTTCCCGGTTCGTGGCCCCAGAATTGCTCCTGTGCGCTGAGCACTTCGGCGCAGCGAGGAAAGCCGTGGAAGTCGTCGTAAGAGAATTCGGAATCGCGCCACTTGATGAGTCCTGCGATGTTTATGCGGTTGAAACGGGTCTGCGATTGGCGGCAGAAGATGTCGAAGCACCATGGGTGGAAGGGCATTGCGAATTCATCCTCTTGCATATTTTCTGGCTGTGGTATGTGAGTAATAGTTTTTGGATGTTATACCTGGATCGCTGAGCACAAGAGGAGACTTCACTCACATCAAAATTGATATTGTCGGCCCACGGATGAGAGACACCTCCTCTTGCCGGGAAGACTTCGTCTGGTCCCATATCGCGTGAATTCATTCCATCTGACAAACCGGAGAGAAACCACGGCTGAGAGAGCTCCCAGTCTTCGCACAAACTATCGGGTCGCCAATTCTCGTTCGCCTGGTCTCTATGGACTAGAAATTGAGCGGTTCGACAGCCTCTCATGTCCTCGAGTGAGATGGTGTAACCAGAGTAGGCATTGTGTTCTGTACAATTTGGTCCACCGATATGCTCTAGTTGTTCTTCGGTATATCCATCGGGTATCCCATTCGATGTCACCGGGAAGCTCAGCTCAGTTCTTTGCTTGCTTGCTAGATCACTCAGAGCCCGGATGGGCTCTCCCCGCTGTGATCCCAGATCTAAAGTGGTGGAGAGCCAGTCGTGGTACCATTGCATTTCACGCTCCTCATCATGAGCATCTTCGTCACTTTCGGAAAGACTCATAGCATCCGTGGACTCGTAATCGGAATCATACTCATAACCGTTGTGGAATTCACCGGTATGATCAACAATATAATCGGGGTCATCGACCGCATTATCTTCGTATATATTCTCCGTACTGCCGGAGTACATCACAGCCATGGCACATTCTTTCTGAGCACACTCTTCCAGGTCTACTTCATCCACGCCCAGATTGAATTGCTGGCCCGTGTAATCCCATTGGGCAAAATCGGGCTCTCCCAGCTTGCGATTGCGAGCGATGTTGAAGCTCACCCCACACAGGTGGCAGTATATCTATCAATTTGTCAATTGATTGGAGCTCGACAAAGAAGAAACAAGAATTATGTACCTCCGAGTATCCTGCCAATAGTTAAAATGAACCCAGTTACAATTTCAAGGATGCGAAGAAAGACTTACCCATGGCTTTGAAAGAGAATGTTCGATATTTGGACCAGAATTTTCTTAGGAAGCAGTAGAGAGGATACATGCATTCTTATACAATTCGTGGTTGATGGAACCAGGGCCTGACCTGACAGCCTGAAACCCTCACTCAGTTTAGCGTGTAGTTGCCTGAGTGAGCATGGACCCCAGTAGAACTTTATCGTGTTGGACCCACTACAAAGTTCTGTCATTGGACTGCGAATAGGCCCCAGCTTGTCTGCCTAAGTACTAATCACTTTAAGGCTTTTATGTTAATCCAGATAAAAATCAACAGTGATATGCTATTAGACCACAGATACAGTGTAGAGAGTTGATAGGGCTCGTGCTTGGCAATTTCTTGTAAAAAGTCTTATTGATTTGATATCAAGCTAATCCAATGGCCGAATTGGTGAAGTATATTCTCTGACATTTCTGCAACCGATATAAGCAGCGTATAGATTAAAGTCTTCATGATTGACATCTCATAAAAAAGGAAGACAATTGCGTGGTTTTTGACAAGCAAAACGTAGTCATTCCCTCCTTACAACAGCTGTTTATCTGTCTGTTGACCAGGGTCATATGAACCCAATAAGTAACAGTCGCTTCTATTCCGATGTGCAGAAAGTCTTGATGGTTTAGGTATGTAATGCTTATATTTCAGCCGACTGCACAGGTATCCTTGTTGTGGAAATAAGGGATGGAAACGCGTCCGGAAAGATGAAATGGATGTTATCTTGGACCATGGAAAAGCTTGCTGATTGTTAAACAAACATTATGACAAAACAATATGGGAGAAAGACTATACAGACGTTGTAGGTCAGCTGACCGGTTGCCAGTCGCTGCTTCTTCAACACCTCTTGGGTGAAGATGAGGCTAAAGGATCAGCGTCCCTGAACATGGGGCTGAACACTGCCACATAGTCCCCATTATATCTTTATATACTTTGACCTCGTCCACTTTGAATGACACACTATTGAGTTCAACAAAAGACAAAACAACAAAAATGGCTCTTAACCGCCTCCCAGATGAGCTACTAGTCATGATCGCAGAGCAGCTCGACGAAGTCAGTGACATCAACTCCCTCGCACAGTCCAGCCGACTCACCTACCCAGTCGTCAACCACATCCTCTACGCAAACAACATCCACAGGGACAAGGCCTCTGCACTAAGCTGGGGCGCAAGGCACAACAGCCTGGGCACGATAGAGATAAGCATGTCCGTGGGAGCCGCAGTCTACTGGAGATGGGAAGCCCTTCCCCTAGCACATGCCGCCAGGGCAGGCCACGCCGCGGCAGTGGAGCTCCTCCTATCGCACGGGGCAAAGCCCGACAGTAGATATGTCGAACCCGACCAAACACCCTTGTACATTGCTTCGCACTGCGGCCGTCTCACCGTCTGCGAGACGCTACTTGCCGCGGGGGCGGATATCAACTCCCGGAGTCAACGAACAGACGGGTACACATTCAACGAGACGCCGCTGCACCCTGCAGCTTTCAACGGCCACCTCTCCGTGGCGCAGCTACTTATCGACCACGGCGCAGACATAAACGCCCCAAATGACCTTGGGTGGGTACCGCTGCGAGAGGGCGTCCGATGCGAAGACGCCGATTTCAGGCCCCGCATGGTCCGCCTGCTGCTGGACGCGGGGGCCCTCGTCGACGGACACCCTGACCATCCTCGCATGACGCCCTTGCTACTTGCCTCTATAAGATACGACGACGAGAGTATCGAAACACTCCTCGCGGCAGGTGCCGATCCCAACGCCCGCGACTGCGGCAACGGGACAGCGCTCATCGACTCCATCATCGGGCATCGACGAGACTCAGTCCGTCGCTTACTCGAATACGGAGCTGAGGTTGAAGCAAGGGCTTACCACGGCGAACGGCCCCTGTATCTTGCCGCGCGCTACGGTGACTTTGAAATGACTTCTCTTCTGCTAGATTACGGCGCCGATATAGAATTGCCTGTTACGTCCAACGAGCCGGCACTGCACGTGGCAGCGCTTCATAACGAGCTGGAGATTGTGCGGCTGCTCTTGCAAAGGGGGGCTAATGCTGAAAGCCAGCGGCCCTACGGCTCTTCAGGATTCACCGCTTTGTTTCTGGTGGCGCAGTGCAATTTTATAGATGTGGCGCGGGTTTTGTTGGAGTATGGGGCGAATCCGCTTGCCATGTCTCCGCTGGGCTGCACGCCCTTGGACGCAGCGAAAGAAGAAGGTCATGTTGAGATGGTTTCACTTTTCTATGAGCATATGCGCATGCGAGGTATGTCGGGGGAAAGGAATAATGCCCACAGCACGTCCACGTGATATGGCCTGCTCAACTATCACTAGATACATTACATCTGTACATATTACATTGTCTTTGAGAGGGTTCTCTTGGCTATATCAATACCTTTCAAAACGTTGCCTCTTCATAAAGAAATTATCGTAGAGATGTTTCCCCCGATAATCCTGCAACGATCGGTTCGGCGGAAGGGGATGGGAGCCTCCTTGGAATAAGCATTGCCACGTGAAGCCAGGCAGCCGTAAGGGGAATTGATTCATGGTGAGGGGGTACATTTGCTTAGAACTATCTGGTGGAGTGCTCGATAGTCATGATCTTGTCTTGTGGGTCGGAGGAATGTCTAATGTATTTGGTTATTGTACCTTGATGAGGCTACTATGGTATTATATCGAGGGAGTGTAGATAGCCTTGTCGTAAGGATGAATAGAGAGGAGAGTACTTCGTGGCTAATTACAGAATGTGGTCTCCTGTCTAACTACCCCTACCTACATACGTAAGGCACATACTCAGCTGCGCATAAGCATCCCTTGCCCACGTGTGACTGAAACAATGCATGGCCTCAACTTAAACCCACCTTGATCACGATACATACCAGCAGAAGAGGACTCATAAACTAAAGTCATTACCTCACAGTAACAAAAAGATGCCAATAATAATAATGCATATATTCAAACCTAAATATTACTAAATATCAACCCACTCGTTAACTAACATGCGAAGCATATATCATCTATACCAACGCCCACCCTAGATATTATGATCCCCAGCCCGGACCTTCTCCGGATGATCTTCAGGCAGAACATCCTCGATAGTACCATCCGTATCCCTCAAATCATCCTCCACACTGACATGGTCCTTGATCTTGAAGAACACCACAGGGGCAGCGACAATCAGCGACCCGCACAGCAGCACCCAGTTCGAGATGAACTCGTTCATGAACGGCATCTTGTCGCGGTCGAGACTCCACATGACGGCTGCGCCGGCGGACTGCAGGCCCTTGTAGAATCCGGCGAGGTTGGCGAGTTTGCGGCCGGAGTTGCCGAGGGCGCCCATGAGCCTAGAGAGAACTCTGTGTTAGTAGAAGGATGGAAGATTGGGGGTGGTGTGGGATTGGGTGGCGTACCAGTAAACGTAGCCTTGCCAGACGGCGTCGTACCCGCCGTAGAACATGTACAGGAACATGGGGCCGACATAGCCCGGGGTCGTCCAGTCGGTGGGCTCGAAATCCTTGGACGCGACGGTTGCGCGCGTGTATTTCTTCTGCCACTCGTAGCCGCCGCCCCAGACGATCATCGTCAAAGCGAACACGAGTCCAAAGGCACCCTTCGCGCGCACACTGCGACGGAACTGCGGGAGATCAAACAGCGGACCGATGATAACGGCGGCGACGATCTGCGCAAACCAGTACAGGAATCCGTTGAGCGCCTTGGTGCGCGTGCCGAAGTGCGCGCCGTTGATGGCGTTCTGCTGGTAGGTGTAGAACCAGTTGGAGGTCCAGAACATGGGGAACAGCAGGACGATGTACGGCTCGGAGCGGATGGTCGTCCACAGGCCGATGAACTCGGTCTTCCAGCTGGGGTTCTGCTTGAGGATGACGCGCGACCCGTCCCGTCGGACGATCTTGTCCGCGTCGCAGAGGAAGAGGGCGAGAATGGCGCCGGCGAACATGAGCACGAGGAAGCCGATGTAGGTGCCGTCGCTGACGGTGACGTTTGCTTTGACGTGGATGTTTTCGCCGAGGGGGATCTATTCATTCATTTTAGTTAGGAAGGGGGGGGGGGGGGGGTGTTGCCGGGGTTGTTGAAACGTGATGTCCAGGAATTACATACCAAACTACCCAAGCAGCCGCCAATATTGAAAATCCCCCAGAACCACGCGAAATACCGACCCTTTTGTTCTTCGTGGGGGTAGGACATCATGATGGCGCCCTGGGCTGCCCACAGTAAACCGGCGCAGACACCGAGAAGAGCGCCCGCGAAGATGTTGAACCCGGAGACGTTTGCATGCTCCGAAACCAGCAGACTGATGGTGTAGATCGTATAACCAATGCCACCCAAGGACAGCGCCAGGCGAATTCCCATGCGATTGACAAACGTACCGGCGAAGAAAGCCACGACGGCGAAGGTACTGTTCAGGGCGATGTTCTGCCCATGTTAGTCTTTATCGGAGATAATATATTGGAGAGAGTCGCAAAGCAGGAAGAATCTTTAGAAGAAACTTACCATGTTGTCGGCCAAGTGTGCATCAGTCTTCCCACCGCCTCCCAACCCGCTCAGCGCATTAAACATGCCGGGACACAGGAAACACACAAAGGCGACCATGCCCAATTGAATGTGAGGCGACGCATACCAGCCTGCAGACCACCGACCCAGCTTGATCTCCTTGTACATCCATCCTGGCGGGCGTTGAAAGTCCGGCACGGGTTCATCGGCCGCGAGCTGCGGCGGCGTGGTTGGTTTCTCGGTCGCCATGACGGGCGCGACTTTGGAATCTGAATCGGCCATTGGAGGGCTCGGATAGGCAAGCGAAAGACAGGAACAGTCGTTTGGTGAAGCTCCAGGGAAAGTCGGGGTGGATCCAGACCGGGGACTTTAGCGGTCTTTAAGAACTGAACAGCAACCGCATTGCCACTGCTAGAAAGCACAGTGACTGGGGGCTGCAGAAATCTAAACACCAGCAAAGACATCCCCTTGCACTTTACGACGGTAACATTAACCACTAGTTCAACTGAAGCTAGTTCGCTTCACACTGACCAAGTACTATTACTAGGGAGGATTCATTGGATGGCTGACCTCTACTCAGCCAGATGAATGGCAGAGTTACACCAGTGGGGAGAGACACGCCCCGATGGAACATTATTTGACCCTCGAGGAATTGAGATAAGTCAGACTAAGACCAGTTAGCTCTAACCTCTTTTTCCACACGAGACCCTGGGAAGTTGCTCTATCTCGCCAGTTATCTTGTGATACTCGTCGGGCCACTCATATCTCCCCGCCTGGATTGGATCTAACCGAGAAAAGTATGCTGCATCCATGGTCCAGAAACCCCAAAACGCCCAACGCCCCACGATGAGGACTAACCCAGTCAGTCCAGTCCAGTCAGCGTCCCCTTTCTTTTCTCTTTCAGTGTTCTCGCCTCCATTCCTCTTTGTTCCCACCCCTTCCCCACCAATCCCCGTGTCCCCGCAATATCGGAGGAAATCCCAGCATTGGACAGTCGACTTTTGCATTCTGGATTCTCTGGAATCATGCAGTCGTCCACTGCCACAGTTACATTCATCTCCGACCCCAAATCGAAGACAGCATGTAATTTAACGTTTAGCTCATGAACCCTCGACATTCCGGTCACAAGGCCGATCTCCTCATCAAAATCCCCACGATATCAGATTTTTGGTTCCATCCCCTGGGTTGAGTCAGGTTCTCGTATCGATCCATTTCAGACGACACGATGACTGCCACATTGTGGAGGTTACATGAGGGAGACCGTGTGACCCCGATGGTGCGATGCGGGCCACTATTTTTACCAATGCAATCATGGATGTCTCGCTATCAACTCCTCGTCCCCGACCGGCCTGTCTGGGCGGAATGGTTTCTTCCCTGTCACTCTTGGCAGTCTGCACTGTCTTCCCTGGTGGGCAAAGGCACGTTGACTGGTGGTAACTTCCCGAGGCCCCAGTCGCCCACACGATGTATCATCAGGCTTGTACAGCAACGTCGTGTTCGATTTTGGAGAAAATAATATAGTACAGTAGAGAATTAAAATAAGAAATGAACATAGAATATGGATATTTGGTACATCCCCCGCTGACGATCTTGTTGATCAGATCTCTGGTGAGGTGGGGATCAATTGTCCCACTCTGGAGTTCCATCTCTGGTATCTGGTTCCACTTGGCCGAGCCCATGCACGTTGTATCAAATATTGGAAGATCATGGTCCTGCAATTCTGGGCAGGTTGAGTAAATAGGCAAGAGTAACAAGGACTCGAAATATCCCAGTGTACTCCGTACTACAGTCAAGCCAGACTATTAAACACACTGTTGTCCTTTCGATGGCACTACTTCGCTCGATATGTGCGGCCAGTATACATACCAGCTATGTGTATAAGTTTTCTTCCTTGTGTTCTATCTCGAGAGTTGGACTGACTTCTGACTGGGACTGACTTCTGACGAGGAAAAGTACGAGTCGAATTTGCATCGTGCCTCAGGCCACAGTGCTCAGGCCAAACAATCACTGTGGCCTGGAGCTAAACCCAAACCAGTAGGCCTCGGCCCGGGCCCGGCCAGGTCAGGGGTCAATCCCAACAGCGGGAACAAGCGGTTGGTATGTCCCACTCTCCGAACTCAACTTCACTGACTCGACTTCCGTGGAATATGATCTCATCTACTGAGTTCGAGGGTACTCAGCCAGTCACAGTCTAACCAGCCACTTCGGCTGAATTTTCGAAAAGAGATAACACGGCCCATGGCAAACAGTCTTCGCGGATGAAACCGGAATATGTATCTAGCAAACCAAGCGACACAGTCACAGGAATGGGCAGTCGTCGGTCGCTTCCCCACACCGAACTTGACTGGTCTTGAAGTGGATTAGTATGGTACTTTTGCATACCCCGATATTGTTCCTTTCGAAACGAGTTCGACCCTGAAACCACCGTGTACGAGATGCTCAACCACGACGCAAGGTTGATGCCAGCATCCGAAGAGCAATCAAAGCTAGGGAAGGCCATCCCCATAGGCTTGCTGGGTCGCTTCGTCATTCGTACTGCCAGGCAAGACAATATAATGTGCCTTCGAGGAGTTAAATCGAGTAAGCACCTTATCGTGTCTACCCGGTTTGCATATACATACAGATGACGCAGACGCCCGCCAAACGATACGATGTCTTGATAGAGTGCATACCCTAGGATGGTGACCAAAATGCTGGAATTAAGCGGAGGTATGGTCGCCCATGAACCCCCAGGCAATGGGTGTGCTATGCGGATCAACATACCACGAGCTATCTCGGACATCTGGATGGATTTCCTCCCGTAGATTCGAAATTTGCTTTGAAAGGACTGTAGATTTCGGAACAAGCATACTGCCGTGCTTAATACTTATTATTATCAGGCGCGGCAGCCCCAGGCATCTTCCAAGGAGATGATTGCTCAGCCACAAGCATAACCCTTGTTTAAGTCCAGCCCTGTCACATTCCTCCTCCTTAGAGCTATTTGTTAGGTTTTACATGCACGGTTCGGGATTTCTTCAAGTTTTCAACACATAACATGGTGTCTTCACTGCGACTAGGCCAATTCCTCCGAGGCCACAACGGAGCGTACACGATTGGCAAACAACTCCAAGAGACTGTTTGGCTCGCGAAGTATAAAGGCCCAGTAACTATCAATGCGGGTCTCTACTTACCCTGTTTTTTGTGTGGACAGAATTGAAAGCAACCAATCAGTAATTGTGAGGAGTGTCCATCGTTTTCGTCTTCAGAATGAACGTGACGTTCTCAAGCATTTCCAATATCGTACACCCTTCATTCGACCTTTGGTTGATGAGCTTGTCGAGCCATCTGATCCACCAGCCATAGTATTGAGACATTTGGATGAGAGTCTCCTAGATGCCTCTATTTTTTTTAGAAAACCTTACGAATCGGGAGATCAAATACGTTGCGAGGGGAACATTAGAGGCCTTGAAGGTCCTTCATGAAGATAACTTTGTGCATACGGGTTTGTGTAATATTGTCTGTGCCAATTGCAATGTCTTACCCAGAATATAGATACAAAGCCCGACAACGTTCTCTTGAACCACGGCCAAGGAAAGCACACGCTTTTCGAAGTCCAGCTAGCAGATTGTGGGAGCACTGTTCCTTCGGATTCAGCTTATGCAAGAGATGGCGACCTCATCGGAGCACCTATAAGGAGGAGTCCTGAAGCTCATTTCCAAAATGGCTGGGGCACAGCAACAGATATATGGTCATATGGTGCATTGGTATCTGTTTGACGACCAACAATCTTTATTTTCAGACGGCGCTGACTCTTTCGCTCAGCTTGTAACCTTGGTTTACGGAGACAATTTCTTCCTCTTCAAACCAGACGTCCCAGCAGACCATGATGAGTACGAGCTGAAGATTCTCCAGAGACAATGTGAGTTCTTTGGGCCGTTTCCTTTGACGTATCGCGGGATCTGTCCGCAGGAGACCTTGGATATGCTGGCGTATATTACGCAAAGCATTCCCCCTGAAAAGAAAAAGCCGTTTGCCAGGATTTCGGAGAAAGAGGTTTCTAAGGAGGACAAGGAGTTCATTCTGAAGATCATGACGCTTGATCCGAGAGATAGGCCTTCAGCCGCAGAGCTTTTACAAGATGAGTGTCATGACAAATTATAAGTCCTGGGAGATATGGTATAGCGTCTTGCAGATAGTTCCTCCTTTTCGCCTTTCTTCTTCTCTCCTTCCATTCTTTTTCTTTCCTCTTTCCCTCTTTCCCTCTTTCCCTCTTCCCCCCCTCTTTCTTTTTTTTCACACGGGTTCTTGCCTTATCTCTAGTTGTCTATAAACATTAGGCCCGGGGCTTTGCTGGGAAAGGAAGGATCTTAGGCTATATAGGGCTCTAACCTTGATCCACCAAACTATGGGAAAACAGCTTCCGGATTGGGGTCTACGTCCACGTGTGATTTATGTACGTCGAAACTGTCATGTGGTATGTCCAGATGCCGCATCGAAGATCTATGGGTAAAGACCTAGGTATGCGTGGCCGGGATTGTATGGGAAAATGTATGGGCACGTGTCGTTGAAGAACTAAGCGCTAGCATCGGCTAGTACTAGCAATACTGTCGAGTGGTGGTTCTCATTATCCTGTCCTAGCTTGCCTAACTAATGGGCTATTAAGCTCTGAGGTACCATGACTGGGTCGAAGCTGCGATCATTTCAAGGCCATTCTGGTGCGGTTTTTGTTCTTAGTCAACGGTCCTTTTACTGGATGGCCGGAGATTACTGCATAATAGTTTTCCATTCTAGTCATTATTTACTTACTGGTAAGAAAGAAGAAAAAAACGAAGAAGGAAACACTCGAGAATTACAAAAAAGAAGCCAAACCAAAAAAAAAAAAAAAAAAAAAAAAAAAAAACATACAAAATACCGAGAAATATGACAGGTGATATTAGTAGAAGAGGCAAGGAATCAAAGGAGGAAGACAATGATTGAAAACATAGTGAGAAGAGCTACACAGCGTGAGGGAAGTCATGTCTCTCGGCCCCGAAATGAGAAACCAAGTATCAACAATCTACAACTTGCCTAGTAAGCTCATCCAACACGGTGTCAAGCGTGTGCTGCGTGTGGAATTTCGAGCTGCCTGACACAGACAGCTCCCAGCCGTCTCCCTTAGGTTTTGCCAGGACGAAAATGAAGTCGGGGAAAACAGGTCGACCTTTGCGTTGGTAGGCCGCCAGTGTACTATTTGCCCCGAGAATGCTGGTGCCGGCGTCATGCTCCAGGTTGTCGAGATTCTGGAATTGGACGACCAACTCGGGCGTGCGAGACTCATCCGGCCAGTCAGTGCAGTTAACCGCTATATCCCCAAACTGGCTGGTTTCGTAGGGCAAGCCCTGAATGTGTTGTTCATGGACCGAGGCCAGCTGCTGCTCGAGACCTTGCCCTGGGATGATCCGCACTCGAACAGGAATCGTGTTGACACACGGTCCAACAACATTCTGGAGGCTGCTGGGTAGCGAGGCTCGACCAGAGACGATCTGTCCAAAGACCACATCGGTGGCGCCGGTAATCCTGGAGAGCATGCGCGCACAGAGTGAGGTGAAAATTGTCGCTGCTGTGAATCCTTGGCGACCCGCGGGGGCAGGAGCGATGGTCTTGGATTCAACCAGGCTACCCACGTGTTGACTCAGCGGATAATCACCGTTTGCAGCCGACAGAGGCTTGACAGGGGTTATAGAGGACTGCAATAGGAGAGATCTCCAGTACGGGCGGGCCGCTTGCTGCTGCTCTTGAACATGTCGTATATAACCCGAGAATTTGGGGCTGGAGGGCAGAGCCTCCCCTCGGTACAAGGTAGCAAAGCACGAGAATATCAACGGTAAGCTGAAACCATCGTACTGCGAATGCGAAAAGCGAATGGTTAACCGGGCTTGTCCGTCTGGATTGTGAATGATGAAAAACCGAGTAAAGCAACGTCCTAGCTGTTGGGGGCTCTGCAGGTCAGAGCGATAGATCTTCTCGGCACATGCTGTGAGATCTCCATGCACTTCGTGGGCGGAAATATCTGGCTCGACGTCATTAAGGACAACCTGAATGTGACGATGACCGTCGACAATGAAAACAGTGCGCAGTATATCCAGGTGCTGCCACAAACGTAAGCAGCTTTGATGAACACGAGAAAGGTCCACACCTGCCGGGAGGTCCATGTAGATGTGTTCGATTTCACCCATTCGGGCAGCCAGCGCGGACGACACGTAAAGGTCTTGTAACTCCGTGGTAGGATATACATCGGTGATGTGGTCCTTGTTCCATTCGAGGAAAGGTAAAACAGAAGTCTCGAGAAAAGAGGGAAGTGAACCAGGGGGACAAGAAAGTAGAGAAAAAGGCTGGGGATCGCGATAGATGGATTGCCCTTCACGAAGGTAGTGAGCCATGTCGCAAAGTCGCGGGTTGTTGAAAATATCCGGGACTGCTAGCGAGAAGCCTTCTTCGCTAGCCCGCTGGCCTAAGCGAATAGCTGTGATTGAATCGCCTCCAATACGAAGGAAGCTATCATCAGCCGCGATCAGACTGGCGTCTAGGCCTAAGACAGCTGCCCATAGGCCTTGCAAGCGCCACTCCATCTCGGTTGTCAGGGGTTGGCACTCGCCTCTAGAGGGCTGCAGCTCGGCCAGTTCGGCGAGTGTGCGAGATGCTCCGGCCTGGGTGAGGCGACGTCGATCAGTCTTGCCGGTTACAGTCATAGGGATATCAACAACCGGAATATAGGTACTGGGGACCATGTAGCGTGGGAGCCTGGCCCCGAGGTATTCATCTAGACCTCGTGTACGTTCTCCAAGAACAGCACGGATCTGATCTGCGGAGCCTGACGCCAGATCACCCAGGCCAAGGAAGCAGACAAGCATAGGACTGCTGCTACCTCGAGGAGTCATAACCCCGGCCACCACCGAAGCATCGTCGATGTCTAGAATGCCCTGCCGCACATGGTATTCCACCTCGCCCAGCTCCACGCGCTGGCCGCGAATCTTGACTTGCGCATCCTTCCGACTGATATAGACCAGAGAACCGTCGGGATTATAGCGTACTAGATCACCAGTGCGGTAAAGCCGACCGTCTCGACCCGAGCAGCCGGGGCCGCCTCGCCGTAACCAGCTGGGGTTCTCGATGAAGTTCTCTGCTGAGCGCTCGGGGAGACCTAAATAACCCAAGCCGATCAATGGCCCTTCCAGCCAAAGCTCACCAATACCACCTACAGGAAGGAGGCGGTCGGCATCCGTGGGATCAACGATCCAGGTGTTACAAGCGGACGCGCTGCCGAGATGAGGGTCCTGTAGACAGTCCCTGCGGATCCGGTTGACCGTAACACATCCTGGACATTCAGATGGCCCGTAAGTGTTGATAATCTCGCCCACATGTGGTGTCCACTGCACGAGATCAGCCTGGGTGAGAGGCTCCCCGATCAGAGCAAGCGTATTCAAATAGGGAACTTCCGCCGGGTTGAGCAGCCGAGCGACAGTTGGAGTGATTGTGGCATAGTTGACGCGGAAATCACACATGGCCTTCTCAATGTTGGCCCGACGCTGCGATTCGTGTGGTATGCAAAGGCACCCGCCAGCTACAAGCGAGCGCAGGAGGTTAGACCAAGAGACATCCCACGCGTAGGATACAAAGTCGAATACGCGAACATTTGGCCCGAAAGAAAGTGACTCCTGTTGTTGGACCAGTGCACTACTGAAGTTCGAGTGGGATATGACAACCCCTTTGGGTGTGCCCGTGCTGCCTGATGTGAATGTCACGTAGAGCCTCTGAGACGCTGCGATGGACGGGCACACGGTGTCTGCCGGAACAATGACGCTGGAGAGAGCCGCATCGTGGACAGGGACTACTCTTTGTGCACCCAGACGGTGAGCCACAGGGTAATTCTCACGAGATGACAATAGAACCTCCGGTTGCACCTGCTGCACGATCGCCCGTAACCGTTCCAGCGGCTGGTTGGCATCCATGGCTACCGAGGCCCCGCCAGCCTTCATTACCGCCAGGACTGATACAGGCATCCAGCGGGACTTTTCGAAATAAAGCGGAACAATACTGTTAGCGCCGACGCCCAGGGCTCCTAAATGAAGAGCCAGGCGTGTTGACAAGCAGTCCAATTCCTGGTATGTAAACTCGCCATCCCATGCGCAGATAGCCGTTGCATCAGGCCGTTGTTGACATTGCATGGCAATGAGTTCGTGCACTGGTGTATCAACAGTGGGTGGAACGGCGCAATTCCAGTTCCAGATAATCTCCTGATCATGGCGGCCTGCAAGATCCACCTGTGCGGCAGTCTTCGAAGGCGTCCGGATTATCTCTTCTATTGCCTGCAACAAAGACTGTACCAGGTTTCTAGCCTGCTGATCAGATAAAAGAGATCCGTAATAACTAAATGTGATTGCTGTCTCTTCGCTCCCAAGGCCAACATTCAACATGATATCGTACTGTTGAATCAAGTCAGCAAAATATCGAAGCAAATAAACTCCCAGTCGAGAGTTGGGGGGTGACAATGTTTACCTCAGTTGGGTCATGTCCATCTTGCTCGTCCAGTCGAAGACTGAACAGGTCATCCTTGTCATGGCTCTTGAGGTCCATTCCCTGCACAGACAAAACAGTGTTGAAGAGAGCATCCACTGGTTCATCAAGCGACCGCAGGATTTGGACCAGAGAGCTGTGCTGGTGGTTAAGACTGCTCACAAACTCTGCCTGATTCCTTTCAATCACAGCGGCCAGGGGCTCACTACCGCCTAAATGGAGGCGGCTCACAAGTAGATTGATGAAGGGACCGACGGTTTTCTCTACACCTTCCACAGGAACATCTCTGCCCGACAACAAGTAGCCAAAACACACAGTTTCCGAGCCAGTATAGCAGCGCAGAAGCAAAGCCCAGGCTAAATGGAAAAGATTTGCTGGAGTGAACTCATTCTTTTGGCAGAATGATCGAAGTCTCGAGTGGAGGTCCCCGTCAAGCAACTGTGTCATCGAAGCTCTGGCCTTGTTTTCTCCTGATTGAGGTTCGCGTTGAGACGGGAAGATACAGGGAGGAACACCCTCTAGATAATCCTTCCAGTATTCCAAGCTCGCCTCCGTTCCGACACTTTGTATATGGCGGATGTAATCACGATACAGAGGTCCTGGAGTAGCATCAAGCAGATCATCGTACGCAGCACAGATCTCGCGCTTGAGCAACGCTGTCGAGGTCGCATCAGTGATAGCATGGTTCATTTCAAGATCACAAAGTACGTTGTCGCCAGACGGGGTGGAGCATATAACCAAGGAATGAAGCGGTTTTGGCTCTTGACGGGACTCCCAATGACGCGCAAGAGCGGCAGGCGGGTCAGATGACGATAGCAGATGGATTGTAGGTTCGCAGGTTCGCATGACTAGTTGGTCCTCAAACCGATGGGGCGACGGGCTCTCCACGAACACAGTTCGAAGCGCGGAATGTCGAGAAACAACACGCTTCCAAGCTTCTACTAGGCGATCCAGATTGACAGAGGAGGGAGACGCGGACTGTACGAGCCACCGAATCCGAGTCCAGTAGAGATGAGGGCTTTTGGCTTGACTCAATAAGATTCCTTGTTGAATGGGCGTGAGAGGATAGATGTCCTCCACCTGGCCGTAGGAGAGGCCGAGTCCAGGAAGAATTTTGTCGTTCAATTTCAGCAAGGCTGTTTCGCTGAGAGAAAGAAGGGGGAAGTCACACTGTGTATAACTTCGTGGGTGATGCGGCAGCTCACGGGCAGCAGTTTGCAGTGAGTGTTCGTACCGCGTGATCCAGGTCCCTATTTGATCTCGGTGTCTAGTGTTGCAATTAAACATGAAACTAAACTCGAGACAACCGGCAGAAACCGAAGCCATGACCTCGATCAGCGCAAATCGGCCCATATCTTCGGCAACGTCTGAAAGAGTGCCTTCAGGGGGGCTAGCTGGCGCGAAAAGCGAATCCTCACGCTCAAGCTGCTGGTAAAATCCCAAATAGTTGAATGTTATCTCAGGAGCTCCATAACCCCCGAACACTTTCTTCCCTTTCTCATTTAGGTATCGAGATGTAAAGTAAGGCCACCCATGGCCCGGCACCTGTCGGCGACCGTCTTTCGTGCGGCGGACGACGGTTTGCAAGGAGTCATTGGACAAGGCTGACGCAGAGACAAGTGTTGGACTCATCGTAGTAAACCACCCCACAGTGCGTGACAGGTCGATCGCAGAATCCCACGGTTCGCGCCCATGACCCTCACTGAAGATGGTGGGAGCGGGGCGGTCCTGGAACGTATAGACAAACGAGTGAAGCAACGCTGCTTGTAGTATCTCCACTAATTGCGTGTCAAAGGCCATATTCGCACAACCGAGAAGACTATCTGTGTCGTCTTTGCTCAGACTGAACGTGCTGTGAATGGTGTTCCCCATAGTATTGGTCGTGGGATCGAGGCCCCAGTAGTCCTGCGGTGGAGGAATCTCGACGGGGAACGCTGCCTCAGGGGGCAGCTGGTCTCTAGCATACTCGGATTGGAGTTGGCACCAGGCCTGGAAAGGTAGTGGTTTGAAGCCAGAGATTTTGTTCGTGGTCAGATGTTCCTCCATATCAGCGAGGATAATCCTCCAGGAGACAAGGTCAATGGCCAAATGGTGAGCCACGAGGAAAAGGTAATGACCCTGAGTACCGGTGTCAATAAGATCAGCGGAAAAGATAGGTCCGGCTTGAATATCAAGGGATTTCTGGCTTCTGTCTAAGATCGGTGACACGTCGGAGAAGCTTTCTATTGTGTGTTGTTCATATTTATAACACTCTGGACTGTATGGTATGACCCGTTGCGTCCATTGCTCGTCCACAATATGGTCAAACCGAACGCGCAATATCGCATGCTCGGTAACGACGGCTTCTAATGCGCGCCGAACATCCGTTGAAGAAACTGGACGTGTGATGCGAAGGAAGAAGCTCTGGTTGAAGTGGTTGCACTGGCTGGTCTGAATGAACATTTGCTGAATGGGCGAAAGCTCGAAAGCTTCCCCCTCAGTGCATTCCCAATCATACACTTTCTGTGCTTGGCTTGCAGCACTTGGCGCCAGCCCTGCAATAGTGGCCAGCTTGAAGATGTCGGGCACCGTTACTCGAAGCCCTGCCGATCGTGACTTGGCAGACAGCTGCATAGCCGAGATGGAATCACCCCCCAAGGAAAAAAAGCTGTCGTGCGCGCCAATCTGCTGCGGGTCAATATTGAGCACTTCAGCCCAGAGTTGTTGAAGCTGCATCTCGACCTCGGTTCTTGGTAGCTGTCTCTGGCCCCGCGTTGGTTGAATATCTGCCAGCCGGTCAAGGCTCAGCGATGACCCTATACTTCGTAGGCGACGGCGGTCCGTCTTGCCCGTAAGTGTCATTGGAATTCCAGCCACAGGAATATACATCGTGGGGATCATGAATTGCGGCAGGCATTGTGCAAGACTGTCAGCGAGCCCTGTCGTATAAGGACGCATCGCAGCGTGAATTGTCTCCAATGATGCGTCAACAGTAACTCCCACATCAAGGTAGGCCACAAGCATTGCGTTGGCGCTCCCCTGTGGACTGATGACATCCGCAACGGCCCCAATGCCGTCTGACAGAGCTGCATGGATGTGATATTCGGTTTCCTCCAACTCTACACGTTGTCCGCGCACTTTGACCTGGCTATCTTTGCGCCCAACGTAAACAAGGGTACCATCGGGATTATAACGCACAAGATCACCGGTCCGGTAGACGCGGCCTGATCTTCCTCGCGGTCCATTCATCAACCACTTTGGATCCTGAACGAAGCTCTCGGCGGTTTTTTGGGGCTGGCCGATATAGCCGAGTCCCACAAGGGGACCTTCCAGCCACAGTTCCCCGACAGCACCCACTGGGACTAAGCCTGCGTCCTCGGACAAACCAACAACCCACGTATTCAAGCCAACGCCATGACCAATTTTCCCCACTTGGCCTGACTCCTGCGTGACATTCGTCATCGCCGCCGCTACCGTGCATTCCGCCGGGCCATAAGCAACCCGGAGGTCGACCCGTGGGGCCCAGAGTCTAATGTCTTGTTTGGATAGTGCCTCACCTCCGAGGATCAGGGTCCTTAGGGAGGTCACCTGGTTTGGATCTATGGTGCGAGCCATGGACGGTGTAAATTGGACATGCGTGACCTTCATAGCATCCATTGCCTGTGCGGTACCCTCTCGGCGCACCGACTCAGACGGAATACACAAACACGCACCAGCGGCGAAGGTATGCAGTATATTAGACCAGGCAACATCGAACGCGTATGAAACGAAGTCAAACACACGAGCATCAGGGTTTAGAGCAAGCAAATCTGGTTGATGAACAATTGCGCTGGCAAAATTGGTGTGGCTTATAGCAGTGCCTTTGGGCTTTCCAGTGCTACCAGAAGTGAAAACCACGTAGACCGGGCTGGATGGTGTCACTACCGGAAGGTCGGAGCAGCTTGGGACTGGTAGTTGGGGGAACAAAGGTCGCTCAACAAACAAGACATGAGTGTCAGTTATTCTTCGAGTGAGGTGTTCGTTGGCACGAGATGATAATACGAAAGAGGGCTGTATATCTTGCAAAATCCCTCGGAGACGCTCCTCTGGCTGGGTTGTGTCTAGAGCCACACAAGCACCACCAGCCTTGATAACCCCCAGCGCAGCCACCGGCATCCACATTGACTTCTCGAAGCACAATGGAACAGCGTCATTGGCACGGATTCCCAGATCCACAAGGTGATGTGCAAGCCGTGATGAAAAATGATCTAGCTCTTTGTAGGTTGCATCGCCATCCCAGGCATGTATAGCAGATGAGTTGGGCCGTAAACACGCTTGCTTTGCTATAAGATCGTGCACGCATGTCTTCACTGCTTGTGGAACTTGTGCGTTCCATGACCAAATTTGCTGGATATCTTGTTCACTAACCAAGTTGATATCTCGGGGGACTTGATTGGGATTGTGGATAACCCCCTCGACTGCCTGAAGGAACAGGGTTGCGATGCGCTGGGATCCGTCGGTAGAGAGGAGCGAGGTACTGAAATCAAAGGCCACCGCTGTGCCCTCCTGTCCGTGAGATATTGCGATTGCAATATCATACTGTTGTGTTATGTTAGCTCCTGGGTCTGACAAATCTTGATTACGGATTAACATACCTCGGGGGAATCAAGCCCCCAACGTCCGTGAATATAACCTCTTGCGGTTCCGGCTCCTGGGCAGACGCGTTGTTTTGCACTGAGATACCAGTGTTGAAAAGACCTTTACCAGGTCTTCCAGAAATTTCCAGGATCTTGGCCAATGGAGTGTGCTGATACTGAAGCGCAGCCAGGTAATCTCTTTGGTCTTCCTGCAAGGTTTCCAACGCAGAGGATCCTTTGCTTAGGTTGATACGGGAAACCAGCATATTAATGAACGGGCCGATAGCTCGATCCACACCTGGTATAGGGATATCACGTCCGGAGGTAAGGTATCCAAAACATACGGTATCCAGTCCCGTGTAAGCGCGAATCACAAGCCCCCAGGCTAGGTGAAACACACTGGACGGGGTCATTTCATATTGCTGACAGAACTTGCGGAGGGCCAGATGTGTTTTTATGTCCATATCTAGAGACAGTGTCTCGCGTGAATTGGTATGATCGGGGTTGGGTTCAGCAAGAACCGGGAAGTTGCAAGCAGGGACCTCATTGAGGTATTCCGCCCAGAATTGTTCAGCCGACGCAGGCAGGCTCTGTATATGACGCACATATGCCTCGTAAGAAGGCCCCGCTTCAGACGAAATTTGTCCCATATAGGCACGAGAGATTTCATATTTAAGGAGCCCCAACGAGTAGGCGTCGACCATGGCATGGTTGATTTCGAGGTCACAGAAGACTGAGCCAGATGCCGATTGACTCAACGCCAGGGCATGTTGAGGACTGTCTCGCTTGCTGGCAACATCCGTATGCCACTGCACTCCAGTGAGCGGGTCAGCTGGTTTGTCAGTGCCTAGTAGTTGGACATCAGACTTGACGTTTTTGATTACAACTTGATCCTTGACACCTCCAGACCGAACACTGTCAATGAAAATAGTTCGCAGGATGGGATGCCGATCAACAACCTGTTGCCAAGCGCGGCCTAGCCGATTGCGGTCTACAAGTGAGCCTGTCGTCGAAGACACTAGCCACCTCACCCGCGTCCAGTACAAAGCTGGATTCTTGGCTTGGCTGGTGAGGATCCCTTCCTGGATAGGAGTACAGGGGTAGATATCCTCAACTTGGCCAAATGTAAGACCGAGGCCGGGCAAGGCTTCATTGATGAGCAAGTGTAGAGAGGATTCCCCCAATGGCATCAAGGGGAAGTCGCAAGCAGTATAAGATGGAGATAATAAAGGGAGTTGGTGAGCCGCCATAACCAGAGAATGCTCACACTCAATAATCCAATCACGGATCTTGCTCCCGTGCTGTAGATGCCGATTGTATAAGAAGTCGACATGTAGTTTGCCTTGAGCGACGTACGCGGCAACATCGATCAGCGCAAATCGAGAAAGCTCTGGGGCAGCCTCCATTAGATCAGAGATCAAGACGTCTGACTGCTGAAAGAGTGCGTCTTTTCGTTCCAATTGCTGGTACAGCCCAAAGTAATTGAAAATGATCTCCACGGGCCCGTCAAGATGGAAGGCTTGCCGCCCAGCAGGATTCAAATAGCGTGAAGCGAAATAAGGTCTGCCGTTGGCGGGGATTTGACGGCGATAGTCCTTACTGCGACGTACAATATCAATGAGCCTGTCGCTTTTGATAGCGTCAACAACAACCGGATATACTGTTGTAAACCAGCCAACAGTTCTACCAAGCTCAATTGCAGAATTCCATGCCTCCCTTCCATGTCCTTCTGTAAAGATCGCAGGGGACACTCGATCCGGAAATGACTGCGCGAAGGAATAAAGCAGGGCGGCGTGGAGTATCTCCACCGGCTGGGTATTGAATACAGTGTTGGCAGACCCCAACAGCTGGTCAGTGAGAGATTTCTCGATGACTATGCTGCATTGCGTGGTGTCACCTATAGTATTCGGACTGACACCTGGAGTGAACTTCCAGTAGTCATACATTAGTGGCGGGACGTCGTAAGGGAAATCTTCCGCTGGAGACCGGTTGACCGCATGGTCTGCCTGAAGTTGACACCACGCCTGGAAGGAAAGAGGTGCGGGTCCAGCAACCTTTCCATGAACGAGATACTCTTCGAGTTCACCAAGGAGGATTCTCCAAGACACGAGATCCACTACCAGATGGTGCGCGACCATGAACAGAAATTGGCCCTCGTCGTTAGTATTGATCAAGTATACTACAAAGATCGGACCCTGCTCAATATCGAGGATTTGTTGACTTTGATTAAGCAAAGATTTTGCCTCATGGAGGGAGGGGATGTCATGCCGTTGGAACTCGTAGCAACACGTTGCATCGGCCAGAATCTTTTGAGTCCAGGCGCCGTCCACTTGAATGAAGCGAGCTCGCAACATGCTATGACGAACCACCAACTGCTCTATGCCTTCCTTAACCTGGTCTGGCAGGTGAGGTCGAGACACCCGGACCAGGAAGCTCTGGTTGAACATGTTCTTCCGGATGTCCTGGAAATCGAAAAACATCCGCTGGATTGGAGACAATTCAAAAGGAGTGTCGACCGTCTCCGCGATATGGATAGAGCTAGTTTCTGCTGCTTGTAATCCTGAATTTTTTGCTAGTTGTGCAACAGTTTTGTGTTTGAATATATCGGCGACCGTGATATAGAAGTCGACAGATTGGGATCGTGCAGATAGCTGCATCGCAGTAATCGAGTCGCCGCCGAGCAAGAAGAAACTGTCATCAGTCCCTACTATGTCCAGATCAATGTTGAGGACTTCGGAGAATAATCGTTGTAGTGCGAGCTCCACCGGTGATGATGCAACGCGTTCCTTGCCTCTGGATGGCTGCAACTCGGCCAATTGGGCCAATGTTTGATCGGACCCTATGGTGCGAAGTTGTCGCCGATCTGTCTTGCCAGTAGTAGTCATTGGAATTTCAGTAACAGGGATATAGATGTTCGGCACCATATACCCCGGTAGGCTTTCCGGTAAGCATTGCGTGAAAATATTAGTGTAATAACTTAGAGCATTGCGGATGCCTTCTGTGGACCCAGTTGCCCGATCGCCCAGTGCAAGATACGCTACTAAAAGGGAATTGGCGCTTGCTTTTGGCGTGATCACTTCTGCCACAACTGGAACGCCTGTGCCGGTTGGCATGGCTTGTTGGATATGGTACTCCACTTCCCCGAGCTCGACACGCTGGCCTCGGATCTTGACCTGTCCGTCTTTGCGGCCAGCATAAATTAGCGTGCCATCGAGATTATAGCGAACCAAATCACCAGTTTTATAAAGCCGACCCGGACGACGTGAAGATTCGCCCTGTGTCAACCAAGTGGGCGCCGGCAAAAAGCTGGCCGCTGTCTTGTCCGTATCATTTAAATATCCAAGACCAACGATCGGTCCCTCAAGCCACAGCTCTCCGGTACAGCCTATAGGACATAATTGAGCTTCGCGATTTGGGTCGACCACCCAGGTGACGCATCCTTTTCCCCTTCCAAGACTAGGTTCATTTTCTGAGAATGGGTAGCGCTCGAGGGTAGCCCATATGGTGGTTTCGGAAGGACCATACGCATTGACAAGTTGGGTTTGAAGCGCCCATTTCTGAACATCTATTGGATCAAGGGGTTCACCAGTCAGAACCATTGTCTGGACAAGTGGGATTGATTGCGGATCGAGCAAACGGGCAATTGTTGGGGTCAGAACAGCGTAGTTGACTTGCAATCTACGCATTGCTGCGCCAATATCCCCACGCCGCTCCGATTCCTCGGGCACGCAAAGACAAGCCCCAGCCACAAACGTGTGCAGGATTGTTCCCCACGCTACATCGAATGCATACGAAACAAAATCCAGCACACGCGATGCAGAGTTCAAGCCTAGTGAGTCCTGCTGATAGGTGATAGCACTAGCAACATTGCAGTGACTGATCACCACGCCCTTTGGTGTCCCCGTGGTACCAGAGGTGAAGACAATGTAAAGTGGACTGGCTGGATCTATCGAGGGAAGAACCGTCCCCCGAACGGGTTCTAGTTGATCCATGCTTGCCCGGTCCACAATGACAACGGTATCCATGCCAAGAGAATTGCCCTTGCTGCGCATCGTGGGAGAGGTGACTATAACAGACCCCTGAGTTTGTTCGAGGATTGTTCGCAGCCTATCCTGCGGTTGCTCGATATCCAAGCCGACCATTGCTCCGCCAGACTTTATTACCGCCAATGCGGCAACGGACATCCACATGGATTTCTCAAAGAGCAATGGAACCATGCTTCCTGGAGTAACACCGAGACCATGAAGGTGCGAGGCCAGCCGGGTAGATAGATAATCAAGTTCTTTATAAGTCAGATCACCGTCGCATGCGCACACTGCCGGTGCATCCGGTTGGTTTTGTGCTTGCTCAGATATCATGTCACCTATCGAAGCATTGACAGCTGCCGGTGCCATTGCATTCCAGTTCAAAATGCGTCGGAGGTCCTCCTTGCTAATTAGATTGGCTTGATGCGGTGTTTGGTCTGAATGAGTAATTGTTTGCCGGACTGCTTGAATGAACAGATTGAGGACATTTTCGGCGTGGCTTGTTGACAACATCGACGCATTGTAGGTGAAATTAATAGCAATTTCATTCTCATCGAGGCCAATATTCATCATTATGTCGTACTAGTAGCCGTGTTAGTGGGATTATTCAGCGTGGCATCTTTTACTGGTTGGACCTTTACCTCAGTGGGGTCATCACCTCCCATTTCTGTGAGCGAGATGGATGATGCGGTGTTGTTGCTGACCAACCTGTTCGCTTGCACGGACAAGGCAGTGTTGAAAAGTTCTTTTCCGGGCAAATCCAGAAAGTGGAAGATCTTCGCTAGAGGGTAATGCTGAAACTCTAAGCTGCTGAGATACTGACCCTGGTTCTTCTGAGCTAGAGACAACAGTGACTCATTACTCTCCAAGCTCACCCGGCTAGTGAGCATGTTAATAAAGGGACCGATAGTCCTCTCGGCGCCAGAGACAGGAATATCACGCCCCGAAGTGAGATATCCAAAGCAGACCGTCTCTAGACCAGTATACGCTCGCAGAACGAGCCCCCATGCTATGTGAAACACGTTAGAAGTTGTCAGTCCGTGGTCCATGCAGAACAGGCGCAACAAATCATGCATGTTCGGGTCGAGTTTTCTCGATATAACGGACTTTGAGCGAGGGCCACGTGGGTTCCGAGCACCGAGGGAGGGAAATATACAAGGATTGACCCCCTCCAGCAGATGATGCCAGTATTCATGGGCTTTCTGTTCCGACAATGACTGCAGGAACAGAATGTATTCGCTGTATAGGCCTGGCATGGAGTTGGACAACGACCCATCGTAAGCAGCACACAGTTCTTGTTTGAGGATCACCAAGGATGAGGCATCAATCAATGCGTGATTGATCAAGAGCTCACACACAGCCCCTGACGGCGTCGTGTAAATCAACAGGAATGCGTTATTTTCGCGAGGTATTGCTGTATCAGATGCATCACGTTGCCCGGATGTGATAACATGGACCTCTGCCTCGAGGCTCTTGAGCACCAGTTGGTCTTTGAGACCATCGGGCATTAGGCTGTCGATAAACTTGGTACGAAGCATTGGATGTCGATCTACGACAAGTTGCCACGCCTTCTTCAATCGAGATACATCTAAGGAACTGCCTTTGTCGGTGGATTCTGCCAACCACTTGATCGTTGTTTGATAAAGGCTGGGATTCTTCACCTGACTCATCAAGATCCCCTGCTGAATTGGAGAACATGGATATATATCCTCTACCTGGCCATATGAAACTCCGGCGTCAGCAAGTGCACTACCCAGCTTTTCTAGGCCAAGCTCCGACATGTGCAACAGGGGAAAATCGCAGATCGTGTATGTCGGCTGTAGGGATGGGAGTTCTTGTGCAGCATCCTCCAGAGAACACTGGCACTCCTGAATCCATTTCCGGATACCTTCTTGATTTCTCATGCGATTGTTATAGAGGTAATCGACACGAAGGCGACCCTGCAGCACAGAGGCTGAGATATCGATGAGAGCAAATCGACAGAGCTTACTGGCAATATCCGACAGCTCGTGGACATCGACAGGCATTTCCGACACGTGGAAAAGCGAGTCCTGTCTCTCAAGCTGCTGATACAGGCCAAGGTAGTTGAAAATGACCTCTACCGGGCCGTTTATCTGAAAGTCTTTTTTGCCGGTGGGGTTGAGATAGCGCGACGTAAAGTACGACCAGCCGTTCTGAGGGACACAACGTCGAGTGTCTTTAATTCGCCGCGCCAGAGCGGAAATCTTCTCGTCTGGGTCCACGGTGGCCACGACAGGGTATATGGTGGAAAACCAGCCAACCGTGCGCGACAGGTCAATGCTAGAGGTCCATGGCTCTCGGCCATGCCCTTCACTGAATATGGAAGGTGGTGATCGATCATGAAAGGCTTTGGTGAAGGAATGAAGCAGAGCGGCATGAAGGATTTCAACAGGTTGAGTATTGAATGCCGCATTAGCTGACCCAAGAAGAATCTCGGTCACCTCCTTACTGAGAATAACACTGCCCTTTGCCAAGTTGTCAAACGTATTCGTACTTGGTGCGACACCCCAGTAATCATACTGAGGTGGTTCCGGACTGAACGGCAAGACATCCTTGGGAAAGAGATGAGCGCGAGCGTAATCTGCTTGAAGCTCACACCATGTCTGGAAGGACATTGGCACGAACCCAGACAAAGTTCCCGTGGTAAGGTATTCTTCCAAGTCCGCCAGAAGAATCCTCCATGACACTAAGTCAATGACCATATGATGCGCAACTAAAAAGAGATACTGGCCGTCCTTCTGTGTATTGAGCAAGTCAACTGCGAGCAGAGGCCCATTTTCGATATCTAGAGATGTCTGGCTTCGGGTGACAATATCGGAGGAGTCCTGGAAAGAGATGACTTCGTGAGATGAAAATATGTAGCTCCCTGCCGAGGATGGTAGAATTTGTTGTGTCCATATATTCTCCGGTGTTGACTTGAACCGCGCTCGCAGCATTGAGTGGTGCGCAACAATAGCCTCTATGGCACGCTTGAGCTGATCAGAGGAGGTCGACTGAGTGATCCGGACCAAGAAGCTTTGATTAAAGTGATTATCGGCGCCTTGTTGAGTATTGACAAAAAGCTGCTGAATGGGCGACAGGGCGAAAGGGACACCAGTGCGCTCCGTGCTTTGATTCATAATCTGGTCCACAGGCGTTGTGCATGCCGCCAGACGAGCAATCGTTCTATGCTTGAAGATGGCAGGGACAGTAATTTGGAGGCCCGTAGAGCGGCTTTTGGCTGAAAGCTGCATGGCTGAAATAGAGTCACCTCCAAGGGTGAAGAAATCGTCGTGAATACTAATTCTCTCCGGGTTAACATTGAGTGTCTTGGCCCACAGCTCCAGAATGCGACACTCTGTTATGGTGGTAGGTGTCTGGCGCTCGCCCTGCGTAGGTTGCAATGCTACAAGCTCGTCCAATGAACTTTGCTCTCCAAGCTGCCGTAACGATCTCTTATCAATTTTCCCTGTTGCCGTCACTGGAATCTCTGCCACCGGTATGAATATGCCTGGGACCAAGAAACTGGGGAGTAGCTCCGCCATTTGAGCTTGTACATCCTGGGTGTGTTTTCTCAGCGCTTCTCTCACCACCTCTGTTGATCCCCATTCCAACTGCCCCATCCCGAAAAAGGCGACTAGTATCGGGTTGTTTGTCTCGCGGGGGGTGATGACTTCGACCGCGAATGGAGTGCTTCGGGAGCCTGTGGGTAGAGACTCGTAGAGGTAATGCTCTACCTCCGTGAGCTCCACCCGCTGACCACGGATCTTTACCTGCGCATCTCTGCGACCGACATAAAGCAAGGTCCCATCAGAGTTATAGCGAACTAGGTCACCTGTTCTATACAGCCTTCCGCGTCGGCCAGAAATTCCAGCACCGCCTCGAAGCAACCACGGAGGGTCGTGGATAAAGGTGGTTGCATTGATATCGGGGCGACCAACGTATCCAGCCCCAACCAGTGGGCCTTCCAGCCATAGCTCACCCACAGCCCCGTACGGCGACAGGTGGCGACCTCTAGAAGGTTCTACAACCCAGGTTGCCATTCCTCGGCCAGCGCCAATAGTTCCCGAGGGATGGTCGCTGTCGCCATAAGTAAACGTAGTGGATATCGCACTACACTCGGCGGGACCATATATGTTTATCAAGTTGACAAATGGGCACCATTGTGTGATGTCCTGCTTGCTAACTGTCTCGCCACCTAGCAGCAGACACCGAAGCTCTGGAACGGAAGCAGGATTAATCAATCGGGCAGTAGAAGGAGTGATGGCAGCATATGTCACCCTCATGCGGCGCATGCATTCAGTTACATCACTTCTCCGTTCATCCTCTGATGGAATACAGAGACATGCCCCGGCTGCCATTGTATGAAGAAAATTAAACCAGGCTGCATCAAACGCATAGGAGGAGAAGTCAAATACACGGTCTGTTGGTTTGTACCCTAGGACCGCCTGTTGGTGATAAACAGCACTAGCCACGTTGCCATGGGTCATAAGAGCACCCTTCGGCACCCCAGTACTCCCGGATGTAAAAGCGACATACAATCCTGCGGTAGACTGAACGGGAGGCAAACCCTTCTTTGTTACCATCTGCGGCCGCAGCTGGTGTTCCAAGGCTTCCTCTGAAATGACAAGCACTGCCTTCTCTGTCAAGCGACTTGCTAGGTTCTTTGCCTCCACTGAGCTGACGATAAGCGGCGGCTGCACCTGGTCCACAATCAACCGAAGTCGTTCTTCAGGCTGGGTTATATCCATCGTAACACCCGTCGCTCCGGCCTTTACCACCCCCAGCATGGCCACGGGCATCCACATAGACTTCTCGAGACATAAGGCCACAATGGCGCCTGGTTGCACACCGGCCTCAACCAAGCGATGTGCTAATCGAGTTGAAAGGTCATCCAGCTGACCGTATGTCAGCTCTCCGTCCCAACCACAGATGGCGCTTGCATTTGGCCGTTGGTGGGCCTGCTGCAAGATCAAATCGTGCATGCATGTTTCCACTGCTCTTGGGGTCGGTGAGTTCAGATCCCAAATCCGGCGGATATCATCTTCACTGGCAGCTTCTATATCTTTGACTTCTAGATATTGCGATGCCTCTTTACAAACCTGGCGCAAAACATGTTCAAATTGGCCTGCTATGGTCTCCACCTGGACTTGTGTCACGATGTGAGCGTCGTAGCTTATGTTGATAGAGACGCCATCAGCAGTCAGCTGGCATTCCAGCAGCAGGGCGTATGAGTTGAAATTGTTAATAGATCCAGGAGTGTAATCATTACTCTGCTCTTCGAAAATCCAGTCATCATGTTCGGCCTTCGCCGGTTGGGGCGCAGGCTGGACCACAAGAAACGTTTGGAAGGCGCATCCTTGCTCTGTCTCGGGACTTAGGCGCCGAATTCGTTGAAGCCCTGCCTGCTCAAAGGGAATCATGTCCACCGATTGTTTCTGGATTTGTTCAAGAAGATTCGCAACGGTTGCCTTCTCCTGAATCTCGACCCGTATCGGCACCGTGGCGATTGTCGGACCTTCCACTAGTTCTACCTTCGGAATTGACGCTTGTCGACCTGTGACCGTCGATCCGAAGATGACATCAGACGATTGGGTGTAGTGCGAGACCAGAACTGACCATGCAGCGCGAATAGCTGTTGAAGGTGTTGTGTTGTCCTGTAACCACTGCAAGTTCGTGATCTCATGGTGCATGACCTCTTGAGCCTGGGGTTGGTAATGGGGCGAAGGTAGAACTGGGAATTGCACTGCCAATAGCCCGTCAAATTCATTTTTCCAGTATTCATCCGTCTCCGCTCCCAACTCAGTAATATGTTTCACGAATCCCGCGAATGAGCCCAGGCCCTCAGTTTTGACTCCAAAGTAGGCTTTTTCGACCTCCTTCAAAAGTAGGGGCATTGACCACCCATCGTATAGCGCATGGTGTAGCGTCCATACCGAATAAATTCGATCGTCAACACGGTCGTGGACCAAAGCAAACCTTGCTAGGGCCGTTCCGAGCCCAACGGGGTTTTGCTCATCAAGCCGAAGAAATGCAGCCAGGCTAGTACTCTCCTGCCATTCCGGGATTTGCTTGGTAACAACCTGCACCAGCCCCTGCTCATGGAGGTCAATTACCCGCGTTCGTAAGATAGCAGTAGACGTTGCCACATAGTTGCAAGCGTTTCGAAATCTTTGGACGTCTATCTGGTCGTGCAGTCGCAGCACTTGCCTGATTACATACGCTCCAGGCCTTTTCACAGTAAGCGACAACAGGCCCTCTTGCAGAGGGGTACATGGAAGTACGTCCTCTATAGAGGATACCTCGAGGTCACACTGAGCAGCTGCCTGCTTCAGCGCTTGATCCGAATCTATCTGTAATTTGAGTAGTGATAAAGGCTGGATCACTTGCTCGGAAACGGACTCGACCTTCAATGTTTGTGCCATATCACATAATGTTGGCGATTTGAAAATGGTGGCAACTGTTAGCATGAGACCGTGGTCCGCTGCAAGTTGAGCCAGGCGAATTGCCCCAATTGAATCGCCTCCGATCCTCAAGAAACTGTCATCTGCTGATATACTGCTTGTTTCTCTCTCAAGAACAGTAGCCCACAGCTTCTGCAGGCGCTGTTCAGACGCAGTTGCAGGTGCCCTTGCCTTGCGCCTCGATGGTTGCAGCTCGGCTAGTTGCTCCAAGGTAAGAGAAGATCCAATCTGCTGGATCCTGCGCCGATCTGTTTTCGCAGTAGCAGTGAGTGGTATTTCTGCGACTGGGACATACATGCTGGGAACCATATAGCTTGGGAGATGCTGCTTCAGGCTTTCTTCCACGCCTTTGGTACATAATGCCAATGCCTCACGGATTGATTCCGCTGATCCACTTGCCTGCTCCCCTAGTGAAATAAAAGCCACGAGTATGGGGTTATTCCTTCCCTTGGGGTAGATCACTTCTACTACCAAATCTTGTGTGGCATTAGCTGATAATGCCCGGCGGGCGTGATACTCGACGTCTCCGAGCTCCACGCGTTGCCCGCGGATTTTCACCTGGTTGTCCTTCCGGTTGATGTAAACCAAAGCACCATCCTCACGATATTGAACCAAATCCCCCGTTTTATAAAGGTAGCCGCGGCGGCCTGGATGCCGTGAGGTTCCATGTACTAGCCACGCGGGATCCTCTGCTCGCGAGGCAGATGTTTTCTCAGGGTCTCGCAGATATCCCGGGCCCACAAGAGGGCCTTCTAACCATAATTCACCAATGGCCCCAATAGGCACAAGGCTTTTGCTTCGCAACGGCTCGACAACCCACGCCGTCAGTCCCACTGTATGTCCCAGGGTTCTTGGATGCTCGTTTCGATGTTTGAAGTCATTGAAGGTTGCAATTATGGTGCATTCCGCGGGGCCGTACGCACCCTTGAGATTGATATGCTTCCAGATGTCCATATCCTCTGCTCCAAGAGCCTCCCCACCTAGAACAAGGGTCTCTAGGCTAGGAACCGTGGTAGGATCGATTGTTCTAGCCATCGAGGAAGTGAAAAGCGCGTAATTAACCCTCATTTGCTCCATGCACTCCGCCACCCGATTCGTCCTCTGCTCATCAGAAGGGATGCACATACAACCACCAACGACAAGAGGGTACACAAAGTTAAACCAAGCCGCATCGAAAGCATATGAAGCAAAGTCAAAGACACGGGACGAAGTAGTAATTCCGCAGGCATCAGCATGATGGGTGATTGCGGAGCACATGTTTTCATGTGAAATTATAGCGCCCTTTGGGGTTCCCGTGCTACCTGAAGTAAATGCAACGAAGAGTGTATCGGTGGGATCGCTAGGTGGAAACCCATATTTGTCCGAAATATGAGCAGCCGGCAGGGAATCCAAGGTGACAGTTACCACCATACCCAAAAGCGACTGTGCCAAGTCTCTTTGCCTCGGAGAAGTCAAAATAAGGGCTGGCTGGGTTTTCGCTATAATGAGCTGTAGACGCTCTTTCGGCTGCTCGGGGTCCATTCCTACTACCGCACAACCGGCTTTCATCACGGCAAGCATCGCCACTGGGACCCACATGGATTTCTCAAAGCACAAAGGTATAATTGAACGTGGGGCGATCCCCAGTCCCAGGAGTTGTTGCGCAAGTCGAGATGAGAGTCGATCAAGGTCGCGGTATGTAAGTTCTCCGTCCCACGAGCAGACAGCAGGGGCTTCTGGCTGCTGCTGGATGCGAGCGACAATCAAGTCTGTGACAGAACTTGACACTCTCTTCGGCACTTGCCTATTCCAGTTCCAGATGGCATCAATGTCCTGTGAGCTTGCGATCTGCAGATTGTCCACACTGGCAGATGGCTTATTAATGATGACCCGGAGAGCCTCGAGGAAAGAACCGGCGACGCTGGCAGCTTGAGTCTCCGACAGAAGCTTGTGGGAGTAGTTGATGGATACCTGCGCGTCATCCTCGCGCAGAAAGACTGACGTGGCCATATCGTACTCATTGGGATCATCCCAGGTCTCCTCATCAAAAGATATCCCACTGGGATCTTGCTGTTGACTGAGGCCGCCACTCTGCACCGACAGGGCAGTGTTGAAAAAAGATTCCGCATCGGCATTTAGATAGTGCCGCACCTCGGCTAGCGGAAAGTGTTGGTATTCAAGCCCTTCAAGGTATTCTGCCTGATTGGCTTGCATAATGCTGAGCAGGGAGCGGTCACTAGTGATCTTTGCATGGCTCACGAGAATGTTGATAAAGGGCCCCACCACGCCGTCCGCTCTGTCCACAGGGACATCGCGACCGGAGCTCAAATATGCGAAGCAAACAGATTCGTTACTTGTGTAGCAGCGAAGAACAAGGCCCCATGCGAGATGCAGGACATTAGACGGTGTCAGCCCATGGATTCGGCAGAAGCTGCGTAGTGAGTCGTATATCTCCTGCGTAACTGGCAAAGAGGCTATGCCTCTCGCATTGGGCTCCGCCTGATTCTGGTTGAGAACCGGGAAAATGCAGGGTTCGGCGCCCACTACACGCCGTTTCCAATATTCCCTTGCCTCTGATGACGAGGAACTTTGAATATGTTGAATATAGTTACTATACACCGGGGCAGGCTCAGAGGGCAGGGTTCCGTCATAGGCAGCGCGGAGATCCTGCTTGATGATGCCGATAGATATAGCATCTATGATCGCATGGTTTATATCGAGCTGGCAATATACGCTACCCTCCGAGGTAGGACAGAGAAGGAGCGAGTGCAAACTTCTGTCACGATCTCCAACAGACTTTTGGTACCCTGCAACGGCTGCCATACCTTCTTTTGGATGGTGCGGTGGTAAAATGTGAATAGGAGGCGAAACTTCTTTCAACACAATCTGGTCACTATATCCATCAGAGACCACACTTTGGGTGAATATTGTTCTCAATGCTCCATGGCGTGCGACAACCTGACACCAGGAGCGGGCAAGCCGCTGAGCATCAACAGCAGACTGTGGATCAACAGACTGCACACACCAGCGCACACGGGTCTGATAAAGATCAGGATTCTTGGCTTGACTCAAAAAGATCCCTTGCTGGACAGGGGAGCAGGGATAGATGTCTTCTATCTCTCCAAAAGAAATGCCCAGATCTGGGAGGGACTCAACCTTCCGCCTGGTCGCTTCAGTCTGAGGTAGTAAGGGAAAGTCCGACACGGTATAACGAGGTTGAAGCAGGATCAACTCCTTTGCTACTACCTCTAGTGAGCGCTGACATTCCGTGATCCATTCACGTATAGCAGGTTGCTTCTGCATATGACGATTATACTGGAAGTCAAATCGCAAACAGCCATGGGTCACCTCCGCCGCCACATCAACCAGGGCGAATCGGTGCATATGTCCAGCGACATCGGGAACTCTACCGGCAAGGGTCTCGCATGGTTGAAATAGTGCATCCGCTTTCTCCAACTGCTGGTAAAGGCCGAAATAGTTGAACACAATTTCGTGGCAATGTGACACTCCAAATGACTTCTTACCAGCTGCATTCAGGTACCGCGACGTAAAGTACGGCCACCCGTTCCCTGGGGTTCGGCGACGACCATCCTTAGTGCGAACAACAACTTCAGCAATACTGAGGTTAGTGCTGGCCGTGACAGCCGTTGGAGCAATAGTCGTAAACCAGCCGACTGTTCTTGATAGGTCCAAGGCATGGTCCCACGGCTCTCGCCCGTGTCCCTCGGTGAAAATAGTAGGAATGGTCCGATCGTCGAATACCTGCATAAAGGAGTGCAATAATGCCGCCTGGAACAACTCGACTGGTTGCGTTTGGAAAGCAAGGTTTGCAGCTCCAAGGAGTAAATCAGTAGTTGACTTGGATATGGCGAAGCCTTGTTCAACTATATTGTCATAGCTATTTTGAGCTTGATCAAGTCCCCAGTAATCGATACATGGGGGATCAATATCGAATGGCAGAGCGATATTTGGGGCGAGATTTTCGCTGGCGTAGCTAGCCTGTAATTGACACCAAGTCTGAAAAGGGAGAGATGCGCAGCTGGGTAAGGAAGAAACACTGCTCTTCGTGAGCATTTGTTCGATATCATGCAATATGATACGCCATGAGACCAAGTCAATGACAAGATGGTGGGCGACAAGAAACAGGTACTGCATGTCACCTGTGTCAATGAGATTAGCCGCGAAAACAGGACCATTTTGAATATCCAACGACTGCTGGCTTATATTAAGCGCCGGAATGGCATCGTCCAATGACGAAACCCGAGCTTGGTGGTAGTTATACGATTTGCCAGTGCTAGGCGTGACACGCTGGACCCATCTCCCGTTCGGTTCCTGATGAAAGCGAGCACGTAGCATAGAATGACATGTGACAACAGATTCAACCGCATGAAGCACATCATCCGAGTTTTGGGACCTTGAAATGCGCAGGAAAAAGCTCTGGTTGAAATGCCCATATGTTGATGGTTGGCTGTCAAAAAACAACTGTTGAATAGGGGAAAGAGCGAACGTTGTATCGAGCTGCTCGCTAGCCTTTACTTCAAGGGCTTGCTCTGTTTGACTACAGTGCGCCAAACGTCCAATAGTTTTCGATTTGAAGATGTCGTTCACCGTGATGCGAAACCCGAGCTGTCGTGACTTAGCTGACACTTGCATGGCCGATATCGAATCCCCCCCAAGAGAGAAAAAGCCATCGTCGACCCCAATATGACAGACGTCAATGTTCAAAACGTCTGCCCACAAGTCCCGAAGTCGACGCTCTAACTCTGTCTGCGGGAGTCGCTTCTCACGGCGGGATTGAAGCTCAAGTAACTCTTCAAGTCTCATAGATGATCCCAACTGACGCAGACGCTTTCGATCAGTTTTCCCCGTGGTAGATATTGGGATATCTTTGACAGGGATGTATAGATTTGGCACCATGTAGCTTGGCAGGAGCTCACCCAAGGTTTCCACAACCCCGTGGGTATAACGAGAAAGCTCTGCACGAACACTTTCTGGAGCTTGTGTCGCAGCTTCTCCTAACGCAATGTAGACGACAAGGGTCGGACTTGAACTCCCACGTAAAGTTACCATGTCGGCAATCACGGTATTTGCAGTTCCACCTGGAATAGTCTGCCTAAGATAGGATTCCACTTCCTCAAGCTCCACCCGCTGTCCGCGGATTTTTACCTGCGTATCCTTGCGGCCAACATAGGCTAGCGAGCCATTTGGGTTATAACGCACGAGATCACCGGTCTTGTACAACCGACCCTGGCGCGCCTTTTCCGGGCAAGACGGGCCCCCACGTAACAGCCAGGGAGGATCCCGTACAAAGCTCTCAGCGGTATGGTCCGGATCATTCAGATAACCCCCTCCCACCAGAGGTCCCTCTACCCACAGCTCCCCAATCGCGCCGAGAGGAGCAAGACAGGTACCGTGTACGGGTTCAACAATCCAAGGCCTAAGCCCTACTGCAAAGCCAACAGTATTCGGCTGGTCACCGGAGCCCTCGTATGTATGGATGGTTGACAAGCCGGTGCATTCAGCTGGGCCGTATCCATTCTTGAGGGTTACATTAGGCGCCCATTTTCGGAGGTCTTCACCGGTCACCGCTTCACCCACGAGTATCAGTGTTTTAAGGCCGGGAAGGGTCTTTGGGTCAAGGGTACGAGCTGTTGAAGGCGTGAGTAGCATGTAATTAGCTTCTAGTTGATCCATGGAGCCAGGTATATCATCCTTCCTCTGTGCATCAGAGGGAATACATAGGCAGCCACCAGCAGTGAAAGCATGAAAAAAGTTCAACCATGCAACATCGAATGCGTACGACGTAAAGTCATACAGTCGACTATGCAAATCGGTGCCCATGATTTCATTTTGGTAGTCGATTGCACTGCGTACATTCTCGTGAGTCATGATGGCGCCTTTCGGTGTGCCTGTACTGCCGGAAGTGAATGCAATGTACAGCCCGCTGGCCGGGTTGATGGATGGCATGGTGAAGTTATTAGGAATCGATGGTGCCATTCCCTTGAGAGCTTCAGCATCCACTATTATGACTTGTGTCGCCAGACGAGCTGCGAGTGATTTATACATGGGTGAAGTTAGAATTAAGGGCGGTTTCGTTTGCTGCATAATTAACTGCAATCGCTCTTGGGGCTGGCTAGGATCCACTGTGACAGACATGCCCCCCGTCTTGATGGCTGCTAGCATTGCCACTGGGGTCCACATCGACTTTTCGAAGCAAATTGGGATAACAGCGCCAGGGCCAGCTCCAGCTCCAAGAGAAAGAATGAACCGAGCAAGATTGGTTGAATGGAGTCCCAGTTCTTCATAGGTCAATTGACCATTCCAAGCACACACAGCTGGTCTATCTGGCTGTTCCTGAACACGCTGCGCGATCAAGTCATGTACACAGCCCTCAATAACTGGAGGCACCTTTTTGTTCCAGCGCCATATCTGGGCTAAGTCTTCCGGGCTCGCAGCGTCGACCGCCTTGATCAAATTCTCTGCGGCATTTTCCCTGCTTATCTGGCGCAGGACTTCTTCAAACTGGCGGGCCATTCTATCCGCCTGGTGTACCTCAATGACTTGGGAGTCGAAGCTCATCCGTAAAAGCATTCCGTTAGGCTCAAGGTGACATTCTACCACAAGCGCATAAGTGTTGATGCTCGCCAACTCATTTTCCCCATCGTACGGATCTTCAGGAAATAAACGCTCATCGAGTAGGCGAGATGTTTTGCGAGCTGCCGGTTGAACCACCAACAATGTCTGAAACTGCGTCGCGTGGTCGGCGTCTGAATTGATATGACGAATTCTCTTCAGCCCGGTCTGCTCGTAGGAAATCATATCAACTGCCTGCTTTTGTAGATTCTGTAGCAAGGTCGCCACGCCAAGTTCTCCGTCCACGCTCACTCTAATTGGCACTGTGGCAATAGTCGGGCCCGCAATTCTCTCGATGTATGGCACGGGCGCCTGTCGGCCCGTTAATGTTGCTCCAAAGATTACATCACTTGAGTGCGTGTAGCGAGACGTTAAAATTGCCCACGCGGCGCGCACGACAGTGGAGGCGGTAATATTGTTACCAGGCCAGTCAATGTTTAATACCTGATGCTCCAATTGATTATGGGCCTGGGGCTGGTACCCCGGGGAAGGCAGCGACGGAAAAATGGGGGCTTCAATTCCATCCAGCTGGGAGCGCCAATACTCCTCCGCACCCTCACCGGAATCTGTCAGGTATTTCACGAAGCTGTTGAACGGGGCTAACGTCTCGCAATCGCCATGCCAGTATTCGCTTTCAACTTGTTCCAGAAGAAGCGGCATGGACCAACCGTCGTATAGGGCGTGATGAATCGTCCAGATGAAGGAGACCTTTTGGTATTCGTCTTTCACCAGCCCAAACCGTGTTAAATGTGTGTTCAATCCCATGTATGATTCTTTTTCCGACTGAACGAAGCTAATCAAGTCCTCGTCGCTCTCACGCCACTCTGGCTCCTCGACAAGAACGACCTGCAATAGTCCTAAAGTTGGGACCTCTACAATCCTCGTTCTAAGAACAGATGCTGTTTGAACGACCTTCGACCAGGCATGGCGAAAACGTGCTAGATCCACATCTGATGGTAACTCCATTGTCAAACAACGGATGTAGTCTCCCGGTCGTTTGCCGGTCAGGGCCAAGAGGCCTTCTTGCAGGGGACTGCAAGGGAGCAAGTCTGCAATCGACTCCGCAGGGACGCCACACTCCGCCGCAGCCAGGGCGCATGCATTGGAAGGAGCACTGTCAAATTTCGGTAGCAGGCTAAATGGGGGTATATCAACGTGCTTGGGCTGCTCTAGCCGAGCCACTTCCGCCAAGTCACAGAGACGTGGGAGGTTGAAAACGTCCGCCACGGTTAGGACAACCGCTTCTTTTCGAGCGAGCTGCACGAGCCTAATCGCGGCCACAGAATCTCCCCCGATCTGGAGGAAACTATCGCCCACTGCAATGCTTTCAGCGTCGATACCGAGTGACAATGCCCAGAGTTGTTGAAGGCGCCACTCCATTTCTGTCCGAGGCGCGCACCTCTCTCCTTGGGAGGGCTGCATTTCCACTAGTTGCTGCATAGTCATCGACGATGAAGTTTCTCGGAGGCGCCGCCGGTCTGTTTTCCCCGTGCCTGTCATGGGGATCTCAGGGACTGGGATGTAGAGGCTCGGTACCATATATTGAGGTAATTGCTGCGCCAATGTCTCCGAAACCCCATTTGTGTAGCGATGAAGCTCATTCCGCACCCGGTCCATGTCCTGCTTGAATTCTGGACCGAGAGCTAGGTAGGCCACTAAGATCGCACTCTTACCACCGCTGGGCGTAATCACTTCAGCCACAACCGGGATCGTAGGATCAGGCAGAGCCTGCTTCAAATGCCATTCCACCTCAGCCAGCTCCACTCGCTGTCCCCGGACTTTCACTTGATCGTCCTTTCTAGCGACGTAAACTAAGCGGCCTTCCTTGTTGTAGCGTACGAGATCGCCGGTCTTGTATAAACGGCCTCGTCGCCCCGGATAGTCCGGCGCTCCTTGTGCCAACCACAACGGGGTTTCCACATACGAAGCAATGGTCTTCTCGGAGTCGCCTAAATATCCTTGTCCAACCAGCGGGCCCTCAAGCCAAAGCTCACCGGTGCCACCGGGTGGAACAAGGCTTTCCCCACTCACATCAACTACCCATGTATTGCAAGCAACACCCGTGCCCATACTGCCGTCCCAGGACCCGTCAGGAGAGATTTTTTGAAAGGTAACAGCCACAGTGCACTCGGCCGGACCGTAGGAGTTAATCAAAGTGCAATGTGGTGTCCACTGGTCCACATCAGCCTGACTCATTGGCTCTCCGATCAACAATATCAATCGCAGGGACGGCACGTCATTCGGATCAATTAATCGTGCAACACTCGGGGTTAGTTGCACATGATTTACCCGAAGCCTACGCATAGCCGCCGCGATGTCCCCACGGCGTTCACTTTCTCGTGGGATACAAAGACATGCGCCAGCGGCAAATGTGTGGATAATATTACCCCAGGCGAGATCAAATGCATATGAAGCGAAATCGAAAACTCGGGCAGTGTTACTGAGACCTAATGCTTCATGCTGGTAGGTAATGGCGCTGCTGAAATTGATGTGATTGATGATGGCCCCTTTCGGAGTCCCCGTGCTGCCAGAGGTGAAAACAACGTACAGCGTGCTCGCTGGGTCAACTGAGGGCAGTTTGCTGCATCCTAAAGGAGGCAACGATTGAATGAGACTGTGGTCCAGAGTTATAACGGTACTAGCCCCGAGGCGCGTAGCAACGTCGCGCTGAGCCGGCGAGCACATAACCCAGGCCGACCGCAGCTGCTGCACAATTGTCCGGAGCCGGTCTTCAGGTTGCGTAGGATCCATAGTGGAGATCACAGCCCCCGATTTCATCACGCCCAGAATTGCGACCATCATCCAGACCGATTTTTCGAAACACAAGGGGACAAAGTGAGTTGGACTGACGCCGAGTTGGAGCAAATAATGAGCCAGACGTGAGGAAAGCTTATCAAGCTGCTCATAGTCCAGTTCTCCATCCCATGCACAAACCGCCGGGGCATTAGGCGTCTCTCGGGCCCGCTCGCTGATTAGATCGTGCACACATCTCTCCACCGGAGCTGCCGCTTGACTATTCCACCCCCAGATAGTTCCAAGGTCGTCCTCAGAGATGGGCATATCGCTCATGTCCCCGGTAACTGTCGGTTGGGGTGTGCGCGCCTCCAAGCGCTCGGCGAGTTGCAAAGCAAGCTTTCGCGCAGACTCAACGACGGGGAAGATTTTCATGTCTATGCCTGCCGGGTGGACCCAGCCGTGGATCTCCAACTCATGTACAGTCTTCGTGGTGTCGAACTTAACCCGGCTTCCCTTATCACCCATGAAGTATAGCACCAGCAGGGTACTAGCTTCCGGGTCGCCAGACACCTGCATGGAAGCCACGAGCGCAAGATTGGCCTCCTGGCACTTCCACGCCAAATCCTGGGCCTCCTTATCCTGTGTTATCTGTACCACATCCGTCGCATCCCCTTGGACGTTGAGTTCCATGGTGAATGTAGTGTTCCCACCCGGTGCTGCGTGACCTATCTTGATGCTTGCCGGGTTGTCGTTGAACCACTCCAAGACCTGGAGAGCCCAAATCCGTATAGCAGCCAACGATAGCTCGACGGGATCCTGGCATTGGCTGCCGGTGATCCGGTGCTGGGCTTCCACCGCTTCGATGGCCATGTTCGTAGCTCCTATAACTTAGCTTTTGCAGATCAAAACTAGAATCTCACCTTGCTTGTCTTGTTCAGCGGTTAGCCACACGCGCCTGCGTAGCCCAACCCATTTCTCATGCCTGGCAAAACTTACAAATTGATATGGCACTGTCAATCGGCCAGACTTGATCTGATCAAGCACTGGAAGTTCTTTGGTGGTCAACAACGTAATATCCCTGATATAGTGATGAAGGCCAAACACAAAAATCAGGAGTGTCTCGCACGAACTTCGCGGGTCGTCTCCGATTGCAAAATCATGGCTACCTGCGGATCTAGCCAGATCACACTGCCGCCCTACCTTCGACATGCCATAATAAAACCCTTACATTACTCATTGCCGGTTGCTCTCCTGACTGACTGGTGATCTGGATCCAGCCACCGCGCTCCTTACATGCATCACAAATACCACAATCAGCGGGGAATGAGCGTCACCCACAGCCAACCCACTATATTGATAGCTCTGGTGAACCGAGAGTTCGGCCCCGAGGTCAGCCTTTCTCGCGAAGAGAAAGTCTGACGAGCATCTGTCCCAAATTGCTGAGTGCACTTCCGGCAGACAACAAGGTAATTTTGACATAACTAGCCGACCAGCAACATTGACAGGCAAGTGGCTCAGTCGGACTCATGTTCCTTTCTCCGCCGGATGACTCTGCTACAGGATATTTGTACGTTTGTGATGAGAATGCATGAACATTCATGATTATATCTGTCATTCCGAGGGCTCATCGCGCGGTGCACATTCAAGTCGGTGACTATTTTCAGGGGAGTGGTTTCCTTGTTTGTCTTTTGTTAGTTTGTCTTTTTTTTTTTTTTTTTCTCTCATTCTTGCTACTGTACATGTTCCAGAGTTATATAATCAGATATGCAGGCAAGTCAAGCAAGGCAGGTGCGAATGTAGGTACTCTGTATGTCCTAATTTCTAGTTTCAACACACCGGCACAAGGGATAAGTCGAGCTAGTAAGAATAGCACCACTAGTCACAGATCCGCTAGCTCTATTAACCAAAATCAGATCCTTCCTGACATGATCGTATTCGCAATTTGAGCCCTTGCAGGCAACCCCAGTGCTGGCTAATTCTCGTGACTGGCCCCTTACCATCGGACCTACGTGTTTTGCAAGCAGAATTTAACTGTGCGAGCAGGCAAACAAGTTTTGCAGCTTGCTCAGCATGCTACGCGCGCTAGGGGTGATGGTTTTTAGTTAGCATGGAAGGATCACATGAGTCTTACAATTTTTATTATTTTAATTTTCAAATACATTCTTTTCTCTTACTCTTAGAGTGGCATTTGGTGTGGTTCAGTGCGGGTTCAGGGCGGGTAGGAACCAACTCGTTGCGGATTTGGTGCCTAGCTCTAGGGACCGAACTGACACGCGGTTTCTTGCGGTTTGGTGCGGTTTTTATGCCTAAAACTGAAAATATGCAGATTTCTACTAAAATAGGCTGGTTAGGGCTAGCTAGGCCTAAAATATAGGCCTAAAGGGGACTGGTCTACCCGCAGGACCCACTGACTACGCTGGTTTATAAGCTTGTTTTTATAACAATATACGCGGCGTTACTCTGCCTTGCTTGGGTCCAACCATTTTCTTCATTCTAATATATACTTACACACTCTTGAAGAGGGTTACACTTTCCTCTACTCTTATGGGTCAAGTCCTCTCACTGCCTGTAGATAGTTCTATTATTATATTTTAATACTTTTCTACTCTCCTGACTACTCTTGAATATCTTACTATTACTCTTAAGTAGAGTGGCGTAACTGCACCACAAAATCCACACTAAACTGCACTAAACCTGTAGCAGTGCGGGGTTAGTAACAGGGAGATAGAATCTATAACAAGTTCAGTACCAGGGGTTAGAATCTACAGCAGATTTAAATTCCTGAAATAAACTTAAACTAGGATTAGCTTAATCAAACTCTTTTAGCTTAGAAATTTAGATAGTATTTAATATATTATATAAGAATCTCATGGATTTTATATATATCTAATAATATATAGGAATTTATAAAAAAAAATAGAGAAGTTTATATAAAACATGAATAGTAGCTTGAATTCTAACATGAATATATATATCTTCATGCAGGTATTCTAGAAGTGGTATTTTTATAATTTTTACTTACATTTGCAGTGAAGATATGTGCTAACATGTAGTAATGGCATGACAGTGTCACCTAACCAAGTGCCTTTCAATTCCCAAAGGTTTATTGGCACGCAAGCGGGGGGTCAGCCTCCCTTTCTGGTTGTATGTCATTCTGGTTTGTGGCCTAGACATTCCACAGCCCCTAGTTACTGTGCTCTTGATATGTAGACAAATGCACACATACTTCCCCCCCACCCCCATTTACTCCTACCCAGCTGATCCTAGTACGCCACCGAGACAGCGTGGGCAAAGTATATAGTACGAGCTCCAGGGTGCGTGCCAACCTCTGTTCCCGCGTTTCCTTGAAGCATTACTCGCATTCTTGCTCATTTAACTGTTCTGCTTCTATCTCATTAGCCTCCAAGATCGTCCCATCTCAACCGGTTTGATTCTACCGGACTTCCTATTCGCTGGTTTATCACGTCTTGAGCTAATATGGGATCCTGGACGAGCGACCCGGCTCCTCCCATGGCGGAGGTCTTTAATTCGGCAGTTGCTGCCGTGGCGATCGGAGCGGCCTGGGAGGTCGGCTTGCTCGACGCCGTCAAAGACCAAAAGAAAGTGGACGTATTCCAGTTTGCCGCGGAAAACGATCTGGATCGCCCCTCGGTGCAAGGGCTAGTGGCCGCGTTGGCAGTAGTCCAAGTGGTCGCCCTGGAGCAGAACACCGTCGTGGCGGGCAGGCAGCTGGAGGAGGCCTACCGGACCAAGTCGTTGTTCCACTGGCTCTGTCTTGGTTCTGGCGGGCTCTTCTCTCGTATGCAGTACGTGCTGCGCAACGAACATCGAACGGGCGACTTCCACCGACGAGATCCCGCGGCTATTGCGCACGCCTGCCATGATATCAACAAGCAATACTTTGACCCGGCCTTTTGGGCAGCCATGGACGGGCTCGATTACCCGGTCCAGTCCGTCGTGGATCTGGGATGCGGCAGCGGACAGCGACTCATGCAGATACTCGACCGACACCCCCAGGCAAGTGCCATTGGCATCGACGTAGCAGGTCCGGCCATTCAGGTGGCTGCCCGCGACGCAGTGGCTCGGGGGTTCGGCAATAGACTCGTCTTCCGGGAAGGCGACGCGCGCGAGGTCAGCTACCGAGACGAGTTTGAGCACGTCGATCTCCTGACGTGCTTCATGATGGGACACGACTTTTGGCCTCGGGATAAATGCATCGCCACCTTGCAGCGCTTGCGCCGAGTGTTTCCTGCAGCCCGCCGCTTGCTACTGGGCGATGCGACAAGGATCTTGCTGGACACTCCCGGGGGTCAGCAAGCCGTCAGAAATGGCACCGTGCCTATCTTCACTCTCGGGTTCGAAGTCGGCCATGCGATGATGGGAGTCTATTTGCCGACTATCGATGAATGGGAGGGGGTTTTCGCTGAGGGTGGGTGGCGTTGCGTCAAGAAGCACCTCATTGAGTCGTTGTCGCTGTCGGTGGTGTTTGAACTTGAGCATGCCTAGCTAGCTAGATAGTGTTGGGTATATCAGTCAGGTTAAGCCCTATACCAAACGTTGGATCAACGTTTTGGTGGTCTTGAGAGATAGCTTAGTCCTCTACCACACCATATCAGTTACAATGAAGCCAGAATCTCCGGCTGCGAAAGTCATCCCCTCGTAATGTGTGCTTGGTTTCTATCATCCAGTTCTCACGTGACCGTAGTAAGGTATACTGGCCTATTTTAGATAAGTTCTTAGAAGGCTATGCATAAATCCCTTGACTGATAAGTCCTCAATTTTTTCTTTTTTTTTCCATTGATTTTCATCCAGTCCATCGTAATGCGAGTCAATGGCCATAGTCCTCGTCATCGCCTCGCCTCGGGACGTAACCGTCGTCTCGGGCCTGTTGCACTCTAGCTTTTCGCTTCTCCACGATCCAATGTTGAAGAGTGTGGTAAAGGTTACCACTCCGCTACAAAATACATCTAGACTCCTATGAGCTCCATGGGTACCCTTCATTGGCTTCGTTGGGCCTCGCCGTGTTGGGACAAGTTCCACCTAGTTGTCCATGAATCATGGACTCTTCAGTTGCATCAACGACATCTATCGAATACGGACCACCCCAAGTCAAGTCTATGTCTACCAATAATCTATATATTTGCGCCGTGGTCCGGTTCAGCATTGCTCAATACTATAGTGGCAGAGGCGACTGATTCCAGTACTCTACAGCCCGGCCTACGATGATATCAAAGACAGAAGATTCGGGTGATCCTTTGGATCAAGACTTCGCAGAAGTGGTGAAACAAACGCTCGACAGATGGCACATCCCAGGGATGTCGGTTGCAGTAGTTGACGGGCCCGACACTTGGACTAAGGTATGCCCCATGGCAATAGGTCTTGTATACTCAACTGTCTGATCGCTCCCTCCGCAGGGGTACGGTTTGGCCCAATTGCCCAACACCAATGTCACTCCTGACACGCTATTCTATACTGGAAGCACAACCAAAGCTTTTACGGCTGCGGTGCTCTCACTTTTGGTGGATGACAACAAGAATTATCCCCAAGTGCAGTGGAACACACCAGTGAATCAGTTGCTTCGCGATGACTTCGTGCTGAGCCACGAATGGGACACCAACAACATCACCATAGAGGATATCCTGTCTCACCGGACCGGCATGCCCCGCCACGAGTTCGCGTTTGGTGGAGATTATGACGGGCATCCAGCCTCACTTCGAGACATCGTGAGGAGCGTGCGCTACATGCAGCGCAGCGCCCCTCCAAGGACCACTTATCAGTACTCTAATCTAATGTTCATCGTGGCGTCCTACCTCATTGAGACTCTCACCGGCAAATGGATCGGCGATGTCTTCCGTGAGAAGATATGGAGGCCTCTCGGAATGGACTCAACATATCTCTCTCTGGAGGATGCACGGGCATCCGGGAAAGAGCTTGCCCAGGGATATTTGTATAATAGTTCCCTTCCTGGGTACGAGCCGGTGCCGCTCAAGAACAAACCGGAAGTGTCTGGCGCTGGGGCGGCTATAAGCAATATCAAGGACTACGCGAAATGGGCCACTGCGTTGCTGAAACGGGCCCCGGACGTCCTCTCGCCTGCTGGCTACTCGGCCATCTGGTCGGCAAGAACAGTGACACCGACCCATGACCCTTTCATCACACCCTCAGCCTACGCTCTAGCCTGGAACACACAGGTCTACCAAGGGGTGGAAATCGTGTGGCATGACGGTGGCATCGACGGATTCGGGACTGAGATCGCACTCATTCCCTCGCTGGGATTCGCCGTCGTCACGCAGGCCAATACCACCTATTCGTCCAACTATGCGGGGACTGCATTGGTATATCATCTCATTGATAAAAAGTTGGACGTAGCTCCGGACAAGAGATTCGATTGGAATAAATGGTACGCTATCTACCAACAGTAACAGATGGGAGGCTTTGTACTGATGGACTTGTGATCAGGTACGAGGACTTGGAGCGCCAGATGAAAGAGGCCGTCAAAAACGCCCGTCAGACATTCTATCCAACTGTCCCTTCGCCGGCGCCACCCCCTACATTGCCCATTGGAAAATACACGGGAAACTACTGGCACCCCGCGTACCGCCAATTGACCATCCTCTGGGATGAAGAGAGGAATCTCCTTTATGCGGATCGAAAAGATTCCACCACGCCTTGCCAGCTGACATTCATCCCCGTGAGTAGGGAATTCTTCCTTGTGAGGCTCACTGTCGTGGGAGCTGAGGCCATGCTTCCTGCGGAATTCCGCCTGGGACCGGACGGGACCCCATCTATGGTTGGCATCCTGTGGGAGCCTAGTCTGGGCGATGAGAAGATCTGGTTGAAGAAGGAGGGAGACACCCATTTCAAAGAAATGTACGGTGGCATCGTTGACTCCACTGCTGGAAAGAAACGTGTACCTGATACTATTCACCCTATTGACCTTTAAGTCAATGTTTATCACTCTCAAATTGCTATCGTTTGTTTTCATCACTGCTACCAGCGGATATCAAATCTATCACCCTAGCCTGGGGCCACAAACCCCCGGCTCGACGCTTCCAGCGCCGTGTGCACGCGCTGGAGGATGTCCTCCGCCGGCTCCAAACCCACCGAGAACCGGATCAGGGTCTCGCTTGCGTAGTTCGAGTCGTGTGGCTGCGGCCGCTGCGTCGCCGCTCCCTGGCCGGTCATCTGCATGTAGGGCGCGGCAATGCAGACGTCCGCCCCGAATGAGAGCCCCTTGTAGACGTCGAGATGGTCGAAAAAGGTGGAGGCGCCGGCGACATCGGCGAACTCCATCGAGAAGACGCCCCCATACCCGGGGCGACTCAGGGGGCCGTCGTCCGACCTGCGCGGCCGGCGCATCTGACGCTCGTAGTACACCCGCGATGGACCCTGGGACGGGTAGAGAATGCGGGTCAGCGGGCTCGCGGGGTCCGCGACGTGCCGTTCTAGCTGCGTGACGAGGTACTGCGTGGTCGCGTTGATGTGCGCCATGCGAGCAGGAAAATCTCGGCTGTTGAGCTCCAGGCGGATCGCATCGTCAACGAAGAGACTGTTCTCGTACGTGACGGCCATCTGTCTGTGCAGTGCGGCGTGGTGCCGCGAATTGGGATTGAGAATCGCGCTGGCCCGACGACGCCCCCGGTCCCCCGAGGCATGCATGCGTCAGTCTTGAACTGTAGAGAGAGAAAGAGAGAGAGAGAGAGAGAGAGAAAGCCCGGGGTGGGAGCGAACCTACCTGCCTGCCATGACGTCGGCATGTCCGCTGAAGTACTTGGACAGCGAGGAGATGACGATGTCCGCCACCCCCATCAGATCGACGTTGGCGAAACCGGCGACACTGTCGTCGGCCACGACCAGCAGGCTGTGCTGATCGGCCAGGGCACGTAGCCGGTGCAGATCGACCGTTTGCAGGATTGGATTGCTGGGACATTCGCACCAGATGGCGTGCACCGCGCGCGCATCGTATGAGCCCTGTCGCGCCAGCTGGGCGGCAAGATGATCCAGGTCAGCCTCCGTCCGGAGACTGTACGACCAGAGCCCCGGCCCTTGGGTTTGTAGAACCCTCAGGGTGGGCTCGTACAACAGGCCAACGTGGACGGCCACCCCGGTCCTCCAGGCGAGAATGGACCGGTGGACATGGTAGATTGCCGCCATCCCCGAGCCGTACAGGAAGACATCAGAGGCCGCGACCTGCTGGATCAGCTCCGGGCCATCCGCGGTATGATACGCGTAGGCCGCGATTCGCCCCCGGAGCTCGTCGTAGACGGGGTGGGAGTCGGGAAGGCTGCTGGCCCCGAGAGTTGAGCCGGCGGTCGAAGCAGCGAGCAAGGCTTCGACTCGAGGCCCGGACCCCTCCTGCCGTACCAGCCTTAAGCAATGCTGTGCCAGTCGGGATGAGATCCCTGGGCCCATCCGTTGCCAGAACGCGTGGGCATCAGACGCCGCTGCACCGGGGTAGAGGACGGCATATAGGGTGGGCCCTGCGGAGCGAGAATGATGATGTTGAGGATCCCCACACGCAGAACTACCGCCGATGCTCACCCGGTACACCTGAATCCAATGCGCGGGTATCGGCTGTCCCCTGCCCTGCGAGAGCAGGAGGATATAGTCCTTGCAGGACTGCGCCGCCCGGGCCCCAGAGAACAGTAGAAGTGAGGGATCCGGGCTATCATCGCTGTGCTCGCTCTGAATCTTGGCCAGAATGGTGGAGCCGAGCTGTTGATTCGAGAACACATGACAAAATATCAGCATCCGCATCAGCATCCGACCCCCGCTCAACCGGGAGTTTCCAACGAGAGGCAGAGTGGGACTCTTACGGAACGAATATCAGGATGCACCACGGACCTAGGATAACCGTTCTTCATCTGTTCGGCAGCTTTCCCCTGCCCAAATGCCACCATGTCAGCCCAGGTAGGGATCTGAACCAAGAGACTATGAGCACGACCGGGATAGGGATCTCCCAGACGAAGGTCCTGCGGTCCTGTCATATTGTCCTGGGCGTACAGCCTCCGAGCACTGAGCACTATCTCTGGCCTGCAACTCAGATGATGGGCGGAACGAAAGATGGGTGATTGTGTTGGCGTGGACAGGCTTCCTGTCAAAGTGATACCAAATGCGTCACCCAGCCCACTGTAAGAAGAGAGCCGTTAAAACCAGGCCGGCTCGCTATCAGCAATCATTATGCGGTCACTTCAGTGCGGTTGGTCCCCTGGAATGGCAGTTGGGAAACCCTTACTGCCGCTCGTCTCGTATGTCGCATAGGTAAACAACGCAAGGAGCTTGCTGAGAATGGATGGGCAGTGGAATGCCCCTGAGCTATGCAGCAAACCCAGCATACTGTGAGGGGTTCACCCCTGCGTGGGAAATCGAAGACGACCCTTCCTGGAGAGGGATAGTCTGGTCCTCACCTTGCAGCCGGTCGTGGCGGATTCAACAATAGCATTTTTGATCCTGAATCAGGGAGAGACAGGGCGAGAGAAAGAGAGAGAATGAAAATCGGTGGAACGATCCACAGTTGGCTGTTCCAAAACAAATCACGTTCCTACTGGCACCTGATGATTCGGAGTATACTATCCCCAACCCTCATGTACATGCCTCTGATCAGCGAAGCCCCGAACGCCATTCTCACCAGATTACGTGATCTAGATACAGAAAGCTAGTTCTATTGATGTATATCCAGCTATCGAGCCCCCAAGGTCCATTTCACGTCCTCGTCTACCTTTTTTGCCGGGCATACAGTTGAACGGGGTTCAGAATAACATTTATATTATTTTTTGATAACTCAATACGGCTCCGCGTGATGAGACGCGGGTCTAATATAAAGAAATAGAACTAGTGAGTAGTGATACAGGAGCTGCAGCGGGAACCAGGGATAATAAAGAACAAGGAACGGGGTAGAAGACAAGGAAGTATATAAAGTCATTGTAGTCACAGACCACAGTATCTTGAGAACTATAAGAGTTAGTACTATAAGTTAGTAAGGTGATTAGAATCATCCCTGCAAAAGAAGCGTGGGATTATTTTTCCATGTGTTTAATATATTTATATATCTTAGCTGTTGCAGGCAGTGCCCCATCTTTTAAAGCAGCTGCAGGTTATATGTTTTTTCAGGCGCGCTGTGCTGATCAGTTAACTAAAAGAAGCTAGTTCAAGAATATCAAGAGTTAGTATAAAAATAATACTACCTGAAATAATTATTATAATTAAATACTTTACTAAGTACTCAGGTCTTTTAATAATAAAGTTGATAATAAGTTATAAAAGAGTCCCAGTTTCTTTATAGAACTACTAGGAATATTTGTAAGAAATCTTATATAACACAGGTGATTACTTACTCTGTCTATTATATACTTATTCTAAACTCACCCCTGGTCACGCGACTAAAAGTGATCTTATCTAATTATTTACCTAGATAGCATCTACCTGCCTTTTGACCGCGTTCTTAAGCCACACGCCGGCTGGTTAGTAGTATGGTGAGTGACCACATGCGAATCCTGGCTGTTGTATGTTTCCTTTCATTTTTATGCATTTTTGGTTTGCTGGTAAGGCATACAAGATAGGAAAAGCACTTAATTGACTGTCGGGGCGCCTCAACTGTATAATATTCGACATGTATTAGCCTTTCCATCTGTATTGAATTCGCAATATCCTTATGCTTCCCTGTATGAGGCAGGCTTGGGTTTGATTTGTCCTTTTGCTTTGATTACATTGCTGTGCGACGTGAAAAGTTGGATTTGTTCAATGCTACCTAGGAAAGCGTCGGATTCTTGCCACCACCTTCCTTGACTTCCTTAGTCCGTACCGTGAGTACTGGTCCTAGCGCAGTATGGCTAGCAGGAGACGATCCACGAAAGTGAGGCGACGGACTCTCGAGTTTCCTATTCTGCATCTGTTCCGGAGTGGCCAGGTTTGCCGGCTCCGGTTTCACTCGTGGCGAGAATGGCGGCTCCCCAGCGCGTTCCTCCCGCTCGGGACCTTGCGCAGCGGATTTCGCTAAAGGAGGGCTGTGTTCAGCCGGGCCAGGCGCCTCCGCCAGGCGCCTCCGCCCGCGTCTTTTCAACCTTGCCAATGAACTTCGCGCACAGCTCTTCGAGAAACTCACGCGGAAAGCTCTCTCTATGTCTCGCGTACAGTCCCGATGTGACTCTTCGCGCCCACGTGTCGACCGCAAGCTGGCGAGGGGGTGACCCCGGGGCTGTATGTGTATAGATAAAGCTGACAGTTTCCGTACTGATAATAACATCTTTATTTCTCTTGATTTTCCTCTTACAGGTTGAAAAGGCCGCTGTTTGAAGTACAGGGATCTGGAAAGTCCCAGCAAGCACCCATATTTGGAGTAGGAAGATGGATTGGCCATATGACTCAAAGGTCAGGAGCAAAATTGCCCGTGTACATCCAACTCACGACCTCAGCAAAGACATCGGGATCCACGTCTGGAAGATGAAAAGGATCTTCTGGAACACTTGATTCGGTTCGCTCTTTATATAGAGCATCAAAATAGGGCGAGCAATCACATAGAAGTTCCAGGTGCACGTCGAAAGGAGTTTCCCTGGGGGCCCACGCTAAGGTGTGCTATCCCTGCGCTTAAGATTCTGCGAGTGCCCTGGTTAGTAGATTAACCTGCTGGGTGAGGTGTGATCATTACTCTTTTCCAAGGAGGCCAGCCATCAGATTTAGAAGTGATTTGCCGTGGTCCAGAGATTGCTGAAGAGTTCAAGTGGCTAGTCAACCTAGGCTGCGCGTAAATGAGAGGATCTTTCGCGCCTTGTTATAAAGACACACGAAAAGCGGTCAAGCTACCCACAATGCGACGGCTTTGTCCAAGCGTGTAGCAAACAGGGGGAAAAACAAAAAAGGAAGAGGGAAAAGAAAAAAAAACATACAACAGCCGGGATTCGCATGTGGTCACCCACCATACTACTAACCGGCCGGCGTGTGGCTTAAGTACGGCTGAGCGGACGGGAAGCCCTGTTCTCCACACCCTATGGTCGTATGTACTAGAATAGAGGACAGAGGTTATTATAATGTCCATTGTTCTAGTCATGGTCAGGCGTCTGCGGATGTGATGTGGCTATCGTTTCTCTGGGCAATTGCCAATCACTATGAGGTGTGATAACCTGCGGTCTGAGAATATCCCATTCATTGCAAAACCTCAGTAAGCTTTTACAATACTCAAGTCTACTCATTTCTGAGGCTGTTGACATAATAGGTGGGATGATTGGCGATAAACGCATGGCAGGCTTATCATGATAGTAACAAGTCTTAGTCGCAAGAGTCGCATGAAAGTATGTCACCTTGTAGATGGGTAAATCGGTTGCTATCGATTATCTCCAGCGCTGGATTAATCTGGATTAGGCACTGTATATTCGTTACTAGATCTCCCGCTGATTTAGTAAACCGAAATTGGCGTGTGCGTCCCCGAAGCCTGTAGATACATTGGCAACAACGCCAAGGTCAATCAATCTCTTCATGATCCTGGAACGGCCAGAACTTATCAACAGATACATAGTTCTCATCATCTTCTGCTTCCGCCAGCCAATGCTCCTTAAGCTGGCGGTTAGTCTCCACGACCCTATTGTAAGATTTGTGCCTGACCGATCCGCCCTCTCCCAGATCATCCAGGAGCGATCGCCAATGTTCAAGGAGAATTGTTGCTCTGAACCACTGATCTTCTGTGTCGTAGAACTGCTTCGTTTCCTCAGGCTCGAACTGAACTGGGCATTCGACAGTGCTCTCACCCGCTAATTGGTCCCAGCGAGCTGCCAGCCTCAATAGTGCGCCCTTCAGCGTGATGGTATTGCCACTCCACTGTCGACCAGCTCTATCGACTAGGTGTTGTCGTAGTGCTAATAGCGGATCGCGGAGCGCGTCAAGGTGGGGTTTATTATCTTTGCCGTTGAATACCATGTATAGATAGAATAACATCCTCCGACGGTGCAGCTCATCAGCTTGTGTTTGTTCCTCGGGACTCAAAGACACATAATCCTCTGGTAAACTAGGCTTTTCGAGGTTTTTCGGAGGCTCCGGGTCAGGGTTTTCGAAAAGAGGCGGGTTGCCAGCCGTGAGAAGCAGAGGAAGGATAGAAGAATGTTGCCAGTCAATGATACACGAGATTTCACCTGACTCTGTAACAGATATGTTGGAAGGATTATGATCTGGATCGAGTTAGCACATGGAAACGGGTAGAAAGGTCAGGGTAGTCAGTCACCTGGGTGACGCAGTGTGGGCTGGATCACAGGGCTACTGCGAGATTCGGGTAGAATATGGGGTACCATGGATAGATACTTCTCTAGCAGCTCCAGATATAAAGAAGAGGACAAATTCCCTTTGAGTATGATGTTATGAGGAACTTTGCTCTACTGGGGTCGTCCGAACTTGCAGGTCCATTCCTTCTCTCGTTGACCGATAAAGCGGATATAGTCCTGATGGTTGTGCCCTGGCTATTGTAAGAAGTCGAAAAACCCGTAAGCAACCGAGATCTCAAAACTCACAAGGCCCACGATCGATATTCAGAAGGGCACGACGCCCCCGCCAAAAAGTATAGTCTGCAGAGGGGCTGATACAGAATCGCATCTCATCATGGCTTTCGTAACCATTCGAATGATCATAGAGTGGCGCCCGAATATTTGGAGGTAATTTGTCCGTGTAATAGAGGCTGCCGTACGAAATAAAATTTATCGAGAAGAGCTTCTGTTCAAGTTCAACATAACTTGTCACCAGACGCACCTGTTCTTTCGAGATCCAACGGCTGTCCACGAGCTTTCCCCATGACAATGTATTCACTACCCACTGGACTATCGCTCTGTGAAGAATATGAATAAACCTGCGGCGCGGGCACACCCTTTGACCGCAAGAAATCGAGCGTCGCAACTTCGCTTTCAGTAGCATATGTTTTCGGGCCTGGGACCGCGCAAGGGATCTTTGCTATAATCTCGAATCCATCGTTCATTGTCAAGAGGCAAACTCTGTTGAAGCCACCCTCCGCGATCCTTTTGGTGCAAACAACCCTTTTCCGCGCCACGCTTCTCGCAGCTATGTATTTGAGCGCTCTGACGCTGAACACGACATGGCGTTCCGCCAAACGGATTCGTTCATTATAGAGGTAGCGTCCAAATGTATAGGAGAAGAGGTTGTGTCATGGTGCGGGGCTGCTGGAAGGAATGCTTCTTGCTGATAGGCTCCTAAGGAAGGGCATATGAGGGGGGAAAGCGCTTGTATTAATTGTGCCAGGCGAGACCGCAGGGAGTATATTGTGTCTTGTACTGTAGACCTTGGGAGACTTCACAATATTGTTGGCTAGCATTATGAAGTGTAACCTGTAATCTAATGCATTACTCTTAGTTGATATTGTCGCATCAAACATAGGGTTACTTACGAAGGCCAAAGTTGTCATGCAGTAACCCCCCTTATTATGAAGCATATCACGTGACGTTGGTTGTTGCGGTTGATCAGTCAGTGTCCGAAGACTGACCGGCAGCGGCCACACGCTGAGATGCCCTGCAGTTTTGTATACCATAAGTAAAACTTGGGGAGGGAAAGACGTCACTATAAACATCTATTTGCATCAAAAATCTATGCCAAAAACATATCCCAAATCTCCAAAGTATATACAAAGAAACCAACCATATGTTCTGGGACCCAGACTCCACGTCTAAACCTGAGTCATGGTACATCATGGGTATGCCGCGGATTTTCGACATCGCGCGACTCCAACACATAAGGAAATCAGAAAGGAAGGTAAGTAAGTAAATCTATATCTTTTCGTACGTCCCACCAATCGCTCAGAATGGGATCTCGGACATGGGTAACGATGTATATTCGTACAGAAGGTAAGTGCGGAATGGCGGATGAAGGTCGACGAAGAAGCAGAGGATATGGCCGGTAAAAAGGAATGCGACCACTGCCTGGGTGTTAGCTGGTGTCTTGCGATAGAGGGGAAAACGGATGGTAGGGCTGCATACCCCACTCGAGGATGGCTGATGGGTGCTTCGTGCTGGTGTTGAGAGACGCCCATTTGAAAGCGAGGGAAAGGAAAAGTTCGACGATGACGATGAAGAGTCGCACTGTGGTGATTTTGACTAGGACTTCGTGGTCCCAGTTGCTGTGGATGCCGACTTGGATGTAGTCTGCGCAAATGAAGATTCCGCTAAGAAGGAAGGAGGTTCTATACGTATCGTGTTAGTGGTAAGGCTTGGTATAGTTCGAAACCAACAACAATAGAAATGGATACATAGCGACAAGATCTCAAGTAAGAGGGGAGAGGGAACTCACATAAAAATGAATGACGTATTATCATGCAATGTTCGATAATGATTGTTATCAAAAACCGCCGATAGGACCAGCGCCATGCTCCCGATGATTGAAGAAAGAATGGACAGATATGTGCAGAACGGGCCCGTGTATCGTGATCTCTGAACGATCTGGTCTTTCTCCCTCGGCCATTGCTTGAGAATGATCGAGAGACTCAGAAACAGCATCGTGAGGAAACTCCCAAAGACAAACACGGGCTTCGGTTCCTGCGATCCAATATCCGATATGAACCTAGGATATTTCCTCGATTAGCTAGGTGGACGGCACTGATGTGATTGATCAGGGCAATGCATACGGAAATGTCCGCGATCCCCGCATCGTCTCATAAACCGGCTCTCCCGCCTCCAGCCAGTAGGCCAGCATGCTGATGAGCATTGCTGTACAGCATCAGTTAGTCCAACCCATCTGACACGTAGTAGGTAGTCCGCCAACAAAGTGACATACCTAGCCAAGAACATGCTGCTATGAGAGGGTAGGTCCATAACGGGACGGACCACATGGCGCCGCTACGCAGGAGAGGGCAGTTAGCATCTGTTGGTGGCCCATCTGGGGGAAGGCAGGGGGGCGACAACAGAGAGGAACTTACATATACAGGCCGACTCAGCTCTGCGTATCTACGGCTGTACGGGGTCGACTGATAAGGGGACCGCAGACAAACGAGACTTCCACGAGCTGGGACTGTCGTTGAAACAAGGTTCCAGCAAGGATAAGAGGAGACCTTCCTAGTGCGAAGGGAGAGGACGACGATCCTTTCTAATGTACCATGGCTATCAGATTTTCCTATACCGAAGGGGCTTTGAGCTGGACTTCTTGCTAACACCAGACAACCCCAGAAAAAGCCAAGGGTGTGAGTGAAGAAAGTGGTGACAACGGCAAGGAAATGGACGTGTTTGTTTTCTCCATTTCCTTGCCGAGAGAGGAGAGCCACAAAACCCCTTTTATGTGGGTCTCTCTCAGCATTCGACCGTACGAATCGGACCTGTAAAGTTTCAGTCGATGGAATATCTAGTAGTAACTGTGGGGCGTTGGAATGCAATCCAAGTCGACAGACGTTCACTTATTATTAGTTTTGGTTGTGCATGATCGGCAAGTGGTGGATAACCGCGTAATGAGTCTGATACTGGGATCCACTTAACCACTCGTTTGGTGTAATGATTTAAGGGACGCCAATACTCTCTTTCTCAACCACCAACATGTCAATGTCTTCTGCAGATACATTTAGGTTCTTGCCAGTAGTACAATCTTCATGAAGGTTACCAGGAATTGAACATTCCGACTGGACACGGTAACTTGGCACAGTAGCGATCAACATTACTCGACATAATGATCTACATACTAGTATGGTTTACTGCATATAGGGTAAGGATCGGCGTAATCCTGACTTTGGCGTGTTTCAATATGATACTTCTTCTCCGTACATGCTAATTTCCAATCGACGCTTGGTTTCAAGTTAAATGGTAATTAATGACTTCATACAAGCGCCTTTCTCTCTAATATCCATGTAACCCCAAGCCCTCATTAGCATAGTAACACCCGCAACTCAGTACTGTGCAAGTATGCCGAAAATGAAGTGAAACCTAGCTACATTTGGGTAATACTAGATAGATTTTGAGAGACTAGTGACTGATCCTGTAATAATGTGCGGAGTGATCTTATTCCACGGTGAATCATAATTGAGTGTGACCTGATAGGTATTGGCATGGATATTGAAATTCAAGATCCGATTCGCTCACGTGTATTGATCTAATAGATTTATGCAGTTCAAATAACTTATGCTCAGAGCTCGTGTTAATAGTGATTATCGATCTTCTCCAAATCCATCACTATTCGCCGGTCTTTCTCATTGTGCATCTTACCAGATTTACTTGGATATATATCTGTTTCTTGCCACACATACAACCACAAAAGTGGGAACAAGTTTCTGTACTCTGGTACGACTATTCATCAATCCGTAACTCGAATGCCTCTGAAACGAATCGTTGTCGCCTGAAGTGGGCGCACCTATTTTATCCCCCTGCCCAGTGAAACCATTAATTCAGTATTCTGGAAATAATGGGATTGTACCAGTAAGTGCTGTGTGTCTCGGACAAAAGTAGTTCATCGATAAACCCTGCTTTGTCCATTGACCCTGGATCATTGTGGCGGTAAGAATGGAATTGTCTATTGAGCCCTTATCGGGCGCTAAAAAGGCCCGCCGGGGCAGTACAGTCTCAGTGGAGAGAGAAGTGGAGGTTAGTGCTGGCCTACCCAATGATGTATGCCAAACCGGTAAAACAACCGGTTTCACTAAATGCTGGAGCCCGCCCGCCCGGCTTCCCGCTATTGCCGGTACTTTGGGCCTCGACTCGCAAACTTCGCTGGTGATCGATCGTCCCTGATTGCGGACTACCCGGGACAGAGGAGAGGTACCGATTCTGACAATCAAAATTTGATAGATACAACAGACAATGCTTTGTTTTGCATGATTGAGCGGTGTACGGAGTATTTGGTTGTCCGTTGCTGTACCCTACTCATCACGTGTTTCATGTATCGGAGTAAGCATTTCCTTACCAAATTACCAGGGGCCTGCAATGCTCAATCCTCTAGTTGGCGCGCCCCGCGTTAGCTCTGGGGGAGATCGGCTTGCGGGCTGATAACACATGATCCGTCACTCAAGAGGACACAGTGTACCCCGTACACAGTACAGCCTACAAGATCCAGAAAACTATCAGGTCGGGAGCAAGATTTCTGACACCCCAGCCGCCCGGCCCCGTCCCAAAACAGGGCTAATCTCCGTATATGAGCACTATACTACCTACTATCTAACGAGTCCCACTTCTATTGAAGGCCGATCGGCAATAAAGCTTTTTAAATTGCCACTATTCACGATCCGTGTCAACTGACCGATGTCGCCTGGCCTTTTCTTACGGATGGTGTTTCGCCGGTGGATGCAGAAAAGGACACGAGGACAAGATTGATATCTGGATTGAGAGGAGAGGGCATCAAACTGTTTCATGACACCTATCTGTGAAATTGCCGTGGTTGATGCTTGATTCGGTTCCTCTCACTTCAAGAAGCAGGATGATATCTGGACAAGACTGGAATGAAACATGGCATTTGGATGCAGAGTCATGTCGAGTACTGTCATCAAAGCCTCGACCGACTACCCCCTGACCAGGAAATGCGGTCTGCAGATAGGGCTACCTCATGGGGAGTGATAAGAAGAAGACCTCCCTGAAGCTACCGAAAAGTAGGGGGTTATGATCCCGTGACGAAAGTCAAGACGGCGGTATGCTGCTTGCAGAATATCCTCTTACAGCTACGAGTCCCCCAGCTCTTCGATCGAATCTTCCGGCTCGAGTTCTCAGTCCGCCAGCACAGCCGTGCATGTGGACAGAGTTATACATCTAATTGGACGTGAGTTGCGTTTGAATGAACCTCTTTACAATTATGCAACAGACCCCGTCTATCAAAGCCATCAAACGTGTACGAATGCCTATCACTCCCAAAAGCTCAAGCCCCGGCAAGCGACGTCAATTAGTTACATGGCTTACACACAGTAAGGCATACAACAGGTAAGATAGCGACAATCAATCTTACGCTACCAAACAATTTCAATCCCTAAAATATTGCAACAAATGCGAGGATTCGGCAGCTAAATACAAATGTGCGATAAACTAGCTAAACGGACCCGTGATGAACAGTAACGTGTTGAACATCTTGGTCGGTCGAACGGTCGAGCGGGACTGTATATTGCAACAACACGTGGGTTGGCCAGTCCATGCCGGCATCAATCACGATCTTCTTTCCTTTTCTCCCTCCCCCTTCGGTCGGATCAACCACGGTCTCGGCCATGCTATCAGCCACGCTAGGATGGGCTTTTTCGGATATCTTTCTCTCCCCGCTGTAATCACCAGGCCGTGTCGACCCATTCGGGATGTGAAACCGCTTGTCGATTCTCGAGAAGGTCAGGACGCAAAGAATCAAGATCTCGAGCGCAAACGAGAAAACGTAAAAAGACGCCTTGGAGTGGTACCAAGCAGGGTCAATCTTCGGACGGGGCGGACTCCAGTTCACGCCGACCTTGAATCCCGCAATGAGGACGCCTAAACACGACGATATCGTCACGATGGCTACCTTTGGGGGCACCCCGCCTTGTCCAAACGACTCCGCCTGTCGCGACGGTGGTAGGATAACAGCCAGAAGGATATGTAGGAGCGGAAGACACGTGAAGACCAAGAGGTATGTCATCGCCGCTAGCTGGACATCGCGCCACTGCCTCTGAGTGTCGGTGTTAAGGGTATACGCCGACACCACCGTAGCGGTGATGACCAGACCCAGCGCATCCGCGATCAGCGCATACTGCGTTATGGTCCCGATGCGCGTCACCGGATGCCACCCGACGCGGGGCTGCTTCGCGCGGAGTATGCGCTGCGCGAGGATCAGGTTGATAATGTACACCAGAAGGGTGCCCGCATTGACGAGGATGTTCGCTGCAATAGAGAGCCGCACGTTGTGTTGACGGGTGGCCAAGGCGATGCGCAGCACGAGCGTTGTGATCCGTGTCATGCAGAAACCGAAAAGAAGCCCAGAGAGTATGAATTTATGGCGTCGACGGCGGTTGACCTGGAAGATGGTCATGTTTGTCGCGGCGAACCCGACGTATAATGCGATCAGGACTGCGCAGATGGGGATGTCGGTGGTCACGCTGGGCATGCCCCCTATGGTTGCTGTTGGGGGGACATAGGGGCCGCTTGAGCGGGTCTGTAGCGGGATCGAGTTGAACATGATGGGCCGTATCTGTGATTTTCTTAGGGTTAGATTCAGTAGCGGTATGCGGGTGCCGCTCTTTCACAGTATATAGTGCGTACCTTGATCCTCGATGGTGGTCTTGCCACGATCTGTGCTCGTTTGTCTGGACTCGGGGTATCGGAGGGGCGAACAGCGGTTTCACCAAGGTCATGGAATAAACTATGAAACTATTTTGCTGAAATTAGTTTGTAGAGGGACATTCTGGGAACAATGACACGATCTCGTAGTTCGGACTAGTGAGCCTTCCGCGGACGAGGTTTTGGTCCGGTTCCGTGGACTGCCGTCATCATGTGCCCCTCTTCAACCCCGCAAAACTGACGTGAGCTCTCGGTCTCGGTCATCTTTCGTGCCAACATGTCCGAGCAGCAGCATAGTTCGTCCGATATGTCAAGTCTTCATAACAACGCTGCCCTGCGAAAAGGGACAAACAGCTGCACAGAGTGTGAGTTCTCCGTGTTCTTTCTCGTGGATCTTACTCATTCAAGACAGGCAGACGTCGGAAAGTGCGTTGCGTCCGGCTTTTCGAGGGCTCAGCCTCGTGTCGACAGTGCGAAGAGCGAGGCTCAGCGTGTATGGCACAGACATCGGCCCACAGACCATCACGCACACCACGACTACCCTCGCGATACCGGATCTCCCAGCTGGAGTCGCAGGTCTCTCAACTCACACGAATTGTCCACAGTCTGGAATCCAAGATCGGAGGCCAGCCGACTCACATTAACCGCACACCAGGCGACGACAAGAGCGACGATGTTCAGGATGATTCCGGTGCGGAGAGCAGTGCATCGGAGGTCCTCATGGCAGATCAGCCATCGCACTTGCGTTCGCTGTTCCAAAACGAGTGGCTTAGCGTTGACACCCGCCGCGATGAGACCCAACTCCAGGAGCGGAGGAAGAAAGACTCCGACTTGTTGGAACTCGCACGGCCGAGATTGCAGAGCCTGATTCCCTCTCGAGAGGAGGTTTCCGAAATTACGAGCTTCGCCTACGACTGGCTTACCATATTCCAAGCGATCCTGCCGCAGCCGTTTACGGTCGAGTCGCGGCAGGAAGTCCTAGATCGCTACGAAGAGATGTGCAGGCCCGACGTGGATGTCATTGACTTGGCTTTATGGCTTTTGACTATTGCTATCACTGCTCAGCAGATTCCACAGGGGCCGATGAGCCCTGAGGTCCAGTTTCAGATGTACCGCAATCATATCGAATTGTGTCGGCAGATCATCAACACGGTGGAGGACACGCTGCTCTGCCATGATCGGTTGCTGGGGACTGTCAAAGGTTTGGGGATGGTGGTTCATATTCTTCGTCTGTAGGTCTTATGTTTCCTTTTCTCAGACATCCGTCTACTATGTCTTTAAAGCACCACAAGCTAATAACTGCAGCCGAATCGGACAAGGAAGTTTCCAAAAAGGCTGGATACGACTTCGTCATGCGATCGCATTGGCCGAGCTCATGGGCCTGCCTAAACTGTACAAAGCAGTGAAACTGAACAGGCTTAGTGAAGTAGATGCAATGTCGCAACATGCAGCACAGCTGTGGGAATTGATCTGCAATGTGGATAGACTGTTCGGGATGATCTTAAATCTACCCCCAGCTACCCGACGCTACCAGCTGACAGTCACAGACCCACTGGTCACGGACGGCATTGTCAACACTCGAGTATATCTGTGCAAGCTGCTAGACATCGCCGCTCGAGTCTACGACATGGACGATAGTCTAACCCACGGGTCGGGCGGGAGCCTGCATCTAGAGCTAGCCGGGGAGCTCAGCGCGCTCGCATCCCAAACCCCACGGTCCTGGTGGGCGCGCGGCCCCGATGTAAACGCCCAACCCGAAGATTTCCTCCAGTTCATGCACCACTCCATCGCCATGAGGATCCACTTACCGCTCGCTCTACGACAAGACTCAGGCGCAGGACACATGTACAACCGGCTAGCCTGCACAGACGCCTGCGATTCCATCGTCAAGAAATACGAATATCTCATCCAAACTCTGCCACCCGGGTTCTTCGTATCGAAAATGCTAGACCTGCACGCCTTCATCGCGGCGGTTGTTCTTCTGCTCACATCTCACAACTCCCCGGCAGACCGACACAGTTTTCGCATCGATAGCAGCCGGCTTCAGGGCGTCGCTATGAGAGTCGCTGACCTTATGGGTGAACGCTCCCAGATGAAGCCTGGCTCGGACTTGGCGCGCGAGGGTCATAATACGCTTTGTGCCCTGAATCGCCTTCTTCAGCAGGATGACAGCACTATCCGGGATCAGGACTTGACGCTTAAGGTCCCGCTACTGGGGAAGGTCCACATCCGCCGCAACGCGCGTCAGTCGAGTTCAGTCGATCAACTACCGTCTCAGACGACTATCAGGCCGGGAATAGGAGCAGACAATACACGTAGTCAAGAGCACATGCTTACGCCCTCTTCGTATCAAGCTCCGCTGGACAACAGCACAGATACATCCATGCTCAATACGGAAGTCTCACCTGACCAAAGCCAGTGGAACGGACTGTCGTGGTCGATTGAGGAAAGCTATGAGAACTTCTTTGATAACTCGGCAATGGGTCAAGATCTGGGCGAGTCGCCGCTGTGGTGGGATATAGCGAATCCTGATGTGTTTCCTGCTTGAGGTATGAATCTAGTATGGTATTGATAAGAGATTGTTGTCATTGAGTGTCTTTTTTGGTATGAGCGGTTCATATGAGCGTTATCGTCACAATGTCTCTGGAAAATCGTAACAGTAGAATGATGATTTATGCTGCGGGATTTGTTAAACACCAGTAAATTGAATGGCCACTTACAAGTGCAATCAACATAAATTTGATGGATAGACTAAATTTGGGTAGTCATTTGAAGGGCGTGCAATGGCCACTTACAAGTGCAATCAAAGTAAGTTTGGTGGATAGACTAAATTTGGGTCGTCAATCGAAGGGCGTACAGGCAACAGCAGTTTGAAGTATTAATAGAAAGATCAGTACATTGTTTTCACGATATCGGATGCGAAGTCCAGCTTACCCCACCTCTCTCTCATAAGCCCCTCATATTCTCCAGTCGACGGGAGTAGCCGACCATATACACATATTTCCATCTTCTTTCGACAGTAACTTACATCAACACTCAATCATACACCTTTCTACACCTCCAGTCCATCAATTGTCCACCCATCCCTCCATCAAAATGACCTCCCCCGCATCCAACGACTTCCGCAGCGACACCTTCACAACCCCCACACCAAACATGCTCTCCGCAATGGTAAATGCCACCTTCGGCGACGACGTCTACCAAGAAGACCCCACAACCAGCGCCTTCGAGGCCGAAATCGCCCGCCTCACCGGCAAAGAAGCCGCGCTGTTCACCCTCTCCGGCACAATGGGCAACCAGATCGGCATCCGCCTACACCTCAGCACACCCCCGCACTCCGTCCTGTGCGACTACCGCGCGCACGTCTACGCCGAAGAAGGCGCCGGTCTCGCAATCCTCTCCCAGGCGATGGTCACACCCGTGCACCCGGCCAACGGGATCTACATGACGGCGGAAGACGTGAGGAGGTGGGCTGTGCTGGGGGATGATATCCACGTTGCGCCGACGAGGGTGGTCAGTTTGGAGCTGACGATTGGGGGCGTGGTGACGCCGTTGGAGGAGATAAGGGCGATATCGGAGTTTGCGCGCGCGAACGACATCGCTGTTCACTGTGATGGGGCGAGGCTGTGGAATGCGGTTGCTGCGTCGGGGCATTCGCTTGAGGAGTATTGTCGGTATTTTGATAGCGTGTCGATGTGTGTGTCGAAGGGGCTGGGCGCGCCGGTGGGGGGTGTGCTTGCTGCTTCGGAGAGGCAGATTCGCCGCGCGAGGTGGCTGCGAAAGCAGCAGGGTGGGGGCATTCGGCAGGCGGGCGTGTTGACTGCTGCTGCTATGGTTGCGCTGAAGGAGGTGTGGCCGACTATGAAGGATACGCATGCGAAGACGAAGAGGTTGGCGGCGGATTTGGGCGAGATGGGTGTTGTGCCGCAGATTCCGGTCGATACTAACTTTTTTTTCATTGATGCGGGGCGGTCGGGGATTGATATGGGGGTTTTGTTGGAGGAGTGTGGGAAGAGGAATGTGAAGCTGATGGATGAGAGGATTGCGATGCATCATCAGATTAGTGATGAGGCGATTGAGAATCTCAAGGCCGCGATTGCGGAGGCTGTGAGGATCACGAAGACGCTGCCTGCTGATTATGTTCCTAAGATCCAGCCGGCTGGGTATGTGAGCGTGTCGAAGATGAATGAGTATAGTTGAGATGAGCATTAATACAGGTGGTTGTTCATGCTAGGAAACTGTCTAGGATTCAAGTAGTATGCGTCGACCTTATACCCCATGCCTCTACAAAGTCTTACAACACCCATGAACCCGTTAAGTCAACCGTTGACCAGCAAGTTCCCACTCAACCTTGCTAATCCCCCCATTTCCCATCAGCCACAGTGTCTTGTACTCAGGCCCAGTCCACGCAAAGTTCTGCACAGTATAATTGGTCTGGATCGTCAAAAGCAGCTGACCAGACGGATCGAGCACATCGACCCCCATTCCAGCCCCAGTGAGGATATACCCATTCTGAGCCACCTTCAACCCGTCAGGCACGAAGCCGGGAGACAGATAGAGGGGGCGTCTGTTAGAGGCTTTTGTTCCATCTTCACTAACGTTAAAGGCGTAGATCGTTCTATACTTACGATATGATTAGAACTTCTGGTTTCCTTACTTTTAGTATCTTGAAGACTTGCCTTCGGTGAGTGGTATTGTAAGACCCTCCGGGGTGGCCGTATTTCGGATCAACCGGTGCGCTCACCGCAGCTGTATCGCTGATGTACACAGTCGAGCCATCGGGGGTGAACGCAATGCCATTAGGTTGCCCAATGCTATCGTCGACCACGATGACCGCACCTGAGGACGCGTTGAATCTGTAGCTAGCACTTGGAAGTTGAGGAGGAGTGTCGGTGAGGTCATTGAACCATGAGTATTCTTGTCAATCCAGTATAGCATTAGCCTCAGCGCATGTATGAAAAAGGGCCCATCGAAAGACTCACGAGGGTCAGTAAACCAGATATCCCCAGTCTTCGGATGAACCGCCACGTCATCAATCGTGTTAAAATAATATCCGAAGTAATTATTAACCAGCATGGCAGTCTTCCCCGTCTTCGGATCCAACGTCCTCAGCGACACCCGCTGCTCAGTGCCGCCAATCGACCGGTTTCCACCCGACGCGCCCCACACGATCTTCCCGTCGTGGAATGTCCCGCCGTTAGGCGCATACACGGGCGGGTCGGAGAGGAACTCCGACAGAGTCGGCGGGTCGTGGTTCAAGTCTACCACGAGCTGGGGCAGATAGCCCGTCGGCGGCGCAAGCTGCGACAGGTACAGTTTGCTTTGGGACTCGACGTAGACCGGTGCTTCGTGGACGGCTTCGTTGACGCGGAAGACGAACTCGTAGCTGGGTTTGGGACCCAGTATGTCGAGTCCACGTTCGCGATCGTAGACGATGAAATCGGCGGTCTTGATGCTGTCTAGGTGCGTCCCGTTGGCTACGGTCGTGTCGCCGAATGTTGTCACGGCTTCCATGGTGGATACATTGCGATAGAAGTGATCACTGAGGTATAGTTAGAGAAGGGTCGATCATTGATTGCAGATATACTTACGGGAGAATATTCCCATACTTGTTGACGCATACGACCGAAGGGCCGCATTTTTCGGCAATGGGGCCGGTGACTCCTGTTTGGGCGGCGGCCAGCCCTATAAGAAGGCTACCCTTCACCACAGAAGCGAAATTCATTGCGCTGAGTTTTGGGAAATTGTGTTTATTGTTTATTTCAGCCAACGGTGGTGCTCTGGTGTTTTATCGGCTGTTGGATACCGTGAAGACATTAGATTCATAGTGTCCGAGGTATACGGAGTTCCTCCGACGATGACATCGACACACGGGAACTTGACCCGCCTACCTTCCTCCGATTATTTTCCGGTTTGTTTATAGTGTGAGAGCTTTCTAGTGCTTCGAGTTTCAACTTGAAGACAACCATGCTTAGTAGGTCAAATTGCGTGGAATGGGGATTTCGTGTCGGAAACCGGGACAAGACCAAACACTCACATGGCGGAGAAGGATACGGACCGACAGTCATTCCAGTATACGGGAAACCTTCAATAGTCGAGGTGATCATAGGCCAGGTATTTGAGAAACTTTCAAGGGATACAGGTAAGACCAGGCCTACAAGTGAAAGTTAGTGAAGAAGTTGGCCAAATTTAAAATTACTGGGTAGTTTTGTGACTGCTGGAGTGACTGCCGGTTCCGGCTATCCCTATTCAACCCCTTGCGTCTTATATTCATAGTCTAATATTGCCGGAATCATGCTTAGCAGCAGGGGACCATGATACAATAGGTCACGGCTTTATACTAATAAATGGAAAGGTGTGTAGGAAGTATCATGCGTTGTATTGAGCAAGAAGTAGATGCATGCTCTATAAAAGGCAAGGTGTGTAGTCATTGCGCATGCTTGGCGGTTAGCATATTATGGATTCAGATTCACTAGATATACTGAAAGAAGCAATAGGGACACAAACCACTCCGTATTGTCTGGTGTAATTAAAACAGGAATATTATAGGTTACTCGCAAGAGTAAGAATCCACTGCCCATTAGGGAAATTGTCAAACATATGGCTACATTATTATTCTTTTTAGGATGGGGTGACAAGTCTTTTTCATCTTTTATCATCAAGAAATGCCACTGACCAGTCTCCTGCGCTCAATCCCTGGTGACTACTGATTATTGCCCACTATCAACTCATCTTATACTGTTATCAACATGGACTCTGTAGTTTGCGAGGAGACCCATGGAACCAGTGGAGCGAAAGTAAATACTGCTGCTAAGTATCAAGTCATAAACAGCAGTCCGACAATGTCTATCCTAGACGCGCAGTATATTCAAGGGCACGCTACAACCGACACGAAAAACCTCCCCACCCCAAGCGAACAGCAATCGCCACTCTCAGCTCGCTTCGTCGTCCCCTCCATACGATCGGCCTTTACATCAAACCCGAAACCACCCGCAATCCCTGTGTTCTGTCAGGTACAGTGGACACCCGAGTGGATGTCCGCTGAATCTCCCTCCCCTAACAAATAGATTTTTCTAGTTTACCCAGGAAGTATTCTAGAATCTAAACCACAACGAACTCCGTGGAGACCAGAGTCGTAACCGGGACGAAAGATCTCCATTAAACCCAACCCAGCAGACAATGTAAGACCCACAGCGGTTGCTATTTCCGCGGACGACTGTCAACACCATAAGAATCTATCCTTCGCAGTGGGGAACTCGGTTGTCAATACAAATGATTAGCCACTGATTGGGGGAGAGTATCAAAACCATCAGAATCTGTCTTCCCAGTGGGGTACTCGGCTCAATGAGCCACTGGAATGGAACTTGGAGGATATCCACTTTGTGACTGGCGTGGTGTTTGCCAGGGGATGCGTTGAACAGTGCTTGCTGCCGGTGGGGCGGGTTCTTGCCGTGGTGGCGATTATCGTGGGCCCGTGTGAGTGGAGCCTTGAAGATATTTTCTAAAAAAGTGGAGTGCTTGTACTAAGTAAAAAACCTTAATTCTCCAACTATAGAGTGGATTGCAGTGAATGCATGGGGTGTGTAGGTAATGAATTGAAGCAAATCCTATCTATATTCTATCAAAAAGCCGTCAAAAGATCATTATGAACATAAAGTATATTGCGTGTCCGAGTTTTGCCGCGAGCTGGCCGGCCCTGTCCCAATCCGTGCATGCCGTAAGATATTGTGAAATCATAAAAGAAAATAGGGTCGTTAAAAGAACTGGAAAAGAAGTGGAAGGTGTGAAGAAAGAGTAAAAAAATTTAAATGGCGACAACTGGATCGCCCATTCTGTCCTGAGGGCCAATGCCCTTTCTTCGGACGGCGATGAGGGCGATAATGAGCCCCAGACCTGCCAGCCCGGCAGAACACCAGAGTCCAGTTGTGTACTGCTGGGAGAGGTCGTGGTGTTTTTTGATGTCTACTTCTGTGGTGACGGCCGCTGAGATGGCCAGGGCGAACCCGGAGCCGATCTGGAATGCGGTGTTGAGCTATTCGGTGTTAGTATGGTTCGATTCGAATAAGATAGTCTCAAAGAGGTAGAAGACTCACCATTCCACCGCATAAACTCTTGATATGCACCGGAACGCTCGTGAGGATCACAGTGCTGGTCGTCACAAATATAAGAGAAACAGAGGAAATGCTGATCAGGGAGGTGGGGAGGACGTTGACCCAGCTAGGATAGTTAGCATCATTCCTTAAAGATATAACGGGTGGGATACATACAAACTCGTTTCAGGACTCGTAGTCAAGGCGCTAGGGATAGGGGCCACCACGGCGAGGGCCATACCGGCCAAGAGGAGGTATTTTCCGTTCATATACTCGAGGGCCTTCCCGGTTCCCATCGAGACGATGAATCCGATCACGCCCATGGGCAGGAAACGAAGCGCGGTGTCCCCCGAGCTCAACTTGTCCACTTCCTGCGCCGTGAGAACAATGTAGTAGATGACGTTTTGGTAGGTGCCATAGCCAGCTGGTATCGTTAGAGATGCTCATCGATAAAGGGTTCGTGGAACATGAGACATACTGAAGCCCGCAATCCAAAGCCCCGCAAAGTTGCGAAGCTTCCACAGGGACAGCGGCATGATGGGGTTGCTAATGTACTTCTCGAGCACGACGAAGCCAGCAAGTAGCAATGCTGTTACGACTAGTAGAGCGATGATGAAGGGCTGGTTCCAGCCGTAAACACCGCCACCAGACAGCACAAACTGCAGCAGGACGAGTCCGGCGGTAGAAAGCATAGCCCCCCAGTAGTCCATCTTCACCTTCTTCCTCTCGGACTGGACATCCTTGGGCAAGGCGATCATGCCTAGTATTCCTAGGGAGCCGGTGATAATGACAATGAAGTAGAAGATGTATCGCCAGCCCAGCGAGGATGTCAGGAAGCCGCCAAAGATAAGGCCCGCGCAAAATCCAAGAGTGCCGGAGGCTGCGTAGATCGATAGGCCTCTCGTGCGATCGGTGCCAGTGAAGTATGAGCTGATGATGCCAATTGCGGACGGAACTGTCATTGCGGCGCCGATTCCTTGAAATCCACGGAAGATCGTAAGCTGGATAAACGACTGTCCAAAGCCGATGGCCAATGTCCAGATGGAAAGCCAGCAAAGGCCAAGGCAGAGGATCATTTTTCTCCCATAACTGTCCGAATTAGATGAATTTCTTCAAGGCATGGATGCGAACTACTCACCGGTCAGATAATACACCTGCTAGTAGTAGAAAGCCACCAAAGGCCAGCGTGTATGCCGAAATCATCCATTGAAGGTTGCTACTGTTCACGTTGAACTCTTTCTGGATCGGTGACAGGGCGATATTGGCGCTTGTCATGAAAACGTTATCGAGGAACTGGGACCCTGAGGTTACCAGTAAGATCATGGCACCTCTCCAGGATGCTAGACGACCAAACTCCGGTCGTTTCTCTAATCCAAGAGTCTCCCGGCTGCCAAAATTGGACACCAACTCAGGCTTGGGTGTACCTGGAGGGGAGGTTCGCTCAGAGCTCGTTCCGGACCCAGGGATGGAGACAATCGTAGGCTCGGGGACTTTGGAAATATGTTCGGCATTCTCGACTTCGTTACTAGGTGTCTGGCGAGTGTGTAACCGTTTAATCCAATTCATAATCGCCATATCGAATATGGTTTATGAGAAATGGAAAGCTTGTCTACTCCAACTACAGGTAACGAATGGCACTTCTTATAGCATGTGCACCATCGATCAATGATTGGGATTTTTTTTTTATTTCTTTTTCTTTTTTTTCTCGTCTGTTTCCAGTCGGCAGAGTAAAAAGTGGGTATTGTCCCTTCGGGAGGTATCTATCCTAGGCGTGGTGGAGAGAATCCACAAATCTGATTTTTAATCTACGTCTAGCTTGCAGGAAAACAGGGATCGTCTTGATGGAGAATGCCAGCCACTATCACAACTGATCCATCCTAAGCTAAACTGCGTATGATTTTCCTGGTTCACCTGGGCCCCAGCTGCAACACAATGATTTTCGATGTCTGAGGTCCCTGTGTTGATCGGTCGTTCAATTTCCCTTCTTTTACTTTTCGTTCCCAATCTATGAATAGACTAATGATCTACTTGACTATAGCAAGCCGTTAAGTTTTGTAATATCAGGAGGATAAGTTGTTATATCACACGTGCCCAGAAAGTCTATACCATGGAGTCCATTTTTGACTTCGACGTCAAGATAACACCCTTGAAAATGCACTATCTTAACACACGTCAGATCAGCAATTTCTAAGTAACAACGCTCGCTAGACCTACCACAGCATGAGCTGAGACTCGGTCCATTCTGTTAGATAGGAGGACTGGCTGCTGTAGAATTACGCCATCCGCCGCGCATGAGCATTCCGCACGCATTCTGACTTGTATCTACTTTAATATCAATCCATAGAGAAACCAGCTTGCTCCCATCCCTTTTGTGACATCAGAATAAGGGTTATCTGTACTACCCAATCCCTTCCTTCTCCCTACAGGACCCGGGCCCGAGCAACTTGCATAACTTAACATTCTGGGCCACCTCATTCGACGAAGCATGCCTTATCAGTTGGTCACATCCCCAGAAATGCCCACTGATGATGAATTTGCACAACCATAAATTACCCAGACATGCATACTCGTTGACGCAATCCAACCGGGGAATTTGGGCACCATGCAGTAGTTTGAAATGGCCTTATCATATTGCCTCTTAATCTTCGTCATCCCCCACACCGACACCACAGCCCCTGAAAATTATGTGTTAGTGTTTATATAGCCATGTCTGGTTAGCAGCACCTACATCCTTTGCCACTTGACCCTGTCACAATCGAGGATTGATGGATCTTCAAAGTAGTGTGGTAGTAAAAAAGTAAAAGCCTTCCACGCTAAGATAAGAAGCGCGGGAGACCCACACCCAAGTGGAACCCCAAAACCAACGGTACGAACTAGACTGAATAGTTCTCAGCGAAAGAATATAGCATGGTCAAAGCCGAGTACACGGTTTCTAGTAGCTCTGAACCACTGGATCTTAGGGGGACAGTTCCTAACATGAAGCTCACGATGGTGATTATCACTACCATAGGTTCATCTCGGCAAACGGTGCGGGAATATACTAGTTGGCATTAGTTGATTAGGGTTAAAGTTTAATGCAGATACAAGATAACCCTAACTTTCGCCCCCTGTTCAGTCAACGCTTGTACTGATTAATCCTGAATTGAACCATCGCCTTCCTCTAGACAAATTGGATCCACCTGCCACCCACCGATAACGGTCTAGACATAAGCGCACTCAGCGGCGTTCCTCCACGAGTCTACCATCGGAGACAACCCGTCAAGGAGAACGCCGACCACTTCACGACGTCCGTGTTGCTATTTTCGCATCGTGACCCACCGGGCGCGAACAGAGGGGGGGCTTGGTCTGGCGTGGTCTCAGATTCGCCAGCTTGTCTGAAATTATCTTGGCGATTGTTTACCATTGCAGAGGGAGTGACTTCTCACACCTGATAATACCAGATAATGCAAATTTCGATACCCTACTACAAGCAATGTAATAAATCATATTGATCTTCTCCAGAACTGGAATCTAGGAATTGCACTTGAGAGATAGCCATATCTACTAATAAAGAGATCAAATATCCTATCTAGACTTGATATGTTATCGAATCTGAGAGCGATCAATTACTATGAATATACCTCATGCGCGGTCACTCCACACATGGTAATATTCGTCGTGGAAATAAAACTAAAAACAAAAAAGGGCGAAAAAAACGATTGCTTATGTCTAATGACGTCGAGGTTTCACAAGTTCCACTCTGAGACCACCAAGTTCTTCTCAGGCCATGCAATGTACCTAAGCTGTGCGTAATCGGTGTGGAAGTCCGTGCCCCCGTTCGAATTCATAGCTCAGCGTGGGTCCCCAAGTCTCGGGTCAACTGGTTATGGAATATATGGTAAACCAGTCAGTCTTACTAGTATAGTGGTAGATTCTGCGTTAGTTTCTCTTCATCTCGGAACCACTACCAGGTATATGCTCGAAGTATAGTAGGCTAGGTAGTCTCTTCTGGGGCTCTGAGTCTGTCTACCTGGCTATGTTATCGAGAGCCTGTTCTTATTGTTGCCTACGGAGGGACGTGTCATAATAGGAGGTCCCCTCGGCTTATTATGCACGGCTTCTGGACTGGGTGGCCAGTGCTGGTCCCTCAACCAGTACATTGGATTATTCGGGCAAACGCTTTGGATATCGCATGATGGTCAATGCTCAAACTGCACAATCATACATCAGACTGATGAAGTATAAACTATTGGGAATGGTTTTGCCAATAGAACGAGAGAAGAACAATATTATAGTAGAAATGGCTATCATCGTGCAGACAGCCCATCCACCTACTTTATCCACGACGTATAACTTCACATTCTATTCCCACATCCCCCTTCAACAAATCCATACACCGAGCATCTGGATCTCCTATCCCCGCGCCTCCGCCACGGGAGGAGGCTGTGACGGCGTTTTGGGCCGAAACCACCGCTTATATTCCGTCCAAGCCGCCACCAGCAACACACAAGCGCCCAAGATACCCCCTACAACACCATACGCGATCTCACCTCCCCTGCTATTCGCTGCCAATTGCAACCCCAATCCGCCATTGATGATGCCCAGTAGAATCAACATCCGTCCATACCACACATGCAGATGGGTCCAAGCATTGGGTCTGTGGGTCTTTCGGAAGCGGATGTGATGGATCAGGCCAAAGAGCGGTTGGACCAGCAACATTGCGACGACGATCGTGCCTATTTTGGTGTGGGCATTGTTGTAGGCCTTGTCGGGTTCAGTAAGCGGGGTTCTTCATAGATATAAAGGAATATATATATATATATGTGTGTGTGCGTGTGTGTGTGACATCCGGCCAACTCACCTTGTCTGTGATCCTCGCTATCCGCACCCCGAGCCCAAACCCCGCTATCATCAAACACCAGCTGATAAGTTGCCACGCCGCGTGTATCCATATACTGCCTCTAATGTTGAGAAAGCCGATGGCGATAACACCCAGTGGCATCATGACGCCAAACGCCAGGGCCATTATCACCCCATGAGCTTTAATGTAGGTCGGGAGAAGATGGAGGTCTTCGAAGATAATGCGACCCATCGCGGGCTGGACCATCAAGCCTGTCAAGGTCAGTCAAGGCCTCATTTCCTTCTCAACGAGCATACCCAAAATTATAGAGACGAGCCCCGTTCGGAGTTCCATTTTGTTACTTCGTAGTGTCGTGGTGGTATCCACTGTTCTTCGTGCTATTGTTGTATTCCCGTCACCATTATATACTAATCGAAAAATGCAGTCGTGCGCCCTCAGCTTCTGGCATGATTTCCCAGCCCAATCGGTTTTGCATCAGCCTTCGGAGCCCGAAAAGTCCGCAGGGAGTGAAGACATTCCAAAGTCGCACTCGTATCACGCACACGGTTGCTGACAGCCACGGAAGAAAAGCAATCCCGAGGTTCCCGAGGGTGGGATGTTTTTAGGTTTCCCCCCGCGGATGAAAGCAGAGTTGGCTGATCTAATCTGCTTGGCTCTGTTTCGTCAAGCTGCATGGTCGTGAGATCAGAGCCCGTTGTGGATTGTCTGATGTGTCAAGTTGGATGTGAGAAGCAGGTTCTGTGCAATCACTGGTTGTTAGGTTTTAGTGGCTTATCCGTCTTCATTTGGAACCTGGGGAGCCCGAAGCCAATTAATTAGTGACTCTTGGTAATAGATTCATCATCATCGGTGACTTGTTTCGGTGTTCTTTTGACATGTCGATATCACTGGCCTGCACAGACGCTGAGAGGTAGGGTTGACCTAGGCATCAGCTATCAACTGGTGGGCCAGCTTAGGCGATCTCAACATTCTATTATTCAAACTTCCATTATCCAACCACACGGTAGCTAGGGTAACAAAATTCACTGACAACATGACATTGACAATCCCATGATGCTGTTGTCACACCCTTTTTCTCAGCATGTACAGCTGAGCCACGAACAACATAACCTCAACACGTGGCCCATAAACATGGAACACGACATTAGACATGGGCGTAATCTATTATTGCGCGTTTTTCTTTTCTTTCGACAGTGAGATCTTGGATCAGTATACCTAGCAGCTGAGGTGAGTTGGCCGAATTAGAGTACCCCGGTGATACTGCATAATCACATGGTTATGGAACAGCGAAACCTAGATGGATGCCCACGATCTCATGGAGAATTCATTTAGATGTACTATACACGCCAATAGTTCATGTCATAGTCATGGTGATTGTAGAATCTCTGTGGTCTAAACATTCGACTGTGTCCCCAGTGACGTACAACCCTGCTTCCACATCATCAATTAGGCAACTGAATCAAAATCTAACACTGAAATAGGTAGCGAGACGCCTAATGCGTTTTTTATTTCGGAAAATCAATATATAAATTCTCAATATAGTATACCAATCTATTGCAAACACAAAGGAAAACAATGCATGAGTAAACAACATCAAATCACCATCGGTCTAATCTCAAATCAAGCTGCCAATCCACACACGGACTCAGTTCAAACTCCGAGTTTCTCCCACCACTGCGGTTTGACTTTTCCCTCCTCGAACCCTGTCTTATCCGGCTTGCACCTAGTCCCATGTTCTGGCAGCTTGCCGTCAGAAAAGTACTCCTTGATTGCTTGAATCGTGCATGCAGAAGGATGGTTCATTATGCCGTGCTGTTGACATATTAGCCTGTTTCCATTCCTTATTCCTACCATTCTAATCGAAAAATAGAAAAGAGAGAAAAGAAAGAACAATAGACACTTACACCATGTCCCTCATGTACCACAACCCGACTATCCTTAAACCCAGCCGAAACCTCAAACGCAGAAGCCACTGGCGTGATTGGGTCGAAAGGGCTGTTGGCCAACATAATAGGGAAGCTAGTAGTTATATTCCTCCAGCTTCCCTCGTAGCGCTCCGCTGCATCCATCTTCCACTGCGTGCACGGCCACACCTGCGGCATAAACCCATCTGCAAAACCCCCCTTACTGCTCTGGTACTGCAGCAAGCTGTACATGTCTTCGGGGGTCTTAGCTCGGAACTTTGTGTCAGAACAGGCGATGCCGTGAAAGCCGTGCTGTTGAAGATTCCATGCTGGTTCGGGTGAAGAGCTGGTTGGTTCCGCTTCGCCGGCTTTCATCCACAGGTCCCACTCGCGGCTGAGCGCTGCGCTGATGGAGGCCATCAGGGTGGTGAATGAGCTAGGTTGATAAAGAGCGGAGAAAATACTGAACTTGACCTGTCCGAGGAGGCTGATCCCTCCCGGCTGCCACCAGGGCAGGGTTGTTGTCGGGTAGTTCTTCGGAAGGACGATCGGCTTATCGATCAGCTCCTGGTAGACCTTGCCGAGGGCGGCGCTGAGGTCCTTCGGCTTGGTGTCGGGTCCCGTGAAGTTCGCAAAGGGGCACAAGTCGGGTCCCGCGGCAATACACTCCGTGAAGAAGTGGTCGAGGGATGCGTCTGTTTGCGCGGCGGACGTGGCCCAGTTTCCTGAGTAGTAGTCGTCGGCGAGGAGGACGCTGTCAAGCAGCATCCGCCCCACGCGGTCGGGGAACATAGCGGCGAAGGTTTGCCCTAGCGCTGTGCTGTAGGATCGGCCCCAGAAGCGCAGCTTTCCGTCTTCGTTCAAGGCGTCAACGATGCGAAGCATGTCTCGTGCGACGAACGCGGTGCCGTATAGGTGGCCGGTGTCTTTAAGAGTCTGGTGGCATGCTGTGGCTAGGAGGCCGCCGTCGTGCCATGCTTTGGATTTGAGAATGTCCCACATATTTTCTTGGGGGAGGCTCGCAGGTGTGCTGCGGGTTTTCTTTTCTGTTTTGTTTTCCTGCACGGCGGTCGTGTTGCAGATGTAGGGCATAGTGTGTCCGGTTCCACTGCACGAACGTTAGGTATGACCTATCAATATGGGACCTCAGGTATGTTTACCGAGGATCAAAACCGATGACATCGAACTGTCCGCCCAGCGTCCTAGTGCCATAGTCAGTAGGGTCCAGTCTATTTAAAACCATGCAGTATTACTCACTCCACATATTTGGGTCCTTTTACTACCACTTCCTCGACTCCCGAAGAACTCGGGCCCCCGGGGTTGAAAATGACGCTTCCCTTGCGCGGTTCCTTGGTGGCATGAACCTTTACCAGCTGAAGACCCAGGGTCTTTCCAAGTTTCGGCTTAGTGTAGTCCAGAGGGACTTTGAGAGTTGCGCAGTCGATGGGAACAGTGATTTGTTCCCTCAAGCTTTTTGGGAATGGCAAGTTGCACGGGCGCCATTTCAACTCTGTGGATGGGTGATGGCTACTGTTGGTATGGGGAAGGGCTTGGACGATGGTTGCAGATAAAAGCGAAAACGCAGCAATGAGAGGCCACATCGTGGATAGCTCAATGCTAATGAATGTTGGATAAAATTGTAAGGAGATGCTCTACATACATTCTAGGTCAGGAAAACATAGCTATATATACAATTGTTTTGTCTACGCCATCAAATTGAAGCCCAACTAGGCGTCCTAGAGATCTACATCGATGATATCAGGATTGACATTGTCAACAACCTCAGCCCTAGGCAGATAGACTCAAGATAGCTCCAGTGGATCACAGCGGCACATGCTTCCCAATGTGGAAAGGAAAGTCCAGCTCAGACTCACGTTAGCATGATATGTACATTCATTGGGCCATGCTTACGGTGGATGTGGCATATCTTGGCAGAGGCAGTGTTGCCTAGCGCTCTGTTTTTCCCATTCGGGAAATCCGGTTTGCGCCAAGGCCAACGGATCAAGATGTATTAAACAATTATCTAACCTGTCTCTGATAGGTAGATATATTAAGATGCATCACCTCTGGATTGAATCCGGGATTGAAGATGGGGCACCGGTGATAACTAGCCAGTCCCTCAGCCCTGACCCTGATAACAACCGATAAACACCTAAATGTAATCATCTCATCTCAATCACACTCGGATATCTAAGTCCATGTCTTGGCACGATACCACCAAAGATCATTAACGTCGAGGAGCAGCTTAGACCTCTGTATCTAAGCGTTTTTCTAAGGTGGAGAATCAGTCATTACATTTTCGGGTGCTTGCCAAGCGAATCTTACTGCATGTGGTTACTGCATCCCCCAGGTTGGGGTCAATACGAGCCCGCGCAGCACGTGGTGCGTGATGTTGCGGCTCACGAGCAGAGCATCTCCAGGCTTCTTGATTCTACGCGGAAAGCAAATTCGTAAGCATACATGGAGCAGGCAGGTCTGTATAGACCGACGCAATCCATCCATCAAATCGAAGAAAAGGTCGCGTCTAAAACGAATGAACAATGGACCCGGTCATCGCGCCTTACCAATACCAACGACTGAGCACGCCCCGCTCATTCCGAGTTCTGGAAGTCGAACGATTTGCAAAAGATCCAGAGCTTCAAGTGCTTTATGGCAAGATCACAGAGGAGTTCATTGACAACCCTCCAGATTACGAAGCCCTTTCCTACACATGGGAAGATCCGACTCTTTCAGAGCAGATTATCCTCGATGGACGAACATTGCTAATCACGCATAGCGCCGCGACCGTCATCCGGCGCATGCTGCGGGGAAAGTGGACGCGGCGGGTTTGGATCGATGCCGTCTGTATTGACCAGTCAAGAGACCCCGCTGCGCTTCAGGAGCGCAGTAATCAGGTCCAACTGATGGCTGAAATCTATCGCGCGGCGAGTCGCGTGAACGTCTACCTCGGAGAAGGCGACGCGGAATCCGACGCCGCGGCAAGGAGCCTTCTGGCGCTTTCCCTGTCGCGGACGTTTGCTCTGGCCCCTGGGCCATTCAAGAACTTCAGGAGAAAGAGGTACGAGCGGCGAGTGGCCGATGCAGTCCGTAAGCAGACCCCCTCCTGGCTCACCAAAGTAATAGCAAACACTCTGACATACAATCAGGTATAACCGAGGAACGGCCGTACGGGCTTCTATTTGCTCTGTTCAGAAGACCCTGGTTTCAGCGCACTTGGGTACTCCAGGAAGTCGCCATGGCAAAAAGCACCATGTTTTACTGCGGCAACCGGCTCTTGCATATGGAAGTGCTGAACGCAGGCATTGACTTCATGTCCGTATACGGCCATGCCTCCAACTTGCCCGCGGGTCTCCACATCCACTGGAAGTCCTATATCGAAACACACTATACCCTCCAGAACATTGTGCGCAGGGTATCAGAAGGGGAAACTCTACCCGACCTAACATTGACTTCGATTCTCCTCAGTGTGAGTATAAAGTTCGCTACCAGGCCCGAGGACAAGGTCTATGGGCTTTACGGGATATGCAAATATCTTGGGTTCCAGTTACCTGAGCCGGATTACCAAAAGACTCCGGATGAGGTGTACAGCGAAGCGGCGTGTTGCATGATAGAACAGGATCGATCACTGGAGCTTTTGAGCTCGCTTGATGGCTCCGGGCTAGCATTGGGGCTGCCGTCATGGGTGCCTAATTTAACGGGCTTCCTGGCGCCAAATGGGACGAAAACCTTCACCGCTACAAAGAACTTCCGGGCAGCTGGGCCAAGCAAGTATACTTATAAATTGACAGCGGAAAATACCAGATTACGGGTACTGGGAAGGAAAATTGGCCGGATAAGATCAGTCGGAATCATCTGCGACACGGACCCGAACAACCACCCGGCAATAGGACCCCCGCATACAACGCCTCAAGTGTTCGAGGCTGTGACGCTTGCGATCCAAAACTGGGTACAGGTTGCGCAGGAGATAAGCACAAGCGTGTATCCCACAGGGCAGCCGTTTCTCGAGGTCTTCGTCCGGACGTGTTTCTACGATACCTGTTACAGCAACCGGATCACTCCAGAGCAGCTGGCAATGGGGACGAAGTTTATCTCGCTGATCCTGGCGATGACATCCGGGATTTCGTCACTTATGAGTGAATCGGCGATACAGCCGACATTGCAAGAGCTTCAGAGCCCTACCGTCATAAGTACTTCCGAAGGGAGCATAATGCATACCCTGTGGAAAAGGATGTTCACCACCGATGGTGGATTACTGGGAATGGCGCCGTGGAGTGCGGAGGCAGGTGACGAGGTTGCGCTTCTGGCTGGTTGCTCTAATCCTTTTGTTGTGAGGCCGTGCTCCGGGGGGCATCAGGTAATCGGGCCTGGATATGTCCATGGGGTCATGGATGGAGAGGGCTGGAATGCACGATCTGAGTCTGATGATGAGTGGTTTGTTTTTGTATGATACAGCCTTGTGTACAATCTTTTTCCATATCTTTTTTTACTCGTGATTGGACAGGTAAAATAATTACTATATCAAACAATAAAATAATTGTATATGACAGATGGAGTAGATTGTTATTACCAACAGACCACAAAAGCACCATACGATTTGGACATGAAAATCGTAGTCGCCATTCTGTATTCCCAAAATCTTTCTTTAAGTAAAAGTATTAATCATACAACTGCTCTGGTGGTGTAGCGGTAACATCGTTCTCTTCCATTACAAGGCTAAGAACAGCTCCGGGTTCGACTCCCGGCCAGTGCAATACGAATTTCATTTTTTGCTTTCTCATTTCTGGATTTAGTTCCCCTGCGCGACTCATATAATACACTTGTTAGTGCTTGGCTTGCCTATTGATAAGGTCTTTCTCTTTCTTTTCTTTCTTCTCTTTCCCTTTTTCTCTCTCCTTTTGCACTTCTTCATCTATATAAAATAAGTGGACTGTTTGTAGATTACGCACAGTAAAGATATGCACCTTGTACTTTCCAACCAATGCATCATTGTACAAATAGCTCAGTTGCTCGATGGCTCTTAGTATACACCGATGGATCCTAGAAACAAAAGCAGCAAACGTGTAAGCTTAATATTGTACAGTGACATAACTCATTACATTGTTTCAACTATACAGAAGCAAAGCTGCCTCATCCATCTAATCTATATGTCGGGTTTATCCCGGTCTAAATAATATTCGCCCATTATAAATACCCAAGAATCAATGTCATGCAATTATGCAAAAGCAGGCAGGGCCATCTTGTGCATATAGTCATCCAAGAGCTTCTCCTCCTGGTCAATAAACGGCTGCACCATAGCCCTCCCCCGAATAAGCTCATCTTGCAACTTCACCCACTCCGCCTGGTGATCCACCTCGGAACCAGTCCCCGAGGCACTCTCCTTGCGCTGAATCGCAGACCCGTTCGCCTCCACGCCAGTCGCATGGCCATTAGCATCGCCGTTCACACCAGCAACAGGACAAAGCGGGACATATCCCGCCGCCTCGAAAGCGTCCTTCGGCGGAACGGTATATCGTCCCTTCTTGAGCACATATTTGCTGATAGCCAGCGCCAGCACCCTCTTCTGGCGCTGCTCCTCTGTCTCCTCCTTCTTCTTCGACGACGCGCTCTTGGGTTTCAGGAAGTACGTGACGATGTAGATCCACTTCTCGTCGTAGGAAGCAATGTGCGACTGCACCTCGTACTTCATGTAGGGGGGGATCTCGCGCTTGAAGTTTGTGTACACACTGCCCAAGATGAACCCAAGCAGGCCCTTCTTGCCGTCTTCTTTGAGCTGTTTCTCGAGAAACGAGACTCCTTTCATGAGGACTGAGGAGATGAGTGCTGTACGGGAGACGTCCAGGTCGGAGAAGTAGGTCGAGTTGGACTTGTGCATGTTGGAGTCGAGTTCCATGATCGGGGCGCGCGTGAAGATGCTCTTTGGCTCGAGGAAGGACGAGCTCGGGGACGGGGGTGGTTTCACGGCTGGGTTGATGAGGTAGCCATGTTTGAAGAAGTAGCGGTACACGCGAATCTGAAGGGTGTATGTTAGTATACCAAAGCTTTTTTTGTTATTCAGGTGGAACGGCGCTTGGGTTTCCTTACATGCCACACTAGAGGAAGATTTTTGAGGTTGAATAATGCAAAGCCGATCGCAACGGCTTTCCAGAAACTGACCGAGCTCCAGAGCGAACCGGCGAGGGAGCGAACAAATTCCATGGTGAAATCTATAGATTGATGTATCACTCTAGGTTTGCAAGGCTATGCGAGCAATCTGATGCAAGAAAAAAGAAAACGATAACGATAAAGGAGGGAAAGAAAGAAGAAGAAAAAAAGAGAGAAAGAACAAGACTGAAGACGCGGAAGAATGCAAGGAGAAGTTCACCCGCGGTGTATTATTCTAATTGTATCAGGAAAACTAGGATTAAAAGGGAAAGGGCCTGCTGTGGCCGAGCTTTCAACAAATCAGTCTACATATTGAAGGATTAGTCTCGATTTACCTCGGCCCAGGTTGCCACTTTTGTGCTATCCATGGTAACATCCTCCGAGGTTTGAAGATAATCGGGGGAAATCTCCGACTAGTTTCCCCAACCATCTGTAATCGGGATGCCGATCCCGGATTTGACACATTCTGCTGGGGTTCTAGAATCTCAGTCATGATATACTTGGGAGCACTCCGCGGATAGGTAGTGGGAAGTAGTAACATCGAAACACTCTATTCAAGAGCCAAACGTCTACTATCTGGTCTCGAGGGCACCCTGGCATTATATTTATGCAATAAAATATAAACACACCCAGCTGGTGATTGATTTTTGTTACAAATACTTTTGGGATGAAAAAAAGTTATGACAAGAGTGGGATTCGAACCCACGCACTCTGGGAGTATTGGGATTTCCAGTGTTCTGGTAGAAGCTTTCGCTTGAATCCAACGCCTTAGACCGCTCGGCCATCTTGCCCGATGAAATATAAAAATCCTCGGTTTCAAATCCTGATCTTGGTTTGAGGATTTCCATATATCTGGCAAACCTCGGTTACCTTGAGCTATGAGCTGGGCTCCCTTTTATGGTCATGACTTATCAAAAAAATCCGGTTGATTATAGATGGTATACAATTCAATTGCTATGTACTTAATAGTTAGGTACGTCCATGCACTCCAGAAAGTTGGGCCAAGGAGACAGATCTATTCGGGCATTAATCAATGCTACTTCTACGTACTATACCGCAAAAGAGCATGTGCCAGACCTGCAACATTCGGACCACTGCTGAATCCATACACAAAGTAGAAGGAGGACTCTACCGTATACAGACGATTACAGTGGGTATATGTTATTAGCTTCTAGCATCGCCCAGTTGTATGATAAGTTTGAACCGTGTATGCTGCGAAAGCATATCAAGATATATATAGTGTACGGAATGTTGAGCAGAAAGCACAACATATTCGATACTTGGCTAGTGGTTTACACGAACTCTCTATTGTGCGGTATAATATTGATAACCTTTTAGAAAATGCTAACAAACTTGCAAGACATAACATAAAAAGAAATATAACATCCTTCACAGCAATAAACCATCCAAGACAAGCAGAGGAAATCAGTACGGCTGCTATATATTTCTCTAAATGACCTCTTCCAAGTACATACGACCATAGGGTGTGGAGAACAGGGCTTCCCGTCCGCTCAGCCGTACTTAAGCCACACGCCGGCCGGTTAGTAGTATGGTGGGTGACCACATGCGAATCCCGGCTGTTGTATGTTTTTTGTTTTTTTATGATTTATTTATCATCAATCAATCTTTTACATTGTACTGTTATTTCCTGATTTTTCCTTTATCAACCACTCACTTTTTTGATTGAAGTAGACTCTAGCCTGCGGGCGTGTTAGGGGGGTATGAGCGGGCCGCGATTTCCACAAGTTCAGTAAGAAATAATGCGAGCGGCAGCGATGTAGTGAGGTTATTTAGCAGCAATCATAAATAAGTGAAGGGTTCTCTCTTGTTGTCGTCCGAGCTGTAATCCTTACTTTGTTGGAGCATATGGACGTCTCCTGGGTCCTAAGTCAAAGCCGTGGAATTGAGTAATGGTCTCCTCTTGTATGGCGACACCCTGAAGCACAAGATCGCGAAACGGTTATGTCATTGCAGATGGAATCAGCCTTTGCAGGAGAATATAACTCCGCCGCCAGACATAGTCTAGTGGTTGTCACATCCATAGACATAGTTTATAGTGATCAGACAGCCGTCTTCCCTGTGGAATGAGCCACACTTGGAACAGCCGCCTATCTTGCGGATGTTCTGATAGTCATTCCATAGGTCGTTACCACTGATCTTGCAGTTGGCATCACCCTGAATAAAGACGCCGCAGCCCCGAACCTGATCGCCCCAGCAGTTCCCGGATTGGTTGATTCCGGGTTCATCACTAGAGGGTAACGTTAGTAATCCCATTCAGCATAGAAGAAATAGCAATGACTGAAAACGGAAGAGAACCCACTCAGACACAGCATGATAGAAGGGGTCATCATATCGTTGCAGAGTATTGACAGCGTGGTCGCACCACTTCAACAGATCCGGGGTCGTGCACATGGATGAACCCTTGCAATCATAGGCACTGGGATCTGGTTCAAAGACATTGGTTAAAGGATTGTAGCCCTGTGCCTGGATGACGAATTTGCTCGTGTCAATCTTAGAAGTTCCTAGGGGCAATGTCCACGTATAAGTGTACTTCGTGATATCAAGAGTAATGGGTCCGACCTCCGACCACGCCCACGGTGGGGCTGTGGAGCCTTTAGGAAGGGTGCCACTGTATTTGTATAGCGTGGTGCCCTCGACCATGTAGTGGGTGCAGACGTACTCATCGATTTTGAAGTTGACGCTCCATCCCGGATCGGTGTCGAACTCACATCCCACCGAGCTCCAGATATAGAGGCGGATAAAAGCGTAAGGGACAAGAATGTCCGCCTGGATAGTGGTCGAATCTGCCCCAGGAGAGGAGTGGTATTTGGTGATGGTCTTCCCGTTCGGCAAGGATTTGGTCTTGACTGTAACTGTATTGGAAGAGGTGCCTATATGACCACCTCCTCCAACTGCGCTGACGTGGAAAGCATGGCTAGCTCCTGACCCGAGACCGCCAATGGTTATTGCAGTCATTGAGCTGGGAACACTTGCAACAAGTTTATCGCCTAAGTACACGTGATAGCCAAGAGCATCAGAGGCCGCGTCCCAGGACAATTTAGCAGACGTATAGTCGGAGGTCGATGCCGACAGTCCAGACACCGCTGCTGCCGTGCTTCCAGATGTCCAGGGTGAGGCAGGATTGTTCAACAGGGAACCACCCTTGATTCCACCCATCATGCTCTTGACGTAGGAGACACCTGACAGAGTGTCGTATGGATTGGGTAGAGTGTCATCTGTGAGCTGAATGAAGCCAGCTCCACGTTCTTTAGCTAACTTGGTAACCTTACCAACCGCAGATTCAGGCACGCTGTATACGATATGCCAGATTTTGCGCGGGTCCTTTGCTGTCCAATCATTAGGTGTGTAGGAATTCATGTATGCGTCATAAGACAACTCGAAAGTCAGGAGCGTGTCCATCGTATCCTCGAAACAAGACGCCATGGGTGACCCGGGATTTAGGACGGTATATGCGCCGGGATGGGCACGTTTGGTGTAGTCGTTGATATATTTGTATAGGTCCACGTATTTATCGTTGTCGCCACATTCAGGCCAACCCTCGTCGAAAAATATGCCCCCCATGCTGCTACCGTAAAGCGTGTACCACATATCAATATCTTCCTCAATCTGCGCCGTCCAGTCTGCCAGGCTGCCTGAGCCTAGCCGGGTGGTAAATTTCTGAGCGCTCACCCCAAGGTATCCAGTCCGCACGTAGCCGAGGACTGTTTTACCAGAGGCTGAAGCTCGATCTATCACGTCCGCCCATGTCTTGTCAACGGCAGAATCAGGGCCATTCACGACGTTGGCAACTAATATAGGCATCTTCTTGGTAGGATAGTTAATCAGCCGATCCCATGCTGCCGGGTCTGCGAGCGGATTGATGTACGACGCTACCGCGATTTGCTCTGTATACCGCATTAGTCTGGTTTATTGACATTTTTCCATGGTGGTACGTACGGCCATTTGATGAATTTGATGAAGGAAAGTTAGGGCATGAGTCGAATGTCAATTTCTCTGGGATTGCTGGAAACCCATTATCCTGCTCGTTCTTATTGACTATTTCATAGATAACCCGCTCGGCAATGAGCCCATGAAGCAGAATCTGAGGATGAAACACGCGCCCGTATCTATTCATTACTCATTGTTAGCAAAGTGCCTGTTGCGATACGCCAAAGCCTTTCCTTACCCGTCTGGCAGGATGTTGGGAATTTCTACATCAGGAACCGCGGCAGTGCTGAATGGCACCACGTCAGACGTGGGAAGAGAATCGGCCGAAATCCCGGAGATTAAAGCCTGGTCTGTTAACTTGGCATCCGGATCCATCAAAAGTGTGATTTGGGCCAATATGTTCATATCGCCCTCAAATGTTCCTTCCAAGGGGTTGTCCTGGCTTCGTTTCCAGGGATTGCGGCCGAGGGGGTCCCAAGTATTGAGCTCGTAGAACATTAGACCAGTTCTTATGGAGGTTAGTATACTTGAGTATATCATGAGTGATATCAAGCACTCACCTTGTGTTGCTTTCAACTGTTGACTCGTCCACACCAGATTCACAAAAGCGGCCTTTAAACTTGCCAACATAAGGATCGTAGTCTACAAACTTGACTTTGTCACCAGCTCTCTTTACTGCAGCTGACTTCAGAGCAACTGTAGTTAGTATAGCTCGACTAGATGGAGGGAAGAGGATCAGAACAAACAATTTTTGAATTGACAGCATCAACAAGATCATTCATTATCTTTCGATGATCTTTTGTAAGTTTCTGGGTGTCCTGGAACATGTTGTATGATTTCTTTTTCATGATTAGTGTCTTGCCAGATAATGTCTTTATGTCACTCACATAAATCCAGGTTGACCAGCTAACACTATCGCACGCGGATGATAGATCTTCGGCGAAGAATTTGGCATAACTATATAACCACCGTCAACGATGCCAAAAGGAAGAAACAACATGACACATACCCAGTATAGTAGATCATCCCACTGTGTCCGGTTAGCAGTTACTAGAAAATAAAAGGTTGTGACCCACTCAGATCCCAGCTTTTTCTTTGCTGCCGATATAACAGAATCAAGACTTTTGCTGAAAGCATCTGCAGCAATAAGTTGTTTTGTGCGAGCTAGCTGCCCATCGCAGCCACGACCTATTGATTCCCAGTCAAAGGTCTTCGCCCATGTATATTGTGAATTTTCAAGAGCGGCAGTCTTTGCTACATTCACTTGAGTAGGGTTGAATACGGCCCATTGGAAGATACACTGGTTCAGGATGTTCGAGAGCTCAACATCATTGCCACCTAAAAACTCACTCGTCAGTCTAGTCTATGCATGAAAAGGCTTTATGTGTATATACCAGCTGATAGCAAGATAAGCTGCTGGTCCCCGCTAATGTTAGGGATCTGGTCGTTGACGACGTTGCTAATGACTGCACCAGAACATGACATAAACTGAAACGTGCGTGCATCTTCATCACCCAGTCGGTCATCAGTATGGACGAGATAGGGATACGCGTGATCATAGCGACTGCACGCCCAATCTTTCAGCGTGGGAAAAAGTCTATCAGTCAACGTGTTCCAATGTCAGTTAAGGAGGAAGTGACTTACCACTGCTCGGGTCAAGAGCTCCAACAATAGTTCCAAGCCGTCCACCAGCGCCAATTCCGGCCGAGTAGGAGTCACCAAGGGCGGCCATTCTTTTGATAAAGGAAAGATCTGTCTGGTCGAATTCAGTTGTGTCTCTCGCCATCAAGCGCTCGGTATCCACACTTGCATTCCCGGGCATATTCCAATGTCCAAAAGGATTTGCAAGGGCATAACTACTAAAGGTAGCAATGGCCGCCAGGCCATGCCATGGTTTTCCGTGCATAGCAAACAGCGGAGATAAGGCGAGGAGTAAGGAGCAGGACCTGTACCGACCAAAGCTTCAAACGGCATAGGGAATTGCTTATATACAATCATTTTGGTGACCTAGTATTAGGGTTGTAAAGTGCCTTGTTGAGATTTTCTTCGCATCACGCCTCCTATCCAATAGGCCAACACTAGTACTTTTCTTCCCTCACTGCTACCCTCACATGTAGAAAGAGACGAAAATTCACCCGGTGTAGTAGTTCTATGAAACGCTTTTTTTGACCGCCACTATTGATGTTAGCTCATGAACCCGGTAAATACTGAACTGAGACACGAGACACAATGATAACCGAGCCAGTAGCGTGGCATGCCTTTTGCTAAATCGGAAATCTATATTCTGGATATGAGCTCCGATATTAGTTTTTGATTCGAAGAATCGGTTCAAAAAATTTCTGAATACTAGAATAAGACAAAAAATCCTTCATCACCAAGTACACTCAATCCACTGCAAGATGTTAGATTATACACGTTAGATATATCCTTCTAGTTCGAGTAGTGAGTGATAAGTAGTTGTCAGTCAGCGCACTGATGGGACTATGTCTCAGGAAATAGACTGTCACTTTGATAGACTAGGCTAAGCTAGACTAGTACTTTTCGTTCTTGGGTTGAATTCTTTAAAATGCCGACAGTTATTATCACCTGCTGAGAAAAAAAACTTTTGGGGTTAGGCCATTTGGGGGCCATCCATCGCGGTGGCCAAACCGAGCGCTAAACTAACGGGGATATGATCCTACGCTGTACAAAGCAACGCCGTCGGAGCTAATGAAAGCTTTCTTGGCCTCCGTGGCGGCATTGGCGATGCCGAGAATCCCGAATGACTACGCTAAATCTCGTTATGGCGAGATTATACAGACGAACTGAAATTCTCTAGACTAGTATATACAGCATATGAGAGTAGGCAGATACACGGTTTTCAGAGGACCTATAGATAGGTATAGCTTGGCCATTCATTTTGTTGAGTTAGCATCCGCCCATGCAGAATCTTGATAGGATCTATAGATATAGGACCAAGACTAAACTGGCAGTTCGATATAACAATGGATCTCGTCAGTTAAATAAGAACAATGGAATAGATCTCGTCAGTTGACTAGGAATCAATACAAAGAAAATCTCGTAATGCTCATGTCTCATTACGGAGCATAGCGCACTTTCATACTGAGACCGGGCTGGGTCTAAAGAAAGATGTTGAAACATTCTTAGCACCATCTCGCTAGTAGCATAGATCCATTCATATAAGTACATTCGAGCGTTGTCTACTGTCAAAATGTATGTAAAATACCCAGCTTTCAAGGAGAAAGGCATATCGGCCATTGTCCCTGCGTAAGTGAATTCCCAGCTATACAGTAACTGATATGGTAGCTCATATTAGCTCTGCAGTCACAGTCAGATTGAGCACTCGCAACGATGCTTCCCGGATTTGTCCAAAATGCCGGTCTTCTAGTTCTTGGGGCCTTGAGCACCTTCATCCCTACACTCGGTGCTTACGACGTTTCAGCACCCTTGGATCCGCAAGGCCCGCTCAAAGTCACCCTCGACTATGGCCTTGCAATGAGTTGGCCACAGGAGCGGGCACCCGAGATAAACAACATCCGGCGCAATTGGCAATTCAGCAGCCACCTCGTGTTTGCGAGCCGTGTTGGGGATTCGGACGAGGAGAGCCCTCCGATATCAGATGGGCAGCTCTGGCAAATCGCGCGAGATGCGGTGGGTGAAATGCAAGCTGGCCGAAAGCGCTATGGCATTCTTGTGGAAGCAGAGCCCGGGGCCATGGGGATTTTGGCCTGGGGCAATGAGATCATCTTGGCCTCCTCGATGAAGGGCGCAGGTTCTTTCTCCTATGACTTCCAAGGCGGAAACACTGAAGTTGCCCGAAGTCTTCAGCAATGCCAGATGGCATGGAGAGATACCACGCAAAGGCACAAGAATAGGGGGAATTGCGCGGAGGCTATGGCAGCCCATCTATACTATAAAGACAACAATAACCTGCAAGATAGAAAAGCAAGAGTGGGGACATGGGTCAAATCGGGAGTTCTATGGGACAAGATCGATCCATGTGGAACTGGCCACACAGTAGGTACCTGATGTTCTTATGATTCTGTCTTTTCCGACTAACAAAGTTACAGGACTATTGGGGTTGCAATCTTTTCACCCAAAACCAGGGTCTTAGGGTCTTAGATAAACAGACGCCGTCGGAGCCCTATACGCTGGCAGACCTTGCAGGAGGCCCGATTCTTGCGGAGCAGATTCAGTTATGCGGGGGTGAACCCAGAGCGTTTGATCTGCCATGAGAGATATCTAATTAGAGCCGTTCCATTTGACCGGCTTCCGTGGCTCTTCCGTCTTCAATTATTTCAACCTGAATGCCCGTCTGAGCCCCTATATCTCTGAAACCCTGTATCATCGCAGAATCCCAATCTCGCACTTTTCTAAATTTGCCCAACAGACAGAATCCTCGGAGGCGAGGGGTAAATTCCTTCCAGCCTTGTAGCCATGATCCAACAATCCTCGATAGGTATTCACTTTCATATGTCCATTCCCATTCCTGCTGCAGGCATAGATCGTCCGTGATAGTCAGCCACTCTATGTTTTTCGGTAGTGCTTCCTTGAGGGGAACCACATTTGGTTCCCACGGAGCAAATCCAAACAGAAGTGCCATCGGAACCTCCAATCTTTTCAGCTCGTCGAGTCCTCGAAAAGGAGTGAAAGACCCGCGAAATGTGAGCTCCGGTTTTTCAGGATCCGCCTGTGAGACGTCTGACCCTGCCGTGATAGTCAAGTCGGTCAAAGTCTCTTGAACGTGAGATAAGTCTGCAGCGATTTGATCCAAATTGATAATATCCGTGACAAAACGATCATGAAGATCCAGGCGGTAGTACCAATCCCATCTAAGCTTCTGAAGCCCTCGAGTGACTGATAACACTTGACCGAGAGGCCCTTCGCGTAACATGGTCAAGTCGAGCGACGCAAGTCTCGATGGATTTGGTGGGCGTTCCCCGGGCCAGATCAAAGTAGTGGAAGGGTTATCGACCAAAATTCTGATTCGTTCAACTGACGGCAAGTAGAAGAGGGAGAGGACGTCTGCTGTGTTCCTGATTTCCGTGTATTTACGAATGTCCAAACCAAGGCCAGGATACACACTTGTCACATCTTGAAGACGGGTAAAAGAAGGAAGATGATGATCTTGGGATCTATCACAGAGGGCGGAGCGAAACATCATGCCCGTCAAGCGGCTCTTTCGGGAAAAGTTCTTGGCCAGGTAGAGACACGCCAGGTTGGGGAGCTGAGATAATAAAAGCGCTAGAAACGCGTCCATCGTCCCAACGCGCAATTCTTGGATCCATTGCTCGGCGTAGGGAACTTGAGTCTTCTCGATGCACTCTACCAGCTCGTCCAAGACAAACTCAGTGACTGGGAGTTTGGGACTTTCGTGTTGATAGTCACGCCATTTGCGTTCGAAAGTGTTTCCGTTGAGGATGACAACACGGACATAGCTGGCGAGCTCGACCCTCTGCACGATGCTGCGCAAGAATCGAATGATTGGGGGGTTCTGAGAGTTTGTCCATGTCCACTGAATACGGGAGTAGAGGAATGGCTCGGCAAGAGAGCGCAAGTATCGATGTGTAAGGCATACTGCATAAAGGTCGCTGGGTGACAGAGATGCAAGTACTGGGTGCAAAATCTCTGGAGGGGTGCTGAGAATGGACGCCATGTTTGTTCCTTTTCCCTGCCGTTTCAAGACTCGACAAGTAATGCTAGACGAGCAGCAGGCAAGGTAGGTACCTATATAAGCCATTCTTGCCGAGCACAAAAATCTCTAGGGCTCTGGGTTCACCAATCAGACTGTGAGACATCAATGACCATTAGCGCGGGTTAGTTGACACTAACTTGGTTTATTAATATCTATGATATCGCCTCATCTGTGGCAGACTAGATCAAGCTTCCAGACAACTATTGATCAGCCTAAAGTAAAAGGAAAAGGGGAAAGAATTTTTGAACTAAGGACATTATCACAACACCTACAATGTGGTATAGCATACAGGAATTTCCACTATCAAGTATACATATCCCATGGATTTACTATAACACTTACCCGTACTATGTATTGTGATTGAATTTCTGTGGTCATCTTTTTTCTCAGAAATCATTACTATTATATATTAGTGGATTTCAATGTCCAGGTTAATGTTCACGCCACCCAAGATACCTAACAGATTTGAGAGTTCTCAGACAAAGCCTTAGGTAAAATAAAAATGGTAGAGATGACAAAAGATGATAGAGGCAAACGCCTCATTGTATTATGGCTCGCTGGCGGGGGTAGTGTTAGATGTCACCTATTGACACGAAGAAACGATACTATAATTATCTTTACAACGTTGATATCTAGTACATACGACCATAGGGTGTGGAGAACAGGGCTTCCCGTCCGCTCAGCCGTACTTAAGCCACACGCCGGCCGGTTAGTAGTATGGTGGGTGACCACATGCGAATCCCGGCTGTTGTATGTTTTTCTTTTCCTTTTTTTTATCTATTATAAAAGATAATCATTTTGTTGACCGAACGAAGGTCAACTGTTATTTTCAGACTAGACAATGTTTCTACCTCTATGCCAGTTACCGAGGGTGGTGTTAGGTGGCACTAATAGTTCAACATCAAGCAAGGCTCTAGCAAGTAACTAGTCACTGATAACCTCGAAGAATGAGAAATATCAAGTTGACTATGAATGGTGTTTCCTTTCCTTTCAACGTTTATTCCCAGACATGATGAGAATGATTTCCCATCTCACTCTTGAAGTGTTTAGTCCCCAACCATCCGACTGGAAGGCTCATCACTGGGACCTTTACGTCCTGTACGCAGCAAAACTAGACAGTGGCCCTGGCTGTATAGTCTAAGCGGGAAAGAGTCGCCTGAATTCATGTCAGAATAAACGTAAAAAGGTTGGCAATCTGGGCTCATAAAATTCGCGTTGTAACAAGCTTGTCCCAATAGCACTAGAATATCGCCAGGTGAGGAACGGAGATAACCCCCCCGCGGAATATATCAGAACAATGTGTGACCACATATACAACTAGATTGCAGTTAGGCATTGCAAGGTAACTATTGGACACGTCGTAGAAGCTTGCACAGAGATGTACGATATTGTCACTCTAATATTGCGACAGATTCGATGATGATATCCAACAATTGCAACAGGATATGACACAGGATACTATAACGCAAAAGGCTGTTTGACATGCGTAAAGCATTGGTTTATTGGAGTATTACAAAGACCATGGATATAGATGCAATGTGTGTCATCGGGCTTGGAGCATAGGACCAGTGAGGTGCTGGGAATGCAGAAGCACAGCAGTGCTGGCTATTAGGTAAAGGGGAATTTCATGGGGGTGTTTGTTGATAGTGGCAACGCCCGAAGATTTAGTGATGTATATAACTCCTTCTTCCAAAAAGTCAAGAGGCGCCAGATCGCTTTTCTTGTAGTTTCATTCCCGAGATTGGGTCTTCGACGTCAAACGTACTGTGCTAGATGTTGAGGAGGGCGGAGGATGAGATGTTAGTATGCGGTGTAACAGGCTGAGCGTCCTCGAGTCCAGCTGATCAGAGTAAGTGACGTCAAGGGGAATCTGGAATTTGTAGAGTTTTAATTTGAGACTGCAAGGGCGGACTTTCTGGCTATGAGCAACCAAGGTATATGTAAGACCCTGGAAGTAGCCCAAATCTACTAATATGGCAAAGACCAAAAGCGAACCGAGAGCACCCAAGTCTACTTCCACTCCAACTTCCCAACGATGCGATTCTCTACTGTGCTTATCACCCTCGGTGCCGTCTCAGGAGCAGCCGCAGCCAGATGCACCGAGGGTCTCACTTACTGTGGGACGTCGCTGATCAAGAAAGGTGTGTCTTGCTACTAGTACGGGTGTTATTCCACAGAGATCCTAACATATGCTGGAAAGGAGATTACCACGCGGACATTGTGGCGTGTCTTTCCAGGCCGGGCAAACCACAAGATAGTAGCTATATTCTTTACTCGCGCTTTCTTTGTACTGCCGATGAAGATTTTCTGATTTGGGTGGACAAATGTCGTGATGGGAGATGCAAGGACAACGGCCGTGGACGCGACGACACTTGTTCTTGAATTCAACGATGAGGAGAGAGAAACTGTACTGTTTATGCATATTTTGAGTTTCTTATGAAGGGAAACAAAATCGGCGGAAGTATCATGGATTTAATATCTTCGCTATCGGCTTTTCTTGTTGTGATATGTTTCTTTGTAGCTTCGTGTGAATGAAGAGACTTTGCAACTCTTGTTGTGAAGATAACCGATATAAAATATTCATGACCATGGTGATTCATTGATCTTGATACTTATGAAAGGTTACAAAAAGGTTGCAAGTTGCAAGAAGAGATGACAATACAAATGGTGTGGAAAATCTGCAAGCTCTGCAAGTCAGCTGACATGCTGACCGAACGCAGTCACTCGACACTTACCAGTGCAGAACCGCGTAGAGTTGAGGGTATAGTAATAACACCCATTAGGCAAAGGGTGAAGTAGACTACTATCAATGATTGTCTTCTCTCATGGGGTAGTGTTCTTTGCGTGGGTCGACAATATAAAGCCTACCCCCTACAACACGGAGCAGACATAACCACGCAAAATGACGAAAACCGACTGGTTATTGATCTATATCAAGAGAGGAACTAGAACGTATACAGTGGTGCCGGAGTGCAAGATGTTCCTTCAATCATGAAATTATCACTTGGTAAGCTCTAACAGGTAATAAACAGGGGGGAAAAAGCACATGCAATTCCGTGAGCTAACCATCCAGAACAAGGCCTTTGGTGACCTCTCCAAGATAGCCAGTTCTCTAGACAGAGGTATTCAGACTCTCAGTTCTTTGGGTCGCTCGTGTCAAGGTCGCATGCCATAGCTATCAGGGTCTCCCTCAGTAGCACACGGTTTCGATACAAAAACCAGTGGTCCCCGTCCACTTCTATTAGACGGAATTGCTTCGTTTCTTTTTTCCAGGCGGATATCTCCTCCAAATACACTAAGTCATCCTGACGCGCAGTGAACGCCGTGATAGGTATATTCAATGGATCTTCCTCATGGAACTGATACTTGAGCAGTAAAGGCCCATCTTGTCTCATCAAGGGCATAATGGAACGCAGGTAGTCCACATCATCGACGTACCGTGCCACAGACATCCAGTAATCGGGGCTAATGTCTTCCCGAACAACCTCAACCAGGATATCCCGCTTTTGCCAAATACTGATAAGGCTTGGAGCAATTGTGCCGGTGACAAGAAGCTGCGGCAAAGGCTTACCCTGGCGTCGCAAGGCACGAATCATCTCAAATGCAATGATTCCTCCGAATGAATGCCCCCAGATGATGGCGGGGTAGCCGACTACATTCTCCATGTCGCTCAGGGTGCCGGCCACGACCTCTGGTATGCTGGACGCGGGAGGCTCGTCAGAGCGAGTTGCACGACCGGGAAGCTGCATTGCGATAGGATCAAGCCCGTCCGGAGGGTTTGATAAGACGGAAGCAAAAAGTGTTGCCGCGGCTCCCATGGAATGAACACATAATAGACGGGGACAGTGGGCGTTGACAGAACTGCCCCGAACAAACCAGGGCGAAATCTTGATCAGCCCATCATCAGACATAGACCCCAATTGATCGTTCCCGATATTGGTGGAGCCTTCGTTTGCTGATTGTGTATCGTGGGATGTCCCATTCAATTCTGCGGCAACCTCTTGCAGACTCGGTCCCTCGAAAAGCCTTATGAGAGGGTACGGGGTTCTGAACTCCCGTAGGATCAACCCTCGCAACTGGGTGAGTGTCATGGAATCGAGAGAGTATTGATCAATCTTTTCTGTGGGAGATATCCGACTGGTATCTACTCCTAATATCTTGGCCAGTCCAGCCTGTAGCGTGTCTCTGATAGCCTGCTCTCTCTCTGGACCCGATAGTCGAGATGAAAACACCTGGGATTCGTCGTTTTTGTCTGCTTCCTGCTGCTTATCTAGCCCAAGATAAGCACCGTCATAGGCTAGGTGGGGGTAGGCTTTAAGGAACATTGACCAGTCAATACCAGAAATCATGGTTTGAGAGGTACTGTGGTCAAGAGCACGTTCTAGCGCAGACAAGACCGTCGGTAGATCTGTGGTGGACAGGCCTTCCGACTCAGCGAGCTGGACCACTCGATTACTACCGGAAGAGGTGCGTGACATGCCCGCATATTCTCCCAGAACCCCGAGGTTAAGTGAAGTGCCGGGCAAGCCGGATGCCTGGCGATGTTGTGCCAGCCCGTCAAGGAATTGATTTGCCGCTGCATAGCTCAACTGTCCTGCCACCCCCAGGATACTGGAAACGGACGATACTAGGACAAAGAAGTCAAGATGTAGCCCTTGAGTTGTCTGATGGAGATTCCATGCTCCTAGGGCCTTAGGGGCAAAGACTGTTCGGAAGCTGTCCGGTGTGACGTCGTGGGCAGAGATAGTGCCCAATACACCGGCAGAGTGTATAACACCTGCAATCGATGGCCATGGTCTGTGCTGGTGAAACAGAGATTCAGCTGCTTCGATGTTGGAAATATCCCCAGTCTCAATGTTAACCGAGACCCCTTTATGTCGCAAATGTAATATGAGAGCGTGATCCTCGGGAGTCTTTGGTCCTGTCCTGCTGACGAGCACGAGATGTTTCGCCCCTCGCTCAACCAGGAATTTGGCCAAGTGCAGCCCTAACCCACTTGTACCACCGGTTATTAGGTAGGATCGAGTTCCATCCAACTTCAAATGTTTTGGAGGCATTGCTTCAATGATAACACCGGGCGGCATTTCCACCGCTGCCTTGCCCATCACAGAAGACCGGGATAGTCGCTTTAGGGCCATGGATAGTTCCGAGATCGGATGCGTAGTAATTTGTGGTGGTACCAATATCCCACGACCAAGAAGTTTGCATACCTCTCCCACGATCTGACGGTGTAAATTTGGCTTTTGTGCCGCCAATCTATCGATGTCGACGGCGAAGAAGGCACAGTTTTGACCAAGTTTCTCCAAGCCAAGCTTTGTGTTCCGATAAATTTCTGTCTTTCCAATTTCCAGGAAGCGCCCGAACGGAGCAAGGCATGCCATAGACTGTGAGAACATGGCTCCAGGCAAACAATTCAACACGACGTCGACACCCCGACCCTGAGTTGCTAGCTTGATCTCGTCATGGAATGTCAAAGATCGGGAGTCGAAGACTGCTTCAGCTCCCATATCGGACACCCGGGCTCGACGCGCAGGACTCCCAGCTGTTGCATACACACGAGCTCCAATGTGCTTGGCAATCTGCATTGCTGCTGTTCCCACACCACCCGCTCCTGAATGGATCAGAATGCTTTCTCCTGCCGTGAGTCGCCCGAGGTATTCGAGAGCGTAGTACGCTGTCGTGCTACTGACCAGCACACAAGCTGCCTGGGTGACAGAAAGGGATGAGGGGACAGGCACAACGAGGTCATAGCTGGTAACAGCATAACCAGAGATGCCGTTAGAAACTCGGGCCATGACCAGAGCACCACGGTCAATATCGTTCACATCCTTTCCAATCTCTGTAACCCGTCCAGACACCTCGAGCCCCAGATTTTGACCAGTCAGACCATCAGAGGTGGCTCTATCGCTTAGTGAGCCCATGGCGTTCAAGACGTCCTTGTAGTTCAGGCCCGCAGCGTGGACTTCAATCCCCACTTCATCTGGACCCAGCTGTGAGAAAGACTGCTGCCTCAAAACCAGGTTATCTAGACCCCCATTTTGGCCCCTTTCTGCTTGATACTTTCCTCCTCTGGCTGGAAGTGACCTCCGATTCAGATTTTCTTCCTTCTCAACATCCACAGACACTATCCGCCTGACAAACCGGTCTTCATCCCTGAGAGCTACTACTGTCTCATGGCGACCGAATCGAAGAGTTTGCAGCTCTGCTTTGAGGAATGTAGTTTGTTGCTCAGCCGTATCCATTGCAAGGTCAATGGTTCGAATGCTAGGATGCGGAAACTCGTTCACCATCACGCGTGTAGCTGCTTCTACAGAAGAGGCGAAAGGGTTGCATTGCGTATCTGCAGGCGTCATGCAGCCCCCCTGTGTAAGTACCACGACCGTACAAAAGCCACTCTGAGCGTGAATCCAAGACGCAATACGTGTAAGTGTTTGAATCGAAGCGTCCAGGCTTTCGTGGATATGTCTCTGTGGGGGGCCTGACAGCAACGCCGGGACGATGAGAAGTGTCCGTCGGTCCAGATTGAATCCCCATTCGGAGGCTTCCCACGAGGGTTTGACTGCCTCTAGATCCTTTTCATAGATGCGCGAACGGGGAAATGCGCTCTGAACAGTAGGTAGTATCCAGTCCAACAAGCTGCCCGGTGGGTCAAGGATTAAGACGTTCTCAAAATCAGCTTCCTCCCTCTTTGACCGCTCCTCCGTCTCCAACTGAAAAGATACACGATGCTCCTTGGACTGGGTTAAAGTTTTGGTTTGGAGCTGTTTCATCGTTAAGTCAGAGAATATTGCAACAAGCTGGCCATCGTGTCCATATATTGTCAATTTGTATATTAGGAACATATGGTCGAGCTGATGTATCTGGATATGTGCGAAGACAGATGTGACAGGGTAATTATTCGTAATATCTACTGATCGCACATGACTAGGCAAGTACACACTGTGAGGATTGCCGACGTGATGCTGGTAAGCGTATACGGTGTGAACACAAGCATCCAAAAGCGCAGGATGGAAGGTAAACCGCGATGCCTCGTCAATCAAGGAAGGTGGGAGCTCGACAACAGAGCAAAGCTCCTCGCCAAGGCGCCACATGCCTCGAACACATCTGAATGCTTCGCCATACCGGAAGCCTGCGTCTTCGAGCCCTCGATAAAACGCATCGGTGTTCATCTGTGTTCCTGACTGCAGACGAGTCTTCACAGAGTCAAGAGCCTCTGCGTCTGCTCTGGGCGGCATATCGCGGGAATTGATTCGACCCCTGGAACATACATGCCAAGCAGCTGTTGGGGCTGCATTGGCCCGTCGAGAGCTGAGAACGTAATCACTGATAGAGCTGGTGATCTCTAACATAATCTGAGGAGCAAAATCTTCTGCGGCAGCGAGGACCACGGGGAGTTCAAATCGAAGATCTTCCAACCAGATCCTTTGATGTTTGAGAAATTTGTTGGCAGCTAAGTATGCTGCCTCAATGTGTCCCGTCATTGGAAAGACAATTGCTCCGTTAACCACATGATCACTTAAAAACGGCGAAACACCGGTGCTCAGCTGAAGTCGTAGTACACCATGTTCATCGTCGGTCAGGCTGGTCGAGCTTCGGAGAAACGGATGGCGAGACTCTGCAAGACGGCTCTGCTGAGCTTCTGGATCCTCAAACCAACAATGCTGCCTTTGGAAAGGGTACAGGGGCAGATCGATAAGATTGCCGCCTCCGCCGTTAAATGATGAGATATCGACAACGCTACCTACCGCATGAGTGGCACCTATGACGCGGGAGAAGGGCTCAACATCGCTACCGCGGAGCATGCCTGGGAGCAGGTAGACTAGCCGCTTAGCAGCCTCTGCGATATCTTGAGTACCAGATAGAAGGACTGGATGCGGTCCGATCTCGACCAGAAAGTTGAAGCCGTCTTCAATCATTCCACCTGCTGTCTCGGTGTACTTAACCGGCTTCCTTATGTTATCAAACCAGTAACTCGCATTCAAGTGCCTCCCCAATTCGACAGTCGTTGTAACGGTGGAGTACAGATTGATTTCAGTTTGGGTTCCTTGGATTGGAGAAAGGGCCTCCAAAAGTTCACCTTTCAGGGCGTCCATGAAGCGGCTGTGGTATGGAGTGTCTACCTTGACAAACCGAGCGAACACATCCCGCTTCTCAAGCTCTCTGGAAACATGCTCGAGGCTCTCTATATCTCCCGTTAAAGTAGTCGTCTTGGGGCCATTCAGGGCCGCGATCTCCACACCACCGCCAGCATGCATGCGCTGTATTAGGTTATCAGCTTCTTTGGCCGAAAGTCCTGTGGCCAGCATCGACCCGGCCCCGGCGGCCTTGCTCTGTATCTGGGACCGAAAGTATATCACTTTAACAGCGTCTTCCAGGCTTAGTGCGCCGCATATATGGGCGGCAGCAATCTCACCAATGGAGTGCCCTACGCAGCCCTCCGGTTTGATACCATAAGAGATAAGGGTTCTCGCCAATGCGATCTGTATTGCCGCTATTGCCGGCTGCGCAATTGTGGTCTTGCTGAGCTTGGAGTCATCTGGTTGCCCAAAAATCTCTTCAATGATTGAGAACTGCGCAAGAGAGGCGAAAACATTGTCAAAGGCGGCCAGATGTTCACGGAAAGTAGGTTCTTGATACGCCAGCCGCATTCCCATCCCAAGCCACTGGCCACCTTGACCAGAAAACACGAAAGCGACTCTAGGACAGGATATGCCTGGTTGCTTTTGCAGTGTCAAGATATTTTTTGAAGCTTGCTGGGAGCCGAGCTGATCAAGTCGGGAACACAGCTCGTGCAATCCCTGCGCCGGGATAACTGAGAATTCTGCATGCTTGTCCCGACGCATGTTCAGGGTATATGCGACATCCTCGAGGGAATGTTTTCGTAGGCGCAGGAAGGAAGCCAGATCTCGGGCAGTGTGCGCTAATGCAGACTGCGACCTTGCAGATAGGTTAAAAACGCGGGGCCTGCGATGAGACTTTCCAGCACCAGTGCCGATATAATTTGGTGCTTCTTCAAGTATGACATGTGCATTGGCACCTCCCGCACCAAAGGAGTTGACGCCGGCCAATATCTTTTGTCCTTGATCACGGGGCAATTTGATTTTCTTCCTCGATATGTCAAGTCGTAGCGACTCGAAATCGATGGAAGGATTCAAAGTTGTGTTGTTGACTTGTGGGGGAATCTCGCCATAGAACGCAACGAGAGAAGCCTTGATGAAACCAATGATTCCAGCAGCCCCCTCAAGGTGGCCATAGTTCCCTTTAACCGACCCTATCCAAAGGGATTCTTGTTTTTCGGAACGTTTTTGTCCAAGTTGTTTCCCTAGGGCATTTGCTTCGACCGGATCCCCAACGAGGGTGCCGGGTCCGTGGGCTTCTATATACTGGACCTTGGTCGGGTCTATGTTGGATTGTGTGTAGACCGTCTCCAACAACGTTGCTTGTGCAGCCAAGCTTGGGACAGTAAAACCATCTGCTGTGTATCCATCCTGGTTTACAAGCGAGCCACGAATGCATGCGTAGATTCTGTCCTTGTCCCGGATTGCTGTGCTGAGAGGCTTTAGGTACACGATTCCGACGCCCTCGCTGCGAACATAACCGTTTGCCGACGCATCAAAAGGTTTGCAGGATCCGTCTGGGGACAGAAACCCTGACTTCGATAGCATGATCGTTGCTTCCGGTCGAAGAATAGCATTAACGCCGCCAGCTAGGGCCCCCTCACTTTCCCCTGCCCAGATGCTCTGGCACGCAAGATGCAATGCTGACAAGCTGCTGGAGCAGGCAGTATCCAGTGTAATGCTCGGGCCCTGCAGATTCAGGCGATGAGATACTCGATTTGCTGTTGCCCATATCATTGATCCCAGAGCCACATGGGGACTAATACTGTCCCGCTGCTCAGTGGCTGTCTGTATGCCGAGGTGATCATACATGAAGGTACCGAGAAAAACGCTCGTCCGTGAACCGCCCACCTTCTCAAGAGGGGTTCCAGAGTCCTGCAGTGCATGGACACTTGCTTCCAAGGCGAGACGCTGTTGTGGGTCGATCCTGGATGCTTCGGCCGGAAAGTAGCCAAAGAAATCAGCATCAAATGACTTGATGTCGTCCAAGAAGCCACCCTTGCAATTTCTGATCTTCCCGTATTTCTGGGGATCCTTGTCGTAGAACGAGCTCGAGTCAAACCGGTCTTTCGGGATATCTCCGATAGCATCGATACCTTGCTGCAGCGTTTCCCAGAATTCCGTTGCGGTGGAAACACCTCCAGGAAAGCGACAGCCAATCCCGACAACGGCAATGGGTTCGCGCTCTGAAGCAGTCATTTTTATCAAAGGTAAGAGTTATGAATGTAACAAATACGAAAGTTAGTTCCGAGTATGTCTGATAGTGCTCAATAACTTGGACCAGCAAATGTGGTTATGAATCAAAGTTGCACAGAGAAAGGGGATATTTGAGGGTTCATATGCTTCGAGGTATCTACTCCCTTTATCTATTGCATATACATTCATCCTGAACCTTTTTCTTCAGATTGAATCAACAGTACTAAAAAACGTAAAGAGTTATGTTGGACTTTCCTTTTTAGGATACCTCCATACTTGATTTGATTTTCTTATACCAAACCACGAACATGGAGTTTTCTATCGGACTTCCCTTATGAGATACCTCCACCCTTGAGATGTCTTCATCTCGAATCAACAACATCAAGACGGGCTTTAAACGGACTTTCCTTTTTGAGATTCCTCCACCCTTGACGGGATCTGTTACTTTTTACCAAATCAACAACGTAGAGGTTTCAAGCGGACCTTCCCTTTTGAGCGGACTTTCCTTTTTGAGATGCCTGCTTTTGCTATGAGGTCACGAAGATACCTCATTTATGCAGGTTATACCTCCACCATTCACCGGTACTCCCGCGCTGAATCAGCCACATAAATCCTCTTCTATGGATGCCATTTCTCTAATATACCAGTTTTCTCCAGGGCATTGTTTGAAGATACCCATAGGCTTTGCATGCCCTGCAAGTCAGCTGGCATGCTGACCGATTGCAGTTGCTCACCCACGTGCATTCCCATACTGAATTAGATACACAGGGCTTTCTTAATCACATTTTCTTCTTTGAAATGTCTGTTTTTATTATGGTATTTCCCGGAAGATACGCCACATGCTGTCATTTATTCCAAAATTCTATGCTTAGGTCAATTGACTGGTTCCCTGGTTATCTTGGAAGGCCCAAGGATTGAATGTCTCCCAGTTCCGCACCTCCACAATACTGTCCTGATTTTGGAATAATAGTAATATCAGTTAACTCACGGGTGTCTAGTAGCGCATAGTAACCATGCGATTTATTCGCCAAGAACCTCATTCATATTCTCTGCTCATCACCAGATTGTGCGTCCCGTGCTAGGCTGCTTTCTCCCTTTGTATGAGGCTGGGGTAAATGCACCAACGATAGCTTCTGTACCATGCTAGGTAGAGTAGAAAACCTGGCTATGATATCATATGAGAGTAAACTAGAAACTTTTAGGGGTGGCCACATGCGATCACAGCACTCATATGATCACAGCACTCATATGATCACAGTCACGTGCCCGATGCAGCCCTATACGAAAGTGTTTCAAGTGGCGCCCATAAAGCTAGAATTGAACTTGCATAAATAAATAGCATTACTTTGAGGGTTATACCAATGCATCGGGTATCAAGCGTTATAATAAGGGAAGTGGGTGTAAAGAGGGGTTCGTGTGATTATGACCCAATGCTGCCCAGTAGGGCATGATCCTGTACGTCCCGCTATTATCTGATAGACATCGATGGAATTTATGGGACTGGTGGTCGCAGAGAGGTTTAGATATGTAATGTGTGGAAGAACTAATAAAAGCAGTCGGAAAATGATGATAAATGTGATGGTTTCTATGATTATGGCAGAGTTGCGAATAGTTGAAAGATTGCAAGAAACATGAAGTCAAAACAACAATTTATGCGGGGAAAACACAGAAGTCAGCTGACATGTTGCCACTTACATCGCACTATTCAACATAATACATACATCCTAAAGACGGAAACCGTCTTGTGTGGTTCGATTGAATATAGTTACCACTTTTATATTTTCGCCTCCTCCACATTTCTCTCCTTTATGGCTCTATGAAGCTTTCCGTGAGCTCGAAACCCCAAATAGATAGATACATGCTAAGTATGCTTTCAAATGTATATGTTCATGCCTGCTTCACCTTATTTTTGACTCGTATAATTACAAGTAGTCAGTTATCAAGATATCTCGTACTCTCAGTTGAAAAAGATTTTAGTTTAATCCTCACTTCTCCCTCCTTTGTATCGTGACTTCAACACCTTTTGTGTAGACAAAAAAGGCGTTCCTCAATGCCCATTCTTTCGAGGGGTCTTTTAGCTCAAACTAGATTTCAAACTGTAAGCTACTATTTCGAAAATAGACAATCAAGACCGAAAGAATGGCCCACCTTGAATCTTGTCAGTAATTCAGGAATGACCTTGTACATCTCCAGATACGAGATGTTTCGACCCAAGCAAACCCTGGAACCCCCTCCGAACTGAGAAAATCATTATCAGTATCACTCAATTGGTTAATACAGAATACTAGTGCTGCAAAATCCGGTTATTTGGAGAACTCACCGCAAATAATGCCCGTTCCATCTCTTTCCTCTCGCCCTCACTGGCTTCAACCCACCTTCCTGGTCTCCAGGAAGCGGCATCCTCCCCAAACACTTTCTTGTCCTTGTGCAAAACCCAAGCGTTCACCCCAAGCACTGTCCCACCCCGGAAATAATTTCCACATAGCTCTATGCCACCGGGCGGAGCCACTCGCTCTAATGGGATTCCGATTGCCGGTGTCATCCTCAGGGCTTCCTTGATACAAGCATCAAGGTAAGGCAGCTTGTGTGCGATATCCCAGGGAATCGGTGATGGAAGATTAGCATTGTCTAGCTCGGCTAGTAGAGTCTCCATAGTATCCGGGTTTTTCAAAAGGTGATATATCACTGAAGTTAGTGTGATGGCAGTGGAATCGGAGCCAGCTTGGACGTTCTGTTGGCACCAAGAGATGATCCAACTGCAATATCTTATATCAGCATAGATCAAAAGAAAAGATTGCAATGAGTATCCTACAAGTCGGGAATATTAGGGTGGCTGTCTTGAATATTCAAAAAACGGGTCAGGAAGTCTCGTCCTTCACCTCTTTTCTCAGGATACTCGCGGAACTCTCTTTTCCGCTCTTCTATCCGCTCCAGGGCAAACTTCATAACCGGGGACATTGTTGGCTTCGAGAACAACCCAGACAAAAACGCAATAAGCGGATTTTTATGCAGCAACTTATCCAGCCAGGGCATCTGGCCGGCCTATCAACCCAACGGGCTTCATCAGCAGACGCTCTCAAAACTACCACACTTCCGCAATAGCATAAAAAGAAAGAGGCCACTCACAACAGCAACATACGAAAACCGCTGCTCAATCATCTGTATAATACCATCCACGTCCTCACCCCGCTCCAAAAACCCCAGCCTCTTCCCAAACGTAATCTCCAAGACCACATCCGTTGCAAACCAATGCAGCCACTTCCCCAGATCGATAGGCCTCCCTTCGTCCGCTAACTCCCTCAGTCTGTCGAAGAAGAAAATCTCGGTACTCTCGACCAGTGCCTCATATGACTTGAGGCTCGTCATGGCGTATACCTGCGCAATCGGGCGCTTCATTATCTCGTGAACGGACTCGTCCTGCGTGGAGAAGATCGTGGGCACAACCTTCCCGTGCGCGACGTTGCCCATAACTGGGTAGAAGTCCGACTTGGCATAGCGGGTGCGTGTGTTGTACAGAATGGAGATGGCGGCGGGGGAGCTAACGGAGACGTTGTTGGGTCCCAGGCGAACGAGAGGTCCGTGGCGCTCGTGGAGACGCAGGTGGTGCTCGTGGGCGGATTCGGTACGCACCAGAAGGAGCCGGTGTAGGTCGGTTAGTTTTGCGAGAAATGGGCCTGGGATGGAGCGCAGATCGGAACGGAATAGTGGGAAGAGGACGAGGTGGTATAGGAGGTAGATGATTAGAGGTGCGCTGAGGGTAATTAGGAGTGGAAGGGATGCAAAGTCCGTGTGGACATTAATCTTGTCCATCATTCCTTCTTTTTTTTCTTTTATTATATTTACTTTTTTGGGTGTAATGACTTCTGGAATATGGTCGTCAAGATTGGTGTACTTGGGCTGCGTTTTCTGATATCTGCCTATGGTGTCTGTCTTATTATGAGCCCGTGGTACGCTACCACCCTAAGCTACCAACCCCGCATCCCCCTGAGCCACGGATACACCGGGTCGCATTCCTTGCGCCCACTAACGCATCCTACGTCTATGGACTTCATACTATAATACACCGTCTGCCTACAGATGATCATGAAGATCGATTGCCCGACTCAGATACCGCCCCCACCCGTATGTGCCTTACTAGCATCAAGCCACGATACGTTTTTCCTCCAAGCGCGTTCATAATCAAGTACAAGCCGTAGAGACTGTGTAAGCAGTTACCATATATAGCTGTACAGATGTGAAGGGTATGTCACTGTGTTGGACCACGGTATCAGGGGTGAATGGGGGTGTGCATGGAAGACTATCCTAGAAGATAGCCCAGTTTCCGCCCTCTCGGGCCCTCAAGACCCCTACACTTGGAGAATAAGCAGAACAGGCTATAGAAGCGGGGTGTGCGAAGGATTTGAAGTAGTGCATGTGAATGACCCGATCTCTGACGATCAGTGGGGCTCAGGGCCGGGTACACGAGTCAAAGTCACGGACCGTCCCACGTACCCGAGCAAATAGGCGAAAGTGTCTCCAGTAGCGAGTGCGCTATTACTACTTCTGGTAATTACCCAATCACATGAAAGACCCCCTTGCACAGACCATAATAACTTGGGGGCAGTGGATCCACAGTGGAACGCGGGACAAGGAATGCCTTGTCAAAGCTTCACTCCACGCTAATCCGACAGGAGAGTACTATTTACAGAACGGTGGAATCTTGGAGAAATGAAGTCGCAAGAAAAAAGGTGGATTAGGTGAAGAATGATAGGAAATACTAGTTTCGCTTCTCGGAATCAATTTTACAATATGAGCGGTCGATAAGACGGATTAGAGCCGAATTCAGCACGGCCCTGGTCGTGGGAGACCAGACCGGTAAATACAAGCCTTTCCTAAGGGCGAGCCTCGATCAGGGAGTGGAGTTGTTCGTAGCGGACTTGGAGGACCACATAAACTCCCGTTGGACCGTGATAAAATGATCAGGGTCGTCATGGAGTCCAGGATCGGGGGACGAGTCTCTATTACCTCGACGAATGTCATTCGTCAGGGCAACGTTGCCAGTGCCAGACACGAAGGTCCCGCCTTCTTGCAAGCGGTAGAAGTCGCTTGTTTTCTTGCTGGAACCGAACCCGGATGGGAAGAGATACCGGACAATAGGTCGGAGGGTCGGCAGGCATGCGGACACAATCCCAAGTGAAGGCTCAATTGAGCTCCAGATAAATCCGCGGCCAAAGTTCCAAGGAACATCCTCGGACTCATTCATGATTTTGACTGCATAACACCGAAGGGCACCTGCAACACAGGTGCTGCATGAGACGGATACCATGTTAGTATCTATCAAGGGGATCATCTCGCTGCAAGGACACATACAAGGCTCCAAGACCGAAGATGCACATGACGGCTAGTTTTTGAGGAGTTGGCATTTGGAGTTTATAGACCTCGTAGAACGGGGCACCTAGGATGATGAAATCGGTGACAGCTTCGGCAATGCCATTCCCCATGAAGTATGCTTGAACGTCGATACATTCCCCTTTGCCAGGTGGTTCGGCGAATTGCTTCCAGAGATACTGGGTTGGTTTGCACTGGACCAGATTTACAACCATCACACCAACAAACCAGCCAATCGCAAGGAAGGAACACATGTACAAGATGTATCTGAAGTGGGAGATCGCAAAGATCCGGTGATAGAACATAATCACCGACATCTTGATTGCGGGGATCGTGCAGCTATAGATAAATTCCATAGCAAAGACAAGCTAATAGCAAATACACAAGGTTATTGGATGTCACCTCGGGGTTGGATGCAAGTTTAAACTGACCTGGTACATCACTTCCATGTTGATATCGGGGTGCCATATATGCTTGCCCATTCCACCTAGCTTCGCCACTGTGGTTTGAATCTTCAGTTCAATCGTCCATTCAATAATAGGGTATCATATCCCTTACTCAAGATATTGGTCGCACAATTGGCACTCGACAGAACCTGGTAAAGAGCTTAGTCGTCTCCACAACATCGACATGGTGTAGAGCATGCAAACCAACCAATGCTAGTATAATTAGATAGTCATCCCATCTGAACTCAGCTTTAGAAATATATCTTGCCCAAACCCGCAATCCTACCGCGATGACGGCGAGAATTGCCGGAGCAAGCACGGAAGCAATGACCTTGCCCGATCGATCCTCGTAGATGTCAAGACCTGGGGGTGGCGGCGGCAGTTCCATAACATTCGTCCGTTGAAGCCTCGGGCGTTCTATCCCGTCACGACTCGAGCATGCGGGGTTAGAGAAGATGAAGAATCAGTCTGGGTGAGGTGAAAGGTCCAACTAGATATAGAGCAGCACGATTCCCCCGCTAAATACCAAAGTCAGGGGCAGGTAGGGCATGGCGATTAAGCCCTGGGCTACACTTGAAACAGCTCGATTTGTTGGTCTAACTAGCTAGTTCCAGTCAGACTCCTATTTTTGATTGCTTGCCATAATTGGCTGGCTCTTCAGGGTCCATATGGATGATCAGGAAGACCAAGGTGGTAAACGCTAGATACTTTTCCCACCGATCGCGAGTGGCAAGACTAGCAATTGGGATCGTTACATTAGCCTAGCTTCCCGTCTTCACGGAGAAATCATCGCGTAGAAGTCAGACTCTAGTGTCTGATCGGACGAGGACCGCCGACTAGGGAAAGATAATCCCGCTCCAAGCTTTGGACCACTGTTCTTCTGGCTAAACCCGCCCCACTGCTCACCCAATGACCGTAGGAGGGAATATGCAAGAGGGTGAGGATAATCTGAGACCCGACAATCAGGTTTCAACGCCCACAAAATGCCTCAGAGTATACTGCCCGCCTGATGATGCTGATGGTGTGGGTGCCGGTGGAGTTAGTGCTGATGGGGCCACTGCCCGTGGTGGGTATGGGGCGGAAAGGCGGTTGACTCCGCATGCCGATCGTTGAACATATATATCAATATACGCGAAGGAGCAGTCCAATACCATTTTTGAAAGGATATCTTGAGAGTTGTGAAGAAACTGTGGACATACGTATGATATGCGATACATATAAGCTTTCTGCAATGTGATTTAATGTATGCTGACATCTTTACCTGCAACGTCATCAGTATGATTGATGCATAGGAACCAATAAGAACAACACACTTGGAGAAGGCCAAAAGTCCAGCAGATAACTGCATTAATGAGAATAGCTTGAAGATAACCTAGTACTTACCCACAGTAAAGTCACGAGTGCTGTTATATATAGTATCCAGAGCACGCCTCTGGAGATTCTATTATCCCACATAGAAATGTATATCACACTGGATTGTCTTCTAGCCCTCGAAATTATATAGAAGTATGATTTTACCCATTCATGATAGATTTAGATTGTAATTATAGATGATTATCATATACAGGGTGATTAATCAGTTAAAACATCACCTGATAGTAGACTAGGGATCGAAACTTCTAATAATCTGAGCATTTTTCCCTACACATCACTAGTATCATAGCCCTTCATAGTGCCTTATGAAATCATCTACATTGTACTTATCTGTTGGCTTCCTATGATCATGGGGAAAGTTGAGTGTTATTGGATAGTTTAACGCCTTGTCCCGTAAGATTTATATGTGGCCAACATATAATAGTCTTGCTAGATGTGGCAATGTAACATAACTAGTGCGCTAATAACATAGGGTGACTGTCTGACTACTATGCAGCTGGATACAGTGGTATTCAGAACTAGTGGCTTGTCCAAGCCATGATCAACAGCCACTACATCAAATTTCCAAATCACTATTGAATCGGGCTTGATATGACTGGTATTTCAACATAATGTGTGTTCTTAATCAAGTAAATGGATTAAATAGTCTAAAAAAAGAGCCAAGAGGCTAGTGATATACTACTAGTTCATATTTGATGGGCCCAGCTACAAACTAGTAATCTTGACATTTTCTAATCGAAATCTCTTCGGAGCATTCATAATTCTGATCTAGATTATTACTGAAAAATGTAGGACAGGGTTACCATATTGATCATTGAAATGTAAATTCTTACTATAGACTAGTTAGACACAATCTATAAAATTGCATCACTAAATAGATCTATATAGGACATCCCATAGGTTACCTTATTATTCTAGTGTGGTGTGGATTTGGGTATTGACAAGGTAATATGCGAACTACTGCAGACCATCACACCCTATCACATAAGGCTACTAGTATCTACTTTTCAATCAGACTGCCTTGTGGATATCAGAGCACTGCGTTTTCATTAATCAATCTAATCATAATCCAGCACTACGGAATACAGATCCCCATTGATCAAGATTTTGGTTTTTGTATAATGGCATATCCAGCTTTTGTTTATCTGCTTGCTGACTTCCCCATGTATGCAAAGTCCTTCAAGGATTCGTACTCTCGTTTTCAGGATACACAGTGATGACTATGGAAGATAGTTCTATGCTGTGGCTGAAGACAAGACCAGCTAGTAGGTACAGTGCAGGTGGGGCAGGATCGGATCGCCGTGTAATTGGATCTAATATCATCAAGATGTGGAAGTGATCAAGTAGTCTATGAGATTTAATACCCACCCTCCCCCCAATATCTCAACATGGCAAATCATGTTCATTCCCTGATATCCGGGTTATCACTGGAAAGCATGTCCATGACTCGCATTTTGCTAGTGATCGCAGGCCGAACTGGTGCATTTTCCTGCCCAGATTGCTACTATATAAGGGCTCATACCTTTCCCAACTCCCAAGCTGTTTGTTGTATATCCCATACACTTAGATGTCTCTGATTCTATTACTTCCTCATTGGGCTTTTTTGGAACAGCTATCTCACAACATTAAGACTTTTTGGTGTCATATTGACTAGCCTTGGAGCTTCGCCCTCACTTTCTTTCTTTTTTAAAGAACGCTCACTTTCTTCCTTTCTCTTGATGCATACTCCCAAGCTCGTTGCGCTCGCGCTCGGCGTGATACTACCTCATCTCACGCGCGCTGATCCTAGGTGCTCAGAAATCAGCTTCGAAACGACTACCCTTTCCGCCAAGGCTGAGAAAATCGAACTACCTAACCTCAATCTCAACACCCCGGACTTGATTGGTGGCCTTCTTAACCCTATGCTTGGCTATGTCGGTCATATCTGGCCTCTCGTTCCAATTAAAGGCACCTACAGCATAAGTGCAATTTTCTGTGAGCCAGAAACGTACAACGGAGCCGAGGCAGTGCAGCTTTTGGTCCATGGCGCAACTTATAACAAACTTTACTGGTCGGGACTTGGACTTCCACATGATCAGGCTGAGCCCTACAACTGGGCCCGGTTCGCTGCCAACAAGGGATATGCGGTTCTTGCCATTGATCGTCCAGGAGCTGGGAATTCCAGTCACCCGGACCCCTTGCTGGAAGTACAGGCCAACCTTGAGGCTGAAGTCATTCATCAGATTGTACTGCAACTCCGTAATGGCCAGATTGGCGGCAAGAAGTTCCCCAAGGTCGTCGGCGTTGGCCACTCGCTCGGCTCTATTTTTGCGATTAGGGCGACGCAACTTTACCCACAGGATTTCGACGCTCTTGTCTTGACCGGATTTAGCGCGAACTTTGTAGAGAACTTGCCCAAGCTCTTGAAGACAGGGATTCTGCCCGCAAGGGCTGGCATTCCTGAACGATTCGCGCATCTCCAGCTTCTCTATCTCGCTGGCACCATCCGCCGCGCCATACGCGATCTCTTTTATGGCCCCGAGGGAACCTTTGACCCAAAAATTGAACGGTACAATTGGGAGTATCGGGATGTAGTAGCAACGGGTGAGCTGATCACTATTCTGTCGGGATCCACCGAAACGAGCTATTCAGGCCCAGTGCAGATTATCAACGGTCAGCTTGATAGCTTGTTTTGCTCCCCAACAGATGGGATGTGTGCCCCGGGTCCCGGCGCTCCACCTGGCAATACCGCTCCGCTCTTCCCCAGTGCCGTCAATTTTACCACCAACATCATCCCGAACACCGGCCACTGCCTCAACCTGCACCACAGCGCCCGTGAGACCTTTTCCATTGCCCATGACTTTCTCCACGACAATATTGTAGAGGTGTAGGACTTTATGTTTTGTGTGATTGGCTTTTGGATATGAAATTTCTATTTGTTTGGTATGTCTACAATGTTTAGGGACCCTCGTTTTGAGTTAGGTAGATGTATGATCAAGAGCGTCAGACTACATATCACTTGTAAATTCCAATGGAATGAACATTTTCCTGCCTCTGAATCTGAATTCCCAACTCTTTGAACATAAAAAAGTCTCCGACGAGGAGAACAACAAGCAATTTTATTCACTACCAAGCACCTGTGTAGAGTTCCGTGAACCAGCCGCGTAGAGAGTTATTTGAAGTGGCTACATAGAGCCTCTCAAAGTAGCTGTCGCCCAGCACTATTAGACTTAAAGCCATTCCTGAATTTCAAAAAAAAAAAAAAAGAGAGGAATACTTGTGTGCTCCACTTAGCGGTCCTACTAGTGTTGTAACATAAGTATTGGCTTGAGATTTTGTTGCTGTTATCTTTCCTACTAACGTTCCTCAGTGCGCGAAATCTGTATATACTATATACGGTAGTAGCTGCGACATATCAGGTTTGAATCAGCCCTGGATTTTTTCTGCCAAGTGCCACGTCATCTCTAATAGATGCAGATCAACCTTCCGCCCGAAAAATGCTTCGAAACCCTAACTGGCTTGGAGCTGGTGGACTGCCGATCAATGACCTAGATTACCACAGCCTCACGCCCTGCAGCTAGCTATACACCCCGCAGCTTCACAGCCTAACAACCTCGCTGCCTTGTCTGTCCACTGTCGAGGGATATCCACTTAGTCTAGAGAGACAAGAAATTTAAGCCATATGAAGTACCCCCGTTCAATCCACTTAGAGCCATCAATGAACTTACAGCTATGGAGTCAGGCAGAAATAGGAAGGACCCTAATCCAGAACAGCCCTCCCTAGTATTCTCAGCGCCAGTTGAGCACGCGCATCCTCATGCAGGAAAATCTTCTCCTACCCCGCCCCCCTCCAAGGACACGGAGGTGACCGAAGAAAAAACCGCAGACAGCAAGCCACACCACGCTTCCTCAACCATAGACAGCTGGTGGGGATGGGACATACTTGCGCTGTCCCTGGCACTTGCGATCCTGATCGCTATAATTGCCATTCTACGCGTGTATGATGGAAAGCAACGGCCTACCTGGAGGCTGATCTCGCTCAACGCACTTCTCTCGTGGTTGAGCACGGTTGCGAAGGGCTGCATTGCAGTCTGTCTCAGCCCCGGCCTGTCGCAGCTCAAGTGGGTGTGGTTTGCGCAGCAAAAGTGTTGATTGGCAGTGGTTAACATTGCCGTTGCTTGTTCGGTTGCTCGGTGCTGTGACCTGGTTAGGGACAGTGTGGAAAAGCGCCGGGGAAAGTTACCGTGGTGGAATGATAACCCGCTTCCATTGCTGTTTCTCTATCGTGGTGGGGATGATATGCGAACAGACAAAGTGTCGGGGGTGTCGAACTAGGCTTATGAGCAGCGGGGGAAGAGCATTCGTGCCCATCTGTATCTAGAGAAGAATCGGGCAGACTTTGTTGAGTAGCTGCTATGCTCTTAGCTGGCCTGTATTCTCCTTGTCACAATATTATGGATATCACAAACTTTCCATGAAAATTCCACTCATGATTTAGGCAGGTATCAAATTAGGGCTCCTTTCTTCCAGGCGCTATAGTCTCTCTCCTTCTAGTACAGTCTTTACCATACCAGTCTATCCCATGGCCATCTATTACACCCCATTATAATTATCATATAACAGCATATTATGGCAATATAACAAGTAGTTTGTTGATTTGATAAATATTTTTTCCATTAATATCCCTGTGGTGGCTTCGTGAGGTGTTTAGATGCACTATATATTTTGGTCTTCCGAGCTGGCGAATGGAACATTTTGACGAAGAACTGTAGAGCTCTTCAACCGAGCTAAATCTAGTCGTAGAAGAGCCGATAGCGCAAAGCTTACATTATTATAACAAACCCCTTTCACCCAGCTTGGAAAAGATTGGATTCCATAGCAGAGGACTCGATGTAACTGTCATGCATTCAAGTAGGCGACCTACTTGATTAGATAGTCAAGAGGTCATTATAAAACATTTCGTTAAAGTATCTAGTACATACGACCATAGGGTGTGGAGAACAGGGCTTCCCGTCCGCTCAGCCGTACTTAAGCCACACGCCGGCCGGTTAGTAGTATGGTGGGTGACCACATGCGAATCCCGGCTGTTGTATGTTTTATTTCTTTTTTGTTTTTGTTTCGATTTTTATCTTATTCAATCTATGTTTATTTTGTTTCCATTTGCTCTAATATATTATATCCTATATTATGAATATACACTCTTTGTACGAGCTCCCGGTGACCCAGAAGCAATATGCTAAATCCTGCCCCGGTCTCAACCACCATCTATTTCCCTTTCGCCCCCCTCAACCAAGGAAAAGCGCAAAGCACAACCGCGAGCGCTACACTAGCCAGCGCAGTATTAAACCACTGGGCAGCCCTTAAGCCTCGCAGAAACTGGCGACCAGGGTTGGCCGCTCCGTGGGTGTCGACTGCACCCTGCACGGCGGTCGCAATCAGCAGCCCGAATGTCCTCCCCAGCTGGTTCGAGGTGCTGAGCAAACCCGTCCCGACGGAATGATCACACCGGGGAAGCACTTGGACAATCAAAAGAGTGAGGACTGGCCAGACGATGTCGGCGCTGATGCACAGGCACATCGCAGGAAACCCCCACGCCCAGTAACTGGTGTGGGGAGGGATGGGCACGGAAAATAACAGCGGCGAGGTGAGGCTGCAGACGGTGGCGAAGACGAGTAGATAGACGTGGGGAATTGATGATAATGCTTTTGGGATGACAGCAAGGGAGAGGACTGGTTGGTTAGCTACTTGTATCGCCGGCAGCATCGCATGGAAAAAAGAAAGAAAAGCAAACTCACTGCCTGCTAGACCAGCGGGAAGGAACCGCAGTGTGGTATCAAGGGGACTCAGTTGGAGACTATCCTGGTAACTGTATTGATCGACGCCGGACAAATGGTCAGCCACTGGGTTCTGGAACGGAGAGCTTCCAACGGAGAAAAAACGTACAAATACGTTGCAAAATATAAAAAACTCTGGAATGAACCAAAGAAGACACAGGCAATGAGCAACGACAGGGAGACGTGAAAATTGTGCAACAAGGATAGCCGGACCAACGGCTGCCGTTTGGTGCGATGTTCAAGATACCATTGCCAGGCGCAGAAGCCGACGAGCATGAGAGCCGACACGACGGTGAGGGAAGGTATCCAGGGGCGTTTCCAGCCAAGGGAACATCCCTCGGTGACAGAAACTAGAAGCATCAGAATCCCACCGGTGCTCATCAGTGCGCCGACCCAATCCAGGTCACGCCCTCTTCCCCCTTTGGCTCCTGCACCTGTGGCTGACGGAAAGCGGGGGATCATGATAAAAGCTGCGACTGATATGGCCGCCGTTACAGCAGACAGGATCCAGAAAACCCACTGCCACGTCAGGCTCGCTCCGATCAAGCCTCCCATGATATTCCCGACCACAGACCCGAGCGAGGACATGGCACCGTGCGCGGCAAAGGCGAAGTTTCGCCGCGGCCCGGGGGAAAAGCTGGCCCCGAGGATGCCTAATGCTGAAGGTAATGTGGCGGCTGCGAATGCGCCCTGTAAAGCGCGGACAATGTAAAATGGGATCTCCTGCGGTACAAATGGTGGGATGATTGTCGTGAGCGCTAGCAGAGTCGAGCCCTGGAGGAAGACGGCGCGTCGACTGTATAGGTCCGCCAGGGACCCCCAGAGTAACAGTGTACAGCCCATGGCGACATTGTACGCCGAGCCTACCCACTGCTGCCGGCTCGCCGGTATCTTGAGCGTCGACGCTATTGAGGGGAGAATGATCACAGTGCTTTGGACCATGGCAATCTTGAGACTTGCTGTCAGCTCACGCGGATAGAGGTTGGGCAGGGTTTAAGAGACTATATACACGTACATTCAAGAATCCCGAGCATGCTAGGATCATCACTAGAAAAAATTGCTGGACCGCGGAGAGTGAGGACTCTGTCGGTTGTTCTGGCTGGGATATATCGGAGGTGTTGGTATCTCGGGAATGAGGCATCTCTACCGCATCATCCTGGTGGGTTGTCTTCATACTGTTGGACTTCGTGCAATCCGAAGAAACAGGACCTACGTAAATGGGAACATATAGTCATCGGAATATTGTTGGAGGCAAATATATCTGTGTTACGCATGTTACTTAATATCCCGAGAAATAACTAATTCTTCAGAGCAACCAGGGGAATTGAAGTAAAGGGATGAAGTAAGGGGGTCAGAGATGATCAGTCTTGCATATTCGGTGCTTCTCAGCCATACATTGGCCAGGGGTTAGAAACCAAATGATAGGTTTTGTATGTCTACCGATGACGAATGGTTGGATCGGACGATGGGCTTTGCTTTTAGAATTCAACCTGAAGCAACTCATGACGTCCCCCGCTAGTTGTGGACATCAACCCAAGTCTGCTACCCGGCCTCGAGATGAAAGTCCAAGCCTCCTTGCGTCCTCCACGCATTTGTTCTTCATCTCTTGAGTTGGAAGGTTAGTCATATCAAGCCCCACCGGATACCGATTCGGTATTTTGGAGCAGTGGCCAACATCTTATTTACCGTGTCGAAGTAAGAAGACACGCGGAACAGCCACAGTCCTGGAGCGAAGAAACTCGCCTGTGTTCTTACCAAGGACATCCACACTGGACGAGGAGTTGAAACCGCGGTCGAGGTGCGAATGGAGCAAGAAATGAACCGTCCTTGTCCCAGGAATCTCAAACCGCTCAATCGCGTTGCCAGTGTATTCCTCCGGACCCAGCAGTTCTTTGATCCGTTCGCAGGTGAGGAATGTCCGCAGCCATTCCCATTCGTCATCGTGCTGTACGAAGAATCCGACATTGCAGTCGGCCCCTTTGTCTCCTGATCGTCCACAAGCAAGGCGCCCGAGTGGCGCTTGGTCCGCTTCTCCGAAGATTGCCAGATCGGCGGGCTCCTGGGTGTCGTAGGATGGCTGTGCCCCGTAGACTTGCGTGTTCTCGGGGGGATCGACCGGGACGACGCGTTGGTCGCCGAACAAGCAGTGGACCTGGTGGCGGAGCGCCTTCTGCGGGATCAGCCCGGTGAGGTAGTTGTAGTATAACTTAGGGCTCGCTTGTCGCGGATCGTTGGTGGGTGTAAGTGCCTGTGCGCCTCGAATGTTAGTGAGATGGATCGATCGACCATCTCAAAGAAAGATGAAACGCACCGGACAGCTTTGCAGAAAGGTTGACATGCACCATCGGTAGAGGCCACGCGGAACATCTGGCCGCAGAATCTCGGGATCCCGAGTCTGCGCAAAAATGCGGAACAATATCGTGGCGTCGTCCTGTCGGGGCGTATCCAGCACGGGGGAGCCGACCCGATGGAACCGCAGCTCGGTAAACCGATGGACGTCATCTCCCATGGCGTGCCGAATTTGCTCCTCGGTCCACCGGCACTTTTCGTCGATATCGAGCCCGGTCATGAAGGCGTGGAACTCAGCTTGATATCCTCCCCTCGTAGTGATACCGACCTTGGTAGTTGGCGGCGGTGGTAGTCCCCGGACCCCCTTGACTCGAACCACATCCGGCGCGACATTCTCCATCGACACGCCGGAGATGTCGGCCACTACGTCGGAGTTTAGATAAAATGGCCCCTGAATTTCGTAAATGAGCTGGGAGGTCAAGGACGGAATTGTGACACACCCTCCGGTGTCTCTCTCTTTGGATATCGTGAATTCGCCGTCGGCTTCTACCTCGGCGATGGGAAACCCGATGTTGATGTGCTTGCGCTGGCTCAATAGATCCTTGAACCCGGCGTAGTTTCCACCTGGAATGATTTCAGTAAGTGCAGCTATCAAAAGGAAAGCCCTTCCCGGGTCATGAGATACATACCGGTCGCATACCCCGAGCATTCAATCAAATGGCCGGCGATCAGGGCGCGAGCGAGTTGATTATAATCGGTCGGCGTCCATCCATGCCACCATCTACATAGATGGATTCATTAGTCGCCATTCATCAAAAGAGGTAGTATTGGGGGTCACAAGTCCCTCCATATCTCAATCGGCCTTGACGACTTACGCTGCGGCTCCAACTACCGGCGAAGCGTCAGAAATCCGACCGCAGAGAACGACGTCCGCGCCCTGTGACAGGGCAGCAGCAATCCCCCAGCCCCCGAGGTAACACTGGGCGAAAACACACTCGGGATCGATGCTGGCCGCTTGCTGACTGGCAATGCTGATGGGACCCAGTTGGTCTTTTCCAGTTGCTATCTGATCCTTCAGCACGGTGGTCACATCGTCTCCTTCAACCCAAGCAATGCGCAACGGGCTACCCGCTTGCTTTAAAATCGCCTGACAGTCCCGCGCTAGACGGGGTGTGTCCGCGGCGCCGGCATTCACTACCAGCTTGATTTTGTTGCGGGAGAGATGCGGGATGGCGGGCTCAAAGCATTGGAGGAACTCTTTGGCGTATGCTGGTGGCCCTGGCTGATCCTTGCCTTTGTCGCCGGCTTCTAGAGCCTGAGCCTTGACGGCCGCGGTGGAAGCCATGTTAGACTCGGATAACCAGTCTCCCATGATCACATCGATGCTGGGGTCCTGTGCAAAAGACAGGATGCTGTCCCAGCGATCGGTGTTTCCTCCGGCGCAGCCGGCAATCCGAACTGGCTTGGATGCCACCGTCATCTTGATCGGAGTATGGAGGAATTGTTGCTAGAAATCAGTGGACAGAGAGGGCTGGTTTCGACGTGCGAGAATGGGCGCGGATAACCTTGGTTTGGGGCTTACGGACTGCTTATGGAAACCCTCGCACGGATAAGGGACCTCACCGGACAACTTCGACTGGCAAAACAGTGGGAGCAACATGGTGACGTATGGTAGATGAGCTTGCGCTTCCATACCCTCGTATAGTTGTTTGCTTGAGTTGAACAGGGTGGGCTTGCAGAGTAGATTGGTCACGGATGACCAGAGTCCCCTCAGCTAATGCATTTATTCAGGTATGGTACGGGGTACATTAGTTGCTGATGATATGCTTGACAGAGATAGATTTCAGGTCAGTGGCCTCTACATGCATGCATGCATAGACCAAATGCGCTGCGCTGGTGCCCAACTGCGAATATCATTGCTTCATCAAACATAGTGCCCGATGAATGGGCAGTCTGCAGACTACGGGGCCTGAGCGAATTCAACGATTCTGCCTGAACGACAACGCTGGTTTCTCAATCAAGATACAGGGTTCTTTTTGATTTATAAAGGAGGGGGCGAAACGTAGAAACAGGGCTGATGATAATAAAATTCATTGCCGACCATCACTACCATCGTCGATACCCTCGATTCAGCCCGCCTTTCGCATCAAGCCATCCTTGACCATATCCGCGAGAGAAAAAGAAACATGGGACACAACGATATTGTCGTTCCAGAGCCAGCAAGGCTTCTGCAAGACTTCCTCGACCGGCGAACATGGGTTCAATACGTACAGTTTCGATGGATTGACTTCTCTGGAGTCTTGAGGGTCCGGGTAGTGACCAAGGAGTACGCCGTTGAATTGGCGACGCAGGGAACGTTCCTGAAATCTTCGCCCATAGCATTTCGATGTATCGTGGACAACGCCCGCGTTCCTGGGGTAGATTTCACCACGTCCAACGTGTACCAGCCAGATTGGAAGTCAATCTGCTCGGCGAGGGGGCGGAAGGGTCATGCGGCGAAATATGCGGCGGTGATGTGTGATGTCTCCGAGACGTCTCTTGGCATGCAAGCACTCAGACAGAAGTGCCCGAGACAGGGGCTAGCCAATGTTCTTCGAGCTGGCGCAGACAGCTTGGGCCTAGCCTTCCTGGTGGGCTTCGAGATCGAGCTGATCATTATGCATCTCTCGCCCGTCAGTGGCGTATTCGAACCGTACAGCTCGGGCTTTGGACGCTATTCGTCTCACGGCTTGCGACATCCGGCCTTTCGGTTGGTGGAGAAATGCGTGGAGGAGCTGCGTGCGTCTGGGGTCTGCATTCAAGGCTTTCACACCGAGGGCTTCCGCGGCCAGTATGAGATGTCACTGGGCCCGTTACCGCCAATTGAAGCTGCCGACCAGCTGGTCTTCGTCAACGACAAGATCAAAAGCATAGTATCCGAGCACGGTTATTACGCCACCATGTCCCCGAAGCCGGTGGCTGACTGGCATGCCAATGGACAGCATACGCATGTGTCCGTGTCTCCTAGCGGCTGCGAGGGACATTTCTTGGCCGGGATATTGCGGTGCCTGCGTGGCATATGCGCCTTCACCATGCCGTACGAGGTTTCCTACCAGCGTGTCACGCCCAACGAGGGGGGCATGGGCGTTTCATGGGGATCGGAGAATAGGGCGGTGCCGGTTCGTCGAGTCGCGGCTGGCCATTGGGAGATCCGCTGCGTCGATGCGACATCTAACGTCTATCTGTCTTTGGCCATCATCTTGGGTGCTGGGATTGTGGGTGCCCAGAGGAAGGAGGCCTTGCGTTGGCCCGATGCGTCCACCGTTTCCCTTTGCGCAGAGGCCCCCGAACCCCTCCCAAATTCACTGGCAGATGCGCTCGAATCGGTCAACGAAGACTTCGCTGCAATCACGGCGGTGGTCGGGGATGATGTGATCCCCCGGTATCTGCAGCATAAGCGACATGAAATGACGGTGCTAAAGGCCATGGAGCCAGAATATGTGCGAGGACTGTTGATCGAAACCTTCTGATGAAATGTTTGTCCCTGCAAGTAGTAGATTAAATTGAGTTTGCTCCTCGCATACTAGTTGTTTGCCATCCAAGAATTATATCGCTTTTCACACATGTCAGCCAGCCACTTGTATTGTCAGCCAGCCACTTGCATATGTTAGATGGTACCGAGCGGGGTCTAGATAGACATGCAGGTGGTGGGTCGATTCTATTTTGCCCTGACTAATGTTGTAAGATCCACCTCGTGGTGGGTTTGCTCGATTCTACGTATGCCGTAAGTGAAAAATGAAGATTTTAGGATCTATAGATTGCATTTATGATATGTTTGGAGATATCGGAGTAGTGGAGAGCGTGGATATCTCCGTGAGCTAACCCTGCCCTATGAAGAAATGGGGTCAGCTCCAATGTCTAACGGTAAACAAGCACAAGGGCTATCGTAATCAACATAAATGTACCAATGGCCTAACAATTTGTTGTCATTTCCCGAGTATCATGATAATTGAGAACCCGAATGTAGTATACGTATCTCGAACTCATCGTCGCCATAACAAAGAAACCATGCCAACCAGTCATCCTCGCCAAATTGTCGACCCTGTACTGGAGACATGGATATCACGTCAAGAGCACTCATCCTCCACTGCCGTGGCAAGTTGATCCAAACCATCAAATCTCCAAGAAAAAGAAACCCGATCCTGCAATACATGCAAATCCCCGCCCATCCCGCTCCTCCGCTCCTTGCCTCGCGAGATCCACACGCTATCAATCCCCAATTCTTTGGCAGGGACGTGGTCATGCACCAGGCTCTGTGCGACATGCAACACCTGGCTCCTGTCAATCTCAAATTGGTCATGGAGCTTGGAGTGAAGATGATCGAAATTGCGATGCGCCGGTTTGTAGGATCCGATGTCTTCGGCCGTGCAGATGACGTCGAAATGCACTCCGTGGAGCGGGCCCGCGAGAGTCTGACGGAAAGAGTCGTTGTCTACGTTGGATAGGATGGCCAGTCGGAAGTGGCGACTTAGTCGGTGTAGGGCTTCGTGTGTATCCGGGAAGGCTTGCCATCTTTGAATCGAGTCGGAAAATGCTTCAGCTTCGTGCTGGGTCACTCCGAGCGCTAGGGAGGCGGCGATTTCTTCGTATACCTTGCGTAGAACTGCGGTGTAGAGCATTGTAGGGTGGCGCTGCATGATGCCTGCCTTGGCTATCTGAAAGACGGACAGAGCATCTACCGTCGAGGTACGTAGAGAGTGATCCTCAGGTAGTCGAGACAGGAGTGGGGCTAGGGCTTGCAGCAGGCCATTTTCCCAGTCCACCAGCGTCCCGTAACAGTCAAATGAGAGGGCCTGGTACTGGCTGAAGCGACGGGGGTGCTGAGAGACAGTCATGGTGTTTGTTGTGATGTAGACAGAATGCAAACTTCGACGAGAGAGCAGGCTGGCTGTGCCTTTTTATCACTGCGTCCCAGTACATCACCTGCAGCCTCCACTTGTAAGGTCGCACTCTTTCTCGAGGCGGTCATACCCGACCTCCAGTGAGGGGTATAATTTCCTCTTTCCTATTTTTGCTTTTACAGTGTTACCTAAAAGCCACTTTATGCGCCGTGCGTATCAAGCAAACAGAAAGGCCGCTGTGGATGCAGCTGGAAGTGTGGTGGACCACGCAGTGGATCGGAGCCGATGGACTGTCCCTGGGTATGATGTCCCAAATCATTTGTGATGGATGGTCTGATAGACAGGGCTGACTATAAATATTCGAATATCGAAACCAAGGTGTTCAGCCGTTGAGTAACCCTATTGGAAGTCAATCGCAGCCAACCTCCTGCCTCTGTAAGAACGACACTCGCACTGCACCATGGGATCGCTAGGACAGCCGATGGAGGGTCTCCCGGTCGCACAGCTTGATGTAATCGATTACTCTCGACTTTCGAAGAATGACACCCAAGAAGTGCAAAGGCTACTTAAGGCATGTACGCAAGAGGGTTTCTTCTATCTGGACCTGAGCGGGGGCGACTCCCGCGTTTTGTCTCAGGTGGATCGGGTCTACGCCTTCATGGAAGAATGGCTCGGTCAGTCGCATGAAGAAAAGATGAAGAACTACCAGACCAACTATACGGATGGGTAAGCACTGAGGAAAAGAGAGATCACACCCATCGTTCGTCGACTGATGCGGCTCCTCAGGTACAAACCCACCGGCTACTTTGCGGGCGTCGACGACAAGAGCCGAGATAACTCTGAGACTCTCAAGGTGGGCTTGCCCATGTCAGGCTGTTAATTCAGCCAATGAATCCAATATTGATGCAGAGAACTCCCCCTTCAGGTCTCGCACAAAGCGTTCACAACTACGCCACCGTCGCTTCCCCAGGGGGTGCAAAAGCACGGAGACATGCTCCATTCTTACTTGGACACGGCAAGCGGCATAGCTATTCAGCTTCTCTCTGCGCTATCCGATGGGTTGGGATTGAAGGACTCGGAGCGATTCGAGGCTTTTCATGCCGACCGTGAGGATTCCAACTCGACCCTTGTCCTCCTCAAGTATCCGTACATCGACCCAGCGACTAGAAACAAGCAAGTGGGCCACAACAAACACACCGACATCGGGAGTATCACGATGCTTTTCACAGACCAATGGGGGCTGCAAGTAATGCGGCCTGGGTCTGACAAGTGGGAATACATCGAACCTAGTCCGTCATGTGCCATAATAAACGTAGGCGATTGCCTTCGTTTCTTGTCCCAGAAGAAACTGCTATCCTGTCTCCACCGGGTTGTTCCAGCGGAGGGTAGCACCGCGGATCGGAACACCATTGCCTACTTCCTGAGACCATCCAATAAAGCCACATTTGTCGACAGCAACGGTGAGCTTTCGACTGCCGCTGACTGGCATGATCGGAAGTATGAGGTGTTCCGGAGTACGCACGACGACCAGCGGAAGGACACTATCCTCACGGGTGGTCTTGAGGCCGAAGGAAAACTCTCCGCATGATTGGAATTGAGCACCACCGATTCGGACCTGAGCATCTAGATATCTTGCGAAAATAGAGAGTGAACCGTGGAAGAAGATACAAGACACACCACGAGTAGATATGACCTACTCGTGACAGACCAGCATGTACTAAGAAATTGATTCTTTTCTACCGAAGTGGAGCGAACCCCAAAATCGTAGTACTTGCTGGTATTATATTGAACATACAGTAGAACAGCCGCGTGGTCGTATGGGACGAGCGAATTCCCTTGCAAGATAATTGTAGGAAAACTTCACGTGTCCATCTGCCCTAGAATGGAGTAGATATTGTTATGCAAAATCCATGTAATGACAGTGTGCATGTACATAGCACGGCTAGAGTGATCTGCTCAAGTAATTTTAACATTATCCAGCCCTTGAATCCTCCCTTTGCAGCCCTCCATCTCATACCTCCTTCACCGTGCCTGACCAGGATCTCTGCTGCACGAAATAACACCTCAGAGTAACCGTTCCCTTGATATAAACTGTTCTAATACTAACTCTCCCTCTTTCCTTTTATTAATACAGAATAACCATCTACTGGGCAAGGATCTACAAGCACCAGAGGCCTTCTCTCCCTGTTTTGGTAGATGAGTAGTGAAGCCCAAATTATCAAGACTAATCACATAAATCTCGCGGCCGAATGTCGGGGCCATTAAAAAAAAAAAAAGCCTGGGGCATGAAGAAAGGAAAAAAATGTATATAATAAAAAGTGTAATGACACAATGGTCTTTAAGAGCATACCTCCCTCTCTTTGCGTTTTGATTTTTGGGTTTGGAGTACCCAGCCTGCTCCGACTTCGGATTCTCCACATGGCTTCATCCGAAGCTCTACAAGGCCCATGCCACCCACGGCATGTACAGTATAACCATATGATATATTGTAGCCGAGTCTTGCCAAGGGTATAAATGCAGATTTCTTGCACGCAACACGGAGTAGCGGAACTACGTAAGTTATTCGGAAAACGGTGGTTCCCTGTCTACTTTGGGCAAGGATCGGTTATCATCAATTTTGAATTACTTTCGGATCAGATAATAGAACCAGTGGACGAGATCAGCACTGATCAGCATGCACATCGGATTGCAGTCGAAACCGCGTAAGGGGCACCTTTGAACGCAGTACCCACTGTTATTTCCGACCTATTCTTGGCAAGGACCAGTGGATCTTGCACATGATGTTTGTACGTGGAGGGGCTGAGATTTGTAACAAGCCGCTGCCGTTATCTCTAAATCGATGTGCTGATGTCATTGTGTTGGATGAGGACTTTCCGGACGCTTTATATAAGCTCGCACTGTAAGCTAAATTAAGGTTCTGGAGGCGTATAAATTGGATAATCCGATTGTACTGGAAGTGTCTGTCGTGGTACGAGCGTCTGGGGAGGGCGGGTATAGCCTGTGTTCTCGAGACCATCTTATAGGGATGCCCTACGCCTATTGTAGAGTATGTATATACACGAAATCCATCCGTACAATCATATAACAAAATTCACCGTAACTCAAACGAGATACAGTAGAACCATGGCTTCTAGACAATAGATTGAACACCATGTTGGAATTAGAGAAGCACGTGACATGTTTCAGGAAGGAACCAAGACCAAATAGATTCTGCTTTCCTCCTGGTTTCTTCTTCGGTAGAGAGGTCGTTAAACAGAGGAGGAAAGAAATTGAAACTCCGTTGATAACTAAACTACCGAAATCCAATGAAGGAAACCCGACCTGACGCGTGTCCCAGGATAGCCATATTGGATGTTGTCACGGAACAGGTCGGCCTAGCCTCAGGGGGGAGCCATAATACTCGTTTCCTGTCCAAAGCTATCCAAAAATCTTGCTGTAGAGATATTGTTGGGATTGTATCGAGTGAATTGAAGATAGGACTGCCAGGCCTAGATTGAATCTTCAGTGACCCTAGATTAGTCCGGAGAGATAAAACATCTTCAGCAAATTTGAGATCTGTGACAGTCTCTTTCATGGTAAAGATTTGTTTTAGGTAACCTGTCGCGGTGTCCCAGAGCCGCACTGTCTGGTCATAGGAGTAAGATGCCAGTAGCTGGTCATCAGGCGAGAAGGCAGCAAGATAAACTGAACCTAGATGACCCTCAAGAGTCCGTTGCAGCGTGCCTTTTTCCACATCCCACAGCCGCACTTTCTGATCATAGCAACAGGATGCTAGTAGCTTGCCATTATATGAGAAGGCTACTGAATAAACTGCGTCTGAATGATCATTCAAAGTCTGTTGTAAGGAGCCTGTTACCAAGTCCCAGACCTGTACTGTCCTATCAGAGGAGCCAGATGCCAGTAGTTTATTATCAGTTGAGAAGGCCACTGAAAAAATTGTGTTTGAATGACCTCTAAATGTCTGTTGCAGGACACCTGTCACCAAGTCCCAGACCTGTACTGTTGTATCAGGGGAGCCAGCTGCCAGCAGCTGATTGTTAGGTGAGAAGGCTGCTGAGTATACTGACCCCAAGTTCGAGTGACCCTCAAGAGTCTTCTGCAGAGCACCTTTCACCGGGTCCCAGAGCTGCACTACATTATCATAAGTGCACGATGCCAGCCGCCGGCCATTAGGTGATAGGAACACTGAATGAACTGGGTCTAGATGACTTTGATGATCCTGTTGCAGGACGTTTGCTGTTAGGTCCCAGAGTCGTACTGTTTTATCACTAGACCCAGATGCTAATAGCCAGCCATTAGGCGAGAATGCCACAGATATGACAATGCTTGAATGACCCTCGAGAGTCTGTTGCAGCGCACCCGTCGCCGGGTCCCAGAGCTGCACCGTCCCACTAGAGCCAAATGCCAGCATCCGACCATCAGGTGAGAAGGCTACTGGCTGATCTCTATCAATCATGAAAGTCTGCTGCAGGGCGCCTGTCACGGGATCCCAAAGCTGTGATGTCCCGTTACAGGGCCCGGATGCCAGTAATCTGCCATCAGCTGAAAAAACCACTGACCCGCCTGAATAACTCTCGAGAGACTGCTGTAGGACGCCTGTTACTGGGTCCCAAAGCTGTAATGTCTTATCACTGCAACCAAACGCCAATAGCTTGCCATCAGGTGAAAATGCCCCTGAATAAGTGGCGCGCCAGGTATTCTCAAGAGGGTGTTGTAGGGCCTCAATAGTGTGCTGTAGGGTGCCTGTCACTGGGTCCCAAAGCCGCACTGTCTTATCTTTAGAGCAGGAAGCTAGCAGCTGGCAGTCTGGTGTAAATATAATTGAAGAAATATCACCTGAATGACCCTCAAGAGTGTGTTGCAGAGCGCCCTTCGCGGGGTTCCAAAGTTGCACTCTATGACAAATAGAGCTATATGCCAGCAGCTGACTATCAGGCGAGAAGGCCACTGGCCCGCCTACATATTCTTCAATGGCCCCTATATAATCCTCAATAGTCTGTTGCAGGGCGCCTGTTTCTGGGTCCCATAAACGTATCGTCTCATCACTGGAACTAGATGCCAGTAGCCGGCCATCAGGTGAAAAGATTACCGAAAAGATGCCATATGGTAAATGACCCTCAAGAGTATTTTGTAGAGCACCTGTTTCAGGATTCCAGAGTCGTATGGTGTTGTCACGAGAGCAGGATGCCAGCAGTCGGCCATTAGGTGAGAAGGCCACTGAAGAGATATAGTCTGAATGACCCTCGAGCGTCTGCAATTCTGCACCCCAGTTTTCATTAACCTCTGGCAAGCAGGATATCCAACTAGGAAGGTCCTGCTCGAACTCTCCGCGAATTATTGATGCTCTAGGCGCAAATACTAGTCCTGCGCAATAGATCTGAAGTGGCGCTTCATCGGCGATCTGGCGATTCTTCAGGACGAACCGCTTTGCATCATGTAGAAATTTGACTAGAGCAGAACCGTCATTATCCTATTCTTATTAGTATAATACACAAATGGCGGTCTAGTATATACTTACTGATACAACGGTGTGAAGGGAATCAAGCATGCCGACCACGTCTGACATAAGGCCCAGCAAGCTCATTGCTTCTAGCCAATGCAGAAAATGCTTCTGTAAAAACATTCGTATCTCTTCTACTTCAGAAGATAGATCTTCGCTTTGCGTGAGATGATATACCCAGTAGCGACAAGAGTATTGCAATTCCAGTGGTAAATATTGGCGGATCTCTTCGGGATTGATGTCGGCCCTAAGCACTCCAGGGTCTGCTAGATTGCAGATGTCTTTCCGTAAACAATTATGCATGGTTTTGAGACAGGTCTTCGCAATATCCTTGTTCTTTTTCGGCTCTTTCACATGAAACCTAGCTGTAGACTGAACTAAGAAATCTCGGAATGATAGATGTAGAATTCTAACGGGCTGGTCTCGGTCATGAGGAACGCTCAAGACTGATCGGAATGAATCTAGTCGATTGCTGATCTGGTCTGCTCCTAGACCAAGAAAATTTGATAGTCCATTTATAGAAAGCGGGACAGCAAGCACGATAATAGTTCCTATAATGTCGTGAAACTCTTGCAGGAGCTGTTGCTGCTCAAATGCGTCACTCTCCTGATCGTCAAGCAGTCGTGTCAGGATCGGCAGGTATGTCTTGTCCATTCTTGATACATATTTTGCTTGATCTTTTAGAAGCTCTTCGAGGCGTAACCTGGGCTCCCATTTTGAATTCTCGATGTAACGACACACAGTGGCAGCCGAGATGAACAGTGGAATAGAAATCCTGACCAGCTCTTGGATAATATCATCACCAGGCCAGTCATCAGAGATTTTTCTATCTCGTTTGATGCTTGCAAACTGATTCTGCAGAAATAAGTATATGTCATGTCCTGTCACTTCTTCTGGTATGTCATGAAGAGCTAGGCTTTGATATGCATGATCCCCGAGCTCTGAAAACCCGAGATTGACTGGGAGCTCAGGCCTGCTAGTCAAGAAGATCTGAAGATGGACTGATTTGACTTTCTGCAAAAGAGGTAGTAGCCGAATGATATTTCGGGTGTCTTGGTCATGCTCGCACTCATCTAAAGCGTCGATCACTATCACAGCGGATAGAGGTTGTCCGTCGGGTTGGAGATTGAGCAGCGGTTGAAGGAGTAGTTTGTCAAACTGCTCCCCGAGCGACTTCGACGCAATATCAGGGTCCTGATCGAGTGACTTTCGCACACCTGGTCTCAACTCAGGGTACCAGAGTATCAGTTGTCTTGTTAACGTCGGGAATAGCTTCTTTGCGTTGCCTCGGTCTCCCTCACCCCTTTTGAAGAAGAAGCTTGCACCCAGGTGATTAGTGTCCTTGAGCAACCCTGCCACTGTCCGAGATATTGTGGATTTTCCTGTCCCTGCCATCCCCTTCAACCAAAAAATACTTTGTTGGGACGGCGACTTTGCCCATCCCATTATCTTCTGGAGGAGCTCAGTCCGAGTACCTTGGAGGCATTGGACCTCGTCTCGATCAGAGAATGACTCGAACCCTGCCTCCAATACGCCTTCCAGCTGCTCAAACTCTATATATTGATTGATACGATCATTGTCTTGGACCATGTCAGCCAACAGAGCACTATGTATACCTGAAGTTAGTCATAAAGAGCCAGAGCATCACATTCAGAATACGTACGTTTGATCCACCTGTAAAGACAAGAGGAATGAAGAATTATATCTCTCTAATTTTCTGATAACACCCTCGACCTCTGCGCGTTTTAGGGGCCACTTCAAGGACCGTAGCCCCATCTTCCTCATCAGATTTTTCCCTTTCCCCGGATTCAGTTTCGCCTCTAACGCTTGGAGGTCGGAGAGGCAATCGGCGATATTGCTGACTAGCTGCGAGGAAGTCGGTAGAGCCTTTTTGTTGTTGCCCTGAAGGAGTTTCTGTAGCTCTTGAAGTGTTCCATGAAGACCTGTAATTTCCTGTTGTAGGGATATAATGTCGTCTCGTGCATCTTTCACTTCTTGGATATAACCCCCGCAAAGCTTCACGAGGCCGGCCGTCACTTGTATCACGCTGATAACCGTCGTCGCTGAGGCTAGCACTTCCATTTGGATGAACCCAGCATAAAAATTCTATTCCACAGGTGGGTAAGATGGGTGAGGTAGGTGAAAGAATTCGCGTTTGGAAAGTTGGTGGGGCTTTTCTGACGAGTGACTGCGGGGTCAGTTAGTCGTAGCGCACGAGGCTGTGATCATGCTGTAGCAACCACAGGGCTAAAACCCCTTTCAATCACCGCCTACTTGACCCCACATCTAAAATAGATAGTGTGGATATATTATATCTGTTGTCCTTGACTTGATCTGGTAATGCATATCCGTTTCATTCTGTTAAACTTACTGTCTCTTCGAATCTCCTCCTTTCAGGATGCCTTGTCCTACAACTGGTCCCGACCCTCATAAAAGTGAGATAGTCTCTCTATTAGATAGGCGATTTAGCTCAGATGATCTGTACTCTACGTGGTCAGGATTATCAATTATACAAAGCTATTTGTAACAACAAGCGACGTTCTCGGAACTAGGAAGTTACAAGTTTCGACCATATGTCAACTTTATGAAGAAACCATACAGAGCGTGGTCTGACATGTACAGAAGACCAGTCAAAACATCAACTCAAAGAGAACCAAGTTGCCTGAAATCTACAACAAGATCTTAAAATCGGCCCAATAAGGGTTGTGGATGAGACGTTAGTATAGACCATGACTCCGTTCTAGAGCCTGGACATATGAATATTGGCCCATCAGATGATTTTGGTAGAGACTAAAAGCCTACTTTGGCGAGCTGAAATAGCAGTAACTTGAATTCTAGTAGAACCGAAGCAAAACCTAGTTTTGATACTATAGTAGCACCAGTCTGACACCCGATTCAGTAAATGTCACTAATATATCGGTCATTCTTGAGTGTGTCCAACCACTCCAATGCATCCGTCTCGCTGTTTCCCGTCTTCTCCATCCAAATCTGCCTCCACGTTGCGGCTGCGCTTCTTCCAACCTTGCCGGCACTTCCGCAAATGTATATGCTTGCTCCACTCTCAAACATACCCCAGACCCGCTCGCGCTGCTCCCATAATGCATCCGACACGTAACGTTTCTGACCTCCTTCGAATTTTGAAAAGCAGGGAACAAGCTCCACAATCCCTTCTTGCTCCCAGGTTTCGAATTCAGATCGGTACATATAGTCCTTCTCGGGATGTCTGCAGCCGTAATAGAGCAGAGCGGGGCCAAGTCTGCGCTGTTGGGCGCGAGAAAGGGCCGCTCGTTCTTGGCAGAAAGCACGCATAGGAGCGATGCCAGTCCCTGCAGCAACCATAATAACAGGCGTCTCCGTATTTGAAGGGAGCTGGAAGGGAGTTTTGTTCGGTCGAATGCAGCACAAGATTGAGTCTCCTGGCTTCCGACTGCCAAGGTAGGAGCTTGCAACACCACGGAAGGTGCCGTGACCACTCAGGGCCTCGGCCTCGAAGACGTCAAACGTAACGCTCGCGGCAATTGAGTCACCGGGTGAATTCTTACTTGTTTCCCCGGGGAACGAGGAAATGGAATATACCCGTGGCGACAAGGGGAGGAGCAGGTCAATGTAGACCCCGAAGGGTAGGTCAAGGTGTGGAAACTCCTCGACAACATCGATCACCGAGTATCTCTTATCCAAAATCTGCTGGTAATTCGTATCGACATGCATGTTCTCCAGCTGTGTACGTTCGTCGCTACCGTCTTTGGCGAAAGAGGCCAAGATCTCGAGCTGTCGTTTGCTGATAGGCGCCGCAAGTTCGACCCTGTCCTGAAGGAATCGCTCCACTGCCATCGGTCGACTGGGGAGAAACTCCTTTTTGCTTGATTGAACGGTCATCAAGTCCCCAATAGACAGACCGAATCGAGACATAACTCGGGACACGGCTTCATCCGAATTTTGGCCCTGGACAACCAAGTAATCGCCCGAGCGATATTCACAGTTTGCAGGGAGAGACACTTCGACGTGCCGTTTTGCGGGCCCTATTGTAGTGTCGGCCAGTTCGATGTTGGTGGTGACGACGGCTTTGGTCATTGCCTCGCCGTAGAGGACTTGGGCGATGGGCCCCAGCGTACCGCGCTCGATCTGCACGTCAACGCCAACTCGGTCCAGAGACTTCTGCATCGTCGTGCCTGACAAAGTCATGCACAACTGCTCACTCCATGCTTCCCATGGACCAATGAGGTCGCGTTTCACATTCGAAAAACCAGCCTCCATGATACGCTCTCCACCTAGCTTCTCGAGAGCATCGTCGATGAAGGTTGGTACGCGATGGAAAGTGTGTACCCAGTCACTGTTTCCTACACCGAACACAGCAAATTTCGGCTTCTCTTGCAACTGGAGCCCCTTTGACAGGAGACTCTCAATCCAGGAAACGAACTGCTTCGCGTTATCGGGCGGTCTGCCTTCATACGACGGCGTGATAATGATGCATGGCCTGTCGGTCGGCAGGCTCCCGGTTGCAGCATCAAGTTCCTGGATATCGAGATCGAGGCCAAATTCAGGGCCAATACTTGAGAGAATCTGGACCAGACTTTCCGAGGTCCCTTGGTTACCCCCCCAAAAGACAGAAACGGGGATCGTCTTCGAAGGTCGGTTGGTGCCGCGCGACTGGTTCTGGATCCGTGGATGAGATGGCATGGTAGACGTCTGAATCGTGATTCCTCCAGGGATTCCATCTGTCAAAGTCCGGTCTGAGCGACGACGAACCCTAATCTTGAAATCCACTGGTTTAACACCCATTTGACCCGTCAGGTCTAGTTCATATGCTGGGTTGACCTTTTCAATGTCAAACTTTTGCAGCACCATGGCTAGGTTAATCAGAATCTCTTGCTCCGCAAAGGCACGACCAATGCACGCCCGCAAGCCGTCGCCGAACTATCACATTGCTAGTTAGCCACTAGCTGTCATACTCCACAATTCAACAAACAAGGAGGGACGGTGAATGATAGGCTTGGCACACTTACCGGTTTCCAGGAGTTTGTCGGTAATTTCGAGAAGTTCGTATCCAACATGCGTTCGGGTCGGAATTCATCGGCGTCCGCGCCCCAAACGTCGGGGTCGCGGTGGAAATGGCGCCAGATTCCAGACACAGTCTGTCCCTTTTTGATCAGATACCTACCGCCAATTACTGTGTCTCGAGTTGCAAACCGGGTCAGCAAGCTGACAGGGTGCTGCAGGCGCAACGCCTCCTTCATCACCGCGTCGAGATACTTCAAGTTCCGCAGCATGTCATAGTGGAGGACGCCATGGCCAACAATGCTATCTACTTCTTCCCGAGCTTTCTGCAGTTTGTCTGGATTGTTGCACAGGAAATAGTACATGAAGCAGAGTGTGGAGCTGGTCGTCTCGTACCCACCACCAAGGAGCGTTGGGATTTGGAAGATCACATTCTCAACTCCCATTTTCTCACCGGTGTCTCGGTCGACTCCATGGAGCATCGTATTCAGCAAGTCGTTTGCATCTGGCTTGGGGTTTTGCAATCTTTCCTGGATGATCGCGCTGCATAGTTGCCTCATTTGGACGATATTCTCCTGGCGATGGTGCTCGTCGCCACGGAAATAGAACTGATTCATCAGGTCCGGCCGATTGGCGCGCTTTCCTGATTCTACGATTGACTCTTTCAGCTGCCTCATAAAAGGGTGTGGTCCGTCGGTATAGAACTCGTTGAAGCGGTAGCCGAAGGCGCAGAGCCCGATCGTGTCAAAGGTCAGACGTGACATGTCGTCGATCAATTCAATTTCTTGTTCGGGACCGAAGCGATCCCATTTTAGGACCAGCTGTGCACTGATGTCTTGCCTGTGCTTACGGAAAGGTGAAACGTTCATCAGTCCCCATGTACAAACAGAGCTTGGGAGCTGAAACATACATGTCATCGTACATCTTCTTAAGTCCCACAGGGCCTATACGGAGAGGATGGTCAATAAGCAAAACAATCTAGTCAGTTTATGACAAGATGCGAATAGAACGAACCGAATGCCGGAATGAGAAGTCGATGGGCCTTCCACCATGCCTTGTCCGTTGACTCGGCGGAGAACAAACCATCGCCAAAGACAGCCCTCATTTCCTGATGTAGTCGATGAGTAAACTTGGTGAAGCGGGTGTCATCTGCCATCTCATTGACGAGCTCACGACTACCCACGAAAACTCGTGGGTACGGCATCTTCAGATCCAGTTGGTAGATTGGCGCATACTGGTCCATAAGCTGCCAGTAGGTGCGTACGGGCAGAACGGGGTCCAAGTCGGGGGCATGTCCCAGAAGGCCCAAGTAGTGCTGGTGGGGAGGCGAAGGGATCGGAAGTAAGATGGAATGATCGATCTCTTCTTCGACTTTGGTGCCTTCACGGTATTCCTGTTCTTCTCGGGAGACTGGACACACCATGGTCTCGGGTTCTTGCCCATTGCTGAGTCCGTCACTGAATGCATGAGCAGGACACAACGTGGTGTCCGCGGTAGCCATGATTCTTCAGAAGTATTTTGCCTCTTTGCTCTGCAACAGACAGGAGAAGACCTGGTGGGGTATATATCACTCGGCCGTACATACTCGGCGAGGTTCCGGGAGGATGGCACAGATGACCACACAATCTATGTACTGCGAGATGCCTACAGAGCATGCGCTTATGAGCATTCGGCGAAGAATTTCGGCTTGATGCTATTGAATTTCGGTGATGTCGGCGGTTTCGCGATTATCTCACGTCATGAAGATGAGGTGTAGTTAGTATCCGATGGTGTTCCGTTCCGAACCGTCATCAAACGGTATCTTACAATATTACCGTCGGCGTATTAGGGCTCAGGCTGAGTACTTCTTTAAAAAGATCGAAGAACAGGAGAATGAAGCAAGTTGGTTGATAAAACTCCTCTAGTTTCTTTCGCATTAAATTCTAACCTCCAGACTCTCCTATCTTTCAACCTTTACAATGCCTTCTTTCTGCCCCTCATTGTCACTGCCCCAGCGGCAAACAGCCGTCGTTGCCCAAGGGCCTGGGAAGCTGGCAATTCGACACGATGTGCCCATGCCCGTACTGGCTTCTGACACGGTGATCGTGAAGACAGCTGCAGTTGCGATCAACCCCGCCGATGCCAAAATGCTCGACTACAGCGCAGCCGCTGGGGCCATCCATGGCTACGACTTCGCTGGCACCGTCGTAGCCTTGGGGGCCAATGCCCTTGCATCAGGCTCCTTCAAAGTTGGCGATAAAGTGGCTGGCCTGGTGCACGGAATGAACAAGTTGAAGCCTGACACCGGCGCCTTTGCTGAATATGTGGGCGCGTACGAGGATTTGCTATTGAAGCTCCCGGATCACATGAGTTTCGAAGAAGGCGCGTCACTGGGGACTGGTGTTGCCACTGCTACACTGGGCCTCTTTCATGAGCTGAGCGTTCTGACATCCCTGGACGAGCTACGCAACTCTACTGGAAATGCGGATGGTCCCAGCCAGGAAAGCAAGTTTGTCTTGGTCGCAGGCGGTAGCACGGCAACCGGCACCCGTGCGCTTCAACTGCTCAAGCTGTGAGTAGCTCTCACATTCGTTGTTTTTGGATAATCTCTGTGTGTAAGGTTTTGTCAGCTAATGGGACTCTCCAGAGCCGGGCTTCGCCCTATTGCCACTTGCTCGACCTCCAACTTCGAACTGGCCCGTCGATATGGCGCCGAGGAGGTATTCGACTATCGCAGCGACACATGCGCGGAAGACATCCGGGCTTATACGGACAACGAGCTGGCATTCGCTCTCGACTGCGTTACCCAGGCCGATACGACACAGCTCTGTTACGCTGCCCTGGGCCGCGCCGGTGGCCGTTATGTCTCCCTCGAACCATACCGTGAGGCGATCTCAGAGTCACGCGCCTTGACCGTCCAGCCCTCGTGGCTGATGGTGCTGACCATTTTTGGCCACAAAGTGGCGTTGGATGGAGAATATGGCCGTGAGGCGCAGCCCGAGGATCGAGAATTTGGTGCAACGGCGTTTGCAGCGGTCCAAGCCCTGCTTGATCGTGGTCTGATTGACGCCCATCCGATCAAAGTGCAGAAAGAAGGGTGGGAAGGTGTTATTCGCGGAGTGGATACGATTCGCAGTCAGGCAATGTCGGGCCAAAAGCTGGTCTATACTGTTGCCTGACGATGTTCACGTTTTCAGTATGATTTAGTTTTTCTTTTGGCTGTTAGAATATTGGTACAGCGTTATTTTTAGGTTAGTTCTTCTCAAATGAATCCACTTAGCGCTTCAAGCATTCTCTAGATAGGCGGATAGTCTAGGTTGTAGAATGACGAAGGCAGCAGTGACCGTTGAGTGAAGTGTGCGCAATGAACCATTGCCATGTAGAACTGCAACCCCCCCGCGTGATTAAACCAGTATTGATAAATTAATCAATTCTTCTACTGACGTTCCCTATTTATCACAGCGATTATACATACAAGTGATGCACCCAGTCTGATATCACAGGCTTCCCGCCCACTTTAGTGTTGAAAATACACTATCCTTGGAAAATAATATTCTATCAGTGATCATTCCAATATTCTTATTATCTCGGTAAAGCATGATTATATTTGATGGGCTCCCCGAGGCAGAACATTGTAAGCACAACAAATTTGAATTCATAACTATCCTTGACTGATTACGATAGATCATTGACTATCTGAAGTAGGTGACATTCTACTGCCCTGAAAAGGGACATTGTCAGTGAGCCGTTCGGCGGCTTCGTCTACTTGGATTTACAGTGCGATTAGATCGACATGGGATGCTTCTCTTTATTTTAACGAGTCTTGCATTCAATCAACAGACTTCGTGAAGCTAGAGTGTAGATATTCTCAAGCGAACTGCACCAAAAAGCCAAACGGCATTCTTGTTAGGCTGGATATGACTGATATCTCTGACATATATCTCAAGCTTTGACCTCTATAGCGATCTCCGACTCAGGGATGGGCTTGGCCTCTTGCAACGCCGACACCACCTTAGACTTCTTGTCCTGAGCCTTCCTGGCGCCCTGCTCATTCCTCGAGTTGCGCACTGCCTCGACACCCCGCTCGAGCATCTCCTCATTGTACTCGGCAACCGCGGACTTAAGCGCCCCGATGTCACTGGAATCCACCTTCCCGAGCATCTTGGACAGCTCCAAAGCATCAATGAACGTGTGGTAGCCGCCTTCGCCTCGGAAGGGGGTCATCGCATGGGCCGCATCGCCCATAAGAATAACTCGACCAGCCGGCAGGCTCTCGAGCTCCAGATCGCGCCAAATATGCGGCTCAGGCTTGATGCCGCTGGCGGGAGTCGACTCGAAGATCTCGCGGAACTTCAAGGGCAGCTTTGATACCTTTTGCATGACGTACTCATGCTTCTCGGCCTGGCTCGCCTTCTGCAGCCAGTGATCGGACTCAGCAACATTGGCGTCGGGCTCCATGTACATCCAGTAGTGGCGCCCGGAGACACCGTCAGCGTTCGCATGATGCAATCCTCCGAAATTCCAGAACCCGAGGTCCGGGCTGATGTAGATGTAGGCACTGTGACCGAGAGCGAGCTGGCGCTTGAAGGCGTCTCCGGACATGTCTAATTCGCCTACAATTGCGGCAAGGGGAACCAGCTTCAGCACCTCGTCGCTGGGGCGCTGAATCAAATGCTCCCGAACTTGATGCGTTGGCATTAGTCATGAATCCAAAAAATGGGAGAGAAAGCTAAGAAGAAAAGAAGAGCAAAGTACGAAAGGAAAGTAAAAACTCACCCACGCTCTTAATCCCGTCGGCGCCGACAAGAACATCCCCCTTCGCCGAGGTGCCGTCCTCGAAAAAGACACACACGCCGTCATCATTGTGTTCGATCTTAGCGACCCGCTTGCCCCACTGGATAGGGAGGTTGGTAGACAGCCATTCACGCAGGCGACTTCGCTCAGCGCGAATGATTGGGAGCTCGGGTGAGTCCTATTGTAGATGTGAGCTACGTTGTAAGATGTCTTCCACGGCGAGATATACCTGCACACCCAATCGCCCCTCCCGGCCGGGATAGTACAGCCCAATCTGGGCAGGCAGATCCAGAGGCGCTAGATGGTTCGTTGCCTCCTTGAGATTGGGCATATCGGACGGGAATGAGGCAGTGATTTGATCAATGATACTGCCATCAAGAGTCAGCGGGCACGACATCAACAACCAGGAGATCACGCCCAATCCATCACTCACCTGTGGATGGCAATAGCCCATCCCTGGAAACGGGAGTGCGAATTCTCATCACGCTCGAAGATTTCAAAGGAAATGCCTTGCTTTCGCAGACATTGGGCAAGGCTTAGCCCGCCGAGACCGCCTCCGACAATGAGTACGTGCATGTTGATGAGAGATGTTAAGAAAGCGACTAGTGCTGGATCTACCAACTACCACCATTATGAGTCGAATCCACCAGGTCTTTAAGTATTCTCTTTCCATGAGATGTCTGCACCTTGAAAAATGACCGAATAATCAGTTATCTCGTCAGCACCGATGCTGATTATCTAAATAGGAGCCGAATGAAGGCTGTGTTGATTCGGGCCGAATTTACAAATGTGAAATTACATGTTTGTTACAATACCGTAACAGCCACCAACAACAGGTATATATAGGTGGGAGAGGTAGGCAATCAGCAATAAGGTAGTCAAACACGCCCTCAAGTCACCTCTTTTACCATAGTCTTCAAAATGGCGCAAGAAAATTGCCCTTCTCTGCCCATCATCGACATCGATCGGTATATCCATCCGACTTCCCTCGACGAGCGAGATGCCGTCATTGCAGAGGTCCGGGAGGCATGCCAGAAATTCGGTTTCTTCCAGGTGAAGGGCCACGGAGTATCACAGGAGGCGCAGAAGGGTTTGTTGCAAGGACTGAGTAACTTCTTCAGCCTTCCGAAGGAGGACAAGGTCAAGCTGTCGTTCCTTCAAAACCCCTGTCGTCGTGGATATGAGGCGTCAGGAATGACTCTTCGCGAAGGAGATGCCCTGCCCGACTCAAAGGAGGTAAGTACTATGTCTACCTGTACGATTTGAGTGTCAATGCGAGCGCGACTAATACTTGTCTTCCGTCTGCAAGGCTTTCTATATTGGTCGCGAGGAGCCGGTCGTTGAGCCGCCCGGATTCCATGGCCCCAACGTGTGGCCGGACCTTCCCCAGGATCAGTTCAAACAACCGATCTCGGAATACTACGAGCAGACGTCGCAGCTGGGTAAGATCATCTGGGAAATCCTTCTGCAGGGTCTGGGCTTCTCCACCACCCTGATGGAAGGGTTTACCAAGCGGCCAATTATCATGATGAAGATGATCCGGTACCCATCTACCGGTGCCACCTTGCCGGGCCAGTTTGGCGTCGGTGCTCACAACGACTTTGGAGGCGTGACTGTCCTGCTTCAACAGCCAGAGAGAGAGGGTCTGGAGGTATGGCACGAGGAGTCGGAAGATTGGCTGCCGGTTCCCTCCATTGAGGATGTGTTGGTCATCAACTGCGGAGATATGATTCAGAAGTGGTCTGACGGCGTATACAAAAGCGCGAGACACAGGGTGATCAACAAGGCGGATTTGGAGCGGTTTTCCTGTGCCACATTTTGGCATGGTGACTTTTCCGCCACCAATCCTTTGAATCCCAATGATCCTAACAAGGATACTGTCGGCCAACTTCTCCTGCGGCGTTTTGGCAGCCAGTTTTCTCTTTCGAAGGAGACTCTTGCCGCTGCGCATTAGAATTATTAGCCTTCGTTTTGTGGAAATGGACACCCGTCAGGGTGTCTCGGGAAATTGCCTGTTTTTAGCCAGTTAGTTATAGTCGTTCATCATCGTGAATGGTATTGGAAGGTTCATGTCACTAGTTATTTTGAGCATGCAATGTAAAAAATATGATCGAAAGATCAGGTAGGATGCCAATTAAGATAATGCTTTGGACTCAATCACAGAACCTCTGACTTATGTGGAAAAGAATTATCACTCTGCTATAAAAGATAGCACTACCCTTCTGCGCTTCTTGAGTCAACTTATCTATATTGCAAGAACTTAGTACCCGTCAATCCATGCCATAGGGAGATCGTAAATTTGGAACATGCAAACCAGAGTAAATCTGCTATCCAAACAATGCAGCGAATAGCAAGCCCACCCACAATGCTGCTCACCATTTTGGTGCAGTGGTTGATGAACAATACACATGATCAAAGCAAAAAGTGACGCTGAGGTTCTTGAACCAAACCGAGTAGTTTTATCATGAACAATATTCTCATCATCATTTTGCTATTATCAATAGTGACTTTACTGACTGATGTTCATCTGGCCACCATTCCAATCTCTACTATTTTAGGTACGGTCGAAGGGAACAAATAATTGTATACTATCCAACAAGCAATTTGATTCAACTCTCTATGTAAACCGTAAACACAATTGAACAACAATCATCGTCCAAGACGAATCACAAACTCCAGAAGAACCCCACTACCGCCGAGACTCATACCGCGGGCCCTCATTGCCCTGACCAACCGTGACTTCCTGCCCCGTGAGGAAGTATCCAAAGCCAAGCTTCTTGATCCGTCCAATCCATGCGAGTCCAGCCATCCTCTCCAGACCCTTTCCACCTCGTTGCTCCTCCAGGTAATCCCGCAAGACACCAACATCGACCGCGATGCGGCTCTGGTGATGAGTGAACTGGACAGCATTGCTAGAGTTGTCCGCGAGAACGAAACCAGACAGCCAGTCGGCGACTTCCGTGGCAGGAGACATGTCAATGCGGCCTTCCCAATCGTTCATGTCAGGCATGAGACCCGAGATGTCGACGAAACGGACAAATTCATCTAGGACCTCCTGCGGAGATGAGCGCTCGAGCGACGGAACGAAGCGGTAGATCGAGGCCGGAATATTGAGGTCCGCAGTTGCGCGCTCAAGAATCCGCTCACTGGCCCAGCGGGATGCGACGTAACCGTTGGTGCCATCCACCGGGGGTGTGTTGGATGCAGCCGAAACAGCGTCGTTGCCCGCTTCTTGGGGAAGGACCCCGACCGTCGAAATGTAGTGAATAGGCACACGGCGGGGGGTAGCAAGCGTGACCAGTTCCTTGGTGGGATGGACATTGACGGGTCGGAGGGCATGGTAGTTATCCCAGAACGAGCGCTGCCCACCCATGTGAAGGATGAGATCGACGTTGCCGGCGAGGAAGTGGAAATCATCCTCACTCAACCCCAGCTGAGGGGCTGTCAGGTCACCATCGTACGACACGATCTTGGACGACTGGCCGATCTCCTGATGGGTCCGAGATTGCTGGTCCCTCACGGCAACGCGATGGATCTTTTCAATCTGTGGGTTGGAAGCCAACTGCGGGAGGAGGTATTTGGCGATGTAACCCGTAGCTCCGGTGACCAGCAGGGTTTGGGGCTTCTCCCGATCGGCAAAGGCTTCGCGTAGGTTCTGAAGGAAATCTGGGACGGAGGGAAGGGTTGTTTCCTTCTCCCAATCGACAACCTCAATTCGCAGGCTTTCTTCAATCTTGTGTGTCATTTCACCAAGCGTGTTGGCGCTGAGCAAGTCGACAAGGCGAATCACAACATCAAAGGTCTGGCGGATGAATTGCTGAAGACGGATAACCAGGAGGGAGTTGCCGCCCACGTTGAAGAAGCTAGTGGACGGAGCGATATCGAAATGCAGATCCGGGTTGCCAAGTACCTCTCGCCAGATTTGTCTCAGTTGGATCATCGAGTCGGTCAACTCCTCATCCACCTGGGGAGCCGAAGCTTGGCGAGGCAGGGGCATGGCCTTTACGGCCTTCCGGTCCACCTTTGAGTGGTGAGACAGGGGCATCGAATCGAGTGGGATCGCCAAGACAGGGATCATGTATTGTGGGAGTTGAAGCTTGCGAAGTAGTTGCTGCAGGAAGCTGGCCTGATCCGTAATATCGTGTCCATGTTGGAACACAACATGAGCGACCAGGAGGTTCGGAACGCCCTCGCGGAGTGTAACAACGGCCTCTTTCAAAGCACCGTTGGCGGCCGACACGATATTGCTCTCGATATCGTTCAATTCAATCCGAATACCGCGGATCTTGATCTGGGTGTCTCCGGCCATGCGATTGCGGAACACCATGGCGCCGTCGTCTTGGAGATGGCCTATATCACCCGTTCGGTACATGCGTGTCCATCCACGACGGACGTCTTCGGGTGTGGCAAAAGGATTGGCGACAAAGTGCTTGTCAGTCAGTTCCTTATCGAGGTATCCGAGTGCAACACCAGCACCGCCGATGCACAGCTCACCGGGCATACCGGCCGGCAGGGGGTTCAGCTGTTCATCCACCGCATAGACTTGATAGTTAGGCAGCATGTACCCGCAGGGAATGCGATCTTCTTCCATCTTCTCTTTGTTGCGGTAGTCGACTTCCATCTTGGTAGACGAGATGGAAATCTCAGTCGGCCCGTACGAGTTGTAAAGTCGAAGAGCCGGCAGTTTCAGGTCAGCGAATTGCTGCGTGACAACACTGGTCAAGGACTCGCCGCCACCAAAGGCACGACGCCACTCAGTCGCTTGAAGAAGATTGTCACCTCCAAACTGCATCCACAGAGAATACTCAGACGGAGTCGCTTTGGTGTAGGTGATCGATCTTTCTTTGATCATCTGGGAAATTTCAAGTGGATCACCACGCTGGCTCCATGGAACAATGCACACTGTGCCACCGTTGACCAGACCGGTATAGATCTGGTCAGAGGAGTGATTGAAGGTGAAGGCGCTCTGTTGTAGGGTTCTCTCAGCGCCGAGTCCCCAAGCCTTGGTGTAACCCTCAATTTCATTTCGGAGACCCGAATGGGTGACGACAATCCCCTTGGGGACTCCGGTCGAGCCACTTGTATAGAGGATTGCTGCAGGGGAATCGGCTTGGGAGAGGTTCGGGACGTGAGCCTTCGGCACCCGTTCGAGATTGGACACGTTGATTGTCGATGCAGAGGGAACATTTAGGAGCGGTGCATCCTCAATCGTAGAATTGTCGGCCAAGATCGCACCAGGTCCACAGTCAACGGCCACAGTAGACAAGCGAGATACGGGATTCCGGAGATCCAATGGAACATAGATAGCCCCGATGCGCATGATGGCAAGCATAGAGCAAACCCAGTCGGAAGCCGCCGTCTGGAACACCAACACACGAGAACCGTGTCCAATTCCGGCGCTCTGTAAAGCCTCAGCAATGGCCTGAATTCGGTTGGTCATGTCGGAGTATGTCAGGTCCTGGCTGATTCCATCGACTAGAGCTGTGTCGCTTGGATGCTGCTGAGCAATCTGATCAATGCGAAGAGGAAGCGTCACCGGCCAGTCAGACACAAGATTTGGACCTAATATACCATGAATCAGTCTCTGGAATACTATTAAGGGGAATTGGAGAAAGCTACCTCGACCAATGTGAACGGCTTCTGTGAGTTGTTTATCACCAAAGAGCGGCGTATCCTGCAGACGCGTCGACTCGTTGGTAGACAAGGTATCCAAGAGATGAACATAAGTGTCCAGCAAGAGATTGACAGCCGTGAGATCATAAAGACTCTTCTGAGCGCGGAACATGATCAAGCCGTCTGTGGCATTGTCCGTGATGTCCAGGGTAATGTCGTACGAAGTTCGTCCGGGATGAATCTCCTGGAACTCGAACTGCGTATTACCCCATTTGTGCTTCTCCTGGGCGCCCTGGCGGTAGTCGAAAAAGGCCTGGAAGAAAGGGCTGTGCGAAGAGGAGCGAGCCACGTTGAACTCATTCAGCAACACATCAAATGGAAGACGGGAGTGTGCAAGCGCCCCATAAGTTGTATTGCGGGCTTCGACAATGGCGTCCTTGAAGCCCTGTCTGTCCTGACGGCCAAAGCGCAAGGCAAGCAGATTCAAAAAGAAACCAAGACTGCCCATCACCGCGTCCGAAGTGCGGTTGGCATCAGCAATGCCAATGGTCAAGTCCTTCGCGTCCGTAAACTTGAAAAGCATCGTCTTGAATGCGGCCAGGTAGAAATGGAAAGGCGTGGATCGCTGCTTCTTGGACATGGCCTTGACCCGTGCTGCTAGGGCGGGTTCCAGTCGGTATCGAACTTGATGGACGTCGAAATCCGCCATCGGCACTCTCGTAGTGATTCGAGCCATAGGCAAGAGGGGCAAAACAGGCGGCTGTTGGCCTACCGGATACACCTTTTGCCAATAGCTCAACTCTTCTTTCATATCGCCTGCCTCAAGGGCGGCGCGCTGGGCCGCCGAAAAGGCGGGAAATTGTTGCGGAGGTGCGCCCAAGCTCTCGCCATTGTATGCCTTCTCGAGATCGGAGAGGAATACTTGGAAGCTGACGCCGTCCATCAGGATGTGATGATAATTGACGAGAAAGTAGTGCGATGTCGGGGAGAGCGAAAGCAAGACGAGTCGGATCAGGTCCCCGCCTTCCAGATCGAAAGTGTGTTCCTTGAGCCTAGCATATTCAGTCTCTACGTCGTCGACCGACTGAATATCTTTTCTCTCTAGTCGCAATGGAGAGCTAGTCATGACGTTCTGGAAAGCGCGGTCAGCTCGGTCTTCATCCTCGACGAAGCAGGTACGCAGCGCTTCGTGTCGAGCAGTGACAACACGAATGGCTCGCTCCATATCGCCGATGCGCAGGTTGCCGGTGATCTTGTAGTAAAAGGCCACATTGGACGTCGTCTGGTCCTCAAGGAGGCGCCTGAGGAACCAGAAGCGAGACTGACCTAGTGAGATTGGCTCCCTCTTGATGAGGCTTCTTGATGGCGTGGCCGCTTTCTTCGGTTCCACCGCTTTTGCAAGGTTCTCATAGGATGTAGACCTCGAGGATAGCTGAGTCGAAGAGGGTGGTGTCGTGTTACCATCGTTTCCAGAGATGACGCTGGACGGACCCGAGTTCGTTCTGGAGGCAGTACTGGACTCTGCTGGCGGAGGTGAGACTGGCTTCAAGATAGATTGCTCCGCTACTTTGGCTGTGTCCGCAGCGCCTCCGACACTCGAAATGGCATCTTCAGGCAATTTGTCAACAGCTTGGCTGCATAGATCGCTCAAGGATGCTCCGCCGACCACCTTCAGCACCGGGATGTCGACCTTAAGCTCTTTCAAGAACCATGACCGCACCTCGACGGCAACCAACGAGTCAAGGCCAAGCTCCACGAGGGGAGCGTCGTAGTCAATCGCCTGATCAGAAAGCTGTAGGATAACACGCAACTTGGCAGCAAAGCAATCTGTGACGGGAGTTAGCCTATAATAACAAAAGGAGACCAAATGACAAACCTTGCACGATTTCGAGAGCTTGTTCAATCGTCGATGCCGCCGCCAGCTGCTCGGCCACAGGGAGAGAGGTCTTCTTCTCCCCATTCTCAGCGGTCTCCCCAACTCCACTAGACTCAATGATGCAGTGAGAGAAAAGAGGGTTATCAAACCACGGGCCCTGGATATCCTCATCATCGCGGATAGTCCGAATGCCCGTGGTGACGATCGCATCGGGGATGCCTGATTTGTCCTCCGGCTTGGGGTATCCAGTCAAAACAGTCTCCGCGAACATCTGGTGCAGCTCGGGCTCATTAATTGCCATGAGACCGAATCTGGTCAGCTGTTGCATCACCGCTTGTCCAGCTGTCTCGACATATCCAATGCCAGCAACACGGCCAATGTCCATGGCCGAGGCAGCCAAGCCACGCTTGCGTCGCTGTTTGGCGATACCATTGAGGTATCCGTTGGCGGCTGCGTAGTTAGATTGGCCGGAGTTGCCAATGACGCATGCAGAAGACGAAAACAGGATGAAGAAGTCGAGGGCATCGTTGTAGAACACCTCGTCGAGATTGCGTGTCCCATCAATCTTGGGTCCCAGGACGGCCTGCATCGTCTCCACAGACATCTTCGAGAACAGGGTATCCTTGAGAACCATCGCACCGTTTGCCACACCCGCAATGGGCGGGCAAGTAGCCCTGATGTCGTTGACGACCTGTTCCAGTGCAGATTTATTCGTGATGTCCCTGTTTGGTTTGACAATGTCAGTTATAGAAGCGGAAGTAGGAGAACGACGACACGTACATCGGATAGATCTTAACCTTGCCATTCTTGGTCTCAAAGGAATCAAGCCAGGCCTTGTCAACCTTCGGGTTGCGACTCGTCAGGCACACACAGCCAGCTCCATTATCCACCATCCAGTCAGAGAGTGACTGGCCAATTTGACCCGACAACCCAAACAACACGTAAGTCTTGTCGTGAGAAAAGAGGCGACGTGCATCAAGAGGTCGGACTTCCACGGTTGCGTTACTGTCCGTTTGCCAATTGACGACGGACATCTTGGCCTCATGGCGTTGATCGCTGCGGATCTGACCGATATCAACGGTGAGATCTGGGACACGAGCATCGGACGCATCGGACACGTCTTTGACGGCCTCCTCCAGTCGACGAATCAGCTCAGAGCTGTCGCATGAAACCAGGGCCCTGTCGCGGAAAATCTCGGTGGGCATGATCCTCTTGTGATCCGGCGATAGAACAGCAGGTATGTTCTGGCTGAGCTCCGAAGCACCAGGGGTGAGATCCAGGTAATGCGTAGCATTGGCAAAATGGAACAGTTGCCGGAGGACCTGTCTCGGCATGCGATCGTTCACAGTCACCCAGTTTCGGTTTCCTCCATTGCCGTCATGGCCGTTGGAATCAATGGCGATGGCGATGCGGATTCCCTTGCTCGCTGCTTTCCTTGACAAAGACGAGACAAGGGAGAGATCGTTGTTGCCGCAGTAAACAACCATGCTGCATCCAGAAGAGACATTCTCAAGAAGCGACGAGGCGAGAAGCTCGCTTGAAACAGCACCGACGGCCTTATCGGCTGGAAGGCTAGATGGGACTGGCACCGTCGCAAGGGGCACCATCCGGTTAGAATTCGAAGACGAAAGCGCCAACACAGGTTCCTCAGTCAAACCAGTCTGTCCAACTCCAAGGTAGAGGAAAGTATCCGCCGCAACACGGAGCGCCGTCAAGCTTGACTGCTCAACGCTCACCATGCTCTCGACACTCTCACCCGAAACAGGCAAGACCTGCTCCACCAGCGAGAAGTTGGAGTCTGCAGACGGGGTAATGGCAACGGTGGAGGTCGAATTGCGCATATCCTTGGTAATCACACGGCGCGCAGCGTTGATGCGATCGTTCTGGTCGGAATTGCTCATGAGTCGGGGAACCATGAGCTGGCCGCGATTGAAGAAGGCCTCGGGCTCTTTCGACCAAAGCATCGGTTTGTGGTTCTGACTTCCGCGCGACGACTCCCATTCATCGAGGGCAGTTTGCCGGACGAGGCACTCCGCAATGAGCTTGGAAGCATTGTCATCCAGATTGGATAGATCGAGATGGGTTAGGCAGATGTGGCCTGCCTCATGGCTCATGGCACGGCTGAAACTGATGCTTGCCATGTGGTATGGCTCGTTCTCATTAGCTCCGACAGTGATCCACAGGATCTGTCCAGCCAGCTCGTACATGCGGTTGAGGCCGTCCATTTTCTCAGCCGTCATGTTCTTGAAGATTGGAGATTCGATGTCGACAAGGTTGATGAATGTGCTCATCGGAGGCAGCATAAGCGCATCCTCTTCACTAGGCAAGTCTTCGAGAACAGTGATCCGGCCACAGAAACCACTGAGGTGATACTCTAACTCTTCGGCGATCTGGGAGGTTTCCAGACTCTTGTTCCCCATAATAACAAGACTTTCGATATGGACCGCGGACGGCGACAGGGACTTCAGCAAAGGACGTCGCAGGAAGTTCACCCGATCATCAACAGCCTGAGAGACGATGATGGATAACGGCCAAGAGAGGTTATCAATCTCTGGGGTGATAGTATCAATTCCTCCGAAGCCCGTCTTGCGAAGGGCGCTGTGCCATTGTGCAGGCGTGGTGGTGGGCGCATATTTCCGGCCATCGTTGACTCCGAGCCACCAGCCAGACAGGCCACCCATGATGTTGCTGAAGCGGATGGACCCATTGTTGGTAATTTCCAGCAACATAAGATAGCCACCGGGCTTCAGAAGCTTCCTCGTATTCTCCAATGTCTTTTCGAGCGATTGCGTGGCGTGCAGAACATTGGATGCAATGATAATATCGTAGGAATTCAGTTCGTAGCCTTGGTCAGCTGGCGGCTTCTCAATGTCCAGGAGTTGGAAGGCCATTTGGTTGCTGTACGCCTTGAACAGCTCCGACGCTTGCTGGAAGAAGCCCACGGACACATCAGTGTACGTGTATGAAGAAAACGAAGACCCAATGCTGTCAAGAACGGACTTCGTCGCTCCACCCGTTCCAGCACCTATTGATGAAGGGTTAGCAGGTGCTCGCATGCTCTTGAATTGCGGGTACTGTACCTATCTCGAGGATCTTAGCATGAGGATAACGATGTACGACCTGCTTCATCGTGCCAGCCAAGAACGAATTGTATCGTTCGAAGCCAAGACCCTTCTTGTAGAAGTCGTCCAGCATGTTGTTCGGAAGCATGTGCTCCAAGATCGTGGTCTCCCCGCGCACGGCGGCAGGAATATTTTCACCAACCGCTGTGAGGAGCTTGACATCAATCGCGTCCGCATATCTGGGGAGTCACTTGGTTAGAGATGTTTTCTTTTTTTTTTTGTTATGTCTCGCTGCTCGATTTCAAAACTTACCCGCTTGTCAATTCCTCAATATCCTCCTTCGTATCATCGGACCACTCTTTCTTGATACAAGGGTGCGTTCCGTTGACGACGGTGTCAGAAGTATGGTAGACGAAGTCCCGAAGCATTAGGTGGTGAGGTTGACCGTTCTTCCAGTCTGCGTCACTGATCTCGGCCTTCCATTTTCTAACGTAGTAGTATGAGAGTCGCTCGCAGACAGCAGCCAGTTCAGACTCCTGCGTCGAAGGACGAATACCGCGCGTGACAGCCGCACCATCCGGGGAGGCGATGTCGAATTTGATCTTCGAGAACAAATGGCGGTCGTCTTTCTCCATTGCCGGCGCGAAGGGCTTAATGGTCAAATCCTCGACTTGGATCATCGAGTTCTGGCCATCCGGGCCCAGGATGTCGATGCTCGCGTGGAACGACTCGCAGTCATCCAGAGCTGCGTGGACCGGTACGCGAGTTCCAGAAGTCGGCAGAGAGAAGCAGAGCTCGGGGTTGACACGAATCCTCCGGATGGACGTGGGCACATGGAGCGACCACAGGCGCTCGTCGTCGGGGGCCGAGTATGCAAGCATTGCGGCCTGGAACGCGACGTCTAGCATGGTAGGGTGAACGACGTATGACGAGGTATCGACATCTGTGTAATTGTAGGTGTCCACCATGACCGAAGACTTGTTGAGTCTGCGCTTCAGGGACGACATTCCCCGGAACGGGCCATAGTACCCGTACCCGAGATTGCCGAGCGAGGAATAAAAGCTGTCGGCATCGATTGCAGACATGTTATATTCGTCGAGCGACCCCGGGGACAGAGTGGCGGCGTCGGAGGGACCAAACACGACTTTCACGGACCCAGTCGCCATGGGCTCCATTTCCTGATCGATTGCCGAGGCCGGAGAGGAATAGCAAGAGAATTCAGCGGTCGTAGCGTCTTTGGTGGTCGTGATACCCGTAAGGGTCGTGAGAGTCTCTACTCCAGAGTTGCCATCTTCCTCGAAAGTAATCGCACGCGGAATCGTCAAGTCTAGAAGCTCCAATGATCGGATAGACTTGTCTGACGCGAGGCTTCTGACAGCCTCCAATGCCATGGCGACGTAGGCAGCTGCGGGGAAGACGGTCTGGGTCTGTAGCTGATGGCCATCGAGCCAAGGAATCTCCGACACCTTCAGCACGTTCGTCCAGCGCATGTCGCGTGGGGTCGAGTCAGGCGACAGAACGCCCAAAATTTCGTGGAAAGGCTGCGTCCGGCTGCGCATCTTCTTCGATCGCCGCGACTCGTGCCAGTATGCCCGGTTGTGATTCCATTGGTAGGAAGGCAGTCCCGTCAGGAGGGTTGGCTTGGATGCATTACCGGACAGTGTGGTCTCGAGGGTCCGAAGGTCGATGCGGTAACCGCTCAGATTCGTCCACAGATAGCCGAGGGCGTCGGAGAAGGCCTCAACGTCGTCTTTGCCGCGGCTGAGGAGACCGGTGTAGGGGAGAGGGTTCGGCTGTACTTCTGCGATATTCTGCATGGCGGGACCTTTGAGCGCAGGATGGGGCCCAATCTCAATGGCAACCGCAAGCTGCGAATCGCTGGCGACGGCGTTCTTGACAGCATCGTAGAACAGAACCGTGTTGGTCATGTTCTCGCACCAGTAGGTGTCGCGAAGCATGTCCTCTGGCTCCATTGCTTCGTTGCTCGCCGTCACACTCGAGAACCAGGAAGGACTCCCGGATTGTGGCTTGTTGACTTTGATACCACATGAGTTCAAGGCGTTGATGTAAGGGTCACCACATGGCAGCATGTGGGGAGAATGATAGGCTGTGTCGACCTTCAACAGCCTGGCGAACTTCTTCTCTTCGTCAAACACCTTCTTAGCAAGGACCACCGCATCGGCATCGCCGGAGAGGGTCACGCTGGCGGACGAATTGTGGGCTGCGACGGCCAGTCGACCTTTGAAGGCACTGAGTCGAGTGAGATCCTGCGCATCTTCCAAGGAAGTACCAACTGCCAGCATGGATCCTTTCTGGCTGGTGATCGGGTTGCCGGCCAACTTGGCGTAGACGCCGCGATAGTAGGCAATTCGAATGGCGTCGCGGGCGGAGAAGAACCCGGCCGCATATGCTGCGGCAATTTCACCGGAAGAATGGCCGACGACGGCATCAAGGGTAATGCCGGCGGCTTTCAGAAGGTCCATAAGAACAATCTGAATGGCGGTACACAGAGGCTGGGAAAGCGCGGCTTCGGCGATGCGCGAGGTATCCGCTCCCGCAAGCATCTCCTCCTCAAGATTCCATTCAGGGCGATCAGCTAGGGGCAGTGTGGCCAGGGATTTCTGGAGATCGAGCACTCGTTCGCGCACAAAATCAGACGAGCGAATCAAGCATGCTCCCATAGCGGCCCACTGTGCGCCTTGTCCCGTAAACACACCCAGGACATGGGGAGAGACTTGCTTGTTGCTGGGACGAATACCGATGGTGGCACCAGGGCTTCCCTCCAGCTGGGCAAGCTTATCGTCAATCTTGGACGTCAGTTGCTCCACGGTTGCGGCGGAGAAGGCCGCCCTCACGGGCAGCTGACTCCTACGCGATTGCAACGTGTGTGCGAGATTGAGAGGGTCTACAGTGGGACTTTCCTTCAGATATTCAGAGTATGCCTGTAGTTGGTTAGCGAGCGACCCGTCCGATACGGCAGAGAAAACGAATGGGGTGAACGGGGTTGATGGCGCCTGATGAACGACAAGCGCGGATTCAGCCGGTTTATACTCCTCGAGAATAGCATGGGCGTTGCTTCCGCCGAAACCTGGGAGTAACTGGTCAGTCACAAGCATCTTTTGTTTTCGTTCACTTATCACCAGCTGGACTTACCGAAGCTGTTGATACTAACACGCCGGGGCACCCCTTCGGGTAGCTCGGGCCAGGGGAGCTGAGTCGTGGGGACCTTGAGCCCCTTGTAGAACGGTTCGATCGACGGGTTCAGCTGCTGAAACAGCAGATTCGGAGGAATGGTTTGGTTCTTGACCATCCCAGAAGCCTTCAAGAGACCCGCCAGCCCGGCAGCACCCTCGGTGTGGCCGATGACGGTCTTGACCGACCCGACGTAGAGAGGCGGATCGCCCGGGGCTCGCTGGCCGAACGACTGATGGATGGCGGCGGCTTCCTTGGGATCGCCCGCCTTGGTGCCCGTTCCATGAGCCTCGAAGAACTGGGGGCGATGCAGAGGGTTCTCCGGGTCGAGTCCCGCTCGGGTGTACGTTTGACGGATGAGGGCAGCCTGTGCCTCGGTGCTGGGGACAGTGATGCCGTTCGAGTAACCATCTTGGTTTGCTCCGGTGCCCCTGATCAAACACTCGATGTGGTCGCCATCGGCAATGGCATCACTCAGGCGCTTCAGAACCACAGCCGCGACACCTTCGCCGCGAGCATAGCCGTCCGCATTGGAATCCCACATCCGGGAGCGCCCGGTAGGCGACAGCATTTTCATCTTGCTCTCGAAGATGAACACCTCTACCCGTGGAGATCAGTCAATGCTACTGTTTAGGATCCGAGGGGAAGTGGGGGCACTCACCAGGTCCCAGGATTACCTGAGTACCACATGCAACAGCCGCACGCGACTCGCCCGTTCGCAAAGCTTGCACGGCTTGGTGCACAGCGATCAAACTGGACGAACAGGCGGTATCGATGGTCATACTCGGTCCGTGCCAGTCGAAGAAGTAGGACACCCGGTTCGAGACGATGGCACGGTTGGTGCCTGTCGCGAAGTAGGTCGGGATGGTGTTCAAGTCCCGCAAGAGCGTATCGTTGTAGTCAACGCCCATGGTACCAACGTACACGGCCGTGTCCGAGCCGCGTAGGGCCTCGAGGGTGTGGCCACCGGCCTCCAGCGCCTCGTAGACGGTCTCCAAGAGGAGGCGCTGCTGCGGGTCGATGGACTCGGCCTCGTTGGGGCTGATATTGAAGAACCCAGCGTCGAATTGCTTCAGGTCCTCCTGCAACAGATAGGCGTGTTGCACATTGGTGGTACCGTGATGACTTCCATCCGCGTGGTAGAAGGCGGTGGTGTCGAAGCGGTCCGCTGGGATCTCTTCACACACATCGCGAGGATGGTGAAGCAGCTTCCACAGCGCGGAGGGAGAGTTCGCCCCGCCAGGGAAGCGACAGCCACTCCCTACAATGGCGATGGGTTCAGGGCACGAGGAAGACATTTTTGGGATATGTAGGTCTTAGCGTTGCACAAGCTGCTTCGATGTAGTCTATTCACGGACAGGAAAGGATACCGAGAGGAAATTGCTAGTCGATAGATTGTGACTCAGAATGAATTGGGCGGGAAATGTCCATACTTATTGATCAGTTCTCACGCCTTGTATCGGCTCTTCAAGGCGTCCATCGTATCCTCCAGTTTCGGTCCCAGTAGCGTCGGTCTCTATGGTATTCTCCAACTTCGGTCCAGTGGCTTCGGCCTGCACCGTATGCTGCAAATTTTGGTCCCAGTGTCTTCGGTCTTGTCATCATATTATCCGATATGTTTCTCGGTAGGAAAGATACCCTCGGTGGAGGCACCGAAGAGACTCAGCTTATTCTCATCGATTGCTGAGTAAGGAACCCGCCGGTCTGATGGTGGTGGAATGTGGAGCTCTACTCGATTACTCACAGAGATGGCAAGTTAATTAGCTTTTATCACTTGTTCTGCGGTTTGGTTATCAGGCAAGTATGTGGTGATGGTATCTCCTGGTGGGTTGATGATCAAGTACCATGTTTTAGATATACCTTCTATTAAAAAGTACTCAGTACGTGTATGATTTACCCTCTAAGGAAACAATAGACATGGGTTTGTGAAAGTTCATAGATTTTCTAACATATAGCATAAAAGGCTTACAGGTTTTGTCGCTGTTCATAGCCGACCCCTGCTTAACTACGTCGCGATGTTATTCATGGTAACATTAGAGCATTTCAGATAACTGTTTGATGACAAAGTGTGCGCCCGTCCTTCGTTTTAAACTGGAGGGATGATGAAATCTACAAAAACACACAAAACGATCAGATTCGTAAAGATTCGCGAAGCCGTTCCAACCGACGCTGAACCTCGGAGTCCGGTCCGGTATTCACACCCTGGATCGCCGTGAATTTTGACGGGTTGGACAGATCGACCTGTGTCGGCCAGCCAGGTTCCGGCTTTGGTAGCAAGTAGCTGGACACGGATTGGTGTTGACGCTCCAGCAGGTAGGAGCACAGCTGCACCACTAGGACCAGTCGCATGTCCGTCAGTAACGTGGCACCCGCCGCTTGATCCTGATCCACGGGATCAGCGTCCATATGAGAGTGACGGTGGTCGATATCACGTTGTAGTGAACCGAACACAATAACGTAGATCTCGAGGAGCAGCGTGTGACATGCGATCACCAGATGGCGCTCTGCAATGCTGGAGTACGGGTTTTCCAACACCTGCGGGGTCACCAGGGGAATTTCCTGCGCCGCGATGAACGGTGTGGGGCCCGTCCGTGCGCAGAATGCCATCTCGATGAGATGCGGAGGAGGGTTCTGCATTCGGCTTGCATCGTCACTCTGGAGGTCGCGCAGGGTCTCTATGAACTGGTGCGAAGCCGAGAAGACATGATGGAGCGTGTCGTCCATGGAGGATGGCTCCACGAATTCGGCCTTGAGCTCCGGGCAGGAAAACAGGTTCATATCCGCAGAGGCTTGTATCAACCATGACACTACTGAATTGAACGCCAGATCATTTATCAGGGGCAGTGGGCACCCTTGGTTGGGCACGCTGCATGGGAAGGCCGGCTGATAGTGGCCGGCGACGTTGCAGCTCCACCGGTGCAACGTCGATAGGCGATTGCTGAGCTGGGACAGCTGCAACACCCTGGCGTCCGCACTGTTCCGACGGGCAACCATGTCTTTGGGGGGGTTCATGGCGGTCAGAAACCCGGCCTCAAGATTGGCGTCTGCGCAAATGTTCGGGGGGAGCATGTCGGGAAGGGTCTCGAGGAACGCGAAGCTGGCGTCCATCTGCTGACCGACGAGATCGAGCATGCTTGTGCTCCAGTCCATGTCGTGGTCCAGCCACATGGGTGCAGGCTCGTCCATTGGCACTTGGATGACTGGCTCTTGTTCGGTCGTCCTCGCCACGGCCGAGTCGGATGGCGGCGGTTTAGATGTAATTGGGTCGGGGAAGAAGCTGGGATTGGTCCCGGAACTCGGTGGCATGCCTGTGTCGGTAGGATACGGGGCCAATGCGGTTTCCAGATCGGACGTCTCTGATGTGATCGGAGGAGTGATTTCTGCTGTGGTCGAGGGAGTGATGTTGATGGTGACCTCTGACTTCGAGGCCGTCCTTGCACGCGATGGCGCCTTCCGGATAGCGGATGGGGATATCGGAGAGGACACATTGCGGGTGACTGTCTCTATCGAGCGATACATACTCGGACGACCTTTGGGCAGGCTGGAGCTGTAGACGCACTGAGCGCCTTGGCGGAGGCAGCGAATGCATGCGGCCGTCTCGTCGTCCCCGGCACGAGAGCATCGCAACTTCTGGCCATGGCACCGATCACAGGATTGACGTCGAGAAGGGGTGGAAGTCATAGCCATATTGAGAAGCGTGTGAGGAATGATTTGCAAAGGAACGATGAGTTTACAACGACCCAAGGGGACGAAGTGGGACTGGTTAAAAGACGATATATGCGGGGCTGTGAAGGGAACTACAGAGCCAGGTAATAGTGTGGCCCCCACTCAGCCCGTATAGATGCAGAAACCTAACAGAGTGGCTATTCAGCGGATGAATGATGTTATTTGGTCTTTAGTATTCTTCTAGTGAGATACGCTATCTGTCAACGTCAGCTGACTGGTGGTGTTTCTCCGGATCTGATTGTGGTTTTGGATGTTCCACGTTTCCGTGCAATCTTGTAACTATTCGCAATCTTGGCATACCTGCAAGACATCAATTCTAGGGCTCTTTTGACTACTTTCCTCGGTCCTTTCCAAGGCTATGAGCCTGGAGCCTCTACGACTACCATGATATCCGGCTTGAAACTATTCCCCGACATCCCGCTGTTTCTCCCACCACTTCGTTATCTCAGTGTCTTGCCAAGACAATCCTTTTTAGCAAGCCTCTGTTTATCCTGGTCGAATCAAGGCCGGGCGTATCTATTCGCCGAACTGTCCTCAGCAGCTTACATGGGCTTGTCTTGCCTATACCAGTGATATAAACAGAATCCTCCAGGATGGAGTGCCTTGCTTGTCAGGTGCGGGGGAATGTTGTCTGAGGCAACGAGGGAATCATATCTATGGGCTTAATATCTCCGGAGGTCGGCGAGCTACCAGTAGGGGAAATGTGGAGCCCAACACTCAGGATTCAGCCGGGAGAGTTACAGCCATAGTGTGCCTGCAGGATGAGTAGTCGCTCGGTGGGCCTAGATATGGAATTATCTCATATTTTATCATATTTTATCATATTTTATCATATTTTGATAGATATCTATAATATTATATAATATTCTACCATATCTTGATACATCTTATATGTCGAATTGCTTCACGACTGCTCGATTAGGGTGTGATGTCAGACTCGTTAATTGGCCAATGTCAGCTGACTCGCGGCGGATTCTCCACATACAAGTGTGGATTCAAGCGATCTTCATATTTCCGTTTGTTCTAATCTTGCCCCTAATCCTTCCAGATTGTCAATTATATTCTCCGTTAGATTGTTTCCATCGGTCCTTTCACTATTATAATCGGATCTATCCGTATAGAGCGCCTCTATCGAGTTCTATATAGTGTACCGTATCCGTATCTATTTATATCGAATATAGAATATAGTGACTGAGGTGTCTACTTCCTAATTAGCCCTAATCACTCCGTAGACTATAGCATAATCCCCGGCCCGAAAGGTGTATCACATCTTCTCCTCATTCCCCTAAATCCAACAGCACAGATCATGTCGATCTTTGATTCGACTAAGCTTGAGCACGGGCTGCGCCTTGCGGTGGGTCCAACGCTGTCACATCCCAACGAAGCCGTTTCCAACACGAATGAACCAATCCGAGTCGCGATATCAGATCCCTGGCTATAAAGACCCTGGCATCGCACGCCTCAACACTGCCCCTGAACTGGCATTCTCGCTCCCAATCGGCGTTATTTGACTCAGCAATGCTAGCCTTGCGTTCGACTACTAATGGGCGTCTTGTCCTTTTATTGCCGTTGTTTGGGCGTTGGACCAGATCTTAATGCTTGTCTCAACTTAGCTTTCGCCTTTTTTTCCACATTCTCCTCTTTCTCTTGCTTCTCCTCTTTCTCTTGCTTCTCCTCTTTCTCTTGCTTCTCCTCTTTCTCCACCACTCCCCCTCTTGCTTCGCCCCCCTCTTTCTTCGCTCCTTCAATCCTTCCACAAATCCACTGAAAAATTCCTGAACAATGGCATCTCTGGGCTCCATGGTCGGTCGCATTTACCAGGCGTTCAGCCCGTCCCAGCTACCACCGAAGAAAAGCGATGCCCTCAAATTTGGCATCCTGGGAGCTGCGAACATTGCGTACGTTCACGACCCTTGTCCAAAACCCTATGGCCAAAAACCCCCATATTCGGCCTCAGCCCTAACCGTATACATTTCTCAGTCCAATGGCCCTGATCACGCCCTCCAAATCGCACCCCGAAGTCATCATTCAGGCGGTGTCGGCTCGCGATCGGAAGAAGGCGGAAGAGTTCGCCAAAGCCAATTCCATCCCAGAAGTCAGAGATTCCTACGAGGGTATGCTGCTTCTCTCTCTCTTCTCTCTGTCTCCAGACTAACAAATTCAAGAAATTCTCAACGACCCCAACATCGACTGCGTGTTCATCCCGCTCCCGAACGCGCTCCATTATGAATGGGCCGTCCGCGCCGTTCGCGCCGGCAAACACGTGCTGGTGGAGAAGCCATCCGTGTCCAATTCGACCGAAGCGGAAGTTCTCTTCAACCTGCCAGAACTGTCGCAGCCCAACGGACCCGTCCTGCTGGAGGCCTTCCACAGCCGCTTCTTCCCGGCGTGGTCCTTATTCCGCTCCCTCATCGACCACAACCAGGTCGAGCACGTCAATGCCTTCTCCATGATCCCCTGGTGGGGCACCAGCAAGGACGACATCCACTTCAACTACCCGCTATCCGGCGGCAGCATCATGGCGATGGGCACGTACAACATGGCCGCGCTGCGGATGGCGCTGGGCGCCGAGCCAGAGGAGTGCCTCAGCTGCGACGTGCACTCCTACACGGACGGCATCCACGACAAGTGCGACTACGACTTCCACGCCAAGTTCCGCTTCCCCAACGGGGCTATCGGCGAGGCGTCCACCACGCTGAAGGGTCCCACCTACTGGACCCCATCGTACCTCACCGTCACCCAGAAGGAGGTCGTCGTCCCCGACTCGACGCTCCCGGCGTCGCAGACGAAGCTGCTGAAGCGCAAGCTGACCCTCCACGGCTTCGTCCACGGCATCTTCTGGCACCGCATTGACATCCACGACGAGCACCACATCCGCGACAACGGGTCCGGCAAGGTCGTCCGTCGCTGGGAGACCACTGAAAACCGCAAGGCTTACACCTTCAAGGAAGCCGGCGGCGAGTTCGCCGATCTCCCGGGCGAGCCGTTCTGGATGTCGTATCGGCATCAGCTGGAGCAGTTCGTGAATAAGGTCAAGGGCCGCGAGACTCAACACTGGATTAGTGGCGAGGACTCCATCGCGCAGATGAAGATGATCGATATGGCGTATGAAAAGAGTGGCCTTGGCCCTCGACCTACTAGCTCGTTCCATGGCAAATAATAATTCAGCGATGTGCTTGGGGTTGCGATATTTGTTTCTTTCTCTCCACTCAATTACCTTTCTCTTCTCTCCATTACATTTCGGATCGGGGTTTGCCGCAGTTTGTACCTAGTGCTTAGAATATTGCCTTTGTTGGCGTCATCGAATTTGCCTTTGCCCAGAATAACGGGGTTATCCGGCCCAATTCTCGTTTCCAGTGCCAAGTACTTATCAGCGACCATAGAATGTGAGCCCCTTGCTGCTCAAACTCATGCATTACGTTAGGATATAGTCAGATCAAGCCCTCCAACATTACTGTTCAGCATTTATGTAGTGGTTGGTACATTATCATCAGACCGGCAAAGGAAACAATGAAGCAGTCATGTCACTACTGTGACGAAGACCAGGAAGAGAGCTCCAGTGTCCACCTACCCAGCTAACATTTCGCTCATGTCTTTAGAGTTAACTTTCGGGGAAGATATAGTTTTTTTTTTTCAAGGACGAGCACTAACTCTATTTAGATTGTGGCTTGAGCAAGTACAACACAAACTCAATGCTAATGTGTAGTGAACAATTCCACAGCAAACATTGTCCAAATAACGACAATCTTATAATTAAAACCAACATCTGATTCTAACCCCGCTTTCCAAACAGCTTGAACCCCCCCGGCACGCTTTTCTGAAACAGCTCAGCAGGGTCATACTTGCGACTAACCGCCCTCAACCGATTCAGCATCTCCTTCCCATAACTCCCAATCGGGTCCTGCGACTTCTCCGCATAATTCAGGTACTGAAAAGGCGAGTAGAGCCCCTCGCGCCGCAAGACAGCCCCCTGTAGCAGGACGATGTTGCGCGCGCCCTGGAGAGCGGCCACTTCATCTGCGGGGTTGTCGAACGCGACCGTGACCAGCCCCATAACCTTGTCCTTCTCCCCCGCCGGCTGGCCCAGGGAGTTGGTGCCATTTGTGACCGGCTGCGGCTGTACCAGATACTGCACCTGGAGGCCTTTGATGTGCGCGAGCGCGCGGCATCCCTGTTCCCAGATTTGGAACAGCTCTTTATATGTTGCTGGGCTGGGGTTCTTGAAGGAGTAGACGTATTCGGTTGTCCTGGATTCAGATCCTTGTTAGCAAGGTTGCAGTCTCCCCGCGCGCGCGGGGCAGTGCAAAGAGGGGGTTCGTTACAAGTTCAGTTTGGGCGGTAGCGTCTCCCCGAATTTCCTGACCATGCCGCTCACGTTGTTGAGGGCGAGGGTGTTCTTCACGGGCGATGGGAAGGACGTGAAGCCCCGGTACACGGGCGGGTTGACGACGGGTTTCGTGTAGAAGAGGGAGTCCCCGGTGGAGAAGCCGCCGTCTGCGAAGTTCATGATGACGGCCATGTCGGCGGCGCCGTCGAAGTTGGCGGGGTTCATGTACTCGCTGAAGGCTTTGGCTTGGGCGTCGACCATGGCTTGTGAGTATTTGAACAGAAGCACGCCTCCCCACATGGCCTTCTGCGGGAAGGTCGCCAGGTCGAAGCGGGTGACGATGCCGAAGTTGTTCGACCCGCCTTTCAGCGCCAGCCAGAGGTCGCGGTTCGCGCTCGCGGTGGCGTGCACGACTGATCCGTTGCCCAGGACTACCTCGTAGCCGTAGACGTTGTCGCAGGAGTAGCCGTGGTCGCGCGACAGGAAGTTCAGTCCGCCTCCCGTCGTGAATCCGCCCACGCCAATGCCGGGGACGCGGCCTCCCATGACGGTGAGATTGTGTCGGTCCAATTGGCCGTAAAGGTCGCTGAAGATGCTGCCGCCGCCGACGGAGGCGGTCTTGCGGTCGGCGCTGAGAACCAGGGATTTCATGGACCGCATGTCGACCGTGATGCCGTCTTTGATGTTGGCGGCGCCGCTGAAGAGCGTGTGGCCGCCGCCTCTCACGGCGAACTTGAGCGGCGACGACGAGGCATTGGCATTTTCGTTGACGAAGTGGATGAATTCTGAGACTTCGGCCGTGCGGGTGGGTCGGAAAATGCAGCTAGGCTTGAGGGCTCTCTCGTACTGGGAGTAATAGGACGATTCCAACTCCGCGTACAGTGGTTCACGGGGGAGCACCACGCGGCCGGGGATCTGGGAGCGGAGTCGATCGCAGATGCTGCTGCTGGACAGCACGACTGACGCCAGGGAGAGCAGCGCCAGAAGCTGAGTGAGAGGCCGCCAAAGCATGGACATTGTGGGTTATGGGATTTGAGTTTGGGTCTCTTGGGTTTGGGAAGCTGGAGAGATCGACAGACCAAGCGTTGTTTATACTATCTTCGGAGAAAATCAACGTCATTAATCACCGAACACTGCCCCATTAGTCTATTGCCTTCTATTGTATATGTGTGTCAGATAAATGCGGGGTATATGGGTAGATCGGAGGCAGTGCCGGATCGGCGATATCGCCATCGATATTGGGGGCTATTAAGCCTGTTATAGGCCGAGTCCAGCAGATTACTGCATCTACTGTAGGTACCGTGTCAGTTTCCTGCCTTGTCTATTTTTATACATGCAAGTCATCTTGTCTGATTTTGTACAGTACTTTCGTAGCCTCTTAAGCACCCTTAGTAACCCTAGCCTGATAGTTTGTTTCACTTCGTGGCAAGGCAGAGAGGGCCTCACGTTATATCAGCTTCGACTTTCACGCCCTTGTCGCAAGATCCCTCAGCTATCTCTGAAGGCAAGTGTAAGAATTATCATAAGCTATCACAAATCGAATTAACATTCAAGAGGGTCTTTGTTTTACGTTGAATAATACTAAAAAGAATGGTAAGACTTCATTTGACTCTAGCTAGGCCGGCACAGTCGATCAGCCGCTTGAGATTACCTCTCTCGGATATTATGAGTCAGATAGTATCCATATAGATTGATTTTTCCGACTAATGACTGAAGACGACTCTGAGTCAGTTGGTATTCACTGGTAAGACCTATATCTGAAGTCCTCGACTAGGGTTGTGAGCCACGAGCACTGGCAATACCAGTGGCAGCGAATATATTATCATAGAGCATGCTCCTGTAATCCAATCGCACAAATTCCATGACAAAGTAGTTTAATATCAGCATGTTAGATGCAGAGATATAATCTACATGATAAAATATCATCCTATAGCATGCTCCTGATATTCGATTGCACAAAAAGTAGGACAAAATAGCTCAAGGTCAGGGCGTTAGGTGTATAGATATATTTCACAAATAGATAAAAATTGGTTAAACCATAATTTCCATGGTCTAGAAGTTTATAACTGACCAGTATACTACTGGATTGTGGACCAAATAAAACCTAGATAAGAAACTTTATATCTGACCGCATAATGGGACGAGATATTGGAATCAAATACGTGTGTTGACAGTTCTTTGTCTCGGCAAGCATCTGGCCATCGGAACATCTATCAACGCACTCTTAGTTGTTACGACAGGCGCCTCCTGCTTTTGATGTAACACCTAAAGAGCCTGTGGCGCCAAGTAGGAGGATAGAAAGATTCATGTCGTGTAATAGATTCAAAACGTATCACTCCCGTGCCTGCTTGTCACTAGTGTGCAGATCATCCATCCTTTTTCAAGGGCGAATATAGGGAGAGAATGTACATCGGATAGCATACCTAGGTAGAGCTCAGCATGGAGGGCTCTTGGTGCTGGCGAACTGGAGCAATTAGCAGCTCTCTGCTATCAATCAAACTGCTCAACTCGGGTTCCATCACCTGAAGAGTAAATGTAGAAAAAGGTAGAACATACAAATGATGCCGTGATTATAGTTCTTCGGATAGACTACATGATGTTTTCGATTGTAATTAACTCTGGATGGCGCAGAGCTTATATGGGCCACAACTCGAAGCCACACAAAGAGATCCGATGGTTACTTTCCGAGGGCTGAGCTTTGTCCATCAAACAAAAAAATTGTACCATGCACGAGTTGAGATATCTTATGCCAAGCCAGTATATTGTTGAACAGTAACCTTGACATTACTCAAATGACTGGAGTGCACCTTCTATAAGAACCTGTTGCTGCGCGGAAGTGCCCTCGGGTTTCCAAACCGCATTGATCTTGAATCCAGCCTTATTCAGCAGAGATTCCCACTCATTTTTGGTTCGTTCCGCTGACGAGAAAGCAGTCATCATAGTCATGTCGCCAATCGCAGCCATCCATGGAACATTGGTCTCCGGCATAGCTTTCACATGAATCAAGAGCAGAGAATTAGGGCTCATTGCTTCAAGAATCCTCGACAAGATCTCCATGGCCTGCTTGTCCGGCCAATCGTGGAGAACAGTGCGGAGGTAGGTTGCCTTTGCGCGTTTGATAGGCTGTTCGTCGAAGAAATTGTGGGCTTGGATCTCGATGTAACTGGGAACATCGGTAGTCTCAAGCACATGTGGTAAGTCCTGCAGTACAAGTCTGCCCGGCAAATTAGAGAACTTCTCGCGGAAGGTCTGGAGGTCTTTGCCTCGACCACCACCGACGTCCACGACAAGAAAGTCGGAGGAACTCTGCACCTGTAGCCTCTCTTCAACTGGGAAGAAATCGAGCCAACTCTTCGCGTCGCGACGATAAGGCGAGGCCATTACGGTGTCGAAGGCGTTTTGGTAATAAGGCCTCGACGAAATGTAATCAAAGTACCCACGCTTGGAGCCGATTGCGAAATTGATAGAAATCAGACGTTGATAATTGCGTGCACTCCGTTCTGCTGTTTTGTGAATTTAAAGACACATCATTAGAGAGATATCATCGCGTTCAGTAAGCATACTATTATGTTGGGATATCAGTCAGGTTAAGCCCTACACCAATCGTTGGTCAGCGTTTTGGCGTGGTGGTCATGATGCCATTCTAAGCATATAAAAAGATCAGGAAGAGGCTCCACATTTAAGTTCATGATGTCGCAATATAAGATAGCTTTAACAGGGTGCCCACAGAGCTCAAAAGTGTCTAGATATTTTTTGTAGCCGAGTGGTATTCTTTGACACAGGATCTTGATTGACACTACAAAAGCTTGTTCAACAGAGGTCTCTCCAGACTCCGCACGCACCGTCGACTCTGTTATGGAAAATAGACCAGCATATCATGGTTTTACCAATATATATAAATCCTATCGCACAGCTACGAATGATACTAAAATATATATCTAGAGACCCCCAGATACAGGTATCTGCGACACTAATAACATTCTGTCTAGATTCTTATAAGAGAAATATCTTTGTGTCGAAAGAAGTCCTTTATGCTAACAAGAATTATTATTAGGAGGGTATGAATGTGAATCCCAGCTTGTAGTAGTTCGATGAAGATACAATGCCGCCACATCAAAATGCTGACCAGCACTTGGTATAGGGCTTGAACTGACTGACATCTCCAACAAAGAGTATATAACTCCCTGGGAGCCAGAGCAGTAGCCCTAATTCAAAGGGATAAAAAACTAAAAAGAGAAAAACATACAACAGCCGGGATTCGCATGTGGTCACCCACCATACTACTAACCGGCCGGCGTGTGGCTTAAGTACGGCTGAGCGGACGGGAAGCCCTGTTCTCCACACCCTATGGTCGTATGTACTGGATAGTAGTATGAAAGAGATAGTTATAGCGCCAATGCTTGGCTAGGACTATGGTACTTTCTTTAACTGGACTGGAGTAAGATTTAAAATGGTCCAGATAGGACGAGACCCACTTTCAAGAGGCCTACTATCTCGAACTCGAACGTCTGTAAAAAGGAGGGACCCACCGGATGATCCACCCGTTCGCCACTATGAATCCTGCTGCGATCCAAATATGACAACAACCTTCTGCACAGTGACATGATCGTAGGGACTGAACGTTGGAACAGGATGAAGAAGCAGGGGCAAAGATAAGGCAAGCACATCATATCGACAGAACCGTACTCCTTACTCTTCAGGCAAGCGGTCAGGGTGGTGATGTCAGCTGACCCCACCGGGTGGGTCTCGATTATCGTTTTCACAAGTTCTTCTCGAATCCATTCAACCCCCGTATACCATCCACCTGGTCCTCTGATCAGGCTTCTGCGTTTCTGAGCTTGAATGTATGGCAACGGGTTCCCGCCCGTCCACGGGCCCTGGTCCACCTCCGTGATTGCTCCGCCGGTCTTTTTCGTCTCACCCCGACTCCGGAGGATCGATCCTATCCCTGCCTCCTGAGAATGGCACATCCCCTATCTCACATCCCACATCCTCGTAGCAGCGATATCGGCAGATCCACATGATCTACGGGGCATAGATACACCTCTTCCCAAACGTCATGGTCCAGGCTCAATCCAGACCACATTCCTTGCATGTCCAGTAGCTTAGATGTCCCGTCAGTTGCGATCGTGGTGCTTCGATTGAACGGGCAGTATGCCTTCACTGCCACGGAATAATAGGATGCTAGATAACACGAGTGCGAGAGGTGGGGACGTACGCTTGGCTCTAGAGCCTTATAGATTAGGAGGCCTGCATAGTGACGTTCACTATTGAGTTTCCTGCCCCTGATATTCATTAATCGACCCCACAGGCGTGGGAGATTCGGACGCTCGTCGCGGTGGGTATCGGAAGACACCCATCACCCACGTTTATTGATCGAACGAACTTCGGGGTGGGTTTCTGATAACCTCCCCGAAACATGTGTCGAGATAAGTTCCCGTTACGCATTGTGAAAACCGGTCCCGGAACGACTGCCTCACGCCACATTGCGCATCGTCTGGCAACCCCCTGTTGGGCCGCGCGGCGCGCGCTTGCCAAGTCGCAGTCGACAAATCGTCTACTAACGGGCTTTTGAAAGTATCCGATAGTATCCGGGTGCTTTATCAACTATTAGCGGCATACCCAGCCAGTGCTATCTTCGGGTGAACGGCACGTGTCTATCCGATCCTTGTGGTTTGTTCGCTGCTATGGATCGGCAGAAACCTTGAAGATCATGTTCCAGGTAATTCCTCTTTCTGGTCGAGCTCGTGACCTGGTCGAGCCAGGGACACAACGTCAGCGACTGATAGGGGATCAACCTTAAATTAACCCCTTGCCGGCTTGAATCTAATCTGATTGTTTCAGACGAATTTAGAAAAAATTAGACAGGTGAGTACTGGTCAATGCCAACAATCCCCTGGCCATTTCTTCAACAACTCTCAGGAATTAACATCCCTGGTAGTCTGATCTAAGATCTGATTTTGCCAAACTACAACATGGCCGCCCTGACATTCCGGGCGCTGTTTTTGGCAGCCCTTTTGGCACTCCTGGTGCCCTACTGTTCTGCATTTCGATATAGCAAGTCCGAATATGGATCCGTTGAATCGTCGGAGGAGCAGGATATCTATTCTGCGGAAGCCGGTCTGATGGTCGAGGACGATCATAGTGAAGCAGGCGAGGTAGGTCCAGGTCTGACTGCTACCTCACAGTACCAGCTGACGAGTTGGACAACAGGACCACGGTGACATTAAAGTACCAGATGGTGCTAGGTTCACGTCATTCAAGGTTAATGATCATGGCCACGAGGAAATGCCAGGATTCATCAATGAGGATATAGAAAACGAGGACATCGAGCACCTCTTTATTGTTCTCCACGGGAGGCTCAGGAATGGAAACACCTACTGGAAGACGATGCACGACTCCGTCACCAAGGCCAGAAAGGATGACTTCCCCGGATCAGAGCGCAAAGTCGCAGTCCTCACGCCGCAGTTCTTCTCGAAGAAGTACAACTCTGGCCAGTACACGGACGTCCAGCTGGCGTGGGACGATCTGAACGCGTGGCAGCCAGGTGGCAAGGCCAACCATCCCGCCAACACAACCCTTACCTCCTTTGACGTCCTGGACGGCCTCGTCAAGCTCCACTCCGACAAGGACAAGTACCCGAACCTGACCAACGTCACCGTCATTGGCCACGGTGGCGGCGGCCAGCTCGCCCAGCGGTACTCGGCCGTGGGTAACGACCCCCCTGAAAATGTGCACGTTCGGTACATCCACGGCGACCCGTCCTCGTGCATGTACTTCACCCCCGACCGACCCATCCTCTCAGACAACTCAACCTCGAAGGACTCCTGCACGTCCTTCAACACCTGGCGATACGGCTTCGACGGCTTCCCCGCCCGGGAAGGCAAGCACATGACGCCCAAGGACTACTTCAAACAGTACCTCAGCCGTGATATCGTCTCAATCGTGGGGATGCAGGACACAGGCAGTGCCGGCGATACGAGCTGCATGGGGAAGCTCCAAGGCGGCAAGAACCGACGCACCCGCAACTTGATCTGGTTCCGATATATCAACACGCTCGCGCGCACGGACGAAGACCTGGAAGGCTTCCCTGGTGAATATGGAGATCTCCCTGACTGGAGCGACGTGGTGGGTGGAAAGAGCCAGCTGCGACTCGTTGCTGTCCCGGGCGTGGCTCATAACGCGAAGAAGCTCTTCCACGGTGATCTCGGGCGGGGAGCGCTCTTCTCCGATGGTGACGTCGATCCAGGCTGGCGCCCCAAGAACAACGGCAGCAGCAGTGGTAGCAGCAGTGGTAGCAGCAGCGGCAGCAGCAGCGGCGACAGCAGCAAGCGTAGCCCGTCTCCCGATGAGAATTCGAGTGCTGCTGCACATGCGCTTGGACGTCCTGAGTTGGGCGTGCTCTTCACTGGGTTATTAGGTCTGGCTCTTGCTCTTTACTGAGCGGGAGGCTAGATTCTGTATCCTTCTCTCATTGCCCTACCTAACCATCTTGATATCCCTAGAATTATACCATTCCATGCAATAGAGAATTTTGTTTATTTATTTGAAACTATACCTTTACTCACCAGTACTTCCATTTGGTAACGTCACTAATAGGTTATTGATTTTCCTGCAACCATTATAAAATTCGGGTATTACCATTTACCCGCACATCACCCTATATACCACATATAATAATCGTTCACTCAAGTTCCATGCATTAACCATGTCTTTCCTACCCCATTATCACATTTGGAGTCCTCCCTAACGATACTAACCATACTCCAACAATTGGGGTAAGCAACCCTCGACATCCCGACGGGCAGGGTTTCTCCAACTGTTGGAGAAGACAAGATGTCTCCAAAACAGTTCGTCTCATACTTCTTAAACACTGTAAATGCCCACCCAACTCTAGTCCGCCAAAGAAACAGTCAACACTAACCATGGGATCCTCACAGCCAAGCAGTCCGCTTCTCCAGAAGCCTCTAAAAGTAGCCTGCATCCAAATAGCCAGCGGTACCCCTCCTCACTCCCCTCCCACGTCTCTCCCCATCCTACTAAAGTAACTAACACCCAATACAGGCCCCGACAAAACCAAAAACCTCGCCCAAGCGCGCCAAAAAGTCCTCGAAGCAGCATCCGCCGGCGCCAACCTGATCATCCTCCCAGAATGCTTCAACTCGCCGTACTCAACCGCGCAATTCCGCGCCTACGCGGAGCCCCTATTGCCCTCACCCGACGAAACCACCTCGCCCAGCTTCTTCGCCCTAGCGCAAATGGCCCGCGACAGCGGCGCGTTTCTCATCGGCGGGACGGTCCCCGAGCATGATACCGACACAGACCGCATATACAACACCAGCGCGGTGTACTCACCCCAGGGGGAGCTGCTCGCCTCGCACCGGAAAATGCATCTCTTTGACATCGACGTTCCCGGCGGGATGTCCTTCCATGAGTCGGACACACTCTCAGCAGGTAACCGCACCACGGTCGTTGACCTGGACGGATATGGGCGGATCGGTCTCGGCATCTGCTACGACATGCGCTTCGCAGAGCCGAGCGCAATCGCAGCGCGGCACGGCGCCTTCGCGCTCGTGTTCCCGTCAGCGTTCAATACGACGACTGGGCCGCTGCATTGGGAGTTACTTGGGCGGGCGAGAGCCGTCGATAATCAGGTTTATAGTATTTTGTGCTCGCAGGCGAGGGGCAAGGATGGGGGGTATCCGGCTTGGGGGTATAGTCTTGTTGCGGATCCGATGGGGAGGGTTGTTGCGGGGATGGATGAGAAGGAGGGGATTGTTTATGCGGTGCTTGAGCCGGGGGTTATTGGGGAGACGAGGGTGGCGATTCCGGTTACGGGGCAAAGGAGGTTTGATGTTTATCCTGATCTTGGGGAGTTGGTCAAGTTGGGGTAGGTGGGCTGGGTTGGGGATGTGGTGGTGGATGTGATGGAGGGGCTTTTTCGGCTGGGTATGTAGGAATATGCAACCTTGCGGTTTGATATACTAGTCTATTGCCTGTAGATGTCTGTAGGGCTATCATTCGAGCGTTGAGCGGGGCGTCCTGCGCCGAACACCAACCATACGGCCCATTTCAGCCCAGAACCCCACCGGAGGGGTGACGATAGACTCTTCGTAGGCGTCTATCGCCGGCCTCTCCCAGAGAAGATCCACCTCGTGAGGTCTGATCCAGCGCGTTCTCTTAACGACCTTCCAAAACACAAACAGGCACGGAGCGACCAGCTGCATCGTGTAGTTCGAGAAGAATTTAGACACGCTCCACGGGGTGAACGCGCTATATCCGTAGAAAACAAGCACTAGGGAGTGCATTACAATCCCCACATACGCAGCGTAGGGCTGGAAAAATCCGTAGTACGGCATCTTTTTCCGGTCGACGCCTTGCGCCTGACACGCGCGGTAGTAGTGCACGAAGGTGATGGACATGATCAGGAAATTGACCAGCCCGCCGCCGGTGATGAGATTCACAAGCCAGGTTAGCACCGTCGCTGAGTCGCTGCCGACCTGGAGGAACGAGAGAAACGGGAACAGCATCACGATGCAGAAGCAGTAGATCGGTACGCCTTGCTTGTTGCAGTAACGGAGGAGCTTAGGGGCGCGGCCTGCGAGCGCCAGCCCGTAGAGCGACCGCGTTGCGCAGTAGGTGTAAGTGTTTCCCGCAGAGAAGATTGAAGTGAAAATCAGCGCGTTCACGATATGCGGCAGCACGCTGACGCCAAGGTTCTTCATCGCTATCACGTAAGGTGAAGCCGCTGCCGTGCCGTCGCCGCCGCCGCTTCCGAAGTAAAGGTCGACAAGAGCGGGATCGTTGGACGCGACGACTATTCCGACGGCGAGGGCCCCGACCACGAAAAATATGCAAAATCGATAGTACACAGTTTTGAAGGCCGCTTTGATGTACACGCTGGGACGCTCGGCCTCGGCGGCCACCATCGAGATGTACTCCGGTCCTACGACCGTGAAACAAGCGCTCCACAAGGCGGCGAGGAATCCTTCGAAGCGACCGAGATCGCCCTTTGTGTGAAATTCGACGAATGCCCCAGGGGACTTCCAGTAGCGGAAGCCGTATGCATCGTGCTGGGGATTTCCGCCCACCATGGTGATGAAGGTGAAGGAGAAGAGGATGAAGATTAGGACGAGCTTTCCTCCGGAGAGCCAGAACTCGGCCTCCCCATAGAAGCGGACTGCGAGGATGTTTAACGCGCTGTTTCGTCGGTTGTTCTAGGTCAGCTAGCGTTCTCAACGACTCGAACAGCACGTCCACAATAAGGGTATAGTCTGTGGATGCCGAGAAAACCCCACAGCCGATATAAGAATAGGGGCAGCCCGAGAATATTCGTCTTACGCATAGCAAATAATAACAGCAGCACATATACCAGCCGTTGGGCCAGGTTCCGTCACCTCGCTATTCCAGAAGGACATAACCATGCTCAGTGCAGTAATCTCAAACGGAATCAGCAAGGCTTCATAGAAGAAGAAATTCCACCCGGCCATGAATCCTAGAGCATCGTCCACCCAATATCCGGCAAGACGAATAAAACCGCCCGATACGGGCATGTAGGTGGTCATTTCAGCGATCGAGTTATTGACTAGGGCTAGAACGCCAGAGTAGAGTGTGTAGGCAAGCAATAGACTGGCGGGGCCGCCTTTGGCGAGACCACCGCCAATGCTGATGAAGAGCGCGGTCCCGATTGAACCCCCCGCCGCGATGAGTTGAATTTGGCGGTTGTTGAGGCGGCGCTGTAGACTGCCCCAGTTTTCGGAGTTTTCGGAGCTTGTGTCATCTGAGTATGGTGGGATGGGGGTACAATCTCTGGGTGTTTTTTCTCGTTTAGTGTCATCTTGATGGTTGAGTTAAGGACCTGACAAGAGTAGGCTGGGGAGTAAGAAAAACTGGCATGAGAGTTGAACTGGTGCTGGGTTAAGAAGGTGGATAACAAAGAAATGAGGCCAGACCTTCTCTACCAATCTTACACAATCTGTACAGTGAGTGGTGGCTTATGGCGACTTCGAACCCCTGCAACGCTAGACAGGGGAGATTTCTTCCGATGTCACCTACATTGACGTATCAAAAAACAGGTTTCTTTTTACGCAGTATTATCTTATCTCTAGGCTCACCATATTCAATGAAACTAGGATGTGCTAGGACCCATGTGGCTGAAGGGGCGAGTGGACGGAAAGAGCGAATAGAAGTAACCAGGGCAATTAGGGCTTGGATGTCCTCTCACAAGCTACAGTATTATAGGCTTGATAGATACGATCGGTATTACAGCGCCTAGTACTTAGTCACACGTCTCACAATCTTGATCGCATGGTTCCAGTAGATCCAGCTCCTTGAGCGCCGCAGTTGACTCAGTGATGCGCGTAACCAAGGAGTGGACGGCCCGAGTCCCATTACTGGCAGCTGTATTCAAGATTCATGTGTGGGATAGATACCAGTACTGCTGTTGTAAGGATTCTGACAGTTAATACAACTTTATAATATCTAGGACTGCATTATCCTGTTCATTGGCATTGTGCGTTGATAGTCATCTCTTAGGGTTATCAAGATCAGTACATTGCTGATTAGTAGATTACTTGACTATTCGATGTGTCCAACAAAAAAAACAAAGAATTGAATGCTCTCCCACCCAACCCCCTCGGCAAAAAAAAAAAAAAAAAAAAACATACGGTGGATGAATCTATTGCTATGTCTTTCCGGCTTTGCGTTGATATTCAATGAACATGCGGTGATAAAACCGCCCTTGCCTGGTCATGTGCCAGAATACTACACACTTATAGTTAGATACCTTTTGTTAGGGCTTCATGGTTGCAACCGGCAGATGCAGTTCTTTGTTTTGGTAAGGAAGATATGAATGTGAGATTGGGAGAAACATCGCTTCCAAAGCTTATTTCTTACAACTCATTGAGTCTTCAGATTCGGTTGCTTGTTTCGTTTTCATGTCTTTATCAAGAAAACAATGGAATTGTTCTGTTTCTTTCCTTGAGCCTATCATAGACAAGAGACGTGGGGTGAAAAGGTCTTTGATGCTCTTGCTATGTGGTCGTCTCTCTATGCCTTTGTCCTGTTCCTTTGTTGTCTTCTTCTCCCTTCTAGCCCTAGTCATAAAGTATATATAGGTGTCTTGGATCTATAAAACCCGTCAGTTCCTGATCATTGCTATTATCCTTCTTCTTGTTCTTCCCTACTCTCTTTTTCTTCTCTCCTAACACTAACAGACAGAACAGATCGAGCAAAATGCCATGCGGGTTGTCATTCCCCCCTGCCAAAAGACCAATGTCTGACTTCAAGTATATCGACCAGCCCCTGTCATACAAGCTGGCCATGGAAGTAGGGGAGCTCCTTCGACAAGCCCAGATTCCTCACATCCTGTGGGGTGAGAAGATGTTCGATCTACTCCTGCTTAATAGCAACGTTGGGGTAAGTACCCACGCACCATCTTCCATACCCCCTTTACAAATACTAACTCACTGCAGACCCTAGACTTCGTCATTCCAGATCATCAGATGGACAACGCAATTCACGTATTGAGAGACGCCGAGTTCCAGGATGAGATAGAGACACTCCAGAACAAGAACTGTAGGTGGCTCAAAGACAAGCAAGAGAGCATTCGACCCGTTCAACCCTGGCCATCCCACTGGTTCCACCTTGACCCCGAGCCAGCTTGTAACGACACCTACTGTCAAAGTCATTGTGGCCGCTCAGTACGTCTGTACCTCAGATGTCATGCAGACCTCGTCCTGCATCGGAAGTCGGATTGTCTCTGGTCCCTCCCTGGTTTTACTCTCGATGACCCGCACTACGATGACCCTAACTATATGCTCGCTAACGACCGCCGGCTTCCAGAAAGCGAACCAGGGGATCTAGGTCGGGTTTCTAAACCCAACTGTCGGCTCCAGATCCTTACCCCCGCACGCTACATTGAATCTATAATTACTCTCCGCGCGCGTGACTGGCTGACCACTGATCAGGGAGAGCATTGGTATAAGATCTTGCTTCGTATCTTCAATACTCATAAGAATCGCCCGATTCCTGGTAGATGCGCTCTGCTTGGGCCTACACTCCTTCGCGAGCCGTTTCAGAAGTGGTGGACTCTCTTTTTGAAGGACGTTCCGCCTTATGATTATGACCTCGTAGTAGCACACCTTCGTGAGATCGAAGCTGGTTTTGTAGAGTTGAGGGAGGCTTTGATCAAAGATAGTGATCTTCCTAAGACGCCTTTTACCTGGGCTCTGAGATCGGTCTGAATGTGGGGTTTTTAGGTATTTTTTTGCGTGCTTTTCCTTTGGGTTTTCTTTGACTTACTTAGCTGTTATATAGACTGTGCTGCATGATCAACTGATTTGTTCATTGTAGATGGAAAAGTATATCAAAATGTACGGCCGCTCTAGCCTCTTTTGATATCAGCTCTAGTCAGTACTGCTCAATACATTGGTAGATATACAGAATAGTATCAACAGGTTCGAAAACCTCGAATGGCCCAGTTTAGTAAGAGAGTAATTTACCTCAGCTAAGTGATCAACCAAAGCTACACTGCCTTGCATCCGAGTGATGTGTTTGGCATGGTCCATCGTAAAACATGATCACCAACAGCGTCACGAAGCGGACCCAGAGACGTCACTTCCTTATCTGGTGATCTATATGACTCATTCACTGTCATATATGCCCCTTCCATATTTGGTAATTCTTATCCCTATAAGACCATCAGCCCTTTCCCCTCCCACCTAAAAGTTTTTCCTTCTTCCATACCACTCTCATCTCATATACTTCAAGCACCATCCACCAAGCTTGTCCTTCTTCCATTCCTCATCAAAGTCCTATTCATATTACTTTTCAACACTTCCATCATTTATCTCCAGCGCATTGTACGCTCAGTATTTAACAAGGTGAGTACCCATTCCGATGACCCGGGATGGCACATCGTGTAGGAGGAGCTCCGAGGGTTTGTAAAAACCCGAATGAGGTTTCCGAGATCCTGGCGAGGAATTTAATTTACCCACTTAGCCATGGCATTCGTCGAGGATAACCTCATTTTCTTCTATAGGTTCGTTCTGGCTCGAGTGTGGATTTGACATACTGCGTCTGTATGATCCTCGTCTAGGATCTGGGCCTCCTGACAGAGTTGAGGAACGGAAAGGCGTGCAGGACGTAACAGTGTCAAATGGTGAGGTATCTGACTGATAATATAGAGCTTTGTTGAATTGCTTGGGTTTTTGCACACTGTGTTGAAGACTGGGAGGTCCAGCGCCCTTGGGGCGAAAGTAATTAAAGATGGATAGAGCATTAGTAGACATCAAATGCACAGCGTTCAACAGGACCGTTTCTAGATACATTTCGTAGCTCATCGCTCCAAGTGTCATTAATTATATACAGCACGTTCTTCAGCAATTCTCTAGGAAAGCTAAAATCGCCTTCATCATACGTCCATCATGGTACCTCACGACTACGTCAATCGCCGGCTGAACATGAGTGTCACCAGGCGCTATAGCAAGCACAAAGTCACATTCCTTGATCCGGTCAAGGTCCGCCTGACCATCAACACGGACAGTCTCACCCCCAAGAAAGTCCCGTCCAAAGCCAACACAAGAATCAAAGATTACTTCCCCAGTCCCCACTGCCAGTATCGCTCTGCGCGACACAGCACGCTCTCCCCCACCAGGAAAAAGCCTCTTCCACACGGCGCGCGAACCTTCCGCCTCAAACGGATTACACCACACATCATCTAGCACCGGTTCATAAAGATCCGCGAAGTGTGTTGCTCTATCCAACGTTAGATGATCGTGTCGCGCTTCAGCTCGCACATCCCCCTCTTCCATCGCAGACATCGCCACCCAGGGAGACACGAGCAAGACGGCCTTGAATTGACCACCGTGGAGATCGAGTGGAGGTGCGTGTGGTGATGGATGGATGATGTGGGCTAATAAACTCGTTGTGAGATTCCCGCCTGCGCTGTCGCCGCCGATGATGAGGTCCTTGGCTTCGATGCCTTCCTCTTCGAGGAGGAACCGCAGGCTGGCGACGGCTTGAATCAGCTGGCTTGGGAACTGGTGCTCCGGGCTGAGCGCGTATTCCAGGAAAATGATCTGCTTTGCGCGGCTGGCTGCTGCGCAGCGCAACAGGAAGGGGATGTGCGCTTCGGCTCGGATCGGGTTGTGGTAGCCTCCGCCGTGGAAGTAGAATATGGTTGGTCCGTTGGGCTGTGAGTTTGGCACGGCGACGAAGTGGAGGACTGGCGCGGGGATGCTGTGTTTGTCTCCTAGGGTCGCGTTGTCCAAGGATATTGCTTTATGCTCTAGGCGGTGTTTGCGACAGTAGCTCTGGATCCTGGGGCCTGTTAAAGGCTTGCGTAGATGAAAAGCCTGTTGGTTGCTTGTTAAGCGGGCTTCGAAGGCGTGCAGGTACGCCAGGGCAAGTTTCTGTCGCCAGTTTAATGTAGATGCTTCGCCGCGTGATAGACATAGCGATGTGAATCTGGCTGTGAGGTGGATGACTGTATACAGAAGGGTCAGGATTGGTAAGGGCTACTACGTGAGCGAGGCGGTAAGGGCCTACCCAGTAAGGGGACACGCCACGCAAGTGAAACAATGTCAGAGATCCTTAAGAGCTCCATGGCTGCGGTGTTTGTAGGAACGACTGTCATGGAAGTCCAATACCACCTTTAATACCTAGGGAGTTGTGTTGGGGCTGTATCGAGTGAGAAGTGGAGATGCAAAATGCGGAGAGAGGGACCTCGGCTGTTAGTTGCTTGGCGCCTCTGAACAGATTAGCGAGGCATTAGGGCCGGTGGGTTTGTATAAAGTTTACCTATGTATATTAGTGTAGAAATATTCAAATGGTATAGATATCGAGCTAAACTGTGGTAGTATTGTCATGATCCATGGTATCGAATATTTGCCTCAATTCGTCGGTCTTTAGGCTATGAGTATCCGTTGGCTACCCGGACTTGTCGTCTTAAAACTAGATGTGTTGGTTTGGATTTCAGGTTTCTTTCTTATATTTTCTCAAGAGCCTGGGCTCTATAATTGAATATGTAAAATTACATGTGGTCATAAGTAGACACAAAAGTTTGTATAGTCGGTTACAGCAGTAGTAGGGCCCAAAGTTTGATCGTATGGGGCTTCGGAGAAACACCGAGATATACTTTGATCTATTGCTAGAAGTGGATGTTCGAGATTGATCCGTCAGTAAATCTCATGTGAAAAGAAACTACTGAGCAGAATTTAGCATTTCTGAGAGGAGATCAGACCTCTTGCTTCAATCTCCCTTGCGTTCATGGTGGTGATACAATGGTGTCAAGGTGACGGAACAAATACTTCCATCAATTTATAAGTCATACACTGTAAAAGGTTGACAGAGTAATTAGATATTTTTAGTATTTATTAGTGGAGAACCATGCGTGATCTATATAATGTGATAGATCTGAATGGGCTGAAATTATCTATGCTGTCACCTGTCGGATCCACCAGAGACCTGATAATGACATGTTCCTCTTCTATGCAAGCTCTCTTGCGTTTAAACCCAGATATAAACCCATAATATTGACGCTTCTGCTCACACACTCGATGACTACCTTCAACTGTCTTTACCAGTAGGGCTGGCTCCGTTTAAAAAATGGTCGTCTCAAACCTCGCTGTCGTCCGAGAAGCGTGGTTTCAAAAGCAAGCCCTAGTGGAGGACCTCTTTCAGCGCGGCGAGCTCCAGCCCGTGCTGTTGCATCATGCCTTTCTCTTAACCATTCCACCATTTGTGGCCGCCATGATTCCGTCACACTCAGTTCCGTGCATACGGAAAATACGGCTCCTCGCATATCTTTGGACAGTTGGGACGGGATTCTGGATTCTGCGAAACTGTCGGGCCTCATACTTTGCAAATGGCTTTTGGCTTGGATTGATGGTGGCGTCTTTTGCTTGTCGTTGGGCGTCTCTATTGGTTTTCCGAGATGTAGAGACGGACTTTCGGCGAATCGAGCGTCATACCGTTGCAGGACAGAAGACGACGGATCGCTTGTCCTTTGCTGATGAGAGTGGCTCTCGGGACAAGGAGCCCAACAAAAAGGGAAACGATCGTGAGTCGGAGGGGAGTCCCAAAGTTGCGCACCAGAGAGAACGCGAGGTTTACCAGTGGCAAGGATATCCTCAAAATTTCTGGCATCGGGTTAGCTGGATCTTCTGCCTCTCTTTCAGCCATCGAGGCAGCGCCTGGAACTGGCGCAGTAAGCCCTCTCCGCCGCTCCCAAAGCCCCTGCTTGAGCATCTTGCAAAACACCCAGATGATCCCATGGATATCGGGGATGTACCGTTCCAGCCCGCCAGTGTCTTTTCTGCTTTTGGGGTAGTTTGTAAAGCCTACATTCGATTCCGCCTCTTCAAGCTGGTGGCAATGGGTGATCCTTACTTCTGGGGCGAGATCAACTCTGACATGCCCCTTCCGGGGACCTCCGTCGCGCTTCCTGCGACTTCGACTCTCGTCCGTGGCTATCGCACCTTCCTATGCACATTTGCTGCCCACACTGCGATGACTTTCGTGCATGCTATTGTCTGTTTCTACATTATACTGTTGGCGTATATCTCCCCGAAGCTCTCAACCCTTCTACTCCGCCAACCAGCCGATCAAGCCTGGCTCTACCCCAGTCTCTTTGGGCCCTTCTCGGCAGTCTTTGACCGGGGTCTCGCCGGGATGTGGGGAACGTGGTGGCACCAGTACTACCGGTTCGATTTCCTGTCATGCTCAAAATGGGTCATGCAGTTCCTTCCGCCCCTGGTCATAAGGTCCAGGGTAGCTCACGGCCTCGTGCAAACAGTGATAGGGTTCGCTGTTTCGGGACTCGACCATGGGCTGGGGAGTTACACGGCTATCGCTGACACAAGGCCACTGACAGGGACGGCCTTGTTCTACGGGCTACATGCGGTGGGGGTTATCGTCCAGGGGCTTTGGAGTACCTTCGTTGCTTGGAGGCTGCCGTTTTATCGGCACATACCGCCGAGGCTCCTCGGATGGGCGAACGTCGTTGTCGCCCTGGGGTATTTCCATCTTACGGCTCCGTTGATGCTTGATGATTACGCTCGCTGTGGGATTTGGCTGACGGAGCTGGGTCCTCTTAGCATTCGGTGGAATGCATTGCTATCGGGTGGCGATACATGGTTTGATTGGGATTCGAATGTGGTGCAAGTGTGGCGGGGGGAAAGCTGGTGGACTAGTGGGATCCGGATCTTGTGAAGGGAGTATGGTATTTTACTGTGTTTTGTTTTATTGCGACATGTCTTATATCTACTCTGTAGCAGTTCTATTCTTATACTGTTTAGTATCATGTACAGTTAGCTCTCGAATATATAGTGAAGCCAGCTACTGGGAGTTCGTAAGTAGTCTGAAAGTACTCTTCTGACTGCGCCGGACTGTATACCACCCGAATCAAACCCTCAACTACCCCAGGTAGATCAAAATAAGTGCTTCACTGCACTCTGAGATGAGTGCATACCCTGATAGTCTGCAACGCCTAGCTGCATTGCGTCACCCGCCCAGCCCCTGACACCCTATTCATACTCTATCCATATTAGGTTGCAGCATTCGGACCTCTAACACATATTCGCTTGCAGAATCTCATAGATCTGCCGAGTATTGTATATGCAAGAGATGATTTGACTTTACCAGATGGCATTGATATTTGAAGACCGGAATCATGTTCCGCTGCTGCAAGGGATAGCTGATATCGGTTTATTCCCGTTTTTTATATCAGGCTATGGGATAGTGTTCGGCGTCAGCCCCTCTCCCTTGCAGATGTCTATACCCAGGGGTTATGTGGGATGTTGGGAGCTACTCTAAGTCTCTATAATGACAATTGATGTTAGACACATAAAGGCACCTCCAACCTTCGTAGTTGCAATGTAATACATAGAAGGATCTTATTCTGCTTATCCTCACCACCTCTCTTTCCTCATAGCCCCCATCCGATAAACCACCAAAATGAAGCTCTCTTCGGTGTTGGCCATTATCGCGTCCACCCAGGTGCCCGTGGCCATCTGCAGTGCCCTCCAACAAAGCCTGTCAAGCATGAGCCAAGTACACAGCCAAGTCAAGAACGTCCAAAAAGCAGTCGAGTCCTACAACGGAGGCATCATGGACCTAGTCAAACTCAGCTATGCCAGCAACAATCTCGACCGTGCAATCGACGAGGCAATGCAACACAACAGTCAACGCGAGCCACTTGACGCGGATGAATTCGAGCATTATTTCAAGTCTTTCGATGAATTCCACCCGGCCGTTGTCGAAACTATGCAGGCGCTAGGCCGCAAGGTAGGCACTGACAAGGGAAACTTTAGTATTTGTTATCGGGCACTGATGTTTAATTACGCGATGCAATATAGGCCTCCCAGTTCAAGTCAACCGGCTCCAAGACGGGCAATCGAATCGTCATCCAGGCTATCAAGCAACGCCAGGAAGAGTTTCTCGACAGTATTCGGAAAAGTGTCCATGAGGATAATGTGACTGCACTGGATACGGGATGTGGTGACATTGATTCTGCATTTCGGGATACGTACGACAAGTTTTGGCTTTGATTCAATTCGACTTAGATGTAATAGTGGGCTTGCCTACCGCCGTTGGCTTGACGTCTGAGCCATTTTTGGGGATTTCGGCTTGAGATGTGTTGATCTACATAAACTTTTTGATTCTTTTGGGAGAGGAAGATTTCTAATATTAATTTAAAGGGACATTATCTATTACCGCTCCCAAGTGGGTTACTTGTGTCTTGCCAGTTCTTACTAAGGAATCCTTAGTACCAATGGTTAGGATTTGTTTCTGTCTTCTTTCGGCCCTATGGATATTTATTTATTAAGTATTAAATACATGTAACAACTTCGGACCCCGAATGCAGGTGGCTGTTTTGCGAGTAGCCCAATAATGTGTCGATCATAACCTTAAACCCAAGAACTCAGGCATTACCTGGCAAATCCACCCCTGCAGGATGTCCATGGCTCTGGGTGTGGGATATAGATGGAGGTATATTATCTATTTAACTGAGTATGAGTTAGTCTTTAGCAACTACGAGCGCCGTTTAAGAAGCAATGGAAAGAGGCTCTTATACCGATGGGTCTTCCCTACTTTCAATGAAATTTACCCAACAAAGCGCAGGTGGGTTTTTATATTCTCTGAAAGTCATTCGATCATACACACTGGGAAGTGTTCAAGTTTAACAACAAGCTTCAGAATCACAAAATGTCTACATATACGCCAACCGCCTATTCGATCCCCGGCCGAGCGACCTCGACTGGAACTGCAGAGAACCCATGGAGAAAATGGCCATTCCGCAACTGAACAGGCCATTCGACAAGCTGTATCACATGGGGATTGTCTGCATTCCTACAAATACCTGCTTGGACGACTCTCTAACGTTACTGGACAAGCTCGCGGAAGGGCTTCTCTATCAGCACGAAGGCTGGTTGGCGTCCAGCGCGGCCTCCGCCAATGGGCGTAAAGTCCCACGATTGCTGCTGAAGATGATCTCGGCCCTGGAATACGTGGGACAGACACGCAAGAACAGCGAAGAAATAAGGCTTTTGAGTGAGTATTGATGCAATATTTTCAGTCTGGTGGCCGCTGTTTACTAAGTTACTGCTCCTCGCAGAACAGGAGATCCTGAGGGTTGACCGGGAGAAAGAAAAGCGCCCGGTCTATCGAGCCATACATTTCAACTGCCGTGACTTTGCGATCAACTTCGCTGCGCTTCTGGTTGACCAGTCTGTGTCGATACCTCAGCTGAGAGATCTCTCCTGGTACTCTGAGCATGCGAAGTACAGGTTCTGCAGGCTCCACGCGCACTACTCCCCGCGTGTTATAGGTTTAGCTCTCTGTTTGTCGGCTGCCCTTGCTTTAGCAGAGTCTACTGGTGTGGAGATTGCAAAACTTGCACGTATTTATATGGTCCTAGTGACTGCTGCGTTAGTAGTCTGTCATATGGTGTGGGAGACCCGCAAAAGAACTGCTGAAAGGGATCACTTTCACTGGAGAAATGTCCTTCAAAAACGCTTTCCATTGCTAGAAAACGTCTGGATTGATCTAGAACAACCTGGAAAAGTATGGGATTCTATGGAGGGATCTGGGAAATAGATATCGCCGAGGTGGATCAAGAATAGCATATCATCTTCCGTTTCATCAAGACAAGTGTGGTTATAGGGCATCGACATTGTTAACCCTAATATATGCGCCATATCTGATGGTTTTGGCAGAGCAATTTAAAAGCTTGTTGAGGAGGCCATCGGCTCTCTGTTCTTTTCTCTCTTTTTCATTCTTCGCGGGCCATCCTTTCCGTCTTAATATTATTGGTTTAACGCATTTTTAGCCTGTTGTCAAGCCAACCCTAACAGTATTCATTATGTATGGTCTCAGTCACCGCTACAAGATCCTATACAAAATCTGTAGATTTTGTTGAATACATCCTTAGGTGGGGTCTCTTCGAATCACTCCAATGGCAGCGTCATCAACAACCTGCGCTTCTGCATCTGCTATGTCAGGCTTGGCTTCTATAGTCACTGTGGAAATTAAATTTTGATATAATGGGGAATATCTGCATAATCCCCTCAAATCAAGCTGCTATCCTGCCCTCAGTTCCACATGACATGTCAAGGACTGATCCGGGACATTGGAATTATGAGCTATTGCCAATGAATTGTGGAGCCCATGCCTCTATTCTCCTGTTCAGTGCTACGTCTCATGTCTCTCCCTTATCCAAATACGGATGTGAAACATGACACTTTTACATTTGCCGACATCTGGACTAGGTCGTAAATAATATGGCTCACACGGGGAAGGGACCGTCGATGAGATATCATATATCGATCTTCTCTTCGATTTTACATCAGTACCCCTTGCATGCCGTGGAATCTTCGGAAGCATGGATCAAATGAGAATCGCAGGGTGCATGCTGGGATCGAGATCTCTTAAACTCCGGAACGGTTTTAAAAAAGCAGTGTGTGAAGCTGTCAACTCTCAACTCACTATCTGGAGCACGAAACAACAAATGTCAGAATAATGATGGTCGAATATGTTGCCAGCTACCACCCTGCCCTTTTACTTGCTGGGCTTGTATGTATAGCAGTAAGTTGTACTTGAGATTCAGTCAAACCGAACATGCTCTGACCAACCTATGCAGATATTCGGGTACTGTGTGTACCAGATCTATTTCCACCCCCTGAGCAAATACCCCGGACCCCTTAGTTCCAAACTCACCTCCTTCCGGGCGGCTTACCATGCATGGACGGAGGACCAACACCTGGATATATGGCGATGTCATCAGAAATATGGTAGAGGCTACCAGCCCCAGATTCAACCCAGCCATGCTGACTCCCATAGGTCCCATAGTTCGGTACCGACCTGATTACGTTTCATTCAACACAGTAGAGGCATACAAGGGTATACAAAAGCATCTTCTCTCTTGGCCTCGATTTGCTTGAAATTTACTGACAGACTGCCCAACTTAGATATCTACTCCGGTGACACGACCACCAAACCCCGAGTCTACGAACACCTGCAGCGCCAGCATGCAAGTATTCTCACGCTGCGCGACAACAAGGCGCATACCGTCCGACGGAGACTGTTAGGCCATGGCTTAACCTCCACGGCGGTGACAGACATGGAGCCTCGAATGCTGCGCCATGTGCGCAATTTCTGCCACGCATTAGGCGCGGGACTTGATACCACGTCGAGCGAAAAGGGTGCGTGGGGAAGTCCACTGGAAATGGCCGACTGGTGCAGCTACCTTACGTTCGATATCATGGTGGATATTGTCTTCGGGGTCAGTGGCAATCTGCTCGTTGACCCTTCGCAACGGTCGATAGTGGAGGATATTGGCATTTCCAGCAAAAGAGCTTTTGTGCTGATCAATGCACCGTTGTTGTATCTGGGACGCATGGACAGGAAGCTGTTTCCTGGTTCGGTGAGCAGTCGGAGGAGGTTCTTGCGGCTTGTTGATGAGCTGGTGGCCAGGAGCACGTCGCTTTCGGCGGAGGAGAAATCTCGTGCTATCGTTCATAGACTGCTGGCCGGGAGGGATGCGGAGGCGAATGGTGGGATTCCGGTTATGCAATCGCTCGTCTCCGATGCTACTACTCTGACTGTTGCCGGTATGCTTGGTCACCACTTCTCAACGAACCTAGCACTGATCAATCACACTACAACAGGATTCGACACAACCGCACCAGCCCTAAGCGCCACATTCTTCTACCTAAGCCGCTCGCCATCCATCTACAACCGCCTCGTAACCGAAATTCGCCAGCGATTCTCCTCCCCCGACGAAATCAAACAAGGCGAATTGCTAAACAGCTGTACCTACCTGCGCGCCTGCATCGACGAAACACTGCGAATCACACCACCCGTCGCCACTGCCCTCTTCCGGGAAGTCCTCCCCGGCGGCGAGCTGATCGACGGGCACGTCGTCCCCGCGGGATACCACGCCGGCACAAGCGCATACAGCATCCACCATCGAGTTGACTATTTCCACCTGCCGAAGGAGTACATCCCTGAGCGCTGGCTGAACCCGTCGGGGACGAGGGGTGGGGTGCATAACCCGGCGGCGTATATTCCGTTTCTGCGCGGCCCGAGGTCGTGTTTGGGGAGGTCGTTGGCTTATTGGGAGTTGCTTGTTACGGTGGCGATGGTGTTGTGGGAGTTTGATTTTAGGGCTGTGGATGGATCGGAGGCGGGGGTTGGGGGTGGGGATTCGATGTCGTCTATGCCTGGGAGGAATAATTCTGGGGAGTATCAGCTGTTTGATCGGGGGACTTGTGGGAGGGTTGGGCCTGTTCTGCAGTTTAGACGGCGGATATAGTGTAGTTATAGCATTTTACTATCTTGTTATAGTTTTGTTATGATGATGGAGCACAGCCCTGTCTATAACTGCATTAGGAATAAGCCCGTCACTGCCAAGATGCCTCAGCCTCTATCTACTGATTTAGATCGAGTTACAATATCCTTCCCTTTACACCTTTTGTGCCCCTCATATATTATATTCCTTTTTAAAGGGGGTAAAGAGCATCAACAACAGTTCCTGTGAGCATCGATGATTCCTTGGTCCAGATATGTCCAACGGCCAACGCCAACGCGATGCCTCGGATTCGGAAGAAAAAAACAACTTGGTCTCGTATGTCAAATCATGGCGACTATATCCCCTAAAACGCCCCTCGACAAGCACAGTGGAAGACTTTAGCACCGGGACAGATCACTCTCGCAAGTGGATCAAAGGCGTCGTGCTCTGTTCGTGGGTTATTGCCGCAGTCCTCGTCGCGAATATCATCCTCACTGTCGCCGCCGTTGTTGTCGCCTATTCGAAGAACAACGAAAAGAGATTCTCCGTCGCGTCCCTGTATATGGGGAATTGCTCCGTGGCCAAAAACTCGACCACCGGCGTGCACCTTGTGATCAACATCCTGAGCACCGCCATGCTCGGCGCAAGTAATTACTGCCTGCAATGTCTTGCGTCTCCGTCACGATCGGAAGTGGATGAAGCGCACGGCCAAAAGACCTGGCTTCAAATCGGCGTGCCAAATATCGTCAGTCTCCTCCGTAACCAACGAGGAAGACGATGGTATCTGGGGGCTGTTCTGCTGACCACGTCGCTGCCGATCCATCTGATGTTTGTGCCGCGTCACTGTCTGGACTCTTTCGCACAAGGCGGACGTAAACACGACTTTTTGCTAATGCTCTTGTGCCGTGAATTAGTTACAATTCTGCGGTGTTTTTCTCGGTGGGACCGGCTGAATATACTGTCGTCGTTGCGCAGGACAAACTCATCCGCTATCACGATAATTCGACCATCTTCGAACAATGCTTCGCTGCGAACGTCGGTATTGAGCCTCTGCAATTCAACGCGGCGCTCGAGAATGAGAGCTTCAAAATACTCTCTAAAGAAGACTGTATTGAAACATTTGCCCAAGATTATGCATCCGGGCAGCGAGCACTCGTCCTGGTAACAAACGCCTCCATGCCGGACTCAGAGCCAATAGCTTGGGTGGGGAAGGGGAACTATCGAAGCTTCGACGTGAAAAGCGACAGTGTCTTCGGATGGCTATGTGGCGACGACTATCGCTGCAGCAAAAGCCAGGCTGAGGGACTCATCGAGGATTGGTCAGTCCAGGCACGGAGATGGTCGACTCCCAGCCTACGTCTCAAGATGCCTACGACAAGGGGAGACTATACTTCCCAGACCTATATCACCCCAGGATCATACGGCATCCCTGACACGGGAGACACTCGTCTTCTATCTGATCTGTTGGACAAGGATCCGTTCGAAGAAGAGCTGCAAGCAGACCTCGATAACCCCGCCCTCTGGGATGACAGTTCCTTTGCGAAGAATGTTGAGATCTTGAGCCAGACGACCACCTGCGCGTACTCGGAATATGAGCCCGACAAAATGCCACGGACATACCCCATCGACCACTGCATGTCGCTGCCAGCCCAGGAAACCTGCCAGCTCTTCTTTAGCCCACTGATTTGCATCATCGTCATCGGTTGCAATATAGTCAAGCTGATCTGCACACTACTCACCGCGCGCGACAGCAGGGAGGAACTCTTCCTGACTGTCGGAGACGCAATCTCATCTTTCTTGACCCATCCAGACCCGACCACCGAGCGGGCCTGTCTCCTGTCCAAAGCTTCCGTGGAGAAAGGAACGCTGGGATGGCACAAATACACGCGCAAGCCCCGTAAGTCTCGACAATCTGACGCAAAAGAGCCACAACTTCCCGTCTGCCTACCTCCCCGACAAAGATGGTTTCAAGCCGCGAGTATATCACGCTGGCTCTGCACGCTCGCCATGTAAGTAACCACCCAGCACTCCCACCGCGCCAGATACTTCGAACCCAACACTAACCCTCACACCCCCAGATTCGTCGCAATCCTAGTCCCAGCCGGCATAGTCCTCCGCCTCGGCATCATCGACTTCACAAAATCCTACGGAGGAAACTCCATCTGGTCCTCCGGCCTCGGCGAAGTCACCACGGCCACAATCCTCAGCAGCATGGACATCCCCGCCACAGCAAGCGGCATCTTCTCCATGGTATTCATGGCCAACATCCCGCAGCTGCTCGTCTCCGCAGTCTACTTCCAGTACAACGCCCTCCTAACATGCATGCTCAGCGCCGTCGAATACGACAACTACGCCACGAACCGCAAACCCCTGCGCGTCTCCTGGCCCCGCCCCGACCAGCGCTCGACCTACTACCTCAGCCTTCCCTTCCGCTACAGCCTCCCGCTGCTACTCGTCTCCGCCATCCTCCACTGGCTCGTCTCCCAGAGCCTGTTCTTCGTGCAAATCGTCCCCTTCGACCGGAGCGGCGTCCCCCAGCAATCCGAGCAGGTCGTCACCTGTGGCTATTCGCCTCTCGCTATCATCTGCGCTATGATTCTGGGCGTTGCGCTTCTTCTCGGAGTCGGCCTGCTTGGCTTGCGCCGCTTTAAATCCCGTATGCCGCTCGCGGGCCAGTGTAGCGCTGCTATCAGCGCTGCTTGCCATCCTACATCTAGTACGGACGAGCATGCCCTGAAGCCTGTGCAGTGGGGTGAGGTTGAGATGCCTCGGGCTTTCCCATGGCACAATGAGCTTGGGGATTCTCCTTTGTATGGGGGCGAGAGTGACGAGCTAGGTCGGCCGACTGAAACGGGTTTCTTTCATTGTGCTTTCTCGTCGGGCGAGGTATCTGAACCGAGCGCGGAGCGCTTGTATGCTTAGTTGGTGGATGGTTTCTTCGGATTATTGTGGGAGGATATACGTATATACTAATGCGGGTTCTATTGGCAGCGCGGGATGGTGTTTGGATATATTAATCATGGTTAGGCGGAATTTGTACCTTTCCGGCTGTGAAAAAGCAAGTGTATAATCGTGACACTGGACAGGATGGTCTGAAACCTACTCACGTGTAAATGATCTATATCATTATTTTATTGTTGTAAATGCAGAGTATGCCCCCTCCTCCCCTAGAACGAAAGGAACCAAATTGTGGTAAAGTCCATGCTGCGCCTTGACCGTAATGGTATCTTCTCTGTGCGAAGACACCGATTTCCCTCCAGTTGCTGGTGACCTCGGAGTTCCTGTATACAAGACAGTCTCTAAAAAGCCGAGCAATAGAGCTTCATATTACAGCCACTTTTCATTTGATTATCTGGATGATGAACCAATTCGAAAGGCAAGTAGGTATTCGTAATAAATGTAGTAGTAAGTGTACCCGGTAGGTGGTGGCTATCGCCAACTCGCCTTATTCACTCTCATCTTGAAAAACGATGGTATCAAAAGCATAAGTTCAAACACGCTCAATAAACAAAACAAAAAAAGAACTACAGTACACAATTTAGATAACCCGTATCTCCGATCTTAAATATCGTCTACGCCTGCGCAAATCGAAATAAACTCCATGCACAAGCAACTACAAACTCCTACCAAGAGGCTTCGCTCGCTTGGAGATACTCCTCACCTGGTGTTGCTTGATGCGCGCGAGACGTGCCCTGTTATATCATAATCAGCATCAACTTCCATAACCATGCCCAAATCCGTCTCAAAAGAAAAAAAAAACCTAACCACCCTCAACAGAACAACAGAAAAGAACCAAGGGCAGTGACTCACTCCTCAGACGCCTCCCTATCCAGCCTCCTAACATGCTCCCTTGCATCATGTACCGCCTGTCTCGTCGCCATCAGCGCCTTACTGGCTTCTTTCTCCATCGCCTCGGCGCGCGTCACTTGCTTTCTTGCTGCGCTGATAGAGGGGTCTTCTTCTTCTCCGTGTCGGTGGAAGATGCTGTTGCTGCGGTGGCGGCTGCTGTGGTGGTGATGTTTGCGGTGGTTGTGGCTGTGGCTGTGGCTCTGGCCGCTGCGGCCGCTGGAGCTGGAGCTTCGCGAGGCGCGGTTGGAGGCGTAGGAGTGGGGGGATGGGGGGGAAGAGGAGGAGGTGTGTGGGCTGAAGAGGGCGTGGAGGGCGGAGGTGTGGTTGTCTGTGCCGTGGGAGGAGGAGGCGGTGGATTTGCGGTGGAAGATGGGCATTGTGGGTGTATATGGGGTTGGGTATAGATGGGTGGGGGTATGATGAAGAGGGATCTGGTTTTTGTGATGATATTTGTAGTCGTGGGTTTGTTGAGGAATGGAATAAGGAGGGTTCATGAAAATGGCCGTATATATACCTACTCCTGCGTCCCCTGTCTCCTCGAAATCAACCATACTACACATTTATCTTGTCCAAAAGACAGCCATGACTGACGTCAAGTGACCCATTCCTGACAACCCCAGATCATCCCTGTCGACCACCACAATCATACATCAGAGCCATACTAGAGAGTGTCTCATCACGCTAGATCCCGTTGGATACGAGTGTGGAGGTGGCGTCGGGATCTGCACTGCTGGTAATACGACATTGGAACAAAGTGGCCGGTGACATCAGCGTGCCTCCATAATTAATATATTTTCATTCCTGATAGCACGGCGGACAAGACAGATGTTTGATATATAATGTATGTGTTTGCCGGGTTGTCCTGAGTTGGGAATGCATGATGGGCCGGCGTGAGTGGTGGTAATGACGGTCGAATCCATGCTGTACAGCACAGCTCCGTCGTAGCTATCCATTGGTTGTTTTAAATAGGCGGTTGATGACATGTCGTCATCCTTCCCATCATCAGATGGATGCTTGGGAATCATTTCTGGGGGTTTATGAATCATATTTGGCTGTTTCGGTCAGAGGCTTGCATGGGTAAGGTGAGGTGTTCCCTTATAAGACGCGACACGACATGACACTGTGTTGAAGTCACGGACTTGGTTCTTCAGGTTTGGACTGCTGTGCTTGCCAGCTTCGGGCATGATTTTGCGTCTGCATGTTTAGCTAGCGAATTAGATCCTCCCTCTAGATAGATGCTAGTATTGAGTATAAGTGGTAGCTGGTTGAGTATTCGGGTGACTTGGAGATGGCAGGGGGAGGAAATAGAATGGGTAGGAGTCGGTTTTGAAGGGTTGAAAAATGCTTGGGTTGGGCTGTTACGTGGTTGAGGCTCGATCTGCTGCAACTAGAGGTTAGTTGGAGGTAACTAGTTATGTACGATTAGCATCGATGGCTCGATACTTATAGGGAAGGAAGATGATCGTCCATGCTACCCATACCTACCCTTTGGTATACGTTGGGGTACGAAATTATCATCCACTGTGAATCCAAGACAAACGCGATTTTTCACAACAGACCTAATCATCTAGTAGCCAAGAACCTATTGATAGTGCTCGATATACACAAATATAATATTCCGTCCTAGAATGAAACATTAAAAGGCAATAAGGCCCGGGGACCATCTAACTCTGATTGCTTTTGTTTCTACCAGTTGCAAATATCGACCAGCCCGACCAATTAAATAATCTCGTACCGAACCGAACCTCACGATCGATCAAGCTTACCGACCCCGACGAGGCATACCACGGCCACGGCCACCGCCCATAGCGCGTTGCGCAGCACCGGGGGGCAGGCCACGGCTGGGTCCCTGGGGCCCGGCGGATTCCTGGTTCTCTGTAGATTGCGTTAGTAGGTGGATTTCAAATTCAGAGGAGGGAATATGTCACGTACTGATGGTCTCGTCCACGCTCAGGATGAGGCATGCAGCCTCGACGGCGGCCTGGATGGCGTTGACCTTGACCAGACTGGGCTCCCACACGAACGCGACCATGTTGTCCCGGACGCCCTCGTGGTCGAAGTCCACACCCGCCCAGACGTTGCCCTTGCGGTGCTCCACACGCAGGCGGTTGAGGATGTCGGTCGCGTCGAAACCGGCGTTGTCGCACAGTTGGCGGGGAATCACCTCCAGAGCCTTGGCGAACGCCTTCACGACAGCCTGCTGTTTGTGGGGGACGTTGCGGTCCGCATATCCGTGCATGTAGCTGGACACTTCCATCTCGCATGCGCCACCGCCCGCGACAATCGTCGTGTGGCGGAGGGCACGCTTGACGATCATGATCGCGTCGTGGAGACTGCGCTCCACCTCGGCAATGAACTGTCCGGCGCCACCACGCAGGACCAGGGTGCACGTCTTGGCTGCCGGGCATTCGGAGAAGATGTTGAAACGCTCGCCACCGATCTGGCGCTCCTCGAACGAGCCGCAGGTGCCCAGGTGGCGGTCCTGGATGTCGGTGCATGTCGACTGGGTCGCTGCGCCGGTCGCCTGGCAGACGCGGTCCATGTCGTCCGACGCGACACGGCCCGCACAGAAGATATCGCGGTCCGCAAAGTACCTAGATGAGAACGGGGTCAGCAAGACGTCCGCCACGTCCAAGGCTCAGGAGAGTCACGCACTGTGTCGCCAAATCACCAATAGGCAGCTTGCTGAGAACGACCTTGGCACCGGTCTTGTAGATTGCCTCGAGCTTGTTGAAGATGATCTGCCACTCGGCGTCGACGATGGCCTGGTACTCCGACACCTGCTCAACACGAACCTCCGCATTGTCCTTTTCGCTCTTCAGCTCCAGCTCCACGTTGAGACACACGATCCTGGGATCCTTGAATTGCTTTGGTTGCTGCTCGAAACCGGCGTAGGAGAAAGTCTTCTTGAAGGCAACGCCGTTGACGAAGAGCGAATCCTGGAGACCACCACCGGTGACCTTCTTCACACCGATCAATTTCTCGTTCAGGTCATCCTGATCCAGCGACAGGACCGCATCGACCACCACTAGATTCCCACATCAGTATCGGTCCGTCCGCTACATGCATTCTTCAAACCCAGGGGTCTTACTCTTGGTGAAGAAGTCGGAGTTGCGCTTGATCAGCTTGCTGTTCATGGCCGTGGCCGCCAGTCGTCGAAGCTTTTCCACCTTCTTCTCCTCGTTCGTCGAGGCCTCGGCGATATCCACTGCGATCTCCTTGATCTTGTTGACGGCCATCGCACTGGATCTCCGCAGACCCTTGATGATCGTCTGAGAACTGACACCCTGCTCAACCAATTCGCGAACCTCCTTCAGTATTTCACCAGCGAGGACCACCACCGACGTCGTACCGTCTCCGACTTCGGCGTCTTGGGACCGGGCGATATCCGTCAGGATGCGGGCGGCGGGGTGCACAATATCGAGGAGCTGAACAAAAAGGGCGTCAGCAGTTTGTATAATGTATTTCACCTACCCGGTGTGTTCCTCCATGGCCGCACGTACCTTCATTACCGTGGCGCCATCGTTGGTGATGGTCTGTCTGCCCTCATTATCGACCAGCAGCAGGTCCCCACCATAGGGGCCCAGCGTGCTCTTGATCGTGGATTGCACCGCCAGACAGGCATTGATGTTGGAGATGATCTGACCCTTGCCTTGAGAAGCGTCCGTGCCTATTCAATCCAGCAGAAAAGGGGTCAAGTCAGCAAAGTCCAACGACGTTGCGTGGCACACATATGGGGGGAATGCGGGCGGAACGGACCCTCTCTCAGCACGACAATCGTGGGGGCTTGGCCAGCGAAGGCCATGGCGACAGGATATTGGTCAAGTAGAAACAGGTAAAACGAGGAGAAAAGAAGAGAGACCTGTATTGAAGGTCTGACCAGATGGAGAAGTGGAAAGAGACTCCGATGGTGAGAAGATGGTTGAGGGGTCAATATTGATAGCACCAATATTAATTCCTGCTCCCTCAGGCTCGACACCAAAATTTCCCCGAGCTTCTCTCCCGCCAATCACCGCCCGCGGCTGTACTGCCGCACTTAAAAGGCGGTGAGAAGTCATGGGACATCCTGGTTGCGTCCACTGCCTTTTTACAATCAAGACAGTTCAGTTAAAGTGAAGAGAATGAATTGGATAATCATTTCTGTGATGGCAATTCTGGACTAATATTATAGTATTATATTTTTTTCTCAAGAAAAGAAAAAAAAAAAAAAAAAACCAGCTTATCGAGTTGATTTGAATACTTTACGTGAAATCGTTGACTCCTGCACAACCAGGCGACGATATGGGTATGCCTGAGGTTGCACGAATAACCACCAACACAGGCGCGTCATTAACGGCGTATACTGATTTTCAATTTCTAAGGTCTGGCCAACGCAACTGGACCAGAGATGATTACGATGACGATATTCTAACCATTAATAATGGTAGGCTTGGTAAGGGAAGATACCAAAGTAACTAACACTAAGAAAAGTAACATCGTCAGCACTACTACCGAGCCCGAAGACACTACACTAAACCATCGCTTCAGCACCGTACTATAGTACATTTATATTAAGCATCTAGTCATCTAGTGCGGGGCCAGGATGTATTGAAGACGAATATTCTCCACCGGTATTTTAGATCATTTATACTGTCTTTATAAACCTCTCCCCCTCCCCCTCCGTTCCCCTTCTCCCTTCTAGAAGCCTTTCCTGCCCGAACCCCCATCATCATCAATATGGCGGAAATCTCCCCTACAGCCCAGCGGCCGCTGCGAATTGGTACCCGGAGATCCAATCTGGCTGTCGTCCAGGCGGAGGGCATCCGTGATAGTTTGAAGAAGATCGCGCCGGACCTATCCTACGAGATTCAAGCGCTCCGCACTCTCGGTGACAAAGACAAGTCGACGGCGCTTTATAACTTTGAGGGAAAGAATCTTTGGACCACGGAGCTGGAGGAGAAGCTCAATTCGGGCGAATTAGATGTCGTCGTTCATTGTCTGAAGGGTAAATCATCATTTCTCTATTTCTCTCCGCCATTGGTGTCGGTGAACAAATAACAATTGCTAATAAGACCAGATATGCCGACCAAGCTACCCGACTCATGCGAGCTCGCAGCTATTCCGCTTCGGGATGATCCCCGGGATGCCCTAATCGTCAAGGCCAGTCTGCCCTATACCAGCCTGGAGACACTGCCCCAGGGCGCCGTAGTAGGCACCTCGTCAGTCCGGCGCTCGGCGCAGCTGCGCCGCCTGTACCCTCGTCTCCGCTTTGCCAATCTCCGCGGCAACGTGGAGACTCGTCTCGCCAAAGTGGATGACCCAGACAGTGAGTACACCTGCATGATCATGTCGGCCGCGGGCTTGGAGCGTATTGGCCTCAAGTATCGCATCAACCAGTATCTGGGCTCCAAGGATGGGGGGATCTTACATGCTGTTGGTCAGGGAGCGCTTGGTCTAGAGATTCGCAGGGGGGATACGAAAATGCGGGAATTGCTTGGCCGGCTGGCTGATCATAGATCTACTCTTGCGGGCATCGCTGAGCGGTCGCTCATGAAAACTCTGGAGGGTGGTTGCAGTGTTCCGATTGGGGTTGAGACGGAGTGGCTTGACTCGGGAGATTTGAGGATGAGGGCCATTGTTGTCAGTCTGGATGGCGTGCAAAGCGTGCAGGATACCATTGATATGAAGGTCCAAACTGTCGACGAAGCAACGGCCCTCGGGCAAGATCTGGCGGCGAGACTGGCCAACGCAGGCGCAGAGGCCATTCTGAACGACATCGTTGCCAATCGGCCAGCCAAGGAATGATGATATGATATACAGCATTATGAAACCACGATGAGATACGTTCTCTGCTTTCTCCATTGACAATGTGCATACTGTAGCAGAAAGTGTATAATCGAGGAGTATCTAGTATAACTTACTTACTGGTGGTATATTGCAAAAGTTGACTACTGCACAACTAGATGATACGGGATGATGCCTGAGGTTGCAGAATAACCACCAACGGGCAGATCTAGACCACATATCCCCCACTTTCGAACCTACAATACCCATCGTTCTAGATGTCTACGTCTGTTACATAAATGTAGGATTATTACAGTGCTTGACTCCTGGTGAACCTCCACAGTGATTGTTGCCTGACAGGAGTACACTATAAGCATGGCGTCATGGATTAGCGGGGTGCCAGCCACATCCATATAAACCCGGACACTCTCCTGTCAGCTCCAGGCACCGTGAACTACCAGCTTCTCACCTGAGACACTCGCCATGCATCCTCAGTATTATGAGAACACACTCAACCAAATTGTCATCAATGAAACCAGTCTTCAAACGACGCTGAGAGAGCTCCAGGTTGCCGTTCAGCGGGGTACCTTACTAGTCCACGAGGGCTCTCCCCCTCCAAGTGAGTGGGGAAGCGGCGGTCACTACGTGGGTCACCCAGGTAAGATAGTTATGACCAGACGTGTAGACTACACCCAATACTTATTCCTTCCCTAGGAATCGCTATCGCTTTCCTCCGACTCGCTCGCCAAGCCTCGTCCCTCGCGGACGGCAATGACCAGCCTCCCGATTTCCGCAAGCTAGTGGACGAGTACATCATCCCTGATGGGCCGGATGCTCCCATACTACCGGCACGACTGTCTCCCGTGGGCTCAGCGCCCGTAGCTGCGGTTGTGACGCGCATCTTGGCTGCCGGGACGTTCGGCGGTGCAGTGTCAGATAGCGATATCAGCTGTCTCCGGAAAGCAGTTGAGATTGCACTCGAAAACCCGCCCCTCCTTCCTCACTCTGGTCGGCGTATGGGGGGTGACGAGCTGTTGTATGGTCGAGGGGGGTTACTGTGGGCGGTTCTGAATATTCGCGTCCTCCGCTTCGATCGGGAAATCACGAAGGCATTGCAGCCGATTTTCGACGCCATTCCTCGGTTTGTTGACGTCGTCGTTCAAGCCGGGAGAGAGGGGCACAATGACTATGTGCAAAGGCATGGAGAGAAGGATGCGCTGCCGTTGATGTGGGCTTGGATGGAAGATCATTATGGCCTTGGATCGTAAGTAATATGATTATTGCCCATCTCGCAAAATCATTGCACCTGCTGACTAGCCCAGTGTACACGGAATGGGTATGTTCGAAAACCATTATGAACCATGTCTAAACACCAATTAACCTATTACCCTCACAGCCGGAATCCTGGCCGTCCTCCTAGCCTGCAAGCCCGAGGAACTCGACGATGGCTCCTCCCGCAACCATCTCCCCCTAATAGCCGATACTATTTCCGGCCTTTGCAAGATATGCATCGCCAACAACGGTCATCTTCCCACGTCGATCCCCCTCTTCAGCTCCTCCTCTCATCGCAAATCGCCCCTCGTCCAGATCTGCCACGGCAGCCCCGGCCTAGTCCATCTCATGGCCTGCGCCAGGAGAAACGCCCCCCTTGTATCCAACTACTGGGATCCGAGCTGGGACGAAGCCATCTACCTCGCCAGCGAACGCATCTGGGAGGAAGGGCTTCTCTACAAGGGCGGCGGTCTCTGTCACGGCTTCGTGGGAAACGCGTTGACCCTGCTGTACATGTATGAGAGTTTCGAGTACGACCAAGATCTGATGGAGAAAGCGAGACAAAACTACGTCGACCGCACTGAAACAGCCATTGATAATGGCCAACACACCCAGCTTACCAGCGACTACTTGTTGTCGAGGGCGTTGGCGTTTCTCCTACATGGGCGGCAGTCGCCGCCGTACGACGGTGCAAGCCATGTCTATCGCATGCCGGATCGTCCGTTTTCTCTTGCGGAGGGGCTGTCGGGAACTGTGTGTGCGTGGGCGGAAGCTTGCGTGGCTGTTCAGGCGAAGATACGGAAAATGGAGCTTGAGAAAGAGGGGAGTGCATCTGCTTTGCAGGATGATGGTGTCTTTCGGTCTTTGACGGCGCGCATGCTGGGATTTCCCACTTTGGCTTATTATAGACCGACTGGAGCGGTCTGAGTACATCTCTTGGGTACTTGGAACTTTTTACAAGTATTTTGGGGGTATATATACAAGTTCATTTTCAGCCAGATTTTCCCGCGCTATTCGGGCTATACAGACCAGCTGCTAGTATCGGCTCACCCCATCCTGCATCAAAACAAAGGAAATACAAAAGGACGAGCCCGAAACACCGTGCTCTATAAACCAACTCCAGGACAACAAATCAGAATCACCCCAACGATCCAGTCTAAAAGTGTAACCCGTCTAAAACAAAGTAAACCCACTCCGATAAGTAGGCACCTGCCCCGGCGTCTGCATTTTATAATCCACCCGCTTCGGCGCAAAGCTAGCCTGAGGCGCCTCAACGGCCACCCTCCACCGCCGCCAACAATGGCTAACCTGGTGGTGCGGATCGCCACAGAACCGGCACCGTCCCGTCACCGCCGCCGGCGGCGGTCGCTGGCTCCGCGTGCGCGGCTCCGGCTGGCTGTTGCTGCGCGATCGGGTCTTGTGCTCGTCCTGGCGCATCTGCTGCAACACGTACGCGTTGATCTCCTCCTGGCTGGGCCTCTTGGCGTGGCCTTTGACGGGGGCCGGCGCTTTGGCGCTCTTGGTGCGGCGGAGGTAGTTCCCATCGTGGTTCATCTGGTGGACGACGAAGGCGTTGATTTCGTTTTGTGTTAGGGCGTTGGTTGTTGATGCGCGGGGGCGCGTCTTTGATGCCTCCGTCTTGGGGGCACTGCTGGTGGTGGTGGTGGTGGTCGTCGTCGTCGTGGGATTTTGAGCGGGTTGCCCCCGGATGATCTTCTCCTGTTGCTGGGCGAGCTCGACCAGTTCGCGAAACGACATCCGCTCTGTCGGGTCGATGGCCGTCAGGCGGCTGTCCTGCAGCTTTTCGGTCGCCCACAGCTTCCATTCTGGGCGCTGCTTCAGCTTGGTGAGGAAGAGGTTGTTGATCTGGGCGTCGGGGATGATGAAGTCGTCGTCGATTTGGCTGAGGCCTTCGCGCATGGCTTCAATCAACGAGATGAAGTCGGCGATTGTGTTGGCTTGCGAGTCGAAATCGAGGATCTCACCGATTTGGTGGATCATGCGGAGGTTGCGTTGCCAGAGATCCATGGCATTGAGGCTGGGGGTGTTATCTTCCAGGTACCTGGTAGGGAAGTATGGGTGTTGGATGTAATTGGTTGGTGAAGGGTGTTCGCAGGGGTTCGTCCTGAGCCAGAGTTCCATCTTGATGAGCAGATCGATCGGTTTTTGTTGATGGTTGAAGAAGATGACGTCATTTATTGGGAATACCATGCGATACCACAGTGTATCCATTGTCGGTGCATTTATACGGTAAGATATGTCCCGTACGGTACTGCCACAGCCCCAGGCCCACCACATCTCCATCTCTACTTCTTCCTCCTTGCGTCATCCGATCTGCAATACTTCCACTGTTTTGAGGTTGATAGAGTCCGACTCGAAACACAGTTCCATCCATGGTTCGGTCGTTGACTGGAGACTGCAAGTACAGGCCTTGTGATCCCATGGACCATGTTTTTTTTTCCAAATTTCCCTCTATCCAATTAATCCCACAGGCACATCCACAACTGACTCAACCCCCATAAGCATCCGCGCCCCATGGTGGCAGTGCCCCGCTAATGGTCGCGGATGTGAGAATGGCCCCAGGCAGACTTTGGCTACCCAAAAACCCATGAGAGCCATTTATAGCCAACAGGGCAGGGAGGATTCGCGTGGGTTGGATCCTTTCTATACTCTGTATGTTATATCTCACCTCATCGTTGTCTCTTTTCGTCAGACGTGTTTGAGCTGACTTTAGTTGCAGAAGCTCTCACCTATCATGATAACGTGATTATTTACCACACACTTGTCGCGTACCTATGAGCATGGATATTATACCGCCGTCGTATCAATCTGCAACAGCACGAGACGCCTGGTCTATCATCGCCAGGTATATCCCCTCCCGCGATCTGTGTGCCGTCTGTCTAGTCTGTCGACGATGGCACGAACTGTTCGTCCCGTTTCTCTGGGGCGACCCGGCGTCTCACTTTGGAACCGATAATGATGCTGTTTATGGTAACCTTCCACGGTTATTTAGAATTGAAGGCCCCTGGACTAACCGTTGCAGTGGCACTGACGAGGTTCCGAAGAACCTTGAAGTATGCGCGGCCCGAGGTGCGAATGCTCACCCACACCCTCCACCTCCCGCCGGCCCTGTCAGAAATATACGGGGGCCCGCGACCAGAATGGCTGCGAGAGGTTCTCGACTTCCTCCCGTGCCTTCAGTCGCTGCTCGTATCCAAGCTACCTTTCTTCGACCACAATGCAATGGTAGCTTTGCGGAATAGCCCTCGACAGGGCCAGTCGCCGGACGAGGCCATTTCCCAGGTCTACAATGTCCGCTTGCTCCTGGCGGATCGCGAGCCCAATACAACATCCGTCGGTCTGGCGGAGACGTTGCTTCGCTTTCAGGATCTGGTGTATTTGGATTTGTCTTATACCACCCCGGCTCGAGATCAGATGGTCCTGTCTTCGATTTCGCAGCTGGAGCATCTGCAGGTGTTGAAGCTCCGCGCTATCGGACTCAGGGATAAGGACGCGGAGTTTCTGGCGAATGCTATCGGGACTAGAGTCCGGTTTCTGGATCTGCGGGATAATTTGCTCACTGACATGTCTGTGCGATCGTTGCTACAGGCATGTTTCCAGCCGGCAAACAGCCCCGCAACCCTGGACAGCACTGTATCTCCACTGTCCTCAGTACCGGGGTCAAGACCGCATCTCTTTGGTATGAGATTGCTCGAGTCGCCGGACCTTGATGAACAGTTCATGACATTCTTGACACAGCCGTTGGTGGGTCATTCTTGGGTAGAAGGTCTGCCACATGTTGGAATCACGCATCTCTATCTCGCAAACAATCAGATCACGGTCGAGGGGGCCGCGGGCCTTCTTTCCTCGTCACGACTACATGCGCTCGATATCGGGAGTGTCGACACCGTGGAATCTCTCGCCAGAGGGCAGCATAGCTTATCTCCATCTCCCCAGGAGCCTGGGGATCTTCCTGGAGCTGAAAAATTAGTACCGATCCTGGGCTCCATCGCCAAGGACAAGCTGACGTATCTACGTGCTCACCACGCTATCTGTACCACGGAGGTACATCTCAAGGATCCTTTCACTTCAGACTCTCATGGTCTTTTGCCTGAACTTTCAGCGATGGAGGAAAACGAGGTGTCAGGAGTATCTGAGTTGCCAGCGAACGAAGTCCACGAACTACCAGCTGGGGATATCCCCGTATTTGAACTGGAGGACACTGGGATCCAAGAGAGACCCAACTTTTTGCTGCCAGTTCATCCCCCTGCAAACATCTACGAGGATGAGCCATTATCACACCTGAGACGGGGCTCTACGTTTGCCCCCGAGGTCGTTGAACCAGTAGAAGCCCGCGAGAGAGTCATATCTACTATTCATCCGAGCTACCTTGGTCTCTCAACTTATCCAGGCACTCCGGAATCCATCCCACAGTGCATGTCCCCCATATCCATCGACGATCCCCGCAACGCAAGAATCCAAGAACTACTGGCCAAGCGACCCAAAAACCAGATTCTGCCTCGAAGAGACCATAAACAGACCAACTTTCCGCATCTGCACCCCTGTCACATCGCCCACCTCGAAACACTAGTCCTGACAGACGTCCCATCCCACGTCCAAGCGGGCTCCCCAATCCTAACCTCGCTAATCCGCTTCATCACCTCCTGCTCCAACGAGTCCCTCCTCGCCACCCTCCAAGCCGGATCCGACTACTCCCTCCCCCCAGGCCAAGCACGCGCCCAAGCTGAGCTCGAACGCGCGCGCTCCCTCTTCTCCCTCCGCCGCCTCATCCTCGAAATCACACCCACCAATATCCCGAACGCGTCCACAGCCCTGACGGGGTGGAAATCCGTCAGCGCCCAAACGGGCGCTGGGAAGTCATCCACGGGGGACCGCGACTCTGAAAATTTGTGGTCCGCAGGCGCAGCCGACTTCAGTTTCTTCGATAACGACGAGTGTGGGATACCCGAAAATGACCCCGGGAAGTACTTCCCCATGGCTGTGCTCAATGAAAAAGTCTCCCTCCTGCCGGATGAGGATGACGACGCTGGCTCGGACCCGGACGCTGCTACCTCCCTATCGCCTGGCTGGGGGCGAAGCCGAACGCGATCGCGCCCGAACTCAATCGGCTTGGTGCCCACAGCGCCCAACAACAACGACGACGTTCACCACATCCCCGAGATTGACCTCGTCGCTGAACTAGCCTCCTTCCGCCGGGCTAAAAAAGCAGAATACGAAGACGCCGTCCGTCGCGATCGTCACCGACGGAGCACCATGGCCTCCTCCTCCTTTCACCCGCTCTCGCCTTCTTCGACAGCGACAGCGACGTCACCGCCTCAACTACCTGTTACGCCCAATGTAGAAGGCCACTGGAAAGGAGAGGTCAAGGTTGTGCGGAACCCCGCGCCGAAGGGGCGGAGTGGGGTGGTGGATATGTATGGGAATTATTTTGAAAAGGGGTATTTGTATCCTTGATATATGTCACTTCTATATATATATATACACGCCTTCCGAGTGTAATTACATATACTGTAAGATGATATCTGTCATTAAAGCTAAGAATATCCTACACAGTATGGAGTATTGATAGATGTGTCATGAAATGCTTGTTTCTCTTTCTAATTGCGGCATTTGCTCCTAAGCATCCACTACTTACGTATCAAAATACCTCTCTTCAGTTGGGCAGTCGAGATCTGACATGAGCCAGTCGTCGACTGTATCATATCGTGAAATGCCAAATCTTGCTGATTCTTCCTGGAGAGTACGAGTCCTATCTTTTACTAGAAATAAGGAAATATTTCTGGACGTTTTGGTGCGTTCTTTTTATATTCTGATACGCACGGCGTTCAATACAAGCCAAGCCAGATCGACCCCGCCGAGACCGAACCCCCGTGCATTTGATGTAGAACCGTGAAAGATGCCGCAAAGCGATGCGAGTACGAAAAAGAGGAAAAAAGGTAAAACATAGAAGTGTCTTTTGTTTGAAACTATTTCATTCCATTTTGATATCTTCTCTGCGTTTAAAAATTCCTTCCTTACATAGCCTTGGCGGCCTGAGGGGGGCTCAGCTTCTTGCCGTCCTTGTTGTACCTGATGCGCGGAGGGGGGGCACGGTTGCGACGACCTTCCCGGGAGCGGACACTGTGGACTGTCAGTTTTGATTCTTTCGTGTCGATGGTGGATTCTGGTGCGGAGAGCGTACCGGACGATCTTGCCGTGGATAGCGCAGGACACGCAGTACTGCAGCTTCAGGTACATCTTGGGGACGGCGTAGTCGGTGAAGACGGAGGCCTCGGAGATATCACCTGGAGGATAGAGATGTTAGTGCCGATCTAGGTTTTTCGTGTTGTTGGAACCGTAGTTCCGTCCGTCGTGCAGTCCGCTGTGAATAATCCTTGCTTCTCGTCATTCGCCACCCTTGTCGGTTTCATGTCCATCTCTTAACAGCGCGCAGTCGGGATCGAGAACTTTTGGCTCTGGTAGGGTCGAACGTACGGATGGCAGCGGACTCAACCATGTTGCGGATGGTGAATCTCTTGATGGCCTTGTCCTTGGGAGTGCAGCGAGCGCAGTTGGAGCAGCGCACGGGCTTCACGTGGCCGCGGCCATTCTTGTTACGACCGCTATAGAAACGTCAGCTGGACTATTCGAGCGATTTCTGGCTATCCTCGGTTTTCCATCTCAATCGAGTGACATTTTATCACCGCACAGTTGCCGGGGTCGAGGAATGGCGTTCCGTGGGCGTGCTTTCAAGGATGAGGGTCGTTCTTACTTGTTCGCCCTCTTCTTGACCATCTTGACGGTATCTCTGGGAGGTTATTCGTCAGAGAGAGCAAGTCGGGAGAAGGGGGAGGTTGTCGCGTACTTTGGCTTGTCGTCGGGGTTGGTTGTCGACTGGGCACACTCGGGCGGGATGGGGAAGTTGTGGTCCGGTTTGTGTGGAAGCCCTAGCTTGTGCCCGCTAAGCGAGGCGGTCACGGGTGCTTATGTCATCTGTAGATGCCTGAGGCTCGCAGAGTCGGATGTGACACCTCAGGCCATCGTCATGCCACCCGCATCACGTGCCCCAGCGGGAGGTGACGGTACGCCAATACCGATACGGGTATTTTGTTTACTTGTCGGGACGGCAGAGAGAAAAAAAGAGTCCAAGACCAATAGTTCGTCCAAGTCACGCCCCCCCCCCCTGTCGGTCTGGCACCGGATCTTCCCTTGCCATCCCATCTCTGTCAATCCGACAGCCATAATTCTTTTTTCCTCTTTCTCGTTTGAACTTCATCTTTGTTTGCCCCCCCCTTCCTTGCGTTGACTCGAGTTTATTCTTGGTATTTGAACTGGATTCCTGATCCCTTCCCCTCCTGAGCCTTCACCGACTCGTTCGACCTCCTGCGTTCCACGGCCCGCTTCGACCCGTTCCAAAGGATATGTCCGCTACAGGAACCTACAGGGGAACCTACAGCCATAAGACTGTTGGGAGAGGTAAACTGCCTGACTTTGAGAGCAGCCCGGCTTCGCATATCCCTCGTCCTCGACCGGATAACTCGTCCATCTCCTCGTCTCATACCGCCCAGACGCCTCACACCCCCTCCAGCGACATCGGAAGCTCCACCATGAGTGCCAGCGCTGCCAGCAGCCGTCAGAGGCAGACTCAGTCGAAACGCGATGAGGTAGGCTCTATTCTTTTCCATTATGCAATTTAGACTCTTGTGCCCCTTCCATCGAGTGTAGTCTATACCCTCGAGTGTAGTCTACTACTGGCGTCATACCTCCAATCGGTAAACATCTAACAGGCAATAGGCAATTCGTCGAAAGATCGAGGCCGACCTCAGCAAAAAGAAGCACCAGCCCGGCAGAGCCCATCGCTCCCGCAAAGCCCCTCCCGGAACCGTTCTGGCCCTCAAGCCCAGCCAGGCCCTGCAGATCAAGCCCTCCATGTCGATCGCCGAAGCCGCCCAGTTGATGGCCGCGAAGAGGGAGGACTGCGTGCTGGTGACCGACGACGATGACCGCATTGCGGGTATCTTCACCGCAAAGGATCTGGCCTTCCGCGTGGTGGGCGCCGGGTCCAAGGCCCGCGAAGTCACCGTGTCCGAGATCATGACCAAGAACCCCCTGTGTGCGCGCACCGACACCAGCGCCACGGATGCGCTCGACTTGATGGTCCGGAAGGGCTTCCGCCATCTGCCCGTGATGGATGAGAACCAGGATATCTCGGGTGTGCTCGATATCACCAAGTGCTTCTACGACGCGATGGAGAAGCTGGAGCGTGCCTACAGCTCCTCTCGCAAGCTGTACGATGCGCTGGAGGGTGTCCAGACCGAACTCGGTTCCAGCCAGCCCCAACAGATCATCCAGTATGTCGAGGCCCTGCGCTCGAAGATGTCGGGCCCGACCTTGGAAACCGTCCTGGACGGCATGCCCCCGACGACCGTCTCGGTGCGCACGTCTGTGAAGGAGGCCGCGGCGCTCATGAAGGAACATCACACCACCGCGCTCCTGGTGCAAGACCAGGGCTCGATCACGGGTATCTTCACCAGCAAGGATGTGGTGTTGCGTGTGATCGCGCCGGGTCTGGACCCCTCCACCTGCAGTGTCGTCCGTGTGATGACGCCCCACCCCGACTTTGCGCCCGCCGACATGACTATCCAGGCGGCGCTGCGCAAGATGCATGGTCAGTATTGCCGAATTCGAACGATTGACGGGACCGAACTAACTCGCGTGTAGATGGCCACTACCTCAACCTGCCGGTGATGAACGACGCGGGCGAGATTGTGGGCATGGTGGACGTGCTCAAGCTCACCTATGCCACCCTCGAGCAGGTTAGTCATGAGTCCCTGTCGGACCCAAATCCAACCCGCTAACCTTTCCAGATCAATTCGATGTCGACGGCGGATGACGAAGGCCCCGCGTGGAACAAGTTCTGGTTGTCCATGGACCACGAATCCGACTCCATGGTCTCTGGCAGCCAGCAGCACGCGCCCCCGACCGCGCACCGGTCCGTGATCAGTCCCGAATCGCCGAGACATACTTTCGACGCCCGAGACAGCGTTCTCCCGAACGAGTCGGCCTCCCACCACGGCGGGGATGAGCACTCGGAGTTCATCGGATCTCACCACGGGGATCTCGTCCCATTCCCCTTCAAATTCAAGGCCCCGAGCGGGCGCGTGCACCGCGTGAACATCCTCCCCTCGGCGGGCATTATCGAGCTCGTGTCGCAGGTCAGCGCCAAGCTGGGCCCCGAGCTGGAGGCGGTCGGCGGCGCGGCGGTCTGCGAGGACGGCAAGCTGAGCAACACGGGGTACGCCCTGAGCTACATGGACAACGAGGGGGACACCGTCTCGATCACGACCGACCAGGACCTGGCGGACGCGATCCTCCTCTCGCGTCACTCGCGCCGGGACAAGGTCGACCTCTTTGTCCACGACCCGACGCAGCCCCCGGTGCCCGCCCCCGCCGAGCCGGCCCCGGCGCCGGTGCCGGTGCCGGCACCCATCCCGGTGGAGGAGAAGAGCTCGACGGTCTCGGAGGACACGGTCGAGGAGCCCCTGGTGTCGCGGACCCGCAGCCAGACGTTCCCGCCGCGTCACCCGGAGGAGCAGTACATCGCGGGGGTGCCCAACGACCTGCTACTTCCGGGCGCGATTGTGACCCTGGCGGCGGTGATTGCGGGGGTGTTCATCCTGAGCCGGCCCAGCGGGCGGTAGTGGTGTCTTGAGAGTGGAGGAAAAGGTCAATGTGTATGACGGTTGCCTGTTCTCATTTTGTCTAAACCCCAGCGTTGTTTTATTCATTGTCTGTTTTTATATTACTTTTCGTTTGCATCTTTTGCGTGATGGTGGCCGTGGATCCCTATTCGGATCGTGTGTTACTGCTTCCTGAGCGTGAGTTGAATCCATATACCATCTGATACACTGTGTTCGTTCAGCATCATGATTTTTACTGCCACAACATTGAATGGAATCTCTACTCGCTGTATTTTTTGTTAGTGGGTAGTATATATAATATATCGTATGTAGGTAGTATACATAGTTAGAATTGATCTACTGTAGCTATGTTGGATGGAGGAACCGTTTAGTGCCTGGGTGCCTTACATCGTCCATGCCTGATGCGGCCTAGTGGGTGCCTGAAGAGCCACCATTGGCAGCCTGAGGCTCGTATTGAATTTGTGCCTCAGTCACGCTCAGTCTATCCCGATCTCTTCATTTTTTTTTTTTTTACAGAACGGACTTTCTGACTCTTGTTCACCAGCTGATCGTGTTGTTGCTTTGCTGAGGCTGCTTGATCCTCTCCCTTTGTCTGGAGAAACAACTTCTTTCTTTTCCTTCCTTCGATCCACGTCAATCTCAGGTTTCTTTTCACCTTGTTTCTACTTTTGACATTTTCTTTTTTCCCTACCAGGAACATTATTCCCCCTCCTCCCCCCCAACGACATCCATCCATCCATCCATCCCATCCCCCACCAAAACATCTCCCAAAAAAAGCCCCCCCCTTCCACCCCTCCCCCCTCCACCCCACTTACTCAATCTAATACACCCCCCGGGTTCAACTACTGAAGCCCGTGCGTCGACACGCGCTCTCCGAATTGCGACCTTGTTAAAATCTTGCCCTCGGTGGGGTCCCCGTCGCCATGTCGTTGCTCCCGGCCGAAGTTCACTCGGCGCTGTCACAGCTGCTGCACGGGTTGATGACCAGCGATAATACGGTCCGCTCGCAGGCTGAGGAACAGCTGAATAATGATTGGATTCAAAATCGTCCTGATGTGCTGCTTATGGGCTTGGTGGAGCAGATTCAGGGCGCTGAACCGGGTGTAAGTTTCAATCTTTGTTGGGGGTGAAGGTGGACGATTCTGTTGAGAGTGATAGAGTGGGAGAGAGAGGGGAGATGAATAGATTGGTGGGAAGAGAGGTGGACGCGTGTGGGATGATTGTGAGGTTCATTCTAATTGATCTTCTCCAGATAAGGTCCTTCGCCGCGGTGCTGTTCAGGAGGATCGCAACCAAGACGCGCAAAGATCCCGTTACCAACGAAGCCAAGGAACTCTTCTCGACTCTCACCGGAGAACAACGACTGGTTATTCGGCAGAAGCTGGTGACGTGCCTGACGACCGAGTCGGTGGCGGACGTGCGGAGGAAGGTTGGAGATTCCGTCGCGGAGATCGCGAGACAGTACACTGATAATGGTATGCGGTTGTGGTTGTTATTTCTGGGGGAAACCGTTCTGATTAGTGTGTTGCAGGCGATCAATGGCCGGAGCTCCTCGGTGTCCTGTTCCAGGCCAGTCAGTCCCCCGACGCGGGCCTGCGCGAGGCCGCCTACCGCATCTTCTCGACTACTCCCGGAATCATCGAGAAGAACCACGAGGATGCCGTGCTGAACGTGTTCGGCAAGGGCTTCAAGGATGACGTCGTCTCCGTATGTGTTCATTTGGATTTCCCACCAATTGGTGACCCTGTTGACCAAACAACCGTGTGCAGGTGCGCATTTCTGCCTTGGAAGCGTTCGCGTCCTTTTTCCGCTCCATCTCCAAGAAGTCGCAGCCCAAGTTCTTCCCCCTCGTGGCCGATCTGCTCAATATCCTGCCGCCGCTCAAGGAGTCGGGCGAGAGTGAGGACCTGTCCGCCGCGTTCATGTCGCTGATTGAACTGGCTGAGATCTCCCCGAAGATGTTCAAGGCCATGTTCAACAACCTGGTGACGTTCAGCGTCAGCGTCGTCGCCGAGAAGGACCTCAGCGATCAGGTCCGCCAGAACGCCTTGGAGTTGATGGCCACCTTCGCCGATTACGCCCCCAACATGTGCAAGAAGAACGAGAAGTTCGCCCAGGAGATGGTGACGCAGTGTCTCAGCTTGATGACCGATATTGGCATCGACGATGACGATGCTTCCGAGTGGAACTCGTCCGAAGATGTATGTCCCCGTGTGTGTTTTTGGTGCTGGGTTTGCTGATCTTTCCGTAGCTCGACCTGGAGGAGAGCGATCTCAACCATGTGGCCGGTGAACAGTGCATGGACCGTCTCGCCAATAAGCTGGGCGGCCAGGTCATCCTCCCCGCCACGTTCGCATGGATCCCTAGCATGATGTCGTCTTCCGCCTGGCGCGATCGCCACGCCGCGCTGATGGCCATCTCGGCCATCTCGGAGGGCTGCCGCGACCTGATGGTGGGTGAACTGGATCAGGTGCTGGCCCTGATCGTCCCCGCCCTGCAGGACCCGCATCCCCGCGTGCGTTACGCCGGCTGCAACGCGTTGGGCCAGATGAGCACCGACTTCGCCGGCACGATGCAGGAGAAGTACCACCAGGTGGTCCTGAACAACATCATCCCCGTGCTGGACAGCGCCGAGCCCCGCGTGCAAGCCCATGCGGCGGCCGCCCTGGTCAACTTCTGCGAGGAGGCGGAGCGCAAGGTCCTGGAGCCGTACCTGGACAACCTCCTGCGTCACCTCCTCCAGCTTCTGCGCAGCGACAAGCGCTACGTCCAGGAGCAGGCGCTGTCCACGATCGCCACGATCGCCGATTCTGCCGAGAACGCCTTCGACCAGTACTATAGCACCCTGATGCCGTTGCTGTTCAACGTCCTCAAGGAGGAGCAGTCCAAGGAGTACCGCCTGCTGCGCGCCAAGGCGATGGAGTGCGCGACGCTGATCGCGCTCGCCGTGGGCAAGAACAAGATGGGCCAGGACGCGCTGAACCTGGTGCAGCTGCTGGGCAACATCCAGCAGAACATCGTGGACGCGGACGACCCGCAGTCGCAGTACCTGCTCCACTGCTGGGGCCGCATGTGCCGCGTGCTGGGCCAGGACTTCGTGCCCTACCTGCCGGGCGTCATGCCGCCCCTGCTGACGGTGGCGGCCGCGCGGGCCGACATCCAGCTGCTGGACGACGAGAACCAGATCGAACAGGTGGAGCAGGATGAGGGCTGGGAGCTCGTGCCCCTCAAGGGCAAGGTCATCGGGATCAAGACTAGCGCCCTGGAAGACAAGAACACCGCCATCGAGCTGATCACGATCTACGCGCAGTTCCTGGAGGCGGCCTTTGAGCCGTACGTGCTGGAGACGATGGAGAAGATCGCGGTGCCCGGGCTGGCGTTCTTCTTCCACGACCCCGTGCGGGTGTCGTCGGCCAAGCTGGTCCCGCAGCTGTTGAACTCGTACAAGAAGGCGCACGGCGAGCAGTCGCCCGGGTTCGCGCAGATGTGGAACAAGGTGGCGGAGAAGATCATCGAGGTGCTGAGCGCCGAGCCGACGGTGGACACCCTGGCGGAGATGTACCAGTGCTTCTACGAGTCGGTGGAGGTGGTGGGCAAGAACTGCCTGAGCCTGCAGCATCTGCAGGCGTTCATCACGTCGGCCAAGTCGACGCTGGAAGACTACCAGCTGCGCGTCAAGCAGCGCCTGGAAGAGCGGGCGGACCTCGAAGAGGGCGAGGAGGAGAGCCTGGACTACGAGTACGCGGTGGAAGACGACCAGAACCTGCTGAGCGACATGAACAAGGCGTTCCACACGATCTTCAAGAACCAGGGCACGTCGTTCCTGCCGTCGTGGGAGACGCTGATGCCGTTCTACGACGCGTTCATCACGAGCGAGGACCCCACGCAGCGCCAGTGGGCGCTGTGCATCATGGACGACGTGCTGGAGTTCTGCGGCGACGACGCCTGGAAGTACAAGGACCACATCATGCGGCCGCTCGCGGCGGGCCTGCAAGACCAGAACGCGGCCAACCGCCAGGCGGCAGCCTACGGCGTGGGTGTCGCGGCGCAGAAGGGCGGCGCGGCGTGGGCCGACTTCGTGGCTGCTTGTCTGCCGAGCCTGCTGCAGGCGACGCAGATCCCGCAGTCGCGGTCGGAGGAGCACGTCTTCGCGACGGAGAACGCGTCCGCCAGTATCGCCAAGATCCTGCACTTCAACGCCAGCAAGGTGCAGAACGCGCCGGATGTTGTGGCTAGCTGGTTGACGACCTTGCCTATCACGTTTGACGAGGAAGCGGCGCCTTACGCATACTTTTTCCTGGCACAGCTGATTGAGCAGTACGTTTATACCCCTCCCATCTATCAACCTTTCATCCCCTTTGAGTACAGGCTAACCAAAGTTCTGTAGGCAAAACCCCGTGGTCATGGCCAACGCCGACAAAGTCTTCGGCTTCATCGTCGCCGCCCTGGAAGCAGAGACCCTGCAAGGCCAGACGGCCGGGCGGGTGGCCAACGCGGCCAAGCAGCTGGTGGGCGCGACGGGGGTCAACGCGGACCAGATCCTGGCGGGCGTCAACCCGGATAACCAGGCGGCTGTGCGGAGTTACTTTCAGTAGATTGGTTATGGATATGATTTATGTTTAGCGAATACATACTATATACATAGTGTCTGTATACTTGTGTACATTTGTACAGTCTGTATTCTCTGGTATAGATGGGGGATGTAAGCGTATTGAGTGTATTGAATATACTGAGTATATTGAGTATATACTAAGCTATATACATAACGCATATATAAAGATACCCTAGATATATATATACATTTACATACACATGTACACCTAGACATATATAGAGACAGAAAGGAAGATAGCAAGAGATCAAACAACCATCTCCAAAATCTCCACCACCTGCTCCTCGCGCGTCACCGGCACAGGATTCCTCCTACAAAACACATCCCTAACACTCTTCTCCGCGATCTCCTCGAACTTCTCCCTCCCCACGCCCACCTCACTCAGTGACCGCGGAAGCCCTAACTCGCGGATGACGGCGTCGAGCACGTCGCCGAGGTCTGCTGTGTCCTTGTTGATGTGGCGTGCGTGGAGGACGTCTGATATGGATGGTTGGCGGAGGAGGAACTGCCGTAGACTGTTCTGGCGAGAGGTGTCGGTGCTGTGGAGGGCGTTGTATTTGCATACTGCGGGCAGGAGGATGCAGCTTGTTTCGCCGTGGGGGATGCCGAGGGGGCCCAACTATATTACTTTAGTCAGTATATATCTCATACTATATATCTAGCCCCAAACTAGATATATAAAGAGAGAGAGAGAGAGAGAGAGGAGAAGAAGAAAAGAAGGAAAGAAAAAGGAAAATACCTGATGTCCAATCCCATGCGACGCCCCCAACTTCACCCCCTCCCTGCCTCTCCCTCCACCCCCCGATCCAGACCCTCCTCCTCCGCCCCCAAGACAAGCCCCCATAGCATCCACACTCCCCAACAAACAATTCAACCTCGCCTCTACATCTTCCCCCTCCCTATCAGCACAACACCTCAACAACCCGGGCACCAATAGCCCTAACCCATGCCTCGCAACCGCCCCATCCGCCCCCTCCTCGATCTCCTCCCCCTCCCCCGTCGTCTCCCCCGACGAAGAAGACGATTGGAGATACGTCTCGACGCAGTGGTCCACGGCGCGGATGCCCGTGCTGAGCCACACGCGCGGGGGAGTGGTCGTGGCGCAGAGCTCGGCGTCGAGGATGATGAGCTGCGGCCCGCGGATGCCTGCTGCGAAGAGGTGTTTTTCGTCCGTGGTGTCGTTTGTCGAGCCTGCTAGGTTGGAGTATTCCCCGCCGGAGAGGGTCGTCGGGATGGCTATTGTGGGGAGGTGGGAGGGGTGGATTTCTTGTTCGGGGTTGGGGGAGGGGGTGCTGGTTGTGGAGAAGGTTGAGAGGGTGGTTGGGGTGGTGATGTTGTTTGCTAGGGCCTTTATTCATTTATCATTTCTTGTTAGTATATGTATATACGCAGTATATATAAAGTAGGGAAAGGAGGAGGAGGAAAAGAGAGATATACCAAACCAACAACCTTCCCCGCATCAACTAGACTCCCCCCGCCGACAACAACGAGCAGATCCGCCCCCGTACGGCGCACATCGTCTGCGACTTCTAACACCTCTGACCAATACGTATGGCTCTTCATTCCCTTGCGCACACCCACGACTCTCATGTCGGCTGCGGGGTGTGATTCCAGCGCATCTTGCAGTCGTTGGAGGGCGTCTGTGGTGCGCGCGAGTGTCCCTGAGATGAGGATGTAGATGCGTTTTGCGGAGAAGGTGGTGGCTGCGTGTTGCGCTGTTAGGGCTGGGTAGGGGAGTCCGTAGGTGAGGAGGGGGTGGGTTGGGTGGAGAAGGCTGTGCGGGTTGTTGGGGGCATTTTCTCTTCTTCTTTGGTATAGATAGATTGATAGATGTGTGGGTGAAGGGATATATGTATGTATGTGTGTGTGTGTGTATGTATGAGGGTATGCGTATGAATGTTCTTGATATAGGTAGTGGTTTGGTGTTGGATCAGGTTGTGGTGAGGGGTTGTATACTGGCTATGATGTCATTGTTTGATGTCTACTACCTTGGTATACTACCTATACTATACCTACTATACACTTACACATCCTGCGTATACACATATACCACAATATTACATACTACATACTGCATACGGCATATACACATATGTCTCAATAGTACTGCGTAATAAAGATACATCCCCATCCATCACGCCAAACGCCGCAGCCTATCACTCATTACTCAACATAAATCCAGTAAACCAGCAGATAATATCAACCAAACCGGCAAATAGAAAAACCAAACCACCAAATAACAGCCAATCAAGATTGCTCATCGTTCTCAACCACCGCCGCCCGCAGCTCCCACACGATGTCGTAGCATTCTGCCAGCAGCGCATTCACGCTGCCCTGCCCCTCGGGGATATCGTTGCCGACGTAGAACTTGCCGTCCACGCGCATGTTGTCGATTGAGTTGAGCTATGCTGTTAGATATGGATGTATAAAACGGGGAGAGGGTAGTACCTTCATGCTGTACGGGTACAGCTCGCGGCTGTTGGCTACGCCGCCAGAGTCCTTTACCTCGAGGAGGCAGCGTCGTAGCGTTTGCAGCTGGTTGTGCACGGGTAGCAGCGCCTCCGATACCGGCTCCGATGAGATCAGCAGGGCGTAGATGTATGCGTAGCTTCGGCGGATTAGGTATAGTAGAGTCTATAATCAGTTAATACCGATGGTCACCCACCACGTAGGAAAAGAGACGTACTCGCTGGGCGTGTATGTCCGCCGGCTGTCCAACCGCATCCACAAAATTCCCATTCACCCGCGCCTCGTCGATCCGGTCTAGCTTCCGCTGGTATACGAACAGGTCTGTCTCCCGTAGGGACCACGCCTGCGTCACTGACAGTCGGTCTAGCTGGTTGCGGATATCGACTAGACGTTCGTATTGCTCTTGGAAGCGTTCATCGATATGTCCTTGTCTGTCTCGTGAATCAGCAGTGGTCGGCCGAGTCAGAGATGTCGACTCACCGTTCGAGCACGATCTCCGTCCATTTCCAGCACCGTTCCAACAGCAGCTTCACATGCTCCTGACCGCGGAGAGGCGCACCGTCTGGGCCCACGAACTGGCCGTCCTTCATCATGTCGCTAATCTTCTTGAGTTGGTTTCGGAGCGCGTTCACATCTGACGAAGAGAACTACAGTTGTCAGCACACAAACTCTACTGTGGACCTGAACTAGATACCTTCGATCGGGTGTTGACCGCAGCAGTAGAACGCAAAACCGAAACCAGCGTCTCGTGCGCCGGCACCAGACTCGGATCCAGCCGGTCCAGGTCCTGCTGCAGCCTGTCCAGTCCCCGTTGACATTTCTCCAGACGGCTTTCCAGCAAAGTCATCAGCGCCGGGGAGTACGACTCGCGACTCCGCTCACAGGTCTCGCGCATGGAGGCGAGGGTTTTGGCTATGGAGACCAGGTCTTTGGAGCTGTAGAAACCGGCCTCTTCGAGATGATTGACTAGGCGCTAGGGTTGTTAGATATTGAAACAGTATCAAAGACAGTAAATAACGTACCTGAATGGTGGTCGCGAGGGAGTAACTGGACAAGTGAGATACGTCAGCAGGTTCGCGATAGCTCAGCATGCGGGACATACACTGCCGGGGCTTCATTATTCCTCCCCACAGTCAGGAAGAGCAACGAGATTAACTGAAAGCAATCATCCAGGATATAGTCCACTGCGTCCAGTCACGATGGTTAGTTTGAGTTCAACCAGTCGTATCCGATATCGGGTAGCTCACATCGGTTATAGGTCATCCGACGGTCTTCTTCCTTGCGCACGCCATTGAGCTTCTCGACCTCGCCAATCACTTCTTCGTAGAGCGGAAGTACATCGCGAGATTTAATATAGGAGGACTTGTCCCGTTTGAGGAGAAGAAGGGCGTCGCGAGTGCGCAGCAGGGTTTCTAGAATCGGCTGTTCGTTCGGATCCAACGGAGCGGGGATCGCGGGGGAATCCATGGAGATGGATAGATCGGTATGGGAGGGAGAATCGTCACGGGTAGAGTGAAAAGAAGAAGAAAAAACCTAGATTAGTTCAGAAAGTGTAGACCATATAGTGACGACAACTGATTAAGTCTAGATGGCCAGATAGTGATAGATCGATAGATCGGACGATGCGATGAGCTCCATGCATGAAGGGCCTGAGGCGATGATGGCATCCCCGCGCTAACCGCATCCGGCAGATACACCACGTGACGCATAAAATCAGGCTAAGCCCGAAATGGAACAGCCCTAAGCGAGGGCTTGAAGCGGGCACACACTCAAAGCCGAACCTCCCCAGTGGGTTAGTCATTCCTGTTGATTCTGTATCTCCAGCAAAAGTTCCATCTCTTTTTCCTCACTTCATCCCATCCTCACCCAACCCTTTTCGACAGTCCCTCGCCAGACTACCCCTCCCGACACCATGTCTACTGCCGAGCTCGCCTGCTCTTACGCCGCCCTCATCCTCGCCGATGACGGCGTCGAGGTCACCGTACGTATTCCTTGAATTCTGGTTTCAAGATTGGATGCGCATGTTGGATTGGATATGGATATATACATAAGAGGGGTTTCGAAAGAAGTCATGGAAAACAGAAAGAGAAACAGAATGGGGTTCAAGCGCAATCAATCGACTGACCGGATCTTCAACACAGGCCGACAAGCTCCAGACTCTCCTGTCTGCCGCCAAGGTTCCCGAGGTTGAGCCCATCTGGACTTCCATCTTCGCCAAGGTAATTCTCGATCCTCGCGACTAGAGGAAAACACCGCGCAGATGCGCTGACATGTTTCGTCAATCAGGCTCTCGAGGGCAAGGACATCAAGGACCTGCTGACCAACGTCGGCTCCGGTGGCCCTGCCGCTCCCGCCGCCGCCGGTGGTGCTGCTGCCGCCGCCCCCGCCGAGGCTGCTGAGGAGAAGAAGGAGGAGGGTACGTTACATCTAACCTGCTCTAACCCCCCCGTCAAATGGAAGCTAATAATCCTACAGAGAAGGAGGAGTCCGACGAGGACATGGGCTTCGGTCTCTTCGACTAAGCGTCTCGCTCCAATTCCGCTTCTTTTTTTCCTTTCCAACCTCGTTTCCTTCCTCTCTTCTATCCGTTTCGCCCTCGCATCTCTTGTACCCGATACTACGCGACCGCACGAATTACCAAAAAGGGAAAAAATTTTGCCAAAAAAGGATGGGACAGCCGATATGGACTGGGCGCTGGGGGCCGTTTCTGGTATGATCAATGGGCTATTTTTTTTGTCGTCATGGCCCGGGTGGACGGATGCCGCTGGGATTCCGGCCTGGTTGGCTGGCTACAAGATGAGGGATGGGAAAAGAGAAACGACAGTCGGGACTCGTTGGGCCCATCGGATGGGTGTGGTTCGCGGGTTTCCCTTACTGAAATGAATTTCCATCTCAGCTAGTCCGTTTTTTTTTTTGGAGCTTAGGTGCCCAGCTCTCATGCCATGTCTTGTCATGCGACCATGATTCCAAAACGTTTACTCTGTGTAGTGTGTAAGGATCTCGTATATCTGGCTTTGCAGGATATTCGACTAAACATTTGCTCTATCTGACTTTCACGGTATACGACAACACATCTGTTTTACCTGACTGTCATGATATACGACAATACATCTGTAGGAGGGTTCACAACGATACAGCAACGCCCGACATAGCATTCATAACTCATTCAATTAACGCCAACCAACTTTTGAAACACCAAACTTTTCCGACACTAGGTGTACAAAGCACAGTACAACACAATATCACCGCCAACAATCACGCACTAATATAACAGGAGCAAAGATAATGACGAAAAAGAAAATCGTAATCATACATCCGACTCACGCACCGCGTAGAGCCGAAACTGCACGAAAATCACCACATCTTCAACCATCGTGCCCAGCGACCCGATCAGCCACGGCAGATTGGTCACGACGTAGTCTCGTTCCGTGGAATGGGAGAGGATCTGTATCGCCGTTAGTCACAACAGCTCAGCCTAGGTCACACAAAAGAAAGGGAGACACCCACCCCAGCTCCGTAGGTCAGGTTCCCCATCAGGGAGAGGATGAAAAAAAGCAATGAGAGTCCTGCGTCGGGTCAGCCTCTATCCCGCCTTCTGCAGCTTAAACCAATCAAGATAGACATACCCTCGCATGACTTGTCGGTGTAATTCTTGTAGATCTGCGGGAGACGTGCCCTACCGTCCCCAGAAAAAAAAACGTTGTCAGTCACAACTCTCCCATCGCGATGTGGTCTCAAGATGTGGATTTGGGGATGCTCACCCCAGATAGCAAACCGCACTGAAATAGCCCACCACCTGCGCCCCCTTCGCCATGTCCACCCCCCCATGATGGTCCTGTCGCACAGGCCGCCACACCCCCGACTGCCACGCGACCGTCCACCCCGCCATGCCGATAACGAAGATAGCCAGCACGCTGCTCAGATTCTTAAACCAAGCGCGTCGCCCAATCTCGCCCTCCTCCACGATCTTGGCGAGCGTATCCTCCGGCTGGTCCTGCTGATGCTGATGCTGCGACGACGCCAGCGCCCGGCGGGACGGGGCGGCCCCCTCGGGGAACTCGTCGCTGAAGCGGCGGCCCAGCAGGGGCGTGGTCGGGAGGGGGGTGTCGGTTGATGAGCGACGCCGGCTGTCTCGGAGGGCTTTGTGCAGACGGGCGGTCTTGGCCTTGTAGTAGAGGCATTGGGTGATGAGGACGCCGTCGGCGATGCAGAAGTAGACGGCGATGGCGACGATGACGGGGACGAGGCCCGCCCAGAGACCGCCGATTAGGTTGGTGATGTCGCCGATGAGCCAGACGAAGATGAAGAGGAGGGAGATGGCGTCTGCGTTGCCGTTGCGGTAGTTTTCGATTACTTGGGGGACCTATCCAAACTTCTCGTTAATTTTGTTTCTTTTATTGTCCTGATGTGTCTTTTTCTTTTGGGGGGTTTTTTTTTTTGTCGGGGGTCTTGGGTGGCTCATCATACCAGGAGAAAAATCCAGCAGGTCAGTGATACCGAACCCAGGAGTCCTGATGCGGCTTCGCGCGGAGTCAACGGGATCGGTTCTTCAGCAGGCAGATTTGCCTGTGTCCAGAGAATTGACATGCTTAGAGGCGCTGGGCGACTGCGCGATCGACTCTGTGTGTTGGAAAGGGTCGGATCAAGTCGAGCACATTGGGATTGCAAAGGCGGGGAAAGTATGACGACTTGGGGTTCCAAACTTTTCCGTGATGGCGTGGAAGAGGGATAGGGGGACAGAAGAAGACAGAGAGGGGATGAGGTCAAACAGGAAGAATGGAATGTGAGAAAGGGGTCAGGGAGAGAAAGTCATGAAGTAAAGAGAGAAAAAAAGCTTAGAGTCATTCGAATTGATTGACAATGAGTAAATCGTTTGCGACGGGTGGATCCACCGTCTGTCTCTTTCATTCCTTCTGACCATCCTGCGCCCGCTGATTTGCTAGACTGATTGATCGTTATCTTCTTGATCTTTTCTATGCTTGATTCTTTTTCGCCGGTCTTGTTATTTTCCGTTTTCTTGAATTAAGGGTCCATCTCGGTATTTCGTTGCCCGACCGCCACTTTATATATCTTCACATACTCCGGCCTCTCACCATCCGAACGTGCGCAACAACCACTTCAATCCCCCTATCTGCCATCAGTCAATGAGACAGGCTCTGTAGCCTTTCAGGACATGCAGGATGTGGCGTGGTGGCGGCCGAGGGCTTACAGGAACAGGTCATAGCGGACATCCAAGTCGAGAGGTGAACATAAAGTCAAGGCTGGCGATATTCTACCCTGGTAGAGTAGTCTTCTCGATGACCCATTGAGACTAGAAATGACTAGTAGATGAACGTCTTACCGTCCCTGGAAAGCGCAGCCTTTAAGACGCGAAGATTCAATGCTCCTACTACTGCTAACTAGGATGGTACTTCGTCATTCTCGACACTGGTGGATCCGGAACTACTATAATATGATGTCGGCACAATCAACAGTGGAAGATGGCTTATTGATGATCCAACTCAACGGTGGCACCAGCTGCAACTGCTCATCCCAATCTCGTAGATCGGTCTCGACAGACCAATCCATGGATAACCCACGCGAGACTACTTCCGAGCCCGTCATTTGGGTCTATCCTGACGTAGAACCACTCCGTCCATGGCATCGACACGAACTTGCGCGGGGAACCTCAGATGACAGGTGATGTCTGGGAGATATCTCCCATATCCACGGGAGCAATCCAAGATGATCTTCAACTCGTAACGGATTGGTGGATCTCGAATCCAGACCTATACAGACAGTCCAAAGATGTACAGAAAAGCCACCAAAACGCCTTCGATTGGGCCGAAACTCTCCGCAGTTCGACCCACCTTGTCTGTGTCCATTCCCGCTGTCACTGCGGGGATCTGCCACTCTCTCGCTGTCCTTCCTCGCCCAAGGGATTCTTCCCAGTGACTAAGAAGGAACCGCATGTTCCTGGTTTGCTGCCTGATCCGCTGGTTGGATTAACTTAAAAGACTAGAAGCTCCCCGCCCACCATGCGCCTTCTCTCCCTTCATCTACCCTTTGGTTAAGCTATCCACCATGTCGTGAGTATCCCCGCCTACATAGACCCCGTCCTAGACCACATCTTGTGCTGACCGGACTCTACCATACAGTGAATCAAGTCCATACTACGACCTCGGCCCTCATCGTCGTCCGGTCACCACCACCTCCCCAGATGCCCAGCAATGGTTTGATCGAGGTTTGGTCTGGGCCTACGCCTTCAACCATGAGGAGTCCGTCCGCTGCTTCACGCGAGCCACCGAATTCGACCCATCCTGTGCCATGGCGTTCTGGGGCATCGCCTACGCCGTCGGCCCCAACTACAACAAGGCGTGGGCCTTCTTCGACCGAGGGGATCTCGAGTCCAGCGTCCAGAAAGCCACCGCGGCCCTGTCGCGCGCCGCCCAACTGGCAGCCCAGTGCACCCCCATCGAGAAGTCCCTGATCAACGCCCTGCCCGCTCGATTCCCCGCCCCGGACCAGATCCCCGCGGACATGGCTCCCTACAACCACGCCTACGCCGACGCCATGCGCGTCGTCTACCGCGCCCACAGCGCCGACATCGACGTCGCCGCCATCTTCGGCGAGGCCCTCATGTGCATCAGCCCCCGCGGCCTCTGGGACCTCGACACCGGCAAGCCCAGCGGCGAGCACACGGTCGAGGCCCAGACGGTCATCGAATCCGCCATGGCCCGCACCGCCGACAACGGCCACAACCACCCCGCCCTCTGCCACCTCTACATCCACCTCATGGAGATGTCCCCCGTCCCCGAGCGCGCCCTCCCCGCCGCAGACCGCCTGCGCTCCCTCGTCCCCGACGCCTCCCACATGCTGCACATGCCCACCCACATCGACATGGCCGTCGGCGACTACCGCCGCGCCGTCGACTCCAACCGCGCCTCCATGCTCGCCGACGACCAGTACTTCCGCCGCGAAAACCGCGGCTCCGCCCTCTACATCGCCTACCGCGTGCACAACATCTGCGCCCTCCTCTACGCGGCCCTCATCTCCGGCCGCTCCCAGGACGCCCTCGCCGCCGCCGACCGCCTCTCCACCGTCATCGACGGCCCCGTCCTCGCCACCACCAGCCCCCCCCTCGCAGACTGGACCGAGAGCTTCCTCGGCAACCGCGCGCATGTCCTCATCCGCTTCGGCCGCTGGGCCGACATCCTCGCCCTGCCCCTCCCCACAGACCGCACCACCTACAGCGCCACAACAGCCACAACCCTCTACGCCAAAGCCATCGCCCTCAGCGCCCTCAACCGCATCCCCGAAGCCGAAGCCACCCAGCGCGACTTCGAAACCGCCCGCGCAGCCGTCCCCGCCTCCCGCTTCAACAGCATCCCCTGCAAAGAAGTCGACGTCCTCCGCGTCGCAGCCGCAATGCTAACCGGCGAACTCGCCTACCGCCGCGGCGACTTCGACACCGCCTTCGCATCCCTCCGCGAAGCCATCTCCCTCGAAGACAACCTCCCCTACTCCGACCCCCCACCCTGGATGCAGCCCGTGCGCCACGCCCTGGGCGCGCTCCTCCTCGAGCAGAACCGCGTCGCGGACGCAGAGCGCGTCTTCCGCGAGGATCTGGGCGTCGCGCTGGGTTTCCCGCGCCGCAAGGCGAGGCTGAATAATGTTTGGGGACTGCATGGCTTGCATGAGTGTTTGGTGCGCGCGGGCAAGAAGGAGGAGGCTGCTGCTGTGCGCGTGCCGCTGGATATTGCGCTCGCGAGTGCGGATGTTGTGGTGGAGAAATCTTGCTATTGTCGTGTGTCCGGGTGTTCGCCGGCTGCGGGGTGTGTGGCTTCGTTGTAGTGGCTTACTTTCTCTGTGGGTGTGTTTATAGTTGGTTATCACGCTGTGGTATTGGCTAGCTCCTATTTTTCTTAGATGAGGGGGGAGATGGTTGTATCGGGCTATTCTGATTAATGGCTTATACTGCACCAGTCGTTGGCACTACCGTCTTGTACGTAGGTGTTACTATACCCACATAGACAGCCAGTAGCACCACCACCACCACCACCAATCCACCTCTATTTCCTCAACCGAGAAGTCTACAATATGCAAAACTACTCGTACTCAAATACATCCGAACAAAAACCATTCTATACACAACCCTAAGTAGGTAAACTACACAAGTATCAATCACTCACTCAATCACTCATACCCCTCATCCTCATCCCCCAACAACTGCAGCTCATCCTCCAACAAATCAACAACCATCTCCCCCAGCGCCTCGCGGATCGCCCCCCGCAACAACCCCTCCCTCGCCTCCTCCGGCTGCACCGCATCCAGCGCATCCACGTACTCCGTCAGCGGCGAATAATCAACCACCACGTCGCCCCAGTTACCGCGATCGATGCCGTACTGCCGCAGGAAGGCTTCCAGCGCGGCCATCCCGTCGCTGAGCAGCCAGTGCTCGAGTTGGGGCTGTTCGTTGGTCGGTGGGTGGGTGATTGCGCCGGCGGGGCGCGGCATGTCGAGCTCTTCTTCTGTTTCGGAGGGGGTGTCGAATTCGAGGTTGTTGTTGTTGTTGTTGTTGTTGTTGTCGTCGCCGAAGCGGGGGAAGTGGAGGGCGCCGTTGTTGAGTTGCGCGAGGAGGTCGCGGAGCCATTGGGGCCGGTTCCCCTCTGGTGTTTGGGCGATGTAGGAGGGGACGGGGTCGGATTGCTGGCGGTGGGCGGCGGATTCGTAGGGCGGGAGGGGGTCGGAGGCGGAGATGCGGCCTGAGACGAAGCGCTGCGGGACGTGGGTTGTTACGCGCGGCTGGTCGGAGAGGATGACGTGGCGGGCGATGTCGAGGGTGATTTCGGGGGCCGGGGCCGGGGTGTCTGGGCCTTCGAGCGTGTCGGCGACTTCCATGAGGAGGGAGAGCGCTTCGGGCGTGTTCCAGAGGTCTTTGGTTCGCACGAGGTAAAGTTCCGTGAGGAGCTCGTGTGCGTCGTTGGGGGGCATCTTGCCCCAGATGCGCTTTGGCATTGGTTGGAGGTCGAGTTCTTGGGCGAGGCGGCAGAAGACCCACGGGTGGTTGCGCATTGCGTGCGCGAGTTGCTCGCGGCATTCGCGGGGTTTGTTGAGGCGGAGGTAGGCGAGGGCGAGGGAGCATTGGATGTTGGGGAGGGAGGCCCATTCGTTGTGGAATCGGGTTTGCGTGCAGAGCTCGATGAAGTGCGCGTACTCGCGGCCGCGGAGTGCCAGGTTGTCGATCATGAGGCGCATGCAGTAGGGGTCGCTGGAGTTGAGGCCGAGGAGCAGCTTCCCCCATTCGTAGGCGGTCCGCCAGGTGCCCTTCATGCCTAGGTTGGCGATGTATCGCCAGCCCACGAGCCACAGCTCGCGGTTCTCCTCGCGCACAAAGTCCAGCCGCGCTTGGCCTTCGCGCAGTTGCGTTCCGAAGGATGAATGCGCCGAGCGTCCGATGTTGAATAGCGCGCGCTCGAGTAGATCCGCTGACACTGCATGGTCGCTCTGGTGCTTCGCGATCTCCGACACCTGCAGCAGCGTCGAGATGTGGTAGGGGTTGTACTGGAGCAGTTGGATCATGCGCTGTGGATCCAGCGACTCCACGCACATCTCGAACTGCCGCTGCACGTCCTCGTACGCGCTGTTGTGCACGATGCGGTACAGCGTCGCTCCCGATTCCTGCTTCTCCACTAGCTCCATCCCCAACCCGCCGCTGGGTGTCCGTGGCCACTCGTCCTTGCCCTGCATGAGGACGTTACGCCGCAGCGTAACGCCCGCCAGGCTCTGCCCCCGACTAGCGGGGCTGTATTTGCCTGTCAGCGCCCGTCCCAGATCGACCATCTCCCGGTTTCTCTCCCGCCGCCGGTTGGACCCCGAGTCGTCTTGGTCGAAGTTCTCCAGCACCACGTTCCCGAACAGCTTCCGCATCTCGTTGGTGGCATTGAGCGCCCGCGGCTCAATGGTGAGCAGTTCTGCGGGCGTCTTGGGAAAGCCAGAGTCCTTTGTGTTCCCCGCGCCCCGCGCACCAGTCTGTCCTTGCCCACCTTGTCCCTGGTCTACCGCCAGCTCCTGCAATGCCCGGTCGATCTCGTCCAGTTTACCATTCTTCTTGCCTAGAGGGGTCTTCGCCTCGCTGGGTGGCTGAGGTGTCGACTTCTTCTTCTTATTCTTCTTCTTCTTGTTGTTCTTTTTCTTTGGCTCTGCCGGTTTGGGGGAAATGTCGACAGTTGGCGGCGGGGTCCGGGTCACTGGTGCGGTCTCGTTGTCGGACTCTTGCTCCTCCTTCTCATCCTCTTCCTCCTCCTCGTCGTCGTCATCGTCCTCTGCGGCGTTCAAAAGGTCAAAGGCATTGAGCTTCGGTTTTGTGGGTCTCGATACCGGTTCATCTTCGCTCGAGTCGTCTTCTGTGTGCTGCTGCTCCTGCTCGCGCAGCTTTTGGAGCTTGCGAATGGCACGGGAGGACATTCAGACTTTGATTGGGAGTCCAAAAGAAAATAAATATGTGGAATTGAAGTGGTTTAGGCAGCTGGTCCAAGGTAGACGCGGTTTTGGCGAGTGATGCAAATAAAATAGTTCGGGATGATCTTTCTGGTCGCGGGGAATGACGACACTGCTCAGTTGGGCTAGCCGATTACTTGGTATTGTTATTGTTATTACATGTAAAATACACAGCATAGGTGCAATATACCCCATAATAACAGTCACGTACCATACAATTCATAACGGAGTCCCGTGCCGCCCAGCTCACCATCACTATTACGGACTCCGCCTCTCTCCATCTTCATCTCCAGCACTCTCGCTGGACAACTTCCCATCTCTCATCTTCTACCCCTCAGTCCTGCCCTCAATGCGGCGTGCGGCTCTTCAGGCTTTCCGTACTGCTCGTCGTGCACCAGTATGGAGAGTCTCTGGTAGGAAACCCTGCGCAGTCTCATTCTCCAGCAGCCGAGCCCATACCCTTCGGCCTTCTGGGAATCATCGCCCCTTCTTCATCCCTGCCACTCTCCAGTCATCCATGCATTTCCGCAGCTTCTCCATTGCGTTGATCTCGACCGCCGTTGCGTCCGGAGCCTGGTACGCCTATCAGGGCAACAACTCCCAAGGCTCCCCGGCGGCCGCCCTCAACGCCACGTCGTCCTCGCAGCTGCGCACCGTCGCAACCTCGGGTGCGCACACCGACAGCGCCGTCGAGAACACCCGTCGCGCCCTCCTGGTCGAGAACGATCAGTTCTACACGGCTACTCTGTCTGGGGAACAGCCCCTGTTGAAACATACCGACGACTCGGACCGTCGGCTGCTCGAGATGTTGACCCCCGAACAGGCCACCCAGAAGCTCCGCAAGAACGAGGAGTCGTACCTGGTCAACCGCGGCCAGGGTGTCGTCCGCTATGACATCGTCCAGGTGCCCAGCAACTCGCCGATTGAAGATGACCATGCCGAGAAGATTGTGGAGGTGCCCACTTCCGTCGCGGCCGCCTCCGAGGGTCGTGCCAACAGCGACTGGATGTTCTGGGCCGTGTTTGATGGACACTCGTAAGTGCTCTCCGGGCCGGAGGTATGATACGCTATTGAAACTTAGGCTAACTGTACTTCCCAGTGGCTGGACCACTTCTGCGAAGCTGCGCAATGTCTTGATCTCCTACGTCGCCCGCGAACTGAACACCACCTACAAGGCCGCCGCGACCGATCCCTCGGCACTCACGCCGACTTCAGAGGCAATCGATGCCGCCATCAAGCAGGGTTTCGTGCGCCTCGACAACGATATCGTCTACAACAGCGTTGACAAAGTTTTGAAGTCGAACTCGCGCCGCGCCGCGGCCGAGCTTCTCGCCCCCGCGCTGTCGGGTTCCTGTGCCCTCCTGACTTTCTATGACTCGCAGTCCAAGGACCTGAAGGTCGCCGTCGCTGGTGATTCTCGTGCCGTTCTAGGCCGCCGCTCGGCGGGCGGTAAATGGACCGCTACGGCGCTCTCCGAGGACCAGACCGGCGGCACGCCGTCGGAGATGAAGCGTCTGCGCGAAGAACACCCGGGCGAACCCAACGTGACCCGCAACGGACGCATCCTCGGCCAGCTGGAACCTAGTCGGTCATTTGGCGACGCATTCTACAAGTGGACCAGAGACACCCAGGACAAAATCAAGCGCCAGTTCTTCGGACGCACCCCGCACCCGCTCCTCAAGACTCCCCCGTACGTGACCGCCGAGCCGGTCATCACTACCACCAAGGTCGACCCCAGCCAGGGTGACTTCCTGGTCATCGCCACCGATGGTCTCTGGGAAATGCTGAGCAACGAGGAGGTCGTCGGACTGGTCGGACAGTGGGTTGAGGAGCAGCGTTCCGGCGCCGGTGGTAACCAGACCTGGCTCAAGAGCTGGTTTGGTTTCGAAAACAAGCAGCTCCCCGTTGAATCCTCCCAGGCAACTGAGACGGACGGCCAGCGGCGTCCCATCCGCCAGGCGCAGTATGACATCGCGGGTGCTGCCAGCCGGTTTGTGGTGGAGGACAACAACGCCGCCACCCATCTGGTCCGTAACGCCATGGGCGGCAAGGACAAGGACATGGTCTGCGCCTTGTTGACTCTTCCCAGTCCTTACTCCCGCCGATACCGGTGAGTTTCCATTACTACTTTACCCCTTTCTCAAATTAGCACTAATAATGTATAGTGACGACGTCACGGTAGAAGTCATCTTCTTCGGCGACAGCCCCGACAACCGCACCGTCTCCGTCAACCAGGACGCCACTGCATCCGAAGAGAGCCCCAAGGCAAAGCTTTGATTGAAGTATTGATTTTGCCACATCCAGAATATTCCCAATATTGCTTTTGTTGAGTGGGGCATGGCCCGTTTGTTGTCTTTTCTTCCGTTTCTTTGGTTTGCATTTACACCCTTTACATTCTCACGACATGATTCTTTCAAGAAAGATGGCGTTACGTTATGGATCTGTGGTCGTCGCTAGACTAGTATGGTTGAGTTGAGTTTGTCTACAAAGTAAGCTGATATCTTGCATATGATTTCCACTACGTTAGATTGAATATGGACTCTAGAGCGTTATTATCCAGGTCACTTTTGCAATAGCGTATCTTGACTAGCAGTGTACTACTCATCACCATATTTAGGCTACACCTTCCACCTCGAACTTCTACTAGTGTCGTTTTCTTCTTTTAGCTCTTTTTGGTCTAATTATTTCACCAAGTAACATCAAGAGTGATGCTTTACTATTCACTCACGTGATGGTGAACGTATAGCAGTATCACGTGGGCTGTGAATCTCACGTGGATATTCATGCCCTGACAGCAACAATCAACTAGATTGATTCAGTAGGATAAGAAAGACGAAGTATTACTGTCTTATAATCACTCATTACTCACTACCACATCGGCCTACCGGACTGCTACTGCTATCATAGACACCAAATATTAGTTCAAGTTGGCTGGGAAGTCAAAGGCAAGGTTGTCGACATTTTTTATTGTTTCTTTCACAGGCAAACAAGTCCTTCTAATGTCTTAAACATGGATCCAGCAGAAGTAAACAGCAAGACGCGTCATCTTTCAACGCGATCCAGTGAACGACCGCGCCTGTACCCATAGTATAAATCACTTGTCTTGTTCCACTGTCATGGCCTATCAGCTCAGACATAAATACCTGGTCACGCCCTCTCTTCTCCTCCATCTCTTTTCTTCCGCTACCTATAACTGTTACCCTGACCTCGCTTGGACCTCACTTTCATATCTATATAATCTTGCCAACTCTTTCATAAATTCTCTTGGACTACGAACCTAGCAGTCATGCTCTGGGACGCCAACCAACCTCCTCGCTGGTTACCTTTCTCGATGCAAATCTTGTTAAATATAGTTCCTCTTCGATCATGAATACCATCATCGACAAATGAAAGTAGCAGCGTTTATATACACTCTCACATCACTTGGACCACCTCCTTCACGTCTCTCGACGAAAGGGTGGATTCCCAAGCGAGATCTGTTCTATTTATGCCTTCTGTTCCCTATTACTGTGACAACGGATGGCCTCATCTTCAATTTACAAACGCGATGCACGCATCTTCCGTCTATATCGTACTCTATAGAGCACTCATATCACTACGTCTGTATCTGCATGATGTTGACCTTCTCGCTCTAACTGAGATTCTAGTGTCTGCTCTGGAATAAAGATATGCTCAATCTACGGGCAAACCGCCAGTTGCCTTCACCTCTGAAACCCTATACTTGGTCTTGCTACGTGGCTTCAAAGTCCAGGTCGACAGGTAAACAGGGCTGCTGATGTCTCAGTGTCTTTCGCCCTGTGAGCGGCACATATACAAGAGGCCCACAGTATAGCGTGGTCATCTGCCTATAGAAAAAGAACCAGAGATCTTCTTTCTTCACCATCTCCATGGCCACCATGGTGTACAGACGGGATGTTCACGCTGATTGGCGCCACTTGGAGACGCACCAAACCACTGGTCTGATGTGCAAGTGGCACAGCAACTCCTGCAGCAGGGTTCCTGTCGGCAATATGACCGTGCTCTTCTCTCCTCCCACAGGTGGAAAGAACAGAGAAACTGCGGCAAATAAAGCTCATGCGGTCAGCAACATCCCATGGCTTCTGAGGATGACGACTTCCTCAACTGTGTGGTTCTTCCAACTATAAAGACATTCCTGTCGACATTCTACTTTACGGCTTCCTTTGACGCACTCAAGGTGGTGATACTTGATCTGACCAGCTCACTCGACAAGAATGACGGATCTACGCCATCAGTACCTATGGTAAAAGGATCCACTAAGTAGCCGGTACCATGGCGAACCAGACTACGCCCTGCTTGTCCCCCTTGTGCACTTTCAGCCTTTTGTCCGGGAATCGACCCGGCCAGTCAACAGAGCTCAACAAATCTGCCAGTAAATGGGGACAGTCTAAACATCAAAACTTCGAGACGTAAGAAAGCCGATGCTAAACCTATGGGCCTTGGTCACCCCCCATGAACTGGGGCGGCGGTGCTGGTCGCTCAGCGGGCAATCACCTGAGTTCCGCCGTGACTATGTTGGCGAAGTTGAAGGCAATATACTACGCGGCTTTCAAGACGATATTGTTGGGGATGCCGCCGTAGAGCGAGGAGCAAATCGCCAATACAATTACATGCACATATCTTTGTTGGTTTTTTCCCCCTACTTCACTGCTAGGTGCATGGACATGGGGTATATGCTCGTACAGGACGCTGGTTCTATGCCGTCCGGCATGGCGACGATCGATGCAAAGTGGCATCATGCTATGCAGATATGCGTGCGCCAATACATGGCTCTAAGATTGCCACTACTAAATTCTCGGTGCAGTAGCTTCGGCGGGGTCAAATTCTCATCGACATGTCCCAGCCGACACTGCAGTCAGACTTTCAGTATCTTAATGGGTACCGACCACCCCTCTGACGACAAGAGGTCTCCAAGTTTCTTTGCATGTCAATTATACATTGTGATTCCACGCGAACAAGTCAAGCATGCACCGATTTCCCTCGCGAGGAAGATAACCCCAGGGTGAAAGGTGATCTGAGAGTGCAGCGGTTACCATGACCCCAGATTTCATTCATTGAAGGAGATGAGGAAGCTAGTCTTAGCAATTCAAGCAGACTTCGAGTTCCACACCACCAATGCCAAAGACGGCAGGGTCTTCATCATCTCCGAATGTACGGTGGTTTACGCGCAGCTACGACTGGACAATTTCTGCGCGAGTCTCAGCGCTTCAATCCGACTGTTGAAGGTGCGTTCTTTTTCCCTGGGGCTACTGCCTTGCTTTCTTATCTTCTCCCAGCCAGCCTGAACCCACCCCTACAATAACAAACAACATAATAACTAATATTAAACCAGTCTCTGAAAACCATATCGTCAAACAAGACCCAATGCTCTCCGATGGCATCACCCTCCCGGGAAAATCGCACATCGCCTGGCCCTCAGGGCCCCTCTGTCACAACAGAGTCATCGTGTCCAACAATCTTCTTGGTCTCAATCTTACTATAATAGTATAATATGGATGGCACAAGTAGTTTGAAAGGACCTGATATCATCCTTGGATCTACCAGGCTGATTGGGGTCGGGTACACCCTGACAAGAGCCTTGGTCCTCGTCCTATTTGATCCCGATTATACCCTGAATGCTGAGGAGCAGGCACACGGACGTGTGTCACAGCTGCTGATCTATCATCACCATCAACCCGCGAGGAAGAACCGATCACGGTTCAACTCACTAGCATATTCTACAAGATGCAGACGGCACAACCCCAACAGGTGTTCCTAACCGGCGGGCCACATTTACTCACCTAAGATTGACTATTGACATCAAGGACGAGTATATGATCCGGACGGCCTGGAAAAATCTTCAAAACTTCAAATATTCTACACCTATCTGAGGCTGGCGCCCGAACGCCGACCGGTCCTTACCACCTTGCCTACAAAAACAATGGCCCTTTTCCTATAACTAAGACAGTCGTGGGACGGCATTGATCGCTTAACAACAACGCCCGAATACACGCCGCTTTACGCCAAGGCCGCTATAACAGTTCTCCTAGATGACCACATATTCTGGCCATCTCTCGACTTCCTCCCCACTATTCTCGCTTCATTCGAGGACCCCAGCGTCGGAATCGTAACGAATGCGAGCTCTGCGGGCCTCAAAACCGAAGTATACTCCACGATAGTATAGACAGTACATGAGCTGTTCGGGTTGGGGGAGCCATGCAGGCGTTCAATCCCTACACCTGTCACTTTGATCTCATAATCCAGATGCTGCGGCAACAAGCTTTGAGAAGAGTGAGAATCTAGAAAACACCAGAACCAGGCATGCTCCCTGCGATTACTCTGTGTCGGTTATCATATCTCAGTGGTCCTGGCCCCTGCACGGTCATCTTGGGATATAGTCACATGGTCACAAACTTGTGTCGCCGCCGACCTCCTCCTCGCATGGTCTGCATGTTCGACATCATACATCAGAGCAGATGGACTTTGTTGAGGGACGCAGCAAGCTAAATTGGTATCTTATAAGGAGTGTCAATCATTATAAACTTGAGATTCTACAACGAGATTGCCGTCTTCAATGTATATTCTTGGTAAAGAAAATTATGGATGATCTATAGATCTGGATCTAGATATAGATATAGACAGTGACGTAATCATAGATGAGTCATCGGGCGGTGAGGGCTTATCGATAGAGAGCAGCTAAGCCGCAAAAGGACAATGGAGCGGAAGTGCCACGCCGCTCCAACAGCTTCACTTCCTCTCTCCTCTTTCCAACTCCTTCGGTTTGACTGGTAGATACAGCTTGGCTTTGACTACTTCGAGGAGGAACATTCGAATTCTGGCAGTCTGACTATGCTCGTTGTCCCTTGCTAGCTACTCGAGCTCACAACCCAGTCAGCGGTCTGCCATGATGCTATTCCTACTGAAATCGGCCATCACGGTCCTGGCCCTGCTCGCGACCTGCGTGCTCCTCCCACAGCTACCGCTGGGGATTCTCCGTCTTGTGCTCCGCGGGGTCGGATGGCTGATCGTGAGACGCACTCGCTCCCGACGCGAGCACATCGTCTCGCGCGTGCGAGCGGAGGAAGAGGACTCCGCCACGAAGCGCACGGCCAAGCCCTCCCCTGGCGAGGACGAGGACTGGGAGAAGGTGGACACTCGCTCATCGAGCTCTAGCAGTGGCAGTCGCGAACGCGGCGGCGATGGCTGGGATGGCATCATTGGTTTCTTTCACCCGTTCTGGTGCGTCCACTTTCCACGATCTACAGTACAGTAGTACCCTTGTTCGGAAACTAAACCTCGTGACTTATAGTAATGCGGGAGGCGGCGGTGAGCGCGTGCTTTGGGAAGCAGTCAAGGCGACGCAGAAACGCTGGCCTCGCGCGATCTGTGTGATCTACACCGGAGATCACGAGGCTACCAAAGCGACCATGTTGGAACGGGTCCATGTGAGTCCATTATTGTCGGGGAGGATCCGCGGAGGGAGCTGACAGCCACGTCTAGAACCGATTCAACATTCAACTACACGCACCAACAGTGGTGCTCCTCTACCTAACCACCCGCAAATACGTCGCCAGCACCATGTACCCGTACATGACACTGCTAGGCCAGTCGTTAGGCTCGCTAGTAGTCGCGCACGACGCCTTCAACCTCGTCGTCCCGGACATCTTCGTCGACACAATGGGCTACGCCTTCACACTAGCCTACTGCAAGCTGCTATTCCCATGGGTACCCACAGGCGCCTACGTGCACTACCCCACCATCTCAACCGACATGCTACAGTCCCTCGACGACAAGTCCGGCCTGCAAGGCGTCAACGCCGGCGCGGGCACCGGCCTCCGCGGCCACGCCAAACGCAAGTACTGGCTCGCGTTCGCGCGCCTCTACGGCTGGGTCGGCGGACACGTCGACGTCGTCATGTGCAACTCCTCCTGGACAGCGGCCCACATCCGCACAATCTGGGGTCCCTCCCGCACCAACACCCCGCACAAAGACCCCGCCGTCGTGTTCCCCCCCACAGCCGTCACGGAGCTCGAATCCACCATCCCCGTCGACGCGGAGTCCGAAAGCACCCGCCAACCCGTCATCCTCTACATCGCGCAGTTCCGGCCGGAAAAGAACCACCCGCTCCTCCTCCGCTCCTTCGCCCGCTTCCTCCACAACCATTCCCAACATTCCCCCTCCACTCCACCGCCCCGCCTCATCCTCATCGGCTCCGTCCGCCACGCCAGCCCAGACGAAACCCACATCTACAACCTGCGCCTCCTCGCCCACGAGCTGCACATCCGCGACCACACGACCTTCATCTGCGACGCCAGCTGGCCCACCATCCTCGACCACCTCTCCACAGCCTCCATCGGCGTCAACGCCATGTGGAACGAGCACTTCGGCATCTGCGTCGTGGAGTACCAAGCTGCGGGACTCATCAGCGTTGTCCATGACTCAGGCGGTCCGCGGGAAGACATCGTCATCGACATGCCTGAATCCGACACTAACTCTGACGCCGAAGGCGGAAGCGGCGCAACGGGCTTCCGCGCGTCGACGGAAGACCAATTCGCGGCTGCGTTCGAAACGGCTCTTGCCCTGCCGATCGAGGAGAAGATGGCGATGCGCGCAAGGGCGCGTCGCTCGGCGCTGAGGTTCAGCGAGGAGGAGTTCCATGCCGGGTGGTTGGAGCAGGTGGGACGGTTGGTGGGGATGGTTTCTGCTTCTTCGTCTTCTTAGGTGGGGGTCTTCTTCAGGGGTGTGTTGTATGGGTCTACTATACTCCAGTCTAGTATACTCTACTCTACTATAGTATGCTGTATTGAATTGCATTGTACTCTATTAAGCTAGACTAAACTGCTGTACTGTTAGAATAGGATGATGAGGATGATGAGGCTGGAGTACTACCTATAGTATAGTATAGTATAGACTATACTATCATGTCCGTACACTGGTGAATTTCACAGGATGTGGAACATTCATCGCCTAGGTGTAAGTAAGTAGTGACCTACACTGTACTTACTGCTTTTGATATGCAGTACTATCTGAGTCTCTCCTATTTATCAAGTGGAAGTACTCGGGACATTGCATGTATACTGTTATGTCATACTGTCCATCTATCCATCTATCCATCTATCCATCTATCCATCTATCCATCTATCCATCTATCCATCTTATATCCTACTGCACTAACTACCATATAGCACAGTGTAGTATAAAGCAGTATAGTCTTGATAGTATACTACACTCAAAAAAAAAAAAGAAATAACCATCGAAAGACCGATTCCTATGGGTATGTGTATGTATAGGTATCAACCAACTAGATAGGCAACTCATCGTAGACACGTAATGACCATTTCGCCGGTGGCAAACTCGGTACAAACATAAATAAGGGGGTTTAAAAAAATACCAAAAGAGATAAATCAGGGGAATAAAGGTAAAGGGAAAAGGTAGAAGGTATAAAAAGGGGGAAACAAAAGAAAAACATAAGAAAATGGAAACAAACACCATCCCGATAAGAAAGTCAAATCAACCCTGATGTCACCGTAGTGGAATCCGGATATTATCCAACCTGTATCTGAACGCCAAGTAAAACGTAAAGAAATGACAAAAGAAAAGGACATAAGGAGGAACTCTCTATAACCAATGAATCAACCAATAAAGGCTACTCTCGCCATTCCCCCTGGTAGCCCGTCTCCGCCGGCACTCCCATGATGGGTCCGGAATTCCCCCCGTACAGGGGATCAGGGTGTCCGTACCCTCCGCTCATGCCGGAGACACTGCTCAGCACTGACTCGTCGTCGTCGAACCCGTACTCGCCGCCGGAGCTGGCATCGAAGCTGCTGCGACCTCCCATGTCGCTTGGGTCGTCGGCCGATGCGGGGATCTGGTCCCATTGTAGGGTCTGCAAGGCTGGATACTGCGCTAGTAGCGCCGCGGGCAGCACGAAATGGCCCGTCCCCGACCCGTCCATGCCCGGCACTGTGAGCGGCTGCGGGATGGGCTGCAGGTGCTGCGGGTGGTGGGGATGGTGCAGCATGCTGCGTTCGCGCTCCTGGCATTCCTCGTCCAGCAGCGGCTTGATGCAGATGCGCCCCGCCTCGGAGCGGAAGTGGCGGCCCAGCGCGTCGGCGCGCGCAAAGCGACGGCCGCACCCCCACTGGCCGTCGCGCGCCAGCTCGCCGCGGCAGACGAACTTCTTCTCCCCGGAGTGGAGCCCCTCGTGCCGCTTGCGGTCGTGCTGCCGCGCAAAGGCCTTGCCGCACACCGTGCAGACGAACGGCCGCTCGTCCGTGTGGGTGCGCAGGTGCGACCGGAGATTGTAGGCGCGCGTGAAGCGCTTGGGACAGAGGTGGCACTGGAACGTGGCCGGGTGCTTCTGGACGCGCTTCGAGTCGTTGGGGTTCGCCCCGGGCCGCTGCGGGTCGGCCAGTCCGAGGATGTAGTTACGGCTGTCGATCGACGAGGTCGACACACGGCGGGAGCGGGACGCGGGCGACGGGTCTCGGGATCCAGGGTTGCTGTGGCGACCCGGATCGAACGGCGACAGCGAGCGTGGTGACGACGGCGCCAAGGGCTCCAGACTGGTCGTGGATGGCGAGCGGGGGCGGGACGCCGGGTGCGCGTAGGGATCAGACTTGCTCCGCATGCGCGAGCCTGTCAGGATTTAGCATCACAGATATAAATAATAATAAAAAAGGAGAAAAAAGGGGACCTACGCATGGACGGAGGAGGCGGGCTCAACGAGTCCAGATCGCCCGCCGCTTTGGATTGCGGAACGATCGGGTTTCGCGACGGAGGCGCGAATTCCACGTTGATCGACGGCGGCGCCATCGATGAGGCCTGGCCGATATCCAGCGGCATGTTTCCCGGCGGCATGCCGGGGAAGGCATCCATGCCATTGGCGTAGAGATCCTGGGACGGGGCGGGGTAATGGGCGTCGGGGCCCCCCGGCGCGGAGACGTACGGGATGTTGGGGATCATCTCGCCTCCGGGCTGCGGCATCAGCTGCGGGGAGATGTAGGGGCTATGGCCCGGACTGAAGGCCTGGGGCGGTGGTGCCGGCGGGTGGTCGGACAGGGTGAAGGACTCGATGCCTAGGGCGTTGTCGTACAGGCCGGGGTCATGCTGGGGGGCCAACAGGGGCGAGGGGTTGTTGTCCGGCCCGTCGAAGGACTCGTGCTGCGACATGTAGGGGGAGTGGGCGGCGGACGAGACCTCGGAGACTTCGGAGGGGGCGCGACGGTGGCCCTGGAAGGCGGCATTCCCGGTGACGGCCTGCCAGTCGGGGTGCGCGTTGGCCGCGAGATAGGCGGCGGCGGCGGGGTCCAGGGAGGCATGGCGCGAGTGCTGCGGGGTGTAGTAGGCGCCCGGGGTCGAGCCGGGCGGCGACATGGGCCCCGGGGACGAGTGCGGGGGGTCCTGGGGCGACAACTGCGGTGAGGCCGCCGAGTGGGGGGAGTGCGGCGAGCGGGGCGACGGCATCTGGCTGACGAGGTCGGCCGGGTTGACCGCCTGATTCTGGGTGGGGTTCTGGTAGAGCGAGAAGTCGAAGCCGCTGGGATTGGAGTCTAACAGGGAGGCCACGTCGGGGTCGTCGGACGGGGGCAGGGAGTGTGTCTGCGGCAGACCTTGCTGGTGGGCGGCGGGATCGAAGGGCTGCGACAGCGGAAGGGTCTGGGGATAGGCGTGGTCGGCGGGGGCGAACCCGGAGGTTGCGGGGAGATAGCCGGCTGCGCTGTAGGCGTAGGGGTCGGAATCGGACGCGCCCGCGTGGAGATCGTTGAGGTAGGGAGGGGGATTGGGAAACGAGGCGTTCAGCGACAGAGAGGGATCGAGGGACAAGGAAGCCGAGGGGTCGTCGTCATATTGGGGATGGGAGTGGGCAGAAGGGCTCACGCCGCGGTTTTTAATATCCGCGGGCAGTTGACCCGTCTCGTGGGAGGCCATGGCGACGAGCTGGGGAGGATCCCAGAATAGAACCCACGAGGCGCAAGGCTTAGTTGGTGGGGGACCAGGATGGAGGTCGGACGAAAAAAAAGGTGAGGCGTGGGAGGGGGATTGTTTGTGTGCGGGCGCGAGAGGGGCGATGATGGATAACAAGTGGGTGTTGAGCCGGACGCAGTACGATGAGTGGCTGCAGGAGAGAGAAGGAATGGCGAAGAAGAGGACGAGAGCAGGGGAAGATGTATGTCAGAGAGGAAGAGGAAGAGAGAAAGAAGAGGCTAAAGCAGGGAGGAGTTTCCTGTCCGAGTAAAGAGTGGAGGGAAAGTTGCCTTGCGATTCAGCCTCGTCACTGGCGCATCAGCGATGGATCGGTTGTTTCCATTTCTTTTCTTATTCTGATTCTTGTAGTCTGTTATTCTGCAGCCGAGGACTGGTAGTATCTTACAAAGGAGAGTGACGAGATGATGACCACTGTCAATGACTGGAAATAGAAAGATATGGAGAGAGAATGGAGGTAGAGAGAGAGAGAAGATGAAGAGAGGAAGTCGAGCAATGAGAGAAGAATATGGGGAAATGGATGGAGGGGAAGTCGAGGGGATACCATACCGTACCTGTTTTCTCTATGAAGAAGACGCTTAAATACCGATAATTACCATACCATACCATACCAACATACATCCATACAGACGCCGTATTGGGCTGGGCAAAAGCCGCCTTGCAGCCTGATGCCCCTTGCACGTGCTCTACTAATACGATGAAGATAATATTATATAAATATATAATATATAATATATGATATATGATATATATAATATCAAGAACATAATATAAATCATAGAACAATTAATATAAAAGATATCATCGTGTGAGAATGATACCGTGGGTCAAGGCAGACACTGACTCGATAAGATTAACAATCTTAGATTCAATAATGTCATGGATAATTCATCTCAAGAACCATAGACTATTGAAACTTCTACATTATCTATTAACGGAAGAAGTAAAGCATTCAATGGATTGAAATCAAATTGGTTGATATCATGACATCCGTGCCTTAAGCGCGTCCCCAGTAACCTTCCCCTCCATAAGTACAGACAATAGACTATGATAATAATAGAAGACCCAAAGAATAGAAAGTATAAACCCCCTAATCACTAGAAACCGAAACTAGAGTCCACATAGTCAACTTCCACCCCACATCAAACCCCCGAACCGACCCAGAAGAACAGCTTACGCCTATCACTGCGATTCCGGGAATAGGAAATCAGCCTGACTAGTAGTACCGGAGTATGGTAGTAGATTGTCGTTCGCGTGCTGGAACTTGGTTCGGATGGTGCGACTAGTGGCATTCTCAGGGCTATGCTGTGTTTCTAGGTTGATCGTTGGGCTTGTTCCTGATCGGCGGTTAGTTGCCTACTCTGTACGGAGTACTCTGTGTGAGAGTATGGAATGGACTATGGAGTGATGGAGGTGGATGGGACTATTCCCGCTACTACTTCTACTCCCACTACTATACTACTGCTACTATATTGCCTCTATACTACCTCTATACTACTTCACCGTTGCTACACTAGTACCTCTATCCTACCACGTAATACTAAAATGTAGTATTCAATCTATACATCAAACCTACTCTCATGCAACTATCATCACACACCCATCTAACCACCCCCCTCTCCCCAAAACAACAAACCAAAGCCAACTATCAAAAGTTAGATCTCCCCAAAAACACTCACACTCCCCCTAACCCCCCCACCATCCCACTCCACCATCAGATTATCCTCACAACTCGACCCCAACCCCCCATTCCCCACCCACCCCGGCTCCCAATAATACACCCCAACACCCCCAGCACCCGCAACCACGCCCGCCAACTTCTCCATAAACGCCGTCTGTCCCTCACTCGAGAACTCGATATCCGCCAGATCAGCCGGGAAGGCTATCTCCGGCGACGGACACGACACGGGCCAGTCTGTTTCGACCACCACGACATCCTTAGCGTACTTCTGTCGTAGTTGCGTGAGACTATCCTCCAGGGAGGAGAGAGTCGCGTCCTCGTTGTAGAACGGGTAGAAAGATACACCTATCAGGTCGAAATCCGCCTCCTTAAACTCCGTGTCCGCGTTGAGGATCGCATCGTAGAACCACTCCTGCGCAGCCCAATCCCACCCATTATCGAGATGGATCATTATCTGCGGCGGTGAAGACCCAGAAGCGAGGTCCGAGTCCTTAACCCCCCAAGCACCAGAGTGCAAGATGCGCGCGATATTCCCCGGCTGGTCCGTCGTGCCGAGCGGCCAGAGCAGGCCGTTGCGGATCTCGTTCCCGATGGAGATGATGGATACGTCGATGTTGTTGGTCGCGAAGGTGTTGCATACTTCTGTGGTGTAGTTGTAGACTTGCCAGGTCAGGGCTTCGATGTCATCTGTGGGCCAGCCTGCTGGTGTATCCTTTCCCCACATATTCATCAGTATGTTATACTTATACATATACATACGTATATCCCAATATATATAGAGAGAAGGAGGAGGAGAAAAAGAGGGGGATATACCTGATTCTCCGGATCCGCCCAAGTATCACTATAATGCAAATCCAAATAGACACTCATCCCCGCACCCTGCACCCTCTTCGCGAGCTCAACATTATACTCCAGATCGTAGACCCCATCGGCAGGGTTCACCCATATGCGCTGCCGGACGGAGTTGGCGCCGTTGTCTGCGAGGATGGTTTCCAGCGCTTGGGGCTCTCCGGCTAGATTCTTGTATGTTTGGCCGGATTTTTCGAGCGTTAGGAGGGAGGAGAGGTCTGCGCCTTTGTGGGTTAGTGCTCCTGATACCAGTGCTCCTGATACCAGTGGGATGGATAGGAGGGGGAGGAGGGGGAGGGATAGCATGGCGACTAGTTAAGGGAGTGTCTTGCTTGAAGGAGAGAAGAGGGGGGGAGGGGGATATGCATTGGTATGCTCTGGCTTGGGAGGTCAGGTTATTTCAACCTTTAGACAGGTATAGTAAACCATGACAGCTCGGGCAAATCTCCGAATCTATAAGGTTTGTTTCGTTATCCCGACGGACGGAGAATTGCTCGTTGACCCACTGTCCCCCCTACCTATGTAGGTAGAAAGCACGGATGAACTGGGGATTGGTGGAGGAATACATCTGATACACCGGGGTATGGAATATGTTTGAACTCCGTCTTGATCGGGCTACGAGTTTATCCTAGATTCTATGTGTCTTAGCTGGTCAGTCGCTGTAAAGCTCTAGATCAATAGATATAGATGGTAGGAACGTGTATATTCCATCATTGTCATAATGTATCTGCACGACTCTGCAATGCTAACCGAGCAACCATACCTCTCGCAATCCACCTCATATCGACATTAATTACAAGAAACCAACCCTAGAATCGATGCCGAAGAGCCCAAGCCCAGTATATATAGACGCAAACCCCCTAACCTGACGAAAATTCCCAAGATCATCCAAGATCATCCGAGCATCTCCAGTGAGATGAACATGTGAAAAAAAAAAAAAGAAAAGAAAGAAAAAACCACCGATGCAAGGATATATATGTACAGACAAGCAATGCATCTGGTCCAACCAACTCCAAAACCATATAAGAAGAAAGAAAAGAAAAATGCCTTCGCAGTTCCTGTATGCTGAGGCCATGGAAGAAAAATGCCCGGTAATAAAAATGATATACATGCAAACCAGAATTCATGAAGAAATCATCCAGTGTCCCAAATGAAACAAAGTTACAAGAATCATGACGGAAGGGTAGAAAAGGTCGACAAAATCGAGTTAGACCTTTGTTTAAATTTTGTATTGAATAGGTAAACCATCACCCCTGCGAGTCGTGACCGGCACGGACGACCGGCTTCTGAGGGGACGGAGGCGGTTTCTTTTTACCAAAGACGAGGACTTCATCTTCGGAATCATCGTCAGAGTCCTCTTCGTCATCGCAGTAGTATCGCGCCTCGTCGTCATCCACCGTCCGAAGTAAGCTTGGCACCGGACACTTGACGGTTTCGTCCGTCCGGAGGATCGAGGGGATCTGGACGGCCGATTCGCCGTCTTTCTCCTTGCTCGGAAGGAAGCCCTCGTTGGACAGCGAGGAGGCCCCGGACACGACAGACGGGATACTGGGATGCGAGGTACTCTGAGACATTCCGCTCGTGTAATCGTCCACGGACGACGATGAGATGGTGGCCGCCGATGGGGGCGAGGTCGTCAACCCGCCCGAAGGCGCCTCGATGGAACCGCCAGAGACAGCACAGGCGGCAACGGGGAACCGCGGGTCGGGACGCAGCGTGCGAGGGCGGTTGGATGTCGGCTCACTCTCCCGGCGAGAAGTCCTGCGCACGGGCATCTCCCCCTTCCGCTGGCGGAGTAGGACTTCCTGGGACAACTCCAGCGGGTCAGTGGACGATTTCCGCGGCAGTTGATGAGACTTGTTGCGCCGGTGTCCCGTGCCAGCAGGGCTCAGACTATCCAAGCCTACCGGGGCCGGTTCATCGCCCTCCGGGAGCAAGTTCAGCTGTTGCATCTGACCGACCGCAGAAGCGACGCTCACGGCCAGGCTGGGCTGCGAGCGACGGTCGCCGTTCCCAACGGCGGTCTCCCCGGGGACCACCTTGTCAGAGCGCTTGTCACCGGTATGCAGACCCCGCGCCAGTCGACGGCTGGCACCGCCAAATAACCCACCGAGACTGGTCGTCGATGATGATTCGGGGCGCTGGGCAGCGAGCGGGGTGGCCGAGTTGGAAGCTCGCACGGTTTTCGCAGATTCAGCGGTGGATAAGGACGACGCGGTACGCACCGGCGGGCCCGGGCGTGGGGTTCGATCATGCGACGGGGCCCAGTCAAAGCCGATGTCCTGGAAGTAGGACGTGTGGTCGTCCCGACCGACCGGGCTGGCGGTGACGCTCTGCGAGAGCGGGTGCTCACCACCGTCCCGGGCCGCCATTCGGAAAACCCGCGAAAAATCCTCGTCCCGGAGACTAAGCCGCCGACCATCCCACAAGTGCCGGGGGAAGCTCGAGGTGCTCGCGGAGAATGCGGTATCAAACGAGGGGGTCATACTAGGCGGTCGTCGGCGGAAGTCCTTGTCTTTCGACCGACCGGTCAGGTAGCTGGACCACTTGGCCACGTTCGACCGCACCCGCTGGATAAACGGCACTTTGCTGACCGCCGACGTGACCTCTTCGGAGGACACCTCGATCCTCTTTCCTTTGCTTTGGTAGTTGGGATCGGTCTCCTCCACCCACACGCGGGGGTTTGGCAGACCGTCGAGAGTCCACGGGTGGTGCTTGATCTCCTTCACCGTGACACGCTTGGCAGGGTCCTTGGTCAACAAGCGTTTCAGCAGATCGTACAGCTCATCGTCGATGTCTTCGTAGACGAGTTCGCCCGCCATCCGTTTGCTGCCGGACAACGAACGAGGCCACTGGCTCACGGTATTCGGCTCGTTCTCCACGGGCACGAGGCGCTTGCGCGGAATGAAAACATCCTTTTTCACAATCGTCTGGAACATGCTGTATTCGTCATCGGACACAAACGGCAACCGTCCAAAGATCATGCCGTACAGTGTCACCCCGAGCGACCAAACATCGATGGCCTCGGTGATGCGTGGCACGGACCCGATCGTCTCGACGAAATCCTCGCCCGTGTAGCACAGCTCGGGGGCGTAGAAGGCGGGCGTGCCCACGGTCTTGGACAATTCTCGAGCGTCATCCAACTCCGTCACCTCGCTGTCATTGAGCTGGTCACCCTCGTCGTCCCTGATGGGGCGCCCCAGATAGGAAACTCCGAAGTCGGAGATCTTGACCCGGTAGCTACTCGTGACTAGGAGATTGGCGGGTTTGATGTCCCGGTGGATGATGCCTTGATAGTGGAGGTACTCGAGACCGAGCAACGACTCCCGAAAGACGTTGCGCGCCTCGTCGAACGTCAAACAGGGGACGAACGACATATCGTCTTCGTCGGAGAACCACTCTGGCTCCGAAGGGGCGTTCCCGAAACTGCTGGACGCGGTGCTGAACCGCCTCTCCATCGAGTCGTCAGGGTAGGACCCGTACATGCTGCCTTCGATGGCGGCCAGTGCAGACGCGAAGGAATGGCTAGGGGAGGACCGCGGGTCCTCGTGACTCGCCAAGGAACGACTGACCGTTCGGGCCAATGTCAGATCCGACTCCTCCTCGTCCGATTCCGCACCGTGTTCCAGACTCCAGGCGGGAATGGGCGCTTTCCGAGCGTTGTCCGCCTGCTCTTGGCGTCGCTCACGCGCCTTTTCGCGCTGCTGACGAAGGTGTTGAGCGGTCCGGACGTACTGCTGGCACTCTTCGACGAACGACGGTGAGTCCGCAATGCCCGCCTTCTCCCGCTCCAGTCGGCGCTTGTCAACGTGCACGATCTCCCGCAGTCCTCGCTTCCGCCAGATAATCTCGCCGTTCTCGACATACTCCAGGACGATATATACTTTCTGGCGATTCGGATCGTCGATGACTTCCAACAGACTGACGACGTTGGGGTGACGGGCTTTCTTTAAGATGGCGACTTCCTTCTTGACTTTGTCTTCGGGGTTGCCGAGTTTACCCAGGCGACGCTGCTTGGGATGGCGCTGCACGATCTTGATGGCCACCTTCTGACGAGTCACCACGTGCCGCCCGAGCTTGACCTTCCCGTGCTCCCCGCGTCCCAGTTCCTCGAGAATCTCATACTGGTTGATCAACTTGTTGCCGGTCACCGTGTCACGATCGACCTCGACGGTGTGAGTTCTACAATCATTAGCCAAACCATTCGGCCCACCCAATCCGTAGAAAGTGGGGAAGAGGGGACATACTCTTTTGGGGGTTGCAGGTGCGTTGGGTGAAGATACGGGCTGCTGACCCGACCGTCGTCGGACTCAAAAGGCGTGGACCGACGACTGCGAAAGGAGAAAAGTCCCGGACTGGAGACCGGAGTGTTGCCTGCTGTTCGCGACGGTCGCGAGCCGTATCGCAACTGGGTATCTGACCGAGCGTGGTGCGAGCCTCGGGTCCACAGAGACGGTCGTTGGTAGGTGGGATGGACCTGGGATTGGAGGACTTCGTAGGATTGATCGGGGTAGACGGGATACTCGGTGGGTGGGGACTCGGACTGCGTGACATACGAGGTCCGTCGGGAGAGGGGGCTCGGCCGAGCGCCTAGTTCCGACCGGGCATCGACCACGGTGCCTTCGTTCAATGCCTGGAGCGAGCTGGAAGAAGTCCGAGTGGACAGCGACCGGGAGGTGTTGGAGTGGTGGTAGAGGTGGGAGAAGGTGGGACGGATGGCGGGTTGACCGTCCGTTGTGTCGCTCGGTAAGGGAAGTTTCGCGGTGGGCGGTTTGGTGACGGATCGCTTCATGTCCCCCTCCGCGGGGGTCGGGGGCGACTGGTCTGAGACCTCGCTGGACAGGTCGGAGCTCCGCTTGGAAGACTTGTCGAGCTCTTGACCGTTCCGGGCCACCACGTTGATGGGCTCATCCATACCCGACAGGGAAGAGGGACGATCAGCCATTCTCATCTCGTCTTGATTATATCCGACCAACACGATGCAAATCGCAGTTGCGCATCCTCCGCTGAGTACAACGTTGTAGAATTCCTGTTACTCCTTTCCGCTCTGCATTTATCGGCCTTCGTTGGGCGACCAACGGATGGATTTAATCCGAGCTAGTGCGAAGCTCCGGAGTCGGACACGAATGGATCGGCATTACTTTCCGAGGTGATTCGTGTGTCTCACAGGTTGACCTCGAGGGGGAAAGAGAACCCGGGGGGGTGGGCGACGGCGATGATGAAGTATTACAGCAGGCACCGCCGCAGCATCGGAACGCACCAAGCCGGTTGGATCGTCCGGTGAGAAGAGGGTACGTAGACGGACG